GGGGGGAGGGTAAGGAATGAAGTGGATTTGGGGTATCGATTCTGCGTTTTTTTTTTACTTTTTGAGAATGAGACGCTACGCTACTCATCTGCATCCTCTTCCGTCGCGTTGAACCGGTTCGGATCCAACCCCTTCTTCTTCGCGAACCGCTCGTTGACCACCTCGACGCTCTCCTGCCTCTCGCGCTGCAGCACAGGTGTATACGGCCCCTTCGCTCTGCCTAAATTCCCACCATCAAATACTCTGGGCCCTCCCCTCGCAATACCAGCTCTCCGCTCAGAATCATCCAGCGTCGCCTCTCCCTGGCTAGAAATCTTATCAAGCAGCAAAGCAGACAGCGTCTCGTCGATTTTGTTCCCCCGCCACACCTCCCATACATCGTCTATTACGCCGCCCCTCCCCCACTTCCCCTTGCCCATCGAACTCGGCCCCCCGTATTTCCCCACGCCCTTGCTCTTCGGCTCAATGGCCCCTTCGTCGCCGATGTACACCCATTTCAGACGGTCGGTGTAGCCGTGCTCGCGTTCCTCGGACGTCTGCACTTCGTGGTCGTGCGGGAATATGCAGTCCCAGAGGACTAGGGGCGCGTCGGAGGCCATTTCGTATTTCGGCCGCGTGGGGTTCTTCTCCATGTCCAGGAGGTTGGAGACGAGTGACGGTGCTTCGAGGCGCTGGCCGATGAGGAAGAGGATAGCGACGATATTGCGGACCTGGTGCCAGAGGAAAGCCGAGCCGTGCAGTGTGAAGGCGTAGATTTTCGGTTGATGATCTGCCGAGGAAGGGGACTGGAGAGCCGTATGCGAGAGAAATGCGGGTAGAGACAGGGGACTGATTTCCTCGACGTCTGCGTGGAAGATGCGCCGTTGGAAATTTGTGATCTGTTTGCTTGCGTCGATTTTGCAGAAGTTGCGGAAGTCGTGGAGGCCGATTAGTTCTTTGCAGCCCTCTCGCATCTTGCCAATGTCGATCCAACCTTCGCGCATGGTGTCTTGGTCCGTGGCGGTGTTGTATATCCCTGCGGCGCCGGGGACGGGCGCGAAAGACGGGTTTGTGAAGAAGTACTTGTAGCGTCGCTCTTTGCATGAGAAGCGTGCGCTGAAGTTCGGAGGTGGATTGGGGCACCAGGCGTAGATGCGGATGTCGGGTGGGAGGACGCGGTTGAGGAGTTGGATGTAGGGGAGTTCGTCTGTGAGGTCATCGAAAGGTTTTGACTGGGCCTTATGTTCGCTGTCTGCTTTGCCATCCGGGGTTGAGGGCTCGTCTTCTGTGGGTGCTGCAGGTTCCGACTTGGGCAGCGGTCGGTTGCTTCGAACCTTCACACCAATGACTTGTCCAAATGCGCTCACTCCCCGATCCGTCCTCCCACACTTTGAATATTCGCAACCCTCCCAATTCACATCTGCCCCCTCTTTGTCCCAGACCGCAAATGTGTTCCTGTCTAGTCTGTTGTAGTCGGTTGTGTCTCCTTCTCTTGGTGTTGGATTCATCACCCGTGTCTTGATGAGTGCTTTCCATAGCTCCTCCTCGATGGTGGGCAATGGTGTCTTGTTCTTGTTGTGATGTTCGAAGCCATTGTATTTCTGCCCTAGATACGCAAACTTCAAGGCGATTAGCCGCGTGCTGTATCTGGACGCATCAAAAGGCTTTGGTGGTTTTGGGGGCGTCGATATAGATTTCTTCTTTAGCGATGAGATGGTAGGACTGCTTTCATCGGCTTTTTCTGCACTTGTTTGCTCTGGACATCTGATCTGCTGCTCCAATTCCTGTATCCGTGCAATCAACTGTAGCTTTGTGCACCCTTCATATTTTTCCGCCATGACCTTCTTCGCGGCCTCTAGTCGGAGAACACGTTTTGAGACTCTCGACAGCTTATGAAGTCCGCGACGAGTACAGAAGAGACGATGTAGCGAGCGATGAAATTCGGGAAAGGCGTGGGGCAGCGGGGTGAAGAGCTGCCGCATATTTTGGCGGAGTCGTCGATGACTGCCCGCATCTTTTTCCGCTGCCTGATGTTCAGGGTTCAGAGACTAGGCCAGGCGAAGGCAAGACTGATCTCCATGCACTACCATCTCTCATCTTCAGAGTCACATTTGTCCAAACTCTGACAACCACATCACTCATATCGAGATGGCATGACGAAAGCATGCGGATTGATCTCGTTTTGGCCCTATCAGCTGCTGAGTAACGCTGCAATGCTGTGCTTTGACTCATAAATTGGCCTGTTTGGTCTGCTTCACCGGAAATCGCTCTTTCCAAGAGAATCCAATACATGCTCCGGGCTTACAAACTCCTCAATTGGTCTATTGATGTCGTTCACGTGTGATCGCTTCGGGTTATCGCAATTCGACAGCGTGCTTGCGATAGGCTACATTGATGCTCGAGGCATCCATCTAGGCCGCCATGGCTTCAGGCGGTAGAAGCATACTTGAGGAAGCTTTTTTCCAATCTTTACTTCAACTTTCCAAAACACCCAACACTCAATTGGTCATGTGCCTTGTATCTCATTGAATCCAATCCCCGCACCAGCATCGTCAAATTCAGCTGGTTCCCTGCGCCACAGCATCATCACCCAATCACTTACTGCCAGAATACGTTTATCATGTCTAACGCAGCATGGCGTGCGCACGTATGCGGTCTTTACTACAACGTTCCATACAATGGATATTTGCAGAAAATACACTTGCCTCAAGTTGAGCTTCAGGCGCACGCCACCATCTTGGCAACCACGTCTCGTACGACACTCAAACAGACATTTATCAATCCGTCGACAGATAAAGGTATCAAAGAAGTTCGTTATACCTTCCCTCTCTACGACGGCGTGAGCGTTGTAAGCTTCGTATGCCATGTCGGAGACCGTACGATCGTTGGTGAGGTTAAAGAGAAGGATAAAGCAAGGGCTGTGTTCCAAGAGGCTGTTGCCAGGGGCGAAACGGCGGGTCTGCTCGAGCAACTTCCCGATGCTTCTGACGTCTTCACCACGACTGTCGGCAATATTTCACCGGGAGCACGAGTGGTCGTTGAGATGACCTACCTCGGTGAGCTGAAACACGACATGGAGGTCGATGGCATTCGTTATACTATTCCGAATGTCATCTGCCCTCGTTACGGAAGTTATCCAAGGACCCTGCAGAGCAGTTCCGCTACCGATGCAGTGGGAAGTGGTGTCTCCATCACAATTGATGCGGAGATGGCTGCAGGATCATTCATTCAGAAAATTCAATCACCCTCGCATCCCATCTCGATATCCATGGGCACGACATCACTAGCACCAAATGCTGAGCCCACAATGGCTAAAGCGTCAGCGACACTGACCCTCGGAACCGCACAGCTCGACACAGACTTCGTTCTTCAGGTTATCGCCAAAGACACCGGCGTTCCGAAGGCGGTGCTCGAAAACCATCCCACCATTCCAAACCACCGGGCTTTGATGGCAACGCTCGTACCAAAATTCGCTCTTCCATCCGAGAAGCCAGAGATCGTTTTCGTCTGCGATCAAAGCGGTAGCATGTCAGGCAGCAGAAACACTCTTGTTATCCAAGCACTCAAGGTCTTCCTAAAGTCACTCCCGGTCGGCGTCAAGTTTAATATTTGCAAATTTGGCACTCATTACTCTTTCCTCTGGCCGAAGAGCGTAACATATAGCCAGCAAGCGCTGGATGAAGCCGTTCGCCATGCCGACATGTTCTCAGCCGACTTCGGAGGTACCGAGATGCTTGAGCCGCTCAAGGCGACCATCGCAAATCGATACAAAGACATGTCGCTGGAGGTTATGATGCTGACAGATGGCGAGATCTGGGGACAGAATGAACTGTTCACATACCTGAATGACTCGGTCATTGAGAGCAAGTCCGCGATCCGAGTGTTCACTCTCGGTATCGGCAATGGAGTCTCTCATTCACTGATCGAAGGCATCGCAAAAGCAGGAAATGGGTTCTCGCAAACTGTCGGGGAGGGTGAGAAGATGGACAGCAAGGTTGTGCGTATGCTGAAGGGAGCCTTGTCTCCGAACGTCAGCGACTACACATTGGAGATTAGATATGCAAATGGTTCCAGGGGTGCTGATGATGAGGATGGCTTCGAGATAGTTGAGAAGGTAGCGGATAGCTTAAAAGTCAAGCTTGATCTGGGTGACCAGGCGAAGACAGAGACGGTATGCTTCCAGTTCAAGCTAAGGTGCGCTTTCCATACTGACTACGAACAGAAAAAGCCGATATCATTGTTCGACACATCCGCGGATCCGGACAAAGAAGACGATCCAGCACAGGACGAGACTGGTGAGGCACGATATGCACATCTGCCAGTAGTCCCCATCCCCAAGATCATCCAAACGCCGCAGAATATCCCCCCGCTCTTCGCATTCAACCGAACGACAGTTTATTTGCTTCTTAGCCCCGACGCGCCACCAGACACACCGACGGCGGTCGTACTTCGCGGTACAAGCAAACACGGTCCTCTCGAGCTGGAGATTCCCATCCAAGTCCTCGACGCACCTGGCGAAACGATCCACCAGCTTGCCGCTAAGAAAGCTATCTCCGAACTCGAGCAAGGCCGCGGATGGCTTCCTGAAGTGAAGGATGAGACCAATACTCTTCTCAAGACCAAGTTCGAAGGCCGATTTGAGGATATGGTCGAGCGGGAAGCTGTGCGCTTGGGTGTCCAATTTCAAGTTGGTGGGAAATGGTGCTCGTTTGTCGCGGTGGAGAAGAACAAGAGAGCTACAGCTAAGAACGGAAAGGAAGACTGGGACTGGGTAGAAGATGAGAGTGGGCCTTTCTCGACAAAAAGTGCGTCCAACAATGATAGCGCGGATATGGAGGAGAGGGAAGATTCCGACGAAGACATGGGCTATGCTCTTTTTGACGACGACGTTGCTGTCCCAGCCACAGCCGATATTGCAACTTGTACAGTGGGAGGGGCCGACGATTCAGACGAAAACCCGGGCTTTGCTCTTTTCGTCGACGAAGACGAAGACGAAGACGAAGACGAAGACCTTCCGTCCACAGATACAGCCAATAATACAGTACGCACCGTCAGCATGAGTATAGCTCCAGCCAGCATGCCAGAAACGGTCGGTGCACAGTCATCACCAGCCCCTCGTGCTGCACCTTCCAGTCCTCGCGCATTGCAAGACTATTCGATGCAACTCATGTTACTCGAGCAGCAGAACAAAAAGAGACGCGTCATGGGAGGGATGGTCGGAAGTCCATCGCAACCAGTGCTGTTTTCTCAGCCCCCTCCACAGCAGCAGCAGCAGCAGCAGCAGCAGCAGCAGCAGCAGCAGCAGCAGCAATCGTTTGATTGGGAATCTGTCGGGGGTGGGCCGCTGGAGAATTTCGACTTTGACCCTCTTTTGCATACCTCGGGGGATCATGGATTCGTGAATTTTCCGTCTTTCACATTTGGTCCACCCCAGGGCAGTGCATCTGCTTCTCTTGCAAACATGGCCGAGATGAAATCTCAACCAGTCATCTTCTCCCAAGACCCGGGAACGCTCGTGCACCATCTCATCTCATTGCAAACGTTCGAGGGTTACTGGGAATGGAACAAGGCTTTGTTTGCTGCCCTTGGAGTGGCGGAGCCCAATGAAGATGAACTGGACATGAAGATCACGGAGGTGGAGATGAGGAAGAATACTTTTGCGACAGCACTAGTTATTGTAGTATTTGAGAAGAGGCTAAAGGAGTGGGAGGGTAGTTGGGAGTTGGTTGTTGAGAAAGCGAGGGCGTGGATGGGGGCTAGGAATGGAGATGATGCGGAGAATTGGTAAGGCGGGGAAATTGGTCAACTACCTAGATGGGGGTTTCTGAAGCACGGGATGCGTGCCCCTTGCTTCTCCATCAATGTCCTTGATAAGGGAGTGTTTGCTCGTTGTTTTATTAGCTTAGCTTAGTGAAATCGCATGGTAATCTTTCTATCTCTGCATGTATCGTTCGGGAGCGGCCGAAGTCAGATGTACACAGTAGAGGGTGCAGTGAGTCATGGCAGGATACACAATCACATGTGATGTGGGAATGGTAAAACGCCTCACAGTCGGTGAACCGTTCTTGACGACATGTCGCACAGGTGAATCGTCGCGTCTCACCAGCGTGCATAGCTAACGGTGAAGAAAACAGGGTCTTGCACGTGAGCATCAGGCCGATCTCGGCTATCCCGCGAACCTTTTCTTCGACGCATGCATGCAGCCATTCAAGGCTGTATGATTACCACCCACGAAGGATCTGCAGCACAACGGGGTGCGAGATGGTGAATAGAACAGTGTCTGTGCTTAGGCAGCACGATTTCGTGCTCAAACGCTTGGATGGTTGCATCTGTGGCGTCGGCAATGGGGGAGAAAGGAAAGAAAGAAAGCCGAGCGGTACGATGATCCCTGACCTGGTAAAAACCTTCGTATGCCCGCGGGTTTCGACGTAGCTTTCCACTATCCACCATGCTGCCCAATTCTTGAGACTCTGCTCTCCAGCGCCCCCAAACGGCGACTAGGCTTCCTCCATATTTGCTCCCTCTGCTTGTCTTTGCGCACTCACCCGCCCGCTCGCAAACAAGAACCCCACTACTCCTACTACTACCACCACTTCCTCCAGCTCCACGACTGGCGTCATGGTCCGCAATCTTGTCGTCCTCGGCGGGAACTCGCACCCACAGCTCACAGAGTACGCGACACTCCTCGCGACTGGCCACGACGGGCTGCTTACCGTGACACAGCACCATCTGCAGCCACCTCGGCATCGCGCCCGCAAAGGTGCTGCTCGGCAAGTTCAAAGTCGGCGAGACGCGCGTGGAGATTGAAGAGAGCGTGCGCGGAAAGGATGTCTTCATCATCCAGTCCGGGTCTGGCGGTGGAAAAGGTACGACGAGAGTTTTGTCCGATTGCGGCAGGCGCTAATCTCTTGTGCCCGCACAGTCAACGACCATTTGATGGAGTACGCCCCTCGTCATGGCGGACTTTTGTGAAGCTCCTGACCGTCGCGTAGACTTCTGATCGCCATCTCTGCCTGCCGGACTGCTTCTGCAAAACGCATCACGGCGGTCCTGCCGCTGTTCCCTTACTCTCGCCAGTCGGACATTCCCTACAACAAGACGGGCGCTCCGCTCGCAAAGGCTCCCGGCACGCGCTCGAGAACGGGCACGTATACCTTCGACTCCCGCCCGCAGACGCCGCACCCGGGCCAGGCGGAGAGCGCAGGCCTGTCCAATGGCTCCGCTGCACTCCACCACCAGCTCAGTCGCATGAAGATGGACGAGCGCCATGGCGGACACCAGCTCCCGCCTACCAGCCCCGTCAAGTCGGACAGCCTCAGGCGCAGCGACACGTTCGACTCCAACAAATCGGACAAGTCGGACAAGCACGCACACCACAATGGAACGAACGGGACCAACGGCATCACACGGCAAAACACGACCAAGCCTCCGGTCTTCGAGCCCCAGGCCGGATACAGACAGTGGGTCGCTCAGGCAGGCACACTGATTGCAGACCTCCTCACCTGCGCGGGCGCCGACCACGTCATTACCATGGATCTGCATGGTGTGTATAGGCCGATCTGTTTAATAGAGTCGGAGAACTAACGAGCGCGCAGACCCTCAATACCAGGGCTTCTTCGACATCCCCGTCGACAACCTGTACGGCCGCCATCTCCTCCGCAAACACATCCAATTCAACATCCCCAACTACCAGCAAGCGGTAGTCGTGAGTCCCGATGCTGGAGGCGCTAAGCGTGCCACCGCCATTGCCGACGCGCTCGGAATGCCCTTTGCCCTCATCCACAAGGAGCGCCGCCCCACACAGATCAACGACCGCCAAAACGCGACTATGATGCTGGTCGGAGACGTCGCAGACCGTGTCGCCATCCTCGTCGACGATCTGGCTGACACTTCCAACACCATCACGCGCGCGGCTAAACTGCTGAAGAAGGAGGGCGCGACAACAGTGTATGCACTCATCACGCACGGCATCCTCAGCGGAGACGCTATCGATCGCATCAATGCCAGCGCGCTCGACAAGGTCGTAGTCACAAACACGGTCGACCAGACGGAACACATGCTGCGGTGCCCCAAGCTGGAGGTCCTCGAGGTTGGCAACGTCTTCGCAGAGGTATGCTCCCTAAATCTCAAATTCTTCCCCAACGTAGGAAAAACTAACATATCCACAGGCCATCCGACGTGTCCACCACGGCGAGAGCATCAGCGTGCTGTTCGACTACAGTTAGTGGCTGTCGTCGGGTCGACACCTGGTCCAGCGACAAACTTCACTACATCATCACCACCATTATCATTCTCTCCTTCCGCAGCTCCCCACTCCCCAGGACACACGACCTAAAATAGAGAAATTGGGAGAAAAAATACGTCGAAATATACTTTAGAGGGGGACGGGACGGGAAAGAAAGGCACGTTTGCATTGGAGAGGGGTTTTCTTTTTTGCTCTTTTCCCTTTTTTGCGGTGAATCTGCACAATACTCTGAGCTGCGGTCTTTTTTAAGGGTTGGTTGTTTGCTTACAACTACAACTACGACTTTCTTTGCACGGGATGGCGTTGCAGAGCGGCGTTCAGAAATGCGGCTCGAGCTTGATCTCGGGACTATGTCATCATGTGTGCATGTATGTGTGTACTACATTGCATATATTAAAAAGTATCCTTGTTTATCCGTAGTCTTTTCGCATTGTTACGAAGCAATGTCGACAAGTTACTTAGCTTTTAGGCTGTCAGAAGTTGGAAATAAAAGTCAAGATGTTTGGTATGTGTGTAATGATATTTCTTCATCGACCACATATAGTTGTTCATCTTATTAACATTTATAAATACATATATATACGTAGAATGCGAAAAAAACACATCTTGCGCCAGGGGGTATCTCATCTCATCTCATCTCACGCATTACACGTCTCTCCACGTTTCACTTCCTTTCCTTCCATCCATCCATCCATTCATTACCCACCTCTCCCCATTCCTCACCCCCACACAAATCACCCACTGATCTTCGTCCTCGCCCTCCGATCCCGCGCACTCCTCCCTCCCCCCGCTCCCCCCACACTCCTCCCGCCCCCATCAACACTCGAGCTCGTCCGCCCGGACATCGCGCTCGCAGGCCTCTGCGCGAGCTTCGCGCGCGCCGGGGAAGAAATCGGGCGGTTATTCACGTGGAAGCCGCCCGTGCCGTCTGGCATTACTCTCGACGTTGACGGAGGAGGGGCAGATTGGGTGGACGACAGAGGGGCAAAGTCGTGGGTCGCTGTTGTGCAGAGATCCCGGTCTGTTCGCGTGCTCTGGGGGCTGGACTTTGTTGTTGCTGTTGTTGTCGTTGTTGTGGTATCGGGGTATGTGCGGGTGAAGACTGAGTCGACGAGGCTTCTGCCGTTGCTGGCGCGGCTGGTGGTGCCCGACGTGTATCTGTTTGCGGCGGGGTGCGTGTTGTGCACGCGAGCTGTGCGGCGGCCGCCGGCAGTGCGGGAGGAGTGGTATGTCACTGGCGGGGGGTGGTCCTCGTCGAAAGCGCCGAGGTTGAAAGCTTTGCGCAGCAGTGTCCATGTGAAGGGCAGGTTGGCGACGAGGATGGCGGTTGACGACTCGCGGATGTACCAGAATACCCAAGTTGGGCGGTAGGGGTGTTTGAAGGAGTAATAGCAGTTCATGATACTCGCCGCGACGACGAAGATGCCGAGGGAGAAGATGGCGCAGAGGATCAGTTTGCGCTTCAGGGGCAGGAGCGAGCGGATGAAGATTGTCAGCGCGATGCATAGTATGACGACGTCGGAGGAGATGTTGAAGACTGCTTTTGTGATGCGGTGGTTGGTTAGGGCGTTACATTGAGAGTTCGTTGTGGGGACAGCCCAGTACGAGGAAAAGGGTCGGCACCACGCGGTGAAGTACAGGATCTCGGTCGTCACGAAGCCAAGCGCGACGTATACGGCTAGCATCTTGATGGCGATGTTTTCGTTGTGGAGGGCCATGCGTGTGAGGCGGTGGTACATGATTAGTAGACATGCTTTGCAGCTCCAGACAACGGCGATTTGCATCTGTTCAACTATGATGACAATCTTGCTTCCGTACTCGCGCTCTGAGATGTCTTGGGGGGTAAGTGCATTGATGTCGAAATCCGGGGCGAGAAGGTTTGTATGTGTTCTCGCTTGGATGGTTGATGTGATGATTAGGACTGTGTAGCAGCCGGTGACGAAGAGACCCATTATCCAGTCGTCATATTGAAGACCCTTGGGAGAGCGGAAGAGAAGGGTGCGAGAAATGCTGTGTGGGTTAGAATTCATACCACAACCGATGTGAGTATGATTATACGTACAGCCTCGCGAGGACGATTCCGATGGCGAATGTGTACCAGATCCATGATTCGGCACTGAACGACAATGCCATCGTTACCTCCTGCGATGATGCCCTTACTTGCGCCTACTCAGTCGATATGTTATCTGTACGGTCCTTTGAGTTGTCTTAGATGTGTTGTCTGGAAGCACATGTTGCGATTGTCGGCGAGGCGCGGTGCACAGCCACTCGTTCTGGCCGCCGTCGCGATACCAGTCTTGAAGTAGAGGCCAAGAAAGTTGTTTTGTTGCTAACGCGGAGTAATACGAACGCAGCGGAGGAAGAAGAAACTCTAGTTCAAGATGAAGTGGAAGATGAACCAACAAAAGATAAATCCAGACCTACGAAATTGGGATGAGTCTCTGCCCAAATGCGGCTTATCTTAACGCTTAGAATATATAAGGCTATCATTCCAGAGTCTCTGCGTGGGGTTGCTCATCTTCGTTGTTCAGCACAGGGTTATCGGGCCAATGGAGAGGTTCGCTGACCGCCTCCTACTGTCATGCGGTGACGCGTTGCTTTTCTGCATGTCTTTTGAGAGTTGGTGCAACTCCGTAATGCTTCTGAAAACTGTTCGCCTTGCATTCTTTGCGCTCCTGGTTAATCTGATCGATCTCAATGAGGTGTGCCAAACGCTGTTGCCGCCTCATCTCTTGAAGGGACTTCGAAGGAGCCCAGAAGACAAGGCTGACGACTTTTACTATTCACATGTGGATACACGAAGTCCTACGGTGAGGATCTGAGCCGCTAGCGAGCCGGATGCATGCGTTGTGCGTACCGGTAATCATGAGAGTGTAGTGTTTCCGGTGAGCGCTTGAGAGAAAGGTAGCAAACAACGTCACGCGGAGAAACGGCCCCCGCATGCACCGAAGCAGCTTCTCAGCTCCGGAACACCTCCCACTCCCTACAAACCCTGCAACCCAGACTTTGCACACTTCACATACGTGACAAATTGTCTTGTGACATATCGAGCCTATCTGCAGCACTTTCGTAATACCAAAGCAGGTTTCATTCTCTTCCAGGATCACACATGACTTGTGAGGGCCGCGGAATAAGGTTTCGTGTTGGGCCAGGACTATCCAAATTCAACTAGGATGAAAGAGACTCAAGATCAACGTAGAGGATCAATTTGTAGTGTCCCTCATCGCCCAATATCGCCAACCATGGATACGATGAACCTTGTTTGAGGGTAAGCGATGCCTCATCTGGACCAAATCCCAGTCTGACTGCCTCAATACGTATCGCGACACATATTCAAATCTTTACTAAGTACATCCCACTTTCCGTGTTATCTGGCGATCACATCCTTTGTGGCCCTAGACGTATTCTAACAAAATTATTATGTACAGCATGCAGTGCACACCACCAAACTCCTAATCCATCGGCGAAGAATTCGCTCGAGAAGCAGACCCAAGGTAAACTCGCTAGACTTATTAACTAATCATCTGATTCCATCTCCCCATCTCCCAACCCCACTGTCCTTCCTCGACTTTTGTTCCTGATCATCCTGCCCCGGTGTAAACAACTCCGCACTCAAGATCAGTACCGCCGGTACAACAGCCAGTGCATCAATAGTGCCACTGCGTGTCCGCTTGTTCCTGTGCCCCAAGTTCATCGCTGCAGCGATCTCCCTACTCTTTACTATGTCTTTGCGTATCCTCGGCCACTCTTCGCTGTGTCTACTCTGCTCGTCGCTAGTTCGTACTGTAGATGAGGAGCTGCGTCGGAAGGGCGAGAGGGAGGAGAGCGTGGTTGATCGACTTCGACCACGTGGTGGAGGGGAGAGGGACGCAGATGGTGGCGGAGAGAAAGGCGTCGATATTGGTTTTGGTGGCGGGGAGCGGATATGCGGGAGGGGAATATTGATTTCTGTGTAGAGCGGTTCGTCGTACTTGGGAGATGATTCTTCGTACGGTGTCGCGAGAGGTGATGAAGCGAATTCATGGATTGGTGTTGTGGAATCCAAAAGTGGGGGAAATGGTTCAGACAAAACGGTTGAATCAGCCATGTTGATTCGTGTATATTATTGTAGGGTGAGTTGGTGAAGATGGTGCTAGTCGAAAGGTTGTTGTGGAGGGCAAGCACCCGCTTTGTACTTCGTCGCGACACAGCCACTCCAGGCACCTTCCCTGCCCAAATCTCAATCTTGCTGCGAACACCAAGCCAACCGCAAAGGCCAACTATTCTTTTATAGGGTCTGTAGCTAAAGGAAGCTTGATTTCGGCTAACTAAGCTCTTCTAATGTTCGGTTGCGCGTTGTTTTTGTTTTGTTGTATCGATTTCTGAGATGTGATGCCGGCGGCAAGGCGGAGAACATCGAACGCGTCCGACGCGCACATCGCCTTCTTATGCCCTCATCTCATAAGCTGACCGTTAACTCATTAGGCCCCCAGTCTACTCAGCCCTGCAGGGCGCTCATCTATGTTGCCGCTCAGCCGCTCAGCCGCTCTGACAATGGAAAGGTTGGGGGCGGTGGGGCACAGCCGCCTTGTGGCCGAGACGAGATGACAAACCTTGGAAGTTGACGCGTGGGATAAGTTGAAGTGCCCGTTAAATATATCATTGCGAGAAATCGGAACGGATCGGGCGTTGGAGAGGCGCGACGCTGGTAAGTCGGAGGTCGCGTCACGTGCCAAAGATCTTCACATGCCTGTGGATTGCTCACGCAAAATGCATTGTATGAGTTGAAGTGTATTCAGGTGACACACGACGAGCTGACTTTGGGGAGCAGATTTGTCAGGTTTACGTGTTTACTAATTTGTTGTCTTCACATACACATGCGTCTGCATTACCATCCACAAATAAGTTCTTCTGACTTGGCATATCTGGACTGGGTCATGTAGGAGCAAGAGTTTCCTAGATCTAGATCTATGAAGCCGAGGTACTTTTCATGTCGTCAGATGAGGCGAAAAGATCCGAAGTATTTCGTAAAATCGAAGACTTCGATAGCAGGAATATACTTTTCCATCATTCCACTTTAATAAATGCTAGCAATCGGCAACATGACTGAACAGGCCCACATATGTGATCTCTACCCTGAAACATCCTTACCCAGTCTATCCCAAATCCGATTACTTACTTTTTGCTATATTTAAGGTTCTAGCTTTTTCGTATATAAACACCACATCTTGCGTCCACCGAAGGCTCTCTTTAACATTCTGCTTTCCACAGTCCCAACCTGCATCTAGCCACACGCTATCGTACTGCTCCAACATTTTACCTACACGCGGCACGCGCTGATCAATCACTGACATCTTACCCTCCTTGTGCCATGAATGTTCTACGATCATGTTGCAGAGCATTGCCGCTGGTCCAGCTGGGAAGAGTAGGTCAGCGATGATTTCATAGATAGGCTCAAATCCCGGTGCATGAAAACACAAGACAAGCGTGTTAGGGGTGACGGACAGGTACTGATATGGTTGTGAGACGACTGTGATGGGTGTCGACAGTTTGGACAGGATATGTGCGTCTTCCAGAGTATAGCAGGGGTCGAATGCAACGATAAGAATAAATTTTGCAGCAACAGAAGGGGAAAATGACGCATAATGCTGGGAGAGAAACTTTGCTGTTGCACAGACCATGTGGTGTTGCATACAATATTTTCTCCTTTTTGGCTCGATCTCCAAACCATGTAGACCTCCCAGAGCAAGGCAGACTATGTTCTCGATTTTGGACTTCAGCTCTAGTAGGCTCTGTTGCAACTCCACCTAGTAGGGACTCGCCAGGAGTGTTATCTCGAGAGCCGCTATCTGCTGCAATTCAGGCGGATCGCACATCCTGGAGATACACTGTCGCAGCGGATGTTCTTTGTCATCTGGCTTGAGAATCTCTGACTCGCAAAGAGGTTGGACAGTGTCCATGGCTTCTCTTAAGACATACGGTGCGCATTTTCCACCCAATTCAGCTAGCATGTACAAGTTCCTAAAGCCAAGCTCTCTGCTAAATGGGTAAGGCCTACCTACGCACTTCTCGACGTCCTTGCCGACAAGATGCGGTCTAATTATCATGTCGTGACAGGTTTTGGGGTCGCGCGCTTGCTCGACATATTCGGCAGCCTACTCTAGCATCTGTCGGGTGTAGATGGGGGTTCCGCCCATTACGTCGTCTTCGAAAGCCTTAACGTCAAGGAGACGGGGCGTCATTCTTTCTTTACGTCGAAATCCTTCCACCCAATACTTCCTGGGTGGTAGTGATGGTCGTGACATTGCCATATAAAGTTGATGTACGGGAGAAGTTGAGTTGGGGTTCGTCGAGTTGTATCCCGTTTATCAGCAACGAGTCTTCCAAAGGCTCAAATATTTGTTTGTCGGTCAGTGTAGATTATTACTAAGTCCCTAAGCATCGCAAATGGGTGAAGCCTTGTGAGTGCAAAATGAAAGTTGCGCCGGCACAGTGAGAGTGTAAGGTTCCATGGCTAGAGCGAACACCTACCGGCATGGCAAGTGCAGTTCGGTGTGTGCTCTTGTACAATGGGCACACAACGATTGATACTCTTTCCGTTGAAGATCATATTTGAACACTCCAATATGTCTTTGTGGTTAAGGAAACCCATCAACAACGAAGTATCGCTTCCTAAATATGATCAATAGCTCACTAACAACATACCGGAAGAATCCTTCAGGTGAAATAATAATTATTTTCAACTAATCACACAGGCCTTCACTCCGACATCTTCCTACTTGAACTGGTCTTCCGTGACACCCTTACCCATTGCTGCCGTCGAGCTGACGCCACCAGAAACCATCTTTAGCATGTTATCGACGTAATTAGCTCCACTCCATTTCTGATGCGTCAGAACATCGACCTTGTTATCTGCCTCAGGCTCCTGGATGATTTCGCCGTAGGCACGCATTCCTTGCTTTGAGAATGCCTTGGAAAAGGTGTCGGCCATGAGAGCAGTCTGGTGCAGACCAGCAAGTGTGATGAACTGCCAGCAGTAACCTAACTTCGCGAGACGCTGAATGTAAGTCTCCTGCTCATCGCGCGGCATAGCGGCTTTCCAGTTGAAGGATGGTGAGAGATTGTAGGATAGTCTGTGGGTCGTTAGTTTCGAGTTGCATCCCTGTATGTTCTTGTGTCTTACTTCTGCTCTGGCCACACGGCGTGTACACCATCAGCAAATTCCTTTGCCTGAGCGTAGTCAGGAAGCTTGGACTCCATCCAGATCATGTCGCAGTATGGTGCGTAGGCAACCGCACGGTTGACGGCGCATTGGCAGCCGCCCTGATACCTGTAAAAACCTTCTCGGGTCCTTGCAACATCCCAGTTGAAGTATACATCCACACCGGTCAAGCCTGTTGCGATGGCACGTGCCTCCGCATTGCTCTTGCCCTTACTTTTCTCCAAGAACTCCGCAATGAGACCTTGCTTATTGACATGTACGCCAGCGTTGATTGTGTCTACGACGGCGGCAGGGAAAAGCTTCAGGTTGGCCTGCTCTACCCAGGCATCCTCAATCGCTTGAAGCTGATCGCCGTTCTTGCCAGCTGCTTCAGCAGCATACATGAGATCGCTGAGCGGCTGGAGCGCAGGATTTGTGCATCCCAGTACGTAGTGATGGTCGCGAGGATCGATGGTCGAAGTGATGAGAGTGGCAGCTTCTGAGTCGGTACGGGCGATAGCAAGTAGGTCGGTGCCTATTGTTTTCCAATTAGCGACGCTCATGTCTGAACAGAGAGAATCTTACCCATGATATCTGCCTGGGCCCGAATAGCGACCAAGCGGTTGATGTGCTCACTGATTGGCACCAGCACTTTCCCAGCCATATGTCCGCACTTCTTCGTTCCTGGAGCTTGGTCTTCGATGTGAATACCAGCAGCGCCCTTCTCGATGAACAGCTTGGTGAGTTTCATGATAGCTGTGAGACCTCCGTGTCCAGTGTCTGCATCAGCAACGATGGGTCGCAGGAAATCGGTGTTGGCGACCTTCGCCCGTTCGGATTTTGGAGTCGTCAAACGTTCCTCGCGTTGTTTGCGGTCGTGAAAAAGCTGGGCCATAAAAAGGTGTCCAACCTTATTGGGCACAGTAGTCTAATTGAATCAGCTCTGAACAAACACGCAGAAGATGATAGCGTGCTTACTGAAGGATAATCTGCTAGATCTGGGCCTGGCTCGTCGGTTGAAGATGCTGTTGACGAGCTTTGCCATCCGGAAACATAGACTGTATCTAGATACTTCGCCATCTGTGTGACCATAACCGGGTCAAGACAGCCATATGTGTAGCTTGCTTCCTTATTCTGCACGGCATTAGTGAGGACTTGAAAATGTTCCGAGGCATCCTGCGTACCTTGAATCGCTCTTCTACGATGTTCCAAAGCTTCTGCGACTGGCTATTACTTGGGTAGGTAATCTTTAGGTTGCCTCTCTTGTTGACAATCTGCTCGGCAGTGAATGGTCTCCTCGTGTATCTCCATCTTGAGTCACTCCACCACTTCTGAACCTCCTCGATCTCCTGCTGGTACTGCGCTTCTTCAGCGTCGATGTTTGCCATAGTGACGTTTGGTATAAAAAAATTGATAATGGCGTGTAAATGTTTGATGCTACAAAGAAAGACTTCAACAATCTTCAGAGAAGGAAGAACAAGAGGACTATAGGGGAAGCTTTCTTGAAGTATGAAATCAAACCCAAGACTGACGCGTACAAGGTGGACAAACCAGCTTCTTAAGTATGGAAAGAGCCGACCCCATACCCCAGATCTGCAAGCTTTATACTCCAGTTACATAATTCGGGAGGGTCCGGCTGAGCTCACCATTGGACCGACTTCTACACCGAGGAAGCTGGCGTATCGAGACGGCGGGCACTGGCTGCTAGCTACCTGACTCTGGAGCATTGTTTAGACTGATCCTCGGCTCAAGGGCACTGTGAACCCGACCAGACTGGTGTGAGGGGACCAGCGGAGCTGCAACGCGAATGACGTTCACGGATCACTAAAGTCCAAGCTTCGTCCCATATCTTCCTTCCTTGTGTCCGCATCCTCTTCGATGATCATCAGCTCGTCTTCTCTTCCTCCTACCTACTTCAGCTTACGAAAACTTTTATGTTGGCACGCGACAGCGTACAGCTTCACATGTCGACATTCATGCGGTCTTAGTTTGCTGTGCATGTGAAGACGCATGTAGGATACCGGGTAGCTCACGCGCCCTGACCCCAGACACGCTAAGCGAAACGGTGCGCGCTTTTCCAGACCTCGGCTATGGTATCTTACAGCACCACAGCGATGACGGTTGTAAAAAAGTTCCACAGTAGCTGGAGAGACACGTGAGACTTACAAACACCTGCCAGTCATATGGACAGCGCGATCTCGGCCTGGACTGCCGCTTCTTGGAGCGATGTCTCTCGTCGTACACAATGGATTCCACATGTAAACAAGGCATCTCAAGTCAGGTTGTATAAAAATCAATAAACTACCTATAACCCTTCAGTAGGCCGTAGCCATGGCATGCAGAAATCAAGATCAGTGTCCCAGGGAGCAACCACCGTTCCAAAGAGGTACGTCCATCAATCTTTCGAAAACAACCAGGATCATTCCGACTCTGGCCATCTGTGCTCCAATTTGACATCATGGAGGCAGCAAGATAGCACAAAAGGATCCTCCACGCCATATCTATCAGGTCAACGACTTCCGTGAGACCCCGTGTAAAGTGTTGAGCCAAGAACAGTCTCGTAATTGCTCTTCGGTATTCACCAGCATACAGAGAATTGTTGTTCCCTCGCACAAACGTATCCATCTCAGAGAACGGGAGGGTACGGATGTCGTTCACCGTGAGATTGGAGGCCTTTAAAGCTACAGGATACGCAGGTTCGGCTGGTGAACATCTGAGCTTTCGTAGTAAGGTCCATCTTAACTCGTCCATGTAGCTTCTCTTATTGGAAGATATACCGTTTGATGGTGCAGAATCAGGCTGAGAGAGGAGCAAGGGCAACAGTTCAGGTCGCGAAACCCATAAAGTTCGATTTTTTTCATCAGTGAAAATGCATTCGCGATCAAACGCCTCCGACGCGTAAGAATAGTGGACGAACCGCGAGTAGAAGGCAGGTGTCAGGACACGGATTTCGAGATCTCTGACAACTTGCTCGCGCCCACGTTGGTGCACAGTTACAATAATCTGTTTCGGATAGTCGGGGATCGCAGTGTAAAGCGTTATACGGAAATCACACTCCTTTCCGTGTATGAGGTGAAGGAGGTAGTCGTAGAAGATCTTTTGGAGAACACTGAAGTTGTCAGTTGAGAACAGTTATTAGACACGTCTAAACTTACATCTCAGAAGAAGTAGGCGAGCGTCCAATACTGGATGAAAGCACCTCTGGTCGAACCCACGTCCGCAGATTCTTGGAGTGGAGCTTAATTGTCTGTTTCAAGATTCGCGGAAAGGTCACAAGGCCGACCCACCACCAACTTAGGAGGAATCGCAAAGTTCCAAACACGCCTAGTTGGTTGGGATCGAGTGAACTCCCAGTCGAGTGGAGACGCGCAACGACTTTTGCATAATCTTTGGACGACTTCAAAGTGATTGTATTATCAATTTCAGGTCTGTCGTGGGGACTAAAGGGAAATGGATTCCTGGCCTTGAGAGCGTAAAACCCTTTCCTGGAGCTGAATGGCGAGACATGGAAATCTTTCATCCATACATGGGTGAACCTTGACTTTGCTCCGGCAACCAAAGGTCCAGGTTCTTCAAAGACGGAAGAACCGGGTGTTTGAAGTGGACCGGACCCTTCTAGTAAGTACACTCGTCTTTCGCCGAAAGTATTATTGACTTCAAGTATCATCTTTGTGAGCTGGTGATCTTGGTCGTAGATGTACCAGAAAGAGACAGGATTGAAAGCGTATCCGAAGAAACGCGGCGCAGTGACCAGATAGGCATATGACCAGTCAGAGTCACTAACATGCTGTTGGTGTCAGTCCGCCAAAACACAATGACCTTGTGGGCTGCAAATACCTGCTGTTTCAAATACAGTTGTAACTTTCCGTAAAAACCAAGCGCACCGTAACCTCGCTCTAGATAGTCATCAGCTTTCACGCGCAGCCACCAACTGCCGAGTTCCCTATCATTTCCAAGTCCGACATCCGCCCCATCGGATGTAGTGCCATCAGGAACGATTGGGAACCCGCATTGGAGGTACGCGTTTTGGAAGGCGTGACGCTTGGGAAACATGCGTGCATGCATCGTCTGGCAAGGTAAGATTGTTGCTTTTGGGAAAACCGATGACCACTTCCGGGCTCCCGGGGGCAGATTCTCTATTTTGCCGCTGTTGCTACCACCATATACATGCCATAACGAAAGTCCAAGTATCACAAGCGTAATCGCCACGCTGGAGGTAGGATGCGACTTTGGTGACATCGCAATAACATCCAAATCTTTCCACCCTTTCAGCAAGATTTCCACTAGCTTTTCCTTTACCAACCATGTACTAATGGTTCCGAGCACGAAGCAATCCGTCACGAGCTGACGGTCGCCATAGTACCATCTCACGCCACCGCCCATTGTCCAAGTAGCGAGGAACGACCACATATCCATTCCGGAGTCGAGGAAACAAAGGACAATGGTTAAAGAAGAACAAGCGAAGAAATCGAACAAGCCATAGTGCATCAGAAACTGATGTCCACGAGCAATACAATCGGGTGGGAAACAGTTGATGCGTCAATCAGATTACAGTTTGACGCTAGCCGTTTCGGTGAGTAATTCCGGCGAATAGAACACGAGAATTACAATGTTAGCCCGCTTCGCCCTGAAGATCGAAAGTGCCTATTCGTGGGTGAATGCCCGTCTAACGATTTGGTCCATCATCATGATCTAGGCCTTACTCGAAAGCTTCGCCTATTTGCCACCAAATCATTGACATTATATTGGAATGGGCACTACATATCATTACAAAGTTCTGACTCAACAACAAAATGATTATCTGCTTTCAGATCGGATTAGATCGGCGAACCAAATTGCATGTATATTATCACGATTTGAACAAGAGGCCTTCTAGACTCCAGCTGTTCTTGGGAGCTATAAATAGTCAACCAAACCACAAACTGCAGCTTGCTCCTCGCTCCAAGGCTCGTCGAAATGACATGTTCGGGTGCGTGGAAGTTCTCGCACGACGATAGGAGTCAGTGACTTCACAAAAGTTGCAAGACTAGTCACAACGATTAACACAACTTCGTTTGACACAAGTCGGGCAAGTTTTGGATGAGCTTGATACCCAAGCCGAAGTGCTAATCATTCATTTGCTTTCTTTGGTTCATTATCGGCGCAAGACTGCGAGTTGTTCTGTACGATTACCAACAGGTCGAGAGAGGAAAATATCAACCTGTACGCGCTCGAGATGCAGGTATCGAAGACAATCCGATATACACCTTGATTTTTGACTTTTCAAACACGGCCGATGTGGAAGAATATCAAAATTAGGCTTCAGAAAATACCTGAAACTGCGTTGTGTACCACTGGGAGGCCGGTTGTTGCACTAGGTATTGTGGCACAACAATTGACATGTGGTGAATTTGTGTCCTGAGATCAAACAACATTGACAATTTGTACGTGTTTCGACAATGCTAAGACGATCGATGTTCAAACAAACCAAAGTGGTATCAAATCTATTCCATCAACTCCACTGGGTATTGAAACTCCTTGGTTATCCGTGTCATGTTGTTGACAAGGTCATTCACGTCTACAGTCGACGCACTGCTCCCACCAAGTGATGTCGGGTCGTCCATTTTTGGTGGGTTGGTGTCAATCTGAATTGTGACCTAGCCATGTCTGTCAGTACATGAACTTCTCAAGGTAAAACGCGCCATCAAAATTGCTGAGGCTGTACCTCGTTGTCCAGGCAGGTGTAATCTAAACCTACCGGCCCATCGTTGACAAGTGCAACGTCCATCATTGCGGCAAACAAGCCATCCTTGACTTTGTCTGGTTCATATAGATCTTGCACTTTCTTGAAGAAGTTCTGGTAAAGAGTCTTGGCTTTGACGCCACTTGCGGATTGATGGAAGTCTGGTTTATTGCCCTTCTTCATTGAGGCGAGAAGTGTGAATTGTGAGACTAAACTCGTAAGTATGGAGAGTTCTAGGAATGGTAGAGACCACGTACCACACAAGACCTCGCCTTCAATGTCCTTCACGCCGCATTTCCACTTGCACGCATTAGTGGTTTAGTTGGTCAACAGCTACGTAAAGTTACTCACCCGACCAATTGGATCCGAAGACTCGTCATCCCACAGCTTCGCTTTCAGAATCTTGCTCGCCATAGATTCGACATCCTTCTCGGTGTCATCTTTCGAGATGGCAGCTAGTACGAGCAGGCCCTTGCCGATTGAGGATATAAGCTGGCCATCTACTGTGACCGAGGCAGATTTGACTCTCTGCAGCACAGCTGCATAGCGTCAGTCTTCCGCCCTGACTGCATGTGCATGTGCATGCGGACATTGAACACACTTCTCATTTTAGCGGGGTAATCCTTTGAGAACGGATTGGGGAGATTGAAACCAGGCACGCTTGCACTACGCGACGATATCAGGCGAAAGGTCAATAACAGAAGTCGTGAGCATCATCAGCCATCAGGACTGGGTACCTATGGCGTTCATGAGAGCATGGACAAACGCGTCGAAATGTTCACGCGCGGGGAACCGCTAGGTAAGGCTGATCCACTAGACTGAATGCGGTCATTAGCGCGCTACCGACAATACGTCGGCCCCGTGTGGTTTGACGCAAACAATCCCCTCACCACCCACTGCCACCGCGCAAACAAACTCACGCCGACTGTCCGTCGAGCCATCTCTCTCTCCAACAGCGACTCGAATACGGCACTAGCTCGGACACAAGCCCTCATCACGGGGCTACACAGACACGATGGCAGCGCGGAAGCTCCAGCAGGAGATCGACAAATGCTTCAAGAAGGTCGCAGAAGGCGTCGCGACCTTCGAGAGCATATATGAAAAGATTATGCAGACAGGGAATCCTTCACAGAAGGAGAAACTGGAGGACCAGCTGAAAAAGGAAATCAAGAAGCTGCAACGGTCGCGAGACCAGATCAAGACATGGGCAGCCATGAGCGAGATCAAGGACAAGAAGCCATTGATGGACCACAGGAAACTAATCGAGACAGTATGCTGCTTTGCGCAGGCTCAAGTGAGACCAGGCTGACGACTTGCAGCAAATGGAACGGTTCAAGGCGGTCGAAAAGGAGATGAAAACAAAGGCATATTCCAAAGAAGGTCTGCAATTAGCGTCGAAAATTGATCCAAAAGACAGAGAGCGCATGGAGATGGTCGAATTTTTGCAACACATGAACGAAGAGCTGGAGCGACAAATAGAGACAACGGAGGCTGAGGTTGAGTTGATGCAGGCTGGCATGAAGAAGGGGAAAAAGTCGGACAATGCCAAGGCAGAACGGATATCGGAGCTCGAAGAGGCAGCGGAACGGCATAAATGGCATCAGGGCAAGCTGGAACTCCTGCAACGCGCGCTGGAGAACAGCAGTCTCGAAACGGAACAGGTCAAGGAGATCGAAGAGAGCATCAAGTACTACGTCGAGGAGAACCAGAGTCCCGATTTCATGGAGGACGACACAATATACGACGAATTCAATTTACAAGAAGAGGAGGCAATCTTTGGTATGGGAGGAGAGAACGACCGCGGATCGTCGCAGGACTCACAATCAATACAAGACGAAGCTATGGATTCAGAGTCAAGACCACCGATGGCGAAGGGCAAGACTTCCGAAACAGCGCAGTCAGGCGGACGACGGCCATCGACACAGCTCAAGTCGCCATTACCAGTATTAGCAACATTACATACGCCATTGCCTGGTGCTTCAAGTTCCGCAGCGACATCCATGAAACCTGCCCCAATACCGACACGAACGCCGGGAGAGCCGTTGAAGTATGCTTCTGCGGCCGCAGCGGCTGCTGCGAGTGACAAGAATGGGGTGGGCATTGCTCCTCTGCCACCTCCACCAGGGTTGCCTGTGTCCTTAGCTGGCCCAAGAGCTAGTGCAACGAGTTCACCAGCAATAACACATCCTCTGCCAGCCGTACGCGCACAGCCACCTGTAGAAGCCGTGCAACAAGCACAGGCTTCGCCAGCCGTAACACCAAGCATACCGGCTACACCTGTTTCGGAGAAAGAGAAGCTAGCACGCGTTGCTTCCTCTGAAGACGCCATCAAAGTCAGCAGGAAGACGCCAGCTCCTGAGCGTGTAGACGAAGAGGAATCGCAAGCCGCCACTCCGCCACTAACCAACGGTGAATCGCATGCTGAAGAGGACGAGGAAGAAGAGGAGTCGGTCTACCACCTACCTTCGAGTTTGCAGGATCTACTCGATTCGTTCGAGGCCACAAAGAACGACATCAGTACCTCTGCCTCGAAGCCACCTGACGAGCGCATGCTTGCAGCATCAATGGCCACTGCACCGGACTCCGCAGACACCGAGGCCCCACGCCATTATCGCCCGCAGAACCCATACCCATTCACGCCTTCTCACTACCCGCAAGAGCCGTTGGCCATATTTGACGATCCTCGCCTATACTCTCGTATTGAGACGGACGCGCTCTTCTATGCCTTCTACTACCGCCAAAATACATATCAACAATATCTTGCAGCAAAAGCACTGAAGTCACAAAGCTGGCGGTTCCACAAGCAGTACCAGACATGGTTCCAACGCCACGAAGAGCCAAAGGCGATTACTGAAGACTACGAACAGGGGACATATAGGTTCTTCGACTATGAGAGCACATGGTAAGCAAATCCACTAGTTTCGTCGATTCCACACATTTCACGTCAGTCAAGTTTTTTTGCGAGTGGCTTTGACGCCAAACTCCGTTAATCTATCGACTACAATATTACGAATCGTTGCTGTTTACTGTACTGACTTTTGACAGGATGAATCGGAGGAAGGCGGATTTCCGATTTGCCTATAAATTCTTGGAAGACGAGCTATGAGCGACCACCCAACCTTGTCGAGATCTGTTCTTGACCACATGGTGCCGTTTTTTGTATCGAGTATTAAGTAGTTCTGGAATGGGTCCCTTATTGGGAGAACTTGTTCACTTGGCAGCTCACTTATCGATACAACTTCATCTGAGTTGCTAATTTTCATAGGCAGCCATAATTACGGACATGCAAAGGAGACCGACATAATTTGTCAGGAATACAAAACCCGAGTATTTGGGTCCAATCACAACCTCATTTCTAGCTTGTTGGACATCCACAATAATAACAACTTACATGCCGGGCGTATTCTGACCTAGTATGACTGAAGACTGCGCCTTCACTTGATTGGCTGGATCGGTTGCGACGGCCAAAAATAACCCGAGGCGCAGCTGGTCGCCTTGACGGAATCCTTCCGCAACGTCAATCTCAACATACACCCGATTGATGGTCACACAAACATAACGTTAAAATGTCTTTCAACTAATGGTTGCATCAGGAATTTGACGCTCAGCTTGTCGACTTCAGAATCCTTGGCTACAAGGTTTGAGATTAGGCCTGTAATGCTCACTGCCTTCCAAACCCCAGAAAAGCGTCCAGCGGCAATTGCTTACCCAGTGATTTGTTTCGCAGCTGTTGCAAAGAGAAGAAACCTGGTACAGTATGTCAAGCAGATTTGCGTCTGTGCTTCCCGGCACTTGGTCTTCCCCATAATACATCGAACAAGCAAGCCACCACAAGCGAACATGCATTGACCATGTTCTTACCAATCTAAATTCTTTGATATCCGGCCGATGGGGAAGGCTCTTTGTTTCCGGTAGTATGAAATGACTGCTCGCCTTTCCCTGTAACGGTTGAGCACACTGCTATTCTGCCTTGTCAGGTACACCTTTTTTCGAGTGGAGAACGAGTCCATTTCGGAAATAGCTACCTCGGGTGCCTTGCATGAACAGGTTTGTAAATTGCCTTAAACGGTAGACTTCTTTGAGTTGCGCCACAAATTCTGACCGAATGTCCATGTTCAAGATCGCCCTGGAATGGTACATCCAGACTCAGGTTGGCGTAAGCCATGCCACAGACTAATTCATCGTCATGTCTGCTCGTGCCCCAAACGTCAGCCCTATGTTTAGAGCCAATTATCAATGAGCGACATAGCCTCGCCAAGTCTGTCTAAGTCAGCTCTGGATCTGTCGTTTCTTTTGTGGTGCATAGTACAGTGGTCATTCTCCCAAGTATCTGGTAAAGGTTCCAATTCAGTCCTTAGACTCGCGTCTAACAGTGTTGTGTAAATGGTCAAGGTAACTTTAGCACACCACAACTTGCTCAGCTCGGTCGGCCATAGCCATGCCTACTTGTGGAGGTCCGGTATGTTTTTGGGAACTAAGACCCAAGGGTGGCAGTGAACAGACCAAGGACGATGAAAGGACCTTATAAGAATGAGCAGGACACTCACAGAGCATCATCAAATTCACCAGTAACACTAGCATCTAAACTAACCTACAGCTTCTTCAGACTACCTTAGCGTTCACAAAGACCAACACCTATAAGTCATCTAGAATCTGCTCCTGTCGACTTGTGTAGCGTAGTTCTACCTCTACCGTCCGCGTATCGCCCGCCTTCACGTTAGGCAATACCCGCCCGTTGAGAACGGCATTGCAAATCAAGCACATTTTCCACTCATTATGTCTGGATACGGCGTAAGTTTTATAATTGAAAACACTTCTCTTTAACAGTAGCTGACTATTGCATCACAGTACCCTGTATCCAACGCCGAATATCCTGGACTTGCCACTGCATATCAAATGCCAGTGCCACAGTACACACAATCGCAAATTGAACAGTACTATGCACAGTATCAATGTTATCCAGCACAACCGTACCAGATTATCCCAGACTTCTATGTCCAGCCTGCCAATGTTGCTTCCGGTGTGTATCAACAGACAATGCCGACTTCTGGGTACGACGATATGTACTGGCAAGATCAGTCTCGGAATTCGCATATGCCAGCTCCCACTTCTCAAGAGCCCTCAAGGTTAGTGACATCCCACGAAGCTCCAGACATTGCGATTTCAAATGACTGACAAGAAAATAGTAGCGGCAACCGCATAAGGTACAACACCTCGATATCCTGTATTTCGTCGCCACATACTAACTCTCTACAGAACATGGACATGTACATTTCCCAACTGTACTTCCAGCGCCCAGTTCACTCGTCTCGCAGACCTGCAACGGCATCAATCCACCGTGCACGGTGACAAAAAACCCGACTTTCCCTGCCATGTCTCCCGTTGCAGCCGCGTAGGCGACAAGGGCTTCACAAGGCGAGACCATCTTGTCGAGCACCTGAGGAACTTTCACCACATCGATGTTCCGAAGCGAAAACCTGGGGAGAGAAGCGCGTTTCCGTTTGGATGGCCCGAGGGGACGAGCGGGTGAGTTAGAGTCGGTATCGGTGGGGTCAAAGAGGAGGCTGATGAGGGCATAGGGGCACGGATACGGGTACGGGTACGGTTGCGGGTTCGAGTGCGAGTGCGGGTACCGAAGGGAGAGGGAGAATCACCAAGCCATCGAGAAGAGGTGAGCGGGGAGGAAGGAGTAGGAGACAAGGAGTAGGAGGCCTGCGAAGGAGCGGGAGGTTGAGAGCAGCACGCGGAGAAGACAGACAAGGAGAGCAAGAAGACGCAGTGCAGACGGACCATCTAGAGACATTTGACTTTGGAGATGTTGGTGCATCATCATCACTCACACTTGGAGGATTCTGAACTGTTCATTTCACACACATATTTTTCCGCATTTAGACGGCGTTATCATTTGGAAAGCATATAGGCACTTTGGCATTAGCGATGGAGTATCATAGAATTCTTCTTCTTCTTGAGTATACACAATATTATGCATAGAGTTATGGCGTTCATTATCTTGTCCTCCCTCCGTTAAACACCTGGGCCAGACGCCGCGGAGCACTTGTCTTGTTTAGCAAGAAGTGCATTCCTGTTTCTAGACTGTAAAGTGTAGCGAGATTTGATGTTCTATTATTATGCATGCGCCGTCGATCACCACGTTTTTGCATCGAGTCGTGGGTCCCGCACGCGGGAGTTGAATTCTAGGCTTGTGTTGGATGCCTGATGAGGCTGATGGGGGCTGGTAAGTATGCCTTGCTGCGGACCGAGACGTACGGTCGGACTAAGACAGGTGATTGGTTCCGTCCGATTATGCTTGGCATTTTATGGTAGAGATATTAGTACCGCTGTTTACCACTATAATCGACATGACCTTCACTCTATGCTTTTGATTGTGCTTGGGGAGAACCACCAATCAAATTTTGTGTCGCTTTGCTTACATCGCCTTGGCGCAAGCAGTGTTTCCTAGCATCCTGAGGTTTTCGAAAGACAAACTTTCTTTGTTGGCAAGATAGAGACGGAACTTGAAGCTCTTGAGTCTCATGCTGTCACCGATCACGTTCTCCTACATGGTTCGTGATATCTGCAGGAGCGCAGTGGTAACCAACTTGCGATGACGTAGGATGTCTCGGTTAGCGCCATCAGCAGATCTTGATGCTTCACAGGCATCTGACAGTCGCCACTTTCACCTGCCTACCGCGACTTCTTCGTGTTTTTAATCTCCTGAGTAATACTTTGCTGCCCTCGGCTCTGACTCATGTCTTTCAAACCACACATCTCTTCACCTTCAGCCCAATTTACAGATTCGTTACCCTTGCAGTAGCTGCATCCCTTCTACCTCATTTATAGTTCCCCGCATTCCCATATATCTAAGCGCTTGTCCGTAAGAGTGTTTGCCAGAAGAGCTTTTCGGCCCTCGAATATTTTTCGCATCCATCCACGATGCGCGACCTCCGTAGACGGGCTCTTGAGAGCCACAAGACAGTGTCGCGCAAGGCTCGCACTTCGCAACAAGTCTCCACGGCGTCTTCAGCAGCAGGTTCGACTGCGAATTCTCCGGCGCCGTCTCGGGCGGCTAGTCGCAACCCCAGTCGGCACCCGACGGACGATGAGGACGATCTCAGCGACGGTACAGCCTGGAGGTGAGTTTGCAGTTTCTCTTCCCCACATCGCGTCCCGCATCGTGTGACATCATGAGCCCCGCCTACGACTTTGGACGCGAAAGGCGCTAACGAATCGCCCGAACAGTACGAACTCCATCGACGAGATCCTCAACGGCGAAGATGTCGAGATTTCGGAAGAGGCGTGGAAAGCGGAGCTAAATGTTCGCATCGAACAGATTATCAACCTTAAGCGCAGCAGCACTGAAGGTCGCGCCGATAGCCTAAATGCCTTTGCACATATCATCATGGCGCGGTACGCGTATGAACAGGTCGAGGAGCATATAAGCGCACTACTGCCTTCGATTCTCAAGAGCATCAGGCAAGAGACAACAGAGCGCGAGGCTGTAAAAGCCCTCAAAGGTATGTTTCTTGCTGCATACGTACCTGCGCTTTGCTGACTCTCGTAGCTCTCGCTGCTACTATTGTGACTCTCAACTCTGCTACCATATACGACGACGTCACCGACCAACTCAAGCGATCGATACAGTCGTCTGCTTCTGTCGAGGTCAAGGTCAACGCGATTCACACCCTCGGCATCGCTGCCTTTTTCGGAGGAGCGGGTGACGATGAAATACTCGACATCATGGCACTCTTCCTGGAGATCGTCGAGTCGGATGGTGCTTCGGTGGATGCTCAAGATGAGGGAAACGTCGTAATTGCCGCCCTCGAGAACTGGGGGCTACTCGCAACTGAGATGGACGATTTGGAGGCCGAGACTGAAACAGCCGTCGAAGCCTTTGTCGAGCAACTCGAAAGCGCAGACGCCGGCGTGCAGATCGCGGCGGGTGAGAACATAGCTCTGCTATACGAGAAGTCATACACGATTCGGGAAGAAGACGAGGAGGCATCTGTAGATGATGTCGACCCCGACCATCCTGAGGCGGTCAAAGACGGTGAGAAGATGGTCAAGCGATATACGGTCTATCGAAGACAAGACCAACTTTTGCACACCCTCGACGAACTCGCCAAAGTCTCCACGCGTAGGATTTCGAAGAAGGATCGCAAGACACTGCATTCCTCGTTTGCCGACATCCGCAACACTGTTGAGAAACCAACGCGCGGGCCTGGCTATTCCATGGCGATTGACCAAGAAACTGGGAGAGCTTACGGAAGTGGCAGGATGAAGGTCAGGATCAACCGTAGCGTTGAGATTCGAATCGACAAGTGGTGGAAATTACAGAGGCTGACCGCCCTGCGGAGAACGCTTCAGGGTGGGTTTACGTACCACTACGATCAGAACGAGGTCGTGTCGTTTGCAATTCCGTTCTCCATGGCTGCTCGACGGTAGTTTGGTTGTGGTTGAGACAGGAATTAGGGAGTGTTTGCTCTTGGTTGTTCTATTGATACAAAAGCGTTGATACCTGGTTTGCGACGGCGTTCTCGACTGTCTTTCTCGGTCGATCATTCATGATATCTTTATGTTTCTCAGGTCGAGTTCTCCTTGATGAATCAATTGAATCTAATTCATACGAAGAATTGTTTGTATCTTGCTTTCTCGCAGTGATATCTATGGGATCTGGCGCATTGTCATATGCTCTTGTACCCCGCGTTGCCCCTCGATTCGAGCGAGTGTCAATGTTTACACACAGTCACTTGTCTGTCCTCAGCTCAATTACAGGTCATGTTCCTGTCCGCAAGCTACAGTGGATTGCCTTGATGCAAGACTGAGCAACGTACTCTTACTTCTGATAGCATTGATCGTTTGTAGGCAGCTGCAAAGCGGGCTTGGCGCGGCAGGTAGCTGTAGCTTCGTGGAAACTTCTCGCATCTCACCGTCCAGGGCTTTTCTTCAGCCTCACCCCACACCCAAACTCCATTATTCTGGTCCTTGCTCGCTGAAGGATTACTTCTACGTCTCAAAGTTCCCACAGTTCTCTTGTGACACTTCTCCCACTTGCAGCAGCTCCCATTGAGCAATCATGGCAGACACCAGTAAATAATCCCCAAGCTCTCAAAGCTCAAACAGAGCTTACGGGCAGAACTATGAAGTGATACTGGGACTGATCAGCTACAGAGCGTTCCCGCGTCTTCTTCGACATCGCCATCGGCGGCGTAAAAGCCGGTCGCGTCGCCTTCGAGCTCGTACGTCCCCACCAAGCGCACAACTCGCACGTCTGACACGCGCACAGTACAACGACATCGTCCCCAAGACTGCCGAGAACTTCCGCGCGCTATGCACCGGCGAGAAAGGTGTGGGCCAGGCTGGCAAGCCGCTGCACTATAAGGGCTCCAGCTTCCACCGCGTCATTCACGGCTTCATGATTCAGGGCGGAGATTTCACGCAGGGCAACGGCACGGGGGGTGAGAGTATCTATGGGGAGAAGTTCGAGGATGAGAACTTTGAGCAGCTCCATGAGAAGCCGTTTTTGCTTAGCATGGCGAATGCTGGACCTGGTACGTACCTGCTCATGCTCGCTCAATTCTGGATGAGTGAGACCTAACAATAATACAGGCACCAACGGCTCCCAGTTCTTTGTCACAACCGTCGAGACACCACATCTGGATAAGAAGCACGTAGTCTTTGGCGAGGTCATCAACGGCAAGAGCATCGTGCGACAGATCGAGAACCTGAAGACTCAGAGCGGCGACAAGCCATGGCATGATGCTACCATCATCGGTAAGGAGTCTCCTCTATTGGTACCCTCAAAACACTTCCTAACAACATCTAGACTGCGGTGAACTCACCGGCGACGACTACACCAAAGCCACAGAGAAGATCTCAGACCCGACCGGCGACCCATACGAAGACTACCCCCTCGACCAAATGGGCAACCCAGACGGCGAATGGGAAGGCAGCGAGATCCTAAAGATCGCCACAGCCCTCAAAGACATGGGCAACGCCGCCTTTAAATCCACGAACCTCAGTCTCGGCATCCAGAAATACCAAAAAGCGCTGCGCTACCTACACGAATACCCCGCACCCGTCGACACCGACCCGCCCACGCTCTGGCCTGCCCTCAACGCGCTCAAAATCTCCGTCTACTCCAACCTCGCGCTGCTGCAGAATAAGACGGGGGCGCACGCTGAGGCTGCGGAGAGCGCGACTAAGGCGCTGGATGTGGAGGGCATTGCGGATAAGGATCGGGCGAAGGCGTACTTTCGTAGGGGCCAGGCGAATGTCGGGAAGAAGAATGAGGAGGAGGCGCTAAGGGATTTGAATGAGGCGGCGAAGTATGCGCCGGGGGATGCGGCGATTGGGCGGGAGTTGGAGGGCGTGAAGAAGAGGGTGCAGGCGAGGAAGGAGAAGGAGAAGAAGGCGTATAAGAATGCGTTTAACTTTGATTAGGGGGGGGGATGGACAGAGAGATGGGATGAGCATGATACCTGTGATTAGCATGGTGTGCTACTGGGAGTGAAAGAATAAATTAAATACATATATCAGTATACTTCACTGCTTCCTTTGTAAGAGAATCCACAGTCGTCGGAATACTACTTCAATCCAGGGAGAAGATTTCTTGAATGGTTAAGACAAGAAAAGGGAGAAAGGGATCCTCTCCATACTCTCCATTCAATCAACACCAACATCACCCAAACGTAGTTGAAAGTTCTCAAGCGGATAGGTGTAAAAAGCACTATGCTGAAAACTAATATTTTCATCTTCAAGTTCATCTTCATGTTCATGTTCATGTTTTCATATTCCATGACCGCATGCTCATACACATACATACACATACATCATCATAGATGTCTCCAATCCAATCAAGTCCAATCCACTCCAATCCAAATCCCGCTCAAGTTCAAACTCAACCCCTTCCCCAAACCCTTCCCCAATCCAAACCAACCCAACCCAACCCCCAATCTACCGAAACCTCGCCGCACTCAACAACTCCCCCGCACTCTTCCGTCTCCTCAATTCCTGCCACCCAAGCGTCTCCCCGGTAAACCAACCATGTAGTCAGAACTCATCATCTCTTTCCCTATCACGTTCCCGACTACCCTTCCCCCCAGCACCCCCACCACCGCGCTCTTTATCGCGCAGACCAGCGAGAGCACTCTTATCCCACCTCTCCCTCTCGCGTTCAAAATCCGCATCTCTACCGTTAGTATTCCCATTCGCATTCGCATTCGCATTCCCCTCCCCCACCCCCGACGAAGTCGACACGCCCCACCCCCCCGTGCCCAGCCCACTCCCCGCGCCCCCAACTTTATCCCCATACGCCAGCGCGCCAAGCGCGACACGCGACGACTTCTCCGATTTACTCCGCAAACTCGCATACTCCCCCATCGCGCTATTGCCCCGCAAATCCTTCTCCCTGTCTTTCTCCCTCTCCCTATCCTTCCCCCTATCCCTCAACCTCTCCTTCCTCCCCTCCTTCTCCCTCTTCTCCCCCCTCTCCCTCTCCTTCCGCTCCTCGCGATCGCGATCCTTCTCCCTATCCCTCTCCTTCCTCCGCTTGGCAAAGGGTAAGACGCCCCGCAGCCCACGCTCCTTCTTCTCTTTATCCTTCGCCCCGTTTTCCTTATCCCGTTCTTTTTCTTTTGATTTTGAGAAGGCGGGGAGGGCCGTGGGGCATTCTTCTTCTTCTTCTTCTTCGTCTTCTTCGGCGTCGGCGGAGGTTTCTTCGCCTTCGCCGGCTTCTTCGTCGTGCAGACTGCCGGCTTCAGAGTTGTTGAGGCTGTGTGTGCGTGCGTTTGTGTTTGTGTTTGCGGTGTGGTGGGGTGGATACGTCATGGAGCGGGAGTTATCGTGCGTGTAGAAGGTAGATGGTTGGGCGAGGGTATGCGGGTACGATGGCGCGGGGGCCATATGCATGCCATCGCTTGAGCCAGGGGGAGTTTCATCATCCTCCTCCTCCGCGGCGGAAGCCGATGCGCTAGCAGATGCAGAATGGGAGTCGTTCCCCTCGGCGTTATACCGTGGCGTGCGCGGCTTCGCAGAAAACGTATTCTGGCTAAACGACACGGTATTCGAAGACCCGCTCATAAGCGAGCTGGCCGACACGGAGATGCTGGACGTCTGGTGGTGGCGGGCCTTGGGCGGGGGTTTCATAGTGATGGGCGTGCTGGCGGACGAGGACGAGTAGTCATCCGCCGTGCCGGGGGATAAGGGCATGATATCCCCGTCTTCTTCTTTGATGGGGCTGCGGTTGCGTGTTGCTGCGCCGCGGCCGGACTCGAGGCTCGCGCCTTGCAGCTGCTCGACTAGCTCTTCCCATTTTACGCTCAGGGAGGAGGAGGGGCGTTCGGCGGGCTCGGCGCGGTTTAGGCAGTCTTTTGTGCGCTCGTTGAGCGAGACGCAGATGTTGTGGAAGCGGAGGAGGTCGCCGTCGCTTGCTTGGATGTCGGGTGCGCTTTTCGTTGTGTTTTCGAGCCATAGATTGACTAGCATGGCGAAGTTGCGCGAGTGGTCGATCAGGTATGGAAGCGAGGGGAAGCCCTCCTTGAATGTCGGGGGAAGGCGGTGCAGGATAGCAATCGGCGTGCTATACGACGGCGGAATAGGCGGAGCAGGCGAGGCCGTTGTCGAAATCGAGCAAATATCATCCAGATACTTTTTAAACTCCTGCCTATGCGTCGACAAGAACGTATTCATCGGTTCCATCCACGCCTCCTTTGTGCCAAACGACGACATATTCGCCAGCCCCTGCAGCGACTTTGCGATGAGCGTAAACGTCCTCCGCGCCTTTGTTTTGGGATGATCTACATGCAAGCATTAGTAACTGGACTTGCAATCGTAGTCATAACCGAGTTCACATACCCTTCAACAAACCGAAAAGCTTCGGATTCAGCACCGCGGGGACGAAAAACCGCAGGAACAAAAAGCCAGACACACTGCTGTATTGCACCGTGCGGAGGTAGTCGCCATATCGATCGTCGGCACAGGCTCGGATGTGTCTGAAGATCAGCCTCAACTCCTGCGGACACCGGGATACGGAGTTATAAATGGCGCGCCAGACCTCCTCAGTGCAGTTGATCAGCCGTCTCCAATTCCGATCCAGCTCATGCTGCGACGTGACCTTGCTCGGATCGACCTCACACTCTGGATCTTTTTCATTGATCTCCTTCAGTTTCTCGGTAAGCGTCTCTTCGAGATACTCTTTCCCGAGGCGCTTCATATGGAGGTCCAAGGATTTGGTAAGAAGCGTGTTACCGCGGAAAAGCAGGTTCGCTTCCAGCTTCGCGTTGTTTCCCATATCCCGGACGAAGACTTCGCGATCACTCGCCGAGCCGAACGTGTTCATTGTAGACTCGCTCGACTCGCTCGATCCAAGCCTTTTGCTGAAGCGTAACCGACTTGCTGGTGATTCCTTCAGCGTCCCGTCAATCTCTTCCTCGACCAGCGCGCACAGCCACTCTCCCGCAGCGCCCGATACCTGAAAAATGTTGAGGAGATATTCAGACATCCTCCTCAGCTCAGTCGGGATCATCTGCGCAATCTGCAGTGTCAAGCTGTTGGAGAACCGGTGCAGAAGCTCCGACAGAGGGTAGTAGTCGCGGGCCATGAGAATCGCACACTCCTCGCTGCTGACCTTGACCAGCACCTCTCCCACACTATTACCCCACATATTGACGAGCGGCCACCACTTTTCCAGTTCCTGGTTAGGCCCCAAGTCATCGAGATAGACATCCGTCTTGCCCAGCGTCTGGTCGAAAGATATTCCAGCATAGCCGCCTTCCGAGGCATACGGATCCGAGGTAAGAGCGATATCGAACATGCTCTTCTCAGTCCGAGAGTAGCTTGGCGGCCGCTTCTTGAGCGATAGCGACGCCGTGTGCAGCGCAGGGAGGTCCATGAACTCAAACTCCTCCCTCCAAAACGGCGTAGTACCCTCATTCTTAACCGTAGTACGAGCGCGCGTCTCCCCATCTAACAGGACCTCCACTAAGTAGCCCCCCGGATTCGTAATAGTGGAAGAATTAGGTCTCGTAGACGTCGGCACATCGGCGACCTTCGGACTAACCGGCGGCATAAGCCTCGCCTCAATAACCCTAACAAACAGCGATTTCTCCATGCGGAACATATCCTGCGAGCCAAACGACGGTGAGAGCGTGCCCTCCTCGTTCAGCGCCTCCGACTTCGGCCCGTACAGTTGCGGGACGGTGAAAGCGCGCAGTAAAACAATCCAGACTTCGTACAGCACCCGCGACTCGAGGGACAGAAAGATGGGACGCAGCAGGGACAAAGCAGAAGACGACGCGGTGTATTGAGGATATATGGCAATGCAAAATTCGTTGTCCAGAACAGAAGGGTCTAGTCGCTGGACGGCGCAGCGGGAAAGGTGGGAGAGCTGAATGGTGGAGACCAGCATGACGTCCGTGTCCGAGTATAGTTTGAGCTCTCCGTTCTCACGGAGCGTGCATGAGACTCGTCTCCACCGGCGCGAGCCATGGCTCTGGATGCGGTAGGCTTGGGGGCGGGCGCCGGGGGTTCCCGTCTTGGGCGCGCCCGTGTTGCTGTACGTCACGCTCGTGTCCCAGTAGATCATCTTGCCGACTTTAATAATGGGAGCCTCCTTCTTGGGCACTTCCTTGAGCAGCGAGACCTCGGAGTGGCGCCTGCTGTCGGTCAGACGGCGCTCCATGATGACGGGGGCCTGGGGCTTGGCCATCCTGTTCTGGATGCCCTTGGGCCGCATGGGCTGCCAGCACAGCAGGGCGGCGAACCACGAGTCGAACTCCTCCTGGGTGGGGGGCCGCAGGTGGACCTCGAGCTTGGAGTTGTGGACGGTCACGTGGATGTAGGCCGTGTACGCCTCGCCGTCGTAGGCGCTCTTGACGTGGCAGCCGCGCAGGTCGGGGATCAGGGTGCGCGGGTTGGAGGCGTCGTTCTTGGGCTCGAAGACCAGGCTGCCGGCCTCGTCGTTGATGAAGCAGTACGACAGCGACCAGGGGTTGGACTCGCCGCGGCGGAAGGCCAGCAGGCCCTGCATCTTGCCGCACGTGGCGCGCATGAGGTCCTTGAGCTTGCGCACGTCCGAGGCCGGCACGGGCGACACCCACGACTCCGACTGGACATTGGCGGGCGACGCGGCGCGCGGGGGCTGCTTGAGCAGGGTGCGGTGGGTGTGGGTGTGGGCGTGGGTGTGGCTGGAGGAGCGCGGCGGCGGCTGGGCGGTCGGGACGGCGGCGAAGGTGGTGGTGGTGGTCGTCGTCGAGGAGGAGGTGGTCGTGGAGGTGGTTGTCGTCGTCACGGGCGAAATGGTGCTCGGGTGGCCAATGGAGGTGATGACGAGCGAGTCCTCGAGGCCGTGGAAGGCGGGCGGCGGCGTGCTGCTGCTGCTGGGGCTCGTGACAGAGCCGATGCGATGGCGGGCGGCGACGAACAGGCCCGAGGGCGAGCGGTCCCGCAACGTGCGCTCCTCCAGTGTCCGGCTACGGTCGCGAGCACTCGCACTAGCACTCGCACTGGCACCGGCACTCCCACTCGCACTCGTCCCCCGCAGCGAAAAGTCGGCGTCGGTCGAGTGAGCGCGGGCAGTGAAGGCGCGCGGATGGCTGCCCCGCGAGGCGAGCGAGTGCTGAGCGGCGTGCGAGCGGGGCGACGTCTGCGGGTCGGCGTACTGGTGGGCGAGGAAGTCGGGGGTGACGGCGCGGATCGTCGGCGGGCGTTCGTCTCGCCAGCGGTCGTCGGCGCCGTGAGCAGTAGCCTCGACGGCCGTCGTCTCGCGCCGTGTGCGACGGCTGCTGTGTCGCGACGAGTGCTCCATGGATGGGCGGCGGTGGGTGTGTGCCCTATCGCGGCCCGTAGGTGGGAGCGGTCATGAACGGGCAGAGGGCGAGGCAGCAGGTACCTGACCCGCTGCTACCGGCGGCGAGTCGTGCGGGCGGTCGAAAGCGCGGCGACAGTGATGCACGGTGTGGCGCATCGTATGCCAGGACGGTCCAGCTCAAAGGCCGCTGTCCCTCGTCTACGCTGCGCTGCCCTTCCCGCGCTAAGCCCGGCCTTGGCGCCTCGTCGCGTAGATTAAGAGAGCGACGCTGCTATGCACGCGTGGCCAGGAACAGTCCTGCTCGCTCCGATATCTCATCTCTGCTGGCCGCGCCTGTTTGGTCCGTCCTGTCGCTCCAGTCGCTCCTGTGCAGACAGGCCACGACACGCGGTACACACAGAACCAGCACCTGCACGCACCCGGCTTCATCCAACCGGCCCTTGTTGAGAGCTTGCCACCGGCGCTGCATGCCATCGCCTTAGTCCCGTCACCTAGTGGCATTGCACCACCTAGTGCCTGCAAGTCATCACGAAACAGACTCAAAGACAAAAAAGACACCCAAAACCTCGTAACATCACACCCTCTGTTTCACAAGGAAATTAGCTGCCCTACTCGACCCACCCCTCCCCCAGCACATCCCCCATCCCATCCTCGCAGCCGCAGCAAATAAACTCCAAACCCAAATTTCCCCAATGGATATCACAATCAACCAATAAGCTCCGTGACCCGTCCCCCCCCAAAAAGAAAACAATCTCATCTCCGCTGAACATGGTCGGCCAAATCAAATTTCAGATTTCAAGACTCAATACTGAATAGCTCAAAACAAAGCATCCTCTTCTTGCAAACCCTGACGTGACTCAACTAAGCACCCGCGCTGTCCACCAGGCTGACAGCGCTCGGCGCCTGCGACCGGGGCCCGCTCAGATCGCCCGAGCGCGTCTTGCGCAGCGCCTGACGCATCGTCTCAATCTGCAACGGCAGCTCGCCGCCCAGCGAGGGGTCGTGCGTGGTGGGCGCCAGCGACGTAGGGCTGCCGGGCGAGCGCGTGCGCCCGTAGTCGGCGCCCTTGGGGGAGGCGTTGCGGCTGTGGGACGACGAGGTGACTGGCGACGGGGAGCGGTCAGCCGTCGTCGAGTCCAGGCTCATAAACTGCAGGCCGTCGTTGGAGCCCATGGGTTCGCGGTCGTGCTCGATGTGCTCGGCCTGCACCACGTCTGCAAACGAGATGAAGCTCAGGCGGTGCGGGTCAGTCAGTCCGTAGTTGGTCGCCGACTCGGTCATGTCAGCGCGCGACTCCTCGTGCTTGAGCGACGGTGAGTCGGCCGTGCCGCCGACAACCACGGCCGAGGCAGGCTGGTGCGCCGAGTGCATGACAATCTCCACCTCGTCGGGGTTCAGGTGGCTGTCGGTGATGGCCAGCGACGACGCGTCCAGCGCGGGCGGTATGAAGTCTTCCGTCTTGATGTGCGCGGGGATGGCCGACGACTCCTCTGGCTCCTGCACGTTGCGCTCGAAGATCTGCGACGACGCTGGCGAATGCAGGCCCGGCGACGAAGAGCGGATGCGACGACTCGGGGACGCGCCAATGCTGACAGGATGCATGCGCGGGCTGCCGCGGGGCGACGCTCTTCGTTCGGCGTCTGTCGAGGGTGTCGTGAGCGCCGGCGAGGGCAGCAGTGTTGGGTGCGACATGGCTCCGGCCTTCTCTGCCTCCTGTTTGTGCCCCTCTCCCTCCCTCTTCTTGCCGAGGCCGAGCAGCTTCTTCCCCTTGGCCAAAAGGCCCCCTTCTTCAGCCGACGTGCTGTCCTTCACAGCGGGCGACGTAGACGGCGGTGGAGCCATGGCACTCATTCTTCCAATCGACAGCAGAACCGTCGTGATGTGCACGGTGAGTGGGTAGATGAAGAGTCAAGAGCACGGCGTCGGGCCCTGATTACCCTGATCAGATGACGTAGCCAAGCCTCTCCATCTAGCTCCAGGCACAAGCACCGAACCGTTAAAACTCTCCGGCCCTCCACGCAACATGACGTCCGACAGCAAGCTAAACATGCGCACGCGGATCCATGCATGCCTCGTCTGGTTTGTATATCTTATCTAGCACACACACAATACAATGCAATGTAATGCAGCGTCATGCCATACTGGGCAGGCAATGAGCACACTTGACACCGGATAGGCTGGGACCTTATCTCACGGCTATCGTCGCTCGCTCGCATCACACCACCATCCATAATATATCTACACTCGATCCGCAATATTGATTGACGGCTGCCTGTCTGACTGCAATCGCCCAACATTAAATGAACGCGCGTATACGATCCACTCCGCACCATCCCGAACTGAGCCTGGAAGGAAGAGAAATGTATTCCGGGGCATAACGAGTACCCGTCTATCAAGTTAAAAAAATATATGCGCCAAACCCCATGCGTATTACTACCCCGTCTTCATTATTGCGGCGCACCCATGGCCTGCAGTTTCGCCAGCTCCCAGTACACACCCTTCCTCGCTACGAGTTCGTCGTGCCGCCCCTGCTCCACAACCTTGCCCTGGTCAAACACGTAGATGATGTCGGCGTGCTGGATTGTGCTAAGGCGATGCGCAATGGCGATTGTGGTTCGGCCTTTGGCGGCTACGTCTAGAGCGGCTTGAACAACGCGCTCCGATGTCGAGTCGAGGGCTGATGTGGCTTCGTCGAGAAGGCTGAGAGTGCATTAGCAGCGATTCGATGATTGTAGCAAAAGTGGAGAGAACTTACAGGACTTTGGGGTCGCGGAGAAGCGCACGGGCAATGGCCAAGCGTTGCCGTTGGCCACCCGATAGAAGAGCGCCCTTTGCACCGACGAGAGTGTTAAAGCCGTCAGGTAAGGAAGACTAGATAAAGTCAGTTCTATGTCTACACCATACCCATCGTCATTACTTACAATAAACTCGTAAACGTTCGCGTCCTTGCAAGCTTGTATGACTATCTCATCGCTCGCATCTTCCTTGTCGGCCGTGATGTTCTCGCGAATCGTGCCAGTGTACAACGTCGTCTCCTGACTCACAATCGCCAATTGCGCCCGGTAGTCTTGCAGATTGTAATCCTTCAGGTCAACACCATCAACAATAACAGCGCCCTGAGTAGGGTCGTAAAAACGTTCGAGGAGCTGCATGACAGTCGACTTTCCGCTTCCACTGGAACCAACCAGCGCGACAAATTGCCCCGGCTCGGCAGAGATATTGACACCGCGCAGAACGCGATGGTCAGGTCGTCCAGGGTATGTGAAGCGCACGCTCCGCAGCTCAACTCTACCGTTCAAAGTGTCGACCTTCTTTCCATCTGGCGACCAATGGTCAATCTTAGGGACTCGCGTCAAGAAAGTCTTGAGGAGCTTGGCCGCATCTCTTGCCTCACCCATATCTGGCGCAAACGAGAAAATGGCACCAGCTGACTGCGCGCCGTTGATAATAGAAGAGTAAACCACAAAGAACTGCAGAACCGTATATTCTTGACGCAATAACAGATGGCCACCATACCAGAACACCAGCGCGAAGATGAACAGCGCCAGGCCTTGGGAAGTGGCGTACAGCGAGGCCGAAATGTTGGTGAACGTCAGATTGTCTGCAGCCTGTTTGCCCAGTTTATCGTGGTATTTGCCAAGAAGGTGCTTTTCGAGCGAGAGTGTAGCCACGGTGCGGATCGAAGACGCAGCTTCACAAGCGAAAGATGCGGCGTCCGATGTCTCCTTGGTGCGCTTCTCCATACGGGCGAGAGCATAGAAACGGAAGTATCCGCAAGCAAGCACAAGCGGGATCGTCGCCGTGCACACCAATGCGAGTTTCCATCCGAAAGAGCAAGCAACAATGATAGCAACAAAGATGGATGATGCGGCGCTAACGATCGTACCGAGTGTGGAACCACTGAGGCCAGCAAGACGATTGGCTTCGGAAGAGAGGAAGCTGGCCAGGGCTCCAGATGTGACGGTATCACCATCGAAGAATTCCATGTCTTGACGAAGCATGGCGTTGAAAGCTCGGTTTCGCACGCTTCCGATCAGGCGCGCAGATCCACGAGACAACGTCAATCCCTGTATGAAGTAGAACGTACAGATACACAACCCTAGCATCAAGAACATACAGCACCAAAAGTTGATACCGTATCCGCCCAACGAGGTACCAGGCGACAGCAGCGAGTTGATCGCGTTGGCAAGGAAGATGGCTTGGATGGCGGGGTTGCAGCCTGCTAGGAAACTGAAGATCAATCCGAGAGACATGGTTCGGTGTTCGCCCGTGTTCATTTCCCAGGCAAATTTAACAAGCTCCCATGTGCCATATTTCGGCTCCTTCTCGTCCTTCTTTTCTACGATCGATGCGGCGGAAGTCACGGTGCGAAGCAAATTGGGCTTTTCCTCGTCGTCCACAAATGTTTGCTCCTTCTCCGAAGTGATATGGTGGCTAGTGTTGATCTTGGAGGTAAGCTCTTGGGCCTGTACGAGACTGGCGTATACGCCTGCACGGTTGATCAGCTCCTCATGCGTGCCTTGTTCCACGATCAGACCCTTGGCCATAACCACGATATTGTCGGCATTTTTGATGGTCGAGAGTCGGTGAGCGATAACGATGGTTGTCCGTCCTTTGGAAGCACGGTCCAGTGCCTCTTGTACTGCGCTTTCTGACTTTGTGTCCAAGGCCGCGGTGGCCTCGTCGAGAAGAAGGATTTGCGGGTCTGAGACAATAGCACGGGCGATGGCGATACGCTGCTTTTGACCACCAGAAAGAAGGTTACCCCTTTCACCAACCCTGGTCTCGTATTTTTCTGGCAGGCTGCTGATGAAATCGTGGGCATTAGCTGTTCGTGCTGCTTCTTCGATAAGCTCCATTTTCTTCTCCTTCGATGCCTACATACGATTAGTACAAAGGATGCAAAAACGAGCCAAGTCCACTTACGTTTGCGAATTCGGTGTTGACTAAACCATGCTCGATACTCTCGTATATAGTGGTGCTGAACAAGATAGGTTCTTGACTGACGATAGCCATGTGTTGCCTCAACCACTGCAGGTTCAGTGTCGTAATGTCTCTGCCGTCGAGCAAGATCTGGCCTTCCATGGGAAGATAGAACCGTTCCAAAAGTCCAACAATTGTCGATTTTCCAGAGCCAGATGCGCCAACAAGTGCTATCACCTTACCACTGGGAACACTCAGATTGAAGTCTTGAAGAACCACAGTGTCGGGTCGGGATGGGTAAATGTGTTTGAGGTCCTTGAACTCAAGATTTCCAACCAGGCGTTCTGGGATGTCACCTTTGTCGGTCTCTGGATCTATCGGCGATTCGCGCTCGATCGTGTTAAACACCTTTGTAGCAGCCGCCGTGGCGCCGCCAAACGCTTGAATGTGTGGCAGATTCTGTCCGATGGAGATACCCGCAATCATAGTAGACATGACCACAGTAAGAATGTTGGCAACGCCAAGGTCGCCGCTTACCAGGAATCGGTGTCCTTGCCAGAACGCTAATGAATATTGCAAGTTCAAGATGCACATCATTCCTGCAATCATGTTCGATAGCCAGAACTTGGCCATAAAATCCAGCTTCGATGCCCTATCCAGTAAGACCTTGTACTTTTGGGCAAGGCGTTTCTGGGTTCCAAAAGCTGCAACGTTTCGAGCCGAAGACAGGACTTCCTCAGCCAAGGAAGCGGCTATAGCGTATTCATCAATCGATTTCGTTTGGCTCTTTCTCATAAAAGCGCCATTGAGACCCATCAAGAGTACCATGGCAACTGTCGCTGAGAGCATGATCAGGGAGAGCTTCCACGACCGAATGAATCCGACAATGATTGCGGAGACAAACATGGAGCATCCAGTGAGAAAGAGGCCGATTTTCTGGCCGATACCGTCTTGAACCAGGTTCATATCGGCGCTAATACGGGTCGTAATCTCTCCGGATCCTAGGAAGTCGAAGAAGGCGATATTTTGCCTGAAAATGGCACGCAAGTAAAGCTCCCGAATCTGCTGCGTGATACGCTCGCCGGTAATGGAAAATCCGACAACACTGATGTACGAGAATACAAAAGATCCAATGCCTACTATCGTCAGTCGTTGCGATATGCATGGAAAAGATGCCTCTTGGTTAGTCGGAATACCCGGAACTAAGTAGGCTGGACAACTACATGTACAAAACCGGTGAAATTTCTAGGCCTTACGTATGGTTTGTATACGCCTACTAGCATGTTTGTCTTTGTAGTTTAGGGTTGTTGTGTTGCTGCTATGGGCTTTGATTTCGGGTATTCCGACTAACTGAGAGGATACGTACCAAGATAGACGAAGTAGAGAGAATTCGTATTGATTTGATTTTCGAAGTGTTGCGCAGCAACAGCGTCAACAGAGTAGCTTGTGAAACTACCTGCAAAGTTACCGTATACCAGCTACAATTCATTAGCTTGAGTACCAATGCTGTGGAATTGTTTCAATGAACGCAATCCGAAAAGCTTACCGTCATGAGTGGCATGACCGCACCAGCCCCTATCGAAGCAATGGCCGCCACGACCATGATGAGGATATCTCTAGTGGTGGCATAGCGAAACAATGAAAAGTAGCCAACCGTTAGGTTTGGTGCCGACAACTGCCTGTCGATAATGGCCTTTTCCTGTTCACTGAGGTGAGCCGTGGGTGCCTTGACCTTCTCCGACGGCGCTCCATGCTTCTCGTCAATCACCTCCCCCGAGGTCAACGACGAACGTGTCGCAGAGATAGTCGACATGGTGTAGGTAGTCCAGTCAGGCGCGGAGCATGTCCCGACGTGATTGCTTGGTGTCTGGACGTTGAAGTGTCCTCGAAGAGGCGAGGGTGTTTACACAACCTGGGGGGCGCGGAGATGGAAACCCCGAGGCCGCCGTTGAGGTTTCGAGAAAGCCTGTCACTAGGCTAAACACGGCAAAGAAGGCGACGTCAAGATTCGTCCGGGCTTAGCCTGGAAGCGGCGATGTTTCGTTTACAATACGAGAATACGGGGATACGAGATGGGCCGGAAGCTCGGGACAGCCTTACAAGCCTGCACAAGAGAAGACGCTACAATGCTGAATGCAAAAGAGCAAGGACAACCATGCGATAGTTAAAACGCTAGACAAACTAACACACGCTGAGGATAAACAGACTTCATCGCCTGAGGGTCGGTCTATCATAAATATCAACGTCTCAACGCGTAATACATGTCTGCCTGGAATGATTCATCGATGTACAAGCGAGTGCGAAAACGAAGGGCGCATCCACGGCGCCCACGGAAGGCCAAGGGCGCGAGGTCGGAACTAAATCGAAGCCGATGCTCCGACGCTCGTCTACCTAACGTGGACCTTGCGTCTCCCACCCACGTTGGGCTTGTCTACTTGCAGGTGATGTGCACGCGCGTGAAACGGCAAGGGAAAACGTTCTGGGGTTATGCAATAGCACATCCGGATCCACCAGACTGAGGCAGCAATGAATGACTCAAGGGGTCATACGATGTCAAGAGTCAGGCCCTCTTACACCACCGCTGTGCAATCACTGAACACGCAGTTATTAGATCGACAATGCCCCTGCACTATTTAGCCCTTTCGCTCTGTTGAGAAGAGCCCTTTTCATGCAGTTTCCCCCGTCGCTTAGAGCTCACTTCCCCACCTAAGTGTGCAGACACGCACTCAGACGAAGATGACCGCCTTATTTTCCAGTACATGCCAATGACGTCAAAATTAGCAACAAAAGGAATCACTGACCACGGACGGCGACGGCGCACATCTTCGTAGAGGCAAGAAATGCAGTGGTGTGTAGCGATACGCAAATCTATTGAAGTACAAAGGAGATTACAACGCCGACTGTCTGTCCAGACAACCAAATCTCCTACCTATAAAAGGAAGTGATGCTCTATGGTATCGTATCCAACGGACACCAAACTCCAACAGAAAATGAAGAAGAAGCAACTAAAGCGCCAGATCTACAACAGTCCTCAAGGACATGTAAGACTCCTCCTTCTCGACCCTTCCACCCTCCCCGAAAAGTCTCCCCTGTTCTTCTTAGGCACCAACGCCCTCGCCCAACACTGTAGCGCAACTCTCCTCATGAGCTCGGTCTCCTCCTTCTCCAACCGCAGTTGACGCTTAGCCAGCTTGCTCTTCCGCAGCTTGACGCCCTTCTCCTCTGGCGCGCCAGATGCCACGAAGTGCATGCTGGGTGTGGTGATGTTGCGCTTCTGCCCCGGTCGAGCAGGCGACGAGACGAGGGCCTCGAGGTCCACACACGACGTGATAAGAGCTTGTATACCAGCTGAGAGCCGTGTGGCGCGCGAGAGCAGGTACGGCCATATATCCGGGCCCCAGAAAGGGTCTGCGGAGAGGGCCTCACGGAGAGCGGGGAGGATGTGTGGGAGTGGAGGGAGGGTGCGGGTTGAGGGAGGTTCTTCACCGAGGGGAGTGTTGGCTGGCGACGAGGTGGTTGACGTCGCAGGAGAAGAGTTGGGCGAGGCAGTGGATGCAGTGGAGAGGAGAGATGCGGCGATGGTAAGGCGCAGGTGTGATTCTGTGCTGAGCGTTGCTGTTGTTACGCAGGCTGTCATCTGTGTCAGCTGATATTATCCCGGACAGACCATGGAGGCCAGATCGTATGGTTCTTACCTGGACACCCACGTGTGCGGCACCAATCCTCCTCCTCGTGGATAAAGCATTGCAGACATGTGAAAGACCCCCGGGCTTCCCCAGCAAACGCTAACTCCAGATCTTCGGTTTTGTGGGTACACAGAGCCGCTTCAGCGAGAGCCGAGGCCCGCTTGAACAGCTGGACAACCGGCATGATGAGTGCGTGCAGGAGGTCGCGATGCAGAAGCCATGTTTCCTTTTCTTGCGCGTCGCAGCGAGAGTGGTGCGCACAGAAGCTGTTGGTACTATCAGCGCAGTCCTATTTGTTTGGCACCTGTAGAGAAGGGAGGGAAGACATACTCAGCATCCTTGGCAAGGTAGTTCCTCAACACAGCGAAGCCCTGAGACGCATTGAGAGCCTCAATATCTTCATGTGGGATCGCAAAAGGGCTCTGGGCGTTGATCTGCTCCATCCTGGTCGCTCAAGATTGGTCGCGCAATGAAATCCCGTGACGACGTTCGCATTGGTTCCCTGTCGATAACAGCAGGCCGGTTGGTTCAACCCAAATAGATGTACAGACGATGGGAGAAGTCACGTCGAAAGTAGTAATCTAGTCGAGGGGTTCCTTCCCTTATTTACTTGGACGTGAATCAGTTTCGAAATGACGCTCGTCCGCGGGGCCGACTAGAGGTCCGCACCTGGATGAGTCGAGGCCCCCCTTTCCTCGAGCTTGCCCAGATTCCCAGCCTCTGCTCAATGCAAACCTGCCCAGAATGCATGCATAATGAGAACATCTACTTGTATGCTTTATTGGATTGCGATAAAGATTTCCTTGCTGCTTCCTTTCGCGCTGGGCTGTCATGCATTGAGTGATTGCCAGGTTGTATCACGATAAGACGCGCAACGAATGAAAGATGGAGACGTTTACGTAGCTGTGGATACTCTACACAGTTATGGATAAGGTTTTACAGCCGCAGATAATGGGGAACGTTCTATTAAAAGAAGAGCCACACGCTTGCGCGTTCGTCGAAGATTGCATCTCTTGCTACCACGATTGGCGCTGGGTATTCAAGCCGGGCTGGCACCGACTCTTACTGGATTCCTAGATTAGCAGAGCAGATTGTCAATCTGGCAATACTGGCTTGCAGACGTCTTGTACACGTTCACATCGCAGAACCCCTTGAATGCTGTACACGCGTCTACACAGTAGGTGATTTATGGGTCCCAGATTCTGAACATCGATTTCAAATAAGTTTAATGATCGTACCACTCCGCCATGTGGGTTTACGTCCAGAATGGCTTGGAGCAACAACGCTACGGAAGCTCCCGTGATCGGCTATGCAGCCAACGCCTTTGCAAACCCCAGACACCTAACAACACTCTCATGCCAAATCAATCCAAGCGCGAGCTCTACCTTGCTCAGGCGCGATTGGCAAATCTGGGCGCCAGATGAAGCAGGGTGCGACACGTTTCCTGGATTGATCGCCCAGACACTTCCACACATCTAAGATCGCATCGATATCCAGGGGTCACTGCAGGGTTCGTGAGTGTCGCTGGACTGCAGTCGTGGAAGACTTCATGTACAGACACCTCAGCGTGCAGATGCCAAGGACGTGTCTGGTATGCCGAATTCTTGCATCGTTGTGTAGCTTGTCATTCTCTCATGCACAGCCATCTGTTCATCATTTCTCACCTCCACCAAAAGACTGAACATGAGCCATCTGCGTTCAGCAAGCGTCTCGTACTTCCGTCGCCGAACACGTTCTGTTTTCGGCCAAAGGGATCGGTGAGGAGTATGGACAGCTTCTCGGAAATTGGGCCCATCTCTTGCCTCGAGACCAGAACAGGAGGACTCAGCAAACCTGAATCTGCCTGCAGCAAGGAGAAGATGCTAGTCTTTGCCCTGACAACCATTCGCTGGTGGACGTCGCGCAACGAGTCATACAATGGCTGCAGTATGTCAAGATAACGAGCTGATATCGGTTCAAAGCTGCGACAGGGTTCCAAGATGTCCATGCATGCTTTGGCGTACGTGAGATCTGCGTCAACACCGTCGGTTTGGTTGTCCATGAGTTTTGTTGTGGCGCTGAAAAGAAGGACGATGGCGGATGTGAAAGACCAGTAACTACGATGAAAGGTCAGCTTATCAGGTCCACCTTTACACTATCATATATATACTCACATGATCAGCCAGCAGCGCTTGGTCAATGTGCCGTCAAAATGAATCAACCCCAGAATGCGGGTAATCTGCTGGGCTGCTACCGCACATTCATCTCGATGCCTGCGAGAATCGTCGGCTGAAAAATTCAGATTGCATGCAGCGTCACCAGTCAATTGACTCTCGGCTGTAGCAACTAGTAATTGACGATATAGTAGGATGAGTGCGCCAAGGTACATAATCTAATCCGGTTGTCAGTTTACACTTATATTGATACTGCAAGAGAAAGCCACCCACGTGGACCATCAGGATAGCACGCCTCTGGTATACTGTCAAGTCTGGAGGATGACTAGAAGTGAGAGTAGGAATCTGTAGCATGATAGGCACTTCCATACGCCAAGCCTCGAGCTTCTTGGTGAGCATAGTAACATTCTCACGAGTAGCGAGCTCTGGTGATGCAAGGGTCTTGGAGATTTCGGCCGCTATTAGGCCAATCTTACTTGTCTGCGTATGGATAAGTTCATCTATCGTTATCAAATCCGGTCGATTTGAGGAGCAGGCGATCTGCGTCTGTCAGGCATGTCATCACCGAGCAACCGCTACTAACATACCTGGACGTCGTTGGGTGTAGCCTCAGAGGCATAGCCCAATGTGTATGAGAGCCAACTGTCCATGAAGATCAAGCTCCGGAAGATCTTTCTCCAAATGTCACCCACCACTACGGTGTGTAGAGGTGGACACTTCCAACGAGCTATCTGCAGTCCCGCCGCTGGAATCTCGTCAGTCTAGTATTTAGACATTGATAGTGAAGTCTTTACCCACCGATAAGGTATCTGGCGCTCATATGCTTCTCGAGCAGCGCATAGAAGGACATTGACAAAAGAAGACGCATAGTGCGCAAATAATCTTGTCGGGCAGTCTTCTCATGGAAATGTAAAGTACCCGATGCATACAGCATTTTACGAATCCGGTCAGGAAAGCATTCCATGTCATAGTGGGCGCCCATTGCGGCAATTGTAAAGCACTCTGCGAGGGTCATTGCATCTACTCTTTTTTGTGGCCTGTAGACTCTGTCAAGAACTTCATTGACCTGTTCATAAGTCCACATGTACAAGAGCGAACCGGTGCCTCGAACAAACGCATACGCTGCTCGACGAGTAAGCTCTTCGGACGGTAGATGAAGCTCGTCATACGGTTGCGATCCCTGGTTGAGAATTTCGCCTCGAAGCGACACCAGCTCACTAAATGCCAGCGTAAGAGCATTATGGCATACTTCAGCCTCCGTCGCCATTGATGAACTCGAGGGCCAGGAATTTGGACTGTCGGAAGAGTCTGGGCTGGCACGTGGATGATCCTTGGGGACGCGCGATATCGACCGGCTTGTACTCGGACGTTTCACTGATGTCGCTAAAGACTGATGTGACCTGAAGTCGTTTAGGTAGACCTGATATTTACGCCATTCATCGGTTTTCTTATATTCGTCCATTTGAGCTTCGAACTCCTGCATGGCCCGGGCTGCATTGCTTTCCCATACTCGCTTCTCCTCAGGCTGTAATTCTTGCCATCTTCGGCCAACTTCTCTTGCGATGTGCACAAAGGAAAGTTGGCTGACTACAGGGTCTGTTCGGAGATGATCCGCAAAATTCACGTCTGCTAAGTCGTTAAACGAAGTTCACAACAACAAAAGCAGCGAGGAAGCGTACAAGCCGTTTTCGGTTTCTTCGGTGCATTAGAGTCTGGCCGGGGGTGCCGCCTGTATCGTCTTTTTTCCCGCGGTTGTGGCGGTGGTGGGGTAGCTGTCTGCCGGACCAGCGTCTCGAGAGCAGTTGTTGATAGAGATGTTGTTTCGATTGATAGTTCAGGTTCAGGTTCAGGTTCAGGTCCCAAAGATAGAGATGATGGAATTCCTCGAAACGTAGCAATTTCTCGTTGTAATGCTCGCCGGTGACCAAGTTTGAAATTCAGAGCCGTTAGATCTTCCTCGGTAATGTCGACAACGGTTTCCCAGCTGTAAAACCCGTTTTCGGTAAGGACCTGAAGATACTCGTTCAAGCCAAGTCGGTCCAGAATTGCAGTCAGTTTTGGCATCGCATGCGATTTCGAAGAAGGAGTGATCGCCATGAGGAAACTGTGACGTCTGTGGGTAGGTATGGGATTTGCAGGGCAAACCGCATAGTTATTTGGAAGCTCCAGACCATCCCGCAGGAAACTGTGAGGTTCGGCTTGTTTCCCTAGTAGTGGTCTGATGGTCATAGCGTTCACCAGTGTACGCTTGCGTGAAAAGAGGCCATGGTCTGGACCAGGGCGGTCAGCCAAGTCACTAAAGGTTAGCCCTTCGCCTCTCACAGCCTCAAATGGCATGCGAAAGCTGCACCCATTTCTTGTCATCTGTTGTTCTCGCGGCCCCATTATTTGGACTCGGTTTCATATTTCCCCCGACGATTCGACATGCCCGTCAAAGTTAGCGCATCCAGCCTTGTCATCGCGGGCTGGAGTTGAGATCTACGTGCACACGGCTTCGCAAGCCGGACATCTAGACAAAGCACGTTGTATGACGCCCTGCTTATTCCCTCGAACCTTCGGCTGTTCAAAAAGTAGCATTATCACTGGCCCGGCTCAATTTACCGACCAGAATCAAGTACAATCTCAGTTAGCTGGCCACTCGATCTAGTTGCAACAAGCACACATGAGTACTTCTACAAGCACCAAAAACAGGGATCGCAAGATGTTAAAATGTTCACATGCAGTCGATCGTGATCCATGTGACTCTCACAAGGGGGCCTCGATCGTCGGGAGCTCAGGATCGTGCTTCACACCCGTCTGGATCCTTTTGAATCGCGAGCAGAAATCCGATCGTTCGCGTCGATGGAATTGGCAAAGTCCCATGTTCGCGGCCTCCACAAGGATCCCGGCCCACATTATCACACTTGCCCACTTTGGGCACCTATGGCATTTTCGATTTTCCAGATTCCCATGCCCAGTCCTTTGTCGTTACGATCTGTAACGTCTGCACTTGGCGGACCTTCGTCTCGAGCTGATGGTCTGCCGTCTAGCCTGAAGCGAGAAACTGGAAGTAGCATAACGTTGGGATATCTCAATCAACTTGCCTAGTAGCGCTATTGTATGCGAACGTATAGATGCTGCCAGAGGAAGAAAGATGAATAATCAGACTTAGATAGTTACAAGATGTTGGATCACTTCAGAAATCAAGTATATCTTGTATGGTATTGTTGGAACATCCGGTTTCTTGTCTTGGGCTAGTTCCATCTTGATCTCGAATCGAAACGCCTTAATGGGCCTCGGCCTCAGCCTCACGACTCTACGCAATTCACACATCAATGTCTCCAGCGCTTCTCACTGCACAGACGACAGAGCGCTATTCAACAATACGAAACACCAAGGCTGCAGACACATCACAAGCCATGCCGCCAATAAAAGGCTTATGCGTTCTTTGGATATTGCATACACGACGCTTATGCTCTTTCGAGCTCACTCGTTTTTAGTCCGTCTACGAATTCAAGACACGTCCTCAGATCGACACAAACAATGTTGATCGTCTAGTCCCGCGGACCGTTAACGTCATGGGCGGGTAAATTCGCCGTGAACTTGAATCCTATCGTAATTAAGATGTGCAGAGGTACATTTGTTGGTTATCTAGTCAACTTGCTAAGCTTTTTTCTTCTTTAGGCGCGAAGGGAGTTCCAAGTTTACGCCCCATTTCTCTACCACATTATGCATAGCTTGGTCGAGACCCTCTAGCTATGTTAGCAAAGTCCTCATACCACTGTCTTGTCACGAAAAATGGCACGACTTTTTGATGTGTCATCAAGACACTCTCTCGAGCAGCATGCAGCAACCTGACCATGCAAAGGATTTTTCATAGAACTTAAAGTACTAACAGTTTGTAACACTTTTAACCTCGTGTAAAGATCTTAAATAATCAGGTACTAGTTGTAATAAATAACAATAACAATGTTCTTGCTGTTCCGCTAACAACATGAGAAAGCTGTGCCATCTTTTGTTACAGGGGGGGTGATACTGCAAGCAAAATACATATCACTTGTAGTATTCTACTAACAAAAACAAACTACTCTAGAAAATTCCTGTAAGCATTGACCAGTGTTGTCAACTGCTTGCATAACTGAGTATATCCTTGGCCATAAATCTTTAACTGAGGGTGCGAGTTTTGTGATACCAGTCTTCTCTCGAAGTTGTGAATGAAGTGAGAGTGTTACTCGTCGCCCATGTATGAGGGTACAAATGACGCTCGAACAGGCACACCTCATCTGGATTGTGGCTTGGACTTTCTGCCTGCCAAATTGTTTTTGAAGAGGAATTCCAGCGCGCACTTGAGATCTCTGTCTTTGCTCCAAAGTCTCTCTCTGTCGCAGAATCTGATCAACAGCGTAACCAACTAACTCTTTTGGTGTCGAGTTGAGAGCGTGATGTTCGCTGCGAACGACCGATTCAATTGCCCCCACTGAGTTCCCCAAGGTGCAGTCGCAGCCGACATAAGTGGCCGATGGAGAAGCGACACGTCGGGGAGTTGAACTCGGTTCTTGTGGACAGGATGTGGGTTGGACGGTTTTGCCGTTGGACCGTGGCTGGCGAGGGTTTTGATGGGGGATTGTAGGACTTTTGAGTATGAATGCATGATTGGAAATTACGAGGTGTTTGCTGCGTTTCGCAATGCCTCGCGAGAGAAATGTGAGGGGGTTGGGGATGTGGTATGTTTTGGTAGGGAGGGGCGTGGAGTCAGAGAGTTTGTAAGGGATGGGTGCTGGTTGGTGGTTGTTATATGGTTCAGACATAGACTTGTTGCTGACGAGAAAGATGCAATGTTGAACCAGAACATGATGATTTATTGCTTGCATTACAAGTACTTCTGCATCAATTCCTGTACCTTGCCTAAATCCAGGGCATCGATTTTGTTCCCGTTCCCATCCATGCTCTCCGCCATGAACACCGCGTTCAGAATCGCCTCCTCAACTGCATCTGCGCTTGCCTCGAACAGAGCATTGATGGTCATGTCGTCTACCATCTGTATCCCGAATTCCCTTGGGACCCAGGGGTCTGCTTCCTTCTTCGCGCCAGGCACAGAGTGCACTTCTAGATTGTTGGCCGTGGAGAAAGCAAGGAAGATGTCGCCTGATTGATTCGCCGCCCAGCCACCGACACGGGAAAGCCCGACGGTTGCACGTTTCGCCAGGCGCTGGAGCTGTGTTGGATGAAGTGGTGCATCTGTGGCCAGGATGACGATGATACTGCCGTCTTTCTTGTCTTTTGCTTCCGCGATCTTGAATAGAAGGGATGATTGGCCCAAGAGCTCAGGGTCGTTGGGGTTCTCCTTCACCTTGCGTTCCTGCTCCTGGAAGATCAAGCGGCCAATCGGCGCGCCAGCGATCTTAAAGTCGATCATCTTGCCATAATTTGCTTGGACGAGGGCACCGACGGTGTACGTTTTGCCCTCCTCGGCGGCTATGATACGGCTGCTAGACCCAGTTCCGCCCTTGAACCAGTGGCAGATCATGCCTGTTCCACCACCAGTATTGCCTTCTTTCACAGGCTCGCTGCTCGCTTCATCGATGCCTTTTACAATATGCTGAGGAGTGACGGCAAACTTCGACACATCGTGCAAGAAGCCGTCAAATGTCTCAGCCACAACCGGTAGCAAGAACCAGTTCACTTTCCCCTTTTCGTCTCGATGCTCTCGAATCCCGTGCTCGTAGATGCCGTTATAGGCTGACCCGACGCCGAAACTCCCGGTGATGATGATGGGTGAATGGAGGAGGCCTGTCTCTTGGATCCAATGGCTACCCGTCATCTCCCCAGAACCGTTGAAGCTGAAAATTCCGGCAAAGCATGCCGTTCTGAACCAGTCTTTGCCAGGCAGAATGGTGGTGACACCAGTGTTGATAGATTTAGGGGCGGCATTGGGATAAGTTGCAGACTCGTGAATGGATTGCGTAGAGACTAGGACTCCAGGGACATCTGTCAAGCTATTCTTGGGTCCGGTCTTGTGGCGACCAAGATATATGGTGGGTAGAAGGCTTCTGACACGCTGGCGTGGGGTGGCAGACGAGACAGACATTTCTTTTGGAATCGGCAAGTGTATGAATTGGAGCTAAATGTTTGTGAGAGCTTCTGTGTCAGTCTGGTCGTCTTTACGACGCCTTTACGACACCTTTATGTGATGATATGATTAACTCGGTTCAACAAAAAATCAGTCAGCTACACTGATGTTGTTGCCTTGCTCGGCGGGATCGCTGCTAAGCACTAAGATCTCTAGTCAACTAAGAATTCATGCTGCCAATCCACGATAAGCAACCGCATTGAGAAGGTGTGGAGTAGAACTCGTACGACAAGGAGTCACACCTATCTATCCACTTCTTCTGCACGAATGGAAAGTTGTTCTTGCGACTCATAAAGGAGGGGAAGTCAGTATGGATCCTACTCACAACGCCATGTCATCATCTTTTCCGACTGCAGCTTCACATCGAGATAGCATCTTTCGGTGTTACGTACGTGCAGCATCTTAACCAACGGAGTATTCTGCACAAATGTGGAATACCTAAACGTTGCGATCACGGCAAGGAAGAACAATGCACCGAGCCTCGGTTCCCCAGCTTTGGCGGACTACCGGCGACGGGTGTACCCCAGTCTCGCGTTCTCGCATTGCTCTCCAATCTTGTCATTCTCCCTCCAATCTCTACTTTTTACAGACGAACTTTCAAGATGGAAAACTCGGCACTTTTTGACGTCAAGGTAGGCTTATCTGATCTCTATTCCGTTGTTTGCGAACGTGGATCTAATCATCTTGCAGGGCAAAGTAGTCCTAGTGACTGGCGGCGCGAAAGGCATCGGTCGCATGATCAGCGAAGGTTTCGTCCAGAACGGCGCAACAGTCTACGTATCGTCACGAGACGCAAAGGCGTGCGAGCAAGCATGCAAGGAGCTGAACGCGCTGGGCAAGGGCAAAGCGGATTTCATTGCCGCGGACCTGTACAAGGAGGAATCGTACAAGAAAGTGGCCGAGGAGATTAAGAAGCGAGAAGGAAGTACGCATTGCAACTCCAGCCCAACTAGCAGCCGGCAGGCTAACAAGTACCAGAGCTCCACGTCCTCGTCAACAACAGCGGTAGCAATTGGGGCGAGAGCTACGACACATACCCCGGCACTGCATGGGATCGCGTCATCACCCTGAACCTCAAGAGCGTCTTCCAGCTCACACAAGCTGTCACTCCCCTCCTCGAAGCCGCGTCCACAAAAGACGAGCCCGCGCGCGTTATCAACATCGGCAGCGTCGACGGCCTGCGCGTCCCTGAGCTCGAAACATTTGCGTACTCGGCGTCCAAGGCGGGTCTACACCACTTGAGTAGAGTGCTGGCAAGCCATCTGGGCAAGAGGGGCATTACGAGTAATACGGTTGCTTGCGGTCCGTTTCAGAGCAAGATGATGAAGGCTACGCTGGAGCAGTTTAAGGATGTCATTGAGGCGAATGTGCCCATGGGCAGGATTGGGAGTCCTGAGGATGTCGCGGGCACGTGTATCTTCTTGTCGAGCAGGGCGGGAGCGTGGGTCAATGGTGCGACTATTGCCTTGGATGGTGGTACTTTGATTTCGGGTAAGCTTTGAGGTGTTTTTATCTATAAATTATGAACCTTTTATCGATGTTCCTCATGATGTGTATTGCGTGTTACTTCAATACACATAGAGAATAGACCCAGCATTGCAGCAGCAATCTGCGACCTCCTGCACTCTCATCTACACATCCCAATCCTCGTGCTGTCTCGTCCCACTATCTCCAGCCCCTGGCTTGGTTCATCTTAAGGGTTACGTCGAACGATTTGCAACCCTGTGATCCAGAAGCACTTTTCATCTGCGTTCGGGCGATGTCTGGTCTGGACGGACGTAGTGAACCGCTGATTATGTGCCGAACATGGGTATCGTTGTTGCTATTCCTGTCGCTCCTGATCTCGTCGTGAAGTCTCCAGAAAATATGTTGGCATATACTCTCAAGCCGCGCCAGCTCGTCGTCGCTCCAATATCTGCTGCTTTAATCCTTCGGCTGCGACCTCCGTCTCCAGTACCCGCCCCACGCCCTTCTTCCACGTTTCCTCCAGCGTCTTGATCTCGCCATGCACACTCTCCTGTTGCGATCTCCTCAGACCATCGACTTCCTCCTGCTGCTTCCTCACATCGGCCAACTCCGTCTCAATGTCCTTCAAGATGTCCTCAAGCTGCGAATTTCCTACCAACCACGCATTCTTGCCGTACTTTTCCAGCAGACCCAATTGTACCAGCCTCGCTTCGACGTACTCTGAGCTCGTATATGCCTGTTTCAGGGCTTTGTTCCACTGCTGCAGCAGCTCTGGCTTGTCCTCGTCGCTGGTCGGTGTCGTGTTCTCTGGAGCGTCGAGGTCTTCGTAGCGCTTCATGTCAATGCCTGAGAGCTTGGAGGTTGGGTCGTCGTCGAGGCGCGCGTGTTCGCGCTCGATGAAGTCTGAGAACTTGGGTGTGTATTTCGCGGCAGGGATGAGCGCCGGGTGGAGGTCTGAGGTGTCTACGCCTGCGCTTCTGATCTCGGCATCGATGGTGGCTCGCGCCACGGCGAGGGTCGCGTCATCGACGGGTGTGTCGACATCTGCAGTCTGTCAGTTATCGGTACCGCGCATGCGCGTCTTCCTCCCACGCGCATCACATGCTAGGCGACCAGGAAGCATCCAACTGCACGTACAAGGGAGGGAGTCGTAGGATTCGTGAATAAGTGGCATGGCTGCAGTCGGCGCGCACGATAACAGGCGTTGCAGAGTCTTGGGAATGGATGAACAAGAGAGGTTGCTGGCGGCCCACTAATTTACACGTCACATCCCTGCATCGATCGCGGAAAGAGGCCCGAAATGTTACACACCAACCGAACTCCATGCCTCTCCCGGTAAGACGCACTTCCGTAGGCATCCGGCCGACCATGGCAGTGAGAGCCAGTGCTGTGTTACGGACCTCTAGTCGCGTGTCTGTTACTAACAGAAGCCCCGTCATGTGCTTGGTCGTCTATATGGCCTGAACGCCCTTGACCAGCGCGTGCTGTCTCTTGCCACACACCTCTGGCTTTGATGTTTCGCGAGAATGGCGCGCTCACATATCGTCGTGGCCTTGGGCACGGCACTCGTTGCCTCACTGATCATCTCACAGCTTGTAATAAACTTGAGTTTTCCTTCTGTCGAGTTTTGGCACTGGAGACTGGATTCAACGTACAGTGGCGCACAACAAACAACCTTGAATGGTGAGAGTCAGTATGAGGGACTGGTCGAGGATCCTTCGCAGTACCTGATTGGAGTGGGAAAGGCGGACATCACCGGGTATGTCTGGAGGGCTTTGCATGAAGAAAAAGGTTCTGATCGATGTGCAGGCCAGTCGTCCAAATCAATATGATGGGTTATGCAAACTCGGCCCAAGTAGGATCAGGTGTTCGTCAACGCTTGTACTCTCGCGCTTTCATCGTAGGCGATCCAAGTGATATCAGCGAACGCTTCGTCTACATGGTCCTTGACACCCAGTCAGGAGACACGGCAATCCGAAATGGTATTCTCGAAGGGCTCCAAGAGCTGGGACCTGAGTACTCCATGTACACGCAGAAGAACGTCGCCGTCACAGCCACGCACAGTCATTCTGGACCAGGAGCTTGGCTGAACTATCTCCTTCCGCAGATCACAAGTTTAGGCTTTGACCAGCAGAGCTATCGGGCTATTGTAGATGGAGCGGTACTGTCCATCCAGCGGGCGCATGAAAACCTCGCCCCTGGAACTATTAGCTTTGGGAGCGCAAAGATCAACGATGCGAGCATAAATCGCAGTCTGTTCGCCTACCTGGCTAACCCGGCGGCAGAGAGAGCTCGTTACACAGATGACGTCGATAAAACGATGTCTCTGCTCAAGTTCTCGAGGGCCAGTGATGGAAAGAGCGTCGGCATTCTGAATTGGTTTCCTGTCCATGGTACGAGCCTGCTCGCAAACCAAACTCTCGTCGCAGGAGACAACAAGGGTGTTGCTGCCTATTTGTTCGAGCAAGACGTTTCTGCAGATGCGGATGCTGCCGATAGATTCGTGGCAGGCTTTTCCCAGGCCAATGTCGGTGATACCACGCCTAACATCCTTGGTGCATGGTGTGAAGATGGCTCAAACTCACAGTGCCGGCTAAACGACACCACCTGTGCAGGCCGGAACCAAGACTGTCATGGTCGTGGTCCGTACTTCGGTTTGGACGACGGAGGCACAAAGTCATGCTATGAGATCGGCAAACGTCAATTTGAAGGAGCTAGGAGCATCTATGATACGGCAGATTTTATCCCAGTATCCGGCAACGTTCGTTCATTCCATACCTTCGTCGATTTCTCCAACTTCACTTTCACACTAGAGAACGGATCTGTCGTATCCACCTGCCCAGCTGCAATGGGCTACTCCTTCGCGGCCGGTACATCTGACGGCTCAGGAGCTTTCGACTTCGTCCAAAACAACCCCGGCACTTCTAGTAACCCATTCTGGAACGCGGTCGGCGGCCTCATCGCAGAACCAAACGAAGAGCAAAAGAACTGCCAGTACCCCAAACCCGTCCTGCTCAACGTCGGACAAGCAGAAAGACCATATGCTTGGGCACCAAACATTGTCGATATCCAAGTTCTCCGTGTCGGCCAGTTGGTCATCATCGTTTCCCCAGGTGAGGCAACTACCATGTCTGGTCGCCGCTGGCGCGAAGCCGTCCATGACCAGCTCGTCGCCTCCAACACCATAGCGGAACCTATCGTCGTGCTCGGTGGTCCAGCAAATAGTTACGTGCACTACATCACCACAGAGGAGGAATACAACATCCAGCGCTATGAGGGCGCTTCGACCCTCTACGGCCCCCACACACTCAACGCATTCATCAACTCCACACTCACACACCTCCCCTACCTCGCCGACGACGCAAAAGGTACTCCACCAGCCGGCCCGTCGCCACCAGACAACCGCAACCGCAGTGTCTCCTTTATCAGCCGGGTTGTCTACGACGGCGCAGGTTTCGGCCAGGACTTCGGACAAGTCAAAACCGACGTATCGGAATTCTATACCCGCGGCGCCATCATCTCCGCGACCTTTGTCGGCGCCAACCCGCGCAACAACCTGCGACTTGAGGGCACGTTTGTCGCGGTTGAGAGGGGGAATGCCGACGGGACCTGGACGCAGATCAAGAGTGACGAGGACTGGGAACTCGTGTTCCAGTGGAAGAGAGTCAATAGCCTTACGGGGACGAGCGACGTGACGGTTACGTGGGATACGGGTCTGACTGGTCCTGGGGTGGGGATGTATCGGTTCAGGTACTATGGAGACTCGAAGAGCGTTGGGGGAACAATCACGCCGTTTGAGGGGATGAGTGGGGTGTTTACTCTCACGTAGATAGATGTACCATTATGCAACGATACACTACAGCCCACGCAATCCCTGTGGGTGCATAACAACAACCCATGTTCCTGCTTTCGTCGGCAATACATCTCACCTTTTCTTTCAAGATAAACACGCGCTCTCCAACTTCACCTCTCTCGCGCATCCGCAGAATCTAACCCCGCATACCATCATACACGAAACACTATTCTACGCAACTCTTCTCTTCTTTTTTGTCTTGCTGCTGCCTCTTTTATCCTCTTCACTCTTCCTGTCTCTCTCTGTTGCTGATTTGAACGCACATTTAGACTGGAAAGGAAGTAGGTGGCATATAATTAATTGGCCAGTAGATCTCCTTTCTGTTCAATAGCTAGATACTGTGTGTTTTACACAACTTAACTATGCAGCAACACGCTCATTACCTTTCGCTTAAACGCGCAGACGGCATATATGTAGTGATACGCAGATGAATTGCGAAGAAAAGAGACAGCAACATAGACACACAATGCATTAAAAAGCAGTAGATTGGAATCAAACTTTTTGCGAAGAAAAGCGATATTCAAACTACCCACCCATACATACATACAAACCCCTCCGCTCCCCAAAAACGGGATTTTGCCAATCTAGACTTCACCTCACCCGCACAAACTCTACGCGCCATAAACTCCAAAAGTAATGCGGGCCCCAAAGGCGTCAATCACCCCACGATCAAAAAGTCCAAGAAAATTAAAACGAGCCTATAAATACAACGTCCACCCCCTCCTTGCCGATCACCTTCTCAGCTCTTACCGCCTTGGGCCATTAGCTTGGGCAGCTTTCGCCCCGATCAACATCTTGAACCCGTTCTTCAGCGCCATCATGTTGGGGTAAAGATTCTTCTGCAGCTCAAACGCATTGGGGACGACTTTGATGCCCCAGGCGCCCTTGGGGGCGTTGTCGCCCATCTGGAAGCAGATCCAGAAGTGGCCGGGGTGTTTGGGCATGCTGCAGAAGGCGTACATGGAGCGCGAGGGGTTGGCTTTGCAGTAAGTTTCCAGCCAGAGATCTGGGGGTTTTGTGTTAGCGAGATGATGGGGCAAAGGAGGAGAAGTAGAGAGAGTGCATACCAGTTTCTTCCTTTGTGCCGTTTTGGAACCGCTCGTCTCGTGTGATCTCCGTGACCTTGCGGGCCATGGCTTCGACGTGGTTGACGATCAGTTCGTCGAGATCGGTGTAAACGCTCTTGCCAATGGTGAGTTTCTTGCCAAGAGAGAACTGGTTAGGCTTGTTCAGCTCGAGGACGTCGAGATGTTGGTAGGCGCTAGCGGAAACCTTCCAAGTCACAACGAGATGGTTGAATCCCTTGGAGGACGGACGAATGACCAGTTCACCCGGCTCCTTGGTACCCAGGTATTCTTCTGCTTGTGTCGCGTTGAATTGGAAAAATAGGGGGTGGTTGACGACGCGGTTGGGTCGGCCTGAGGCAACTTCCTTCTCTTTCGCTGCGGCCTTCTTGTCTGCAGCCTCCTGTTGCTCGTCCCATTCGCCGGGAATGCGATCGATGGCTCGTGGCATTGGCTGGCGAATGAGGTCGGCTCGCAACGACAGCTGTGCCGAAAGAGCTTTGCGATTCAGATACAAAATGCGGGCACGAACCGTCTGGTGCGGTTGAAAGACGTGACGAGGTTCTTGGCCACCGCTGCCCACACCCTCGGGGAACTCAGATTCAGACACACCACCATCGATTCCGCACTCGAGCTTAGCCTCGATGTGATCTTGGAATGTGCGCTTGATAGTCACTGGGATGACCATGCCTTCGTACAAAGTCTCTTTAGTCTCGCCAGTCAGCATGGTGAACATCTCGTCACCAGTCATCAGCGCAAAGATCTGCCTGATCTCCTCGTAGGGAGCGTCAAGTTCGGCTCGAATGGTCTCGAGAGTTGCACGCTTGCGCTGGCCAAAGTTCTTCTCGATCTCTGCGGCGTAGTCTTCCAAAGCCAAGTCATTGACCAGATCTGTGTTCTCCTCCTTGACCATCTTCCGTACAACGGCACTGGCGCCACCGTCATCCACTTCTGCCTTGACGTCTTCCTCGTCCATGTTCAGGGCATCTGCGACCATCTTCCGCGCAAGATCGTAGTCTTCAGGATGGACACGAGTGTAATCCAAGTAGTCGGATGACTCTTCACTTTGGTCGTATACGATGAAAAGGAAACTGGCACAGTTCTGAAAGACCTTGGGACCCATAGCCGCCTTCAACTCACGAGAGCTGTTCTCTGACACACCGAGGAGATCGAATCGTGACAGAATTTCTTCTCCGTTTGCTTGGATAGCCTTGACCATCCTGTCGGCTTTTCGGGGACCCAAACCGCACACGTAGGGTAGAAGTTTCGACATGTATGGGTCATCGTAGTGCTCTGGCAAATCGACACCGACGAGGTTGACCATGTCGACCATGGCAGTCTCCAGTCGGTCCAGGAGTTTTTCCGGAGGTATCAGAGTCTGGTCTTGGACGAATGGTATTGATACGACATCCTTTCCGAGTGAGGCGTATTCAGCAAGCGGGTTCTGCAGGTACCTTCCAAGAGAAATGCAGTACCTGGTGAGTGGTGCGTACTTAGGAAACTCTATAGCTGCGCGAGCACTGTTGTAATAGAGTCGCGCAACTTCATCGTTGACCATGACAACGTCTAGAGGATCGCTCCTCTCCGCGTTTGTGTTCTCGTCTTCATAAGTTGATCCCGTAAGATTGTGCTGGCTGACGATTTCCTGTATATCCTTGTATAGCCTGCGAGTCTCAACTGACCAGCCACTGACACCAATAGCGTCTGGGCGCCGACGCTGAATGGCGTCAACAAGATTCGCAATGTCTTGACCGTCCGGAATGTTTCGCTCGGGGTTGCCAAGTTTCATGTCGACAAGCTTGCCCTGCTCCAACACTCGACCGTCGTTCTCAACGTATGCCCACATAACGGCGTCACCTCGTTCACCCTTGCCATGAGAAAGACAAAGAACATTGGGAACGGATCCCAAGGGAGAGCTTTTAGGTCTGTATGGTGCTTGATCAAGCTTGTTGTAGTAATTTTCTCTCGCACGGCTGGCAAGCTCGTCTTCGCATCGAGCTCGCAGGGTCTCCTTGACACCGTTCGCGATGATGCCCTGCAGTTTGTCCAAGGCGATCTCGAGTACTTCTTTGCGGAGAGCGTTCCAGGTCTCGGACACTTCGCTGACGTTGTCGGAAACAATCTTGTCTTGAAGCTTGGCCTTGAACTTGTCGTAGTTGCCCATCGAAATTCGGACCTGCACAAGACTTTCTTGCTCGGCTTTGAGCATCTTGAGGAAAAGGTCAGGACGACCATTGAGATCAAGAAAAGTCTGTCCGCGAAGATACTTGAATTCGTAGTACGGGTGGTCTTCAGTAATCTTCCGCATGCCTTTGTCTGTGCGTATGCAGTCAATCACCGCGTTCTGGTAGAAGCTGCCTCGCAAGAACCTGCGAAGACGAGAGCTCATGAACAAATCCTGGACAAACAAGAGTTTTGCGGACCTGAGAAGCGAGACTCCGGTTTCAGGAGCTTGGGCCATTTGGTCGGCGAGCTCTTCGACTTTGTATGGCGGATCTTCAACGACCTGAGAACCTCTACTTGTGCCCTCAGCCTTCTTGGCAAAATCGTCGGGGGTGATGCCGATAGCTTTGACAAAGAGATGCGCTTTGCCGCCTCGTAACTTGTCGAAAAAGTTCCGAGCGTTGTTAGCACGCTTCTGAGCTCCGTTGACTTCCTGTCGAACCTCGTTCATCTCTTGGGAATAGCGGTAGTGAAGGTAGTCCTGGAGCTCCTGGATTTCTTCAATCGTTACAGCCTTTTGCGTAAGGTCTTCGATCTCGTTGTCGGTAATGTCGGGATAGACACTCCGCACGTTGTCGTAATTTTGCCTGAGAGCATCTCGCTTTTCAGCAAAGGCTCTGAATTTGAGATCCAAGTCGAAAACCTCCCACAGATCACTTTGATTAAGCAGACGCTCCGGTCGAGCGTCCATGGGCGGCGGGTTATCGGGGTCGTCGTTGTCGTCATTGTCGCTGGGTGCGTGGATCAGATAGTCCTTGCGATGGTTGAAGATGAAAGGGACTTCGTAGTCCTCTAGATTGATGAATTCGAGAACTTTACGCACGGCTTTCTGAAAAGGTTGCTGGAAGTAGCCCGGGAGACCCTTCTTCGGCCAGAGCAACTTAGTGATCCATAATGCCTCCTCAGTCAGTCGCGACTGCATGTCCTCTGGCGTCAGCTCTAGTTCCCGGAAGGGTTTGCGGGCCAACTGCAGGCGCTCGGGCACGTCGACCTCGCGGATGACGTTGTCTTCGTCTGTAAGCATGCGCTCCTGCAGCTGTGAGGGTTCGAACACGTCCTTGAGCTGGAGCTCACGTCCTTCTCCGGTCTGTTCCTCCTCCTCAGCCTCTTGCATGTCCAGGGCCCAGTCGTAGTCTGTGCCATCGCCGAACGCCGCCCTGTAGTCTTCCTCAGCGCCTTCGTCTAAGCCCGCCGCCTGCAGGCCCTGTGTGATGAGGTTGATGCCTGGCTGCGTGACGTCGCGGTCATCCTCGATCTCGTCCTCGAATTGGTCGTCCTCGATGAAGCCGCTGAATTCGTCCATGCCCACGCCCCGAGGGTCGATGTCCTCGTTGACCTCCTCATCGGAAAAAATGTCGTCGACGCCGCGGGACTTGACGCGCTCCTTGTGACCGCGCTTCAGACGCTTGAACCTGGTCTTTACTTGTGTCAGCGTGAAATCCAAGGCCAGATAATGATCGCCATACCTGTGTCTCTTCTGGGCGCTCAATCTCAATACCAATCAAGTCCAAGTCTTCTTCGTCGAGCGCCTCGTCGGCCTCGCGGTTCTTACGCTTCTTTCTGCGCCGCCGCTCCCTGCGCGCCTCCTCCTCCTCTTCTTCGTCCTCGGTGGCAATGAAGCCTGCGCCTTCCTATGTAACAGTCAGTGATCCAGCGCGAGTGTACGCCATCCGAATAGCTTGCCTCTGCTAGCCGCTCATCGTCGTCTTCGTCTTCCTCCTCGCTGGAGTCGTCGATGCCATTCGCGCCGTTGGACTTCTTTGGCCGAGCTTCGCCCATCTCCTCATCAAAGTCCTCATCTTCTTCCTCGCTGCCTAGTGCGGCGTCCAGATCGAAAAGATCTTTTGTAGCCATGGCGTAGATTCAGCACAGGGGACGCGCACGACAAGCGGTCGTGTTTGGCGAAGCGGTTCGGCGAGCTCGAGACAGCAATGGAGATGATGGCGCGCGACGGTTTCGCGATAGAGCAGCTTGGGGTGTCTGGGTAAAAGGCGTAGGGAGAGCAAGAGGGCGTCTCAAAGACGCGATTGATGGCTTTCGGAGCTCTCTTACTTTTGTCCGACCCTTGACGCGCACGTGACTGATATTCTCCTTAGTCAGCTCGTGTGCTTAGCGCGCGGAAGAGTTCGTGAGTGAAGCAGCCATCAGGCCTCGCGGGGGGCTCGGCAGAACCGGCAGAATCGGGTCTGTCTGGGCTCCCAGTCCCTGCGTGAGGCAGCAAGTGTCGTCGCTGTAGAACTCGTTCACCGTTGACAGCGCGGTGAAGGTTGGCACTACACGTTGGTGATGCATGGTCACAGCAGGCCTTGCCATGGTGAAACCCTACTGGTCTTGTACATAGGAGAGCCACTCCCGCTGCTATTTCGAACCATCGTCTGCGTGTACTTTCTCTCAAGCCCACGGCAGCTACGCTATCTTTGCGCCCGTCAGCCGCCCGCGTGCAGAATCTAACAGCCGGCGCTTGCTCCTTGCATGCATCCAAAGTGCCAACCCCACCACGCGCGTCCCCACTATCGCGATCTGACCTTCTCCTGAGCTGTCCACAACCACCCATCGACAAGACACTCCCCCTAACTTCTATATTGGCCGCTTCCTGATCAAGCCCCGACTTTCCCTTCGCCTGGGATTCCTTGTAGCACCTGCCCCGAAAGCGGTCATTCGATAGGCGCTGTCCTTGTTTAGGGAGACTGCACTTGATTGGCAAGCTTGCGGCGACCAATACTCGGGCGGCAATCTCAAGATATAAGGCAGCGCTGCCTTGCGCCCCTCACCTCACCGTCCAGCAGGGCAGCTTGCCTTTGACCACTCCGTGACTTGGCCCGCTCTCGCCACCCTACTCTCACCGCAACCTCGCCCGCAACCTCGCCCGCAAACCGCAGCCATGGCCGACCCGTTCAAGACGAAGACGATGAAGAGGAAGAACGTCAAGGGCCTCGCACTCAGCGCGCCTCCGCCAAAGCCCGCGCCTTCAGCTGGCGACGCACAGGTCCCGGGCGGCCTCGCCAACAGCCAGGACCGCCCTGACACACTCGAGATTGGCGTCGAGTTCCGGCTGGATCTGAAGGCGGACGATTTGATTGTGCTGCGGGAACTCGGTCACGGGAACGGAGGAACGGTCAGCAAGGTGCAGCACTCGGCCACCAAGGTTATCATGGCGAGGAAGGTGAGTTGGACGCCGGTGGGGCTGCAGAAGCACCAACAGCAAGACTGACCAGCACAGGTCATACACGTCGAAGCGAAGAACGAAGTGCGCAAGCGCATTGTCCGCGAGTTGCGCATCATGCACGACTGCAACTCGGAAAATATTGTTGCCTTCTACGGCGCCTTCCAGAACGACACCGGGGACGTGATAATGTGCATGGAGTACATGGACGTGGGGTAAGAACAAGCCCCCAGCTCTCAGCATGGCAGAAACTGACAACCACACCAGCTCTCTCGACTGGGTCTCTCGAACATTTGGACCTGTGCGCGTCGACGTGCTCGGCAAGATTTCAGAAGCCGTGCTCGGCGGACTTAGCTACCTCTACAGCGCACACCGCATCATGCACCGCGACTTGAAGCCGTCCAACATCCTCGTAAACTCGAGGGGCCAGATCAAGTTGTGCGATTTCGGAGTATCGAGTGAACTGGACGGATCCATCGCCGAGACATTCGTCGGCACAGGCACATACATGGCACCAGAGCGGATACAGGGGTCGCCATACACCGTCAAGTCAGATGTTTGGAGTGTCGGTCTTTCCATTATGGAGCTGGCAATCGGCAAATTTCCCTTCGCGGGCAGCGGAGACGATGACGACGCTGGAGGCCCCCAGGGTATCCTCGATCTTTTGCAGCAGATTGTTCTGGAGCCAGCGCCCAAGCTGCCAAAGAGCGATGCGTTCCCCTCGATTCTGGAAGACATGATCGCAAAGTGTCTGTTGAAGGACCCAGCAGAGCGACCAACCCCCAAGGAACTCTATGTGAGCGCAATACTCCACTTCCTGATTGACATGAACTGATTTTATCCAGGACCACGATGCCTTCCTTCAAGCCGCAAAACGCACGCCAGTCGATCTTGAAGCTTGGGCTGTCAGCATGATCGAACACAACAAGCGCAAATCCTACCTCGCCCCTACTGTACCATCAACTCAGATACGCGAGAAGTTACGTGAACGCTCACCCCCCTCGCGTAGAGGGTCCGCCGATGTCAGATCTCACGCATCCAACCCTAGTCAATCGTCTATTGGATCTGCTTCCCAGGGATCAGTGCCCCCGCGCCCATACCCTGTCCGGACATCCAGCAACGCCAGCCAAAACGCCATGTCTCTGCCGATCCGACCTGCACCTGGGCTATCAGAAGGCACAAATTCTAGACCGCACTCGAGAGGCCCAGCGCCAAATGGGGCATTACCCCCTGCGTCTAGGAGGTGGAACGCCGAGTATCAGTAGTCACCTCGTCTGCAATTGACTGTTTATTTCACGGGGATTTTTTGGTAGCTGTACTGGCATGTCTGGTTTCATTTGGCTTCTTTCGATACATTCTTGATCTGCATTTCCGTCAAGCATTGGCGGGGAGAAATGGGGATGGGGGAGAGGGGAGGAGGAGGTGCAGTTAAGGTTTGGAGTAACAAAATTCACATCTATCCCACTTCTTTCGTCGTCATATTTTCTTTTCCCACACCCCGCTACCCCGCCTGATCTTAGTGCACAAACTGGATTGATTACTCAGTACACTCGCTCGTACCTGCATGAATTGAATCCGTACCCCGTAGCTAAGCGCTCCATGCGGCAGCAGCTCACATGCCCACTCACATGTCCTCACAACACGAGAACTGCGCACGCATACATACACGCACACACACACACCGCTCTGCCCCTCCGTTCACGACATGCATGCCGGCAAATTGCGCGAACGTGACGCCTCCGGCGCGCCTGATGTGTGCTCGTGTGACGACTTTCCGCATCCGGCCCTTGGGCTCTTTTATATACAAATACAAAATTCTTTGCAGTGTTGGTCTGTTTACTCGACTTGTTCGTCTTTGAATTACTGCTACTGTTATTGCTGTTGTTACTGGTACTATTACTGTTTCTTTTTGAACTGCTATACTGCTTGAACTGCTCGCTATACCAGTTGTATACACCCGCGAAATAGAGCATGCTCGGCATCGTGCTTTTCCTCTCGACGCCGCATGTTGCGCTGTTTTTGGCGCTGTGCTCGGTGCTTTTGTGCTTGAGGCTTAGTGAGTGCTGAGTCTGTGGGTTGGTGGGTTGTCTTTTATATTTGCGGAGATGACTGGACTGATGTGGGGTTTAGGCCAAATTTGACGGCGCAAGGGATATCTACGACGTGTATAGGGGATGACCGGAGAAGACTGTCTGGCTGGTTGTGTTGCGTGGGACTTTCGTTGGGAGGTGTGAGGATATTGGGAAATGGTGTTTGTCAGTGTCCTGGTGTGCTGTGTCTAGTGTACATTTCCTTCCTTCGTCTCCCTTCCAGTCTTTCGGAAAACATATCTAGTCTTCGAGACCCGTGGCAAATTTGAAGTGTTGTTACTACGGTTTGTACTTTTCAGACTTCCACAGTTACAACAAACGACAATAACTGCGAATTATAATGTTGACTTGGTTAGTCAAGGCTTGCAGGTATTAGTGTTGAGATTGTTTGCGGTACGAATGTATGAATTTGTAAACTGCACAATCCGCACGTTCGTGAGCTCTAGTCTCTGTGATATGCCTGTCTAGGTAAGATTTTACATTTTCCCTTAGGGCTAATACAAGGTTTCCTCATCCTCAGCTTCAGTGTCCCACTCAGAGTTTTCGTCATCCTCTTCACTCCCGTCTTCGTCCTCTTCACTTCCTTCTTCGTCCTCCCCACTCTCCTCCCCACTCTCCTCCCTACTCTCCGCATCACTCTGCCCTTCATCTTCTTCAGAAGTATCGGAACTATCCGAGGCCAAAAAGTCATCGAGTGTAGCCGCACGTCTAGACCTAAAGCTCTTTCGCATGTCCGATATATCCTTCTCCTGCTGCTCTAATTTCGTCATCATACGAATTGACCGACGCCATTGATCGATACAACTAGAAAGCCACGGTCGCAAGTGGTTCAAGGCCCAGAAGTGGAGGTTTTCAATGATAACGCACAGCTTCACGTTGTCCACAACATTATGTAAGCTCCCTTCCCATATGCAACGCATTCGCTAGGGTTGTTAGTGACAGATACAAAAGGACGTAGTTTCGGTAGTGAACCCACATATTTGTAGCGGCCGTTCCTAATCATTGTGATATAGACGACCCACACTTTGGTCTCAGGGCCGACAAACGGCATGCAAACGACCGGACGTATTTCGTCTAATATCGGAGTTTGCTGCCCTCCAGCAGCAGCGTTGGCGAACAATGTCAAACAGACAGCAGCAGCGTTGGCTGCTTGGCAATAACAATACCTCTCGTAAGTGGTGCTGACATGACCGTGATGCTTCCATTCGCACACAGCCCATGGGAAACAGGTCAGGTCCTTGTAAGCACTCAAGGAATGAAACTCTTTGCATGGACTGGGTATGAAGCCAAATTCGCAATCCAGATTGTACTCGGCGAGTCTCTCGTATTGCTCGTAGATCTTACTCAGCCGTGTCAGACTGAAGTTCTGGATATAGTCGTCTGTGCTCAATGGCCCGCCGTATGTTTCACTGTGTTCGTATGCGTGGAAACTGAAGAAAAGATCCGGTTTTGGTGCCGTTAGCTTAGGAGCGTTTGAATTGCAATAACTCTGGAGAACTTCACGGCCAAAGGTCCAGTTATGGTCGAGCTCCCTATCTGAACGCATTAGCTACTAGAGTTGTGGGGAGGACTGATTGCCATCTCACGCTCTGTATCGATTGATCGCCCCCCTAGCAGTCTGTTTAGTCACTTTGCTTTCAGCAGCTCTGGCCTCGCCAATCAGCCTCCCAAAAACGTGCTTCTCAATAATTTCAGTCCAGCGCTTCTCTTCTTTTGACTCGACACCGTCTGCTTTTTCCTTGATTTGCGATGCCAAGTTGAAGTTTTCCTCACATCGTTCGATGTCGTAGTGCTTGCGGTAGTCTTTGAGCATTTCAGAACGTTTCTCAGGGGGCCGCTTGTCGGGGATGCGGATGCAGCCCGGCGTTGTTGCATGGAACTGTTTTTGTTTCCGTTCCAACTCGCGTATCTCTCTCTGCTCACATCAAAACCCCAACTAATAGAAAGTGGCCATGGCAATTGTCCCTTTGAAACATGACTTACCCAGCGCTCGTAGGAAATGATATGTTTAAAGTCCAGAAGATACTGGACGAGTATCCTGGCTTGAGGGCATTCCTTTTGCAATAACTCGAGATCCGCGACCTCTCCATAAAACTCGATACCGGCATCCTTCAGGGCTTTCTCGTTAAGAACATTCGTCATGTTTCCTGTGGTTGGAAGAGTTACTCAGTCTTCGGCGTAGGTTCGAAAGGTCAGCAAGTGTTGCTAGATGTTCCACAGTAGATGCCTGACTTTTTACTGCTTTCTGTCACTTCGCAACTGCGCCGCACAATACTACCAGGGTCTTAGGTACGTACTAATCTCACGACGGCAGGTGGTGTTGGAGTTGCCTTCTATTGGTCGTCCCCATCCCAATGGCTGATTGTCCGCATGGTGGTAAAACGTCGAACTCGCAACATCCGTGTTATAAGGGTTCAGGGAAACCACACATACACGAGTAGCTCAATAGGTCTATCAGGGCTTTTTATCTCTCCACTTCAGTGTGCACCATTATCTCTACGTAACTGCGTGGTCCTAGTCTACCCCAGGATGTCGCTAGCGCCAGGCCCCCTGGGGTCGCCAATCTGAGGTGCATCATCCCCGCATCATCTCAACAAGTCGAAGAAGCATGCTGAGTACCACTCACTGGGTTCATATCTCATTATTCTAACTCTAAATATTGCACTCAGGCAAGACGGAAGGAGTCTAAACAGCCTCTAAGCAGCAGCAGCCGTTCCATATGGCACTGCCTGCACGCTCTCGATATCCACGTATCCGTACTTACTCCCTGTCTTGTCCTCCGCCATACCTTTACCCCAGGTACCCATGTCCTTCTGGAAGGCCTCGAAGTTCTTCTCGTCACTGAGATCAATCGGCTGCTGGTCCTTGCCCATCTGCCTGATCTGTGTTCCAGACGCGACATTTGTGATCCCAAAGTCATTGTCGTCGGTAAGCTGGTCGATAGCAGCGTTGATCTCTCCAGCGATGATCTGACGGGCGATCTCAGGCTCTTGAGTGGTCGGGCGCGCAAGACCCACACCATCTACGGTAGAAAGTGCATCGACCATTGCGGCTGCGGTCTTGAATCCACCAGTTACGTAGGTACGGGTCTTGGAGAGGGAAGGCGTGATCTTCTCCGCAAACTCGAGGAAGAAAGCCTCACGCTTCTTCGTAGACTCGCGCTTGTGGCCAAACGCAAGCTGTTCGTACGTACCACCAGACAACTCAACGAAGTCGAAGCTGTTGTCCTCAAGCGTTTTGCACAACGTTATGGCCTCCTGGGTATCGAAACCCTTCTCCTGGAACTCCACGGAGTTGAGCTTGATACCAACGATGAAAGAACTCGACGTGCGCCGACGGATCTCGTTGGTAATCTCGATAATGATACGAGCGCGGTTCTCGAGGCTGCCTCCGTACTTGTCCGTCCTTTGGTTTGTAGACGGGGCGAGGAACTGTGCGAGGAGGTATCCGTGAGCGCCGTGGAGTTCGATACCGTCGTAACCCGCCTTCTCCAGGTATTCTGCGGCATGCGCAAAGCCTTCAATAATGTTCTTGATATCTTCTTCGGTCGCAGCTCGGGGTTTCGCGAAGGTCATACCCATGACGTTGCCCTCGAGATGCACATCTGACGCGGAAAGAGGGTTCTTTTGGATGTTCTCCGTGACTTGACGGCCGGGATGGCTGACCTGTCCTACAATCAAAGAGCCATGCTTTTTCGACTGTGTAGCCAGCTCTTTGAACCTTTCGAAGCGCTCGCCCTCGTACTTGGAGCCCCGAGGAATGATAGGGTTACCAGCCGCCTCGAGGTGGTCGTATTCGATCATGATATTTCCAGTCAGGATAATGCCATACTCGCCCTCGCCCCAGCGACGATAAACATTGCAAAGGTTTTTCGATGGAATACCACGAGCCTCCAGGTCCTTGGCGTCCCATGAGGAAATGCGCTCAGTCATTGCGCCCTTGAGAAAGCGATTACGTGCGGTTTTCTTGGAGAACGCGAAGTCGAGAGGCTTGCCGAGGGCGCTCACGTCCTTCTTCTCGGCTTCATATCGTCGTGGTGCCATGGTTGTGGTTTGAAGGGTAGATTTATGAAAAGATGTGGATATTCGTGGAAGAGTTTGACGTTTGGAAATCGGTGTACAAAACAAAAAAGTCTTTGCGAGGTATCGACTTATGTGCAAGTTTACCAACGCTCAAAGTTCGTCGATGATTAGCAATCGTCATATTAAATCCACTGGTGCATGGCTAAAAGACGACTAGAATGATCTATTCCGACGTCATTACCATGAGGTTGTCGACGACTCGGGGTATTCCGGCTAGGAAATTCTAGCACTAAATGATTAGTAAAGTCTGATCAACCTACCGCAGCACGCAAATCCTACGTCATCCACCCATGTAGATTCAACTTCAGAATTAATCGATACATCAATTCAGCAAGTTGGGAAGTTTGATCTAAGAGAGAGTTGTTTTGTATGTACTCACGCGCAAGAAATCAAGTCTTCGCAAACCACGATGAAATGTGTTGAGTACAAGTGAGCATGGCGCACGAGACGGAGTGTTGACAAGAACGAAAAAGATGATCGGATAATTGAACCGACTGTAATGGCTTTATCAGCTAGGTCGCTGTATTTATCACTTCTGACCCCCACTGAACGGTGATCGACCCGAACTTTGAGTACAAGATGCCCCTGTTATTGAGCTTCGAAGAGTTTGGTCTGACAGCTACCTTGTTCCTCACACGAACTCAGACGAGTCTGAGTTCTGTCGTCATTTATCTCGGATTTTACTACCTGATGTAGCTATCTCGATAGTGATATTATGAAGATTGGATTGTACCTGTATCTATGTAATCACGAAAGTTGGGGTAACTGGTGCCATTGTGTAATTACCATACGAAAGAGGGGAATTGTAATCATGGAAAACTATGCATAAGTTGCTCTCAAGTCGACATGATCATTGACTTGACAGGAAACCTTCCAAACCACTAGTGGCAAGTAGTATTTACCAAAGTATTGATTTTGTTGTTTGACACTATGTTACCTTGTCGTCGGCAGTCTATCAAACTCTGTTGCAAACGCTATACGTAACAAGCTCATGCTTTGAAGTATCCCACCAAAGCTAAACGACAAAGAACCAACCAAATTCCATAGCCTCGACGCATATCTCTAGAATATATAGTTGTCACATGATACCACGCTCCTCAACCACGCAACGGCCGAGCCAAGGAGCACGAAAACACTATTCTCCGAAGCTCTGCTGTAGTATAAATAGCTGCCTACTGGTAGTTACTACTACAGCAGTGGTCCATCAATAGATCACCTGAATCTACTATTTCCAACTCGGTTTTTCTCCATAATAGTCCTTATACTTGGAAGAAGGCATCTGTGCAGAGGCGAAGTGGCCTTGCTCCTTCGATAGGGTCAGGTCCGGTACCCCTGTTGCAAGTATTATCCTGGAAGCAAGAGTTAGCAACAGTCTGTTGCACTTCACTGAGTGTTTTTGATTAGTCCGGAACGTACCCATGAGACATCGTAGGCGGTGCAAACACTGTTCCATGCGTTGGCTGGATCAGAGTTCACGAGATAAGGTGCAAGAGGAGGACAGTTCGCATCTGCGCGCGCCTCAATTGGTGCTGGGACAGCCTGCGCAAGACTGAGGAAGAGGGAGGTAGCGATAACGAGGATGGAATACATCTTGGGTATTGGTATTCGAGAGGGTTTGACGAGAGTGTTGATGGCTGGACAAGTAGAAGTTGACTGCTGAATGTGTTAATGATAAGTTATGTTGACCGTTCTTCGAGGCTGGTCTTATACTCGTAACTTCAGGATCACTCAAATCTTGCAAGGATACGTACGGGTCGGCACATGTCAACTTTTGGGCGTGGAATGATAATTCTCATCTATATCAGGGAATATAAGTGTTTCTACCTTCTTCAAGGAGACTTCTCGGTATTACACGATCACCGAACTAACCTTGCTCCAACTTGCTCCGAGGTTCAAGTCAAACTCGTCTCGAAAAGGTCTTGGAAGCGGGGTGTTCACTCAAAATGGAAGGTTTGATGGATCCAGTGCTCTGGGCACGCGTCCGTGGTTTGATGTCCTGATCAGTTTTGAGATACTCGGCCCGATTGTTGAAACATCTTAAACAAGATGTCGTCTTGAAGCAGTAACAAGAACATTGAACCCCTGGTATAAGTCGCGAGCCAACAGTTTTCGACTTGAGCATGACACCATGTGCTAGATTATTGTCAGCTTAGCAATGCTCTAATTCTACATTGCACTTTCGCAGATGTCGTGAACGCGAACTCAGTGATAAGATTTAAGAGTGAAACATGTAACGAGATCCATATTCTTGTTGATGAGCGTGGCATATGCTTTGAGAGTGACTGCACATGCGAAGTCTTGATCATGCTATTGAAAAGTTATATAGTGATGGTAACGCGCGATTCTCCACTTAAAACCCCCAAATTTCAACTTCTGGTGGTCTGATAACATTTAACTATTTTGTTTTGGTTGTGTTCATCAAATTCCTCTTTTTAAACACCTCCAGTCTTACTTTTGTTCTCCCTTTCATGTCGTCAAGACTACTACTCAAAGGCCTTTGCATTTCGAGTTATCACCTATTTCGGCTACTACCTAGTGGTCTTGTGCATCACTGATTATGGAATTCGATTTATTGAGGATTTTGACAGTCAGATGAAAGAAATCCGCATCAAATATGTTTCTTGAATTCTGGTAGAATACACAGATGACACCGGCTCGTCAAGTCTTTTGTATACAGACCAAAGAACATTTTAGTTACCAAGACTGTTTGGTGGGATAGACAACATTCCAATACGACCAGATCATGACGAGTAAGCGTTGTGCAAATAGCTCTAACCCCGTCTACGACACGTTCAAACCGCGGTTTCAAGCAACATAGACCAAATTCAGCCTATGGCTAACATCTGAACATGAAGTACATCCTAGATATCGACGAAACTTCGGCAAAACTCTTTAGGCAGTGTTCCAAGGATTTGTGAATTTTTCCATGGGTGAATAGGAACTAATACATGCCGGTATTATGCAGCACAGAAACAACAACAATACTGTCGAAACGCGAAAAAGTCAGTTTCAAATGCAAGCGAGATGGCCTCTATCTTTTGGGGAGTTTTCGAAGTGTGTTTTGGCGCAGAAACGATGCTTGTGAGTAGTGATGAAATTTGTTACTTCAAGGTTGACAAAAATACCTGTTATCATGAACCTTGCAATAACGTTTTGACCTGGGATTGTAGAGAGAAAGATTTTTAACTTGTTATTTCAGATAAGCGATTCTTTGTGTTTGATGTAGTTGTATAAATGACGTTTGACATCACCTCGCGGTATACTCGGCCGCAGTTCACCGCACACTCGAAAATCCCTCTGCCGTGTATTGCACCGAAAAACTCTTTGCATCTCCGCAAATGCAGGTTCAATCACATTCCAAGTCACAGCAGAAAGTCAATGAACACAATGGAGAAGTTGATGTTGCTAGCAGCAGCACAGCCTCCACCGGAGATAGATGTGTGGTCTACACCAGAGAATCATGGAACGACAATAATACAGTTGACCATCATCTTGCGCAGCCGTTGCGCTAAGCCCCAGTATTCAGCCTTACAGCAGCCTGAGTCTCGTGTCTTTTGCGTTGCACGAGAACGTGATCGCAGCTCCCATACCCCTTCACCGGTTTCAATCTCGCCACACAGCCTAAATACCATCGCTTTGGACGAAATTTTGAACAACCGGTGATTATTCTCACTTTCCATATTGCTACCTAACACAACAAGTACGCGACAAAACGCAGTTCGAATCACTATGAGCACCACGACCTTCTCCAATGACCGACTGGTTGACGTCGAGCATCTCTCTCATCGAGAAAACAAGGAGCTTGGTATTACCAACGCCATCAACATCACAAGCAACACCACACTAGGTGCACAAGAAACATCTTTCCTGCCTGTGAAATCCCTCTACATCAACACAAAAGGTGTTCCGTTTCTATGCCTCTCACTACCGCCTTCTGAACTCGAGATCGCAGTGCATACTTCTGATAAATCAGTCGCTTACCGGAGTACAAGAGCGAAACGCAGCTCGGGGACTTGCGTTTTGACCGATGCAGAGGGTACAGCACTCATCAAGACTGAGTACTTCTTTGGACCGTTCAAAGACCCTATTTTGCATTGTCTAGGTTCGAAGGGATTGATACATGAGATCAGGACAGTGAGCAAATGGACGAGTAGGAATCACAAGTTCCCACTCCCCGATGGTCGCATGTTGGAGTGGAGATACGAGAAAGAGAAGGGGTTTGGTGCCAATGAAACAAAGGGAACTGCTCTTGTGTTGCAGTTGGGAGACAAGAGGATAGCCGCGCTTATCAGGAACGACGAAACAAGAACACCGGGAAGCAAGGTTAGCAGTGCTGCTAATGGCGGTGAGCTTGTGTTGAGTACAGATGTTGGGAGCAAAGACGGGATTGATCAGGATCTTGTCGTTGCGACTTGCTTTTTGATGCTTAAAAGGAGATCGATCGATTGAGGACGGCGCAGGTTGTGTTGATCACGTAGATTTCGAATTTTGCTTCTTTTTTGCCTCCTTTTTCTCCAGCCTCGTTGAGCTATTGTTTTGTTTTGTAACACCTCGCGATCTAGGCGTTTGTATCGTGGTTAGTATAGTTAAACTTTCTCCTACCATTGATTACAGTAGACGTCGATAATTACAAGTATATGGACAAAAAGAACTGCAACAATGAGAGTTACAAGCTCGGGATGTTGATGTATCTGTACAACTCCCTGTTCCGATTGCTTGCGTTGCGTGTATGCGACGAGGAGAAAGTCTTGCCAGACTTGATAGGCAATAAACTGAAGGGAATGGGATAAACGCAGAAACAAAGCGAACTATCGTCACTATGAGGGACACGCGTGAAAAGCTCCAAGGGGTGATATGACTTTGACAAACAGAGACCTCACACTTCCTATCTGCAAAGGGGCAGCCTCGCACTTACATGTCCTACCTTGCTCGGCCTCGAGTCATCAACGGTCTGCAATCGGTTACATTTGCCTTACTCACCAGCACTTGATAAGGGCAGACACTCCTAGGCAAAAGTACACAAGAACAGTGTAAAAGCGCGAGTCACTGATGGCACGTCCAATCTATTATGCGGATGTTGTCAGGGCGATGGTACGGGTTGGGACGGAAGAACGGAATGAGCGGACAAGGACAGGGTGTGAGGATTCGCGTCACGCACGGTCTCTTCGCGTCGCGATGGACGACGCGCGACGTACGCGTGTCCGAAACGGGTCAAATATACCGAAATAGCTTTTTAGAATGCGCTGCGAAAGCTGGTGCATCAAGGATTGATGTGCCTAGGTCACTTGGTGTTCTCCAGAAAAAGAGTGACAGCAGTAGTAGTAACGTTGCTTCATTGTTTCGTTGCCCTGGCAAAACCAGGAGCATAGGTAAGGTCTACGCGACGCGATCGGAAATATTCGATCAAGCTGTCGTTGCACGGGCAAAAGAAATATATAGTACATAGTCGATGGACATCCGCCACAGTGAGTTCATCCGAACCGACCGCCGAACGCCGAGTTGCCGAAGAGAAAGTCCCAGAAGATCAAATGCGTAAATAAATGCAGGTGCGAGAAGAACCGAAAGCGCTTTTGGTAGTACAGGATTGAAGGTGAACGAGAAAGAAGGAAGGCGGACAGGAGAACCTCGTCACATCTCCATTAAGTCGACATTGGTGGTGGCGACAGTCTGGGGAGAAGAAGTGGCCGGCTCAGATGGAGTGAGTTGACGGGCGTTGATACGTTCTCCTTCGACGTGAGGAGTAGGTCCAGACATAATGTTGCGGACAGTCTGCTCTAGGGACCAACCGACGAGCTGGCACCACTGGAGACTGTCTGCGAAAAGCCAGTAGCCGTCTACGCCTTGTTGCTTTGCGCGTACCAGGTAGGCAGATAGTGACTCCTTCTCGAGCATGATAAGGGCGTCGGTGAAATCGAAGTGGCGCTCGATAACACGTGAATAAGCGCGTGCTGCGTCGCGGAGATTTGGATTCGTCATAACGTTCTTCCAGCCGACGCCAAGCGATGCGATGAGCGTGTCGATGGTGTTGCCCTTGTCGTCGATAACGCCCTCGGTTTTTTGGACATCCATGTCGTTAAGCGAAGGAATTTCGATGCTGGCAGATGGACTCATTCGTTGCGATTTGCGCGAGACGGCAATGGGACGAGCTAGCTCGGCTTTGTCTTCATTCTCTTTCTTCTCTTCGCACCACGTGCCGGTTTGCGACTCGGCTGCGATACTGAAGCTAGGATCATCAGGGTAAATGAGCGTCATCCCAGGGCCGTAGATAGGTTCTTGCTTAGGCTTCACAGGCAGTTGAGTAACAATTGATCCGACTGGTTGGTTCTCTTCTGGGTCGTCGACGTCGGTGATGGATCGTTTGCGCCCAGCTGTGGCGTTTGAAACGGCTGCTTGATAGTTGAGTGATGGTGGAGTAGGGCACTTGCGACGAATGTTACCCAGAGTCGAAGGTGAGTGGGCGCGTTGGTGGGGAGCGAAGTGGTCTTGTGGCTGTTGCGCCGGCAGGACGACTGTAGGCGACGAGGCATAGTAGTTGAGACCCATGGTTACTATATGTTTAGTAGTATGCACGTTGATCAATGTTCAGAGATACAAAAGTCTGTCAAGTAACTAAGCAGAAAACAAGCACGCGGCAGGCTTAGTCACAATCACTTGGAGCGACAGCGTTTGATCCGCGTCGATGATAGAGGTAAGAGAAGGCGCAATGATGGTCGTGTAGGTAAGGTAAAGCGTGGATGGATGGATGCTTGGCGCTAGAGGTATGAGCAAACTCAAAGAAAGAAGTTGGCGAAAGGCTGAATGCGATGAAGTGCAGGCGAAACAGAAGTGAGGTGGAAGAATGATGGTTTCAAGGGCGACAGAGCGACTCTTGTAAGCTCCGAAGCAGAGTCCCGTGAGAGGCTGGGCCAAGAACCGGCAGAATGAAGCAGGCCCGAAGAAGGGATCTCCAGGGCAACTGCGCGATTGGCCACTGGGCAAAGGCGCATCCGTTCGTAGCAAGCTCAATCTCGTGCCAAGTGTTCTGTAAAATAGATGGACCGAACTAGACCGAGGGTCATGTGATAAGCTCGTCGAGATCAAGTGCTGACGGAATATGTCATGGTGTGTGAATTTCGTTTCAAGATCAGTTCAAAACTTGACCGTCGATTCCGGTGCCATGGGACGTCACATCACGTGGCTGTATCAGAGAGGGCTTAGCCGTTCGGAGCGGGGATACCACACGCCTAGCGCGATGAGAGCGGGCGGTATGTCGCGTTTTTTTGGTAGTTTGGCGGAGAGGGAGCTACCAACGTACCAGATACCCCACCTCTGCTCAGATTCACGCCGTCATCCTGTTTTTACTGTAGTTCCAAGCTCACACGTTCAAGATGCAGGCGCCAGTAGTGGTTATGAGTGTGTTTTGCCCCTCCATGTGTAGCTTTGACAGGCGGCTGATAGCACAACAGACACCCAGACCCCGGGCGGGGAGCGACAATTTGGTCGTAAAGCTCAGATCTCGAACATCACAGCAGCAAAGACGGTCGCAGACATCATCAGATCATGTCTTGGTCCCAAGGCTATGTTGAAGATGCTGCTCGACCCCATGGGCGGCATCGTCCTCACCAACGACGGTCACGCAATCCTCCGAGAAATCGAAGTCGCACACCCCGCAGCCAAGAGCATGATCGAACTGAGTCGGACACAAGACGAGGAAGTAGGCGACGGCACGACAACTGTCATCATATTAGGTATGCAGAGGTTAGATGGACTTTAGATCGCGTCTGACAGTAGCTAGCTGGAGAGATTCTCGCCCAAGCTCTGCCCCAGTTGGAGCGCAACATCCATCCCGTTGTCATCATCCAGGCTTTCAAGAAGGCTCTTGCGGATGCTCTTGAGATCATCAGCGAGGTTGCAACAAACGTCAACATCAACGACGACAAGGAGATGTACAGGATCATCAACTCTTCAATCGGCACAAAATTCGTCTCGCGATGGTCAGACCTGATGTGCAGTCTTGCTCTCAAGGCCGTACGAACGGTTTCACTAGACATTGGCTCGGACAAGAAGGAGGTCGACATCAAGCGTTATGCCCGTATCGAGAAGATCCCTGGAGGCGAGATCGAGGACAGTGAAGTGCTGGATGGTGTCATGTTGAACAAGGATATCACACACCCCAAGATGAGGCGGAGAATCGAGAACCCGCGCGTCATGCTGCTGGACTGCACGCTGGAGTACAAGAAAGGCGAGAGTCAGACGAACATTGAGGTCAGCAAAGAGGAGGACTGGAACAGGATATTGCAGATCGAAGAGGAACAAGTGAAGGCCATGTGCGACGCCATCATTGCTCTCAAGCCTGACCTTGTCATTACGGAGAAGGGCGTCAGTGGTAAGGACTACAGTATATGCATGCCATGAGTTCTCGCTAATGCAGGAACAGATCTAGCGCAACACTTCCTCGTCAAGGCTGACATCACCGCCATTCGTCGAGTCCGCAAGACCGATAACAACCGTGTCGCGCGGGCGACTGGTGCCACAATTGTCAACTCTCCGTTCGCCGCAACTGCTTCCGATATTGGTACTCAGTGCGGTCTCTTTGAGATCTCAAAGATCGGCGACGAATACTTCACCTTCCTCACAAAGTGCAAAGACCCAAAGGCCTGCACAATCTTGCTGAGAGGTCCCTCAAAAGACATCCTAAACGAAATCGAGCGAAATTTGCACGACGCCATGGGTGTTGCCAGGAACGTAATATGGAACCCCAAACTGTGCCCCGGAGGAGGTGCAACCGAGATGGCAGTCGCGGTCGGACTGGAGAGAAGGGCAAAGCTGATCGAGGGCGTTGCACAGTGGCCTTACAAGGCGGTCGCCGAGGCCATGGAAGTCATCCCACGCACAATCATCCAGAATTCAGGAAACAGCCCTATCAAGGTGCTCACCGAGCTACGCGCGAAGCACGCCGAAGGCTACGAGGACGGCAAGAACAGCGGCAGCTTCTGGGGCATCGATGGAGATGCTGGCAAGGTCGTTGACATGCGGACGTTCGGGGTTTGGGAGCCATTGGCAGTCAAGGAGCAGAGTGTCAAGACTGCTATCGAGAGCGCGTGTCTGCTGCTGAGAGTCGACGATATTGTCGCGGCGAAATCGGCGAAACAAGCTGGTGGTGCTATCGGTGGCGGAGGCGATGACTAAATATGCTCGGGACGCAGATTAAACTTGCATTCACTCCTAGGGGATTGATAATACTCCTCAGAGACGAGCTACGAAAATGAACAAAACCTTACGATAACGACGCTGTGGTGTATCTTATAATGCCAACTTTCTTCGAATGTGAACACGGACATGTTTTCTTTCTTATCCTTGACTTCGACATGTTTCCGTACTCCACACTTTCGAATGCACTCATCACTCTAAACATGTGCAGCAGAATGCCCTCAACCCTTCGTTTTGTCTTCCTTGATGGATGTCTAAAGGCTACTTCTGCTGTCCGGCCCATACTCCGTCACTCCTTTCTGTTATGACTATCTTTGGTACCAATGAATTCCTCCGACTCATACACGGTTCTCATGTTTCGTAAACACCTCACATGGTCCAGGATGTAAGTTTTGGTGGGGTTTGCACAGTGGCGTGTGAGGGGACTTGTTCGTGCAGTATAATTTCGTCTCTGCTCTGGACTGCCTGCGAGGTTTGTAGTTTGATGCAAAGGAAGATGATCTGAACATGTGCAGCATGATGTGCCAACACATTGGCATGGCTTACGTGAATATCAGTACAGCTGTTAGCCGATGAGTTGTGATATGCTAGCAAATTGCCAACAGAAAGTAACGTACTGCAGTGTGACATGGGCAGTCTTCCCCAAACTCTACCCATTCTCAGGCTCGATCCGAAAAAAAGTCCATCACAGTCTTTCGTACGGGTCGACGAACATCAGCACTGATCGACCGACAATCTCCTCGTCCTTGCTGTCACTGATAACGGTGACGCAGATTTCGTAAGTAGGCCCATTCGAAATCCAAAAATTCGCTTTCCTAGAGCTGAGCAGCATAGTCAGACAGTATATCAGCAGCCCCTGATCTCATCCCAAACACATGCCCTTCAAAACAAGAGTCGGCAAGTGTACTGTCGGACCCATCCAAGCTGTGTTCTTGAAGTACGTTCTCGAATATGCCTGTCTCTGCGAGGAGGCGACGTTCGTAAGCAAGCATGTAAAGCTCTTCATTCTCCCAGAACCAATCATCTATAAACATATCGACCCGGTCTCTGTAACTAGCCATGGCTTTTGCATACAGGTCCATGTATCTATCCGAAGAAGTATCCAGCTTCGAATTCGTCGAGTCGAAGACAGAGTGCCCACGTAAGAATGATTCCCTAGCATCTTGGCAGAACGTGCGGATGTTTCGTTTGGTTACTTCGCGAGAAGTATAATCAGCTTGCTCTCGACGAACGTACACTTCTTCTGCGAAAAACCTGTCCATGAGAAGCTTCCAGTTGAACGAAATGTAGTCTGGGCAGTCCGTTTCGTTCAGAACGGACTCCAGACCTTTGGCTTTGCGATGGCATTGCATCTCGGGAATATCAGGGTCGTTTGCGTAGGAAGTGCCTGGTTGATGACCGCTGAAAGTCATACGCATAATAAAAGGTATGATTTCTAGAGAGTCATATCTTTCGAACGTTTCTGGTTTCTTTCGAGACAGTGCTGTGGAATCTTTGTACTCGAACGCGCGAAAGATGGAGTACTTGAGTTCGGCATCAGACATGCGACGATTGTAGAGCATCGATAGCCTAAAGAAGGCTCTCGCCGAATTTCGATTGGAAGATTCCTCGTCTAGCCATGAGTAGAGCACGGGATGGTCTACTGAATCAGGATCGGTGCCTTCGCCTCCCCACTGGATACGGAGGCGAGGAAGATATACAGCGCGGAAGACACGCTCTGCCTCGCTCCGGAACGTTCGAGAGACCTGACGCCAGGTAATCCATAGAGTAAAAGGATCATCAATTTGTCTAAGCACTTCGCCCCATAGCTCGATCGGGAGAGCGAGGCGCACAGCACTGTCCGTGGGGTTGCTGCAAGAGGGTGAATAGCTCCTCATAAATAAATAATGTGTAAACCTACGAGGCTGGCGAAGTCGCACCCAATTCGGCTGGGTTATCCATTAGGACGTTCATACAAAACTCAACGATCTGTAAGAGGAAAGAGTTGGCAGGCGCGTTGACGCGTATTTGTAGTGATGTAAAAAATACAATTCCCGTCGTGGTGGATTGAATGCTTGGAATCAGGTGTTGGTGTGATGGAAGGCATAGAGTCAATGTCGCTCGTTGTGTTTGTTTAGTTCACTAGGCAAACACGATGTTCCGAAACGGGTCGAGTCGAAGTGAGTGAAGAAGGGGCAACTCACAACAGGTAGCAAGAACTCGAAGATGCGTATAAAACGCAATCGTTTAAGAGTATGCAAAAGCCCCAACTCTGTAATTGCCACATGAGGAATCAAGAGAAGAAGGTAAAGAATGCGAAGATGGACAATGAGAATGGGAGCAAATGAATGCAGGAACAAAATGCGTGTTGTGAGTATTCAAGCGGATTGCAAATCGTGAAAGTATATTATGAGATGTGTAGTTGTGTCATTTAAGACCTTGATTATTAGGTGTTAAGATGAAATGAAAGGCGTCTTACACCTTAATGGGCGGCCACAGACTGGAACCAGCACATAGTGAGGCCTTAGGTCGAATGGCATCAGTCGCCGGGTATCACTTTATCCTCCCACTCGAACTCTGTTCTTACAAGCCTCCCTCCTCAGTCATCATCCTCAATGACCAAACCAATCTCCTCGACATTCTTGACCTCTCCGCCATCACCATGCTGTCCTTGCTCTTCATCCTCGTCTTCTTTGTCCTTGCTTGCATCAACTCTAGGCGCCAACTTCCTCTTCCCCTTCTCTCCCTCCACAGGCGTGCCCTCCCTCTCACTCCCCTCCCCGCCCTTCTTCTTCCCCTTCTGTTTCCTTGCCATGGCCTTTTGTCTCTTAGCCCGGTTCTTCTCCGTCTTCTCCCTGTCTTTCTTCTCCAGCTCCTCCTTTCTCTCCTTGAACCCTTTCTCGTCTTCTTCTTTTTGCACCTCCTCGTCCATCAGCCTAAGTCTCTCATACTCGCGCCTCCGACTCGCTTTGTAAACATGAAATTCGCCGCTGCCCGCGCCAGCACTGGAACCTTGCACGTTGGCGACAATCTCTGGGGGCGCAGAGGAGGGTGCGCTAGTGCTGGACGGAATGTGCACGGAGCGGTCGGGGTGCGCGAAGAGGGCTGTTACCTGGGAGGCAAGTGCAGCGCGTGGGGTGAGGGCGCGTTTCTTTGTTGGGCGATGGGAGCGCGGGTCTGCAGAGGTAGGGACTGATTCGGGGATAGGTTCGGACATTGTGGTGGTGTCTAATGTAGTAGAGGCGGATGCCTGGGCGCGGTTCAGGTGTGGAGTGTTCTGATAGCGAGAAGGCGTTCGTTATGAGGCAAATCGACCGGTATGGGTGTGGCAGCGCACGATTTCGCGAGATGAAAAGAATTTTAGTGTGCGAAGAATGAAGATGGCGAGGAACGCGACGGGTGACGCGATTTGAGAGCTTTGACAACTTCTGTGGCGATCACGCTACTGCAGGCTGGACGAAGCACATGCGTTAACGAAGTCGCCGCTTCAGCTTCACTTGAAACACACTCTGTGACCTCTATCTAGCTCCTGATTGTGATTCTGTGCCCTAGACGCTTTCTTTTCTTGCGTACTCTCTGTAGTCACCACTATAAAATCTGCTTAGGCACAAAATAAATATAAAGATCCAAGATGGGCAAACCCCGCGTAGGCTACATCGTATTGCGACAAGGCGCACTGGCTGATCCCTGGTACAGATGATAATACTGATCCGCCATGCCCAGTCGGAAGGAAACAAAAATCGCGACATTCACCAGTTCATTCCTGATCACAGAGTGAAGCTCACACAGCATGGGTGGACCCAGGTATGGCTCCGATTGCAGTCCACGATACATGCGGTGAACTGTGACTAATGCCATGTGCTCGCAGGCGGATGAAGCAGGACGAAAGCTACGAGCCCTCCTCAAACCAGATGACACCATCCAGTTCTTTACCTCTCCCTATCGCCGTACACGCGAAACTACCGAAGGCATACTACGGACGCTAGTCTCAGACGACCCCACGCCCTCCCCGTTCCAGCGCAGCAATATCAAGGTGTACGAAGAGCCCAGGCTGCGAGAGCAAGACTTTGGCAACTTTCAGCCATGTTCGGCAGAGATGGAAAGGATGTGGCAGGAGCGCGCAGACTATGGCCACTTCTTCTACCGTATTCCTGACGGCGAGAGTGCTGCAGACGCCTATGACCGCGTCAGTGGCTTCAATGAGAGCCTGTGGAGGCAGTTTGGGGACGATGACTTTCCCAGCGTGTGTGTATTAGTCACGCATGGCTTGATGTCTCGAGTCTTTCTCATGAAGTGGTAAGTACAAATGGCATTATTCTCAAGTAGTGGAAAGGCAAAAGTGCTAACACACCAAGGTACCACTGGTCAGTCGAGTACTTTGAAGACCTCCGCAACGTCAACCACTGCGAATTCATCATCATGAAGCGGTCTGACGCCAACGCAAAGTACATCCTTCAGAATGAACTAAGAACCTGGTCAGAGCTGAAGAGAAGAGCTGCCGCATCAGGCGCAGGAAACATATCTGCGACTACACCGAGTAGATCCACACCAGTCAATACCGTAGGATCATCAACTGCAACATCATCTCCTGTAATACCTGTCCGGCGCTGGGGAGGATGTGTAAACGGTTGCGATCACGACAAAGTACACTGGCCTCGTCGGGCAATGCGTAAAAACACCGCCGACTTCTTTGGCAGCCAACAACAGCAACAACAACTACCCCCACCCGCCGTAGCAGACGACGAACAGGAAGACCCAGTCACGCCACAAGATGAAGACACGCCCATCATCAAAGAACCCGTGCCCGCCAAACTATCCCGCAAAAGCAGCGCCAAAAACATCCCAGCAACAGCTATGCCACAAACCCCAGCCTCTCCCAACGATGCCTCAAACGACGCCACAAGCAGCGAAGAAGATAAGCAGCGATCACAGCCGACTCTCAAAACTGCTGCCGTCCTGCGACACCTGCAATCTGCCGAGCGCGGTCACGGCGACGGCCTTTCCGACGACTCAGACTATTTTCCAGGAATGCATCATCAACAAACGACTTCTGGAAAGTCGCGTCTCCGCGCTAGTTCGAAACAACGACACCATAGCAAGGAACGAAAGTTGCACAAGCGAATGACGGAGCAGAGTTGGAAAGAGGAGAGCGGTATGGGGAGTGGGACAAGGACTGACAGGCTGGGTGACGGAGATGGAACGAGTGATGAGGTAAGGAAGGGTGGAGAGGGGGATATCTTGAGGGAAGCGTTGAAGGGGGATATGATTGTCGAAAAGTCTGAAGAGGATGGTGACGAGGAGGACGAGGGACTTGACGTTGGGGATATGACTGAGAAAGAGGTGGAGAGGTTGAAGGAGGCTGAGAAGAAGGGGTTTGGAGAGGTGTATTGATATTTACTGACTGGAATGTAGAGATATATTACATTGAGTCTCTGGGTATCCGTTCAAAAGGCACTCTAGAAGATCAAGCGGCACACAAGCACTGTGTCATTGAACTCCGCTGATGTAGATCCCACTGTGCAGGTCAGTCTGCCGGTAATGATGTGTATCTCCGTCTACCCAATTACGATCAGCATGCACATAGCAACCCCAAGGATCTGGTAACAGGTATCTACACCGGAGACGAGTGTTTTGACGAGCCGAGAGCTAGAAAACGTGTTCGATGAGGCATATTAGAACCAGCTGAGTTTCGACACGTCGTACAGAAACTTCCCAGGCGTATCCTGCATCTGCGGGGCGGAAAGTGGATGTGTCTAGACACGAACGATATTGTGAGTCTTCCCCACATTCTACTACTAACATTTTCGCCACGAAATCGCTGGCCTTTGTCGAGTCCCATGCAATATCAGACAATCGAACTGACTTGTTCACGTGTAGATGCTTTGTTGATTCGAGAATCTGACATGCTCTCTCAGCTGGCAAGAAAACCATGAGGATCGGCGATCGATATACTGGGTTTGGGTACCAGATTTCACTGAGCTTTGACAACATACGCCCTGCTCTGGTTCACTGTTATAGTCATGTGACTGAAAAGGACTAGCGTGAACGCCATTCACCGTCAGCCACTGTCAGCCTTCGACTGATTGGCCACTTGGTGAATCTGCGGGAGCTATTCGTGTATGCGCTTACTGTTCTTAGCTCGATATAGACTTCGTCTCCAACTTGTGTGCGGCGTCAGCATGGCTGATGTCCTGCTGCGCTCAGCCAGATGAGCGCTGACACCACGCATCTTCTTGGCGGATGGCCCGACCCTGTTTAGAGCGAAATTTCAATTATCCGAACTGTCAATGTGAGGAGGCGCGGTGTGAGACCAATTGTGGGAGTGAGAAACGGGGCGAAGCTCGTTGTGATGTTGGTGATGGCGGCTGAGTAGAGCAGTGTCTTGCTTCCCGTACTGTGCTTGGGGTTACATCGAAGTACCACCTGAGCCAAATCAGTGTGGTTCAATCCCATGGCCTTGCAAATCAAAAAAGTATAAGATGCAATACGATTGTCGAGGAAATGAATCCTCATCTCATACTCACAAACAACAAAACAACAACATCTTCCATTTTCCTTTTCCATTTCCATCTTCTTTCTATATCTCCTTGCGACACTCACTCTGGTCTTCAACTCAATAATCAACACCCTACGAACAACAACAACAAACAACCAAATCATCAAAATGCAGTTCACCATCTTCACCACCCTCGCCATCCTCTCCGGCGCCTTCGCCCTCCCCACCCTCTCCACTCGCGAGATCAAAGCCTCCCAAGAACTCTTCACCTTCGCCCTCACCAACGATCTTAGCGGCTCGTCTGCGGCAACATCCATCCCCATCAACGTGGACCCGGTTACCCTTGGCTCGCTGTTCTTCGACCCCTCTGGCCGCGTTTTCGCGACCTCAGCGCAGAACCTCAACCCCTCCGGCGAAGGCGTTGCCTGCTTCATCGTCAACCCCGCCAGCCCAGACGCGGTGATCCGATTCAACGACAAGATGACGTTTGTGGATCTCGACAACAACAAGGACGTGGCTATCCAGACGGACGTGACGGACTTCACTATCCAGTGCGTTTTGTAAACACTGCATGGGGAGAGGGGAGGATGAGCGTGTGATAATTATGGGGTGCATCTTGTCTTTTGGTTCTTTGCATAGCGATTCGGTGTTGTCTTTTTTGGATTTCAGTATACACACATTCCTTTGACGATGAAGGCTCGACTCTATAGAAGCTAATTAGCTAATACCGCTCCTTTGTGAGCTTTAATGCAACTCACATATACCGTTGATCCGCTTTTGAACTTGCCTTCTACAAACGTTGTTCTTTGGAGTCCACTGAGCATGCATCAAGCACAAGGGCTCAATGACTGATATGTGTATTCTAGGGAACATCACTGTTGACTCAGGACTATCACAAGTAGAACAGGGACCAATTGCCACCTGAAATACCAGATCGTGTCGTTTCTTGACGGATCAACCAGAGTCATCGTGTTCTCAATGCAGAGTGTCAAATACACACGAAAAGATATATTTTGCAGACAGGAGTGTGCACCCCAAAGAGCAGCACGCCAAAATCATATTTGCAAGTATATACAGGAATTCAAAGAAGCTGGAACGAACTACACCACCATCAATCACCACGACTCTCGGCCCCAATGTGTCTTCCTTCCTACTTTAGACACTAGCCAACACCCCAAAATCTGTCCAAGTAACAGTGGCTAGACCACTTTAACCGGAGCAAACGCCAACCTTCTTTGGTTCACAGCTACCGGAGCAGCCATCGTACATCTGGCACTTGACCTTGGCATCGGCACAGACGTTCTTAAGGGTAGCAGTGTCCTTGTAGTTGGTGTTGATACCAGCGAGCTCACCACCGTTAACAGCGGTGACACCCTCAATGTAGACGTTACGCTTGCACTGCGAGCTGCACTATACAGGAGTCAGCGAAGGTTCATGCTAGGAAATGTGGAGATACTTACGTTTCCGCACGAACGGTAAAGCTTGCCGTAGTCGTTGGCGTAGAAGTTGATGATGTTGACTGTTCCGCAGCCATTGTGCTGGATGACCTTATCGGATGCGTGGTAGGCTCCTCCACCGATAATCCAGGACTGCGTGCCGGCGGCATCCTTCTTGATCGAGAGGGCGTCCTAGTGTTGGGTTTAGCATCAAATCATACCTGTGTACTCAGTCACGAACCTCGCAGACGTCCTCCCACCACACGAATTCGAGGGTACAATGTCCTTCGCAGTGGACACCCTCGGCCTGATTCTTGCCAATGATGACATTGCGGAGAGTGGCGCCAGCCTTCAGCAAGAAGACAGCGTCGGAAGCACCTGTGCGGTTAGTAGTGAAACCAGTGATGGACTAGACTTGATGACTTACCTCCCTCGGTCTGGCCACTGCACGCACCGCTACCACGATCATACCTGTACCATGCACCGTCGAATGTCTGACCAGCAGCAATCTCAATGACCTTGCTGTTGGTCTTGGTGCCGACAGCTGTGGGAACACCACCAGCGTAACCATTGCAAGCAAGGGCAGCAGGGACAAAGGCCGTAATGGCAGCGACGATAGCTCCGAACTTCATGTTGAGAATAGTATATATCTTGAATTGAATGTAGAGTCTGAAACGAGTGACTATGTAGAAGAGAAGAGTGAAGTGTTTCTGGCTGATGAAAAGAACTTTGGTGCGAATACATGTAGTACTTATACGCCTCCTCGTTGCCCTCTAACATTCCACCCTATAATTACCATACTATTCAAGGGATGTGGCCAAGACAAACAGCCAAGCTTACTCCAAGGCTCCGTCTTACTAGAGATGGCTCCTTATTTAATATCCTTCATCTTTCATTCGCGGAACTCCACATGGCGTCTTGGCTCTTGGCAACGCCCGCTCCGCCGGCTTAGAACCTACTATGTGCTATCGACAAGTCATGAGGTGTGTTTCAAGGCGCACGTCGGCTGCCGAGGGTTGTATGTGTTGGTTGTTCTGACTTGGTGGTGACCCACATGAAACGAACGGCTTACCCCTGCCTCATCAGACCAACCTCGTTCTGGACTTGACATATTGTACCGCAGGGCTTAGTGTATGGTATCTACTCTGATCTCTATCGGACAATTAAATCCGCCATTCATTGTTCCCTCTGCGTATTCCTTGTCAGTCGACAACTTGAAAAGTTGGGTCGCGTGGCCAATGGCTTTGAACAAATTTCTATCACAGCAATATATTGTATGCACGGCGACAAAATCAATGTGGATTTGCGAGACTCACAAATGCTGATACATGTCGATACTGCATGGAAGAGTGCGAACCCGAATCCGTAACCTGCCTGCTGTTGAGTACCGCGTGGCCATCATAGCCAGGATGAAGCCGGTCATGCCAAAAGCTCTATACACGTCACTCCACATCGGGAGTTCATAATAGCACCGAAAGTAAGGCAGACGTTCGAGAACGTTATTTGGCACTAAAACAGAAGAATCACGCCAGTTGTGCTCGAGGAACAATCAGTAAGTCAGGGCAAGCAGACATTTATTGTCCCACATACTCTGGCCTCGCAACACGATCTGTTACTGAGTGAAGTGTTGTGCGCATTATGCGCAAGCATACTAACGGTATAGTCCCGAATTGGGTCAGAGTAATATGGCAAACAACCCCAAGGCATTCCGGTATCCACTCCACGGAAGTGGCTTTAGGGTTAGAAGGAATGTTCTAGACCATTTCGGGAAGATCTTATCTAGGAGCGTACAAGAAGGGCCTGCAGACCTTAGATGAATTCAATCAACCCAATCAAATAATATCCGACGACCGTTTGTGGATTGAGACTAAACATCTAAATCCGGGGTAGGTGGACTCGATGTACACTTCTTCTTACCTAGAATTTGTTCAAACGTTCGCTGGACATTTGACCTTGTTTCCCCTCTTTTACAAAGACACACGATTTTCGAGGCAGTTTGCCAACCCAACACTAGTATAAAAATACATCATCGAATGTGCGGTGATGGCGTCACAGTTGATGATCTGGTCTCTCTTGGAAACCACTCTCATCCCATTCTAGGTTCTAGTGCATATATGAACCACGGAACTCTCACCAACTCATCTGCAACCTCGCTTTCTTGATTCCTACACCAACGCACACGTGTCAGTTGACAGCTTTTGCGCATACGAGTTCGTGATGGCCATGACTTCACGTTTGCGTGTCACTGCTCTCACAGGAAACCAGGTCTTGTTGCACGAGCTCTCCTGGCAGTAGTGCCAAACAAACACTGAGTTTTCGACCTTGAGTGGCAACGCGTCAACACCAAAAATTCATTGGGACATATGCTCGCTACCGAATGTGACGATGCGGGCAGCCTAGTAGAACGGAACAGATCCCCGCCAAAGGTCCGAGACCTTGAGGGGTGAATCAACTGTCCGCACTGTGTAAACTCTTTCCTCAACACAATCGTTAATCCTTCATATCGCGTGCACTGCTTATACCTCACTCTTTGCACGATTCTGAATCTTCAAGCTCATATCGACAGTCTGTGAATTGCAACTCACTAGGTAAGATCCCTCGTTTAACTTCAGTTGCTATTTTTAGAACGTCACAATGGAAACCACATTGAGCAGACATCGAGTAAGTCACGACCTCACATCCAATGTTTCGACTTCCATTGCAGCCAGGCCACGAAGCTGATTGTGTACAAGAGATCGTTGGGGCAGGCTCGCTGCCTAGCCGCCTTTAGAAAAAGATACATATGTTCGAGTTCCGCCGGAGATGCGGACGACGAATGCTGCATCTGCCAGCAAGCTTACAGCCCGACACACGAGGCAGTGAGCATTCTAGTCAGAGGATGTAGACACAACTTTGGGCGCGAATGTCTGGACAGCTACTTGAAGAGTAGCAGTCCGAATAACAATACTTGTCCCATATGCCGAAGGCCGTGGTACAAGCGCGATCACTCTTCGACTTCCCCTCGAGACACAAACACCTCGCGTACCTTGACCCCTTTCAGCCAATTGCGGTCGCACGTACGATTTGACCCTCAAGCAAGAGTAAGTCAGAGGCAGCGCGTGTTGGAGCACAGCTACGCCTTGAACAATGGGTCCATCGAGAGACATCTGGATGAGGTCGTCCGGCATCTGGAGTATATCGATGACTTGACCATCGATGAGAGCACTCCAATTGCTGAAGTCCGACTTCGTCTTCGGCGGGTCGAGCAGCGTACAAGACAGGTCTACCGTCGGCTTGATAGGTGGACTGACGAAGCTCTTCATTTGACGCCGCAACGCGGATCTGGACGGGGGTCACAATCGGGAGGCACTACGTTCCACGGCAATGTTAGACGATGGCCTAGCACTCTCGAAGGTGGCCAGGATGAAGAACGGGCCCGTTTCTCTCTGGGGAGTCCGTCTCGGCGCAGGTCAGCAGTGCCATCGAGCATCGCCGCTAGACCGCGTCCATCATCACCCGAGACACTCATGACGAGGCTGCCTACAGGTGCTCCTCGTGAACCTCTTTTCCAGCCGCCACCCGTTCGACCTGCACGGTCGAGCTTTTCCAGTATACGCCCGTCCAGCATTCATAGGCCCGCAAGCCATGATTCAAGACTCCGTCTATTTGGGCGACTAGCCGCAAGTCAATCCAACATGCGGCCAACGGAGCCCAACCCCAGTTATAGACGTCTGTACCGAGCGCAATCGAACATAGACATCAGTTTCCCTGATGCAACCCTCCTCGAAGCTGTCAGCGTGTACAATCAAGCTCGTACGCAAAGCCTCTCCATCAGGGTAGGAAGACAGAGCCTCTCGAACAGCGTCAGTACTGTGGCCCAACCGACCATCAGAATCTCAATCCCGGTCCGTGGAATCGTGGAGGGGACAAACTCGCAGCCAGCACCGTCACTGCCATCTTCTTCTCAAGCGGAAGGAACTACACATTCTTCCCCCGCACGTCAACCAACGCCCCGACCGAGCTCCGTTCCACCACACCCTCCACGCATCCCCGCTCAGCCAACTTTGCAAACACGCAGCACAACTGACCTCGGCGTTATGCAGAACCATGCGTATCCTCAGCATAGGTTCCACACTGTCGACCTCGGCGTCGAACAGAACCAACCCATTGTTGCGGAAGAGCAACTTGCCGAGTCCGTACTCGAGCCCCTGTCCGCAACACCCGGGTCGCGGCGCCGATGGAAAGTGCTACGCTCTCTTTTCCGAGGCCGTTCGCGTTGAGTGGGCTGCGTGTGAGTGGCTGAATTGTGTCTGCAGGATGCGAGGGTCTTGATGGTTTGTGTATATTCTTGCTTCGACTTTGAGGAGCAGCCAGTTTTTGGGATAAGAACTTGCGGAGTTTTTTGCTGTTTGATGAGAAACGATACATGAGGTTATGACTAGAGGAGAAGTCTGCTTTCTGAGAGGGATTATCGATGTTTTGTTGCTTCTCCTACTTGTCCTTATGCACGACTGTTATGTATTAGCGCAACTTTTACTCGTTTGTTACACAATTTGGCCATGGCGTTTCGCTTTACCTTTCTTACCCCTTCCCATGTATCTCATATACACAGTTCGGTTCGTGTGGGCTAGTATGACATCCCGTTTTACCTGCAACATCTATGCTCTTTCCCTCAATATCCCATCCACACTGAAGTTAAATCTTCTTGTGGTAACCTCGCTCCCCGAGCAACGATAGAAATGATGCTGGACATAGAGACGTGGGGTGGGCTGTATTTCCACACGCTCGATTCGTCTCCCTCCCATACCCACGCTAACAGTTCCCCGTGAGAACAACGCCCATCCCCCCCTCCGCGCCAGAGCCTCCCGCCACCCCGCTACGTCGCCGTCTTCGATGTCCTTGAAGTTACGCTCAATGAGCGAGAAGTGACGGTATGGAGGCGAGAAATGTATCATGTCGGGCAAGGAGTGGGTATGAGAAGAAGAGAGAAGCGTCTAGTAGACAGGGAGGGGGAGGTTACGGCGCGGGGGCAGAGAGTGGATCAGTTGACGGAGAGGGTAGAGGGGGTGGCTATTGAGGTGGAGGGGATGCTAAGGAGGTAGAAAGAGGATGCACGTGGGGGTTTGGAGGGGCAGTGAGGAGATAAGGTGGGGTAGGCGTGTGTGTAGGTTGGCTTTGATCTGGTTTTGCAGTCTGCATGGGATGCTGAGAAAGTTATGCGTGTGGAGAATCTGTCGCGTGGTTGGATAGAGGGCCCCGCAGATGATGCATAAGACCATGATATCTCATCTCAACAGCTTCGATTGGGCTTTCATTCAAGCGCTTCGTGTATTGTGGGAACAGCCATACATAGAGGCGTTTGAGCCCGGCAAGTGTCAGTGACTCCATCTCTCTTTCTCTCGCTAAATTATAAACCACAGGTGATGACTACACGACGACCATCCGCCTTCTTTTGAACCCCGCGTGGGTCTAGTCGCTATCACTCGAATCTGATTCCTCGCTCCCCGAACCACTGTCACTGCCACTGTCGCTCTCAGAGTCCGAACTCTGTGCGCTCGGCGATGCAGAACCCGAATCCGACGCAGAGTCATCACTTGAATCGTCCTCCTCGCTCGAGCTCTCCTCACTACTGCTGCTCTCGTCACTACTCGAAATATCGCCTCTGCGTTTGCGCTTTTTCGAATCCCTCACTGGCGGTGCGAGGTCCTTGACTATCGGGTTGATACTATTTGTCTGGGTAGCTGGCAATATGGGCGCGGTTCGTCCAAGCGCCGTCAAGAGCGCCTCAGCACGACTCCGTCGCAAGCGACGAACATATGCGTCGCCGTGAGGATGGCCCACCAGTGCTTCCACATCGCCCTCAACTTTCCGGCGTTTCTGCTCCTTGGCCACGCGCTCTTGTAGAGCTTCGTCTTGGGCTGCTTTGCGGGCTTCGGGGTCGTCCATAGATGAGTCTTGAGCGTCTTGCTCGTTGAGCTCGGTAACAGTGGAAAGACAGCGCTCTTTGAGACGCTCGATTACGCCAGCACCTTGGAGACCTTTGATGTACTCGAGTAGGGCTTCCGAGTGCTCGTCGGGTATGCGGAAGATGTTCAAAGCGTTGTCCACCACGTCGTTTTGCTTGGCTTTGTTGAATTTCCAGTTTGAGCGATCGGTGTAGTATTGCGTGAGATATGAGATGTAGATGGAAGGATCCTTCTTCTTGCCCTTGGACGTATCTGGTGTCGTGGTGATGGGGTTCTTCTTAGTGTCTGGAGGAGCTGACTTGGCTGTCTCTGATGCTGTTTTTGCTGCGGTCGGCGTCGCTTCCTTTGACTTTTTCTCGTCCTTTTCTTTCTTGTCGAGTTTCTTCGCCTCGATCTCGTCGGCAATCACGGGTTGTGATACAGGTTCAGTAGACGCAGATGGCGCGCCTTTCAAGTCTGCAACCCACTTCTTGAACAAATCCTGTCCACTGCAGCCATCCACCTTCTTCGTGTCCGGAGTGAACGTGACAGATTTTCGACGACCAGTCCGTGAGGGTGAGCCTGAGATATCTTTGCTGGCGATCCTGTTTGCGTGCTGATGTCTTTGGGGTGTTGACATTGGAGGCAAAGTTGTGTTGTCTGTTTCGATGGACGCAAGTAAAGTCGGCTGCTTTCTCCTTGTCACAAGCCCATCAGGTGAGGGAGCTGGATTGGCGGCACGCTCAAAGTCTGGCTGCTTCTTGGTGGGTTTTGGCTCGACTGGCAAGTCGGCTTTGATTTTCTTCTTGCGATCTGATTTTGCCTTTTTCTTGCGATAGTTGGGATCTCCTTTGGGTTGTTGCTCTGATGCTGGTGCTTCTTCTGGGGTGGCGTCTGCGGCTGCATTGTCTGCGATGGGGATTATCGGCGTTTCGGTGGCCGAGTCCCCGTTCAAATGGGTATCCTTGGTCTTCTTTGGGGGTTGGCCATGGTCTTCTGCTGGGTCGTGTTGGTGTTTTCGCTTACCAAGCTTTGAGGGTGTTCCATTTGCGGCAGGCGTGATGGCAAAGTGAGAGTCGTTTTGAATGCTCTCCGGTTCATCATTGATTGTGAGCGGCTGCACCTGGCCACGGGCAGCTTCAGGCACGTCACTTGCGGTGACTCCGGATTGAGCCTCGTTCTTCAGGCCCAGTCCCAGTCGGCGCCAGGCAGGAATCCTGCTGCCGTCCAGTGCCATTGTCGTTTTGGAATATGGAGACTTTTATGAGATCGTCTGGCAGGTATATCCCATCGCTCATGCCCGAATCAGCTCGTGCAGGCTGTTCTGTCGATTTGCAAAGATCGAATGGGAGAGCTCGCGCAGAGTTTTGGAGCAGCGGCTGAGCGGCTTGGCGTGACGGCGAATCGTGGCCAGGCCCCGAGCTCCAACGCGTTCAGCAACAATCCACGACGACAGACATCGCTCACCTCCGAAGACGCCGACATCCCGCCCGACTTGACTTGCTAGAGCTGCAGAAGAAGCTGACGACTATTTGCCCGCACAACCGACCGCCGCCATCATGTCTGGTGCGTGGAATGCCATTCCAAATCGCGGCTTGGGTGGCCAGTACAAATGCTAACAGCTCCCCCCGTCATGTAGGAAGCGCAGGCTACGACCGACACATCACCATCTTCTCGGACCAGGGCCGCCTCTATCAAGTCGGTGCGCATTCGTTTCCTACCTGCCCCACCTCTGCCATGGCAGCAGCGACCGTCGACGCTCACCCCAGCTAACACGGCGGGCACGTAGAATATGCATTCAAGGCCATCACCGCGGCGAACATCACATCACTGGGCGTGCGGGGCAAGGACTGTGCGGTAGTCATCTCGCAGAAGAAGGTGCCTGTACGTGCCAAGGATTCACGGCGCTGCTGCGTGGGTGGTTGACGTGTGCACACAGGACAAGCTCATCGACCCCTCCTCCGTCTCGCACATCTTCAGGCTGTCGCCGTCTGTCGGCTGCGTCATGACCGGATCCATCGCCGACGCCCGGGCCTCAGTAAGCAGGGCGCGGGGTGAAGCTGCCGAGTTCCGCTACAAGTACGGCTACGAGATGCCCTGCGACGTGCTGGCGAAGCGGATAGCCAACATCAGCCAGGTCTACACACAGCGGGTAAGGACCCGCGGATGAGGACGATGCTTGTGTGGTGCTAAGACTTGTGCAGGCCTACATGCGCCCGCTCGGTGTAGCCACGACCCTCATCTCCCTCGACTCCGAGTACGGCCCCCAGCTGTACAAGTGCGACCCGGCAGGCTACTACGTGGGCTACAAGGCAACAGCATCTGGCCCCAAGACGCAAGAGGCGCTCAACTTTTTGGAGAAGAAGCTGAAGAACAAGGAGCACGCCGAGGGCAGCTGGGAAGAGGTCGTCGAGCTGGCCATCACCGCCCTCAGCACCGTCTTGTCGGTCGACTTCAAGAAGGGCGAGTTGGAGGTCGGTATTGTGGGAGGGCCCAAGCTCAACGGAGAGGGCACAGACGCTACCTTCAGGGCACTCACCGAGGAGGAGATCGACGAAAGACTGCAGTCAATCGCCGACAAGGACTAAGGAGTCACGCCCCGGGCCTGGAAAGGCGACGAGTGAGCTATCGAGGTAGGAAGTTCAGGAATGTGATCTGAACCATGACGAGATCCCAGGTAGCATGTTACGGCCAATCAGACGTCTAAAGTGCGCGAGAAAGCACCATGAATCCAAAACTTAGACTCAAACTCCTGCATAAGTGCATCGTGAACTGGCAGCCGCGACCGCAATTGGACATGCACGCATTCAGCTCTGGCTCCACAAGTTCTAACGGCCATAGTTAGCAGACTGTGTTTCAGCATGGCTTCAGCCGCAAGTGTTTGCAGGGACGCAGGAAACGGGTTGAGTGGTTCAGCGACGTCATTCCACTAGTCGACAGCCGTTCAGGCACAGCCACTACTTTTGTGGCTGACATCGCTACCCTGATGATGGCTCGTAGAGCGGTGCGGGTAGCTCGCGTTATCTTGCCGGACTCACCCTCTCAGGTTTCCTCAGCATTGAGGCACGCGAATGCCGCACCGCCAATTACAGGTTTTGGCGAATCACCTGCCACGTTGCGGCTGGAGGCTACAGCTTGCTCAATGCCCTTGCCCGACCTGACGGCCGCGCTAAACCCTTCTCGGAGATGTGGCTTCCGTTTAGCTGCTGAGAGTCTTCCCAAACCGCCCACTCCAGCTGTCGTGGTACGGACCAAAAAAGCTGCTGCGGTTCCTGCATGCTGCTTTTCCCACGACTCAAGCTTGGCTGCTATTCTGATGCCATCAGACATGTCAAGTCGACAATCCAGCAATGCTAATGGTGGCAGAGCCAGCTGGACGCTACAAACGCTTCAGATGTGGAGCTCTCGGCAAGACGTAGCGGCGGGAGGGAGTTGCCCTGGCTCGAGCCTTGCAGAGCATGCTCCTCTTCGTGGATGTCTGTTGACCTCATATATTTAGTAGTCGCCACGCCTTCGTTGATCGACAGAGCATCAGGACATCTAGTTCATTCCAAGACCAGCCTTGGACCAGCTAACCCGACTCATCAACTCTACCAACCATCTACTATCGCCAACATGTCCGACGGTCGTAAGGCATCTCCTGTTCCCAGATCATCGCCGTTCCTCCCTCGACTCCAGCCTCAACAATCCACTCAAGCCTACACCATTGTAGACCTCTCACTGACACCGCCTCCAGTCAATGACGCCCGAGCTATTCGCATAGCCGAAATCATGACCGACTTCCGCAATCTTCAACACTACCTCAGTCAACTTCGTGCCACGCCTACAGCAGAGGAATACTACCTCGAAGGTTTCTCCCTGATGCGCCAGTGCATCAGTGAGGCCCACACCATCCTCCAAACGCCCTTCAATGCAACTGGCCCTGCGACAGGGGATCCAGAGAGAGAGAAGCAGCAACTGAAGACGTGAGTCCTCCAACCTTCATCTTGTGCCCCCTAGTCCTTAGTTTGGGACTCGGTCAGGTGTGGAAGGAGATGGATTAGCAAAAGGGGAACTTGCAGCTAACAACACCTCTCAGAATCATCACAGATTCAGCCGTCCGCCGCTTCCAATGCCAAAGAGCATATCTGCGCGCCCATGCTGGTCTCCGCTGGATGCACTCGCGAACCAATATCCTTCAGGGTGCAAGGCCAAATGCATCTCACATCGCTGCCCTGCAACAAGCCGACTCCACCCTCCGCAATGAGCTTCTCGCAATCACCGACGCGTACGTTCAGGAGACGTTGCAGAACCAGGACGCGAGCCAGGGGAAATGGTTACAGGAAGATCCGACCCTGGCACAGATGCAACAAGTTCTTTTGGCCCGACGATGAGCACTTGGCCTGCCATTCGACATCCGACACTTGGCGTCAGTGCGACGAAGACTTCCACGAAAGCTATATTACAACCTCGATATTTTCTACTCGATACCCCTTGATACACAACGAAATTCGCCATTGGTCTTCGCTATCGTCTTGGCCTTGACTTGGACATTTGGCCCTTTTACTCGAAAAGACCATTTCTTTTGCAATATACATGGCTATTCGATCTTCTCTCAGACTCGACATATCGCACTTTCTTGTCATTTGCCGGTTCGGGCTACCGCAGAGCCAAGATTAACTTTCAAACTTACTCTTATTCTTGCGCCAGTGCCGGTGCTGGTCACCGGTACTTTTTTTCTTCTTCAAAAGATGGACGTTTTCTTGGGCCAGTTTAGCGTTGGTGCTGGCGTTGGCGTTAGCGCTGGTGCGCATGCATGTCGTGCTCTTAGCCGACGGTAGGAACCCAACACACATGGCATGGCAATTATCAGAAAAAGTGACATGGCTTTGCTGCATATGCATGGTACGATTAGTTCTTTCTCTTCTCTTGTCTTCTCTCCAATTTTCTTTCTCTTAATCATTTTCTGCATAATCAGGTAGTAGTAGTGTTTCATTTCGGGTCATCACAATACAAAACTCTTCCAAACTCCACTCATGATTCAAGACCTCACAGCCTCACCCAATCTTCTCCCATGTCGGTAGTGACCGGCGGCTATTTTTCCTTGTCGTCTCTCCTAGGCTACATGCAGCCCAACATGTATGTTCAACTATAGTCTAGCGCGCAAACTAGGAACCTTCAGCTCAGCTACCCTACTTGATCACGGACGGTGTACCGACCCAGCCCCGGAACCCACCGACGAGTGAGGATAAGGCTGGAAATTCCACGACAACGGTCTGACGTGACCACGTGAGGCTAGTAACCGCTGAGAGCTGACGATCTCTGATGACGTCGACGTTGTAGTCCGTCGGTTAGTCCCCGTGATGTCCTGACTAGATACTGCTATCGTGAATCCACGGCACTCAATGAGTAGGTACAGGTAGGTATGTCTTCCTACAGACATGACACATGCGCACAGCACTTTCACTCAATACATGACTTGACTTGCCTTAACACACCGCCTTGACATCATCATCAACATCACCACTACCTGCTACTCCTACTACTACTTTCCCATCGCATCCCTATCCGTACCGGTACCCCACCATCTCTTCCCAACTGAACGACCACGACGCGCAATACTCATCCTTACCCAAGCCCCATCGCGCACCCCGACATGACTCGTCGACAAGCGGTCTGCGCTTGCGGACTCCCCGTGCTCGCTACTGCGCGTTCCCGCGCGCTATGCTCGATGCGGCGTAGCGCCGCACGGAGGGGCCGATGCGCTTGTCGCGTATCGCGATCGCGGTGGTATGGCTTGTTGGGGAGGGGGAGGGAAGATTGGACGGGATGTGGAGGGAGAGGAGAGGAGAGGTGGGTGTGTGGGTAGGTAGGTAGGTGTGTAGGTGCTTGGGTGTTGTGCAGAGATCTGGGAAAGGGAAGAGTGTTGGGGGGTTGGAGGGCGTGGACTGGCTGGCGAGCTGGGGGAGTGAAAAGGAATTATGGATGTGCAGTGTGGTATGGTATAGGGTGATGTATGTGATGTGGTGTGGTGTGATGTGATGTGATGTGGGGGTGGTGTAACGTGGGTATCTCTGATGCAAAGGTGGGTGTGGGTGTTGAAACTCGAAGTTCATTATTCAACCGCGTCCCATCGCCCTTTTTATACTTGACTGAGCACTGAGATGGTGGCAATATAACAAATCTTTTGCCCGTGAGCGCCAGCTCGCAGACTAGTTCGGTCTGGACGTGGACTGGAAGGGGCGATTTTCCAGGGGGGGCGGAAGGAGGGTCGAGATCTGCATTCTTGCATGCGGGATTGTTATCAGATCTGCGGATCTCGGTGTGGCATTCCTTCCCGCTTGGGTGTTTGGGGTAGGCCAAATATCCATTCGTGGCTTTTCAGGTGCAAGGCAGTGAGAGTGGGAGTTGGAAGAACAAGAGGACGCAAGAAAGATTTTACGTCATTTACAGCTAAACGGTTTTTGTGATCACGAAGTTTGCGTCACGATATATATCTCATGTTTGAAGGGCAGATGTTACACACGTTGGGCTGTCAATCTGCTGATATATGTTCAAGCATGTTCATATGCTCTAGGTGCTGCAGTCGTGGGCAAGTCGCAGTCACCCATTGTGGCATGCTCAACAAGCGTGGCAAGACCTCTTTCGGTAAAATATTCGTGTTTTTGCTTGTAGCTTCAAAATCGGGATCGAGACTTTGTTACATTTCTCAGTATATCTACAAGTCTTCGTGTTCTTGCTATGAGGCTACTTGAAGCTATCGATGGTAAGATGCGTAATTGGAAGGTAGCAGATGAGCGATGTGTTAGTTGTTTGATTTAGCTTGCCTATTGCAGGTTTTGAGTCGAAAGTGATATGTACAAGTATAGCGGTTCGATTTGTTTGTCATAACTGAGACGGGTGGTCTCATGAATGTGCAGGAGGGAGCGTTGGAGTAGCCTGTGCTTAGTAGAAAGGATTCGTGTTTGCATGTATTTGATCGTCTGGTTTGCTCTCGACGAGACTAGAATTGCAAAATTGGGATAGTGTGATTGGTTTATGATTCTTGCGTCGTTTCTTAAAAAAAGAATGCAGAAGCGTTGACTTTGTCCATGGCGAGCTAAAATTAGCTATGCTATTTTCGATTGTTGTTTGGGCGTACCGATGTTTACCGTGGTAGTAGGTTAACACAACAGAGAGAAGCAACTCCTATAGATTCGGAACGTAGTATAGATACTGTATCCAAGACCTAGGCAAGCAGTAACGATTAGCAAGTACACGTTGTGATAGTAATCGTAAAGTAGAGCTGATTAGTTGTTTCGTGACGTCTGGCTGCTTGACATGCTAACGCAAGTACGCCTATTCATAAGTCCAGGCGACAGCTGATGGTAGTTTGGTTCCTTGAGTTGGGACCGTGAAAACCTCTCAATCGGATTTTGGATGATCAGAGGAACAATGGCACTAAGAAAGCTAGATCATACGTTAGCAGAAGTCGATCGTACGTGTCATATGCACCTAGTACGCAGATCAACAGATCCGACTAATTTAATTTCAACGACCGTCTTCGCCTCTGCTTCGGGTGAAGTGATATTCGTCCATCTCGCGTATCATTGGCTGCCCTATTTGCGGGTTTACACAAGTCCCGAGAACTCTCTGTCTTCGATTCCATGATCGACGATTGGTTGTTCGAGACGAGGCCTTTTGTGTAGAGTAGTGTCATATTCTGCGAGACCAGGAAGTAAGTGATTGGGTCGGTTGGAGTCCACTATTATCAATACAAACGATGTGAGTATCATAAGATGCCTTGCCGACACCGAGAGCCGCGGACCCGAAGGATGATTACCACTGAAACTATACTGGTTACAACACTAACAGGCCCCAATCTCTGCAAAGCCTGCGAGTCTTTGTTGCATGATCATCGAAGCTTAGATCTTCAGGTTTGTCCCAAACAGGATAGCTCGGTGTGTTGCGCATCTCCATTCTCACGCCAGTCTCCGGATGAGCACGGCTCTTGCGATTGCTTGACTGGATCACAGCTCGGCTCTGCCACTTTCGCACGGGCATTGGACTTCCTCGGGTTGCGCCATGTCCCGCTTCATCTTGAGCTTGATGTCTTGTGCATCTTTCTGTCCCCGGTGGATAAGTCGAGTTAGTCTGGTAAGGATAGCGGTGTCCAGGTATCCTTGGAATAGCGAAGGTGTGAGGCTTGCCTCCACGCCACAATGTCCAATGTTACGTGACGAGGTTCGATAGCCCATAGTAACATTGCCTATGGGTGCTGATATTAACATGGAATGTAACCCTATACAAACTTAACATTAGCATGCGGTACTGTCAGAATGACACAATCGTGTGTCGAGCGCAAGAGATTGCATTCAGGCATGCGGGGCGTTCTGCGAACCGGATCCAGATTTCGGAACTGGAACATGGAGTGAAGATTTGGATGCGCATATACATATCGATGTGTTGTTCACGGTGAGAGCTGCCGGTATTGAGGTTGAAACGGGTTCGTATATGCGACACCCGCCTGATGAGGTGAAATTTTCGAAGTGAGTGTTGCCACAGCGAATAAGGGCTACCAGAATGGGTTGTTAGGTCTTGGTCGAAAGGGCAAAAGTTGTGTCAAGAGGACTCGGAAGCCTCACTATTACGAGATCCAAGAGTGTATCTCGATAGTGGTCTGAGGGATTTTATTGACTTTCTTCCAGACAACCCGTCACATCCTCATTCACCTTGATTTGAAGATTCTTGGCGACACGTCCGAAGCATAGTTAGTGACATGATATTCAGCCTAGCCATGTCATATCTTGTATAGACTTTGCTGTATATTTGCGATAGTGCTCTTGAAACCTTATCGATACCACTTCGTAAGCAACCCCAGATCATCGTGCCGGTAAGTCCCCAAACATCGAAGGTGGGCATCAAGACATGAATTATCTTCCGAAACGCATCTCTCGGGATTGGAATGCAGCAATGCCCACCCAGCCAGGTGTTGAAATTGGCCTGTGAGGGGGTAACCTTGCAATCGTCGCTTTGGACAGGTGTTCGCTGTGAGGGGCAGTCGAAAGCGGTGAGCCCGCCACAACGTGAGGCGAAATAAGCGCGCTGTCACTTCTCCATCTGGAGATCGTAAGTGGGTCGGAAGGTGGCTCGGACGATGAAGTTCGGTTTGCGATGGTGATCGACAACGTCTGGTTCTCCATGTACTTGGCAAGAGAAGCGCCGCTGCCCAAGCGTTCGGAGTGATCTGCGTAACAACGTAAGGAATCAGAAGAATGGTTGCAGGAGCTGTTAGGGTTGTGGTGGCAAATGCGTCGTTTTATACGCTCATGTACTGGCAACCGATCTTGAGTTTGTAGACGTGGCAAGCCGTGCAGTATGCAGCGAAAGATGCGAACCAGGATGGAATGCAGAAAACGGTTATAGTTCGTCGGCAATTATCACAAATACAGACGGCAAGGCCATCCTTTCCTTAGTAGGTGTGAAAGAAGGGCGTTGTATGATGATGGTTCTGCTCGCGGCCCAATGAGCGCGATTGGGCTGACAGGGCGGAGAATGAGGCGAGCATCGGCATCAATGCATAGGTAGAACCCAACGAGGGGCTTCCACTGCATGATCTTGGGAAATGATACTGATGTTACCGTTAGCGTTCGGCGTACTTCATACCCAGGGTGTCGTAACCTTGATAGCGGGCTAACCAGAAGTTATAAGACTTCTGGGTTCATGCTCATCTTCCAGATTCCAACAGCGCATAGTCAAAAATCGAACTCAATTTGACCATCTACCTTCTATTATACCATACTTGCAACTGCGTCGGCTCCAAACCATGGCTGCTCAAAATTCGTACTTTGTCCCCGGCTATGGCATCTCGCGAGCCGTTATTCAGAACGAGATTCGCTACCATTGTGGTCCAGACGCCATAGTCAGGCCATACACCTTCCAGGTACGACAAGCTAACATCGGAGTTGCATTTGACAGAGATTGCAGCAAAGCTGACTCGCATATCAGGGACGTGACGGCTTCCTTGTCTCAACTTTCGGGCCTCCATTAAGCAAGGTACTTCGCTCGTTCGAAGCCTCGTATCCAAGGCTGATCTTAGTAGGCACAAATTGACGACTTGAAAATGTCTTCTCTCGAATACGAAGAGAAACAATCGCGCATAGGCGGCGAATCGGAAGTCTTCGTAAATGCGCCAATCCCGATAAATCAAAGGGTACGACGAAGCCAGTGAATATCGACATTGGAATATCGGATACCACCAATTTCCTTTTGTTGGCGCCGCGGCGGAGTTTTGAAGTCTGCATTATATCCCATTTTATGTCGCATACCTGGTCTGCGTTGGAGTCTCGCTGGACATACGTTTTGCCGTTGCATAACGTTCGAGAGTTTGTGTTTACTGTTTTCTATTGAGATGTTGATGAGCCACAGCGATTCCTGTAATTGGTGGTCCAGTCCTTTGGTGTTTTTCAAGACGACCTGTTTTCAACCGTCGTACTACGATTCAGAAAAGATCTGATAGGCCAATACGTAAATGAGCACTATATTCCCGCATTCCTTCGACTTGAGAATTGAGATTTCTCGACGAATTGACGATCCGTACCATTCGTGGCAAACACACACAGTTGAGTGTGTCGTATCCAGGTTTAGGAAGAAACCAAAGTTCATGCTCAGGGTACAGTGAGGAACAACGTTCCTAGAAACAATCACGGATGGTTTCCGTTGACGTACTCTTCCGAAATCTGTTGAACATGTGACTCGTCCCGAACTTCAAGGAGGAAGATATCGTATCGCAAAATAGCCATGGACGGTGGTTCAAGATCACAACACAACCGAGACCTGCGTACCAATCAGCATACACCTCTGCCGCACAGTAGATAGGAGTATGCACAGCTCCACCTCGCGTCGCGCACACATCGGTACCATAGTGGCTTACTCGTCGAGATGATCAGTTCTTCGCATAGCTGACCCCTTCTTGATTGCCCAACATCGGGTTGATACAATGGCGTGTGTGGCGCTTGAGTACAATAAAAAACGCTTCTAGGCTAACCAACAATGCGCGTCTCAGGAGTCAGGAGGTTGGGGAGAATGACGGAGGAGAAGCCGATTGAAGGAAAAGAAACATGATTGGATGATCGCATGAGTAAGCGAATGCGTAAACTCCAACCCTTACTCCAGGCCCCTCACATAACCGTTACTCCCATGACGGTCTCGGTCTGTTTTGCATTGAAATTGCAATGTGTTGACTTTATGGTTTAGCGATGAGAACCTCAGCTTCATATGACTTATGCTTCGCTTCACCACACGGCACTCAGCAGACACTGAAGTAGCCAAGCTCACCCACGGCCTCTACCGGGACGTCTAGCTCGCCTTGTTGGTAGCTTATAACATATCAATCTCATCTTACTGGGTTCGAACACACCAGCGTCTCACATGCGCTGTTAGTGTCACTGCTGAGGGGAGCCTGCATTCACTCCACGACTCAAGGCACACATCAATTCGACGTTAGATGGAACAAGTTTGAGTCAAGAAGTGGCCGTCCAGGGCTATCTGCACAATTAGGCGCGAGCGGTCTGCAACCACGATCACCCTTGGATTGTGAACGGATCAGAGGCAGCATTTTCGACCCGCTACAAATATCGCAAACTAGGAACAGAAAAGCGCGCATAGTCTCAATGAGAGGTAAGTGCTGACTGATGCCAAATGACTCGGTGACTACAAGAACATAGGATTACTCGTCTTATTCATAAGCATAAGATTATCTGTACGGGTACAAAAGGAGTGTTCTATCGGCCTACTGAGATGGCGACGCGAGAAGAGCTATATGCACAGTCTACGAGACTCGCCATCACTTGCTGACAGTTTCCACATGTATCGACCTGTGTTTCGTTACTTTTGCGTGAAAATTTCTCAACGTATACCTGCGATCCCGTTTTGAAGCTTCAATTCCACCTCACATTTTGTCACCACAACAATTTTGATGTAGAGACTTATCATCACCTTGCTCAGACGTAGTACACGACATCAATACCCTGACTCCAACATCAGTCAGTATTCAGCAACCATGGATCCAGCGTCCGGTATCTGGTAGCCATTGACCGCTTGCAACCTGCCTCAGTGTAGATGTGAAGTCATCACTTGAGCCCCATAAAATCTCCCACGGAACAGTAATGAGTCAACAGATAATCAGAACGAATTTACTGTACAAATCCCAAACCTGGGTAGACCTTACCTCACGGTACTACCCGCCTATCTTTACTGTCATCACATTGTCTACCCTCCTTCAACAATCTCAACAGTGCTCGTAGAGTAACTTCATACCGCGCTGCTTACTGTGTTGGTTGTTGACCAATCTCAACAAATCGAATTTCAAATCTAGGTGGCATGAGCGAGGACCAGGGGGAGAACGATACGACAAAACTCAGGTCGCAGTGATAGTTTCTCCGGTCGACTTCCACTCTTTACCTCTTCAAAGTTTGGACCTGATAGAGTTCGATTGGCTCTTGACTGGTCCCAAATTCCCTCTTTTGTCTCTTACTTTCCATTTCATATTCACATCTATTGGTCGAACCAAATGTTTCGATGGTTACCTGGATCCTCGAACCATAAAACATGATTTCTTTCGTCAAATGCTGTTTTCACTATTGGTCGGAATTCCATCTGGAGAAGTATTCTCTGTGTGATGGAACCATGGTTCCAGCTGCTGCATTTCTAGTATTCCATATATAAACTCCCCCCAAACTGCCGTACACTCCCCCAAAAAACACCACAAACCCATCACCATCTGCCATCAACGAAAACATGGAGACTCCTCAGCCCACCCCAGCAGCAAACTGCCACACGTTCCTCGCAAGCCACATCTCCGACATCCAGCCCTCGCCATCCAACACCCACTGCTCCATCTGCAAGGACCCCTACATGGGCGCCGACTCGCCCGTCCAGATCCAAGGCACATCAGGCTGTACGCACATCTTCGGCCGATACTGTCTGCAAGAATCGCTCAAGACCTCCAACAAATGCCCCTATTGTCGGGCAATCCTATTCCACATCCCGTCGTCGAACACTGCGCACGAGATCGCCACCAATCGAGACAGGAACGTCGTGGCGAGGATCCGGCCAACCGGCACGCAGGACTTGTATCCCGAGAGTGAGTGGCTAGTTACGCTGACGCAGCCGAGTGCTGGAAGGGGAAGGACGAGGAGGGAGACGTCTTCGGTGCAGGAGCAGAGTAGGGGCGTGCAGAGCGAAGCTGATGGACGCGTTTTTGAGCGTGCGGAGGCTCAGGTACATGCGCTTTGTCTCGGCAGACGGTCTGGACGGAGGGCCTCCTTTGGTAAATTCTGGCGCGATATATGGAACTTTTGAGGGATAAAGCGGATATAAGGAGTTGATGAGTGGGTTACTCGGTATGTGTGTCAGATGTTTTTTCGCATTTCGACTTAGTCAGGCTGGAAGATTGGTTGAGCGCTGGTTGTGTTCTCTCTTCCTGTGCAGGACTAAGCGGGATTTTTCTTTTAGAGCAAACCCCTGAATACTGATATCATAGATAGTACATTTCAGTTGCAATCCAGAGAACATACGTACCTTGGTTTGGATCATCTTAGTGTTCCCGACTCTGCGCTCAAACATTTACATATTCAAAGCCATGACACCGTATCTTCGCTGATCTCTGAGTACCCACTCACAGCACAACGCGTTGTTCTCTCGTCTGTCTGTTTTCAAACGTCATCGAAACTATTGTGTATACGTCGAGGGATAAGAGGCAACATTGTTCGTCGGGGCAAGGCGGCGAGGTGTGAAAGACAGCGAAATCAGGGAAGGTTACACACGACAGATGAGGACAAGCGCTGAAGGAACATAGTCTGGACAGGGCGATAACGAATGAGGAAGGTAGAAGACGGACCAACTATAACCAAGGCATCCACATGGAGAAAAGTCGGAACCCAGTACCGAGCAAACGATAAACCCCAGCGATATGTACTGGATACAAAGCAAAACGAAACACTGTGAATGCAAAATTTTGAATTGCGATATATACGTACATTCTCACATGCTCAACTTTGTAATGCACTTATGTCCGACGAGACAAAGGAGCGGTATCCATATCCATATCCAGTTCCCTGCCTCTACGCCGCCCTAATGTTACTTAGACTCGAAACAAAAGAGGCGCAAGGCCTACCACCAAACTCGTTCTGAGATACACCGGACCAGCGAGGAAAGGAAAGGAAGGCGCAAAAGCGCAAAGAACGGAGGACCGGAACACCATACCCATCCCGAACTACACGCCACCAATCGCAGAATATCAAGAAGCAAACCATGTACTAGTTGCGCCACAACACCACCTGAATGTGGCCCAGTCCACCATATATACACACAAAAAGAAAGCAGCTGTAGGTGGCCTGACAAGAGGGTGCGTGCGCGTACATTTTGGTTCCTCGACCTGCTGTCCCATTCGATGAGGTAGGGGAGAAAACGTTCTAGATGTGTTGCGCCGGGGTGAAGACGCCAGAGTGACGCCGGGATGACGTGAGCCAAGCCTCCGAAACGCCCTTCCATGCATTTTGGGAAACGTCGGCAGGCATGCCCGGAAAAGGAGATGAAGGACAAGTAGCAGTGTATTACAAGATCGTATGGTTGTGTGGTCGTTATCGTGGAGGCTGTCGAAGCCGCATGTCATGGTCCTGGTTTAATAACTAGGATCGGCCACAACATTAGCGACTTGAACGCTACGCAGCACGCTCAGGCGGCTAACTGACTTCCAGATTGCTTACCTGGAAGCTGTGAGCGTGTGTTCTAATACCTCGGAGGATAATGCGCGTGCTCCTGATGTTGTGCACTTGATGTCCGAGGGGGTGGAGATACGAACCGGTTCATCATCTGTCCTTGTTGCATTTGCATGCCCATGTGGTGAACACCGTTTGGCTGTAGTTGGGCAATGCCGTACGGGTTCTGATGACTGATGTCGCTGCCGAGGAAGTTATTCATGGCGGCACCATTGAGGCCTTGAGCCTGCGAGACGGGACACTCCTTGTGCGCGAGGAGGAGAGTCTTGAGGTTGACAATCTCCTCGCGAAGCTGGGTGACGGTAGAAGAAAGAGCATCGTTCTCTGTACTGAACAACTCAACCTTGGACTGAAGGTTGGCGAGCCATTGCTTCTTCCGTTGTCGGCACTTCAGCGCAGCAACCCTTGAACATGTCAGCACTCATATCAGCGCAGGGACTAAGCAAACTGACCTATTTCTTTCCAGGAAATTCTTCCGCTTCTCCTCGTCGGTCATCTTCCTGCCCTTGCTGTCAAGCTCTTCGTCCTTAACGTTCATCATGTCTTCGTCAGAGTCTTCGTCTTCGTCACCAATGGACGGAGCAGCAGTACTCTTCTTTCTGCTGCCCTTAGGTATCTCATCCGCCTTTCGCTTGGAGCCAGCGGTTTGTTTGCCGTTGATGGCACCACGCTTGCCGCGCGATCGTGCAGACGACTTGTTCTGCTCGCTTGCACCGCTATCTGAGAAGTCACCTGTGTCGGCAGATGCAATACTGTTAATTGATCCCTTGGTGTTGCGACGTCCGTGATTTTGATGGACAGGTTGGACAGGCATATGCCCTGCGTTAAGAGACTGTTGTTGAGGAGGCATTGAGAACGGCTGCTGGCCATTGCGAGAACCACCGTTCTGGCTGGCAAAAGAAAGCAAGTCATTAGCGGCACTGCTGACGTCATGATTGGCGAATGGGTCACTTTGGGGGCGCTGCTGTTGTGGCTGGGGCTGCTGATAGTTGTTTTGGCGGTCCATTGCTGCTGCCATTGCGTCTGGCTGAGATGTCGGCGCGCCTGCTACAGGGCCCTTGAGTTGGGTCGCTTGGTGGGCTGCGCGCAAAGCTGCTTGCTGGAAATCACCAGTGCCGGGCGTGACGCCGCCGTTCTGGAGATGGAAAATAGCCTGTGTATTAGGACTGGGCGCTGGGAACATAGAACCACCTCCACCAGGTGTGAGACCAGTGCGAAGAGAGGACTCGTTAGGAGTAGGAAAGCCACGGAACGACTCGCTAAAGTAGTCGGTCTGTCCGGTAGGTCCACTAAGCATAGCAGGACTCAGAGGTCCAGCGCGCAACGACTGCCAACCTGGTGTAATACCTGGAAGCGGTGAAGGTGACGTAATGTTCGCGACAGGGGGCAGAATAGTACGGCCGCCCGGTGTCTCTACGCTGCCGTTGCCGCCGAAGGATTGTTCGAAAACGTTTGGCTCCAATGAGAAGGGATTGTGTACAGTGTTGAAGTAGTCGGGCGTATCGCTGGTTGATGTAGGTACGGGTTTAGGGGGAGGAGCCAGCGGTTGTGCATTTGTCGTTGGTGGCTTCGCGTCTGGTTTGGCAACGGCTTCCGCGACAGGAGCTGCTTTCGGCTGTTAGAACGATGTTGCGGTGAAGATGGACATGGAGTGTGAGTGACAGCAGTCTGTTGCGATGGGTAGAGGAGATGAGAGGAAAGTGTAGACTTACGCTGTTCTTGAGTGATCTCGACCTTGGCAGGTTCTGTCGTCGACGACGTGGTTAGTCATGTCTGCGGTAGCGACGAGGTTGGGGAAGTGACGATGCACGCGCAATGGCAGGCGCGACTGTCGTGGAAGACAGGACGGGAGTAGAAGAGGAGTGAGACGCGACAGGACTAGGGGCGACGGCTAGGGGATACACACCTTCAATCTTAGTCAGAGCAGGGAGGGTATTTTTACTGTCCTTGGGAGAGGACATGTTGGAGTTCTGGGGGGAGGTTCGCGCTGATGATGTCGCAGCAGCCATTCTGTGGACGGTGACGTAGCGGTGGTGGTCAAGGGAGGGCGATCGCTGGTGGTACTCGGACGAGCCTAAACTCTCTCTCACTTTCCACACCCACGACGTGTCTCGCAAACTGCAACGGCGCGCACAGGCTTCGCACTCGAATTACAGGTCACGTATTTCTGTCGATGGACTTATTAGCGCACTGGATATGAGATGCAGCTGTGCAGCTGTTGGTGCGGAAGGATGGATGCGGCAGAGCAAGTCGTCGCAGGGCTTCGTGGCGACGACGCGACCACGACAACACTCAGCAGCAGAACACAGCGACGTACCTTGAGCGATTGAACTCAATGCGCCAAACGCGGGGTAATGCGCCTGGTCTCAAGTTCAATATTATTGACTGCCGCCACTGAAGTCGCGATAGCACTGCGCGGTTGAAGAAGTTCAACGGTGACGTCAAGCCCCTAATCAGACGCTCGTAGCCGTCGCAAGGCTTTTTTCAACACGAATGCGCTGTTCTACAAAGACCAAGACAAATCCGGCAATCTGGTCACAGCGAGGGTACGTTCCTTGAATGTTCAAATGAGGCTCTGGCCTGGGCGGGGACGGGGATTGTGCTCGTGGGTGACGATGACAATGGGGTGAGGCGTTCGATGAGGTCAGAGGGAGCGACGATTTTTGGAGGTGACGAGGTGACGCAGCTCGTTGTTCTAAAACGTGATGGATCGAATCGAGCGCCGAGCTCCGTGGTTCCGTGGCTCCGTGGACCATCCAGAGCGCCAGGCTTTTTCACCGCTCTCCACACCGACGATCATTGCGCAATTGAGCTCGCTTGCATTAAAGCTCCTCGGCAATGAATCGCGACGAAAGCTTATCAATCATTCTTGCTTTCAAAGCAGTCTGCGCACCATCGCGATACACGTTGTAAACGACCATACCGTTGCGCGCCGAGGGTCTCGCTCAGGGACTGATACGGGGTGGAATACCTCCATTTGAGAGTCCGCAAAGCGAGAGGTGACACAAATTGGAACGGGATGCACGTGCCACACTGCCAGACTCGAACCAACCAGCCACCCTTTGAGTGTGTCGATCTCCTGACATTTGATCGATCGATGCCTCTTTTGTCCGGCACATTCTACCGTCAGCGCAAATAGGCGTGGCTAGTGCACCGTAAAATACGCATATGGTGATTGTAGTGTGTACAGCGTTCTAGAGAGTACTGTGGTGCTGATATACTGTATACTCGTCGATATCTGCCTACTCGACAGGTTAACGTCGTCAATGCCGTTGATCTAGTGACAAAAGAATTCTCGACACGCTAACTATCCTTATGCTTTGGACACTCATTTAGAGTTCGTAAAGTGTTGTTTGGGTGCTTGATAAGGGCCCACATACAACGTGCTCTTCTTCGAGACATGAAATCGAACACAGCAATCACCAGCTTGCAGAGTTGGAGGTATAGCATGGTGGTAACAACCCACATGTCCTTCAACTGTAAACATGTATGGCTGCGATTGAATTTCCATTCAACTGGTTTATTACAGTGGTGTACAACAATATATTGACCGGTTAATGGTAAAGTGCAAGTATATCTGGAGATATATCTCAAGTAGACATGATAAGGCAAAGACTACATCGAACTACCACAATTGAACAAGTACAGTTATCTCACTCCTCCAAAAATTGCGTTCTCTTTCAATGTCACACACAAAGCCATATCTTGCCCCTCCCCACCATAGCCTCGTTCCCCCGTCTCCACGGCGATCGGCGTAGAGGGGCACCGGAGCTCTCCGACACGCGTGGAGAAGCAGCACCGTGTCCATCAACCGCACAACTCTCATATCACCCATCCGCTCCCATCACCTCCCACCACCGCACCGCACCTCATCGCGGCATCAACCAACCCACAACACAAAACACACACCCTTCCCGCATCTACATGCCCGCCCCCGAACAAGCGCAATCCCGCATCCTCGCCCTCTCCGCCCACCTCACCTCCACCCCACCCCCAACCTCCACCAAACCCAGCATGTCGACCCCCGCCCGCCCCCCAATAACATGCCACGTCCTGGACACAACGCTCGGCCTTCCCGCCCCCTCCATCCCCGTAACCCTCACCCTCCACCCCTCACCAACCAGCACCTCCCTCTCGCCCACCACCACGCCTCAAAAATTCACCGCAACCACCAACGCCGACGGCCGCGTTACAGAATGGACGCCCAGCTCGCCCTTCGCGACGGATAGCTTGGAGGATGTGTTTTCCCGGCCTGAAGATCAGATGTATAGTCTTTTATTTGATACGGGGGCGTATTTTGGGGGGAGGGGGGTGAAGGCGTTTTTTCCGGAGGTGGAGGTTAGGTTTTTGGTTAGGGGGGAGGTCAAGGGCGAGCATTTTCATGTTCCGGTGCTGTTGGGGCCGTTTGGGTATACGACGTATCGTGGGTCGTGAGGGAGGGCGGTGGCTTGTGTGGTGTGGTGTGGGGGGTTACGGTGTGGTTCAGGGTAGACAGGGGAGGGCAGACATGGGGTACCTGTTATGCTGTGGTTGAGGTAGCAGATATTGAGTTCTGTTGAAACGCATGCATATCCTGAAATGTACCGCAGTAGCGGTTGGGTGTTTCACGGTGACAGGAAGCATCCATGTTGTTAAGCGTGAAGTCGTGCCAAATTGCCAATCAAAACTTGACAACATACACGCATAAGCCTCACAAGGAGGTTGTTGAGACATCAATTACAAGCGAGAAGACAGTATCGATAGACTTCATTCCGAATCTCTCAACTATATACAAAAAAGCAAATCGTGCTGTCGTTGCACATGGTACTTGGATATCAATAGAAAGAATAGTGGTGGCATTGAAGAAGCCGAAGAAATAAAAAACGTGCCGCAGTGGCTAAGTGTATCCAACATGGAGAGAAATGCTGGTCAGAAAATATGCACAAAACGAAATCAAACGTCAGCCCTATTACTGTCTGCAAACGGGCTCCTGTCCCTTGCCCGCTTCGAAGTTTCCTCTGCTATCGAAGCCATGGGCATGGGAGAGGTATTATTTGTATCGTACGAAACCACGCTCTGCCCTGTAGAGGGTCGCAGGCTGTCAATGGCAGAGCTGTCGCTGAATGGGCTTTGGGGATTCGTTGGCGTATATTGTAGGTCGATGAGGTTGGAATCACGGGTGCTTGCCGAGTTGCGCATAAGACTGCGTCGGGAGCGAACATGGTCTTCGTCGTCAGAGTCTGTCTCGTAATCTTCGCTTCCGGCTTTGCGGGCGCGTGCGTGGGTAACGCCATCGTCAGACGAGGCGACAGAGAAGTCTGTGAGGGGTCTTGGAGGAGCGAGACGGATATCAGGTGTGCGGCTGGGAGTTGAAGCGGCTGAGCTCTTGAGTGTAGCATCGGATCCCTTCTTTTTGGTGATGTTGAGCGCGCGGACCGGGCCTAGCTGGGCGATGGTGCGGGCAGAGTTTCCAGGGTTGATGCCAGGCATTTGGATGCGGATAGGCTTGACGGCGTGTCTGGGGTCGATTTGGGGAACCGGGGGAGTTTCAGGACTCAGCGATTCAGGGCTGTTGGATCCCCCTGACTTGACGCTGACGACAGCCGCCTTTCCTCGCACAACCGTCTGGGCCGGTAGCGGGGAGACAATGGCGTTCTGGCGGTACATGGTCGAAGCAACGCTGTTCCTGGCAAAACTCGGTGCCATGCTTTGACGACCGCCTGTGCTCGTCGATGCCATGGAGTCGCGGAAGTCGGGGACGAAAAAGTGCTGTTCCGGGCCCAGGTAGGGACTGTTGGCAGACGAGTGGGATAGGGCGGGAATGGGGGGCACAGGTGGGACGAGGAGGTCTGGAGAGCCAACCCCCGAGCGGTTCGTGACGCCAGGGATGTAGGCGATCTGGATGATGTTGGAGGCGCGGGTGAGGACGGACGAGGCCATGGAAGCGACGGTGTGTGTCGATGCTCGCGCGCTCCGCCGTGATTCAAAGTCGTCCTGTGCCTTCTCCTGCTCTGCGGCCTGGGCCTCTTGCCAATCGACCTCAGAGCGCTGCCGCCTCTTGCCCTTGAGGCAGTACTTCCAGACGATGAATGTGAGCGTGGCGATGAACAGGACACCTCCAATGACTCCTCCGGCTATGGCACCGACGTTGGGCTTGCTGGCCGAGGAATCTCCAAAAGTCGGGTCTATGGCGCAGACGACGGACGAGCAGGCATCGCAGGTTGTGGGCTGCTGGATGCACATCTGGCCCGACGGGCAATTGAGCCCTGCGCACGAGGGCGTCTGCGGGAGACATTCGACGCAGCGCTTGACGACTGTGCGGAAGACATTTTCGATTTCTGCGGGCGTGTCAGCCGGGGACAATTGATACTACAGAAGATGAGCGCACCTGTGCGGGCGCTGGCCATGATGGGCGGCGGTCCAGGGGAGTGATCGGGCAGGCGCGGCGTAAGAGGGGATTGGAGACGGCCGTCAGCGACTTGCACAACGAGCCAGCGATGTGCGACGCTCTCAACAAGACACTTCGGAGTGCGACGTGCGTAGATCGAGGACAAAGAAGCAGCGATCGAGGTGGCGCGGCGCTAACAAGGCGAACGGGAAGGGACGAGGGAACAGCGCCTGAGGTGGCAGGATCCAGGACGGCGGCGGGAAGGCTCAGCGAGTACGGTAACGAGTGACGGTGGGAGCGAAAAAGGACGGGTGCAACAAAGAAAGCGAGGATGCAGGCGCGGTAGCGGTAGATGAGGTGAACCACTGGTGTTGGGCCTGGACCAGTTCGTCTTGTGCCAGGTGCAGGGCGCCGCGCGTGTTGCCGTGTTTCGACTGTGTCCGCTATGCCAGCCGTCGCAACGTGCACGCCGGGGATGATGGAGCGGGTAGGAAAAGTAAACGTCTAAAACGCTGCGCTTCGTCTGAGGATGCTGTGTCACAGATCAGCGCTCAGCTGCTGGTCGAGAGGGGTTGCGCACTCTAGGTGCGGTGCTTGCACCCTTTCCCGCTCTCGCGACTAAGTCGTCCCTCTCAGCCCTTCCTGGCTGGTGGCGCTGCGCTTAATCTATTTATTGCAGCCCTAGTGTGAACAGCTGCACCACCAAATCTCTCACCACGCTCGCTCCAGCCTCTGCTGCTCGTCCTGCACGTCATGCGATGCTGCAAACGTGTTGCACAGCTTCGTGCACTTGGTCGGCTCTTGTCGACGCTGCTTGCCCGTTGCTACACCTGTCCCAGGACCCTCCAGGTTGACGCTCTGCAGCTACCGCGCCTTGGCTAATATATTGGCATCGGTCCTAATAAGACGCCGCCTTTACATTCCTCACTCCCGCAACGTACCCATGCAGCCAGACTAATGCTGACTATTTACACACTCTCTCCTCGTCGCCCAGTCGCAACTTCATTCTCGAGCGAGTACGACTTCGACGCAAGCCATCGTCAGCCTGAAAACCCTAGCCAGAGACACGCCCACTCGCTGTGCCCACCCTTGCGACGACGCCCCTCTTTGAGTGGCTCCATCCACATCGAGCTCAGGTACCAAACCAGCATGTCCAAGTGCCTGACTAACCAGCAACCTATCAAACCCACGAAACAAACATCCCTGTGGGGTCACCCGCAACGTCCACGCAATCTCCTCCACCAGCCACTCACAACCCAAAGGCGCCATATTCTCGCAACCATGTACCACCGCCAAAGGATCTCCCTTGCTGACTATCGGATACTTTTCTGATCACTGCAGCAGCGCACAACCTGCAATGCACGCAGCCATCCTGAAAATATCCGACTATTCGTCATGAAGCTGAGGAATGCTGTCTTGTAGTATTCTAGACTCTACTCCCGGACTAATGCGCCCTCGTCCTCTGCTGAATTCGACATGCGTTATTTACATCAGGCGACCGCTCACAAACGCAGATGCACCAAAGGTACGCGACCTGTGCAAACCGCATAAATCTTGCAATTTGTTTCACGACGCTACATGTGGAGAGGCTGTATTTCAGACCGCTGAAACATCGTTGATCTATTTCGGCCTGTTGTCTGACAATTATCGGCTGTCCGTCGTTGAAGGGTCACAACGGGACGATAATTTACATGTTGCTGACGGCCTTGGCGATGCGTGTGGTGCATGTACGACTTAGCAAGGTGATAAAGATCGATCAGACACAGCCTCAGGGTTTAGCAGCTTAAGATGAAAAGTTAATAGATCTCGGATCTCGCCGGACTCCTCCTTCGTTTCCAAAACTACATGGCTCGTTGTCGCGCCTTTATAAAGCAGCACGGTCAGAGTAGACAGACAGCGCCCTTGTTTCATTCTATCAGATTATAAGCGGTCATCTACCTGTACGGCATGTCATCCAAATTGCTCCCAGCAGAAGAGCGAGGAGCACAATTATTGTGTATCGAAAACCTTTGAGGGCTTACATTAATTTGCGTTACATGAATGCGTCGAATCGAAATTTACCAAATTTGTCCAGCAACGTATGGATTATTGTGAAGGTTTCACATCTCTGCTTTTTCCTTTTTCTTTCACAACTAGTACTTTGTTGCGTTCTCTTCGGTTGAAGAGGGAGCAAACGCCATCTCCAATCCACCAGCGTGCGTCGTCTGTCGTTTCGAAGTTCCACAACCAGACTTCCGACTATGCTACTATTAGAGTCTGCATGTATACACACCCAACACAACAAAGCAACAGTATTCTCCCTCCAGCTTCGGACGTAGAGGAAACAAGCCCCAACATCCGATCCACTCCCCAACTTGTTTCCCCTTTCCCACCAACTCCCTCATATCCTACCCCCCTCCCCCACAATCTTCACAATATCCTCATACGACACCCCCACAGGCCTCAACCACTCATCCAGCCCCTCCTCCCTAACCCAACACCTCTCCATCCCCCCATACACCACATCCCTCCCCTCACCACGATCGACCTACCACACGTCAGCCCAACCCCAAGAACCAAGAAAAAACGAAAAAAAGAACATACCTCATCCAACGGCCCCAAACACGCCATCCAAGCCCCCCCATTCCCATACCGCGCCAGCACCGGATTGTGCGCCGCGATCTCGCTGCACGTCGCGCAGTGGATGTTGGGCGGGAAGCGCGAGGGCGAGGGCAGGAAGAGGATTAGCAGGGGGAAGGAGGCGAGTGTGGAGAGGAGGAGGGTTAGGCAGAGGAGCGCGGCGAGGATGTGGCGGATTTGGAGGGGGGAGTGCGTGAGTGCGTTGGTCGGGTGGTGCGCGTTGCCGAAGCGGTTTATCCAGCCCATTTTTTGGAGGGCGTGGTTTGGGAGATGGGAGGTGGGGTGTTTGTGGTGGAATCGGTTTGTTGTTCTGGTGTTTGAGGGCTTGGGAAGTACGTCGATTTGTGCGAGTCGCTTGATGCCAGCTGGTGAGTGCGCGGCGCTCATGGAGTGGGACGCGATACTGCGTTCCATGGCGCGGGTGAGGGGTAGATACACCTTGAGGTGGTACGGCGCTCAATCGAGCGTTGCTGTACTGGTTGGATGGAGGGGTTACGCTCACTCATCGTGTTACGATGACCGTTAAGCTAGTTCTAACGTATGTTTGTAACTTCCCGAACAGGCAACGTTTTGGTCCAGCCATTATTTCCGTTACTTGTAGGTGTAATAATGGCGGCTTGTGGTGAGTGATGTAATTTCGTATGTGTGGTTCGTGGGGTCAATTCCAATCGCCGGGTTCGTGATTCAAACCGTGCTATCTTTTCGACTCGCTGCTGCAGTCTGATCAACCGTTTTCGATATCGCGATCTCACCATGGGTTGTCGTGAGTTCCTCCTGGCTATTGTGTATACCAACCCAGCTTAGATCTGTATCGTCAAGTCCCATCCCCGAGTTCGGGTTCCGCACCGGCATGCTCCCGATAGTCTGGACGTGGATGTCCTCGCCCTTCCCCGATCTACTCAAAGGCTGTTGGCGATAACCATGAGTATCGTGAGAGACATGTTTATTGCGGAAGGCATTAAAATGGCCTGCAAATGCGGGGCAGCAACCGATAATAATGGCTGTTCGAGGTCAGTTATGGGTTTGGCTCGTCTTCTAGATGCTAGCGTACCGATGGAACACTCCACTATGCCCCAGATCCCAAGCCAGGCGGGGTCAAGGCTGCTTGTTTTGTCGCCTTGCGCCTCGTTTGCGGCGACTTGGGCGACGCGCAGGGTGGCTACTGTGATGCAGACAACGCCGCTGGCGAAGAGGAGAAAGATGGCGGCTTTCTTAGTGCGACGCATGTGCAGATCGTAGGTAAGCCGCATGGGAAGCGCCATGACTGTGGAGATGTGTCTTAGAGGATTGCTTGGTAAGTGACCACAAATACTTACTCATGATGTTTGTGCTTGTATCTGCCGCGAAGGAGTAGTAAAGGCTTGCAAGTTGAGCAACTTTTCTGCTGGGTCCCTAGTTGCTTGATTAGAAAGTATCGATTACTTGCTATTTGAATTTGCTTTACCTCGCATCCTCCAGTCCAGAATCCTGATATTGACGGGCCACAGGATCTGAAGTACAAAGCATAGTTCCCGATATGAGTCTGTACCAATTGTGAGCTCTTGACCCAAAACGAAGAAGTCAAGTTTTCAATATCACTTACCATCACACAAATACAAACAATCGCCCACCAAATAACGGTATAAATTGTAGGAACACAAGCTAACAGCTTCCTATACAGAAGAAGGAACGCAGCTTTGATGCACCAGAGCGTCATCCAAAACATGCAGGGAGCAGCGAGGATCATCTTCGATACATGTTCGACTTCGTCTGATAGTTCAGGGTAAGGCGGTATCTTCCCTTCGGAGACCCTATAGAGCCGCCTCATATAAGGCGAGATGCTGATGTACAGCCCGCACATGCAAAGATAGCAGGCAAAAGCAGCGAGCACAAAGCCATCTGCCACCATCAACTTCCTGGGATGCAGCAGCTGGAGCCCAAATCTGGTGAGCACAACCAAAATTGTTATACTGCCCATGACATACCCGACTGTGACGATGGTGTCCTGCTCATGGTTTTTGTCGTGGGAATAAACCATCTAGAAAGACCTCTAGCAAGAAGACGGACGATGGATTCGAGTTAACGATAAAGGTGAAAATGTTTGAAATCGATTCGCGGTGCGAGTAGTTGCAGATTCATGTATAAAAATGCGCAAGTCAAGATTGAAGCTCGATGCACTAGTCCGGAGTGGCTGAATGCGGGCAGTGACATGCAACCCCAGGTAGAGGAGAATATTTCCCAAGAACATCGAGTGATTATTTCCCGGCTACGGGTGATGAATGGACGGGACGAGGCGGCCGCCAATGCTTGTATGTAGCAAGGTTCAGATTTGAAATCACAATACCGCCGGCTGAATCCCGTAAAGAAAAAGAAGATCCCTAAGGCGGAGATTATGTTCTTGTGCAGGATTGTAAGGCGTCATTTTAGGTATATTGGCTGGCGTAGAGCCTGTCATGTTGGATAGGTCCAAAGCTACAGCGAGTGAAGCTGTTGAGAGGCGGTTCGTTTTGGGAGCACGTCGTTTCGATATGCCGAGGCGGCACACGGTTAGCGTGAACGCACACGGCCCGAAAGCGTCTGCGGTGTAACTTCGGAATACCGTAGAGCTGGAGTCTCAAAAGTTGGACAGCTCCGTTCTTCCCCACTGCCAACAGCAATACAGTCAGGTGATAGGACTTTGGCTAGCCTCGGTTTCATCTGTCTCTGTAACCGTATCCCCTGGTCCGCTGGAATAAACCCGCGGATTTAGAGTCGGCAAGTCGGTGTTATGCCCCACGTTGGAGTTCTTTTAATACAGAGTTTTGATTTTTATGTTCTTTAGACCTGTCCTACACGATTCTATTGGCCGAAATCCGCGGGTTTATTCCAGCGGACCATGGGATAAGTTTGGTCAATAAAGTGTCTTTACCACGCAATGCCAACCTCATTTGTTGTTCAACCGTTGTCGCTAACGGCTATCCTCCAGTCCTTGGGATTTCCATGATACCAAGCTTGGTTGTGGTTCTTTGCTCTGAAGATGAAGAACGGTGGTAAGAGCCACCCCATGGTGTTGATTGCAGCAATCAGAGTTACCCACTCACGATCATCAGCTTGCCGGCCGATGGGATTAAGACGTTGTTCAGACGCAGTGACTACCCTGTTAGACCCCAACACCTATCTGGAAGTCAGTCTCGTCGAAGTTGTAGGCATCTTCGTCGAGGATACCATACTTGGCTTTGACGTTGCGTACAAGGTCAACCCAGGGGTTGATAATAGCTGGATCGCTGCATAGGATCCGGCGATAGTCCCGGGGTTAAGTCAATTGTGATTCGATATCTTAACGCCGGTTGACAAGTCGGTATACCCGGTTGACACCAACATGACCAGCATCGCGTGCAGCCAGTAGTTGATCAGCCATACAGCGCACCTCGGCGTAGGAGGGAGCAAATCCACGTAGACTTAGATCCCTTATACGCCGTACAAGGCTCTTCTCTTCATGTTGTGTAAGGGTTGAACAGTTTGGGCGGGTATTGCGTCGAGAAGGTCTTCCGTCGCATCGGTGGCGGAGGGAGCTTCCAGGAACTCCATAACAGCGCAGCAGCGCGTCGTTGGCTTATTGACGCGTCGGATTTCATTGCTTGGAGGGGAAGAATTATCTTATCCTCACGAGAGATCAATTCAGGATCAGGTTGTTGAGGCATCACGATAGGTGGTGGGAAGGGTGGGGGCTTGGCAAGAATGAGTCGCTCGGTGGTGGATTACATTAACGTACAAGGTAACTGTCTAGCTCAAACTATGTATCAAAAACTCGCAGCTTCTCCCACCGGTAGAAGAACGCTGTGATCGTTGCTGCTCCAGCCAGAGCGATGAGCATTATGTAGCCCTTTCTAAGGCCAGATAGGTAGGCTTCAACGATTAGGGGGACGAGATCTGCAGGGAACTGGGAAGCGACCTCGCCGGCACCCACTCGGATGACGCTTGCCGGATCTATCGAGGGAGCGGTTTCTCGTAACTGCGAGATCAAGACGTTGCCCAGGATCGATTGAGCGGCTACCAGAGCCAAAGAACTCCCATAACAGAAGGTGACTGGATGGACACATCAGCACACAGAAGTTCGCGGATGTCTAGGGGCTGGACAGAACTTACAGAGTAGCATAGCCGTGGCAGCAGGAATGTCTTCGAGAGTTGCGTAGCCTTGACCCACAATGATGGCCAATGGAAGTCCGGTGCCGTAGGCAAGTCCAGCGAGAACCTGATAGCCGATGTAGTAGGAGGATGACGACTTTGTACCCAAGGTATAAATCAAGCCAGTCCCAACACAGCCGCCTCCGGCAGCCCAGACCATGAGCGGGATAAAGTGGCCATACTTCGAGGCGAGGATGCCTGCTGCCATAGAGCCAATACCACATGAGATCAGTAGAGGTAGATTGCGGAGACCTGCTTGAGCAGGGGAGACATCTCCGACCGCCTGGAAGTAAATCGGTAGGGCATAAAGGAGAGTATAGAAGGCGCCCTCGAGAAAAAAGCCGTAGGCCATTCCAACGACGACCGAGCGAGTTCTAAGAAGTCTGGCGACCATCATAGCGCGATCGTCTAACAATCTTTGAGAGACGAAGAACAAGATAAGACAGACGCCAAAGCCCACAAGAAGTCCGATGACTTCCGAGGAGTTCCAAGCCATGGTGATGCCGCCGACCTGAAACGCTCGTGCAAAGCAGAGTAACGAACCGAGTGCTAAGAGAATACCGATGGGATCCAGTTGAGAGAGCTTCTCGATAAGGGGTACTTTCTCCTTCTCTCGGTGCACGCTTGGGGTACGGAAGAGGAAGAAGATAATAATGGCGGATGTGCCACCTATAGGTAATGAGATGTAGAAGCACCACCTCCAAGTGATATGCTCTGCGAATAGACCACCAATGATCGGGCCCATGACGTTGGCGAGACTGTAAACCGTAGTGACAGCGCCTGTGAACACGGGGCGAAGCTCCGGGCGCACCACGACACTCAAGATAGCATATCCACCAGTTGCGATGCCAGCTCCGCCTATTCCAGTAATGGCACGACCGATGATGAGGACGGAACTCGATGGAGCGATGCCTTGATGGTGTCAGCCTTGTGGGCGATGATTTTTCTATAGCCACGACTGCTTACCTGCAACAAGCGATCCTACCTCAAAGATGAACACGGCCAACATGAAAGTGTATTTCAGCGGGAAGTACTGGTAAGTCTTGCCCCTACATGGTTGCATATTCTTAATACCTCACGCTGAGCAGACTGGCAGAGTGCACGGGATGTGACTCACCAAAATGGCTGGAAACATGCCAACAAGATGAAGAATGACGACTCATACCAGCCGACCAGATCAATGCCGCCAAATTCGTCGGTGATCTTTGGGATCGCGGTGGCTACAATAGTCTATGAAGGAGGTAGAACGTGTGCCGCGAAGTGGCCGGTGTCACTTACCATGTCCAGTCCCACCTAGAGCAACAGTCAGCGAGAAGTTCGTGACAAACAATGCAGAGGTGATTTGACTCACGGCGAACAACGCGCAGGCGACGCCTATAGCGATGGCAGTCGTCCGGAAGGCATTTGGGTACTGAATGGGGGTTCCGAGAGTATCTCCATCGCCCGCTTTCTTTTCCGAGGACAATTTGGCAGGGCGTTCCTCTGCAGACTGAATGGCCTCAGCGGCAGAAGACATTTCGGTCTGAATATATAAGCAGATGTGTATCTTGTAATGTCTGATCGGAGTAGATAAGTAGGTTTATATACATGACTTGTATGTGAGTACATTACGTCAGGCGAGCAATAGTGAATGATGTAACAAATGCTAGTGTTATGGGCTTACAGAATATCCACCGTATTTACTTAAGTGATTGGAGCAACACGCAGAGACGTCAAGAATCAGATTGAGCAGATTTGCGCAACATAAGAGGAGTCTGCATCAGTAAGTCTCACAGAATCATAATCGGAGGACGCTTCACCGGCCTGGCTCTGGGTCGACTGCACCCCACTCGGGTTGAGAGCTTAATATGACGCAGCAGCGAGTAACTACTGGCGGCTCTCTTCTATCAAGCTGCATCAAGCGGTCCGATTAGAGAATAACCCTGTCTTTATTGCTACGCCGCGCATCTGCAGCACGCGCACACTACCTTTTGTTGCAAAGGCGAACCTGTCTGTGCTGATTTTGCCTCAGCAAGCAACTCCGTTCAGGTCAAACGCATCTAGACTTGCTCCATCGTCAATTGCTCTCGACCGAGGGGTCCACAGATAGGGGTCTCCGCGGGGTATAGAGAGTATCTTACGTGAACACTTACGTGAACACTCACTATTAAATGATACTCTCCAATTCACTAACAGTCAAAACGCGCTTGTTGTGCGGCAATTGCATTCCACAGATTCGAACCAAATACCGTATAAACTTGTTCAATCCGTAGATAGCTAGACAAGGGTTGTAGCAAAGCGAGTCCTCTGGCGATTAGGGATTTGGAGTGGCGGAGTGGCTGTGCGTATTCCACCACTTGCAGGTCGACTCGCTTCGCTACAATCCCTGCTTAGCTATCTACGGATTGAACAAGTTTATACAGTAACACATGAAGGGCTGTAACAAATATACAACACAAGGACAAGGTAAGAGGAACTTTTAGTCTGTGGGGTGGTTGCGCTGTTGGGGACTCGTAGCCGCTGACCGCTCCCGTCCTTCCTCGTCTCCCGCGTTAGTGGATCGACCCAATGATTCATAATTCCACAACGCCTCATAGGTGCAGCAATTAAGATTTGAAATTTTTTGCGCTACCACGGACAAATATCTCTCTACGGTTCTCGCTCGCCGGCGGAGCAAGAGCTCGCGAGGAGACGGACCGTCTCATGAGCGTCTCCCCAGTTACTGCTGTCTCGGCACTTTCCATCCGTACAAACTCACTTCTGCATTGGGCCAAGCTTGGTTCAAGACAGGGTCTCGTACATGTGACATTGCTCCTGGTCTCTTACTGACATGCAGCCAGGCTGATCCCTTGCCAGAAAGGATTCTGTTCCGCTCAGAGTAGAATTTCTCGCGATACGGAGGGCGATTGCACTGTTGTCAACAGTCAATAAAGGGCCTCAGTGCTGCAATTTTCAGCTCATCTGCAGATCCCTTCGCATTTCCCATCATCTAGGGTAGTTGTTTCATGATATCTACCTACCAAGTCCCGATCTGCCGAACCTCCAGTTTCGACCTAATATGAGGGTCGCATTAATTCTTTCACTCGGAACTTCGGCCACTCTATCCTTGGCTCAAGATGGTTTCGAGCCTGCGGACTTTAACGTGACGGAAGCATTGTTCCAGAACGGTGTCAACGTATCAGCCATTCCCGAACTGGCTCCACTGTCACAAAGATCGCTCTCTAACCCCTGCTCAATAGCCGTGTGTATTTCGTAATACAGCGTACCTTTGCTTCCTACTGACATCCGTACTGTAGTGCGACTCTCTCAGACTCATTTATGGGAGTAAAGTTTTCATTCAAGGAGCGGAATACGAAGCCTTTACCGATGCTTACTGGTCAAACCAGGCTTCTGCAGTTAACCCATATTGTATATTCAACCCTACACAAGCACTCGAGGTATCAACATTGGTACTGATTTCTCGCTTTACGCAATGTCCATTTGCGGTAAAGAGCGGCGGGCATACTGCATTTCCCGGAGCATCGAGCATTGAGGGAGGTATCACAGTATCTCTCGAAGCGCTGAACGAGATCTCTCTGTCTCCCGACAAGAAAATCGCAGCTGTTGGAACTGGCAATCGTTGGGGTCGTGTTTACACTACTCTCGCAGAGCACAATATCACCGTCGCCGGCGGTCGCGTAAGTGTATATGATCTCCACCGTGCTGTGGCATCACTAACTAGAACAGGCATCAGATGTAGGCGTTGGTGGACTCCTCCTAGGAGGAGGAGTGTCCCATCATTCCAATATATACGGTTTCGGATGCGATAATGTTGCTTCGTTTGAGGTCGTGACCGCCTCAGGTGTCATCATAAACGTCAGCCGTACGAAGTTCCCTGACCTTTACTGGGCTCTCCGGGGTGGCGGAAACAATTTCGGTGCGCGCGCCATATCCAAATCGTCGTGTTTGCTGCTAATATGTGAACCATAGGAATCGTTACGAAGTTCAATCTTGAATCTTTCTCGCAAGGCCAGATATGGGGAGGGTTCCGAGTTCACCTTGAGCCGCAATATCCTGCACTTATCGAAGCATTTGCAAACATGGTCGAGAGCGCTACTGAAGACCCAAAGGCGGTTCAGATCTTGTCTTTTGCGGTGACAGCAGGCTCACCCGCGGCGCAAATTGAGCTGGAATACATTGTGCCCGTCGACAATGCCAACCCACCTGCCATTCTCAAGGAGTACCTATCTATTCCCGCAATCATGGACGGCACCGCAAACCGAACCCTCGCTTCAGCTACGGATAACCTCAGCGCGCAAATGCCCGATGGACATCGTTACTCGTTCTGGGCGGCAACGTTCAAGCTCAATCGCGATCTGATGACGTGGATGAGAGAAAAACACGCCCAAGATGTGGGATCCCTTCCTGACCAGGGCTCTCTTACCTTTCAAGCCTTCACTGTTCCAGCCATTCAGCAAATGAAGAAGAATGGCGGTAATGCTCTAGGTCTTGACGCTGCAGATGGCCCGTTATTCCATGTGCTTCTGTACATGGTGTGGGAGGACAGTACGAAGGACAAACTACTCAACAAGGCTGCGCAGACTTTCATCAATGCTGCAAAGGCGGAGGCGAAGAGCCGTGGGCTGGCCAGTGATTACATCTACCAGAACTACGCCGGTCCTTACCAGAACGTCATTCCTGGCTACGGGGCTGTAAACCTTCAAAGATTGAAGTCGATTGCAAAGAAATACGATCCAACTGCTGTATTCCAGACTTTGCAGCCCGGTGGCTTCAAACTCGAGGGTGCACCGTACGGTGAGGTAATATAGATCGTTCTTATGGGTTTTTTTCTTTGGCTTATAGACATGAATTTTCTTACATCAAAGCCCAGAATCAAGACAAAAGTTGCAAATTCTTTATCTTGGAATGAGGTCCTGCTCACAAAACGAAGTCAAGAAATTCCACTCAAAAGTATAGATGAAGAAGGGAAAGGTTGAGGGCTAGGCCACTTGCCGATGAAAATCCTAACAAGGCAACACTGTACTTTCCAACATCACCGACTCCGTAGGGTTGACAAGAGACTTGTTGTTTCTCGCCTATTGAGAACGACCCCTATTTATCGTCTTTCACTGAGACTTCCAATGTATCAAATTCGTAAGGCTCAACAGGCTTTGTGTAGCGCGGATAGCGACTGTGAGCATAGCTCCACAAGTTCACAGTGAAAGTACATGTCACTTTCACCACACACACTCACCACCAGTTCTAAGCCTACACAAGTATATCTACCCACCTCCCACGCTAGACCCCCATCGAACCGTGAACCAACTTCGAACCAATCAACTCATTTTCCGTCTCTACATACTCCAAACGACCCTCCCGGTAACCACGACTATGCCCTCTCTTCACCCACAGACCGACCCCTGCGACACATCCCTCGCCAAGCAAGCCAACTACTGGCGCTACAAGCAAACCATCTCAATCTACCACTTTCGCACCTCCCATATGTCACTGAATAGCTTCAAGTCCATCCTACGACCAGACACCGGATACACCGGAACTTTGTACAGTTTTGACCCCTTGAAGTCCACCCCCACACCACACGGCGACGAGATCCCCAACAACAGTGTAGAAGCTGCGTATCTGCCTGCAGTACTTTCTCGCACTGGCTCCGCCCTCGGGTTTCGCGTTGGGAACGATGCTGTGGAATGGCTTTGTTTCAAGGGAGCGGTCAACGAAACGCTCCTAGATAAGCTGTTTATGGACGGGCAAACTGTGAGACTGGAGGATGCTGAGCATGAGCTGCATCCTGACGATCCGCGCAAAGTTTTCGATCTCGTCGCGTACCTTGAAAAAGACGCAGGGCAGTCGAAGCGCGGTGCGCATACGGAGCATAAGCGCTGGTATCTTTCCTTCGCTGTGGCGGAGGAGCGCGCAGTTAAGGTTCGACTTACGTGGAAGAACTTTGGCGCGGATTTGAAGAAGTGGCGTGAAGAGGGGCAAGGTCGAGGGCAGGCGAACGGATTGGGTGTGCACCGGGGTGAGGGTGGAGGTAGACGTGGGAATATCTATGAGGATGATGTGGAGATGGAGACAAAACCGGGAAGAGCGCTGGCGTGGAAGCGACCAAAGTCTGTTTCAAGGGCGGCTGTGTTGGAAGATATAGACACGAACACGCCGTCCAAGCCGCAGATGCCGCTACAGGTTCAAAAGTTGCGAGAGAGTCGACCTTAACCGGGGGCGAGGGCGGTGCGGAAGGAGATTCCTTGGATCGGGGTGTTTGGGTCTTCTGTTTTTTGATAGCGTTTGATATTCGAGAATCGAACTGAGATTATCAAAAAGGTATGGCAGTCGTGGTCAGCGTTTATGATGATCAAAGTCTACTGGTTTTTACGAGTAAATTGTGCGTTCGAGCTCTTGATAGATGTGCTTCAATAAACGGGGTGAAGTGGAGTGTAGTAGTAGCTGAGAAATACTATCAATCGTTTGATACTTTGGTACATGTTAAAATTCTCTCGTTTTGACTATATACATTGTGACTCACGCAATCATCTTACTTCTCGCCTCTCATACTTCAAGTGGTATACGATTACGCTCAGCCCTTGAGACCAACCTCGTCAGCTGTGAGGATGAACTCCATGAAGCCCGCGTTCGTATCAATGATGTTCTGGATGTACTCCTCACTCGTCGGGTAGAAGTTCGTCGGGTAGCCGAACTCCATGGTGTACCCGTAGACCTTGGTGACATTCTTGTTTTTATGCCATCTGCTGAACGCATAATCATCGCTGGCACCAGAAGTGGGGTAGAGACCAACAGCCTGCTGGGGAATGTACTCGCGTCCACCAACAGCGTTCATTGCAGCAGTGGTGGCATTGGCCTGGAGGCTGATGTTGTCCCAGTCCTCTTGGTCAATGTACTCCTTGTACAGCTCATCTTCTACAACACCGCGCTTACCGTCGTACTCAGGGTTGAACAGGTTTTGCTTCGGGTCGTGGGACTGGTTGATGTCGTCACCCCATGAGTACAGTAATGTGCCTGCGGCAGAGTGAATGTCGATAAACCAGTGGATTCCCGGGAACTCATCGTATATCCAGCGCATGTTTTGGGTCTCAGGCTCAGAGAAGGGAGCAGTGCCGTAGAATGCCTGGGATGAGGCGTTGGTGGACGCAGGCGAGACTGTGTTGTTGAAGTATTGGGTGAAGTTCCACATGAAGTCAAAGTTACGGTTGAGATCCACGCCAACAGAAAGGGGGACACCGGGAGTGGAGCTTGCTGGGTTGCGGTTCTTGCGCCAGAGGTTGCTATTTGCTTGGTCGTGACGTACTCCATCCGGGTTGGTCATTGGGGTGAAGACAATGCCCGCACCTAGCGCCTTCTTGACTTGCGAGTTTGTGTATCTAGAAGTGCGGGTCAGCTTATGTTCACGCAAAGAAGGGCAGTAAGAACAGCTTCTTATGCCGTCTCTCTGTAATATCCCATGATGCCACGAGAAGGACAATAAGGTGGAGTTTCTTTTTTTTTATAGATCTGAGGGTATGAGGAGCTTAAACTTCGCAGGCAAAACCAACTTACGTCTTGTTGCCATAGGTAAGGCCAGTTCGGTGCTCATTCGCATAGAGCAGATCCGAGATGAAGTAGATGAGGTTGTCTGGGCCACCTCGTTCACGAGCGTGAATTCCGGAGGAGAAATAGATGTACTGCTTGTTCTTCTTGATCTTTTGGGCCTTGTTTGCAACGCCACCAATGACTGTGTTACCCTCGAAAGTCTTGTAAGGTGCTTCAAACAGTGTCAGACCATACTCTTTCTCCAGCCCCCTCATTGCTGTGTAAACTTCGTCCGCATTCAAGATGCCAGCGCTCTGAAGCTCCGCGTACTCGCTGGATTTTCGAGATCCGAGACCACGCGGGGCGACTTTGCCGCCCTTGAACCGGTCGCCCTTTCCGATGGGAGCAGTAGCGGCCTGTCGCTTGTTGATGTGATCCAGAGTCTCGACGCGGACGACATCGGCGTCGATGCTTCTCTTCAGGCGATGGTAGTGCTCTTCAGAAACAACGGCGTGTAGCTTATGCTCGCCTCCAGCCGGCATAACAACCGGACGGCATCCATAATCGATATCGTGATTGGTAGAAATGAAGTCGAGCAATTGGCTCCTCTCCTTTGCAAAGAAAGCAACACTCAAGACATCAGACGCTAGTACAGCGCTGGGAAGCAGACCGAGAAGTGTAGAGACTTTCATGATGGTACAGCGGAAGTGCACGAGAAGGGTAGAGTGCTCGTCGCAGCAGTTAACCGTAGCGCCTCTCTTATGTATGCGAGAAAAAAGCCACTGCTTCCTCGATGACCCTGTCAATAATCATGGTCGACATTTGTTGCTTGACGACCTTCCTCATTCGGTAACCAGCTTCCAAGATCGTGACTTCCAAGACATAGAACGAGCTTGGCTGGCGTACTGAACCTGATACTACCAGCGGGTTCTGAGCGTTATCTATGAGTCTAACCTTTATTTATACAGTTCTTGAAGCACTGGAGTCTTTTTGCAAGTTCCACGCCGTCAGTGCTCGGTGTCGAACCTGTTGCCAAGCTCACTATTGTTCAGTCGGTCCTGCCAAGCCACCAGTGGCCAGCCTTCTGTTAGGTACCTGGGATGGGGTGACAATCGTCCTCTCATGGGTACGAGCTATGCGGCCTAAGGCGTATACACGATACATCTTCGAGGCAGAAATGAGCACGCGACGAGGCCGGAACAACATATTCAACACGCTACATCTACACCAGAAATTCCAGCTTCATCTCTGTTCGTTCTAGCGATACTGGCTCTTGAAAGAGGTCTAGAGGAACCAACAACGACTATTCCAGACTGGACTACGGGATATATGTATGAATAGCATATTGAAGTCATACGTCCTACTGCGCGTGAATGGTGTCTTCGTATGCCCTTGTCACCTGCTGAGTCGATGAGTGTACAGATTTCTTTGCTCTGTGGGCCGACGAATCGTTCCCGCGTTTGCACTTTTGGAATGGTAGCTTCATGTGTTCCTGTTTCTGGATTGTCGGAAGAACCCCCCAATTGTGGGATTCGTGAAGCTTCAAAGGTATGAGTTCTTTGCAGTAGTAACAAGGCCTCGTAATGGGCGACCTTTTCACTGCTTCTGTGCAATTTCTTCGTTTGTTTTGTTGGTGTTATTCGTCCTCGCTGTCGGAGATTGTGAGGTGTGGAAGGTGCCATCTATTCTCAGCTGCTTGCTTTATCAAGTTGAGTATCTTTCTATTCTTGAGTTGGTTTGCCAATTCCAAAATCACTTGAGCGGGGTTATCGCTTAGGTCGAGCCTCCCAGATGCAAGCAAGAGCTTCACGACGTACAGATTTCCGTACGAAACTGCCCAAAATAGAGTCTCCTCTTTGGAAACGATGTCGATCCTGTCCTCATTGATAAGTGACTTTATAATAACCCCTGAGTTGTACCAAATAGCCTCGCGGAGTGGCGCGTTACCATAAACGAGTGACATTTGGTTGATATCTACATCGTCTCTTGCTAACAGAAGTTCCACAGCTTTTGCATTACGAGCCCAGATTGCAAAAAATAATGGTGAGTCCATGTCCTGGGATGAAAGTGTATGAAAGTCGTAACTGCAGGCTTTCAACAGTAGACAAGTCATATCGTTGAAAGTATTGAATGGTTGTGAGATGAAGGCCTTAGTACAGATTGATAGGGGTCGATTGTCTCCTTCGTCGATTAGGAAGAGGAGCAAGTCGAGGGCATCCTCATTGTTGTCCAGAAAAGCTCTCCGAAGTGCGGTTTGACGGTCAGACTCTTTGCCTGTGAGAATCGTGTTCGGTTTCATCAACGCGACAAATAGTATGGCTATGTGCGGCGTCATCTCAGATATAACATACGTATGTTTCAGTCCATACGATCTGACGTAAGTGTGGAAGTGCAATACCATAGCTCCAGGATCAGGCTGTGCAAGCACATTTGTAACGGCTGAGCCAATATCTACGTTGAGCCCCTTCCTAGACTTCAAGAGTTTCAATGCGAAACTTTGTACGCCTTTTGCAGAGGCTAGTGTTGAAGCGAGGATTTGAGAAGGGGCCGACTCGATATGTATTTGCGGAACTCGGATCGTGGACAGCTGGGTATCAAAAACTCCGTAGCTAGCATAGGTTACTATGATGTCTGTCATAGTTGTCTGTGCCCCTTCTCTTGTAATTCCATTGCCATCAGAGTTACGATAGCCATTCAAAAGAAACTGCTCAACACTAGGATGCAGTAGTCGTACAGTTGTTTCTTCCTCATCAACAACTAGCAGACATCCGCAGTTCTTGGTTAATGCTGAATGTACGTCGTTTAGGAGTGTGGCAGGGTTCCACTCTGTATCTCCAACGGTGACGCTCAAAGCTTCTCGCATCTCATCTACCGTCAGTGGCCGCATACTTGCAACCACGAGTTCGAGAACCCGCTTCTGATAGGTAGCCCCTGATTTCTGCAATTGATCCAGAATCTGAGCATACATTGCAGGTAGGTCTTTAGGGAGGTTCAGGAGCGCTTTTTTGATCTGCTCGTCCGTTTGCATAGAACACAGAGATTTGATTTGAAGAGCTGCCTAAAGGAACATTCCCTGCGATCCTTTTGAAAGTGCATCCTGAATGTCTAGTATGAGTCTAGGCTCTCCTATATTTAGGACACGCCGCTCCAGACAACGCTCCAGTTCCGCTTGTATGAAGGTCTCGATATCCGACTGGTTATCAGGAAGAGGCACCACTTGTGGGGCGATGAAGCGGTTGTGTAAGGATCCTAAGGTGATGTTCGGCTCCAGTCGATAGGTGATGCAAATTAGCACCGAGGTTACTTTTTGGAGTAGTCTACATATAGGGAATACCTCTTCCTTCTCTGACTCGTCACACAAATCCAAGCCGTCCAGAACAAAGTACGTGAGGTGTCTGCGCGGAAGAGCATGTCGAAGCAGCTCCAACATGTCTTCATAATCCAGGCTTCCATACTTGGTTTCCTTAAGACTCGGAAGGTCCGGCAGAGGTTGCAATACCTGTCGCACTAACGCACCGATGATCGTTCGCGCTTTCAGACTTTCTGGAAGATCGTGCTTGCAGAAGAAGTATGCCGCCGTAGATTTAGCACCGCCAGTATGAACGTTGAGGTCTTCTACCATGTTGGCCATCATGACGGACTTCCCAGATCCCAATCTACCGGTGAATACCAGTGTACATGATTCCACACTCGTTTTCCACGTTTGGTAGTCGGCTGTCTTTGTAAATAGATGCGTGTTCCCGATCTTGCGAATTTGTTTCCAGGTCGTTCCGTAGTCGTATTGGGAGCAGAGATCGAGGATCCGCAGTTTTTTGGCGCGCTTTTGATCTTGGGAGAAAGATGTCGAGAAATTCTTTGAAAGAGTTCTGAACCGGGAGTTGTCACACGCTTCACTCTCAATTCTTTGCGCGACTTGTAAGCCCATTTCATCTTTGATCAAACCTGACCAAAGATCGAGCTCTGTTCGAAAGGTCTTGAGGTCCATGTCGCCAAGTGCAGTGGTTAGTCTTTGGAAGGCTGACTTCTGAACAAAACTCATCAACTTGTGACAAAGTTTTACTACCACAATGAAGTACTCGCTCATATGAGCTTGAAGATTCCGGGATTGAGGATATAGCAATGCTATTGCTTGGTTCCGTGGTACTGAGCGGCCGACCTCCATGAACAGGAGAGACAAACTCTCAAGGTATGAGGAAATATTTATGGTGGCCTATGCTCATCAGTATGGTTTGGTAGAATGATGTGGTATCAGCATCGCATGGCGAGGGGTGTGAATATAGGATGATGACGAAGCATGGACGGTACAAATCCGTATAGACTCATTAACTGAGACCAGCATGCAAGTCCAAATAAAACCCAAGCAGGCCTAATACTACAAGACATGTTATAGCTATCTAGGTCTATCATTGAGTATCGGTGCTAGATCTTGTGGGCTCAAACCTCATTGTTCCAAAGTTCGCACTCTCTGTACAACACAGACGACCGAATATTTGAGCCTGAACCTGGACTTGAGTATGTGAAATCTAGCACGTACCAGCAACGACATGCGCACAAGTGACCAGACACCACATGCGATCATGTTCTGCGAACCTCCAACAACAACATCTCCAAGAGCAGCAAACTGCTGCACACCTTGCAAAAAGTTCGCTAAACGCGGTCCATAGCAACGACCTCCAGCCTCGGAAGAAACACGACGATTGAACTCTGCAGTAAAGCGCATAACATCGCTCGGAGTGGGGGTGTTCTTCATGGCTTGAGATGTGTTCGCATCAAGAAGCATCTTTTGGTCAGTCGAGAGGCTAGACTTGAATTGAGACACAGCCTCAGCAAGGCGAATCTCAGGCTTCAGCCGTCCAGCATTCGAGATGACAAGAGACATGGTGATCCGGCCTCGAGTTCAATGATGCGAGTCGTACGCCCAGCTTAAAGAAAGGAACTCTATTGTTGGAAAGAGGATGAAAGAAACGATCCTCAACCCAGCGGTGGAAGTTGGAAGCAGCTTGTCTGAAGAGGTCATGAGGGGCAGGCATGATCGAGGCTGAGGCGATGCATATTACGGCGCAAGGCTATCCAATAGACTCTGTGCGACGGCTGAGTCCTGACTGAACAGCCACAGTCGGACATGATACCGCCGTCATAGGGAACGGAACAGGCGTAGTATTTTGGGTATACATTTGTGGTAATGTAACATGGGTGTAGGCGATGCAAGGCGAGATCATTCGGAAGCTCCAGAGATGATCAAGCACGTGTATTGCTGACTAATATTTTTCCAATCAGAGCACAGCTCGCGTCCTGGCAAGACACGAACATCACGCGTCCAGAGATCGTTGTTTAATCATTCATAGAAGTGATCATATCGATTCTCTCGTACAACCCTATGGCCCCCGAATGGCGTCGTCATGTTTTCTGCTCTGTTTATCATACTATCACACAATTGTGTCCGGCGTAGCCCATGTCCTGTCTCGAAACTCGTCCCCTCTGGCACAACATGGTAGTTCATGCAATCCTTCCTACAGTACCTCCACCTCACGTATCTACCGCGCATCTCTCTCATAGAACACGCGATTCTTCTCCCTATGACGCTCCACCAACTTCTGCCGGTGCTCTGCCCGTCCACACCATGAGATATACCAGCTCGGCTCATCATGCCTTATACGACAGTTCTCGTCCCATCGCCCATCGATGCTCTCGAGCTGTCGCCAATAATCGACGTCTCCGTTCTCGCGCTTCGGGCGACTCCGATCCATGCAGTCGATGCACAAGCCATCGAAGTACCGCAACGCCATGACACGCGCATGTGCGACCTCTCCCTCCCAGTCAGTGCTGCATAGGGAGCAACTTCCGTGTTGCTTCATGGTGAATGACTTGAGATCTGCGAGGATCATCATGACCGAGGACTTCGAGAAGGTCTTCTCAAGAGGGTAGGCGGTGGTGTTCACGAGACCAGCAAAGTAGTGTCCTGCCGTGGATGCCCAGGAGTCGCATTTGCAGACGTATGGGCCGCGGGTGAGCAGAGAGCCGATCCCGGACCAGATACCACGATGTATGCTCGTCCGCAGGGAGCCACGTGCGTGATTCATCGGGCCTGTGGATGAATGCGTCAGTACTTAGCCGAATATGCGAAGAGAAATGGGAGAGGGAGACGCGTTTACGTACCGACAAAATCTGGTGGTGCGAGGCGCATGTGGTGCCACTTGAAGCCCTTGGGTCGCTTCTCGGTAATGTGTCCAGCGAAATTGTAGGCCAGCCATTTCGTCACTTCTGCAAAGCCTGAAGCATGATCGAACATGTAACATGGAAGAGCCACTTGCCGAGCTAGGTCGTCGTCTAGGGAGCCGACGTGGACATTCTTCTTGTACCACAAGTCGAAGAAGCCGCGAAGGATTGAAGCATCAAGGAGGTACTTGTCCGCTGCGTCAATAATGTGCCAAATCCTGTCGATGTCTGTATCTTTGACGGTGTCATGCTGAAATAGAGCTTGTTCAATGGCTCTGTCTTCTCCATCCTCAAGCCTCCTGCGCTTTGAGTAGTTTGCGTCCTCGTCACCGTCCTCGTTAGCGTCTTCTCTCTCTTTAACAGCCTGCATGTATACAAGCCAGACATGCATAGCGCCAATATCGTCGTCCTTCAGCTCCACGTTCTGGTGTTTGTGGGCTTGGTTGAACCGCAGGCTTGCTGAGAAGTACTGCGAGTTCGTGGTGAGCGCCTTCTTTTCGACCTTGAACTTGGTGAGGTGACGCTCTCCATTGTCGTCCTTGTTGCTAAGGACAGAGATGACAAGGTCGCTGTGCCTAGATATCTCGACAATCTCATTGTCTATAGTAGGCGTCGCGGGTCGCGGCGGCTCTTCAAATTCCTCAGACATACTTCGTGGCAGTGTCAATAAGCTTGCGGGTTTGATTGGTAGAGTGGAAGAAGGAGTGAATAAAAGGTGGGTGAGAAGGGTTGTCGAATGGGCGGGGCTGAAGTTCAAAAGCGGCGTCGTGAAGACTTGGGCTCATGGTGAGTAAACAAGATGTGAGCGGTGATGGTGAAGAAGTGGGGTCGAACATCCCGCCTGTGGAAGTAAGAGCCGTGCTCAGTATTTTGCATTGCACGATAATTCTGAAGAAAACGCAGTCTGGATGGCTGGAACCACAAGGCCCATGTTGCTATTTGCTGCAAAGCACATGGGAGCACGAGCAGGTAGGTGTTGCATCGCCATGTTTCCAGACAGATCATATGATTGCGCGTATACACAACCAGTCCAACAAATTCTTTGTCCGTGAGAGTTGGAGTAGCAAACTATCCAAGACACGTCAGTGTATATGAGAAAGCGTGAGGATGGGCTTAAGAAAGGTATCAGTCTCCGGACAGCCAGCTTAGCTCAAATCTTTCAAGTTCGTTCTAGCTTTTTCCAAAAGATGTCGAGTTCTCAAGCGAAACCAACAATCATTGGTCTGTACGGTATCTCTGGAGCAGGGAAGTCGTACCACTTGGACCTACTCAAGACCACGACCACACTTGCCAAAGAAGGCTTCATCTTCTACGATGGCTCTGCACTCATTGCCAGCGTGGTTCCCGCTGGGTTGGACGCATTCAAAGGTCTTTCTCACGATGATCAGACCTTGTACCGCAAACAAGCACTCGAGCAACTCAAGGTTGAATGCACCGAACACCAGAAGACAGCTGTCGTCTCCGGACACTACATATTTTGGGATGATGAGACCAGAGAAGGTGAGAGGGTAGGTATCGAAGAGGACTGGGAGACCTACACGCACATCATATATCTCAACGCAGATGCCGGAGTCGTAGCCGAACGAAGGAAGAAGGACTCAAGGTGGCGCCGCAAGACTTCCGTTGCGCATCTGGGGAAGTGGCGGGACACTGAGAGGGCTGAGTTGCGGGATATTTGCCTGGAGAAGAAGATATTGTTCACTACTGTGTTCGACGACGCACCGCCCAAGGAAACCCGTACCGCAGACAAGCTCGAGATGATACTGCGAGACTTCCAGCAGCACAGCGAGGAACACAACATTTCGATCATTGAGAAAGCTATCGATGCTACTACTGCCGGGCAAGACAAGCTGGAGACCATGCTGGTGCTGGACGCTGATAGGACACTGGCTCCGCATGATACCGGTGCGATGTTTTGGGAAGCTGACATATGGGGGATCAGCACCAAAGATCCACTGAAGACACTTTTCAAAAGGCAGGGCTACTCATACGCGTCGTTCCGCCAGGCGAGTCTACTCTACGAAGAAGCAGCGGACGGCTTTGATGTCAGATGCAACAGGCTCGCGGAGCATGTCAAGATGTATACAGACATGATTGCTCTTCTCAAAGACGTAGAGATGAATCCGCACATCGGCGCTGTTGTCGTAACCTGTGGTCTCCGTCGCGTCTGGGAGGAGGTCCTCGCGACAAACAAGTTGTCTCACATCAAAGTCATTGGCGGAGGGCGTCTCGCAGACGAATACGTGATCACAGGGTCAATCAAGGGTCATATTATCGACAAGCTCCATGAAAAGAAGCTCCGTGTCCTCGCTTTCGGAGACAGTCCACTCGACTTGGAGATGCTGCAGAAGGCCGATGACGCATACGTTGTGGTCGGCGACAGGGAGACCAGAAGTAGGACGATGGACGCAGAGCTTTCCAAAGCAATCGAGAACGGCCTACGTGCGCAGCAGATCGTCTTCTCCCACAAAGTTGACCCCCGGCTAGATGTGGAGTCACTCCCAAAACTGGAGCTAGGAGCTGAAGAGCTGAAGTTTATCTTCAAGCGGCAGGAGAATTTCGTGCACGCCACCCTCAAGAACGCAACAAAGCTTCTGATGACGCCCACGCGAGATGCCGCCAATCGAGGACATGATCTCAGAAAGGCCCACGAAAACGTCGGCTACTACCTAGCTACCGAGTTTCTGAGCGAGATCATCGGCATCGAGACATATCCCGTCAAACACGTCCAAGGCTTCCCTACAGATGGCTATCGCTTCCGACATGAGAAGCATACACTGATCGTCCCGCTCATGCGCGGTGGCGAACCCATGGCCTTCGGCGTCAGCAAGGCCCTCAAAACAGCAGGTTTCGCACACGCAAAGCACTTCAGCGACATTGATGCTGGAAACTTGAAGGGCAAACGTGCCATCATCCTCGTCGACTCGGTCATCAACACAGGTGGGTCAATCGTCGAGTTCATGGAGCCTTTGAGGGAGAAGTATCCGGGCGTGCAGGTCATTGTTGTTGCCGGTGTTGTCCAGGCCGACGCTACCAAGGTAGGTAAATTCGCGGCCATGTTGAAAAGCGACAAGAATCTGTATGTTGTCGCATTGCGCGAGTCCGACAACAAGTACAAGGGTCGGGGCGGAACCGATACGGGGCATCGGCTGTTCAACACGACGAACCTGGACTGAGGTAGGTAGACGTTGGTGGATGAGTGGGAGAGTGAAACTGGGTATGCGAGGGCTCGGAGTAGAAATAGACCATACCACATAGTTGTAGAGAATGACAACGTGCAAAGCGGATTGAGATTGCGATATGCGGGTACTACAAAAAGATCATATGCAAGTTGATCGGTCTTGTGTTTCAGACTACTGGCCGTTTCAAAGCGCTCCGAAAAACTAGGCGAATTGAAAGTGACCATTTGAAAGACATCGACCGAGGCCCTCATTCGTTCGTTCAACAGCCACATATGGTCGACGAGTTGGGACCTCCCCGCTTCATCTGCTGGAATAGAACATCTCGGGGGTGAGTTGTAGCTGCGACATAATATTGTAATCTTTGTATGTAGGCAAGCAAGCAGGGTTATCTGCCTCCAGCTACCGAATCACGACTTGTAATCGATACCATCGCGGTAACAAACCCAGGTAGCGATTTGGTAGCGAACGCCTTGTACGTAGAGCTACCGTAAGACCTAAGCTCAAAAAGGCGTGGTTGTCACACGGCAAGAACATCAAATCCCCCTTAATAGACGATACACCATACCACGGATCCCGAGAGAATGCGCACGGCTTCGTGAGATGTGTAGCCACCCCCTGTGCGTCTCGCGAGGAGCGGGCGTCAGAACTGACATTCTTGAATACAGTAAACTGTCGCGAAATGCCTCTTCTACCAGTATCTTTCATTCATTATTTTCTGTCTTGTCACTCGTTCCAAGCTTGAGCATCTGGGTTGCTCTTACATTCGTTTCTTCCACATCAGTCTCTTTATTTGTCTAGATTCCATTTCTGTTGCAATATCAAGATGCGTTTCCTCATTCTTATGGCTACTTTACTCCCCATGGGACTGGCGCAGGTCGTTGGCAAGCCGTCTGGTTTCGCTACTGGCACCACCGGCGGTGGCAGCGCTAAGCCCGCTGTTCCAAAGGACAACGCCGAGCTTGTCAAGTGGTTGACGGACGATATTCCCCGTGTCATCATGCTCAACAAGACGTACGACTTCAACGCCGCGGAGGGAAAGAAGACGGAGACTGGCTGCCGTCCAGCCAGCAACACTTGCAGAAGCAAGGGCCAGGACGCTCTCAACGGCCCCAACTGGTGCAGTGCCAGCTACCCCAAAGTCCGCGTCACTTACAACGTCGCCCCCACCAAGCCAATTGACATCAAGGGCAACAAATCCATCGTGGGTGTTGGCAATAAAGGCGTAATCCGGGGTAAGGGTTTCCGTCTCGTCAACGTCAAAAACATCGTCATCCAAAACGTCCACTTCACCGACCTGAACCCGCAGTACATCTGGGGCGGTGATGCTCTCCAGCTCGCCGGCACAGATATGGTCTGGATCGACCACTGCAAGTTCTCGCTCGTCGGCCGCCAGATGATCGTAACTGGCTACGCATCCGCCGGCCGCGTCACCCTTTCCAACAACGACTTCGACGGCCGCACGTCCTGGTCCGCATCCTGCAACGGCCAGCATTACTGGACGCTCCTCCTGCTGGGCGACGGCGACAAAATCACCTTTGCTAACAATTACGTGCACTCGGTCTCTGGCCGTGCCCCCAAGATTGGCGGCAAAGTCACCTTTCATGCTGTCAACAACTACTTCGCCGACAGCAAGGGTCACAATTTCGATACCGAGCCTGGCAGTAATGTGCTCCTTGAGGGCAACTTCTTCCAGGATTGCAAGACGCCTATGGTTGCTGCTGACGCCACACACGCTAAAGGTAATATATTCAATGTACCGGATAGCGCTGCTGCATCGCTGTGTACGGCCGCGCTGGGCAGGGTGTGTATGCTCAACCAGTTGTCTGGCTCGGGCAAGTTTCCATCTCAAAAGAATGCCAGTGTTATGAAGGTTTTCAATGGTGTGAGGAACGCACCGGTTGCTACTTCTGCGAGGATTGTGCCGAATAATGTTTCCAAGAGAGCTGGTGTGGGCAAGATCTCGAATTGAGCTGTTTAAGATGCGCTCTTCGGTACATGTCGTCGTCTAAGATCAGCGTCTAATAAGATAGTTCAGCGCTGATTAAGTACTAGATAAAATCCACCCCTCGAGTGCTGTTACGCAAGTGTTCCATAATATATGAACATCTTTATCTCTGCTAATTGCCATCTTGATTAAAATGTGACGTCAACATGTATATAGAAATTTACGTACAACCTGGCGGAAAGTCAAGCCGGGAATTAAATTTACGAAAGACGCGTTGTTAGCTAGTTTAACATGACATGTACATGCATGCGTGGCTATTGATCTATTTGTCCAGAGTCTGATCATGTAGACCTATTCTTTGAAGGTCTATTTCAAAAAGGATTGCTCAAGTCGCTCAGTACAAGTCAGAGGAGCGTGTCACTCTTACTCTGCGAGTCTGTATATCAACTACATCAACATGATCTTATCTCTTGTTCATGTTCACGACACTGATAACAGCAACGGAGCTAGGACACGAGCTGTGTGGAGATATTTATTAGAATGTGGAGACGTAGAGTACCGCGAATACTCATAGTAGGAAGTAGGATACTTTCATGGGCGAAGACATCTAGTGAAGGGATAGGGGTGTATGTCTGTTTGGTAGCACCGTATCGCTCGCGATAGTCAGTTTTATAAGAATACGAGAGCGTATTAGACTGTAGGCTGACTCGTCTACAATCATCTTCTGAAGCGCAAGGCACACTCGCCTTGTTGCACAAAGAGAGCTGTACGTCTATGCATCCTCTAACCTTCCAACGCAACACGTCGGATCGGTCTGTAAACGCCCTGGAGTTGGATGTTGTGTTGTCGGGATCCAGACGCGCCATAGGAATTGCTGGTTGATGTGGTTGACAAGGCTATGTTTGACCCACCCCGTTCTCACTTGGATGTTACATCAATGCGGCTGGACAGATACGTGGATCACGATTTCACGGGTTTAAAGATATTTGAAAGGCAGATTGTCATTGTCCAAAAGTCGATGGGAGGGCCTTGGCACGTCGGTGTTATTTGAGTGCTGTGAGTGCACAGATAGGATGCCGGCAGATGAACGGGTCCTGCCACGTTTGAGGATTAAATGCGTCGACTTGTTCACGTCGCCAGCCCAGTCTGCGGCAGATTGTTGGATACGACGCACGCGCTGGGCGGACACTGCCAACGGAAAACGGTTCCTTTGCGTCGTTGCAGCAGTGTTGTTATTGGCTGGTGGAGTAAGGGTGTTTGTGCTCGTTGATGGCACCCCGTGTTGGATTGTGGCGGAGCACTTCGCTGAGAAATAATGCTCCGTGCCTTCCGTGCTTGCCCCATGCGGCTGTTTGAGGGTGTCACGAAGTTGTGGGCGTCATGCAAATCCTGTAGGAGAAGGCGCCTGGTTAGCGACACCGGCAATACACTATTCGTCTTGATAATAGCAGAGAGAAAGAGAGAGAGAGGGAGTTGCTATTTGCAGCTTGTCGACTTGATCGAGCCCACTGACTGGCGATCCTTTGACGGCACACTGGGCGCTCAGAGACGCGCGTATTGGCTGACGTGCAGGCCAGGAGCAGAGCTGCACCCCTAAAGACCCACCGAGATCCTCACCTGCTCTGCCCCGACGCTCATTCACCCCCAGGCCCCCTCAAACTTGTTCGTCGCGCCTGTGACGACAAAAGCAATACATCTGGGTTGCGTAGAAGCGTGGAATCGCTAATCGCACCTGTACTCTCGTTACCGTCCATTGTCGAAACCCTTCTTTTATTAGCTTGGCCACCCCAGCCGCCCGCACCCGCCACACGCCCCTGCCCGGTTTGCGACGACCGCCAGCGTACCTGCCTTGTTCGACACCACCACTTCCCACTCGTCACCACCCGCGACCAACAACCTGCCACTCGTTCACCGCCCGCCTCCGCTAATACACCACCACACCACTCTATTATCTGCCCGCTGTGGCCGCTCGCGCCTGCACAGGAAAAGTCGCCGCTACTGGTTTGGCCGGCCCCCTGATTCCGTACTCACCGAGAGTACACCCCAGCTTCGCCAGAAGCACATAACCGCCCTCACACCTAATATCTGCACCCGCAAACACCCACGATGCGCTTTTCGCTCTCCAGGGCGCTGCCCTGGCTCGCCGCCGCCGCGGTGCCACTCGCCGCTGCAGAGAACATCATCGAGTCGCATTCGCTCAACCCGTGCATGACCAACTCCAGCTTCTCGGCCACGCTCTTCCTTGTCGCCTTCACGCCCGGCAACGGCAGCTTGGCCTTCAACGTCGAGGGTATCTCCAACATCGCCGGCAACATCGAAGCCGAGGTCGAGCTGCTGGTCTACGGCTACTCGGCCCTCAAGACGACCATCGACCCCTGCGACTCCAAGGACCTCGATGGCCTGTGCCCCATGAACTCCGGCCCGCTGACCATCAAGTCCAACATCGACCTGAGCGCCGACATCCTCAAGGTCATTCCAAGTAAGACGCGCCTTCTCTAGTCACTACACCCAGCTAACAAGGCCAGCCATCGCCTACACCATCCCCGACCTGGACGCCCTCGTGCGCATCAAGGTCAAGGACCGCTCCACGCATGTCCAGCTTGCCTGCGTCGAGGCCGAGCTGCTGAATGGAAAGACAGTCGACCAGAAGGCCGTGGCCTGGGTGACTGCTGTCATTGCTGTCCTGGGCCTGGTGTCGTCTGCCATCACCTCCGGTCTTGGCCACTCCAACACGGCAGCCCACGTCGCCGCCAACGCCATGTCGCTGTTTGGATACTTCCAGGCGCAGGCCTTCTTCGGTCTCTGCGCCATGCCGCTCCCCCCCATTGTCGCCGCCTGGACGCAGAACTTCCAGTGGACCATGGGCATCATCCGCGTCACATTTCTACAGGACATGGCTACCTGGTACCAGCGTGCCACCGGTGGCACGCCCACGACGTACCTCTCGCAGCTGACAGAAATCTCCGTCGAAGTACAGAAGAACAGGAGGGTCAAGCGTGCGCTTGATTTCACGACAGGCGCACTCGGACGTCTCGCAGCCCGCAGTAATGCTGCTGCCACCGAGGCACAGGCTGGAACAGAGCGCGTCGTTTTGCGAGGCATTGAGCGTGTTGGTTTCAAGGCGAAGATCGAGACGACCAACATCTTCTTCACGGGCTACACCTTCTTCGTCGTCTTCGTTCTGCTGACCATCATCGGTGTTGTTGCCTTCAAATTCGTCTGCGAGGGTCTCGTCAAGATGGGCAGGATGAAGAGCAACAAGTTCGTCGACTTCCGCAACGGCTGGCGCACTGTCCTCAAGGGCATCCTGTTCCGCGTCATCCTCATTGGTTTCCCTCAGATGATGGTGTTGGGCTTCTGGGAGCTCACTGAGCGCGACTCGGCTGGCATTGTGGTTCTAGCCGTTCTGACCATGCTCAGCATGATTGGTGTTCTCGGCTGGGCTTCGTCCAAGGTCGTCCGTATCGCACAACGCTCGATTTCGATGCACAAGAACCCTGCCTACATTCTGTACTCGGATCCTACTGCTCTCAACAAGTGGGGTTTCTTGTACGTCCAGTTCAAGGCTGCCGCATACTGGTTCATCATCCCATGGCTCATCTACCTCCTTCTCAAGGCCATGTTCATTGGTCTTTCCCAAAGCTCTGGTAAAGTTCAAGCAATCGCTCTGGTCATCATTGAAGCCGTTCTCCTCGTCGGTGTCTGTGTTCTTCGCCCTTGGATGGACAAGAAGACAAACGGTTTCAATATCGCCATTGCTGCTTGCAACTTCCTCAGCGCTGTTCACTTGTTGATGTTCTCAGACATCTTTGGCCAGCCTGTAAGTAACGCATGCCATTATAGTTGATTATCAAGCTAACTTGACCAGGCTATCGTCACTGGTGTCATGGGTGTCGTTTTCTTCGTCTACAACGCCGCGTTCGCGCTTGTCCTCCTCATCATGCTTCTTGTCGCCTCCGCGTTTGCATTGTTCACCAAGAACCCCGACACACGCTACCAACCCATGCGCGATGACCGTGGATCCTTTATCAAGTCGCAAACGCAGTTGACAACCGAACTCGACGCACTGGGCGCAACGGCGCGTGGCGAGGGTAAGGGCACGCACCCTTCTTCCCGCAGCCGCCTCGACGATGATGACGATTTCTCGTCTACCGAAGAGCGGAGACAGCTCGCGGCCAAGGAGGGCGCGTTTTCGGAACACTATGCCACCGCACCACCGCGCAGCCCTATCAACCCATCGGCATCACCGGTGTCATCCTACTATGATCGCGCGAGCCCAGCCCCTTCAGGAGGTTATGCGCCACCAAGAAACGATGTACAGCAGCGATCGGCAAACAACTCCAGCCCGTGGCAGCGTGGGGCAGGATATGATCAGCATTGACGCCAGGAGCACGAGGAGCAGGTGGGCAATATCATCGACATGTATGATCGCTCCTCCGTGCACGGCAGGAATCCGCAACAAAGATATTGATGTGCATATATTGGCTACATTTACATACTTTAATCCATCGATGCATTTTTGGGTCGCATTGGACTTTGGGTCATGCCTCATGATAGGCGGCGTTCTTACTATCTGATCCTCTTTCGAGAGATGTATCAGCTTTTTCTTGTCTTTATCCCATGTCAATTGATTGGGATTGTTTCTTCTTTTTCATTTGTTGGCGTCTCCAGGTTGCGGGAGACTTTTCCTTGAGTGTCGACGGTCAGCGGCTTTTGTGTTTAGGCCAAAAGGGAGGAGTGAGCCGGGTGGTGCCATAGGCAGTCAGTTCGTAGTGTACGCTGAAATCAAACGCTGAAACTGTGTAAATTCGCTCTGTTGCTCTTTGCCTTGGGTTGTGAAGTGTGGTTGAGTCTGCCGTAATACACCCGTAATTCAGGGTATCGGCGGTACCAAGGCATAGAAATGATAGCCGAACTGGTACCTAGGCATTCCTTACAACCCTTTTCCTCTCGTAGTTAGTGCCATGCTTCGGGATACCCAACCAAGCCCATTTTCTACTGGAAACTTGCCCGTGAGGGAATCTAGGCTGCTACACAGCCCCATTTCCATCACATTACCACTACGGATCGGATATGCCGGTGTTTATCTAGCACGTCGAATCGTCGACATATTCTTGTTCGGTACACTAATTTTAACGCCGAGATTGCGTTTGGTTTGGTTCGGGACTTCGTTGGCGGAAGTACCGGGTTAGTGTGATCGTCAGGTACTGGGGTTGTGGTTGCGGTTCCGTGGGCTACCTGAGATGTATGGGAGAGGCTGGAGAGGTGGGGGTACTGGATAGGTAGTTTATCGCTCGATTGGTGGTTTGCTGTCCTGAGTGCGGTAAGGTCTGGTCGCATGGGTGGTCGATTGGGCTTATCGTGGAATTACCTGCTGCCTGGGCTGCACAACACTGAGCGTATCTAGCCGGCTGGGCTGCAGGAAGATAAGCCGCCGTTGTGGTGGTTAAAGGTTGTGTACGTCAATATGCTGGAGGAGTCACAGCAAGCTCGGGGTGGGGAAGGAGCGATGCCGCACTAACGTTGCTTGTTGTCCATGTTTAGGCCTCGAGACCGAGCGAGGACGATGACGAGGCGACGCATTGGGTAGCTCGCTCGAAGATTTTGGCTATTCACCGATGATTCGCGGAGACGTCCAAGCGGAAGGTGATGCCGTATGTCTTCGTCATGATCATGATCGTGAAGGCAAGACGCCAGCCAGCCATGATATCGATATCTAGCTCGACGCAATCGACCATCACCTGCACACAAATCCCCGGTGCAACGGCCCCTAACGACGTCACACAAGTCCCCATTACCCCATACTGCCGGCTAGAGTGTGGTCCGAACCACCAGCCTAGACACCAGGTCCATCCAGACAGAGCGCGTTCCGTGGCACGCTGCGTCTCGTCGAGCCCTCGAGCCAGCTCAACGAAGAAGCGGACGTGCTGGAACAGCAAAGAAATGTTTGTTCGAGATCAAGCGACGACCGCATATCCAATCAACTTGCACATGGTGTGTATCGATTGGACCAACCTAGCGCCAAGTGATCGACAACCAACGCTCCAGCAAGCCAGTGAGAAACGCACGATAGCCCAGCCGGGAAAGATGTGTGAAAGGGGATTCTAGGGCTGGGGGCGCCTTTTTTTCCTAATCCCGGCGGGGGACCAACACGCGCTAGATGGTTTGTGATGGAAGTTTACCAGTGGGCACATGGGCAACCCGTTGCATGGAGCCGGGCCCCCCGTTCGAGGGGCTTTTTTTAACTTATAGCATGAGGGCTTGCGAGAGTTTTGGTTCATCTTTTTTTTTCTTTCTCCCCTACCTTAGTACCACAACCCTTTCTTTCTGCTTTTTCCATTACGGATACGTCTCCTGGACGGTCCGCGCGCTGCTGCAGCGGATTATACTAATGCACGATTTCAATATGTTCTTTGTCGTTTCATGGCTGGTTTTGTGTATCTTTTAGTCCTGGGGTACAGGTACTTGTATCACCACCTCATCTCTTAGTCGTGTTGGATTTCCCTGGTTCGGGGTCTTGCTTAAAGGGTTCGGTCGTCCTCTACCGCTGGCTCGCATCCGTTCGTGTGTTTCTAGTAGGCCGTTTGGGAAGTTCGTTGGTGTCACGACCCAGGGATTGACTTTCTAAGCGTTATTGACATTGTGGTAACGACCATAATCCAGCATTGTGCTAATTGACTCCTCACTCGACAAAATGGCGACCTCCTCGCGCTCTGAGTCACTTCCATTCGATGACACTCAACACTTCGATGTTGAGATAGCTGGAAAGAAAGAGAGACCTCACATTCAACTTCAGACCGACACTGAGACGAGCAAACCATACGCACCAACTGTTCAAAGTAGAACATACCTGAGTCCACATCCTGTGAGGACTGTCTTGACTCCCCCGAACTCACCCACCATCACCCGCATAACGACCATGAACCTCCAGGATCCACGGACTCTACGTGACAGTGGTGCAATCACCCCTCCAGTCACACCGATCAAAGCTTCGCACTCGAGATCCAGCTCCAACGCATCAGATGTCTTGAATGGCTCGTCAACCCTCCGCCATGGAGACTTCATCCCATCGAGCACCAGCGAACGACCTCGCAAAGACAGTGCCGCTCCATACCACCTGGCACAAAAGCCCAGCGGCACTGAGCTCATCAGGTTTCCATTCCACCTATCCGACTATGAAATCCAAACGGACAAGAACGGCAGGAAACAGCCTATCGGATCAGGAGCATGGAGTGACGTGTATCTAGCAAAACCCGTCTTTTCGAATCCAATTGATCAGATTGAGAGCACAGTATCACCTCCCATGTCACCGATGGACTTCAACATACCCAGTCAGGAGGCAAACGAGCTCCCCTTCGCGCCGCCCCTCTACGCCATCAAGATCCCAGCATCACGCTCTGCACGAAAGGTCTTGGGTGAAGAAGCCCGCATCCTCTCCTACCTGTCCCAGCTCCCCGACGTAGACCACCACGTCGTCTCCTTCTACGGCCAGGACACGCGAACCGACGCACTAGTCCTAAAAGCCATGGCCGGCACGCTGGAAGACTGGGTTCAAAAGCACCTCAACACGCTCCCGGAAGCATCTCGAGCACAAGCACTTGCCGATGTATTCCCTACCCTCGCATCATCACTGCTCGACAGCCTCCGCTGGCTGCACTCGAAATCATGCACGCATGCAGACGTCAAACCCGCAAATATCCTCCTCCCGGCCATGGACCTCGCTCCCCGCCCCATCTTCTCCGACTTCTCCTCCGCTATCCTGACTGCTTTTCCCACTGAGCACGACGCCGCACAGCAGGGCGCGGGAACGTGGGACTACCTCGATCCCATCCTCCTCAGCACAGCTAATCTCGCGACTGCGTCCGAGACGACGGATCTCTGGTCCCTTGCCATCACGCTGCTGTTTGTCGTCGTTGGCGCTTCGCCGTTCGACGCGCTCAGGGGGAATAAGTTCCGCCTTCGCGAGATGATCAAGCAGGGTGATCCGCTGGCGTGTCTTGCGTATGGAGATGAGGGGATCAGAAATATGATGAGGGTGAAGGGGCTGTCGCAGGCTATGGGCTTCGATGTGCTGAAGTGGTTTGGGAAGGTGTTGTGTAGGGATGTGGGGAAGCGGGTGGATATGCGCCTGTGGAAGTTGGAGTTGGATGGCGCGGTGGAGATGTAGGGGGTGTGGGAGGAGGGTGCTTTGGAGATGGATGACTTGCTGGATTCAAGCAGCCGTCTGGTTGTTGTGGCGTTTATCAGGAGCGTGGGGGTTTTGCAGATATGGTGTTTGGAGTTTGCGATTTGGGTTGGGAGTGGACGTTCGCTGGATGAGATACCCCTTTAAGCATCGACATTGCCTGTTGTAATAGAGTATCAATATTATCTATCGTAATGGAGTATATACCTCTATTTGACTTGTAGCTTCTCGTTCTCGTTTTGTTACGTGGCACAACAAGGCTCATTCATGTACACGTTCCCGATGCAAGTCTCTTGTTTCGTTCGAATTCTGAATATATGTTACTTGGCGGCTACATTTAGCCATCAATGATCTGCCTGTCTGGTTGCCGTATTTGGCGCAAACAAATGGTGGACTATCTCCGAGGCGGTTATCGGGAACCAACGCAGACAATATGTCTCATGCTAAGATGTCCAAGATAGCTTGTTTATCGAGAGGCCTCGAGTCGTCCGCTTGCCAATCACCATCACCGATCTTGCTGTCGAAACTCACCGCTCTTCGGGAAATACCTCGCTGACATGTGTCGTGAAAGATGAAGTTGAGTCGAGCACATACATGGATCAACCAGGTCAACCACCAAAAGAGGTCGAGCGAAAAAAAGTCTTCAGCATCCGCAATTCTTGACATGGCCTGGAGAAGGACCGAAAAGACTTTTTGCGGATGAGAAATTTCGAGATTGCGCACAGACTTAGCCCACGATACGGCTACGTCAGGCCGAGGCGGCTCTGCTCGACGACATGCAACGGCCATCTGGACTTGATCGATCACCGTCTTCCGCAGCTGTTCATTGGTGGAAGAAGCGAATGCTAGGACCGTTGTCGCAGGTACCCCGACAACAGTGTCGCATTTTTTCTGATTGGCCGATAATGCCCGATGTAGTCTTCTATCTGCTTCTGGAAGACTTGGAGTTGCATTGCGTGCCAGCGACAGAAAGTTTCCGCATTGGTGTAGACACCGCATACTCTGTTGAACTGTAGAGCGGAGGCCTCCCCTGGATGAGCTGGCGTTGCAGCCACCCTTTCCCTTCCACGCTTCACCGCTCGAGATAGTCCAGATTTCCAATCCCAAGTTTGTAATCCAGAGTGATAGCCACGGATAGATGCGCCGAACATCTGCCACACAGCGATACCGAATGAGTCAATCCAAGACCATGAGTATTAGCAAGCACCACGTCATGCCCTACGGTGCGTAGCTCAGAACTTTTGCATGTGGGCCTCTCGTATAGGCATGGTAGGAAGGGTGAAATAGAATATATACCTGCAGCATTTCCCCCCCAACAACAACATCCACTCCACTTTTCAATCCCAACATCCAAATTATCTCAAACTTGGACTATACATTCTAGAGAACTCAATACTCCACGATACCCAACAAAAAAAACTATATCCAACACCACAGCAATGCCGTCGTTCACAGTCTTCAAGGGCTCCAAGGATGGAAAGATCGTCAAGAGCGAGACCACAAAAGACGAACTCACAAGCGACCAAGTCCTCGTCAAAGTCACTGCTTCAGGTCTCTGCGGCACAGATGAACACTACAGGCACGCCGACATGGGCCTCGGCCACGAAGGCGCAGGCGTAGTCCAGAAAGTCGGGCCCGCGGTCAGGAAACTGAAGGAGGGAGACCGCGTCGGCTGGGGGTACGAGCACAACTCGTGCGGCTCATGCACATGGTGCCTTACAGGGCGCGAGACCTACTGCCCTGAGCGCGAGATGTACGGCTACGCCAACCTGGACCAGGGTAGCTTTGCGTCCCACGGCGTGTGGAGAGAGTCTTTCCTGTTCAAGATCCCCGATGCGTTGACGGATGCTGAGGCCGCGCCGTTGATGTGCGGTGGTGCTACTGTTTTCAACGCGCTGCACACGTACAACATCAAGTCCACCGACCGTGTTGGTGTCATCGGCGTGGGTGGCCTCGGCCATCTGGCTATCCAGTTCGCCGCGCGCATGGGCTGCGATGTTGTCGTCTTCTCTGGCTCGGACAGCAAGGAGAAGGAGGCGAGGCAGTTGGGCGCGAGCGAGTTCATCTCCATGAAGGGCAAGAAGGAGCTAGATATCGGCCGTAAGCTCGATGCGCTGCTGGTCTGCACAAGCTCTCTTCCTGGTAAGTTATCATCATCTTGGATTTGTCGATACATGTGATTAACGTGTTTGTAGACTGGTCTCTTGTGCTCCCCGTCATGGGCCCAACAAGCATCATCTTCCCCCTCACCGTCTCGGACGGCAACTTTGAGATCCCCCACATGGGCCTTGTCGCACAGGGTATCACCGTTCAGGGATCCGTTGTCGCTGCGCGTGCGGTTCACCAGCAGATGCTCACCTTTGCCGCGCAGCACGGCATCAAGCCCATCATGATGAAGTTCCCCATGACCGAGTCCGGTATTGAGGAGGCCATGCAGACGCTGGCAGACGGAAAGATGCGCTACCGTGGTGTGTTGGTACCGCAGTAGGTGCAGACTAAAGAGGAGGAATGATATCAATTATGAAATGTAATGATTATGGAAAGGGACGGGACAGGATTTGGACTAGGTCTACGTAGTGCTTGCTTTTTGAGCAGATGATACCAATGAAGAGATGGCAACTTTCCAAGAATCAGTACACGTTCGACGTGTTTGAACTTTCTCAATATGCTCTAAGCAAGTATTTATGTGACCGCATGATTCACTACAGTTCAGTGATGCAGAAGAACAGCCAGGTAATCCGAATTATCCAGTACACAACCAATCCAACGAGAAGAATAATAAAGTTCACGCCAGACCTTCAACGCCTACCTCAGTCCAGCGGAAACAACCTCATAAGCACCGTCAGCATATCCCTTGGCCGCGCATCCATAACAGCACTCATCGCAAACCCCAAACCCGTCACCGTCACTCCATCCCCATCACAGCAGCTTTCCTCCCGTTCACAAAACGGCACCAGCAACGCCTCCAAAAGCTCGTTCCCCTCCGCCTCCACAACTCCACCTATCCCCCCAACATCTCCCCCGCGCTCAACCTCCACCCCCACCTCCTGATCCCTCCGCCCCGGCACCAAGCACCCCACAAACGGCGCCACACGCTTCATATACGTATGTTTTTCCATCTCCCTCCTCGTAGTGTCTAGTTCCACCTCCCACGCCCCCGTCAACTGCCGGCAAGCGTTCTTAAGCGCTTTTTTCTGCCCTGCGGTCTGGATCTCAAACATATCGTACCTACTCGTCTTCCATAGTTCGATGAACTCTTCACGCGCGGGGAACACGGTGGGCGTGTTATGGTGTTCCAAGACAGCCGCGAGGTAGGATATCATGAATGTGCGGGCGGGGGGCGGAATGTACACATCCCACTTCAATCCCACTTTTTGAGGACAATTATGAGGACAGGAGAGACTGAGCAGGGCGACGAAGAGAGCGATATTCCAACGAGTGGCGTCGTGGTAGCGTTGGAACTGGTGTGTGGGGCACAGGCGGTAGAAGAATATCGCTCGCGTGATATCTGGATGCTGATGCTTTGCGCTCTTGAGTGGGGTGCGGGTTATGTGCGTGCGGTTGCGGAGGAAGAAGGGGAGTTGAATGTCGAGCGGGATGTTGGGGAGGTGGAGGGCGAGTGATGTTTGGTGTAGGATGTCGGATGTGGTGAGGGAGGGGAGGTGGTGTTGTGGGATGTCGGCGAGTTTGCGCGAGAGGAGAGTGGTGAGGTGGGTGGGCTCTGGGTTGGTCGTGTTGAGTGCCATGGTTTGAGGAGAATGAGTAGGATTGTTGGGCGGGGAAAAGGGTGTACCGGTGTGGGTGGAGTAGTAGACCCAAGGTGGCTTGGGAGGTAGGGGTGAAAGACGGGTGGTTGCATATTCCTACTTTCACCATCGCCACGTATTTATAGCAAACAATCCGTAAGACTATCGTACGATTGTTATAAACATCCCCCAATATCCTATCTGACGTTATCAATGTCATTGATGGTGTAAATGAGGATAGATGAAGTAAATAACTGGTCTCGAGGGGTGCAAACACGTAGATAGCAAGATTTGAAGCTCTAAGTTTCCTCTCGTTCATAATGTGATAGTACAACACTGGCAATTACTTAGCACGTTACACATTTGCCCGGGACTTGACGAAAGGAGTCAACATGAAAATGAACGGTGAAATCGAAACGGTAATCTTACTAGAGAAGAATACATGGTAACAACTAACCTGAGAATACCCCCTGCTGTGTGTAGCTTTGCGATAAATTTCCGATATCTTATCCCAAACGGCCTTGAGAGCAACTGAACGACACTTTGATGACTTATGTTCGAATACGACAGAATGAATTGGTGTTGTAAACATAATTCGTAGTCTCGCCACAAATCCAACCATGGAAAAGAAGTCAACGAACGCCACATCATCAGGTGGGCTTCGACGCTGCCGAATCACCACTCTCGACCCTACTTTGCAGCGACCAGCCCTCAGCCAATTCAAAGTCCCCCATCACACCATAGTGATCCGTAACCCATGCCGCCTGCCCAACTTCTCTCATCTCTTCCTTCCTGTCTTCCGCAACCGTAGCACCGATCCCAATCCTCTGAAACCCCTTTGGTTGGACATGACCTCGGAATAAAATTTTATCCATTCTGCAACACGGGAATCTCCTCATGTTTTCCGCGCCCATGGCATATTGGTAACCCCAGGTATACGCCTCATCCCCATCTTCTTCACCGCCAAGTTCAAGGTACGCATCTTTCAGTTCATTTTCGCTATGCAGTGTGCGATCGAAAGGCTGAATGGCGTTAAGGTCGCCTGCTAGAAGGGCACAAGCGACGCTGGAGTCTTGAAGGAGTGTAGCCGCGGTTGAGAGTTGACGGGGACGGACTGGCGGGCTTGCCGCTAGTGAGTCAAGATGCGTGTTACAGATTCTGAGGACCTTTTCTTCTGAATCCGAAGCATCTCTGGAGGAAATGGCAATGTCGGCGAAGAGGCCGTCTCTGCTGTACTCGCTGATCCATGGCACGCGGAACACGTGTTTGACTTTTAAACGCTGGTCTATGAGCATGGTGGTGCCGTAGAACGAACCCGACCAGTTGCTGTTATCGATGTCTGTTATGAAGAAGCGGTCATATATCCACGTCGAGGCTTTGATCAGCTTCATATCAGATGTTGTCATTTCCTGCAGGAAGATGACGATTGGAATGTCTGTTGACGTGGAAGACGTAATGTCATCAAGATATTGGAGCGCAGCTCTCATTCTTTCCTCCGAGAAATCCATAGACATATCGATGTTCCACGACATCAACCGTACGACTTGGGAGTTGATGGCAGACTCTGAGGAAGCCTTGGGGAGAGCTTCTGGCTTTGTTGCGGATGTCCATGTTCCGAAATCATCGGGGTAAAAGTACTCCTGCTTCCTATGTCTATCGAAGGGGTTTACTGGGGTTGGTTTTGTTGTGCTACGAGTACTTAGTGGACTGGCAGAGAATTGAACCTGTTTCTTGCGTTTATTGAAGGGGGGTTCTGGGCCTGTTGACATCATGCGAGCACTCGATTCAAAATGGAAAAGTCGAAGGAGAAAAGAAGAGCGCGGAAAGAACTTGGAGATGTGGGAAAGGCTTGGGATGCGTGAGGTTCTCAATAGCAGTCTTACTGGGTGCCTAGACATGAGACCTGTAAACCGGTGAGCGGATGAGGGGTTTTTGAGCAGTCAACCAAGCACAGAAAGGCTGAGAGTCCGCACTATATCCTAAAAGACCACGCCTATTTGACCACGCGTACAATTTCTACATAAAGTGTCAGCGTTCGACGTCGATGCGAAAACAAGGTGGAGGTGCGACGTGATGGAACACACGTGACCGATCGGAGACCCTTGTCAAATTCCCCGAACCGCGTCGTGAACTTGTGAACTGCCAGGGAGCTCCAACTCAAGATGCACTCGTGACAATAGCTCCATTCCTTGCTGACGACGTTCTTCTCTCCCTCTCGCCCGCCTCTCGATTGTTGTTCGCGTCACCAGATATCATAACAACTGCTCGCCCTGCCCCTCACCATGGGCTCACGACTACACAATGCGCCTATTGTCATCGACAACGGCAGCGGCACAATCAGAGCTGGTTTTGCAGGAGAGGACGTGCCAAAATGCTACTTCCCATCCTACGTTGGACGGCCGAAGCACGTGCGCACAATGGCAGGCGCGTTGGAGGGAGACCTGTTCATTGGGCCACAGGCACAACAGTACAGGGGGCTATTCACGATAAAGTACCCATTGGAGCATGGCATTGTCACAGAATGGGATGACATGGAGCGGATATGGCAATACGTCTATACAGATGGGCTGAAGACGGTCAGCGAAGATGTGAGTGAGGTCCTGGCAGAAGCAGTGGCGCTGGGGTGGTAGCTGACTGTTGTTGCGTCACAGCACCCAGTACTCCTCACAGAGCCTCCGCTAAACCCACGAGAAAACCGCGACACAGCCGCGCAGATCCTCTTTGAGACGTTCAACGTGCCCGCGCTCTACACGTCAATACAGGCTGTCCTCTCACTATACGCCTCAGGAAAGACAACTGGACTCGTCCTCGACTCCGGAGACGGCGTATCACACGCAGTGCCAGTCTTTCAAGGGTTCGCTATACCCAACAGTATCAGGAGGATAGATGTGGCAGGAAGGGATGTGACGGAGCATATGCAGCAGCTGTTGAGGAAGACTGGACACGTCTTCCACACAAGTGCGGAGAAGGAGACGGTCAAGAACATCAAGGAGACGACGGGTTACGTGGCACTTGATCCGGTCAAAGAGGAGAAGGAGTGGTCTGGTGCAGCCAGGTCAGAGGGCAAGAGCATGGACTACACATTACCCGATGGAAAGAAGCTCAAAGTGAGTTGGCAATATTGCACAGCGTCTTCACCAAAACTAATGAAGTCTAGGTCGGCGCAGAACGTTTTCGAGCACCAGAGATTCTCTTCAACCCCGAGATCATTGGCCTGGAATGGCCTGGTGTGCATCAGATCGTGGTGGAGGCGATACACCGGACAGACATGGATCTTCGCAAAGCGCTATACGGCAACATTGTGCTCTCTGGTGGCTCCACGTTGACAAAGGGGTTCGGCAACAGACTGCTGCACGAGGTGCAAAGACTGGCGGTGAAGGACATGAGGATCAAGATTCTGGCGCCGCCAGAGCGAATATACACCACGTGGACCGGTGGCAGCATTCTCGCCGGGCTGAGTACCTTCAAGAAGGCAAGTCCCTCTTCCCAAGGGGGTGTACGTTGGCAAACTAACGTGTGTCACAGATGTGGGTTGAGAAGGACGAATGGCAGGAAAACCCTGACATTATTCATACCAAATTCGCCTAGATGCTGCACAGTGGCTTCGTATAAGATTTGCCCCTGCGCTACTCCGCAGCCGTCTTCCCGCCTCCACAGAGTTGTTTGAAAAGTTGCATGACGCTTGTGTAGCGGTGTTAGTCATGGATTCAGATTCCCGAGAACCGAGAACCAAACAGCATGAGGGGACCCTGCACCTGGTACCGCGGACGTCCTCACAGGATCTTCGGTACGTGTGTCACGGCCAGTGTTTGGTGTGGTCTGGCGGGAGTGCTAGGTGGTAGTCTACTTCCCCGCGTTTTGCTGAGCGAGTTTCCTATTTGGGCATATTCTGTGTCATTTGGCGGGCATGCATCGTGAGTGTTCAGGAGGGGGAAAGGAGTGAGCGTTACGTACAGGCATGGATGGCGTTTGTGCCCGGTGGGATACCCTATATTGCCTTTAGAACATGGACAATTGCACAATTTAGCCGAGCAAAGTCGTAATGTAATGGACATCCTGTAGGACGGTGTAGGCGAAAGCTGGGACGCCAAGTATCGTGAAATTCTTACTCGCAATGGTGCCATCATGAGAGTGGCCATGGTTGGAACAAAGCGCGCGGTAATGAACACGAAACGGCAAAAGACTGGCCGAACAATGAATGGCTTAGCTTAACGGAGAATCGGATGGAATGAACCGATATGCACGCACGCCCATGGGACATGGGTCTGGTGACAGGTACCTGAGCGAATCCGCCTCCTAAATTACGCCTAGACTTCACGATGCTCGACGTCATGTGTACAATCGGTACGGCGTGCGGTGGCTTCCGACGCAAAGCGGTCTTCGCCAGAGACGCGCGCGCCTCATGATTCAGCTCTGTTCTTGCAGCTGAAGTCTGATTACTGAAGCACGGTGGCTGGCGTGTGGCGGTGTAGAGAATCGTTCAGGTCAGGCACCGTGTAGAGCGTGTAGAAGCATTCAAGAATTTTCGCATGGTCCGTCCTCCATTACCAAGAGTGACTCGAACACAGGCACCATGATGGCGACAATAAGGAAAACTTTTCCCGCGTTTCAAGTTCCGCGACGGGCAGCGTTGCACTCGCTCCTGTTCCAAGCTCCGTGTCGACGATGATGGCGTCTTCACAGGCATAAAATTTGCGACAAATTTTTGCAGCGTTTCTGTTACCCCCAGGAAACTGTGCCTGGCCAGTGGTAGTGCGGCTTTAGGGTCAGCTGCGCTGGAAGACGGCCAGCCATTACGCTATCGAAAGTGGAGCCAAGGCCGCGTGGTCCCAGCTCCGACGCTTTCTGCAAAGCTTTTGTTGTCCTTGTGCGGTGCGCATGATCGAGAGACTGCCGTTAACTGCAAAGTGCGGTGCTGGGTTTGCACGCTCGTGCGCCCGTTGTATGATGATGTGGTAGGCACGGTAGGGGGAAAGAAATTTCTCGTCATCCCTTTGGCTGGCAATAAATAGAAACTTTGTCTGGTGAGTTGGTATATAAGATGCAGCCCTGTGTACGCCTTCTTGCACAATCAACTACCTGAGTATCCCAGCATCTGAAGATCTTCCCGCACCTACAGCCGTTTACCCCAGATCTACTGCTTGCTCTCGCCACTCGACTTCACATTCTACTACTACTACTATCAAACAACAACATTACCACTACTACCCATAACAACCTCAAACCAAACACCAAAATGGTCTCCTTCCACATCACCGAGCCTCACCCATCCATCGGCTCCTCCTACGTTATGTACTCTGGCCGAGGCGGCGCCGGCAACCATGTGCGCGTGAAGCCATCCGATGTGACCAACGGCGCCACCGCCAGCGGACCAGCATCGCGCGCCAAGCTCGCGCCTCCTCCAACCAACGCCTTCTTCGCCACAGGCCGTGGTGGCGCAGGCAACATGCGCAAAGCCGAAAAGGAGCGCACCATGTTCAGCTTCGACGAGGAGCTCGCACAGCAAGAGCGTCTGCGCTCCCAGCAAGCCCCCGTGTACCACATCGGGCGCGGCGGCGCCGGCAACCTCATCGACGAGATGAAGCCCCGATCCCAGCGCCAGAACTCAACCGGCTCTGCCAGCTCAGTCGAGAGCGAGAAGGACGGTGTCAGGCGCAGCATGGAGAGCGCGTGGCGCAGGATGTCGAGGCAGTTCTCTACCTAATGAGCTGTTCTCTACATTCCTTTCCTATCTTCGGTTCTTTACAGGCGTTTTTCATGTCCATCTCTCTGAGATCGACTGGCTACGGGGCATGTTCCAGCACTGCACGGCGTTTGGACTATCCACATCTCATCATCGCATTTCAGCGACTGTATAACGACATAACCACAAAAGTTTCTTCTACCGAGTACGACACCCACAGCTATTGAGGAGTTGGAGGGCTGCAGTTGGGCATACTGCTTGATTTCTGTTTTCTGTTTCTTGTTTTTTTGCGATCAGCGAGCGATGACTACTACCATGGCGACGGATATACCCCAGCTGCCAGGGAGGGCAAAGATGAGAGCATCTCACTACCTATAACTATAATCAATCAATCAACTATTCAAAACACTTAACTGTTCATGATGTGACCGTTTGATGACTCACTGTACGATGCTTTATATCGACATCTAAGCTAGTTCACTTGAAAAAACAAAGTATTTGCTCATTTCTACACGTCGTTTCCCGTTCGAAGGAGTACAAGACAAGCCCTATTGCAATCGAACCACGTAACAAAATACAAGGATGTAAATGCAGTCGGCATGAGATACTACCAGGGCACCTCGTCTTGTCACGTCACATCACGTCATCCCTCTAACTGTCCATTTCCTAACATCTCCCTGACAAGTTTTCGATATACTTTCAGTGCGTTGTTTCAGTGTGTATCACCTATCAACACAGTCTCTTCATTTATATCCGTCCACTACTAAGTTCACACTCTTACCCAGCATTCCACAAATCTCACTCCCTGTCTCTCCATCTCCCTGTCGTAACAGTTTCTCTTAACCCTGTTGTACATCATGTAATATCAAGCCATTACATCCAGCTTCACTACTTGCCCAATCAACCATCAGAGTCAACTTCTCACAGCGCTCTTTGAGTGCTCTGCTGTGTGCGTTGACCTACGCATGGCGCTCAAAAACCTCTAGCCTGTGACATGAATCATCCATCCAAGGGTACACAGGCCACTAGAGTTCTCCATGACAGCGCTTGTAGACGTAGTGTTCTGATGCTGGATTCGCACCTTCCCTGCGCACCTTCGCCACGAACGCGCGACACCCTATCAGCACCATCCAAACGGAGGGAGAAGGCACAATAGAGAGCAGGCTCAACATGGCCTCAGATCTCGAACACTCCTCCACTCGCCTTCGACGAAGTCACCAACTCAATCACTTCACTAATTCTACCTCACTGACTTCACCACACAACCTTTGATTATGGCAATGAACCTTCCGCCAACTCAAGCCGGCGAGAATGCCGCACTCACCAAGCCAGGTACGCGTCATTCGAACGCCACCCTTCGCTGACTGCGGCTTCACTGACACAACTCCAGGCGATTGGTCTCTACACATGGTCACAGCCGCGCTCAAATTTGCCTCAGACGAGAAGACGTCGACGGGGTACACCATCGCTGACGAGGCTCGTCTCGACATACTCAACACGTTAAACTGGTACGAAGCGCATGCAGAGTACGAGTGGCCTGACTTTAGCAAATCCGGCTTCGACTTTGCACAGACGATGAGGCTTCGTCGCGCACTGGTTAACGATGTGTATCTTGCGCTGCAGAAGGCTGGCAACATTAGAATTACGGGTCAGCCTGGTGTGCTGGGCACGCCGGAGAGTGGGCGTAGTAGTGCGAAGAGGACACGCACTTCCAGTGAGGATACTACGAGTCTCGCACCTACTCGATACTAACGTGGAAAATAGGCCGTCAACTTTTGACAGGACGGAAGCGACGCTGCAAACGCGAGGAAGGGTCTGATACGAATATCGACGAGGACAAGCCATTCTGGGATGATGAGGAGTTCCTGGCCAGCACAATGAGAAGCATGATTACCAACTCTGGTGCAGACGTGGACAGCTACCTCAACGGCGAGATGGACGCCGATTCTCTTGAGGCAATTGTGCACGATGGACTCGTTGGGGTCTGGAATAAACCCGTGGCCACATACGGGATAGTACCGCAAGAGTTGGAGAGGAAGCAGGAGGCTTGGGCTACACGTAGGAGGTCCCTAGCTTTGGAATCGAGCCCGGAGCTTGGTGCGAGGCATGCTGGTCCGGAGCGCGAGCGAACGAAAATGACGAGTACGCCGTTGTGTCTCTAAGTCGTTGACAGCTGAGCAGACGGGAAGGGGACAACTATCGGTGCAGACCGTGTATGACGACGGCGAATTGTACGGTGGGATCTGATGAGCATGACAGAAGGTGTATATGCGGGCTGGTGGTGGGACTAGAATTACGATGAGCACATGTATGCGGTTCGGAGGAAGACGGAACAAACTATGTACTCACGAGCTATTCTCTTGTCTTCTCATGCAAAGCAAACGTAGAGCCAAGTCTTCCGCTTGAACACGTTTCTACACACCCACAACTTGTCATACGCCTTCATCATCCCATAACTCATATCTTCATAAACCATGACATCCCACCATCACAGCACCACCCAATCCACACCAACAATCCACGACTCGCCCCCAACTTCCACATCCCACGTCGGCGCCCGAATCCCCACCAGCGACCCAACACTCACCTCAACACTCGCCACACCTCTCGCCCCACCCTGTCCCGCGAGCAGAACGCCCACGCCCTGCTCCCCATCCACGACCGACCCAGACACACGCACCACATCACCCAACCCCGCATCCACAGACGCACGAACAACCACTACACCCCCGACCAAACACCGCACCGCACCCCCCTCCAGCCCTCCAACATCAGTAACACGCACCCTCACCCTCACGCCATCCTCCCTTTCCCGTCCCCACAGCATACCCCCCCTCCCCTCCCCCGTACTCGCCGTCTCTACAATCCAGCCCTGCACCGTGGATGCCAGACCGTTGGGCGTGTACCGTGCGTTTTTGCGGGACGGGGAGAAGATCTGCGGGAGGGGTTTTGCTGGTTTGGGGGGGGATGTGGGGAGGGGGGGGAGGAGGAGGGGCGGGCGGTTGTGTTGTGTTGTTGTTGTTGTAGATGTTGTAGTTGGGGGTGGGAGTTGAGATGGGGGTAGTGGTAGTGCGAGGGGTGTATGTGTGCGCGGCGGGATGCGAAACCGCTGTGCTGGTGTTTGCGGTGGGAGGATTGGCGAACTGAGACGTCGCCGTTTATGTAGTGATGGGTCGAAGAGGATTTCCTCGTCTTCGGCATCGTCGTCGGATTCTTCTTGCATAACCTGCTCAATAGAGTGTAGAACCCCATCCCTGTCATTGCACCCTCGCGACGGACTAGACCGCACCTCCTCAATGCTCTCCACGCGCTCCAACTTGCGCCTCGGTCTCGATCGCAGGGGCGCAATATTCCCACTCCCACTCACACTCCCACTCCTCCCCTCCTGCGCCGTCACAAAGCGCTTCGCGGGCGTTGGCGTCTGCGCAGCGAGGGGTGCGTGGCGTGTCGGCGTTGGAGTGGGCAGCTGCACATGGCGCAGATTTGAGGGCGGTTTTTGGCGCGGTTTTTGTTGCGTCGAGGGTGGGTGTGGGGCTAGGAAGCGGTGCGGGGAGGGCGTGTGGGTGGGCATTTTGGGGGCGGCATTTGGGGTGGTGGGTTGGGTGTTGGGTGTTGGTGGGGAAGCGCGTTTTGGCGCGTGGACGCGGTGTCACGGGAAGAGTGGGGCTATGCGTAACTATGGATGGGTTGGACTAAAACATTATTTGTGCGAAGAGGATTGGGGGTGTGAGATGTGCTGAAAGCAGTTTTGTACATTGATTCCACTTGCGGTTCTCTTCATCGGCGAAAGACTATCTATTCTCAATTTCTCTACATTCTTCTCCCCTACAGATCCAACCAACCAACTAACCTACCCCACATACTCCGCCATTCAAGCACACCCCACATCATCCCTGGTCACCCTTGCAATGCGGCACACAGCACCCATCCTCGACGCAATAGCAGACACCCGAGAACCCCTAGCACACACACATCAATAAGTATTTTATGGCTGGCGAACTTCCTGCTTACATCGCACGGACACTCGATGCAGGCGATTTGGATGCCGTCTCGTTCTATGAATGAGCGCTTGAGAGAGGTCTTGGGGGGTGTTAGTGTGGGAGAGTAGGAGGAAGGAGAGGGAGGAAGGGGTGGGAGGGACGCACGGTTCCCGGCGATGCTACTGCGAGGGCGACGAAGAAGGTGGTGAGGATGAGAGGGAGTTGCATGATGTTCGTCTTTTCTATGTGGAGATTGTGGTAGACGACGAGGATTGAAGATGAGAAGCAGAACAAATATCAAGACAGCACGGTGAAGAGGATACCAGACTCGAAGCCGCGAAGGAAGGCTTTTATAACCATAATCCTGTCGCTGTAGTGCTGACACCGAATGCCATCTGTTCACCAAACACCGTCAAATGCGTGTCCGTCTGCGTCTACAGGTGAGACAGCCATTCAATCGGCGAATAAACTGGCGCGTATGCCTGCTGCCCAGCTACGCCAGAACCTTGTAGTTGGTGATAGTGAGTTTGGTAGGTCGAGTGAGGAGGGGGAGGTTGTAAGCGTGCTGACTTGAATAGCCGGGGCGTAATTTAGGGCGATGCAGATACGCCTTGGACGTGTGACGGACGTGTAGTTTGGGGTATTGTGTAGATATGGAGGGTTAGATATATGGGTGTGAGATATCTGTTCAGACATGATATGTTGAAAGAGGATTATTCGCGCTTTTAACAGATTGTTGTTGGTCGAGAATTGAAGCTGAGTATGGATCATTAGCTCGCTTCGGCCCAAACCGTAGGTGGTGCTTCTGCGCAGGGTCCGTGGACACGTTCGTCAGGATGTCAGAGTCGGAAAAAACAACGAGATCCTCTTTCTCTACCTATAATAATGCACGTGATTTGCTGCAAGCTCTTAGCGTAGTGGTGAGGCTGACTGTGCCAATACACTGCATAATCAGCACCCTTGACTCGATGAGGCAGGAGAAGCAATCGTGGGGTACGGCTGAAGTAGTTCCCACGGAATCCTGCTTTTCTTGGTCTGCTGTGGCTGGATAAGGATGTGAAACCCTGGCTTTCGGATGGTTGTTATGGAGGGGTTCACTGCCGCGTAGATAGCCGCTCAAGGGACTGCAAGACTGCTAGCCAGGTATTGCGTGCACGTCGCCATGGAAACCTGGTGAGAAGACAGTGTGTTTGGACAACTCGGGTCTTGTCGGAGAAGAACAATCGAGGAATGCACTCAGACTCGAAGACGCGCGGTGGTTAGTCGGGCAGATACTTTTCTTGCAGTCTAACAAGACATACAGGTATCGTGTTGCGACAGGGAGTGGGTGCCAACATGGAGGATGACAAGGACAGGGTGCAAGATGTTCAGATAGGCGGCAGGAAGCAGGAATGATAAGCTCCTCCGGGTCATGTCAAAGTGTGTCGTACGTTAAGCGGGCGGGAGATCAGCGGTATCCTTGTTTGTTTGCGTGGTTTCCACAGGAACATGCCATGTCCACATGATGTGAGTATTGGAGTTGGTTATGCCGTATCGATGTAAATTTGCTGGAGACGTGGAAAGTGTGTGCAGAGCGAGACCTCATAAGCAGGAACGAGAAAAGGAATTGCATCGACGGTGGCATGGCGGTGGGTGGGCCGAGTTGACCGGACGGATCGCAGCATACGTACTGCGGTGCAGGGATACGCGTGTGGGAGCAAGACGCGAGAGCTGTCAGTGGCGCCCAACGACGGGTATAACGCCAGCCACAGGCTCTGGAGGCGGTGGATGGGGCACGGCGATAGGAGGAGGGCAGGGACAAGCATGGGAATTACAAACTTGGGTAGTGCAGCTGCAAGGTACAGCGGCCGTGATCTGTCCGGGTCGTATGGGAAGCGTGATCCGGCCCCCACATGGGGCTGCTTGGGTAGTGCAGGGCTGTCGGAGTGGCTGGTCTGGAGCTCCCAACCTCCAGGGCGCGAACACATGCAAACACTCGCCGGCCTCTAAGAGGACCTGGAGTAGGAGTCGCTCTTTGCACCGAGTCGCGTCGTCGTCGATTCATTCTTGCACGTCGTCGCTGGTTCATTCTCGCACGTCGCCATTCATTCATTCTTGCACGTTGCCATTCGTTCATGCTTGCACGGTGCTGTTGCAGTACATGAGTGAGTGCATCGCCGACCACGATACCAACACCCACACGACTCGACTACCCGACACCACCACCCACCATGGGGTCCAAGGTCAAGACGGCGACGTTTGGCGGGGTGCACGCGGCGGGCATCTTCTCTGACATGACCGTCGACGGGCCCGTCATCGGCACGCTGGTGGCCATCGTCGACCGCGCGCGCAACCTGCCCAACAAGCGCACCATGGGCAAGCAGGACCCCTACTGCGCCGCCCGCCTGGGCAAGGAGGCGAAGAAGACGGCGACGGACAAGCGCGGCGGCCAGACGCCCAAGTGGTGAGTGCCGTGCCCGACGACTGAACAGACACGCTGCTAACACCTGCCCAGGGACCAGGAGCTGCGCTTCACCGTGCACGATTCGCCCGACTACCAGCGCCTCAAGCTGTCCGTGTTCAACGACGACAAGAAGACGGAGCTGATTGGCGAGACGTGGGTCAGCCTCGAGGCCGTCATCCGCCCGGGCGGCGGCCAGAGCGACGATTGGCACGGCCTGAACTGCAAGGGCAAGTACGCCGGCGAGATCCGCCTCGAGTTCACCTTCTACGACTCCCGCGCGAAGACAGAGAAGCCGCCGCCCGAGAGGAGGCGCGAGCCCCCGCGCACCGCAGACGACCAGAGCCCGGCCGTTGGGGGACCACGCGAGAGCAAGCCCATCAAGCGCCGCCCACTGCCCACAGATCCGACAGGCAGCCTGCCCCCCTCGCCGCTCAATGCGCCTGAGTACCGCGGCCTGCAGGGCGTGAGGGCGGGGCCCCGTGAGCTGGGCTCGCCGCGACACCACACGCCCCCCAAGCAGCCCAGGAACCGCCAGTCCGAGACGCCCCTGCGCCGCCCGGTGCCTGTGCCTGACGCCTCGCCCAAGAACGGCACCCCTGTGTCCAGCCACACCCCGCCCCAGCGCCAGCCAGTGCCCCAGGACCCCTACAATGCCCCGCCGAACCCGCGTTCGTCCAACACGAGCCTGCACAAGCTCGCCGTGGACAACTTCGACATGTCGTATGCCGCCCCCAAGCCGTACGAGGTGCAGCCCGTCGATGCAATCCCCCAGCACCTGCGAGACACAGGACACCGGCGTCAGTCGCAGGACGACTTCCGCTCGTCTCGAGGGCACTCGCAGCCCCACCCCCCCGAGCCCGTCCACACGCACTCTGCCCCCATCGTCCCCACACAGCAGACGTATGAGCGCGAAGCCCGCCGAGAGCAGTACGGCCAACACGCTCATCGCCTTTCAAACGCACACTCGCCGCTGTACTCTGACGACTTATACCAGGACCCAGCTTATCAGGTTGCGCCCCTGCGTTCGAGCCGGAGCCATGACCTGCGCGTCCAAGAGCAGAACCCCCCGCCTGAGCTGTACCAGTCGAACAGCTACATGGACGTGCCGTCTCACTACGACGAGCGTTCGTCGCGTCGGAGGCAGAGTGCAATGCAGCCGACGGTCGAAGACGAGGACTACGATCTTCCACCCCCGCCGCCAATGCACAGGAGCAAAGCCAACCAAAAGCCGCAACCTCGCAAGCGAGACTCACTCCCTCCTCGCAATCCAGACCGTTACCGGGAAGAGCCACCCCAGCCCACGTACGAGCCGCCTCAGCCAGCCTACGAGCCTCCACAACCTGCCTACGAGCCGCCCCAACCAGTGTATGAGCCACCCCAACCAGCGTATGAACCGCCTCAGCCTACATACGACTTGCAACGCCAGTCCATGTACGAGTCGTCCCAGCCCCCCTACGAGCTGCAACGCCAGCCGCAGCCATACTCGTCAAACGACCACGGTCATCACCAACCTACAGAGCGACGGTACACCTACCCCCGTCCTGCCATACAAGCCTCGAGCCAGCCAGAATCGCGGGACGTCATGGCTCCTTCTCCTGTGAGGCAAGACATGCCAGACATTCCCGCCAGTCTGGTTGCTGGGTACGATGCATCGCGGCAGGAAAGAGAGACGCCGCCCCCGTCCTACGACGCACCACTGCGCTTACGACAGTACTCTGAACCAGCAGAGTATCGTATGGCGGCTATCGAGTACAATACACCATCATACTCCCAGCAATTGGTGCACCACCAGTCTTTCCCTCCCAACTACCCCCCTGATTACTATCCCCACGACCCTCCAGAGCAGCCCAGACGCACTTCGCCTCTCTACGACCCTACCCCTGTAATCAAACCCAGAGCCACAAGCCCAGCCGCAAGTCCACGGCACTCGCCACTCCCAGTTGATGATCGCATGTCTAGGGAGCCCGCGCGACGCATGCCAACGCGCAAATCAGTGTCTCCTCAACCCCCTCGTTTCCCCGCAGACGACGGTCAGCGTCGACTCTCTGGCGTGCCCTTCAACCCTGACAGCTTCGACGTATACAACCCCACAGCCTCTCGCTCGCCCATCCCCGGCAACTCAGATGACGAGCGCCCTGGGAGTAGCATGGAAGTCAATTCCAAGGGTCAGATTGTCACATTCAGCGGTCGTGTCGTCGATGCGTCGGACCACCTGCCCATCGACAACTGGGCGCCTGAACCCGAGCCCAAGGGAACGATCAAGGAAAAGGCGAGTCGCTCACGCATGCAACCAAACGGAGGACGGGACCTCGACGAAGCCAAACGACGAGAAGAAAAATACCGCCGCGACCGCACAGAGCGAGACCGCATAAGACACGCAGCAAACGTCACCTTTGCCCCCGCAGAAGAAGCTCCAAGCAACGCGCTCGTCACCACAAAACAAATCGACTGGAGGGATCCAAACGCCGGCGCCCTTGTGCTCGCTGGCGCCTCACGCGCTAGACTCGAAAACGAGCGGAGACGCGGCCAACAGCGAGGCTACGACGACCCCCAAGACGCGCACATCCTCCGCGAACGCAACAACCCCAACAGCTACGCAACCAACCCCGCCTACGCCAGACACACCGCGCCACCTATCCCCGCAAAAGTGCCGCTGGGCGAGCAGGCAGACCGCTACGGAAGCCAAAACGACCGCTACGCCTCTTCGCCCAACGAGCGTGGTGGCTGGTCCGGCGGTGGCGGTGGTGGCGGCAGTGCGTATCCAGGCGGCGGCGCGTATGCCGGCGGAGTCGCGTACGGGCAGAACGGCGTGGTGCAGAACGAGGATATGGCGCTTAGTCTGGAATTGCAGAGTATTGATATTGGGCCTGGGAGTGGGGCGCGTAGACCTAGAGGGCAGTCGCAGGCGCAGGCGCAGGCGCAGGATAGAGGGCGGAGGGCTTATGGGTTTTGATGAGCTTGTTATGATTATGAGGTGGGTTGGACTGGTTGGGTTGGGGGATGATGTGTATGATATTTCTTGTTTAGGAATGGTTGGGTTGGGGTTCAAGATTGGCATCGGTTTTGCATGGAATGGGATGGGATGGAATGGGGGGTTTGCTCGATGTCTGTTTGCTTCCCCTCCTCTGTCTCCCTTTTTCTCGGGAGGGGAGGCCTGGCATGTCTGAGTTTGGCGGTTTTTCTGAATACTTTTTGCCTGTTTCGCTTTGATATGAAAGAATACAATATGATACGTTACGATACGATATATGCCGTTCATCTTGATTTACGGTGTATTGCTTTCATAGCTAGCTAACTACGCTCGCTCGCCTTTGTAAGATGTAACTTGGCTGTTTCTGTTTACCTATCATGTGGAGGAAACGCACTGCTCACTATATTACGTATCTTCGTTACTGTCTTGTCTCGCTCGGGTTGTTTGGGTCTGTTCTGATTTGGTGTTATATAGTGTAGAGATTGAGGGTGGGCTTGTTGCTTGTTCTTTGTTTAAGCTAGGGTTGTTGGAGGCGTGAGTGTGAGTGTGCTTGTTGTTCTGGATGGCTGGTGGTAGGGTGGTGTGGTGTGGGTTTGAGGAGGAGGGGGAGGAAGTAGAGTAGAGGAGGAGGAGGAGGAGGAGGAGGGAGGATGGAGGAAATATTATAAGTAGAGTAGAGGGCGAGATCTAGTGAGTTATAATGTCTGGGCAGAAAGAAACGGTATGTATGTCGTGTGTTGGTGTGGTGTGGAATGGGAAGCGGACGGTTGGAGTGCAGTGGGAAGAGTGGAGCGAGGGGAGGAGGAAGTAAGGGTGTTAGGAGTACTCCGGTCTTTTTTTCTTTGTTATGCCCACCCCACTTTTTGCCACAGTGGCACAGTGACTGCGCTACGTTCAGCGTAAGGTATCATTGGTCAGCTATTTTTGGGTGGGCATAAGAAAGAAAAAAAGACCGGAGTAAGCTGGATCCTTATGCTCGGTGGAAATGCGAGTTGGAGCAGTGATTTTTCTTTTGAAATTTTGGGTGTTGGAGGTTTTGGGATCTGTCTATTATTTGGATTGAACGTTTTGTATCTGCTCCGACATATCGACTCCCAGCTTATGGATAATAGAGCATGCCTGACTTCGACTTTCTGATAAGATGGCCACTATCATATCTGGTACTGGAGTACATCTTTTTTCTAGAAAGCTCCGGGTGACCTTCTTGGATTGCTCTCTGATATGCACTGTATGAAACCTTATGTCTAGCATCATGTGCTTAAACTTTGATAACCTGGAAACAACGTTATTGCCACCCATTGAGGCTATTGCGCCCTAGTTTAGCTTGTTGTCAAACCTGCCTGATCTGGAAGGCGGTGTAAACTCTGTAAGATGGGTATCCCATGGAAGTACAAGTTCTTCTCCACCTTGCGTGCTATTCTTGAATTCGTTGTGATTATTGGTCAAAACAGTTCTGACCAGTCCGTAAGTGTCCTAAGAGGCACCCACTTGTGGCTAATGGCTTATACTTTCACGAGTTATCACAGTAGTCAGCCAGAGAAGCTGCTTCGAAGGCCTCCAAGCACCAACGTCAGACATCACCACACTGAATGAAATATACCATAAAATCAACTACCCTACTACCTTGCTGCTTTCTTCATGGAATCTAAAATGTCCTCCCGTCCATCCAATGGAATGTATGTTTCTGTAGCACTGAATATGAGCGATTTTTGTCGTCCATTCGAGCACTGTAAGAACCGTGAGACTGTGATACAGCTCCCTGCACGCGTCCCAAAAGCGTAGCTTTCCGCCTCTTCCAGCAGCCAACTGGGGAACGAACACGTACATGATAGGCATTCGCTGTACTCTCTATGCCGGATTCGCACATCCCCAACAGCCGCTGCAAGAGATGCCGTGCCGTAATCATCAGGTGCACGTCACTCGTACGACTAGAATAGATTGTGGGCGAGAGCGATTGTCGCTACGATCTGGACCACAGCACTGCGATGCAACTCACAGACCGCAATGGATCGCTTTGTCGTGCAGAGATTCTAAGGCATGTCAGTGGGGTTTGCTCTCCCATCGTCCCATGTCCCATGTAGTCGGTTCGGCTCGGACTCCCCTAGCGTAGACATGACTTACATCGCGCTTCATGATTCGCGACACGTCACTCCACCCATCGACGATATTCTTTGATCCTCAGCCATCGCCTCTCTCAACGCGCCCCTGCATCGCGGACTCTTGCCTGGGCGCCGGAATGGATCCAATGTGGATTTTGCATCGCTGGTCAACGTTTTCTCCACGCGCACAACCGTCTGTTGGCTGGTGGACATCACAAACGAACGCTGCACCGGATCCTGCATTGGCCACAACGCTGCAGAATCCGGCAGCTAAGTGATATCGGGCCAATTGCTCACAATGTCTCTGCAGCGATAGCCCACCTTTCGGGCCTCAAATTCTCTCAGTCCCAGCGACCTATGCTTCCCTACGTGGTCCAATGAAAAGTACAGGCCAAGCTTATCTCCACCATGATTCTGCGGGAGTACACGGTACCAGCAAATGTGAGGCTTCGGTAACCTTTTTTTCAAGTTGTGCGAGGTCAGGAATTGTATTCTTCAGGCCTTTTCTCGAAGCTTGCACTGTGACGTTGTGCTGCATCTCTACTTGGTTGAATTCAGCGCCCGGTTTCTGTCCCCATCGAATTGAGCCACGCAAGACGCACTTCCACAATTGGGTGCTTTGCATGAACTGAGCTGGTTCTTATTCGTCCCTCCGCATTCAGAATCCCCTCACCCCACGTTGATGTCGCCATTGAGCATTCACCATACCATATATTCAGCAATGGAGCAAAGACGTCACTTATAGCACGTAGTACAGATCCTCAAAACTTTGGATCTCCAAGGACCGCACTGAAACTGTTCGTCCTACCATGCGTCAATTTCAGAATGTCTCCATTTCGCCGTGGGTAAATCCCTACGGCGGCACCGCCACCACCACCACCACCAACACAGTGAATAACGGACAAAACTTGTATACGAGATCAGGCCCTCCACCACCGCCTTTGCTCCGGCGAGTAATACCACCTCAACCACCTCCAGCCCCGGTCTTGAAATACTCGTATACCGAGAAAGCATATGGCAATGGCAGTGGAGATAGAAACGATGAGCAAGGCGGTACGTGTCAGTGGACAATTTATACATGCCACCATCAATTGACCATCATGTAGATGCAGGGAGAGTTCCCATCCAATATGTCGCCCATCCAGTGTTTTCAGACCCGCCATCTGCGCCTGAACCCCCTGTGGCAGAGAATTTGACACCACCACCACCACCTCCCCCCGCACAAGAAGCATCAAGTAATGAACCTGAAATCCAGCCATTAGATGATATACCCGAGGCGCCAACGGACGAGATCGTGTCAGAGATACCACAAGATGCTGAAGGTAACACACCGGCAAGTAGCGATGATGTTAATGTGGAAGGCGAGGCCAGACCCGAAGATGTAAAGGACGAGCCGCCAGATCCTGACGTCCCTCCACCACCCCCAGCCGACGACACTGTCCAGGAAGATGCCCCCGAAGCAAGTCCGCCAGCGGTAGAGGAGCAATTACCACCCAGTGACCCCGAGCCTCCGCCCCCGCCACCTGTCGAACTCGCGCCAGAGCCCGTTGATAATGACGACGAGAAGAGTGGTGAGTCCGAGCCGGCCGCTCAACAGCCCGTGGAATCCCCCACCACCCCCAAATCCGTGCATTTCGCCTCTGACACCAAAGAACCAGACGATACTAGTAATGGCAAGATGAAGAAGAACAATGACAAGAGGAGACTCACGTTGACTGGTAATTTCAAACCTTCTGCTTTTGTGCGCGTCAGAGAACCCCATGCCAGCCCTTCCGCACCGCCGTCGCCAAAAGCGGACAGGAAGAGGAAAGAGAGGCGGTCGTCTGTTTCTTCCATTTCCTCGATTCTCAAGGGCAGGAGTAGTCGGAGGGGTAGTGCGTCCTCGGCAGACGATAGATCGGTTGTGGATGATGGAGATGCAAAGTCTGACGTTTTAGCAGGTGCCGATACTGAGTTGCCGGTGGAGGAGACGTTGGGTGGTCAAGATGTCACTACTGAGGAGGTAGCATCCATCGAACCCGTGGCAGATGCAGAAGAGGCTGCAGCCAGTGATTCTGTTGTCGATAGCGAGAGTGCGGCCACGGATGAACCCGCAGTCGAGGATGAACAGACTGCTTCCAGCGAACCCGCAGTCGAGAGCGAGCCACAAGCAGAAGAGACATCTCCAGATGCTGAAGAGTCTGTAGTCGAAGAACCTGCAGCAGATGTGCCTGAAACCGAAGAAACAGCAATCGAAGAGCCTACAATCGAAGAGCCAACAACCGAAGAACCTGCAACCGAAGAACCTGGAGTTGAAGAGCCTGCAACCGAAGAACCTGGAGTTGAAGAGCCTACAGCTGAAGAGTCTGGAGCTGAAGAACTTGCAGCTCAAGAGTCTGCGACCGAAGAACCTGCGGCTGAAGAGCCAACTGAAGAGTCATCATCTGAGACCAACGCTGAACCTGAGCCGGAGGAAACTCCTGCTCCCGAACCCTGTAAGTGTCTAGCATCCATGAGTCTCCAAAATTGCAGGACGCATAGACTGATCGATGCAACAGCATCTGAACCTGTCGACGAAGCTGAAGACCCTGTGGAGCCGTCCGGCACAGAAGACGCATCCGCTGATACACCCGAGCTACCAGTGGTATGTTATCTGATTGTAGTTCACTTAGCTTTGATAAAATTTCTAGGGCGCATTAGTGCTAGATTTACTAATGCTCATGTAGGTCGAAGAACAAGCTGTTGTCGAGGAGCAGCAAACTCCTGATGAGGAACCCGCAGCCGACGAACCAGTATCAGTCGAAGATAAACCCGTTGTTGAGGAACAACCTGCAGTCGATGAGGAAGTTATCGTCGATGAGACACCTCTTACCGATCCTCCTGCAGAAGAGACAGCTCCTAGCGAGGAAGACCCTAGCGAGGAAGTCACGGTCGAGCAGGAGGCTGCAGTCGAAGAGACTGTTGTTGACGATATCCCAGTCGAAGACACTCCGGGTGAAGACACTCCATTTGACGACGCTCCAGTTGACGACGCTCCGGTTGACGACGCTCCGGTTGACGACACTCCAATTGATGACGCTTCAGTTGACGATATCCCAGTCGAAGAGGCTGTAGATACGCTAATAGAAGAGGCTACCGTTGAGGACACTCCGACTGAAGAGGCTGTGGTTGAAGAGGCTGTTTTCGAAGACGCTCCAGCCGAAGAGATAGATATGGACGACACTCAAGAGGACGACGCTCAAGTTGACGACGCTGAAGTTGATCACAGTCTACTTGGTGATGATTCGGTATTCGACGACGACTCCATAGTTGACGACGACTCTATGGTTGACTCCATGGTCGACGACTCTATGGTTGACGACTCCATAGCTGACGACTCCGTATTCGATGACGATCGAGTTGACGACAGTGAATATGACGACAGTATACATGATGACGGTATATATGACGACGCTATACTCGACGACGCTATATCCGATGATGATATAGCAGAAGAGGATCTAGCAGAAGAGGATCTAGCAGAAGAGGATCTAGCAGAAGAGGATCTAGCAGAAGACGCTGTTGTTAACGACGCTGCTGCTGTTGACGACGCTGCCCCTGTTGACGACGCTGCCCCTGTTGAAGAGGCAGTCGTTGAAGAGGCAGTCGTTGAAGAGGCTGCAGTCGAAGAGGCTGTTGTCGAAGAGGTCGCTGTCGAAGAGGCTCCTGTTGAGGAGACTGCTGTTGAGGAGAGTGTTGGCGAAGACACTCCAATCGAAGAGGCTGTGGTTGAGGAAACCCCAGTGGAAGAGCCTGCCACTGAAGAATCTCCAGTGGAAGAGTCGTCAACGGAAGATCAAGATCCTGTTACGAACATGCAGCCTACCGTAGAGGACGAGCCCAGCACAGAAGAACCCAAACCCGTCGGAGACAGTACCCTCCAAGAGCCTCTGCTTGTCGAACAGACTGAAAGTCCTGCAGAGCAGCCCAGCTCTGGCGACGACTCGAGTGTCGCTGATGTTGCTACTATCGAGCAAACAGCCGATCCGGAAGAACCGCCAACAACCAAGGAGACTCATGAAGATGAGAGTCAAGAGGCAGACCCTCTGGAAGCACAGTCTGCTACAGATATTGTAGAGAGTAGCATTGATGAGGTCAGCGTCGAGTTCACAAATGATGAAATAGTTACAGATATCGTAGCGACTGAAAATGGTATGTAAGCTACATCATCCTCCTCGTCTATCGAACGAGTTCTATATCACAGCGTGCGCGACGGAATTGATATATGTAAGTCACAAGCTGATATGCTATAGATGAAGGTCAAGTTGAAGTTACTATCGAAGCCAGCGAGGAGTCAACTTCACCTGTCGTGATTGACGATGCAACTCCGGAGGTCAGCGGTGAGAGCGACGCAACCACAGAAGGCACAGAGCAAGAACCGATCGCCGACTCACCTGTTGACGAAACTTCGCCAACTGACGAGGAAGCAAATTCACCTGAGGCAATATTAATAACCGAGGAAACCCCATCAGACTCGCTGCAAGAACCCGCTTCGGTTGAGACTGCGGAGGAAACAAGCGAGGAGATCCAAGAATCCGATCCTGCAGCTGAGACCAGCGCGCCCACCGAGGTTGAGGGTGCAGAAACCGTCACCATGGATGATACAGACGTTGTTCCAGACGTCGTTGCCGAAGAGGCTGCTGCCATCACGACGGAGGCCGATGCAGACGATGTCTTGGACGAGCCCGCTATTGAAGAACCTGCTATCGAAACCGAAGACTTGCCAAACGACGAAGCAGTGCCAGTGAGCGGGGAAGACGATGCAAGTCCACCTGACCAAGATGAAGCTCAGCCTGCCGACAGCGAACCTCAGCCAGAGAGTGAGGAGCAATCACCACAAGATGATCAGACCGAAGATGTACCTGCCCAAGACGAGGATGCAAGCCCTCCGTCTGAAGCTCAAGACATCAACGAGACGACTAACAGTGCAGACGATGAGCGCCAGGACAGTGTTGTAGACGAAGATGACAAGGAAAACAACGCAATCGAAGTGACGGTCGGTGAAGATGATCAACAGCAGGACAGCCCTGAGATCGACGACATACAAGACGACATCGCAACGGAAACTCAAAATCTGAACGAGGATGAGAGCACTACGGTAGACGTGGTTACAGAGCCTCTCGACAGTGAGCCGTTGGAGTCTTCAGATATGCTACCGTCACTCGACACCACAGAAGATGAACCTGGGGCGAACGATGCCGAGGCCACGCCATCATCTAGCGACGAACCCGTGGAAGAAAGTATGTAAACCTATTTTTATACAATACACATACTGATCAGCATGCAGTCGGTCTCGAACCGCTCGTCGACGAGGTTGAAGAAACGCCCGTGCCACTGGACAGCGAAGACCATGAAGGCGAGGCGAACGAGCCAATCGGCGTCGAAGGCGACGCGAGCGAGCCTCATGAAACTACCAATCCCGAGTCAAGCGCAACCGAAGGCACTGACGTGGAGGACAACGCACAAGTCAACGAGCAAAAACCAACGGAACGCAGCGAGGGCGTTGAGGACGTCGAGTTGAAAGAGGAGCCTGCAGCGCCGGAAGCTATCGAGGCTGCCAAACCGTCTGGAGGTAAGTGCCTTTTCCATATGCCTCAAACATTCCTTGTCCAATATTCCCCTTCCCCTTTCCCTCTTTATACATCTTTGTCAGTGTTCGAGACAACGCATCCAATCCCAAATTGCGGAGTAGCCGATTCAATGTGTCAATCTCTCATTGGCCACCGCGTTATCCAGCCTCGCCTCATCACGTGGGAAAACTCTGTTGGGACGTGCTTCAGGCTGCAATGCAATGCATGCACATTGTATGCACCAGATCGCGTCGTGCATGCATGGGTCCATGCACCCAGCTTTTGACCCCAGCCCCGCATCTTATGCCACTTCCACACTTTTCACCGCCGCCTTTTCAGTTATGAAGTGGACAATGGTTATCGCGCGGAGCCTTTCTTCGTGATAGTCCACTGATGACGTAATGGCTAACTGGATGTAGTACCGGAAGCGATGATTGACCAGCAGCCTGAAGAAGTGCTTGCCGTAACTTCAGATGCCGCTTTGAATGGTGCCAGCTCCGATTTGAGTGTTGAGATGTCCAAGTCGCATGATCCGAGTGAAGCTGCTGATGTTGACGACCTTTCCTCGCAAGCGAGCGGCGAGAGCGAAGACAATGTCGCCGAGTCAAACAACGGTGAGCAAGAGGATGCTGCTGCTGTAGATGCTGAACAAGAAGTCGACGACGAAGATGATGCGTCAAGTTCTGTCGTCGAGGAAGCTCCGACGGAGGTGAGTGCCATCCCCAGGCTAGAGGATCCCGACATCTGTCCTATAACTCTCCAGCTTCTGTCACACACATCCCATGGAAGGGTACGTGGCTAACCATATTCTAGATCACTCCCGACGACCTTGACAAAGAGCACGAGGACACCGCAGTCGCTGGAGAGGATTCAGAAGACGACTCTGCGAGCCAGTCTGAGGAAGGTGACGACTGGGACTCTGGAGACGACGCTCAATCTGATGATGAAGATGCGACGGCGTCTGCTATTGACGATGCAGAGGCTGCTGACGATGCCACCACTCCATCGCCTGAAGAAGCTGATGAAGCCGAGGTAGCCGAGGAAGAGGACGCCGAGGACGCGCCAGTCGACACAGAAGAAGGTACTCCTGACTCCCAACCCGATGTGCTGCAAGACTCGACCGAGATCGATGGGCACGATACCAGCACAGATTCTATCTCTGAAGACAACACCACAGATACATCAAGCGCAGCGCTTCCTGATGAAGCAAGCTCCGAAACAACGGTGGAGGCTGTCGAGCACGATCAAGACGAGGATGTGGACTCTGGATCAATCGTACCGCCATCTGACGCAGAACCGGAGCCGTCGCCTGAGGAAATTTCGAGCACCGAGCTTGTGGAGCCTGACTCGAGTGCAGATCCCGAGTCACCTGCCGATGTCGCAACCGATGACCATGCCCCGGAAGAAGATTCTGAGGAGGAGAGTGACGACGAAGAAGAAGAAACAGGCACGGTCAACGAAGACTCGATAATTGAGGAGGACAACCAGCCAGAGGTCGTCGAGATCCCGGAGGCGATTGACGACGCAGAGATCGCGATACCCGACGTTGAAGCCGATGTTCAAATCGAGGACGACGCCACTCCAGACGCGCCTGAGTCCGAGGAAATGCCTACCCAAGATGCTGAAGTAGCAGGATCCAGCGAGCCTGAGGGCTCTGTTGCGTCTGCAGATTCTTGGAACGAAAGTGATGCTGAGAGTGAGGCAGGCGAAGATCAGCCAGAAGACGTCGCCGAAGAAGTTGAAGACGACGAAATTCAACCCGAAATCTACGATGACGATGACAGCTTCGATGCCCCACAAGAGGAAGCCGCATCGGCAGAGCCGTTGCAGGATGCTGATGTCGCCGATGTCGAGTCAGACGAGGGTCCTACAGAAGCCCAAGACGACGAAACCCCTGCAGAAGCAGAAGCAACGACATCCGATTCACCACCTGAAGCAGATGAGCCATCAGAGCAACTTGTCGACGAAGAGCAGGCAGACGACGAAGAAGATAGTCCTGACCCAATCGACGAAGATGACCAAGATGCCACGGCTGAGCTGGAGACGGTTGATGTAGAAGCCCCCGAGGATGAGCAATCGGAGCTATTGGAGGGTGATACTGTACCAGATCTAGACGAGGAAGAAGTAGAGGTAGGGGTAGAAGAAGAGGAAGAGGCAGAGGAAGAGGAAGAAGAAGAGGAAGAAGAAGAGACACCTGTTGCGGAAGAGATCAACGACGAGCTCCCGTCGCCTTCTGTCGACGAAGACGAAGTCTTACCTCCTGCCGATGAAGACGAAGTTGCAGACGTGGCTGTCGAGGAACCGCAGCTTGAAGACATCCTGGACCCAGCCGAGGTTGAAGACGCACTACCCGAGTCTGATCCTGTTGAAGAAGAGGAAGCCGAAGTCGACCAGACTCAAGAGGATGTTTTGAGCCCGCCAGACGAGCCTCAGGACGAATTGGTTGATGGCTCTGAGGAACACGATGACACGCGTTCTGTTGCTGAAAGCTGGGATCAAGACGAGGAGAGTGAGGCTGCCGACAGCTCGATCGTGGAAAGTCAGCCGGACGATCAGTCGGCCGAAGTACAAGAAGAGGTCCAGGCTCTTCCAGCTGAGCCAGAAGTTGAAGAGGACGGCGCAGTTGAGGAGGAAACGTCCATCATGGATGCTACGCCTGAGCCTGAAGAAGAAGTTGATGCAACATCTCCAGAAGAGCCTCCAAGTGAAGAGGTTGCGATCGATGAGGAGGAACAAGAAGATGCACAGCCAACACCAGAGCCTGAGGTTTCAGTTGAAGATGAGGCGGAGGACGACTCGGAGCTAGCCCTTGAGCAGGAAGAAGAGGTTGTTGCCGAGCCTGAGCTTGTCGAGGAAGAGATTGCAGCCGATGACGCCGTTGAAGAGCAAGCGCCTGTAGACGAGCCTTTGCCAGAACCTGAAACCGAAATAGTCGAAGCTCCGGAAGAGGCAGAACCAGAACCAGTTGAAGAGCAAGAGGCTATTGAGGAACTAGAGGCTGTCGAGGTACCGGACGCAGTCGAGGAACTGGAGGTGGCTGAAGATCCGGAGACACTCGCGGAACCGGAGGCTGTTGAAGAGCCAGAGCCAGCCGAGGAACCAGAGCCAATCGAAGAACCAGAGCCAATCGAAGAGCCAGAGGAAGTCGAAGCAGTAGCGGAACCAGAAGTCGTGGAAGCGGTCGAAACAGTCGATGAGATCACAGAACCTGAAGTGGTCGAGGCAGTAGCTGAGCCTGAGCCAGAACCAGAGATAGTTGAAGCTGTCGTGGACTCAGAACCAGTTGAGGTCGTAGCAGAACCCGAAGCAGTCGAAGCAGAACCTGAGGCGGTTGAAGCAGAGCCAAGCGAGCCTCCCGTCGATGCCGATCCAACCGAGGAGCAACCGATCGAAGACGTTATCCACGAAGTACCTGCTGCTGAACCCGTTCCTGACGTCGAGCCTTCCACAGAGCCAGCAGCCGTTATCGAAACAGCCCCGGTCGAAGAAGCTCTTGTTGAGGATGTCGTCCAAGAAGAGGCACTCGAGGTTGAGCCTTCATTGGAAGTTCAACCTGAGCCTGAGGAAGTCGTGCCAGAAGCAGTACCTGAATCAGTTCCGGAGGAGCAGATACTAGATGAGATACCTCAGAGTTCACCAGCGGGCGAGGTTCCTACCGAAGAGACTGACACAGCCAGAGAAGTTGATTACCTGCCTTCACCCCCTGCTCTGGCTGAGCCTCTGGTAGCCGACGTTGTCTACTTGGCTCCCGCAGAAAGGGGTTTTGCTGTAGTCGATGAGTCTGCAGCCGAGACGCCGCGGAGAGAGAGGAGCCACCGGCGACATTCGCACACTCAGCGCGAGCGCGAGCGCGAGTACCGACAACAACCCCACCGAAGGCATGAGAGCGAAACAATCACTAAGGAACGACCGGATCTTCCCGAAGTGCCTGTGCTTGCTGTTGCAAAACTTGCTCGGTCATCCTCAAAGAAGCATCGTGAAATGACCTTGGAGCGTGAAGCTTTGAGAGCCCAGGAACGAGCTCGGGAACTTGTCAAGGAGAACAGAAGTAGTAGTCAGGAGCGCGCCTACCCCGAATATCATTCTCCACGCCATCGCGAGAACAGAGGGGAAGACAAGCACAGCAGGCGCCGCGCTCTGGAAGAGATGGAAGTGGAGGCTGAGAGACGCAAGCGGCACGAGGCTCGGCGTCTCGAGAAAGAGAGGTTGGCCTTGGAAGAGGCCGCTAGGCTTCAGGAGGAAGCAGAGCTCCGGAGACAAGAACGTCGGGAACAACGTCGTGCGGCCAAACAAGCGGAGGAGGATCGCAGAATAGCAGAAGAGGAGCGTCTGAAATCAAAAGCCGAGGAGAAGCTTGCACAAGAGGAAGAAGAGCGACGCCTCCGACATGAAAAGCGACGTCTGCGTCACGAAGCCGAGAAAGAGGCTCGTCGTTTGGAGCGCGAGAAGGCTGATCAAGCCGAGAAGGATGAGGAGGAGGCCCGCAGGTTACGACATCAGAGAAGGGCAGAGCGAGAGAAGGAGAAGTTGGCTGGCACAAAGGTTAGGCCAGTAGAAGTCGAGCAGCCCCGTGACGCCGCACGTCGAGCAGCGGAGGAGGACACTGATCCCTATCTTACACCAGGATCTGCAGAACCACCGCGTCGCAGGCGCCTAAGCAACCGCGAGCCTCCAACTACCGGCAAGCGAAGCAGTCTTCTCGGAGGTCTGTCGCGATTTGGCCGCTCGAAGACGGATCCTACGACACCACCTACAAAATCCAACAGGACTGCTTCCCGTGGTCGTCCTGACACGTCTGATATGATCGAGCCGCCGGTCTCTGTCTTACGTAAAGAAAGGCCACGTCCAGAAACCAACCATCAATCATCTGCCGAGAGTTGTGAGCGTGGCGAACGACTCCACCGTAGTCGGCGACCCTCCAATACTCATGCGCAGCATCCTCGTCGCCACTTTGAGGATGCCGAAGAAGAAGAAGAGTATTACCGATGGAAGGAAGAGCGAAGAGCTGCGCGTGCGAGGGAGCAAGAGCTGACTGACGGCCAAGACGGGGGTGTTTTGCTAGTCCAAGATACGGACGACGTATGCACTCCGCCTGCAGAGCTCGTTCCAGAACCAGTACTCATGATCGAGCCAGTCGTGAAGGATAGGGTACGCTTCGCAGATGAGGATGATACCGACACACCACTTGGTGTTATATATGATTCATCGCCTTCCCGTGGGGAGCGCCGTCGAGGCAAGCACGTTTCAATATTCGACGAACGGTCCAAGAGTCGCCGTGTCTCCGTCAGCGAAAAAGAGCGACCCGCCAATCGTCGCGCAGAGACCGATCGTCCACGTGCGAGAGCTCACGAGGAAGAGCGTCCTAGGCCTAGGCGAAGCGAGACAGAGCGGAAGAGTACCAGCACACATCGCAAGAAGAAGGATGAATCAGGAGGCTTGAAGGGTCTATTTGGAGGATTGAAGAAGAAGATCGTTGCCTGACTATGATAGGACGTCGGAGTTTGGAGGGTTTGGAGTCGTTCAGATTCACGGGACACAATGGTTCTTCGTTGGGTGTATGGAGTTTGGGTTGGGCGGCCGTTTTATACCATTGATGCGTACATCTCTCATGGTTTGGGTAGCGGGCGTTTTGCATTGCAGGGTGGACATGTGTAATTGTATAACTGCATGTCTCGGTTTCTAGACTGCCATGACGGCCTCGCGAGGGACCACGAGGATTCGCAGTTCGCTTCGGCGGTGCAGCCATTGCTAGTATAAATTCAATTATTGATGAATCATTCCTTGGAGTCGTGTTCTCAAAGTGAGTGATATGGACTTGACTCATCCTGAGGATGCCTGGAGGTCATTTCTCAGTCATCGTGACCCCAAAAGAAGACATATTTGGTTCTTCTACAAAAGGAAGGTGGCAAGAGAAGTTGTCTTGTTTCCGCCAAGCATCGCTTTTATTGAGTTTCATACCATCAAGCGCCACCTCAACCATTGACTCGTCGGCTTCTCAACTCTAAGCTTTTCTGTCCAAATGCGCCCTTGCTTGACGCTGTCACAGTAAGATGTATACACACCATATCGTACACAGCTCGTTTTCGTACCGTTTTTCTGGATTCAGCCACCACACGTAAATATCGAATTATCGCATTGCTTGTCAAATGACTCATGATTAGGCATCCACCACCCCTGCGCGACGTTTTGAGCCACGACCCCGAAATACACATCCAATTCTACGAAAGAGGTTAGACGCATCATTCCACATCCCATCGATTCAACTCGCGACGCGATTCTGATTGGCTAAAAAGGATTTGATGCCCCTTGATTTCAATCTGTGTCGAGGTTTGCACGACCGGTGAGCGGTTGATGGGTCTGAAGGTGGCACAGCCGCGGCAATGGTTCTACCTCAAAACAACGGTGATGCCCTAAGATGAAGCGACAGCTTTGTACCGACAACTTTGTTTCTCCACGCGACAATGGCTCCTCGATACGTCTTCGCGGCCGTCCTGCTCAGCGTCTCGGTTGCTAGTGGTTATTCGACGTCCCAACCGCCATTCTGGACTTATACATCACGTTTTGCAGAGTCGACAAGCATTCGTCAATATACATACACTGATGGAGATACCGAAACTTATACAAACACGTATACCCTCGAACTGAAGACTGGTGTCACTCCCACGGCCACTCCCACGTCGACCACGAGGGACACTTATTACTACGATGACATGCTAGTCATTGAGGAGTATTATCCTACCGACGCCGTTGCAGCCTCGGACTTTGTGGACTCTTCCTATTACAACTATGAAACATATTCAACAGCATCGACTACCGTTACTTCAACCTATGTCACATTCTACATGCCCGTCACCATAGTCGCTCCAGCAAGCTGTCCCACACCGTTTACCGTCACGACAACAGAAACTGTTTCGGTTCCAACGGAAGTCCGTGATCAGGTTACTCCGACATCGACTGAGACCAGCAGTCGCACCACGGTGGTGGGCGGCACTGAATACCATTTTGAAACTTGGTACCTGAGTGAGGGCGCGGCGCCCTTCACGACGTCGGCGGACTATTACTATGAATACTACATTGAAGAGTGTTCCACTCCACCGGGTGCTGCGTCCACTAGTAGTGTCTATGATGGTGGAAGCAGCAACAGCGATGGTTCCTCCTCCTCTTCATCATCATATCGTGGATGCAATTACTACTGGTGCGAGGGAAGTCCGTTTCAACGATTGAATACGTGGATCATCATCATCGCCACTATTATCCCTGGGCTCTTCCTCCTCGGACTGGTCGAAGGTTGGTTCTGGTTCCGTCGTCTGATGATGGGTAAGAGTGCTATGCGGTTTGGCACAGTCTGCTGGATCGTGTTGTCGTTATGGGTACTATGCTTCACGCGCATGCAAGACGCAAGAAGTCCAGAGGACCAGGTGCTTCTACGGGAAAACTGGAAAGCGATGAGTACAGGCGCGGCACTGAAAGCGTGGCTCAGGTGGCAGTTCAGACGCGCTTACCCAGTGCCACTTCTCGGACAGTACTCCCCGTTGACTGTGGGTATTGTGCCCGCCGGCGAACCGTTGCATCCAGCAATGGCTCAGGTACCACCTCCAGGATTCTACCAGCCACCACCGGGCGCGATGCCGCCACCAGGTCAACCAGGCATGTTGTACCACTACGACCCAAACCAGGGCTACGTTCCACAGGCAGCCGGATACTTTGGTGGCGACATGTCCAAAGGAGGAATGGTAGCCACGTCAACGCCCGTTCCACCACACCCACAGTTCACGGTCACGCCTCCCCCACAAGCTCCACAACAGGCACATACTTCCCCAAGTGTCGCGCAGGATAGAGCTGGCCCCCCTCAGGCTGCGCACGCATCGTCTCCGTCTTCACCACCTCTTCCGCCGCGACCGCAGCAAGATGTCCCCGTGCCTGCGCCCGCACCATCCTCCACGGCAAATGAAACACCAGCACAACCCTTGAATTCCTCCGTACCACTACCGAAGAACGATCCAAACGACCGGAGTTTGTACGAGTGATGTGCAGTTCTAGTTCGCTTATGTCGGGCGATGCACGATGGCGGACTTTTCTTTCTTTCTTTCACGATAGGACATTAGTCCACTTTTTATTTAGCATGTAGATACCCCAGCATGGCGGTGCGCTTCTTTTTCACGCCAAATTAATAGTAGAGACAGATAATGTGGTAATGCTTTTAATTTTGTTCGCTGGGCTTTGAATATGTGGTAATGATGATGATGATGATTTGTGCGCGGCTTTTGGTTTGCTTAGCTCGTACCGTGGTTTGTCAACCCCACTTCTTCGTACCCCGCTTCTGATAGCAGAAAAAGATCAAACAGTGCGATGTGCCATATGCCATGGATCTGACCAAGTTACATTGGCCACAACTCAGTGGCATGGTTATTTACCATTAATTTTGAAATTAGTCCATCAATAAGCTCAAAACTGGCCTGCTGGCCCAATGGCAAGGCGCTTGACTACGATTCTTTCGAAATCAAGAGATTGCAGGTTCGATCCCTGCGTAGGTCATCCTTTTTGCCCTTCCGTCCGATGAGGAAGGTAAGGGCGAGGTAAATAGGTACTGAGCGTTTATATTTTTGCAATCATACGTTCCGCTTGCTTGTTACAAGTGCTGGTATGTAAGCGATGAAATTGGAGACTACAGAGATATACATACTGGAGTATCACAACGCTATATGAAGTGTTAGTTGTATTCAATGGGTTATGCTGTTGTGGTCTTGACTGCAAAGTACACTGAGCACATCCACGCCTATCTGCTGAGGTAACTTTCTGCTGCTCTTTGTTCGAAATCTTCTTTCCTGTTCAAGAGTGATCGTCACATACGAACATTCGAGTATTCTTTTTGCGCTGCTGAGTGCTATCATGACTTGCTTTTTGCTTCCATGATCTCCATCACGCACGCATGGGTGATAGAAGCTTCAGTTGTGTTCATGATGGTCTTTTTGCTAGCTTTGTCCATTTTTGTATCGTTTCTGACTTGTATTAACGTCGATCTTCGCAACTGAAGGTGTCCATTTTTGCCAGCATTAGCTCTCGTCTGACGCTTATTACCAGTGCAAACTGACGTGTGATGAAGCCAGAGATAATGATGGTATGTTTGATAGAGGACACTAAAATCATGTTAGAGTCTTTTGTGAGTGGCAAGATCGTTCCTGGTTCATATCACTGTTAGATGGCGATTGTTTTGATCTTAATAATGGTGCAAGTATGTAGGCTTGTGGTGATAGAGAGATATTGTTGCAGTCAAACTTGCGCATCATATTGACACGTTAACAGCCATAAAGTGCTAGTGAAGCGATTCAGGGAACACGATATCAAGAGGTGGTTGCAGTCGTGAAGAAGGGGGAGGGTACCAGGATTTATAAATGTATCATATTCATCAATCATATCTTCAAAACCCCGTAGCTTACATTTCCTCCTTACTTTTGGAGCGCCGACTATCAAATCAAGCCCTGGCAGAGGGCTGAGTAAGGGTGTTGCCTGAGAAGTCAGTATGAATATTCAGGTAGTCTAAGGACTTTGACTAACCTCCATCAGGGTATAGAACCTGGTCGTTGTAGAACACACCGCCTGGGCCAGCCAGGAAGAGGACTGTGGCAGCCATGTCTGTGTCCTTTCCGGGACGACCTTTCAAAATCAGTAAGACGTCACCATGGCCGATATAAGACACATACCAGCAGGGTTGGACATCTCCATGTCAAGATTGCTCTTGTTATCCGCATCCGAAGAACCGGCAGTCATCTACGGTCAGGATCAGCGCAGTTCAATAGCCAAACGGAACAGCGAAGTTACGTACCTCAGATGGGAAGACTCCCGGTGCGATTGTGTTGACACGGACCTTCGTTCCGACGAACGTCGTTGCCAACATCCTGCTCAGATGCGTGGCCGCTGCCTTGGAACTCGCATACGCAAATTGGCCACTGCTGCTGCCCTTCATGTACCCGGAGATACTGCTCACGTTGATCACACTGGATGTGTATCCAGGAGTCTTGCTCCCGCCCTTGGCAAGCAGTGGCAAGAAGGTCATGCTCATGAAGAACATGGCCGAGACGTTGGTCTTGAAAGTGTCGGCCCAGGAGTCTGGCTCGGACTTGAGGAAGTGTTCGGAAATGGCAGATGCAGAGGACATGTCTGGTTCGCCATTCTTAGAGAACGACGTGGCATCGTCACGGGCAATTCCAGCGTTGTTGACCAGGAGTTGGATTCCAGCGGGTTCCTTTTCGGTGATCTCTTTGCAGAGACGGGCCACGTCGGCTTTGTCGCTAATGATCCGTTAGATACTCATAGTTTTTGGAGGGAAATAGCACAAACCTAACATCTCCCTGTAGAGGAATTATCTGTCCCGGTCCCTTGTCGTGTAGTTCATCCGTCTTCTTCAACACCTCATCACGCCTGCTTGTGATGTACACCTTTGCGCCATTTGCCACGAGAGCCTGAGTGAAAGTAAGCCCACAGGATATTGTAAGGACGATATAAACCGACTTGTACTATCATCAGTCCTATCCCAGTTCCTCCACCAGTGACTAGTGCAGTAACGTGGGAGACATCGAAGAGCTTGGAGTTCTTGAGCTCGTCATTGCTTGCTTTGCTGTTACTCATGTTTCTGGTGATTGTGTAAGTTGTTCTTGGGAGGAAGGATGAGCGAAGAGTAGAGTTTGTCGTTGGAAGTGCGCGTGAAAAGAGACGGAGCATGATGTGTGTTGGTTGTTCAGAGTAGTCTTTTATGGAGGAGAAGTGTGGGTTTTGGACGTGTCGATATCATGACGTTGCGAAGACGCATGATGGAAAGTATAGTCTACCTCATCGTTCCCCGCTTTGTATATATTTAGATTGTGACTATATAATCGTAGATCGAAGCCTTGTCCTGAACTGGTGATACTCTCTCGGATCGCAACGGCATCAATCGTGCTACGAACGCTTCCACTGTTCTAGTGAACCGAAGCATCCGGCGTTAAGTGATCTCCATGGACAGGAGAGGCAAAAACGTACGACTGCATATACAATTCATACTCATGAAGCAATTCAACAATACTCGAGGATGTGTCTTTGCAGCTCTATGGTGTTCCTACTGCAATGCATGGCGTTGGTTCATGCTCGACGATGACGTCATGTCCATATGTAAATTCATATATTGCCTCTCGGCCAATCGAAATACTAGGAACCAGGGTGCAGCGAAATCATGCAACAGCTTAACAACTACAACTAAGCTTAGGGAAGGACTCTTGTGCCTGAATTCTAAGCAGTATACGTCTTGTGTGCACTTGAAATGTTTTTAGTTGTGTAGTTTTGTGGCTTGTAGGAGCCACAAAGAAGGTAACTTACTTCCCTCTTTTACAGTTAACCGAGAGATTGTACCAACGTTCTTCCACAATTATTCCATCCTATGTGCTGCCTACCATCTAGACTTCACCTCTGATCCGCATTGCGAGCTTAATGTCCGTGTCTCCTGTACAACGTAAGCGTCCACTATTCAAAAGCGGTATCTTCCAACTTACAGATAGTGACGCGCTTGGCATAGATGGCACACAAATTTGTATCTTCCATCAACTTCACAATGTAGTCTTTCGCAGCCTCCTGCAGCGCGGCCACGGCTGTAGATTGTCATTTAAAGTCGGGACTTATAGCGACAACGACTTCACAAACCAGACGCGCAAAGAAGACTTTAGGGATGATAAGTTTAGTCGTCGTCTAGTATTTCCAAAGTTCTCTAAGTGCTATCGTTCCAAGAGGGAGTCGTTGGGCGGGTGAAAGCACATGGCGCTCGGGCAGGTATTTTAGTTCCACGTTTATTCGTTGTAGCGGCTACAGCGGCTGCGGCATCGTGTCTCTCTTCAGCAGTGTTAGTGTTACTGCCGATTTGTATACATCCAACATACTGGTGGCAGCAAGCTTTGTTCGCACCATGTCTAACGATTAAACCTGTAACCCTGCAGGCGTACTGTGGGAATCAGGCGGCAGATCTTGCGTAGAGGCGAGGCGTAAGAGCGGAGTACGAGCCGTGCACTTGAACTGCAGCCAGGCGAGTGGATGATGTCTGTTCGCAAGGTGAACGGACTGGCTGTTACAACTTGGGAAGGAGCATCCGCGCCTGGGTATCTTCTTCGGATGTGCTTGAATTATCCTCCCTGCCAACGACAGTGAATTATCACTCTCGATTAGTAGACTGTTAAATGATATCATGCTCCTCAATCATGCGTTGGTTGAGCCAAGGAGCTGGAGACACTTTTCTCTGAGCTATGTCTACGTAATATAACTACTCTACCTGCAATTACATAGGAAATTATATTTTCTCGACAATTTAATCAGATTCACCAGTTTTTTTAATTGTATAGGCAGTGCCCTGAAGTATACTCTTTTATCATGAACAAGGCGTGGCAAGTTGTCAAAATTCGATGATTGTAAAATGTAATTATCAAAAAGATAGCTTACAGCGTCAAAACTCTGCAACGCTTGTTTATTGGTTACACAGTGAATACAAATGTTTGCAAGCACTGGAGTACAATAGTTTGGCAGGATTTTATGGGTTTGTTGCAACGCTCGGCGATGACGTCATGTCCACGTGTACTGATTTCCACTTTGGCACGTCGGCTTCTAATTTCAGAGCAACCAAAATTTTCGAAATCTCAACACGCAGACTCCTAAAATTACCACCATTCAATTCAGCTAAGTCTCTTTACCTACTTTTACGCTATCTACCTGCCTGCTACACTCGTGGCTGGTAGGTTGTGCGATACAGTGTAGAGCCCCTTTTCTGATCTGAATACCTAGTACCCACAACACAGTCTTACAACCTACATACACGCACGCATAAATATACAGATACATTAGAACTTAGATACAATATCTACCTCTACTACACAGCTGTTGTACAGGCTTAATACCCTGCATAACGCGTGTTAGGAGGAAAGGTTGTAGGGGAAGCTTCACCGGCGCAAGCCTAGGTTGTTGTACCTACTAAGCGGATTCAAATTTCACATATTCATCAACACAGGAGGAACAATAGGGAGAGGTACCTAGATAAGGGAGGGAGCTCTAAGGATCTAGGTGCTTTAACCAAGACCACACAATACAGGGCCACGGTGTGTGAGCAGCTTCGGCTGTAAGCAGCCGGGGATCCCGCACTCCAGCTACGTGGCCTTCGGCCTCTGCAATAGCTTATGAATGAACCAACCAACCAACCAACCAACCACGTCGGCTTCTCAAAGCGACTCTTACAAAGACATGGTTACAAATCAACCACCATTTGACATACACATATTTCGCCACTCTAGAAAAACTCGCACCTCCATCACACAATTCTCATGTTTGTCAGCGATCGTGTGTTGATAGGCCAGCCCGCATTGGTAACCTCGGCGGAAATAGTATAATGGCATCATCGCCATGACCCACGAATGAGGGGTTTTACTTCGACGGGTCAATGGCAAGTTGACGTTTGACTGTGATGTGTGTATATGTCGTGATTTCTAATCCTGGACGTATATATCAGCCTTGAATGCTGCCCTGGAACCCACCTCATATCCCAGATACTCACGTCTACCCATTGACATAGCTAGCACTCCCTTCAGCGCCTCGCAACCGTACCACAGCAAAGCCAACACCACAAAACATACCGGTCGCCATACTAGAACCGCCTGTCGCGCTCTCATATCAACCAAGATGACGACCACAGCGTCCCTCCCCACACCCGCCCACCAGCTATCCCAATCCTCACCCTCTCCCTCCACCAACCCATCCGACGTCAACTTCCAGGGCCTCCCCGTCCCTCGCGGCCCCGTGACCGCCCCCCTCTCCTTCTTCGAAGCGCCAGCCGACGGCTCAAAACCCCACAACTACGTCGAGCCGCTCCCCAACACACCCCAGCGGAACTTCGGCGACGACTGGACCGACGTCACACTGCAAGACCTGCGCGGACAGGAGCAAAACTTCACACTCGACAAGAGCGCCTTCGACACGTACCAAAACGTCACGAGCGAGGAGCACGACTTCACGGATGACGAGCGCATAAAGCGCGTCTACTACCCCGAGGTGGAGAAGTTGATATTGGATAGAGTGGATGGGGCGAAGCGCGTCGTCTTGTTTGATCACACAATTCGTCGGCCAACGGGGAACCGCAATCCAGTTACACGCGTGCACATCGACCAGACTGCTGCGTCTGCCGCGGCGCGCGTACGCCACCACCTCCCCGCCGAAGCCGAAACACTCCTGCAGTCGCGATACCGCATACTCAACGTCTGGCGTCCGCTGAACGGACCCGTCATGGCACTCCCTCTGGCTGTGGCAGACAGCGCGACGGTCTCTGACGCGGATCTGATTCCCATCGAGCACAGGTATCCGGATAGGAATGGAGAGACGGCGGCTGTGAGGTATAACAAGGGGCAGGATTGGTATCATTGGAGTGGTATGACGAACGATGAGAGGTTGCTGTTGTTGTGCTTTGATAGCGAGAAGGGGGGGCGGGTGCCGCATACTGCGTTTGTGGATCCTAGGACGCCTGAGGGCGCGGTGGGGAGGGAGAGCATCGAGGTGAGAGCGTTGGTGTTTGGTTAGAGTTATCTGTCGGATATATAATGTCTCTTTTCTGGAGTAGTGTATTGAAATCGCGATCTATCCACCTTATATATAATTACGAGTGGTTCTTGCTTAATCGCGCACTCAACATACACAGTCCTCAGGATCGTGTCCTTCAAATCTGTCAATTTTCCTCAATTTTCCTCGATACTCCCCAACCACACTCCCCAACCTAAGATTCAATCTGTCCCCATACCCTCATCCAGGGCCACCCTCCATTTCTCACCCCACCTCTTCATGGCGCCCAACGCCATGAACCCCGTGACTAAACTCCAAATGCCCAGAATCGTCATGAGCCAGCCATTCCCGATAGCGCTCAGAATCGGATCCGCGACCAGCGCGCCGGTAAACGAGAAAATATTGCGAACGAAATTGTTCAGTGCAATAGCTGACGCGGCGCGTTTGGGCATGAGTTCGGTGAGCATGGTGGTGACGAGACCGAAGATCAACATGGAGCCTATGCCGAAGAAAACTAGTTTTGTGAATTAGTATTAGCGGAGAGGGAAAGAGATGTAATGAGAACGTACAGTTTGCGATCATGGGCACAATCCAAAGCACACCCTTTTCAGCCGTCCACCCGTACCATATCAGCGCGCCGGGCCACAGCACAGCGGCAATCCAGGCGTTCTCCTTCATGCGGTCTTCGGGCTGGAAGATTAGCTTGCCCTTGTCGTCGAAGCGCCCTGCTTTGCGCGCTTCCCGGTGCATGATTCTGTCGATCCATCTCCCGCCGAACATGCTCGCGAGCAAGTAGCCGAAGGAGTTGGGGATGTACAGCAGGCCGATGATGAGAGTAGAGAAGTTGTAGGGTGCGGCGGCGAAGGTGGATTGGATGGAGATGTTGAGGATGTAGAGGCAGCCGAAGGTTATGCTGGCGTAGTAGACGGTTGTGGCGACGGCTGGGTAGCGGAGCCATGTTATGATTTTGAGGGGGTCGAGGAAGATCTGGCGGGAGTGTGCGAATAGCATCTTTGCCTTTTGGACGGGCGAGGTGCGTGTTGATGCTGGGGGTGATTCCTTGTCGTCTGCAGCGGTTGCTGAGGGAGAGGGCTTCTCTTTCGCGAGGGTTTCCGGCAGCGCGAGGATGATGAAGATCAGTGTTGCGCCGCCGTATATGACGAGAAACCACTGCGTGCTTCTCCATCCCAGCGCGGATCCAATCGCACCGCCAATGATGGGTGCAAATAGAGGGCCACACAAAGGTCCGAGATAGAAAACGCTCATCGCTCGTCCGCGTTCGCGCACCTCCCAGATATCCGAAATAGTTCCTGCACCCACAGCTTGAACCGATGCCGCCGCACCACCAGAGAGCATGCGCATGATGATCAGCATAGCGATATTCGTCGATATTGCAGAGAGGACTGCAAAAACAACAAAGAGCGTGAAACTCGTAATGTAGATGGTCCGTCGTCCCAGGCGTTCGGAGAAACTACTCCACCACAGCGGGAAGATTGCCATGCTGAGCATATACAGAGCGACAGACAAGTTGGTCACAGTATGCGTCGACTTGAATGCTACACTGATTTCCTCAAGCACGGGCAGTACCATCGCTGAGCCCATGGGGCCAGCCATGGCGCAGACTGCCACGATGAACGTTAAAAACCATTTCGTACGATTTGTGTAATGATATGGGTTTTGAACTTCCGGGATAAGAGTAAAGCGTGCGAGCAACCCACGGCGCTGGGCACCAGGGACAACGACAGCGTCCGGTGATACGGATGTCGTTCTTGAGAGGGTCGTGGGACGAGCTTTCTCGTTTGGTCTAGGGGAGGCATCGTCGTGTTGTGATGCCGTGCTGGCGTGTGAAGAGGATCGCGATGATTTGATAGATGCTATCTCTTCTTCGTCATCTTCCCTGTGCTTCAGCTCTGGTTGACTGCCATTCCCAAGCTCTTTCTGGTTATCGATGGCCTCTTCTTCTCTTCCTGGTTTTTGTGTCGTCGCATCCTGAGCCTGCGCATGTTCTCTCGCTTTCAATCCAGGGATTGCCATCCTTCAACGCGGCGAGAAGATTGAGTGGCTTATCCGGGGATAGCGAGCACTCCAATCTTTGCTCCACACTTCTCCGGGGCTTTTCCGGCGCCTATCAAGCAGTCACAAATTCCGAGTACGTTGGGCTAAGCAAATTTATACAGGATTCTCGAGCCAATGGGCGCGTAAGTAGATGTTCAGGTTATCAATATCGAGAAGCAAAGAAGAGAAGCAAAAGAAAAGGCAGACACGACGCAGGCGCGTCATGGCGAGCTAGAGAACGAGTCGGTTCCGGAGTAGTTTGAGTGTATCGCGAGGATCTACGAATGGGGAATAAAATGTGGGCGACCTGCTTCGGCGCGTCCTATTGCCGGCGGGGCAACAAGCGGCCTAATCGGTCGATCGATTCGACATGGTACCTCGATCTGTGTTTTGTCCGTGCTAAAGCAACGCTAGAGCGCTGTCCAACGCCCAATCCCTCTGATTGACGCAGCTAAGTACGTAGCATCACAGAATCACGACAATGGCAACGCAGAATCAAGACCGTCTGCGCTCGCTCTTCCAGTCCATCCCCGCGACTCAGCACGCCGAAGGCTGGGATTCGCTCTGGGAGGATGCCTCCTTCCTGCCCTGGGACCGTGGACACGCGAATCCCGCTCTCATCGACCTTCTTAGTGCGGGACTGTCCTCGTCTCTCGATTACCCGCCGACATCTGACACTAAGAACCCAACGCCCGGCGCACCAGAGGTTGGTAAGATAGGGCAAATTGATTTTCCACCTCCAGTGAAGAGCGATGGGATGAGGTTGAGGGTGCTGGTACCGGGATGTGGGAAGGGGTATGATGTAGCCTTATTTGCTGCACATGGTTATGATGCTTATGGCTTGGAAGTATCTGCGCATGCTACTCAGGCTGCGAAGAGGTACGTAGGAGAGGCGGGGGATGGACCGCTGGAGGGAGAGTATATCGCTGCCAGGGCAGTGGGGCCATGGAATAAGGATGCAAAGAGAGCCATCGTATCGGGGGATTACTTTGACGATGCATGGTTGGGAGAAATTAAAGGCTGGGAAGCTGAAAAAGGGTTCGATGTGATTTACGACAACACTGTACGTTTTCCCTCGTCATCTATCAAATTCATGAGGCTGATATGGATAAGTTTCTATGCGCCCTTCCTCCCTCTCTGCGTCCCCGCTGGGCAGCTCGAACCGCGTCGCTCCTCGCCCCTTCAGGGTCATTGATCTGCCTCGAATTTCCAACACACAAACCTGCATCATCGGGCGGCCCGCCCTGGTCGCTGCCTCCGACTGTGCACGCTGAGTTGCTGAAGCGGCCAGGGGAGGATATTGAGTACAACGATGCAGGAGTGGTAGTTGCGAGCGATCGACCGGAGGCGGAGAATGCACTAGTGAGGGTGGCGCATTATACACCGTGGCGGACGCACAGCATAGGTGTTGTCCAAGGCGTGACCAGGGATTGCGTGAGTATTTGGCGGCAGAAATCATAGAAATACACTTCTCGATTTTGTCTGGCCTTCAGCCCGCTTTGCGCAACGAATTGTAATGCTCGCCCAACCCGTGGCTGTGAAGATAGTACCCCAGCCAGATCTCCTCCCTGCCCGTGTCTTCTCCCTCAGGCTCAATCTTGTCTACGCGCCCATCACTGTGTAGCACGCAGATCCTGACTCCATACGTTCGCGCTAGGGCAAGCAATTCCAGATGCCCACCCCATTCTCCTGTCTCCCTAATCTTGCGCACATGCTCCGGCAGCGGGTCTTCCGTGAAGCCGGAGAAGTCGTCGGCGTGAGCTTGTATCCAGTCTGCAGCTGCATATCTGACCTTCTTGTATTCTCCCGTATTCTCCTCGTCTGCTATTGCGACAGGGATGCTTGGCTCCAACCCAAGCTCCCGTGTGTTGAGTTGATCGGCGACGGCAGCGTACAGACAATGTCCATCTGCGCGTATCTCGTGTAATGCTAGCTTATGAGCTTCGAGTTGCGAGGACATACGTGTTCGTTCCTGCTCGCGCGGGTTGGGGAGGGATTTAGCCTCGATTTCTGCGGCGCGCACGAGAGCGTCGCGCTCGGCGTCGCGGCGGGCGAGTCGGGCTTTTGCGCGGTTGGGTTTCTTCTTCTTCCCACTCCCTCCAACATCCTCGTCCTCGTCTTGTGCTGCATCTTCCTTCGGCATCACACGTTCATTTACGTTTAGGTCTTGCACACCCTCTACCACGTCAACATCTTCTTCTGTCTCTTGATCGGCTTCGTTTTCCCTTTGTGTGACCTCCCCGTTCATCGCTGCAATCTCAGCCTCCTGCTGCTCCTTCAGCTCCCTCTCCAGGCGCTCACACTCATCGTTCACGCCTTTGCGCGTCTTCTTGCTGGCCTGCTTCTTCTTCTGTGTCGTGCGCGAGACGAGGTCGCGTTGTTCCTTGCGATGACGCGTTTGTAGGGCTTCGAGCGTTTCAGGGGCGGGATCGGGGGTGGCGGAGGACATGGCGAAAGGTAAGGACTGTGTGGTATTGTTTTGGGCGGATTGCTGGTGGGATGCAGGAGCTTGGAGGGGTCAGATACTATAATTGTGGGGCTGAGTGTAGATTCGGGTTCTGACGTTGATTGCAGATGAAGACCTGAGCAACTCCAACACCAGTAGATCGCTCTCATCGTAATTTATCCCCGCATCTCCTTTGACAGAGAAAGATCTGTACAGTAATTGCTCACACGCCTTTGATCCCTCTTCTCGATCTGCTTCTTCAGGTTCTCTTTTGGCGCATAGTGTCGTCTCAAACTCCTCTCCCTTTCCTTACTACCGTCGGAACCAGATGATCAAGAGAATGGTAACTCTCCAGCATGTTGAAGAAAGATTGATCAAGTTCACTTGATTTACTTGCATAGGTCAGGCGAACTCAATAGTGTGATCTATTGCGTTTGTCGTGTCGAGTTCTACGTTTCTAAATGCATGCACATTCCACTTGCAACGCATAATTTATACATACTGGGATATCTCCAGGCTTTCTGTCATCTTCCAAAAGCTCTTCGGGTAACTGTAGGCTCAAGATGGCGTTACAAGCTACTAGTCACGTCTCTATGTTTTCTCTGTTTTCACCTCTCATACGGTGAAAGTGCTGTCCTCTATGAGCTGCCTATGTCGATATGTGGGTAGTAGCACTGCACCAAGAAGTTCCGCACCTAGACGGAAACACAGATTCCCTTCTTGACATACAGTGTATATAAGCATACGATGTGTCCATCTAGTCCGGCTGTCTCCTGCTGTTCGAGTGACGCAAGTCCATGGCTCTTCCACGCGCCTTCTTCTATACTCTTCAGACTACCCACCTGTAATACTGTGCACCTCCACCTCACTTCCAACAGCTCGCCTCACCGTTCAACCTAAGCCAGTGACCTAGTTTCCTGAACCGACTATCTCACCACTCACCATGCCGTTCCACGACAAAGAGTGGGAGGACTTGCAGCGCGACTGCGATTTCTTTCCAGCCTATACCGACTACATCTACGGCTTAGACACCCGTCCTCACGTCAGAAAAGAGCCTGGATTACATCCGCAACTAAACGCGCGCGCTCAGTTTCCCAGACCTGCTGAACACCCTTCGTTTCCAGCCGTTTCGACCTCGCAATTCCAATCTTACTCGTCAGGCCAAGGATATTCGCGATGGCAAGGAAGTGCAGGTGTCCAACAACATAGAGGATTGACTCAAGCTCCATCTCAAGGTTTAGTAGGTGAATCAAAACAGTTACTGTCGCGTGTGCAACCAGCCATGGGCACGTTTGCAGTCCAGCCGGACTCAGTGGAAGGGACGAAGCGACGACGTCTGCTAAACGCATCTCAGCAGCGTCTGACAGATACATCGTCTTCACCAACTGCATCGCAGCAACTTCTACGGGACTGTAGGCAACTTGATGGGCCGTTGCAAGGTAAGAACCTAACTCTTCTGTTGGTGGATACTCCAGATCTCACCTTCCGTCTCCCAGCAACACTCCCTACAGCAGCTCACCAGAACGTCCACGCCCCTGCCACCCTATCCGACTCAACCAAAGACCACATCCGCACCTTCATCCCCAAGGTTCTTCACTGTCTCGACATCATGAATTCACCTTCGTTTTCTCAGGCGCAAAAGGACGTCGCGCATGCGTGGGTAGCTGCGTTCAGGGCAACGCTTCCACATGAGGTACGGGAGTACGTCAACGGCTTGGTCACGCGGCTGTATGCTTCGAAGTGTAAGGGACGGACAGATACTGGAGGAGTGAAGAGTGGGGTAGAAGAACAAGAACGAGTTCAGCAAGATGGGTTGAGGATATCGTGGTAACGTTGGAGGAGGGTTACAGGACGGAAAGAATGCTGCGTTTGTTCATGATCGGTATAGGCTTCGAGGATAGCAATATGACTAGCATGTAGTAGAAATTTTCATGCAGTGGCAGGCAGCAACAAGTGGTAATAATGAGCCTTAAGTTTGAGTCTCCGAGTCACGAGTATTCATATCACAGCGTCAATAGATGGCTGATATCACGCACACCTTCAAGATGAGAACACAGTATCTCATTTAATAAACTACTCTTGGCCAATGTCCCACGCAACTCAGCCAGTAAACGCCACCTTGCCCCCATGATGTACGTCCCATTGAATTGGTGTTAGCCTTGATGGACAGTCTGACCTCGAGAAACTGCCTGTTGCACGTAGTATGCCTGGCAGCGCAGGTGTAACTGGTTCGAATGCTTGCTGGGCGGTGAACGGCGTCTTGATGAGGTGTTGGATAACTCCTCGGTGCCAGCAGCCCCCCTGCTCTGCTGGCGTGCTTCGGTTAAGAAGCTCCACAATCAACGTGCTACACGTCCCAGTCAGAGTGATGTAATGTGTTCAGTGTATGGTATCGAAAGTTTGGTGTATGGGCAAACGTTCTACGGCGCAGTGTTGAGTGAACGCTGAGCAATAGAACCTTGGCCCTCGTCCAAGGAGCATCCCGCACTGCTGACATTGGTCGATCGAAGAGACCTACGAACAGCGTGCTGCATGCTTCTGGGACTGCGAAAGATTGGATCGGGTGATTTGGAGAAGTCCATATCACTCCGGTCCATGCTGTCGCTGAGAGTAATGAAGAAACTTGTGTGTTCACAGAGCCTTGATCGGAATTGCTGCTGAACGAAAGTCTGGAGTCCAGATTATTCGCATAGCTCATGATAGCACGATTGGTAGTGTTGGTAGCCCTGCCACTCTACCAACGTGCGCTGGTTAAGGCGCTCCCTCGCTTGTTCAGGCGACGGCATGCTACATGCCCCATGTTCGATTAAGTTTTCCTGTGTTCGCGAGGAAGCACAGACGTCATCAGCCCCATCACTTTGTTGATCGCTTCCATCAAGGAGCTCCCGGATTGACATGCTGCAAAGCCTGTATTTGGTAGTTGCAACGCTGTCGAGCCTGGAAGCGGCTGTACATGTACTCGATTACGGATTGTAGCGGCTAACGTGTTCGTAGTTAGATGGTAGGTTGTAGACTGTATCAAATTAGCCACACATTGCTTGATGAGCCGGCTCTGAGACTTACGAGTCAGGGCTGTTTGGAGTACACCAGCAGACCAACAGGGTAGAAATTCTACTGGATGCAAGAGGTGCAAAGCACCGCCTGGACAGCTCACCGTTGAGGCTGCGAAGAGGTGCTGCAACGGTCGATATGGCTCGAAGCGAGCACTGCAGGCATGGAGGCAACTGAAAGCTTGTCTGTATCAGCAGCCCCACCGCTCTGCCAACTCGCTCGAGTCAAGAGCTCCCAAATACGACATGCTACATGTCCCTCGAAGGATTAGTTCCTATGTGCTGGTTAGTGAACAACTCCGTTTCCAGTCAGCCATAAGACTCACTGTGCTGAGCGGAATCGAGCAGAGACGCCACCTCGTTGGCGTGACAGCAGCTGATGGGCCTGCTGTGGGTGAGGTGGGTGAAGAAAAGGAGAGATCGGAACGCACGCGAGGTTTTGGGAGATGTTTACGCCAAGCCTCGCTTGGTCAACCACAGTGACCACGTTCTGGGACGCGTTTGGAAGCTGTGTTTGTTCGTGTGGGTAAGTCAAACTCACTCAACACAGAGCTTGTGTGCTCTGCTGGGTGGGTCATCAATAGCACATGCAAGGACCAGTGGCGACTCGATGCTGCAATATGACTGGAGTGATACACCTAATTCTTTACGTTCACCTCGATACTCACATCCGCATCTGTAGTATTCAAGAGCTACTCAACATGCCCGATCTCCTCATTTAGTATTATCGAGTGGTGACAGCCAGAGCTGCGTCTCTCGAGCCCTCTTCATCACCTTCACTTTCCTTCTGCTTCTTCTTTCCATCCCTTTTCCACATGAATGCGATCGCTCCAGTGATTGCTAACTGAGCTACAAAAGCACAGATGGAGAAGATGAATCCCTTCCGGAACTTCGGCGAATCCACCTGTGGGTACGTCAAGATTGGTACCCAAGCATTGAACGCATAACCCATAGAGTTCATGATGCCGATCACAATTGCACGTTCTTCTGCGTCTGCGCCGCATATCTCGTTCGCCCAAGAGATGCTGAGCGGCCCATACGGAACAGACGCTCGTTGTAGAAAGAAAGCTACCCATTTGAGACCTGCCGGAATATTCCAAATAGCGAGACATATGACTGAGAAGAGACCCAGACACGATGCAAGGGTCATGAGGGGAGCTCGTCGTCGAATGGCATCGCTAATGATAGCGAAAGAAACGGTGCAAACTAGTTGAACTGCTGACGCGCCTGTCGGAATGATATTCTGGTCGGGATGTTAGCGACTATCAACCCCCCTGCTGAGTAGATCGGGCAAAACTCACGATCTTAGATACCGAAAGACCTTGTGCTTTTAGCCAGAGTGAGAATGGGTTCACACTTGCAGACGGGCCAATGTTGATGAAGATGATGTAGAGAATCGTAAGAAGATAGACGTGCCAACGACCGAAAATGCGCTTGAATGCCGATCGTCCGAGTTTCTTTCGTGGAGCGCGACCGATACTCAGCATGCGCTGCTTTGCGAGGGCGCGGTCGTCTTCATCAAGGTAGAAGGCTCGAGTGTTCTCTGGAAGATCGGGAATCAAGAAGAAGCCCGCCAAACAGATTGGGGCACTGATCACACCGTCCATGATCTGGTCAAAGTCAGCTTCTAGATCGTTCCCTGAGATCCGTTCAACTCACAAAAAGCCACTTCCATCCCGCATATCCGTGTACGCCGTTCAGACCCTTGTACACCCCAGCCTGAAGATATCCTGAAAACATACTTGCAACCGCCGAGGAAGCATGGAAGATACAAGCTCTCTTACCCAACTCACTAGGCTTATACCAGCTCCCCAAGATAGTATGCGCAGCGGGATAGAAGATCGACTCAGCCAGACCGATGAAGAATCGAATCGCAATGACGTGGTTACTTGTCTTAGCAGCCGCCAGTGAGAACGTCAATATTGTCCACACCAGTTCGCAACTCGGTACCCAAACACTTGGCCGGACCTTTGTCAAGATGATCTGTGACGGTATCTGACCCACAACGTATCCGACTGTCCAGGCTGTATCGATGAGGTTGATCTCGTTGCCGTTCATGTGTAGGTCTTCTTTCATGCCGCTAACAAAAGCATTGGCAATGTTGGTTTGATCCAGATTCTTGATAAAGTAACCAAAAGAGAGAATGGTGATGAGATAGATGTCGAGTTTTCGGATGAAGACGCGTTCCTGGTGTGTTCGATCGGGCTCATAGTCCCATATATACGAGTACCATGGTACTCTGTTAGGTGCGATGACATCTGAGGGTGATGGGGACGATGCAGATGTCGATGCGACCTTTGTTTCGACTTTTCTGTCTCCGGTTGGGTTGATCGTCATGATTGGAGAACAGTCAGTTCAAGCCTTCCGCGGGGGCTGGATCTCGATGGCTGGATGAGAAGAGTCTGCGACACGAACTACTCAAGTACTCACACCTCACGTTACAAGGGAAAACATCGGGGATGTCTCCAGACATGCATTATATTGCGTGCTAATGTTGAATCTGTTTGCGAGTCAGATTGCAACGCTCAATTGCTCTGTATGTGCGCCCAGATGCCGAGAATGCCACCACTATTGCATGTCTACGTGTGGCGATAGCACGCACCCACGCAGAACATGCGGAGCATAGCAGTGTAAGCGGTCTTTTGCCTGAAGCTCGTTGGGTGTCCTGGGGTTTGATGCCATTTAAGTCATCGATGAGGTGCTTTCGGATGCAGGGTTGCAGCGCCCAAGAGAGACTATTCGACCATAATGAGCATGTTGATAAGGCATCCGGCTCGTGTACTACGCGAGACGCAAACAGTGGATCAACCATGATCCATTACATTACTCATCCACTCCGGTACTGAGATGGTGGAGTGATGGTGAAGGTCGAACAGAAGGGTTGTGGAAGACGTAGCTAGTCCATAAGGGGGAAGAGTTCCGCAAACTGAAGTCCAAGCTTCGGAGCTTTGCTTTTTCGTTCTGATACTTTGAGGACTGCGACACAACCAGCAAAACGTTAAATTGCGACGAGATGGCCTCTGGAATGACTCTTAGTAGTGTTGATTTATATAGGGAAGTGCATTGATGGACTCGAAGCTTGGTGGATCTGCAGAGTACAGGACAAGGGAGTGCATTGCCGGCAATTTACTCCAATTCTGCAACTGATACTCGCCGGTGTTGATGAAAGTACTTGCAAAGGGCTCAACCACTAGAAAAATCATATCATTGGTAAGGGGCGTGAACATCATAATTGTCCTATCGCCTAGTGGAACGATGGCTAGGGCTTCGGTTCGAAGTAGCACTGAACTAGATAGATATAGTTCTAGAGGACTCGACGGCCGGAAGGGTTCTGGAGCCTTGTGGCTCGGCTCTGTTCACCAGGTCTTTTGTCTTTGCCCCGCATTCACGACCAGGTTTACTAAATCAACTACAGCCTAGCTCCAATCTAGTCCGATACTTTATCTTGCACGTCTTTGGTCGCCAGTCAATATTGCAAACGACAACTTCACACCGTAGATGCCCACTCACATACATGATGCGATCGCATTTCCGATTCTTAGACTTGCCTGCCGGTAGTTATTCCCTTACAGACGCACTAGAAACTTTACCTGACCTTCTAGAACTCCGTAATCGGGTATATCATGCGACCCTATTCCTGGAAGACAGCCCTCCGCCAGGAAACGGCGCTGCGATCGGGCTTACTCAAACGTGTCGCCAGATCCGATCTGAGTATCGCAAAATATATATGAGTGGAACCGCGCTCACGTTGCGATGGGATGATTTGCACAAATGGTGCCACGCCTTCTATCCTAACGCGGTGGAAAACAGCCTTGCGAGTGTCACTGATTGTCCACCGGGACTCAACATCATTGTTGGACGCATGAGACTGGATCAACACGAACAAGACTTTCTGCCAATCGTCAAGCTAAAGCTTGCCCGACGAGATATATCAGTCACTTTTACGCCCTGTTCAGCTGTAAAATCTGCCTCCGGCTCAAATTGTGCTTTGATGAATAATTATTTCTCCGGCGACATCCACAACGCTATTGATGAAATAGTTGATTACTTGGACTATCACCCCGAACCATTTTCACAGCAGGAAACGATACGAATTCCCCACAGCGAGCAGGTCGAGAAATATGACGGTACGAGCTATAGCCTTAAAGATTTATTGAATTTCTGCGTAATGTTTTGTCATTTTGCCCTAGATGGGCTCTGGGAATGCGAAGATCCAAATATATAGTTTAGCTGTGTTCATTATCGTCGCATTGAACCCGAGCTTAAGACTTACGACATTGTACAACACTATGTAGTGTGAGGCAGTGCTGCGTCCGTATCGAGACGTGGACATGTGATGTGAGAGGGAGCATAAATAGCTTTCCGATACTATAAGTTCCCTCAAAACTACCACCTAGCTCATCGACAGATGCTTGGCCTTGCATGTAGACTTCAACTGCACAAGACCTACTCAAATTCAGTCAGCCGCTGTACCCATGTAAGGAAGTGAAAGTAAACCCATCCAAGCACGGACCGTTTATTCTTTTCCCACATATACTCCGTCTATTGTTACGTTTACTCTCTCACAATCCTCATCATCAAACTATCCACCCCGTTTTGCCGGAACTGCCACAAAAGTCACTGGCCTCGCATATACCGCGCGATCCAGGTTTTGACTTCGCTCAAACACTCCACCAGCTATGAGTGGGCACGAGACGTTTCCGTTTCTGGACTTGCCTGCAGGTGAGACTCAAGTGGAAAATGCCGATCCCAAACTTGTCACTGATCATAACACCCAGAACTGCGCAACCGCATCTACACTTTCACCTGCCAAACTCAAAACAATGAGCGATGCTATGTGCTCCCCTGCAGCTCCCTCATGCTAGTTTGTCGACAGCTTCGCTCCGAGTATCGCCCGATCTGCATGAAACGCGCGGTCATGATCGACTGGAGAGACGTTCGCCAATATCTCGACACTTTCTACCCCACTGTGGACGGCAAAGTAACGAACATCGAACTAGCTCCTGCTGCCATGACTGTCTTTGTGGATCATCACATCAGGAACGGATCTAGAGTTAGCGTCGACATACTCCCGCTCTTGAGAATCAGACACCGTCACAACACCTTCACTTGTGACTTCGTCATCGGGGACGAGACAAAGCAAGACGCGGATGCTGTTGGAGACTACTTCGACCATGACGAGCATAGTGTTTCTTTGTATGTGCGCAAAGAAAACGATGCTCTTTTCGAGCTTTTCGCACTGCAGAACAAGCACTGGTTGAATTACATTACCTCAAACATTTTCACTGGTATTGACGTCCCTTTGATCGGCTCACCTTATCCTGAGGTCATCTCATTTTACATTGACCTTGAAGAGGACGTCAATGGTGTAATCGACGGTGATAGCTTTGTGTCCAGTGTTGGCCTCGCAAAATGGGCAGAGTGTGGTATCTACGGTTTGTTTCAATTCGACGTAATGAACTAGCTCGTTTCGATTTCGAATACGCTATGCTGCTTCGACACCAAATGCACCTCCATTCCCATGACCCAGGAAAGCAGAAGAGCATGGCGGGCACTATGTCTTTGGGGATAGCTCTGCACCTTCACATACAACCATACCATTATATCAATACATCCCCCGCTTTACCTCTCGCGTCATTTCACTTACCTTGAGCTGCATCTAAGCTAGATGGATTTCATCTCCGTTGGAGTATTCAAGCCGTAGTGTGACTAGAGGTATATGAATTACTACATAAATCCATGATGGTTTATTGGTGTGTTGGATTACTCACGTATACTCTCTTACAATATTGGCCAACGATTATGTGGCGTTTCAATAGAGTGAAACTCTCGGTCACACACAAAGAGTGCTCAAGAGCCAGGATCTAAGATCACTGAATATCATGATCGACGGATAGCATATGCTACTGTTCTTACGACTGATGATGGGGAGCGTCTTTCTCACTTGATCTTGGTAGGCGCTGTTCAATGGAGTCAAGCTCTAATCAAACTAAGGCCTCACATCAATACCTAGCTTCTCCAAAAAGAGAATGCTAGACATTGTAACTACCCTGGATAAGGTTTTAACTATACTCCTTAATAATGCGGGCTATGTTTATGTCACCGATAGCAGATTGTCTCAACAGATCTAGACATAATCCTAGGTTTCGCACACTAGTATCACCATATCGAATCTACCCTAGTGGCACTACACCATCCTGACGTTCTGCCTACGCAAAAATTGTATCAGTGTGAGATGCAATAGAGGCACACACTCTCCATCACGTTGCATAAGATCATCTGCTAAGCCTGCGCACGGCAGAATCGCGTCATTACATTCATTATCAGGATCTCGTTCTATATCATACACCCAAGCTTCCTACTCGCTCAAGACCACCTTTTCCATGGCGGTGGCGAATTACTCGACGTGCGAGGTGGGAAAAGACTGAAACTCGGACCTTCACCTCTGCTCTCCCCGCTATCAGCATCAGCTACTGGTAGACTGGGTAGCGCCTTGAGCTTTGGGTTGTAGCTCAGAGACCTCATTGACACAAAGGATCTGATCGACCTGGGGCTCCGGGGCGACAGTGGCAGAGGCGGCAGAGCTTCAAGTAGGTCGTCGTCGACGACTCGCACCGAGTGCAGGCTAGGTGCGGGAGAGTTGTGTGTACCTTCGAGATAGCCCATTTCGATATCCGCATAGTAGTGGTTGTAAAGAACGTCGATGGTGTCGTGCTTGTTGACTGTATTTGGGTTCTCAGCGGCGGAGAGAGGTGAGCGGGATATCTGGATCTCCTTTTCGACTTTCACGCCACCCAGATGGTCGACGACGCTGGTGTGGTTGTCGGAGATGTATCCTCTGCTACTGCGGGAGTGGCTATGCTTTGAGAAGAAGGACCCTACTTTCTGCAACACTTTGTGTGAGTTGTTGGACTTGAATCGCGAATGAGCACTGTCGATTCGGTCCTTGGAGTTGTTGGATCCTCCGAACCGTGACGCCAGCTTGTCGTGGAAGAAGTGCTTGAAGAAGACTTTGAGCGCAGGAACGTTGGCGCAGAAAGCGCCGAGATGCAGTTCCAGCATAGTGACAAGAAACAGGTCCCAGGTCGCCCATGTAACGTCGTAGGTCTCATAGAAGACATGCCAGGTATGATACGCGCGAAGCGCAGCGAGTGCGCAGACACCGTATCCAAGAGCGAAGATGCTGAACAAGGCTATCTTTTGCCGGATAGGAATTCGAAGATTCCAGTACAGACACGCAGGAAGCATTGCGGTCATGAAATCTTGCACTGCTGACAGGATGCTGGCGACGAAGAGATCAGCGCCTTCGTCAAAGCAGTGATATTTGTAGTCCCCTGAGAGAACCTTGGCGATGTTGACTTGGTCCCAATATGCTGAAATTGGCTGGCAGCCGAGGATAGGGGCAAGTGTGAGAGCAACCGTGTAGGCGGCGATGAAGCCGATACTCGCCCAAGTCACCCAGCGAAAGGTCTTTGAAACTACCCGAGACCCCAGACGTCGGTAGAATAGAAGAATCGAGATCTTGATCAGGCCTGATGTGGTGCAGAATATCGTTTCAAGAGCCAGTACATATTTCCGGGAAGTGACTGCGGCCTGAGGGTTGCTAAAGACGTCAATATCCCATATATGTCGATCGAGTCCGTTTCGGCCAGCTGGAGCCTGTTAGATTTGATCTGGGGAAAAGGAAAATTTTACTTACACAGAGGATAGAGGATCGTGAGAGTGATGAGGGGTGCCTGAAGAAATCAGTCAGGTGAAAGCTTACTGCCATCGTGAAAAACCTACTGCCGCAGCCAACATCAACCAGTCATCCCAGTTTGGGTTCCGTTGATGAAATATCCTGACCCATAGCCTCGCAAGTGTTGTCCCGATTGTAATGGGTCCAAGTATACATGTGAGGAGCAAGATGGTGTTTGGTCGTCGAACAGGGTCGACATAGTTTGGCGTCGGCCATGACAAGATGACGTCAAGAGAAGGGTGTATACCACCGGGCATTGTGAAAGTAATGCAGACAAAAACACTTGCATAAGCTAATCGATCGTGCTGTAATTGAAAGTTTGTGGCGGGTTCTCAACTTGAGCGATGCCTGACATAAGTGCATTTCAGCTGACTGGATCTCAAACTAGGCGTTGACATGATGTGGACACGAAATGCTTGTCCAGTCATTTGGACCTGAGACGAACGACGTTATCCATGGAAAAAAAAGCAAAAGAAAGTTTCAATCTACAATCAGTTCATGAAGGATTCGCCCGAAAAGTACCCGATGTACTATGATGGGAAGCTTCGCAACGCCAGATGGCTAAGACAGGGGACGAAAGTTCCATGTTCACAGCGGAAGTCCAGGTTAGGACTTGACTTCCGTGATCGCTCATGCATAACGACCGTTATGTCTTCCGAAGCCCTTGGCAGCAGGGGTTGGGACGAAGTGCTAATCCAAGCCACTGTCGTCAGTCCTCAGCTACAGGTATACTTTACAATATGAATTTATACCACAAGGGGCAAGACATGTGATCGTCAGTAAGGTTTTTGGAGGCTAGATCAACGAGGATCAACAAGTGACAAATATATTAACATGAAAATTCTTCCCATCGTACTAAGATCGCACAAGCGATCCATGGGATTGCAAAAGTGACACGCGTTGAGCCCTGCAACATTGCGTGCCGATCTCCGGAAATCGTCACAAACGGTCTCGTGTATTGTTGCTTTTTTCGCGATGTGTTGTTGATCATGCAGTCATGATTGTTTTTGGGTAGAAGAACCGACAGCCGCGTGTTTTTCCATCGGTCGTGCTAACCTGCTTGATCTGGTTCGAAACGTTTGTGGAGACTTGGTCATCCTCATCCCTGTTGTTAATCATCAGCATTGGCCGTATAGACGACCCTGATCAGCGGCAGATGCGCGTAAATGCCGATGTCAGACTTCCATCATGTAGTTTGTAGTAGTTTTGATTGCGCAGCGGAGGCCCTGTTAGCCAAGTAAAGCGTTTGGACAGCGGTTTGTTTCAGTGAACCGTTTATGGAATGCCGGCGATGCCGAAAACGGCCACATGCATCTTCGTTAATGACCGACAACTGATATGTGGAAATCCTCCGCTGCAAGTCGTTGGACGCAAATAGTTTCCGGAGTATTGACCCGTCTGCATATCAATTCTACCGTGGCGAGGCTTACGCGCGTGTAGAATATCCCCTCGGATCCTCACACATTCGTCCAGTCAGCCTCGCCCAGACCCGATGACGAATCAAAGCACATACCCACAACGCACGTAAGATCGAGTAAGACCAACAGCAATCATCTCAACGAACAATCCGTTCTCCCCACAGAAAGCTCTGACAAGCGAACAAACCCCCAACCCCCCAAACCCAGCCCGAGTTCAACCAAAAAGCTCCATAGACGTTTCACTTTGCATCCCACAAAACCGATGCCAGACCCCACGCCACCACGATTATGCAACACGTCCAAGCAATGCATTGATCCTCTACATGCCCAGTCCCAAACGCAAGCTAGAGCTGTCAAAATCGTGCCCGCATGACCATCCCATGTCGATACAATCTATTTAAGCTTAGCAACTCCACAGTGATGCATGTTCCTGAATGCAGCAGCAGTGGCACGGATCGGCGCCTGACTTTCCGAGACTACGGGCAGGAATCTAGCCCTTGGTACTCCGTTATTCTCCGCTTCTTCGCTATGAGCTTTCGCATATCGCTAACCCAGCTCCCCGAATCCTTCGTCTGATCTTCACTCAGCTTAATCTGATCGCCATCCTGCTCCTTCTTGGTCGTCGCATTCGCATCCAACCGTCGCGGAGTTGGACGCAGAAAGTATGAGTAAGTGGGCAAGAACAGGCCAGCCAATCACTGACAGCAAAAGGTCCATGTAAAACCATTCGATATCTTCACATGTCATCCTCACGTAGCAGAGAAGGAACACCTCCCCTGCCCCAAGTCCTTAGGTCGCACTACATTCCTTTCGCACAGCGACGCGAACACATCAGGCCCAGAAGTCTCGTCTAGCCTCCCTAGAACACGAACGCGAACGCGAGCATACCACTGTCCATACGCGGTTTCAGGGAAGCAACGTACACCAAACTACTCAAATCACTAAAAGTAACAACCCCAGACACCTTCCCAACTCACAACCCCGCACGCATAACCTCCAGCAAACCAACCCATCCGTCACAGCATCAGACTTTTGGAGCTCGATCGGAAGCATGTTTCACCCTTGGCGCATCTTGGGATAACATCTAATCCCTGCCCTTACCCTTCTTCATCCACAACCTCAAACCCTACTCCTTACCTACCGCATCCTCCGCCGCGCCGTGCCGCGCCTTACCACGCCGAGTCGCATTTGAAACCCGCCAATCAGCGAGGTGCGCGTATGTCCTTCCTGCCTGCCTTCCTTCCTCGTCGGTTACGTTACGTTGCTGTTTGGCTCTGCTTGACTCGAGTTTGCACTTGGTATGGTATGGTATGGTATGGTATATGTGTGAGAAGTGCGGAGAAAATTTCCGGATACGGAGGTGAGTGCAGCGTTCGTTGAGGGGAGGGGAGGGGAGTGAACTCAAATCAGATCAGATTGTGAAGACAACGGATCATGAGGGGATGAGGCAAGACGTGTGATACCCAGCATGTTGATCGAAGATACTGCTAACGATACCTCCCAGCTCAGCACAAGACGCCCACCCCATCCCATCTCAAAGACCCTTCATCCGACCAATTCTAGAAAAAGAAGAAAAGAGAAAAAACGACGTGTGATATCATAGAAAACCACTATTACAAAAAAACCCACCCTTGCTCTAACGCTAAATCGCATTTTTTCAAAAAAACCGGCCCAAAAAAAGATTTTTTTGTACAAACTAAAAACTTCACTGTTCCTTACTTCGTTGTTTCTGGATACCCTCGTCACTCTCTGCGCTCCCCAAGCCGCCATCCTCCGCAAGTCCCACTCTGGCCTCCTCGTCCCTGCGCCTATCCTGCGCGATGTCAGGGGCAGGTGCAAACGTGCTCTTCGCTCTGATCTTCTTGCCATACATGTAGAACATGATGGGCATGGGGACGAGGAGCAAGGCGACACCGCCGATAAGAGTGCACGCCCACTGCACGCCCATGCCCTCGAACATGTAGGTAGCGAAGAGAGGGAAGACACCTCCAAAGCAGGAGCGCATGAAGGTGTTTGCTGCGAGAGCCGAGGCGGCGAACATGAGGTACGCGTCGACGATGTAGTTTAGGAGGGAGAGGAAGATGGTGAACAGGCCGAAGCCAGTCAGGAGGCCGGAAAGTATGGGTACAATCCAGTGCACTGTCCCGCTGTAGCCGGACCAGCCGAACCAGAACAAGCCTGCAGCGAACGCGACGCCGCCGACCATACTGATGGGCAGTCGCCATTCGGGCACAGGGATGTTGTTGTTGGCTTCTAGTTTGCGCACGTACCGGCCGTTCATGGCGATGATGACGATAAAAGCAATGACTTGGCCGGCAATCAAGCCAAAGTATGCGAGGCCAGAGACGCCAGAGTTCCAACCATATACACGTGTGAACACGAGTGGGTAGGCGGTTAGCAAAAGATACAGAATGCCGTAAACGAAACTCATGTAGATGGTAACGAGCAGGACAATGGGCTCGGTGAAGAGGATACGAAGAGGACGGCTGACGTTGCGGACGATGAGTTCTTTGAGGTCAACTTCGATTTCCTCCTGTTTAGCATGGATGCCCCAGTTCTTTGTGCGGCGACGCATCTCAGATGCTTTGTTGATAAGCACTACAGGCGCGTATGTTTCCTGCATGAAGAGGATCAGGAGTGTGAAGCTGGCGAAGCCCATCAGCGCGCTGATGTACATGGTCCACCTCCAGCCCAAATAGCTCTCTGTGATGAAACCGCCGATGAAGGGGGCCAGCATGGGCCCCAGGAAGACACACAAACTGAAGACAGCGACGGCCATACCACGAGTCTTGTTGTCAAACATGTCTGCGAATACGGCGGCGACGATGGCTAGCGGACTGGAGCCGAAGAGGCCCGCAAAGAAGCGGCAGATGAGCACGGTCTGTATGTCCTTTGCGACGGCCACGGCAACAGTGAAGACGGAGAAGCCAAAGGCGGCAATGATGAGCGGCGTCTTGCGGCCGTACAGTTCGGAGAAGGGAGCCCACATCAGCGGGCCAAAGGCATAGCCAAACACAAACAAACTTGTCGCCAGCGTGCCGACTTCCCGCCCCACATCGAAATGCGCAGAGACGACCAGGGTTGCGCTCGAGAAGATACTGCTTCCCATGGTTGCCGTAATGGCATCGAACGCCAGGACAGCGCCAAGGCCGATCTTTCTCTTTAAGGGCCAGTTTTGCGCATTGCGCGGGTCGTCGACGCCGTCGAACTCGACAACATATTCATCGCGGTCGGGCAGCGGTGGGGGCATGGGCTTGCCTGCTCCGAGCGAGGGCAGCGGTCGGTCGGTGCGGCGGCGCGAGAGCGTCTGTGTGAGGCGCGAGGGCACCTGGGAGGCGCCGACTGTGCCCGCATGCTGGCTGCGGTGTGTCTCAATGCGGCGCAGGGCCTCGGGGTCGCGCTCGGTGGGGTGGCGCGAGAGAAAACCGGTTGAGTTGTCGTGGGTCTGGCCTGTGGAGCGGGCGGTGCGGATTTCCTCAAGGCGCGGCGCCCGTGTCGAGTGCGAGGCGGTGGACGAGGACGTCGACGTCGAGGACGCGCTGTTCTGGCGCGACAGGACGTGTGGTGTCGCAACGGCCTCTTGCGCCACCGACTGCTCGCTCATGTTGCGCTGCGGATCGCCCGGACGGCCATTGTGTCCATGCTGCTGGATGTACTCGCGACGAAGCTGGTCGCTGCGGTCCCATTGAGCGTATCGCGCAGGACTCGCATCGCGTTCGGCGCGCAGGATCTCGTAGTCTTCCTCCTGCATGGTTGCGGTGCCGGTGCGGTGTCGATGTGTGGGAAGCAGGCCTGGAGAAAGGGGCGTGCCTGTGTATATGTTTGAAAAATGACGCCGCCGCTAGCCGTGTCGACAGTCAAAGCCTGACGTCGTGGACGCATATGTAGTGTAGCGAAGCCATCCTATCACCATTATCTCCGGCAAACCTACCCGCCTATTTCCAATTGCTGTTTAAGCCGCCGTAGAATTTCTTTCGCGGCCCACAATCCGTGGAAACGGCGGTGTTGAATATCACCGAAACGAGCGTATAGCCGTGTGTAACCCACTTGTGCGAGTCAGCCATGACTCTGGAAAAGAAAGGAGGTCATTGCAGACGGCGGGCCGACTGCCGTAGACGTCGCCTGGGGAGAAAGTTTGACAAAGATTACTGACTCGTACGTCATGGTGGGGCATTACCGTTATTACCGTTTACTAAGCATATCTGGAAATTCATGCATCGCTATTGCCGCGTGGCGGATGTGGAAAGTTGACACAACACTACCATACTGGCTTAGAAGCAGCCATTGCATATTAAACACAAAGACGGAAGTGTTTCTAGGCCTGACCAGGGAATCGGAAAGGAACATAGGTCGACATCACTTGCACTCCAGTCAAACAGATCTCAACGTCAATTACAAGGGTCGTGAATTGACCCAGGCGGTAGGTAGAGCGATCAGTTCATCATGCACAAAAGTCTCTACTTTTCCCATCCTACTCCGCTCCACACTATGGCAGCACATACCCACCGTCAACCAACACATCACTCCCCGTCGTATAACTACTCGCATCACTCGCCAGATACAAGAACAGGCCCTTGATCTCCTTCACGTTGCCCTGTCTCCCCAACGGAATCATCCTCAACCCCTCATTGATAACCTTCGGCCCCGCCCCCATCTTTGTATCAAAGAACCCCGGGCTCACAATATTCACGCGCGCAAACTCGCGCCACTCGCGCGCCAGACTCTTGCCCAGATGCGACACAAACGCCTTGGTGCCGTTGTAGATGGGCTGGTCGACAGGCACGTTGACAATGTGCGCCGAGATGGACGACGTGAGGATCAGGTTGCCGAAGCCTTGCGACTTGAAGACTGCGCCGGCGTATTTGGCGCAGTAGACGGGCCCGTCGACGTTGACTGACATGAGGTTCTTGTATGAGTCCAGGCTTTGTTCGAGGAGGGGCTTCGAGTCGCCGGTTCCTGCGCGGGTGGGTTAGCTGGCGTTGATGTTGTGGAACGGTAGGGGTGTGCATACCGGCGTTTGCGACAAAGACGTCCATTTTGCCGAAATCTTTGACTACTTGCGCGATTGTTTGCTCGACGGCTTCGGGGTCCGTGACTACTCTTCGTCAATCTTGTGTTTTACTTGTAATCCCTGGTACGTCGTGACTTACTGTTTACCCGGTATGCCTTCGTCTTCACTCCGTGTGTGCTGGCCAGGTGCTCTGCCTTCTTGACCGCAGCCTCGTTCGAGTTGTACCACAGCGCAACATTACCGCCCGCCTCCGCCATAGCATCTGCTACCGCGCCGCCAATCCCCTCTGCAGCACCAGTCACGACAATGACCTTGCCCTTCATGCCGAACTGCTCCATGACATTGACTGGCGTGTCCGGCACCGCCTTGGGGAAGCCGGCACGCGGCTGCTGGCACTCATCAATGGACATAGACATGATTGCGGTGTATTCTGTTGGTAGCTAAGTGTCTTTGGGAGGAAAGTTGTCTTGAAAATAGAGGGTATAGATGTGTGAATTGCGTGAAGAGAATTGGAAGCAGAAGCGGGCGACAGTGCAGTTATGTACGGGTTAGAAAGACGCAAAGCAAAGCTCCGGTATGGAAAGTCTGCCGGGTTTACCCCCACATTGAGGCTCTTCTCAATGCCCCATGGGAGTGACCCCGCGTGTACGTGCTGGCGTCATGGCGTGGTGTTGCGGGGCTGTTCGGGCGACTGTCGTCCGAGCCTGGAAGAGGAAGTCGCCCCGCCCTCGGGAAAACCTTCCTTCGTTTTTCTACTGCGACTCAATTTGAATTTTAAATGTCACTACATATTACACAGAGTGTGGAAGGTGCAGAGGTTATTAATTCGACATGGTCAGAAGATGGCGAGAACCAAATGAGGGGATCTTTGCTGACTTTGGGACGTCACAAAAGTCTCCATGCTGCCACTGGGCCAGTATGATAGTTTTTCTATTTTTCTATTTATCGAAATGGTGTAAACAGAGCCCTTCTTGGGAACTTGTACCAAGAAGAGTTGGAAGCGGTAAGGCCAAGGACTTTGACGCCGAGGTCCCATGGTCATGATATTACAAGATGAGACGTCTTGACGTCGCATCGTTGGACACCGACATGAAAATTGATAGCTTTCACCTCGGAAAACCTTTGCGAGAATGCTAGAGGATATAAGACTACACGTTGCAGCTCAAATGCTTCTTTGGTTTCCTGAGGGGATCTCTTCTCAGGAGTCATCGCCTCCGGCGATATAGGTAAATAGCCTCCAGGTTGGAGAAGATCGTAACATTTCGTGAGCCCCGTCGTCGTGCGCAACGATTCTCTGCAAACCGCAGGCAAACCATGTCTTTACGAGGGCGATAGGTCTTAGAGTCCAATTCTCTGTTCAGTTCCGAGGGTCTTCTAGCAAATTGCGCGCGAAAAAGGGTTATGCCTGCAACACCTGTTTCACGACTACGCACAAGCAGGCAATGACATGTAAGGTTCTGGTAATGGGGTCCTTGGCCTTAAATATGTCTTCATCTAGAATTCATCTGTTGGTTTGCGGTAGCGTTCGTGTAAGCGGCCTGATATCCTGGCTGTAATATCGGCTGCGGTGCATACTGAACAATGTACGGCGTTTGATATCCCGTTGGTCGCAGCTCGTAAACGCTTTCGAACCCGGCGTATCGTCCTTTGCCTCCAAGCAGCCATTTGATGCCGCCTCGACTTCGTATGAGTATGGATGCGCTGACTATGACTAGCAATGAGGATATCGCTATCCCGATCAGGCAAAATCTAGTCGCTTTCTATATCTACATTAGCATGAATTTATACGCATCATCTCGGAAATCGACATACTGCAGTAGTGCAGGCATTTCCAGCCCAGCTCTCGTCTGGAAAGAACTTATTGATCTGACATGACCATGTCTCTTCCGTGAGCCTCTGTCCGTCTTGTGCAGCATCCTCGTAGCTTTTCCAGTCTTTCTCACTGTTCTGCACCGAGGACAGATACCCAAACACGCCCAGACTTGCTCCAAACATAACCAGGTTGCTCGTTATAACGGTCCAGCTCCACGCTCTCTGGTGTTGCATTGTTCCTTCAACCCTTTTCAAGTCCCATATGCCAAGTACTCCAAGCGCGCTGGCAACGTATGCTAACGTGCAGACGCTGAGTAAAGCAAACGTGGGCGCTTGTTTTGTGAGCAGGGTCACGTCAATACTCGTGTTGTTCGAGCCTGTGCTTGTGGGTCTGTTGAGATGTAGTTCATAGGCACCGTCGCGTAAGTTGCGTGTGGTTTGATCGCGGAGAAGGTTCGACGATATGCGTTCGAGAATGAGTGTTATGGCGGCTACTGGGAAGAGAGAGAACAGCGGTGGTATTAGCAGCAGGAACACGCGACAGCCATTGGGGTTGGGCATCTTGCTACGCGTCGTTGGGCCTGCTTGTGTATGCGTTACTGACGAACGAGTCTAGACCAAGATCAAGGACGCGAGATTCTAGGTAATGCTTCTGACGTTCTGAGCACTTTATGATTCGGTGGTCGGGATGCACGCGATTGGGACGCCTAAATGAACAACATACTTCCACGATTACGCTTGGCAGGAGTCATCCCGTAATCATCTTGAGCTTTTGATGGAAACATCGTCTTTGATAAAACAAACACCACAGAATGAAGTATCATTACAGTGAACACACCGACGTCGGGCAGCACCAAGAGCTAGGATTGGCGCCATGAACGCGTGTTCACGTGATTGATTACGGAATCAAAGTCCGCCATTCTCAGTCTAACTAACGCCATCAGTCTTCCATCTCATGAACTCGGGTCGAGGCCATTTCGCATCTTTAGCGTAAATCCGCTTGTATCACAATAGTGCTGGAGCAGTTCGTGGTCCTTGAAAGTCGTTCATCGAGATGAACCACGATATTTTACAATCACGACGGGAAGCGATACCAAAGACCGCATCGGAAACACTTGTAGCTCTACTAATTGTTGGAACCTACTCAGGCATCTACTGTACAGCCTCGGACGCACATAAGTAGGACACGGGACGCAGCGTCCATGCAAATACATCATGCCTAACATCGGTCAAACCATCATTTGGTGTGTAGCATCGCTAAGTATCATGATAACCTACATAGCATTTCCGTGTATCTTCCTCATCAACCGCAGGGTCAAGCGTAACAATGCACTTAGAAACGATACCCGTGCACCCTACGACTCCAAACCCGCTGTCTCGAAGTCAAACTCGAGGAGACGGCTGACACCATCAACCTCGCGATCGGTTTCCCCTATCCGCAGGCTTGGGCCGAGATACGATGAGCAGATACAATCGCCGCTCTTTTCCAAACTGCCAGTTGAGCTACGGCTTATGATCTGGGAAGAGTGTCTGCAAGATGATGTGCATGTCTTCTGGGTCCGGGGACATGTATGGCACTTCTTGCATATGGCGAGCTCTAGAAGGGCACAGGCAGTGTTTCGTGCAGCAACGACTTGATCAAAACAAGCGTATCGAGAACTCAGTGTGTACCAACGATGTGCGAGGCAGGCTGACATTAGTTCCCACTTGTCGGCGAATGTAAGTCATTGACTATTGCAAAATACCAGTGGTTGAAAGCACTTATGAAGCAACTACCCACCCACATATGAAGAAGCCATCAGCACCCTCTACGCCAAACCAAAATTCGACTTCGCAGATCAATACCTGAGCCTCATGCAGCTACCTCTACGTATCCCTCCTCAACGGATGAACCAGATCTCTAAGATCGACTTCTACTGGAGATCGGGACGTCGTGTTCCGCGACTCAAAAGTTGAAAGAAGCATCACTTGACGCAGGCGTGGGTAGGCATTTGGAAGGGCCTCGCTCAGATGCAAGGCCTGAAGCACTTGCTGGTCCAGCTCGATGTTGACACACTCCTGGGGCATTGAACCTGGATAGCGGAGCAAGACTGTATACGGCAAAGCTTGAGTGAGGTGCTGGGCCGGAAGTTCGAGACCTTTGAGTTGCTTGGTCTTCCGTTCGAGGTGGAATCTCTAAGGTAGTAGGCGTATACGGATATGTCATTTCACGAGTTTTGAGCAGTTTTGGTACGTCTGTGACAAACACGGCTGGAGATTTGGGTATCTATCTATGCAGCACAGAGCAGCGAGGAGAAACTCAACGAATGATGAGAAACCGGAAACAGAACTCCATTATATCATCCTGGGGTATCTCAAAGTACTATAAGAAAGCAAACTAATCCTGAAACATCCTCGAAGTCAGCAAACCCCTCCTCACGCCCGCCAATCCTACATCTCCATCTTATCCTCCAGATACGACATGCCCTTGAGGCCTTCCGTGATGTCGTCCACGCCCTGCGCAACACCTTCAATCAGCTCGATGGCCTGAGCTGGAGACATCCAAGGCGGGTAGGTAGCCGCCGGCGCAGCACGAACATCCTCGTCGACATCGACAAGCAAGGCCTTGACGAGCGGCTGCTCGAACAGCGCCTCGCAGAGATACTGAGGAGGCGCGCCCTCCACCCCCATGTTGCCGAAGCTCTTGGTCAGATCTCCACCCTCGAGCAAGATCTGCGCCTCCAGATGCCTCTCCTGCTGATCGAAATGCGCGTACAGGCCCTCGGTGTGGATGACATACTGCATGGCCCACGCGCGGCCATTGCGCTTCCACTCATCGACGGGCTGCTCGCGGGCCTTGGTCCAGAACTCCTTGGGCTCGAAGGGCATCGGCGGGACGAGGGCTTCCAGCTTCTTGACCGCCGTGGCCATGGCCTTACGCGGACTGGACGTCCACGTCACGAGATCGAGCTTGCTGCCGCCGCGGAAGCACCTCGCGATGAAGTAGTCGCGCGTTTCGTGTGCGCGGTCCTCGGCAGTACCCCACTCGACGCGGAAGCAAGCGTCCATCCACGCGTCGATGAACGAGTTGAGGTAGTGGGTGAGCTCGTCGCCGAGCGTGTCGGAGTCGGGGGCATTGAGCTTGATGAGGGCGAGGAGGACGTTCCAGCGGACTTCCTTGTGGCGGTGGGAGAAGGAGTGCGTGGGGTCCATCTGCCAGTAGAAGATGGCGACGGTGACGAGCATGTCTTGCTCGTGCCTGCGCGCGCGGAAGCCGGCGGCGGCGAACTTGTCGAAGTTTTCGAAGATGAAGGCGAGTTGGGTTTGCGGGTTGATCTCTTCGATGACCAGCTCGTTCGGACGCTCGTAGATGTCGCTGATGGTGGGGTGGCGACCGGACGCCCACACGCGCGCCGGGATCTTCTTCAGCTTGTGCTCAAGGAGCATTGTAGCCTTCTGGTGGAGTCGAAGGAGCTCTTGGTGCGAAAGCGCCATGATGATGTTGATGATGATGATGATGGTGATGGTGATGTGGTAAAAAGACACAAGAGCTGGAGAAAGTCTAGAGTGTGCAGAGTTGAGGCCAGCTACTCAAAAAATGAAGCGACAGCGAAGGTTTAAGTATTACTTGGGTGGACCATAAGCGAGGTGATATCGTGGTGAAGTAGAGTCAGATAAGCAAGGTGACCTTCGCGGTGAATGGGACTTACAAGATGTCGAGGTGAAGAAGGATTGTGTGTTGCTGAAGGAGACTTTGGAACTGCTTGATGGTCTTCACATTATTGTGACTGCCTGGAGACGAACTTGATGAGTGTATGAGGTTTTCTGTTAATAACATTTTGGACTGTCAAGAATCTCTGAAAGGACACTGTAGTTGACTGGGTCGGGCTTCACTCGAGCGGAGCGTATGCATCAAGTCGCCTGCCCAGGTTGAGCAAAGGGAAAACCTGCATACTTATCCAGATCTTTGTGCCTGCAGGCGGTCAACATAGTCAATGCTCAGCTTAGACTACACCACTCTCCTCGCCGCAAAGAAAGCTATGCCACTTTGACATGAGCAAAAAGCGCTTTCTATATATATACCACATAGCTAGTTGCAGTGCTCTTCTCAATCCTAACAAGCTGCTTAGAAGCCAACACAACTATGAGATCATTACCTGTGTGAAGTATATTTACGTGACGACGGACACCGCCCATATCGATTGCAGCTGTGAGCGAGTACTCGCAGTAGTACTCGGCTACGAAGGTGCCTCATTGGAGTTGTGGTAGACGGGAGAGGGGGTGGAGATGACTAGGAGATAGAAGATGCAGACTCTGTCCGAACTGTTCTACACGAAGAAGCCATCGGTCACGTCGAGTCACAGTTCGGTTCAGGAGACGAGAGCGGTCCCGTTCATGTATCATTCGATATGGCAGTAGACTTCATACCAAGTGCTCCAACGTAGCGTGCAGTGCCTGCGTTGTTCCTTAGATAAGATGCATGACCCTAATGGCAATTCGTACGTCCCAGGCTTGTTGGAGAATACCGCAGGTTTTTGCGATGAGACTCAGCAGTCAGTGACCATGTCATGTCAGTCACGACTCCAGCGACACGGGCAGAGAGCAGCAGACCATCTGGGCGCAAACCAGGCAGCAGCAATGCCTGTCATGTGCGTTCTCGCTCTGGGAACCATAACCGTGAAACCGTTCGACAAAAAGACGTTCAACGTCCCATCGCGCAAAAAGGCAATCAAAGCACCCCAACACTACCAAATCAAAAGGCCCACCCACCCACGCACACATACCCATCACCCATGCCAAAGCCCCCACCCAGCAAGAAACGCACGCAAAAAGCGCAAAAAAAAGAATTTTATCAGCCCACCACCTGAAAGCTCCAGCCGCAATGGTACGCGGAAATCTCCCAGGCAGCGAACCGATAAAGATAGGCCAAGCACCGACTCGAACCTACGAAGAAGCTCTAAGCGAGAGAAACCGGCCGGGTAGAAACTGGTAAGGAGGGCGGCGCCAAAACCACTAGGCCAATCCGTCCTCCTCCGCCAGAGTCCTTTCTCTCGCTTTGTTTGAATCGATGGGAGAAGGTGGGAGTTTGGGGGTTATATGGGGCCTGTTTTTTGGGGGGTGCTGGGGATTGTGAATTTGGGTGAGGGTGTGACGGGGAGGGAAGGAAAGCGGGGCGAGGTGGTGAAAGACGGTGCTTGGGATGGGTCCAGGGTCCGGACTTTAGGCTGCAGGTGGAGGTCTGCGGTTGGGGAATATGGTATTTCCTACTTTTTGACGGGTTTTAGGGGAGGGCTGATGGTGTGTCGTGTGGTATGGTATGATGTGTTGACATGAAGAGTTGGATATGTGATGACGTACAAGGTATATTTTGAGGTAAAGGTACGAGACAGGAAATATGGGTGAAGTCCGAAAAGTGGAAATATGAGCGAGTCACCGAGAAACGGGCTAAATATTTGAGGTGAGAGAGCATATGAGAGGACATGCACTGCAGAGAGCAAGCGGACAATATGGAGAGAGAAGAGTGAGTCAATGATCTTTTCTGAAAAGAAAACCACACGTCAATGGAAAACACACATAACGTAGAAAGCTGAGAACCACGCACGACGAGAATGACAAAAGAGAACACGGCATATATCCCAGTCCAGTATCCAAGGCTCCAATCCAAGTCCTCCAGTGTGGCAGAATTATGAGCAAACAACCAACATCCCCAACGCAGCGGCCAGAATCCCAAGACCAGTAGTAAGAAGACGTCGATTCCCGTAGTCCATCCCGAACCTCACATGGCAAATGGCATGGTGTCGGGCACCTAGTCATAGAAACTTCGATTCACGTTATACATACGTTACATATTCGCTGCACCGAAAACAGAGTCCGCCCGCTTAACGCTTTGAGCGACCTTTTTACCAAAAACGCCACATGATGCTCCCTCCCAATGCCTATCATCCGAGCGAGCCCCAAGCTCATACACTTGCTTGTTTCAATGCCTCCAACTTCACCACCTGTCTTTTCAGCATGACCACAGCACCCAGACTGATTGTCCGTAGGCCATCCCGCTCGCCTTCTGCACTTCCGCTGGCACTCCTTTCCACGACATCCTTTGCCGCCTCGATCGCCTTGTCGAGAAACTGTGGAGCGTCGTCTGATTGATTCCGGTATAGGTATTGTAGTTCTTGTGTGAAAGGCTCAACGTTACTGGTAAGCGCGTGGTCGATAAAGGCGCGGGCGCGGAAGTACGCTCGCTCAGTGTACAGCGCGGAGCTGAGTTTCGTTTCTGGGGCCGAGCGATGCACGTCGTAACCTGCTTCGTTGTAGTATGGTTCCTTCACGAGGACCAGGCCCATGATTGAGACCAAAACTTGTAACAGAGTGCTCTTGGCGGGACTCCAGCTTTCGTTCCGTTCGTCAGAGTGCCATGTACCCAGCAAACTGAGACAGATCTTTCCATCTTCGTACAAATTAGGGTTGACAGGGCCGTTGCCATTTGTCCAGCTATGGAAGAATGCCTCAGGAGGTGATTGTGGGTATGTGGAGCAGAGGTGGAAGTCGATAACAAAGGGTGCATACTCGTATGGTGTGTCGTTGGGACCGATTATAAGAACACGAAGGAGGTCGAGGCGAGATTCCCATGTTCGGACGAAGATGTTTGGCGGTAGTGAACCTCGAAGGATCTTGTGTTCTTTCGCGATGCGGCGCATAAACGCTGACGAAGATGCTGCTGAGTGGCTCAGATAGTGATGGTCTGACGGAGGGTCATTGTCGAGGATGAGGAAAGATAATGGCGCTTCTGAAACAACCTCTGTGCTGTCCTGTTCCATAGGAGACACTGCGTCTTGTGCATGATCTGAGATTTCGGTCTGATCTGGCTTTGTGGGTGGTGATTTGCTTTCTGGCGTTGTCTTCGAGGTTTCTATATCGTCAATCGGCTCAAGGTCTGGCATTGAGGTATCGTCATCGTCGTCCTCTTCGTCTTCCGTGGACCAATCTTCTTCATCACCTACAGGGGGCTCGCCGTCCATGCCCTCGTACTCGATCCACATTTCATTGAAAGACGCCGAGTCGAAATCCGACACGTCCTCCTCATCCGAGTCTTCAATTGAATCACCTTCCATATCGTCCATGTTGAGAAAGTCATTGTCCATGTCACTGCTGTATGCTAGGGTGACTCCCTCGTAGCAGACCTTGACATCGATGATAGGTGTTGCAGCACCTAGGCGGACTGTGAGCTTGCCGTCCAGTCCCAGATCGATGACTTCTCCAAACCATCCTGGCCCTGTTGTGTTAGGCGGAGCCTGCGAGTTCTCCAGTGAATCCGGGTGGAGTAAGACAAAATCGCCTCGCCGTCGAGTCAGGAAGGGAGATGAGTAGATATCGTACAAGCTTACATCCTCGATAAATCCGTTGAGTTCACCTGTTGTTGAAGGACGGAGCAAGTCGGAACCGAAGAATTCGATCGTGGGGTCCTTGAACCAACGCACGGTCGCAATACGATCCCGTGACTTGACTGCCTGTACAATTCCTACTTTCGCCGGTCTCTTTTTCCAAGCCCCTGCCGGATTGACAGTGTTTGGTAGTTCCTCCTTTGTGCAGGCAATCTCTCCAGGCCACACTTCGTCGTCGTCTTCGACATTTGGATCTGGTAGCAGCGAGGAGCTCAAGTCTTCTGTGATGGTCAAGTCTTGCCATTGTACGGTCACGCGGGTGTGAGTTTGCATGACCAAGAAAACATTGACGTCGTATCCCAAAGAATCTGTGCGCGGTATCCGGGTAACTTTTCCCTGTGGATAGCCATTCGAGAGTGTGTGAGTACCGTCGTACTTGACAGCAGCACCCGTCAGGTCCTTGAAGCGTACGCGGTCGCCCACAGCTACCTCAGTCACATGGAACGAGCGGTCAGTGCCATCGAGTGAGACAGGAAGGGTGCTGGGAGCTCCGCCACTGGCATCATATTTGTAGAAGCTAGCACTCTCAAACTCATCTCGGCCGAGGGTCGCAGGCGGTTCTTCTGGGAAGGATTCTAGGTTATCGCTGAGGCCGATACGACTCGCAAGCCACTGTACATCGATTTCGATAGCCCTAGTCTCCACCACCATGCCTTCTGGCCGTACTGTAGGGTCGAAAGCGCCATATCTCCAGTGCCCTCTGCGGAGATTACCCTTCTTTGTTTTGATTGTGTCGCCTACGCTGAGACGTTCGACGGTGACGTCGTCCTGCTCGAGCTCGGCGGGATCCTCGACGACAACGACCGAGTTGTTTGAAAGCTTCACAGCAACTTCGTCGTACACGTTCTCGATACGGCCCACCCAGTCCCCGTAGACGACGATGGCACCCTCGACGAATTCGTGGACGTTGATGATCTCCTCGGCAGGAACGTTCCGTATCGACAGGTCGTCGGTGGCGGCTTGTGTTATTTGGCCGCCGTTGAACATGGTAGCCGGGAAGAGGGTGCAGACCGCCTTGGTCCCAATGACTGTCCCGCTCATGTGCTCGTCTGCGCTTCTCTTGACAACATCGCCCACGTACAACGCGCGGTCCAGCAATTGCAGCTTGTCCTCTGGTACCAGCTCCGTCTTGAGCTGCGTCTGCCACGAGACGAGGACGGTGCCCCGCGGAGGTATGCCGCTCTTCATGAACTTTTTGAAGTCGTCTTTCGCTATCTCGGCGTGTTGCTCGATATCTTCGCCATAGTCTCGCTGCGGACGAGGCTCGTGCGAGTCGACATCGCCAAACGACCTGTCGATGACGCCAACGCTGTACTTGTCGTCCTTCAAGCCCACGGTATCCTCAACACAAAAGACAACATCGTGCGGGCGTTGCATTGGGTCGCCCGGGTCACCTGACGCTTGTGACTGCGAGCCTGGAGCTGGAGCGAGGACGCTGGCGGCGCTGAAGAAGGGTACAAGCGTATTGGACGGGTGTGGTCGTGGCGGAGGTTGTGGGCTTGGATGCGGCGAAATCGGCGGGGCTTCGTTGCGGGCGGGGCTGTCGGTCAGGAAGCGGTCTACGAAGAGGCGAGACAGGAAGCGCTCGACGATATTAGCCTGGCCGTCCGGGGTGCTCTCGTCGTCGGGTGTGTCGCGATTGTCCGTGTGTGACTCGCGATCCATGGCGTCGTGACTGCAGCCCTCGCGGCAAACATGTGATGAGAGGATGCGCGTCGTTTTTAGCGGAGCCTCGCCAAGCCAGCGCTGCAGGGATGACACGCCACGTCCACCACCTCCGTCGCAGGTCCGCAAACCCCACGCGCGTCTGCAGAGAGTCCATGTCCAATTGAGCCAGAGTCACGCGTGTCTGGACGAGTCTGGACGGGGTTGAACTTGTAGAGCCTTCACCATGGCCGATCCACTGTACGAGCTGCTCATCCCGTACTTTGACGCTCAGGACACGCACCCGCGGCCCTCGCCAACCGATGCCGTCACCAACACTTACCTCTCGCGCCTGACGACGCTGCCTCTGGCTACCCTCTCGTCGTCCGAGCACCAATCGCTGTCGCAGAGCTCGCACTCAGTCCTACGATCACTCCAGGTCCTCTCCAAACGCTCTCACAAACCCATCATCTCTTCCACCGACCACCTATCGCATCTTCGCGAGACGCTCCCACGGATAGGCCACAATGCAGGCACAATACAGTCAGACTTGCCTAGCCTGGAAATAGCTGCTCAGACCTTCTCGGACAAATACAGCAAGAGCGGGGACAACGCAATACTAGACAGACGGAGAAAGGCCATGTTGCTGTCCCGCAATATCGACCGTGTATCTGATGTGCTGGACCTCCCCACCCTGCTGTCGACTGCCATCTCCTCTTCGACAGCCGCCGCACAAGCCACTGCCTCCACAATATCTTCAGCGTCCAATGCAAACTATGCCTCTGCGCTGGACCTCTATGCGCACATCAAACGCCTGCACACGCTCTACCCAAACTCACAGCTTGTATCCTCGTTGACCAACCAGGCTGAGCAGGAGATGAAGACTATGACGACGAATCTCATCAGCTCCCTTCAGTCACAGAGCATCAAACTAGCAGGAGCAATGCGAACTATCGGGTGGCTTCGACGCGTAGCCCCTGAACTGGACGAGTCGTGGGCCACAAAACAGACTAGTATTGGCAGTGGAGAGGGCACCCTGGGCGCTTTGTTCCTCGTCTGCAGGCTGGGCTGTCTAGAGTTAACGCTGGCGGCCCTTGATCCTCTGCGCGAGCTCGCTGACCAGGAGACGGACAAACGCATAAGCAAGACAGCAAAAGGCGACGTGGGCTGGGCGGTGGGCCAACAGACGGAAAAGTACCTGAAGAAGTACCTGGAAGTATTCCGAGAGCAGAGCTTCGCCATCATATCTATGTACAAAAGCATCTTTCCTTCCGCACTGCCCGCTCCCGGGTCCGAGGAAACCGCGTCTGCTGTCAAGCCAGCCACGACAGCCAACCCGCTCCAACCCATACCATCCGCCCTAGCTACCTTCCCCCTACATCTCGTAGAGATACTCTTCGACATCTTACGCACATACCTCCCCAACGTACAGGATCGCTCGGCGCGGGACTCACTTCTCACACAAGTGTTGTACTGCGCCGGCTCGCTCGGCAGGCTGGGAGGTGACTTCAGCATGATGATCGCCGTACTAGAGGAGGACCTAAGAGCGGACCTCGAAGGTGACAGTACGGAAGAGAGGGAAATCGAAGAAGAATGGGTCGAGGTCATGAAGAAACACCGCGTCCAAGCTAGTCGACTAGAACTTCTGGCCTCGGGTGTGGGCGCTGGCAGAACGAGCAGCCCCGTAGAACGAACAGTCAGTCCGGCGAGATAGACTGAAGAGTCGGGTGACCACACGCCAATGGAACAGTGACTAGTCGCACGCTCGGCGTCACACCGTCGTCTTTTGCCACAATTCTTGGAACCAACCTCTGAGTTCGAATTGAGTCCTTACCGTTCTATGTCACGTGCTTGCACTTACCACTTGCTCAGCCCGTCGCTTCGCCTCGATCCTCCTCGCAACGAGCAATGATTTCTCAAACAACTGATGGTCATTAGCGGGTTGGTAAAGTTGTGTCCAGAAACCAACCGACTTGGAGATCAACTTCAAAACGCCATCTTACACACATTACACATGTGGCTGAAGTCTCAGTTAGCCCCCATTTTGTGGCGTGTTACTCCATTTGTAAACAAAGACATCGATCATCGAATCCAGTCGCATCCATCTGGAAATGCTGCAGTGGCTCGGGACTTTGTCGTAGTTTGGTGCTACTATTTATCATCACTCTGGTCATCCGTAACCCCAAGACTGATACTCAACCGAAAACTCATGCATACACAATGATGCGGAGGCGGACGAGTGTCGTGCAGGCTTATTGAAGGCGCGGGATAGTAAATTTCCGCCGTGGCGAGAACGAATATATAAAGACAGTGCTGGCACCCCATGAGATTCACACCACGCAACAGCAACAACCCATTCATCCACACCACCTTCAGCAAACTTCAAAATGCAGCTCCCACTCCTCCTCACCGCAGCCCTACTCCCACTCCTATCCCTAGGCGCAGCCCTACTCCCCCGCACAGACACCACCTCCGCCACCCTCACCGTAAATCCCCTCCTCCCACCCCTCCACAAAACGCCCCGCTAACCCCAAAAGTTCGACGACAAGCTCGCGCTCCCCGCCGCCATCCTCCCCGTCGGCAACGAAGGCGGCCTAGACTTCCGCTCCTTCGCCCTCCTAAAACTCAGCAGCAACCCCATCGGCGCCGCCCGCCCAAAATCCGGCACCAACATCGCAGCCACAAACTTCCGCACACGCATAACAAACAACATCATCTTCTTCGACCCCTTCAACCCCGTCTCCGCCATCGTCGCCCCGCAGCCCCTCATCACCGTCGCGTATCCCGGTTCGCTGTATGATCGCTTCACCCTCGAGTCGCTGTACATTGCGTGTGCGGCGTCGACGGCGGTGGGGGTTGTTGGTGTGCTGACTGGGTGTCGGGTGCGCTTTGAGGCTATTAGGCCGGATGGGTCGGTTAAGGGGACGGAGGTCGTGGAGTATAAACCCATGACTGCCAACCCGGTGGATGTTGAGGATATGCAGTTTGTGGTGTTTAATAGGGATTTTGAGGGGGTGAGGGAGGTTAAGGTTTTTCTTGAGTCGGGGCTTACGGGGGTGGAGCTGGTGGATGGGTTTGTTACAAATATTAGTGTTGATGATGTTAAGGTTAAGGTTATGAAGAAGTGAGGGGGTGGTTGTGAAGCGGTGGAGGATGGGGGTTGTTGTTGCGATGTGCGCTTTTGTGCGGGTATGGGGAGGGAGTGCTGGGAGACGGTCTTTACTGTATTTCGCGTTTGTCTAGTTGCTTGAACGAACCGCGTACCTCTGTCATCCATCCACTCATTAAACAAATATACAAAAGGAGTCTATCCATCGCCTTCCGTCCTCCCCACAACGTAAACCCACACTTCCACCCAGACCCCCTAAATCGAGACAATTTGCTGCAATCGTCCCGTTTCACACCCCCCTTTTCCGCGCGATGGACCCTCACTCAAAAGAGTTTCTCCCCCTTCATCGTGCTCGAAACAGAACAGCCGCACAACTCTCCCTGCACGCCTCATCCCAGCACCCCAGTCCCCCGACCAATCTCCTTCGTAGAGAAAACCGGATACTTACAAAGCCAACTGCGCACTTTCCGCACCATCCTATACTCAGAACCCACTCACACGTGATATCGTAATACACACCGAACAACTCCGCTGCCCAATCCCTTAGGGGGTAGTATCGCACGGCGATATTGGGAGGGGGGTGCTGCGGGTAGATGCGGTTGTGATTGGTTGGGTGGGGGGCTTGGAGGTAGAGAAGTCCAGTGTTCTTTTTGTTGGGTAAAGTTTTACTTGACTAAGAGGTTGCAGTTCTAGGGTTTACTAGAGGACTTCATAGCGTAAAGGGCTTTGAAGTTGTTCTTGTAGCATGTATGTTGTTTGTGGATATGATGACACTGCTGTTCCACAGGCTACCTATCAGTTGGTATCCAGGTCGCTAATTCTAAAATCAACGCTGGACCTCAGGGCCTATCGTATTAGTCTTCTTTGTTCCTCTTCTGCTTCTCTTCCCATGCAAGCTCAGCTGTTTCGGCATTTTCCTCAAGATTGATGAATCCGACTGGAGGGGAAGAGTCAGCGTCTGCACAAAGATGAGACTAGCAGATAGCTACTTACCAACGAATACAGAACCCGCAGACGTAAGATCCAACACGCTAAAGAGCACTGCGTAGTACTTCCGGCTTGGCTTCCAACTGATCGCAGCTGCGATCAAGCCAAACCCACAACCCGCCATATCAGCATACTCAATTCCCGAGATCGACTTGGCTAAATCTAGGGCTGTAGACCCTTCGGGAAGATCGTTATTCCGTTGCCAAATCGTTCCAACCCACTCGAGCACAGCACCTATCTGGAGAGCTATCCCACCACCTTGCGACACCCGTTTCATGTCAGTACACATGCCAATTGTGGTGCAGATACAACCACCAAGCTGAAGGCCAAGATTGGCATAACGAAACCGCCGTTCAATCTGGCAGTGTCAGCATCGTTCACTAGCAGGCCCTCAATATGTGAAGTACTCCACAGTAGACCTACGTTATCCTTGGCCTCGGGAAGGCTAGATTTCATCACAGCCGTGGTGACGGAGAATCCAAGACCAGCAAAATTGACAACAATGGCGGACACCTCCCAGATTTTGCTGATCTTCTTAACCGATTCCACCATAGCATCCTGGTGTGTGTCTTTGATTGGCGAAGCAGCGCTTCCTGGCTTGACTGCTGGCTCCTTGCTTTCCCCGGAATTTACAGGTCCAGGGGCTTCTTTTTGAATCGGTAGAGATGGATCAGGTCCAGGGGCTTCTTTTTGAATCGGTGGAGATCGATCAGGTCCAGGGGCTTCTTTTTGAATCAATGGAGATGGATCAGGTTCGAGGTCTGCTTCCAATTCTGGTTCTGGGCCTAAATCCCCTGCGGCTTGTTTGATCTTGTGTGTTCCAGCTGGCTGCACATGTGGCGGCCCGTGGAATATAGTCGTGAGCTCAATATTGCCCTTGGATGCAGGCACGATCTTTGCCTTGTTACTGAGTGTCCATCCAGTCTTCTTTGCCACAGGTGGCGGGTTTACTCCCTTTCCTATGATAGGGACTCGCCCACCGTTTCCACTCATGCTGTTGGAGTCTCTCACTTTTCTTATTTCAGTCCCTGTAATATATGCGTCGAATGCTCCGCCGAGGAACCTCAGAACAGTGCTGACGTTGTTCCATAAATCACACCACTGTCTGTCCTTCTGCAAGTATGTTGTTAGTGACCATTTATGTGTAGAATTTTATTTTGGAATCGCTTACCAACCGAGCCTCCCTCTCTGCCTTGATCTCTTCAGGCGTTTGAGGCGATGCTGTCGTTCCTGAAGCCATCATAACAACGAGGTCGTGTGGTCCAGGTGGCCGACTCGCGAGTTCCTTTAGCTTCTCTGTTTCGATCATCGGTATTGGTATCGAACTGGCTTTGGGAACCTTCAGGCCGTCAAAAGGCAACTCTGCCTTACTACTCGAGAACAAGTGCGTCACATTCATGATCTGAGCAAGCAGATATGTCCCACAGTTCAAGAGGTTGAAGTCTTGTCCTTTGCTTTCCTCCCACTCGTCTGTCAAGCCTGGAATCACCCATTTGGCTGTGAGCAGATCCCTGGAAGCCTGGATTGCAGCAAGAAAAGCATCATAACACGCCAGAATGAAGACTTTTACTGTGTCGAAGGCAGTGTAAAAGACGTCTCCCAAGACGCGGATGAGAATTTCAATGACTTTGCTTGGATGTGCGATGAGGTTTTTCAGTTCGCTCCAGATCGCATCAAACAGTCGTTCCAAAAGCCCAGCGAAATCGTCAGTAAGGTCCCCGAGCAAAGACTTGAATGGCGCAAAAACAGAATCGAGGGATGGAATCACGAGCTTGTCGCCTAACATCTCCTCAATGCCTTCCGCCATGGCCTCAAGGACCCAAGACATTGGATTGAACTTCATAAGAGCTTTGATGACAGGATTGTTGAGGATCCTCGATATCAGGCTGGGTTTTCGATTTGACTCATCGTTGGCCGGTGGTCGCGAATCCGGAATGACTGTCTTGCATGTGTCTTCGATGTCTTCCATCCACTCTGCTACACGCCATTTGTTCTTGACCAAGAAGCTTTGCATGACGTCGAGGACCGTGCTGAACGATTCTTTCAAAACCTGTACATGTTGGTATGTTGTCATGACTGTCACAAATGAAACATACCTCTTGTGTTTTCTTGGCATTCTCAGTACTGAACGCAACAGCCAACCACTTCGTCAATCCTGCTGTGCTGATACCCATGAAGTTTAGTATACCGCATACTGCTTTGAGTAGTACCGCAACCGTTTTCACAGCAAACGAGAGAACCTTTCCAGCGATACGCAGCCCAAACATAACAACTTTGCCGATGGTCTTCACGGCGAATTTGACAGTCGTCTTCACTGCGATCTTTAGGTACTCGATGGCATCGCCTAAAAGTCGACCTGCTGTAGCGCTTGCTTTGTCAAACCAGTTGGCATCAGGGTCGCGATACACTGCAGCCTCTTCCTTGCTCCATGACAGAGTACTTGTATCGTCTTCGCCTGAGGAGGCAGAGGTGGGGTCTTCATCACCCAGCTTCCGTGCCATTGGTCCAAACTGTGTTAGCAAAGTGCCACTCTCAGTGATTTTGGACTCATCTTCAAATATGACCTCTCCGTTAGGGCCACGAGCGTTTCGTAGATCGTTCTCTGACTTCACCGAGCTTAGGCCGTCAATGACTCGTTGTGCTGGGTTGATACAAATGATGTCGGATGCTGATGATTTGGACTTGAACTCGAACAATTCGACTTTGATAGTACAGGATCCCATCAACGGGTCGACGGGTAGTGTCAGGTCGATCTGGCCCGACGCGTCCAGGGTAGTAATCTTGGTCGGTTTGCCGTTCAACAAGAAAGAACGGCCATTGCAGTTTACGTGCATATGAGGCTCGCAGGTAACGTTCACAGAGTAGCCCTGAGGTACAGGCACTCCGTTTTCATTTGACAGTGATATGGATGTCATGTAAACTGGAACCTTGGTCAGGGTTGATGGAGTACCGGGTGGTACCTTGATTTGAAGGCTATCCTCTGTCCACAGTGTCGAAACAGGGTCGCGAACTAGATGCCGCAGACCATTGGAGCCATTGTCGCTGACATACAACAGCTCACTGGCGTTAGACTTCGCGTTGTACTGTGGAGACATCATTGTAACGCCTTGTCGTATCGGTAAACCAGACGGTGTCTGAAACGTGACTTTTCTGTCTTTGGACCTCTTCCCCTCGATGAAATACAGCTCGTTGTGATCCGATATGGCGAATACCGTAAGATGACAGAAAAGATCCTTGTAGACTTCAGAACAGACTACCTGTTTGAAAGCGATATCTGGAAGAATCGGATCGCCAAGCATACGCTCTAAAGCTGATGATTCAAAATAGCCGATTCCAAATTCACCGGCGACCAGGATGTCGGTCAAACTAGACAGCATGTAAGCTTAGTGTACACTTCTTGGATGGACAACACAAGTGCGACTCACCCCCAAGGATTAACACTTGAGAAGAGACTGCTAATACTTCCTAACCGACCTGTCTGTAGCACCCTAGTTTTCACTCTCTGGGCCGATGTCTCATCTAGAACTTCGACACTACAAACCTGCTGTTCGTTCCCGTCGGTCTGACGATACACTGATGCTACGCCAACTTCGCGACTTGTTTTGTCTCGGAAGCTTCCAGTACATACTGGCTGGAGAGCTAGCAAACTATCCGCGGAACCCGACATAACGATATCGCGCCATGTTGCATTCGGGCCAAGAGCAGGGTCTAGTATGTAATGTGTTGCAGCAGACTTGCCGTACGTTTGAGTCCCAGCGCATATGTAAAACCCGGCCAAAGAGGAAACGGAAGGACAACAAAGAACGGAAGTGATGTTCTTGTCGCCTATTCCATTGTTGATCTCGTTCCACTGCAGATCTGAAATGGTGGTCAATTTTCGAAAGCTGAGCAGAATGTGACAAGACAATCTCACCAGGAAGCCCCGCAACATCAGCTAAATCGTCATCTACGACCAGATTTGGCTTCTCAAATGTAGCATGCCACACCGTTTGCGAGATGTTCGAGTGCTTGTCCGATTCAAGGCTAACCACGATATGTATTTTATCACCTAGTTCCAGGGTATCGAAAGCATCTACCTTTGAGCTATCATCATTCTGTGTAGGCGTGATATCCGAGGTCTGCCAGCCAGCTATAGCATTATTAACGTGAAACACAACGTGTAGGCGCTGTGAATGATTTCAGCAAGACTACACTGAAGATGGATATGCTACAGTCGACCTTACTCCAGTATTCGAAACTGCAAACACCATGGGCTGTCCGTTCTTATCATGTATCAGTGCCAGCTTTTGTTGAGTTTCTTTACACGATGGTCCGGCATTGTTGAAGATATCGAAGGGTTGATTGAAGAATGCTAGTTCGGAGCAGACTTCCACCTGAACTTTCTCGCTCGCGTGAGGCTCTAGCCGTAACCCATCTTCATTGTCTGGAATTCCACTGGTTGTATCAGGGACGATGATCGTTGGGAATGGGGCTTTCGTTGGATAGACTGATGGTGTGCTGAGTTTCTCGTTGGACGAAACGGTCGGCATGGCCGTTCTTATTCTGAGTCAAATCGACGATAACAATGTGAGATACACCTTAGTGCCAACTGGGTGACTCGGAATATCGTCTCAAGCGAAGAATAGGGACGCTTCTCGGCGCTACAATCAGAAGATGAATAGGGAACTGAAAGTCTAGCCATCGAGGCACACGATGTTCACAAGCAAGTATTAGCACGACTTTCAGCCCTTATCTAAACATGAAGCTTAAGCGACGCTTTATGCATGAAGTTCTAGTTCTTGATCGGACTATGCAGGGGAAGGGTATCTTTGAGAACGATCAGAACACCTATCCAAGATCGGAGGCCATAGTGATGGCCAAAAGCATCTTTCAGCTGAGCCAACAGTGTGGGGTGGTGCGAAACGCGAAGTTAGGACGTCTGTGCACAGACCATGCAATGATGCAATGAGGGGCTACATGGGCTACCATCCACTCATACAACCAAGCCATGCAAGACAACGCCCAAGATACAAATGGAAGGATGATGATCCCTGTCTCAGCTCGTCAAGGTATACAGACGAGTGATTGGCTCCCTGCATCGTGATATACAACGTACGGTGGGTGTATTTTCAATGTGGATCTGAGAGGGGGTGGCTAGACGCTGCACCTCTTATTCGTTACATGCAGTAACGTAAGCAGGTTGATTTGGCCGCAAGCAATCTTGGCTGTGGCTGCTGGCTTGCATATGCAGGCTCCACATTGAAAATACACCCACCGTACGTTGTATGCGGTCTCCTGCTTAAGTTAGCCTGGTAGAGAGGGCAGTGGCAGCAATAGTTAGGACAAAGGAGATCACCGCCTCGGCTTCCATTTCTCTCCTGCCAGCACTGATCTCTGCATAGTGACACGATACCATGGCCAGCAACATCAACGCGCTTGCGAACTACGACATTGTTCTCGCCATATCAAATGAGGCAATCAATGCACAATTTGAAGAGTTGTACCGGAAAGAGTTGCCCGAAGACCTCCTGCCGCCCGATTTTGAGCCTGGAGACCAGGTAGCGCTACCGCGTCCAAGCCATTACATCAATCACGATTTCAAGGTTCTGATCAAAGAAGATGGAGTAGAAGACGAGCAAGAACTACAAGGAATAGACGGACATATCAAGTGCCCCGTGGTGACTATCCACCCGGAAAAAAGTGGGGTGGCTATCGTGTCTCTCACTTTTGAGCACGATGAGTCTGTGTCTGAGACTGATAAGAAGGACAGCTTTCTGCAGCATTTAGTTGTTGAGAAACGTCAAGCGAGCATTAACAGACTAAACATAAATGGCTGGACATTCAGTTGGGAATGCAGCATTGCTATCAAAGACATTGACGATGTCATGGCAGGTCAGTCCAATATTGTCGACCAGGCTCGAGGCGATACTGCACTTGGAACTGCTAGGCTATCGAGAACTGACAATCATCTCTAGATCTCGTTGGCCCCGCTGAGGATCAGGAACAACAAGTGCAGCTTCCGAACGAAACCATCAACAAACTCAAGAAGAGGTTTGATACAGAACCTCAGAACGAGGTTGACGTCAGCGTCTTCACGGCATCCTCCATATTCTGCATGATGCAAGCAGTACAGATGACGAACTCATTTGATATTAAAACTCCTGATGGATATGAATGGCCAAAAAAGCTCAGTACTGCTCAGATGCAGTTTTCAATCGCAACGGCAAAGACTATGGTTGTAGATCACTTCAAGAATATGCGCGAAGCAGCAATTAAGAACGGCAAAGACGTGTCACATTTACCAACAGCCAACAATCCGTTCGTCTTGGGATACAGCATTCGACAAGAGATACCAAAACTTAAGGACCTGAACATGAACGCCGATCCTACCAAAACGCCGCGGTACTTTATCCCTCGTAAAGTTGATTGTACCACCACAGCTTCTCCCGGAAACAAGTACACAGCTGGGACATTGAACTTCTGCATGTTTACACATCGCGAAGATGAGAGCTCAGATGCAGGATCCATTGACATCGGTACAGTCAAGTTCCCGGAGACATTTTTCCAGAAACTTTCCATCCGTGGAGGCTTGATGGGTAGTTCCAAGGGCAAACAAGGCGGTCACGACGGTATCATGGGCTTCTCAAGAGACATATTCTGCAAGCGATGGTTGACAGAGACGGTAGCTCAGCCGTTTGTCGCTGATGACTCCAAATATAGCGACGCATTTAAGCCAATGCTGTCGGGGTTGGCGTCACCCACTTCGAGCCCGTGGCGGAAGCCATTGCAGAACTCTAGCGTTCGAGAAGTAATGAAGGGTCTCGAGTACGGAGGTGTTGTGACTGGCGTCATGTTACCTGACTTTAGTGTCGGTGAAAAAGATCTTAGCATCAAGCGAAGTTACACGGGTAGGCTCGTACATTTTCCTTCCAGAAATGCAGCCCAGACGTTTCATCATTACTAGCCAAGTCGTATTCCTGACGACTCAAAAGGTACCAGCAGAGCCACAGTCAGATACACATCTGACTTCCTTTCGTACACTCCCGAGCAACGGCAAGAGTCGGACCTGCGGCGTAGTCTTTATCTAGACCTGCGAGTTTGGAATGAGTTCGATCTGCAGCTGTCCCTGCAGAAAACGACTTTTCGTAAGTACTTTTCCATCTTAATTGTGGTTCTAGAGCACACCTGATCACATTCTTTCAGTTGGGTTCCTCTTTGGCGAGAGCCCGATCAGAAATCTCATTGGTGTAGGTGATAGCGACAACAAGGAATACACAACCATGATCAAGGCATTCTACCGATCAAAGTAAGCACGCATATCGAACCAGCCCCACGAAATTCATTAATCGACGAGTAGCTTCAAGATCGGTTACACGCTTTCACCTGGTCAAGGCGGTATCTGGAGCATGAGCAAAGATAACGATCGCACTACTTTCCCCGGCAAAACCGCCCCAGCAAAAGTCATTGATTGCACTAATGACTCTTCAGAGCCCTGGAAGAACTTTTCCGGTGACGGCTTCAACCTGTACTCACAGAAATTTGATGTAGCTAAGGAACGGGATATGCCAAATGAACTTTTGGAGATTGCGAAAGATTGGTACGGGAACCAAAATCTTGAAATTGAAAACGCGGTCGAAAATGTACTCAAAAGCATTAAGAATGCGGTCATCATGCCGGCTGGTAACGTTCTTCAATTCAAGGGCCTGGATTGCGATGAGGAAGGCAACGTTTACTCAACGGTTGATTATCAGACCCTCACTCCGACGAGGTAGAACACAAACTTGGTTCGCGTTGGTCTTCTTGTGTAACAGAGAGAACCTACGCAGCACCAAAGAATCGTGTCTGGTTACATAGCTCGTTCTCCCACTCAACATCATGCGCGAAGATGATTTCCACTCCCTCTTTCTCAAGTGTTCTGATCCTGTCGATAGTTTGCTCGGCTTTTCTTCGATCTGCATGAATACAGCATACACGTCCATGCGCATCATCCCATTCGCCAATCACCTTCTCGCCAGTCATCAACCGCTTGTCATGGAAGGCATCTCCGGCTAGACAAATCCGGTGGTCCGGCGAAACCCATGCTAGCAAATTGATATGACCTGGAAGATGTCCAGGTGCATCAACGATCAACAGCGATCCATCGTTGAAGACATCAAGGGTGTGTGGGAGGCTCCCACATGCTTGCCACGGCCCGTCGAGTTCAAGAACGCCAGGCGCTTTATGTTTCTTCGAACCATGGATAGAAGGGTTGGATAGCTCTACAGTCCGATTTTCAGGTAGAAGATCGAACTCGAAGAATGAATGCCCACCACGAAGTGAAGAGGGCGTACTACTCAGTAATGCACGTGAGCCATGTCCAACGACGAAAGTCGAGGTGGGAAAGGCGCGCGGCTCGCCGATGTGATCCCAGTGTACCTGATCATCGTCCGGTCAGCATCACAAAACACGGGAACTAAATCAGCTAACCCACATGTGAGTATATCACGTAATCGATATCCTCAGGTTTCAGTCCACCCTGTGCCAGGCTCTTAGTGACATCTGGATCAGTAATCATAGGCTGTCGCGTTTCGATGTGTCTCTGTATTGGGGCTGCGTATCTTTTCACGTCCCTCCGCAACCCGAGATCGAAGACAATCCGTGTCAGTTTGTCGGTGTTTTGGTCTCGATGCTGAATGAGGAACGCAAGGGATGGTACGGTTTTGCGTGCGTCTCGTGAGATAGGATGGACGAACTGGTACTCTGGGAGGGTGAAGTGACCGCAGGAAAGAGCGTGTACTGAGACAGTAGCACGAGCATCCCCTACGCGCAGAGACGGGGCCACGCCCTGATGAAATCGAGTCTCGGAAGACATGGCAGCCCACAAACGGGTATATCGAAGTTCGTAGTCAGTGTTAGTGAGACTCAGCATCTGTATGGGCTTTCACCATGATGAGAGCTGTCTCAGACCAGAATACGAAGTATGGTGATTTTGCGCAACGAGATCTATGTGGTAACCAACCTAATAATTGCAGTCAAGTTACCTTTCTTTCAGTATCACACTGTCAATTTCTAGGTGTGTGGATGGTCTTTACCCCGCCTCATCGGCTGCGGCTCACTCGACGTCATGCATCGGAAAGGTGTAGTTTGTAGCTCTACTCCATCAACTCAGACCTTGAAATTACCTTTTGTCCACCAAATTCAACCTGTAATGATATATTAGTAGTATACACTTACCCAGATTTTCTACCAGGAACAAGATGATTGATCTATCCGAGTTCAAAACGGTGGGCTTCATCGGTCTGGGCGCCATGGGCAGGCCGATGCTTGCGCATTTAGCAAACAAGCTGCCGCGAGAATCGCACATATGGATATTCGACGTGTTGGAACAGGCAGTGGACGAGTTGTGCGCCGACTATCCAGACAAGGTATCCAAGGCGATGAGTGCAAGAGATGTAGCGGACAAAGTGGTATGCGAGTTCCGGTTGAATCGAACGTAAATAGGAACTAAAGACAAGACAGGACACGGTAATAACAATGGTTCCCGAGGGTTCGCACGTCCGCTCAGTCTACCTGGATCCTAAGAATGGTGTTTGCAGTACGGATATTTCGAATAAGCTGCTCATTGACTGCTCGACAATAGACACAGCGACGAGCCTGGCAGTCAAGAACCACATAGCGGAAAACTTTCCTACAGCTTCATTCTATGATTCGCCTGTTAGTGGAGGAGTAGTCGGCGCTATCAAGGGCACAATTGCAATCTTTCTGGGATGCTCAGAGTCAGACCCGAACCTCGAACGACTGACAAAGCTAATGGGGCTCATGGGCAAACAAATCATACCTTGTGGCGGCCCCTCACTCGGTCTTGCTGCGAAGTTGTCAAACAACTACCTATCTGGCGTGATAGCGATAGCTTGCTCGGAAGCATTTGACATGGGCATGCGATCTGGGCTAGACCCTCGGACACTCGCGAGAGTGTATGCTGCTGGAACTGCACAGAACACTATCTGCGACAAGTTTTGTCCAGTGCCTGGTGTGTATTCTGAGGCACCATCGACAGGAGGATACAAACAGGGATTCAAGGTGCAATTGATGCGTAAGGATTTTGGGCTTGCGGTAGATATGGCAAATCGTGTGGGCGCAAAAAACGTACTTGGCGACGTCGGTCTCCAGACCTATGATGGTGCTGCAAAGGATCCGCGGTGTAAAGACCTAGACTCTAGGGTTGTATACCGTTATCTTGGAGGGCAAGAGAACTGGCAGTCAAAACATGAATCTTAATCAAAGGCCATCTCTTTTTGCAGTCTGAGCCAAGCGATACCATTTCTGCGAGTTCCGGTTCCTGCAAGTGTCGTGAATGCTAATGATGCAATCGTGCATCAACGGTGAAAGGTGGGGTACCTAAACTCGGTCATCGATAGAGGGGAAGTTCTGTGTATAAATGAAGCAATTTCCCTTTTTCAACCAGCGATTCTTTAGAAATATTTAGCTATTGTTTAGTTTTCAACGCTCGAAACTTGTTAAGCTTTTCAGTCAACAATTGTTCCAAGCGCTCGTACTCGACGCCATACGCCCAGCATGTCAACAGATCCAAAATACGATGAGCTCCATAAGCAATTGTTCGAGCAAGGTCTGGAAATGCGAAGAAGCGTTGTAGGGGACGAATACGTCAACCGAGCATTGGAGAACGGCTCAACAGAATTCTCACGGGCGGGCCAAGAGCTTGTTACAGAGTGGTGCTGGGGATACGCATGGACAAGACCAGGTCTTAGCAAGCAGCAACGCAGTCTGATCAACATCGGCATGCTGATGGCTCTCAATCGTGCTCCTGAGCTGGCCGTCCACGTTCGGGGCGCGAGAAACAACGGCCTATCCGAATTGGAAATTCGCGAAGCCATTATTCATGCCACCACATATTGTGGCGTGCCTGCGGGCGTCGACGCCATGAAGACGGCAGAGAAAGTGCTCAACGACATGGCAGAGAAGGGTGAAATGCCTCGCGAGCTGGGGAACAAGAGCGGCAAAACATAGAACGATGGACGGTGATGCGCAGGAATGGGACGCGACGAGACGCGAGACGTGACGCGACATGGCCCGAGCATCGTCTGAAAGGCTAACACCAACCTCTTCGACACGCCAACAAAGTAGAGATCTTGAATCAAGATTCCCTCATCATGTCATCCTTCAAACGTAGTTACAGGTCAAATCCTCTAATTCAAGCTATCTATCAATTTCAATCTGACCGCGCGGATACAATCAATCGCCTCTCCTCTTCTGTCCGCCCTCCTCACCATCGCAACTCTCACAATCAACCACTACAGACTCATCATCGTAATCATCACCACCGCCATCCAAGTCTCCCGTAAACTCGTGCATAACCTCGTCAATCATCTCTTTCTCGGCTCTTCGATGCATCCCGAAACAGTTCAGCAGTCTCCGTAGCTTCTCCTCCAAGTCTTTGCATTTACCTTTGCAGTCTCCTTGTTTTTCTGCATCCATATCCTGAAGCCGGTTCTGGAGATGCTCGTTGAAGTTCCTTAAATTCCTAGCCTTATTCTCCAGCGTTTGTCGTTGCTCGCCGCAATGCTGTAATTTCTCTTCTGACCTTTCGAATTTGTGCCAGAGCGTGGTGTACGCCTCCATCTGTTGCTTTAGATCCATCTCCAGCATGAGAGAGTACTTTTCGGACTTTTTCTTGGAACCTTCTGTGGATGTGTCGTCGGTTTGGTCCACTTCATCCGGCATTTCCGCAACTTTTGGCGTGAGAGATGTGACATGGTGTGATGGGGATGTGTCAGGGTCCTTGTTCGCTAGCTGGCTGGAGGCTACGGCGAGCTTTGCTTCGAGATTCTCGGTATGCTCTTGCATCATCGCGATCTGCTCGACATAGCTATCAATCGACGCAACACTATCCAACTGCGCTCGCAGGGTTTCAACTTCCACCATAAGATCTTGAATGATAACCGCCTGGTCTTGCTCTCCACCTCTGTCATGCAGGAACATCGACTGCTGCTTCACTTCCTCCAATTCAGCCCGGTAGTTGAGGACGGTGTTTCGAAGATCTTCAATATCGTCGTCCTTCCCACTCAGCTCCAGTATCTGTATCTGCTGTTTGATGGTCTGCGATTTGAGCTCGCCGTTCCTGATCGCAAGATCAAGGTTTTCGTTGCGAAGGACGACTTTGTCTGCACTCAGTGCTGAGATCTGAGGTTGCTGCTTGTGGTACTCGTCCAAAAGCTCATCATACTTCTTCTCAAGGTCGTTGAGCGGCCACGAGTTGCGGCGCTTTGCCGGTGAATAAGACATCGAAGGCAACAAGGTTTGGTATTGGGAAATTAGGAGACGATCTGCGCCCTGTATTATAGGCAACATGCAGGTTTGCTGGAAACAACAAGATTCGGGTCACGGCTAGTTAGTGCTCGAAACAACTGCTAGGCGTCTCTGATTTTAGCAGGAGTTTGGACCGCTGGTAGTTGAGTGCAAGTCTGGTGACAGTGGCTGGAACCGATGGCAATTCTATCCATGAGCTTTTTCTATACACGACGATGAACTTTGATAAAAATTACAAACTATTGATTACTAGACTAACCGAGTATAACTGCTTACAGTGATACACATATTTTCCACGATACCTTTCATACGCCTCAACACCGTGTTTTGCTCTCACCCAAACATCCGCGACACCAGTTCCATGCACAAACTCAAACGTTCTCAACGCCGCAAGCAATTGTCCACCGGTATCGGAGCATACATCCGTGGGAAAACTTTCAGTTTGTCCATTCACTTCGACTTCACGCTCGACTCCCCAAACCAAGCCTTGAATCCACGGAGCGAGGCGAATGTTCTCTTCTTCTGGAGCTCTCTATCCGAGCTCTCATTCTCATCATTACCACCAATAATACCTGTTAACCGCACACTGCCGTGCGTCTTGGACGTCGCAATAAGTCCGTCGTGTCTCTGAGCTTCTGCAGACTCAAGTGTCGCTAATGAAACACCAAGACCGAGTTGCGTACTATTGAATCATTAGTTCTGTCGTTGCAGTCTTGATACCACTGTACTTGTACTTACGCCATATCACGATCCCATTGAGAATCTGTTTTGCCATTTTCTGATGTTGTCTGATTTTGAAGATGGATGCGAGTGACGGGCTTCTTAGTCGGTGTAAGGGAATAAGAATTAGCAGTGCTTTGTGTTTGTCTCGGTGGAGATTCATGATTTGAGCACTTTCTGCCGGCAAGACACCTTCCGCTGGGTAGACACGTAGGGCACGGCGAATGCACCTGTTGAAGTCTAGGACGTGGCGAGTTGACAACACGGCGCGGGCTCGGTGATTGAGGGGGACTGGGGAAGTTGTCGAGGGCTGACCGCTTGAACGGGGGTGTAACTGGGCCCTTGGATTGCAACAGCTCCATTGCCTCAGCACGGCGCCTTGCGCGAGTTTCTGCACAAATCTCTGCGCGTCGTTCTTCGCGTCTCGCTTTCGCGGCGTGTTCCTCGGCAGCATGGGGAAACCATGCCATCAATTTTTCCATCGCGAGAGGTTGTTGTTGTATATCGATGGTGATGAGCGTTGGACGCATTGATCTCATTCTACGAGGCTGTGCTGGACAAATCGTCGTCAACTGGTTGTTCTGCCATATCTCGATGAACGAGTTAAAACGAACGCGAGGAACGCTTTTGGGCGCTGTCTCTTTCTTGGTTCGGGGTAGAGATAACTGCGCTGAGCGATCCTCACTTCGACTACATACGGGCATAAACTTACATTCAGTGATTAACACTGGCGCAGTGTTTCGCTCAAACTGCTCAAAGTCTCCAGAAATATCGTTTCCGTCGATTGTAGATGGTCGCACTGGCATTTTCTTGTCCGATTGGGACTTGGTTCCGGCTGCCAAAGCCTCGACGGTGTCTGCTGAGTGATTGACTTCTTGGACTGTATGGAAGTCTATCATGTTTTGAGACAGCTTCCCGTTCTTTTCTGCACATTCTGAAGATGATGAAGATGTTGGCCGAGAGGCCATGACAAACGATAAACTAACTCGGGGCAAAGCAGTGATTTTTCCAGACGCTTCCAGTGTGTCGCAAGATGTAGGACGCAAGCGTGAAGGTGTCGCGGCGTACTCGTGCGAACGTTCTATCCTGTCTAGATCAATGCTACGTGCCTCGTTATCCTTTCGGGTTGCGGAAGCGAACGCAACCGATCCAGACGAGCCAGAGTACCGATTGACAAGATCATCGCGGGAAGAACGATATGACATGTCTGACAGGCTAGAGTCAAGAGACGAAGCATCGCGACGGTGTGAAACTGTTTTGGCGGATTGGCGACGAAGCGACGTGTCTTGCGAAAGTTGCCGGAGAGCTTTCATATCCATGTTTACTGGTTCAGATGCACGGCTATGTAACAAGACGCGTTGTGATCGTGCCGAATGCATGATTTTGGATTCCGCCTCGCTGCGATCGTGTCGGCGCTCTGCTATGCTTCTGTTGTGCTGCAAGGACATGGTCAGCTTTGAACTGTTGGAGGTGTACAGCTGACCCCAAGTCTAAGATGAGAAAAATTTCTCAATTCCAGTTGGCGATGATGTCTTTTCGATACAGGTAGATGAGACAGAACTTGAGCGCAAAAACGAAAGAGCTTACAGTTGTCTGTGCCAGACCTCCTCAAGGATCTTTCGAGCTTGTCAATCTCACTGCCACGATTATCCTGATGTCCAACGAGAAAAAGTCCAAGTGGAAGATAGTCGTTTTGATTCCTCGAAGTGTCGGCCGTTGTCGGAGTTTTGCGAAACAGAGCAGCTGTGTAATGGTAGTGACAGGAAAAGGAGCGCAGGACATGCTTTACTGCGAACATGACGGTAAAAAACCTCCTTCATCGTGTTTGTTTTTTGGTCACATTCCTTTACCTAGGATGATGTTCAGCGATGAGGCTCCAAGCTAATACACTATAACGAGGAAGCAAGTCCACGCTCTTCGTATCCAAATTGACAATACGTAGAACGATTATTAGTCTACATTGCAATACGAAATAACGCTCTTGGCTAAGGGCGTTCCCATGAACCTAGACAGTCTCCTCGTTATAAAGGAGTTAGGCGAATAGGACTAAACCTATGTTTTGTGCCATGATATTGTTGCATGATCTCGAAGATGATTTAGCTACCTACACTATACCTTATACATTCTTCGCCGTAATGAAGTACGAATAATCGCCGGACTGTTCGAATTACCCCGCTTGAATATAAGGAACAGAGAAACCAGTTGAATCTATGAGTTGTCGAGATCGGATCAGTGCTTGATTGTAGCGTGTCTCGCCTCGGACAGGTCATTCACGATAAAGTTATCAGAGATCCATCTGACCAACTCATACCTGACACATGCTAACCTAGCGGCGCGTCCCGCTACTAGACCCGCGGCCATGACCTGCTCATACTCAGGACCACACAGTTCTCAAACTCTCCAAGGCATGTCTCAGTTACCTGCCGCTCTCCTCTCCGTCTTTGCTATAGAGCATCAATCAGGCTAGTATCGTTAAACCATGACAACGGCAGCGGTCTGATATTCGATCTTTGAAAGGAGAGATCGTGTGATTACGCCTTCAGAAAAGATTTGAAGCGAAGATATGGAAGTATCCGGCGTCTCTTGGCGAAGCCACAGATTGGCCGAACCAAACTTTGCGTGTCGGATAGCTTTACCGGAAAAAGGAACTGTCTAATTTCGAAGAGGGCCTATTACACAGTCTCAATGTGATGGACACTTTTCTTATTCCTAGTTTTTGTTTCTCGAGATGCTCTGTCCTTTGTTGATGCCAGCGTTGAGACGCTAACTATCCTAGGGAATAAATAGTTCTATATTCTTGTGGACTTCTGAGGTGTCTGTGCGTGTGACTTCGCCGTTTGCTTCACCAGAACCACGATTGAAGATGAACTCTGTTCTTGGTCGCACCTAAATCTTCATCACTGCCAAGCAAACCCGATGATTACTATAACAAGTCGTGTAACTCCTCGAACGATTAATTCTCGAGGGTCAATCGTACTCGCCAGGAGCTTCAGCGACGACTATACGATCGGAAGGAAGAACATCGTAAAACCTACCCCTTCATCTCCACCCTCAAAGAGGAGATCTTCTTCCTCATCCACGAGCACCTGAGTTGAGGAAAATAGGGCTGATCCGCTCGCACGGATGTGGCACTTATGATTTGTTTGCTCATCGAGCTTCTTCAATAGTTCTCACCGACGGGGCATAAAGCCACTCCGGCAACCTATTCCGGAGTCAGTGCGGAACTTCTCAGACATGGTGACACCAAATCCCATGTTAGTAATACTTGCTCGGTGTGGACAAATCCCGACAGAGACGTCCCCCCACCAACAGCTCTTCGCCGACGTGACGCAATATATGCAAACGCCACTAAACTGAGATCGGGATTCCAAGAGTGTGGTTAAGATTTGATCGTATTTGTGCGACGTTCTTAGCCTGTGGGTTAATTTTGTGTCGCAGACTGGGGTACCTGACTCGCGATGATCCCTAAGTGAATTCTCCATCAGGGGTAAGCGACCTGGATGTGATCAGTCACTGAATCCTTCAGTAGGGGTAGACGACGAGGATGAGTTGCCAGGATGCCATGTGCGATCTGGATCAACATTTAGAAATTGGTAATCTGCATGATCGACACGATCGAGGATGAAGCTGGAAGTCTCGCAATCATGGAAAGCGCATCGCAGGGGAGTGTATCACTTTAGGACCTGCCAACTGCACGTAGACACGCAGTCGGGCTTGACCGCTCACGTATGCAGGCACGCACGCCCTGCTCCGGTCGAATAAGATGTCGACACGAACAAGATTTGAGGAGTCATCTCGTCGTACTCGTGCGGAGGATTGCACCCTCTGTTCCAGAATCCGCGTGTTTCGCAGACAGAGAACAAAAAAGCATGTTCGCAATGCGCGGCATCGTGGCTGCTTAGGGAGCCCTGCTTTCGAGATCCCATCGTCACACAAGTGATCTTCTTACCGATGGGCCTTTGCTGGCCCCTGTTTCCTTCTCAGGCCGATCATGACCGACAGCAGTGATTCTGCCGCGAGGTGGAGAAAATGCACTCAGCAAACAATGAACTTGGTTGCCAATACGCCGCCACCCTCAATCCCATGAACCCCTCACTACAAAGGAACGGTTCAGCAAATCGATCCTGCAGCATCGGTAGCTACCTACGGCAACGCTAATCGTCCCGACCCTGGGCACTCGGGTCCACGAAAGGCCGACCGAACAAGCAAAAGTTCTGATTGGACATGCAGGGGCTGCAGGCTAAGACGAGCTGAGTTGTCAAGTAATCCCCAGGGTGTGGCGTGAGACGGCCACAGCGAACGTTAAGCGTTGCGTGGGGCGTCGCACGTAAGATGAGGAGCTGTAAGTAAAATATGGTTGACGGTAAGGAGAGACAAAGAACATTGTGGAGAAACTAATGTATGTACATAGTAGAGTGTTTCGCACACTCGCCAAAGAGACAGATTTGCATTGTTTCTTTGTCTCGTTCGAAAGAGGAAAGGCCGCATATGCAGGAACATGTTCCTTGGCAAAGGCGACAAGGCACACGATCTTCAATCAATCGTTCACTCATCACGTCGTCCGCACTATATGCCGTTTGGGGCTAGCTTGATGCTTTTTCCACAAGCCTGCCAGAAGTGGGTGATCTCATCAGGAATTGACGGGTCAGTCATCGATTGCTTACCGGCCGTGCACAAGTCGACGTGTAACGGCCCCCTGCGAGCATCGTGACTATATGCGTCGCAGTGAACAAGGCTGTGGATCCTACGGCCTAAAATTCCAAATGCTCTGTACATGAGGAGGTATTCAGCTGGGTATCATCGCTCTGAGCTGATGTTTTACGCAAGATCAAGCAGGATCAGTGCCTCGGATGCTGACGCTTGACCGTTCAGACATGTTGGGTGCACCAGACATGTTGAGTGCACAGAAACTCCAGAGGAGGGTTCGGATAAGGCGTCCGCATAACTTGGTACCAACAGGTCCGGCTAAGGCGTCCGTACGAATATCGGCGAGGCCGACCACGTCTCGCTGGGTGGTCTGTACTGTGGCTGAACTTAAAATCATTGAGCTGATCGAGTCCTCTGATAGGCTTACCGCTTTGCATATTCCAGAGCTTTACTACAGCTAGCCACCGATCCCAGCGCCCTAAGATCGGCGAAGAGGCGGCATATGCGCTCAGTAGTCCAGGAACAGTCGACCCGCTTCGCTTTAGCTAGGCTGCAATGCAGCAAGGATCGTAGCGCATGATTGTGTTTCTGGCGCCTATTGCGAATGCCATCCTGGAATGTGGACGCGGGTAACGCCAAGATGTGGGTTCTCGAGAAAGCAGGCTGCACGATGGCTGAGTTGGCATCAGCTTAGCTTGTATATATATGAGTCCTGCGTCGGTGTCTCAATACTCTCCACTCATCACAGCCTCGACATCACCACCAAGACCTACAATCAAACACACAATCATCGCCTCTTTCTCCCTACACCAAATAGTTGAAGTCAGACAATCGAACCAAGTTCGAAGACAAACAATGTATCACCACACCACCATCGAGACAATGAACAACCAATCCACACCAAACCGCTTGACGGAACAAAACCTCCAGCTACACACAACACATTTCCAGGTACGTGACATTTGCAGATTCGGTTACATGATCCAGACTAACCATCAACGACAGAACAAGGCTCGAACATATTCAATTGGAACAGACCAAACATGGGAACCATATCATCAACTCGACGACGACGACTTTGAAGGATCTGAGGATGGAGATCTGGACACACGAAGGCACAACATTGAATTACGGAGAGCTGCATCCTTGGAAGCGTTGAAGATATATGGCGGGTGCTTCGCATCGGGTTTCCTTGCAATGCAAGAGTCGTGGAGACCAACACCGACTGCCTCTCAACGCCAGCTGTACTACCTGGACGTCGAGACACTCGAGCTCCGAGAGCTAGCCTCAGAAATGTCCTCCATCGAGACTGGCAGTATCGAAACCGGCTCGACAAGATCGGGTAGCAGCATCGGGAGGCCAAGACCAGACTCCGTCACACTAAGCCCAATCGGTGCTCAAGAAGGAAAGAGCGAAAGGAAATGGAGTTGGAAAAGCCTCGGAAAGAAGAGGCGTAACAAGTCGAACAAGTCGCCAATGTAAGGTGTGCATTGAAGTTGACAACGATGGTTGGCATTATGACGATTCTATTTTTTAGCGATGGTGTTGGGGTCTTGAATTTTCTCTCGGTGTCAATGGGCATAACGGTGCAGTCTTCTTTGTCATGAATACATACCATCCACGAGCAGCCTCGTGCGTCACGATTTACCCAATTATATCCTCATAGTGTGTAATATTAGTACAAGCTTCAAATCAAAGTTCTCCGGAAAAGAATATTCAGAATGCATGTCGCAATGACACATCACAGGCCTCCTTCCCCATTGGTGATCCTGCACAAGCAAGTGCTACCCACGTGCCCGCCCAATTTTAGTCAGTTCAAAACACTTCCACCTCGTCAGCTGAGATGGTATGCCGGGTAGAGGTCATGATCTCGTGGGATTGCCAAGCGTGGAGGCTGACTGCACGATGTGCCTGCTGACCTCGGACTCGCAGACGAGCCAGTCACGACACGCAGCCTCTTGTTCGGGAATCCAGGGGCAGCGGGAGAGATGCAAAAATTGGCGCAAACATCCATTGAAGGTCGACGAAGCGTGTGGAAGTTCTATGATCGCAGATACCGGTGAATGACGTAGTGACTGGAGCTCTGAACGGGCGCGTGTAGCAGGGGGTCACGACGATAGCTGAAGCGAGCGAACAAAGCGGCATGAGAGCAATCGTCGCGTCTGAAGCTCGCCGACGATCGCACTTGCTGCTCCAGCAATCGTGACCGCCGGGATCTTCACGACCTGTATTGAATACGGCACGGTTGTCGCCCGCTGTGCTGCTGCGGAAGCAAGTGCACCTGTCACCAACAACACGTCTACTATCGTGACCTGGTCGCCTTCATCTGCATCTCTACACCGCAGTTTCATACCCCCACGTCTCCTAGTTCCTAGCTACAAATAGCATTCATCATCTCCAATCCTTTTGCTCTGCCCCTACATAAAGTGTGAGCCCCACCCTCAACAAGCAGCGGGCCCTCGAGCATACGACTAATCTCTGTACTAGTTACGCACGCCATAACAACCACGTTTTCAACACCAACCACGTCCCAGTATAACACCTGCCCAGCATCACTCAAGAGCTGTCTCAGCCCGCCATCCCCCGTAGCATGAGCTCGCAATCTTCGAAGCCCCGTCGCACCTCCACCAACCTCGACCCATACGCTGCACCGCATGTCTACTACGGCGCCAGCCACTCGCGGAACCATGTCAGAGCAAGGACCTACTCAGCTGTGCGTGTCTCCCAAACCACAGTTGGCAAACAATGAGCTGACAGAGGGTAGAACGTAGAGAATACTGCCCGCAATGCTCTTCCGACCGAGGGCGTGTCCCAAGGGCGTCGCATCAGCCATGGTACGTGCCTGCTGCACCACGCTGACAATTGCACATGTACTGACAACACCAGACGAGGCTTCCGTGCAGCCGCGCCGCTTCCTGATCCAAGTCGAGGCTACACTCAAGACGCTCCTCTCCCGCGAGGACTCGGACGGCAACTGTCAGATCACAATCGACGATAAGGGTCCCAAGGTGCGTGTCGATATGGAGATCGAGCAACCTTGTGGCTAATTTGGAGCAGGTCATCTCACTCGGCACCCTCGGTTCGAATGCATACAACAAGTTTGATGTCCGAGGCAACTACATGCTCTCGAACCTGCTCCAAGAGCTCACCCTCGCCCAAGATTATGGCCGCAAGACTATTGTCCTTGACGAAGCGCGTCTGAACGAGAACCCCGTCAACCGCCTCTCTCGACTGATTCAGTACTCGTTCTGGGACGGACTCACTCGCCGTATCGACGGCTCGAATATCGAGAAGGTCGGACGCGATCCGAAAGACTGGACAGACGACCCGCGTCCCCGTATATACATTCCGCATGGTGTTCAGGACCAGTATGACTACTACACTCGCATTGCCAACGAGCATCCAGAGATGCGTCTGGACGTCCAGTGGCTGGCCAAGGATTGTGACAATGATGCATATGTGCGCGACTTGAACAAGGCGCCTGGCCTCCTCGCAATCGCGATGGAGGAACATATCGACCCTGTCACCAAGAAGAAGGACCTGCGAGGGCTGCCTTTTGTCGTTCCCGGCGGCCGTTTCAATGAGCTCTACGGCTGGGACAGCTACATGGAGTCGCTCGGCTTGCTGGTAAACGATCGCGTGGATCTGGTCAAATCCATGGTCATTCACTTCTGTTTCTGCATCAAACACTATAACAAGATCCTCAACGCGAATCGGACATACTACTTGTGCCGTTCTCAACCACCCTTTCTCACTGACATGGCGTTGCGTGTCTACGAACGGATCAAGCACGAGGATGGTGCTTTGGAGTTTCTACGCCAAGCCATCCTTGCCGCTATCAAGGAATACTACTCGGTGTGGATGAGCCCGCCCCGGTACGACGCAACAACTGGTCTTTCCAAGTATTCGCCAGGTGGTCTAGGCGTACCTCCCGAGACAGAAGCGTCTCATTTCACAGTTGTCTTGACACCTTATGCTAAGCAGCATGGGATGTCATTTGACGAGTTTGTCGAAGCGTACAACAGCGGAGAGGTGCACGAACCTACGCTGGACGACTATTTCCGACACGATCGCGCTGTACGTGAATCTGGCCATGACACTTCCTACCGCCTCGAGAACGTTGCTGCCGATCTCGCTGTTGTTGACATCAATGCACTTCTTTACAAATACGAAGTCGACATCGGTCGCTGCATCCGCAACCACTTTGGAGATAGACTCGAGATCCCTGCCGATTTCTGCACTGGTAAGATGAAGCCCGGCCAGGTCGAAACTTCGGCTATCTGGGAGCGTCGTGCAAGATTGCGACGTACCAATGTTGACAAGTACCTCTGGGACGAGGAAGCCGGTATGTATTTCGACTATAACACCGTCCAGAAAGCACGCACTGGCTATGAGAGCGCAACAACCTTTTGGCCAATGTGGTCTGGTCTTGCGACACCTCGGCAGGCCCAAATTCTCGTGGAAAAAGCCCTGCCCAAGCTCGAGGTCTTTGGCGGCCTTGTGTCTGGAACGGAGAAATCTCGCGGCCACGTCAACCTCGAGCGTCCTAATCGGCAGTGGGACTATCCTTTTGGATGGGCACCACAGCAAATTCTGGCCTGGGTCGGTTTCCAGCGGTACGGGTATGATACTGAGGCTCAGCGACTGGCGTTTCGATGGCTACACATGGTCACCAAGGCCTTTGTTGATTTCAATGGTGTTGTCGTTGAAAAGTACGATGTCACAAGAGAGATCGATCCTCACAAGGTTGAAGCCGAGTACGGTAATCAGGGCAGCGACTTCAAGGGCGTTCCCCGCGAAGGGTACATGATCTTCCCCTATTTATATCAAACGTGCGTATGCTAACTGATCGCAGCTTCGGATGGGTTAACGCGAGTTATATCTATGGACTCACGCTCCTCAGCGCCCACCAACGTCGTGCGCTCGGTGCTTTGACCGACTGGAACACATACCAGAAGGCCATGGACGCATTAGACATGGCATGAGCACATACATCTCTCTTGGTTTGCGTTTGCGTTTACGACTTCATGACTTGCCGTGTATATTGATGCTAGACTGTGTTAGACGCTCGCATGGCCGTTGGGGCGTTGCTTTTGGGATCCCTTCAGTGGTGCACGGGAAAGGGGCACATGGAGTACCTTTCCGATGAGTTGTACGGGGTTGGTTTGTGTTGATGAGGGCTGAACGGATGGTGCCGTGTGGTACGGTTTAGGAATATTGTGATGAACAGTTGACCTATGAATAATGAAGAATATTGATATGCATACGGTTTCATCCTTCGTATGCCTGGACGTGATGCGCGACACGCGGAGGCGTCAAAAGCAATTACCATCCGGTGATATTTAGATCTCTCTACCCAACGCTTGGACTCATTGACCAGTTTCGACACATGATCAATGCTGTGCTTCCAAAACAAAAATAGGTCTGAAGGGCGGCTGAAGGGCGGAGCTTTGGGTGATGATGGAATGTTCGAGAGTCGCGCACACTAAACAGCTCTAGCGCGAAATCGCCACCGATCGGTCATCATCGTGGCTGCCTCTTTATTCAAAAGTATCCATACCAGCTAACGATTGATCAAGAGACATTCCTGACCTCACTGTACGCTCAACCACCATCTCCTGCCTTCCACTCTCACCTACTGACAAATCGGCGTAGCGCAAACGCAGCACCAAATTCACATAAGAAGCGCAACACCCCGCCTCGACACACGACACACACCGCTCAGCCTTCCCACCACATATACATCAACATGTCTGAGGACTGGAACTCCGTTACCAAGATCGGCAGCCGCACCCGTGGCGGTGCCGCAGCTCCCCGCGAGACAGTCGTCAAGGGCAAGAGCGCCCTGAACGCCGCCCAGCGCAGCGGAGCTGTCATTGCAACAGAAAAGAAGTTTGCCTCGTCCAACGCTGTAAGTCCACTCCAGCTACCTAGATTCGCCCACATTCCTCGTTCGTCTTGCTGACAGACCCAGGGTGGAAGCGGTTCCGCAGAAGGCCAGCGCCTTACCAAGGTCGACCGCTCCGACGACATCGTCAAGCCCAAGACTGTCGGCACTGTCGTCGGCCAGGCCATATCCAAAGCCCGCTCGGAAGCCAAGAACGACAAGGGCACGACTATGACGCAGAAGGATTTGGCCACCAAGTGCAACTCTACTCCCACAATCATTGCCGATTTCGAGCGCGGGACAGCCACGCCGGATCAGAAGCTGTTGGGCAACATGGAGCGCGTACTCAACGTTATCCTGCGGGGCGACAAGATGGGGCAGCCCAAGTTCCCGAAGAAGAACTGAGCTGGTGGACTCGAAATGACTAACCGCAGGCCATGACTGTGGGAGGTGTGTTTGGAGGCTTCTACTCGCTTCGATAGGAAATGGACACGATCTTATCATTTGGACTAGCGGGCGTTTGATGGCTATCACGGAGGAACGACAACCAAAAGGGTAGGCGCAGAGTGCCGACTCAATGTCTTTCTCAGCCTGCTATTCTGCACAATGACTGGAATGGTTCAGGCAATTGCTTGAGCACCCATAGATGCTAGAAAAAGAAAAAATCCACGACTGACGACAACATATTGTCCCCTCCTGCCTAGTGACAAATCCACATGTCCCAGTCCCCCAAACACCTCCCTCCCACCTACCTCACTCAGGCGGCCCATCACACAAAGGCCCCGAATCACTCGGTTCCCACGGCGGCACCCCCCTCTCCCCCTCCACCCTCCTCCCCCTAACCAACACCGGAATCACACCCCCCGTCTCGAGCGCAAACCCCCGATGCCCCAAGACCTCAAGCAGACTCGCAATCGCGCCCGAATGCGCAGTCAGACTCAAAAACACACCCCCATCACTCGCAAACACATCGTCCAGCAACCGCGCAACCCGGTACCGCCGCGCACTCACCGGCTCCCTGTAATCAGCCCGCCACAACATATCCTCCTCCGCGAACCCGGGCTCGAACACGGCGTGTGGGAACGCGCCCGCGATCTGCGACCGCGTGCTGCGCTGGTCGCAGGTGTGTATTCCTAGGGCTTCGCGGAGGAGTTCTTTCACCACTGGTGTGTAAGGGATGGAGAGGGGCAGGTTAGTAAATGTCAGGTCAGCGGTTTGCAGCGTCCGGGTTAGGGGGCTGACGTAGTGCGTTTCTGGGGGTGGGAGGCCGAGGGGGAGCTGGGTTTTCCAGAGTGTGTGCGCGGCGAGGGCTTGTTGGGCGCCGAGGGGGGTGAGGTGTGCGTCGGCCCAGACGAGGTTGGAGAGGCCGGGGAGCGTGGAGTAGTAGCACTGCTGGGGGGTTAGTGGGGGGGGGGGGGGGGGGGGGGGGGGGGGGGGGGGGGGGGGGGGGGGGGGGGGGGGGGAGAGGGGGGGGGGTGATGTACATCCCACGCCTTCGTCCCGTATTTTGCCTCCGCGACGTTATGCCAGCCTTGTCCGTGGCGGCCGAGGAAGAGCACTTTTATGCTTTCGCCGTCTTGTGCCGCGGCGTTGATGTGGCGTGTGTAGCGCTCGAAGCGCGGCCATGGGTTTTCTTGTTCGTTTTCTGCTTTGCTGTCTGTGTCGTAACTGCGGTTTATGAGGCCGAAGTTTTGTGTTTTCTGTATGTGGTTAGTTGTTTGCATTCATCCATTCATCCATTCACGTCTTGTTATGATCAACACGTGCACCCAAGAGGAACACATACAAAGTCAAACCCGCTATCATCCGTCGAGTCCTCAGATTGCATGAAAAAGCCCTTCAGCACGCTGTACTCGAAGTGAAACGCGGGGGCCTCGGCCGGGACGCGGGGTTCATCTGGGGTGCTCATGTTCGTGCTGAGGTAGAAGAATAGGACTAAGAGCGTGGAGAGGAGGAAGATGGGACTGGGTGTGATGTGTTAGTGGGGGTGGGACGGGACGGGGACGGGATGTAGGTACATGGGACTGGTGCAGCTGTGGTGCATTACGTGCAGATATGATTGTGCATTCTTTTGTCATGTGCTGCTGTTGGAGCTGTGAGGGAGAGGTGTGGTTGAGATATGGGCTGCGCTAGACGGATGCAGATCCAATCAGATAGGTAGAAGCGGATCATGGACGAAAGCGCGAGTGAACGAGGTAGTTTAGTAAATCGTGTGTTCTTCATAATTTGGTATTCACAACAGCTCGCTTGAAATGATTTGATCATCGAGGACATTGCATTCAGATACATGTCATCTGTACGTGGCTCTATCATAACTTTTTGAAGAGCCTACCCCGGGGCTTTCTAAGACCCAACTGCCGGAACGCCATTGCATGCATGCATCCTCCCAGCCATCATCTCTCATAACGCCTACATTACAAGTTCGCCGACTTGGCCTCGCGCTCAACCTCGTACAGGAAGTCAAAGTACGGCTTGTCGAAGTGGTGTACGCGCACGTATCCGTCCTCACCACCGCTGCAGTAGGCGGTGCCTTGTGGGTGTACGGCGACGTAGTTGAGGGGACCAAAGTGGCCGCGCACACGGCCAATCTCCTCCATAAAGATCTTGTGGTAAAAACGGGCTTCGAATTTACCCTGGCGGGCAGATGTGGTGGTAACGTCCATGGCGGCTTGACCACCACCGAGGATGACGTAGTCTTTTACAGGGGTGATTGCGGCGCTGTTGAGGGGTGTGTCGGCAATGTAGGATTTGAGGACGGAGAGGTCTTCGACGTCGATGAGCTGGGGGCTGGTTAGATACTTTGTTTGGAGGGCAGCTTGTGTATGGTGAACGCACCTTGGCGGTCTTGTCTTTGGAGGCGGTGATGAAGTATGTTCGGTCTGGCGACCACTGGAGATCGGTCACTGCGGCATGTCAGCATTGCAGTCGCTTCCTCTGCCATGTCCTGCATACCCTGCATATCCGCATCGTGCGCGTCGTAGTTGCTCTGGAGCAGCTCTCCGGTCTTGGCATCCCACTGTGTGATGGAACCGTCCTCGTGCCCCGAGACGATGTACTTGGCCAGGTAGCTGAAGCCCGCCACGGTCGCCTTGCTCTCGTCGCACACTATCCTCAGCGAGTGCTCATCCGTCTGCTCGGCCTCTGGGTCTGGGTTGATGGGGTAGACGACGATGGTGGAGAGGTGGCCGGAGCGCTTCTCCGTGACGCCGAGAAGCTGCTTGCCGTCGGGCGAGAACTCGCAGCGCTTGATGGACGTGGCGAACTCCCAAGTCTTCAGCAGCTTGCCCGTCTTGACCTCCCACAGGCGCAGCGTGTTGTCTGCGCCGCCCGTCGCAAGCAGTTCCGTGGTGGGGTTGACGTCGACGGTCCAGAGGGCGCCCTGGTGGCCGTGGTAGGTTCCGAATCGCTCGCCGTTGTGCGAGTCTGCATCGCGTCAGCATCGTGCCCTCGTCTCGCTTGCCCGGACGACTACTGACACCACGCGCACACAACATGGTCCTTGGACACGGAGAAGATGATGTCGCCGTCGGGGTTGAATTTGACCTGCGTGAGCGCACGCTCGTGACCCGAGAGAAGAATCGGCCTCATGTTGACGGTTGGTATTGGAGGGATGCGTGGGCGGGGTCGAGGTGGTGGGGAGGCGCCTTGTCTAAATTTTGGCTCACTGTTTTCGATATCCAATGTGCGCTAGCGCCTGCCGAACTACGACGACCTCTCCTCTCCTTCATGACTCCAACAGTCCACCACACACGACGGGCCGGGCCAAGTCTGCTTCCGGTGAGGATGGAGCATCACAGTTTATGAATCATATCTTCTTGCGGTTGTTGAAACCAGGGCATGGACCTTGGCAATTCATAAGATAGTCATGAGTTTGACACCCCTACGAACCTGCACATATTCTCAGGTCTATGATACTAGTAGAAAGCTTAAGTAAGAGCAAGATTCACCGGTAGGTTCTATGTTGGTGTATTTTCCAGCACTTGCCTCTTCTCTCAATTCCCGTCCACGGTTGTCCCCTCGTTTTAGTCCTTGAGAGTCTGTTTTCAGCCTTTATCTTCTTCTTCTTCTTCTTTCATATACAAGCTCCATGTGCAGCCATGATGAACATAGCGTAGCCTTCATCCAATTGAAGTTGTTGTTGTTTCGTCACGCCACTTCCCAACCCAGTCACAAACTCGCTCTCGTACTCATGCCGGTGACTCAGCACTTCCGTCACACTGCGCTGCTGTCATCTCAGGTTCAATGAGGCATCCAAGTTCTTCATACACGAGCTACTTTCTACCTCGCCTAACGCGATGTATCTGGCGTTGTGTAGACTGAGGGAGCATGAGAAAGAGTGGGCATCTGCCAATATATCGCCAGTCCAGCTACAGAGCACGCTTGCTCTTTGCTCAAGTGAACCAAAACTCTTGCCGTTCTTTAAAAAGTAGCCTGTTCCCAAGATGCCTACCATGGCGACATATATCCTGCTGTGTATACGACGATACTGAAGTTCATTAAACCAGTACTTCTGTCAGTGTGGGCAAGTGCGATGTTGTGCAGCGTGGCTTGGCGCAAACGCGCTTGCTCTACTTCATGCGATAACACGCGACCTTCGACATCAAAGCTTACCTTGACCTGTCAACAGCAACAAGTAGCTCCGCAGCAAACTATCTTTTCCCTGAACGGCAGCGGACTGGAGGGCAACGACCATGGCCCCTATTGAACCGCCCGACGCAATCGATATCCCAACGGTGCTCAATCGACTCGAGAACCTCAGTGCTGATGAGTATGTTCTAGCTTTTGGTCCGGATGGACGACAGTTCTTTGCTACGCCAAATGGTTATTCCGCGTAAGTCAGTTTCTTTCCAGATCGAGTACCGGCTGATTGTGTTATAGCACCTATCTACCTTCGAGAGTCCTGTCGGATGTATCTGCCGGTCACGTCAAGAAGATTATCTGGGCATCTTTTGGCAGCGAGCTAGATTCGTGGTTCTTCTCGTACGAGATGAGCGACGGTACCCGCACCTGTCGCACTGGGCCTGCGATTCCGAAAGCGCTACACGAGTTTATCGAGCAAATCGGCGAGTCTCCCCAACTCATGTCGTCTCTACATGTTCAGCTAGGCGCCCACGAATCTTTCGTCGTTTGGAGTGGGACGACCTGGGCATGCCTCAACATCCCAAAGTCCCTCAAGTCGCAGTTGATTAAGTTTAGCTCCATGTACAAGGACTTCGACACAATTACCAAGGGCTCTTTCAGCAAGCACAGTCATAGAAATGTCGCATGGCATGGCAGTGGCTCATTCTACCTCAAGAACGGAAACCAGCACGTCTGGAAATACTGCTCAGAGGTTATGCGCCAAGCGTGGTATGGACTTTGGCAAAATGACAGTCCCTCGCGCTCACCAAATCTGTCTAACCTGGCGGTAAGCTTATAGACCTTCCGCGAAACAACATCTAACACATGACAGTATGTCGCTATCAATTCTCATGCCGCCAGTGGAGAAGCTTTTGCGTTTCTGAAGCAGCAGCAGAAAGGCAAGGAAGTGCCCTTCACCATCCGTCTTGACCACGACTCCACGTACTCTAGCTTGCCATCAAGCCGTCAACCTTTGCCACCAGATGATCGGCTCGAGCATGTAGCTCAAGAACCGGATCAGCCAAGTCACTATTGTTGGGCTATCAGCAAGAAGACTGGACGTCCACACCCGAGAGATGCAAGGGAGCTGGAGCTGAGGAAGAACGAAAGGGTCAAAATATTGGAGGACATGGGGCGGGATTGGTTCATGGCTCAGGACAGGAAAGGTCTCAAGGGATGGGTTCACCGGTCCTGGCTCTCCTTTGGCGATGAGGAGCCCAAAGCAGACGCGAAAGCAATCTACTCCCGGTTTGCGCAGGACATGCAGAAGTTCCTGGTTCCTGGCCAACTGCGGAGCTTTCCGTGTTTGAAGGAATACATGAACACCTGTGTCAAGGATGAGTGCAAGCTGCTCAAACAAGACAGCCTGCTTGGAATCTGCCTCCACGACTTGCAGAATTTGTTGATGGGCTCGGGCGAGTATTCGTATGGATGGTTGAAGGAAGAACGCAACGTCTGGCACCCGGACAAATTTGCTCGGTACTGCCATGCAGATCACAAAGAAGGGTTGAAGGCGCATGCAGAGGACATGTTTGTCATGTATGGGATCCTGATGGACAAGTGCATGACTGACGATGGCAATGGTGAATGAGGGTGTTTTGGTCAAGATGGTTCACAATGACAAACACATCGAGGATAGATACAAACATGGGATAACATTTCCCATCAACTTCCTTTCCCCGTGGAGTTTACTTTTTTCCAAGCGTCCAAAATTCAGCACTGACTACGTAATGCGCCGTACGCGAGATACGGACCGAAGAAAAAATGGCTCTGTGCCAACAAGGGACAATGGATCCGCGCAGGTTGAGTCATTGTAACATGTAAATTGTCGCCAAATCCAAACGCATTGCTCCCTTCTCACTAGGGCAGAATTGGCAGCTGGACTTGATAACTGCTTTGGATGATATGAGACTGAGGATGCCGATGAGCGGACGCGTTTTTACTCTCGCTACAGCTACCCCGCCCAGGCAGATTCTCGCGCGAGCACCCCGCCACTTGTATACTCTGTTGTACACGTCTCCGTCGGCCAGTGGCAGCAGGACGTTTTGCAGCACGCGGATCAGTATGACGGCCACCAAGATTGATGGGACGGCCATTGCCAAGGGCATCCGCGAGCGGCTGGGGGCGCAGATCAAGAAGAGGCAGGAGGTGAATGCGCGGTACAGGCCGAACTTGAAGATTGTGCAGAGTGAGTAGAGCGCGGCGAGTACTTATATAGATTATGGCAGGCTGATGAGAGGCAGTCGGTGACCGGTCGGATTCGTCGACGTATGTGCGCATGAAGCTCAAGGCGGCTGAGGAGGCCAACATCGACTGCGAGCTCGTCCACCTGCCCGAGGACATCAGCGAGAGCGACCTGCTGTACCAGATCGACGAGTACAACAACGACCCCGCCGTGCACGGCATCCTGGTCCAGCTGCCGCTGCCCAAGCACATCTCCGAGCACACCGTCACGTCGGCCGTCGCCGACGAGAAGGACGTCGATGGCTTCGGCATCCAGAGCATCGGCGAGCTGGCCAAGCGCGGGGGCAAGCCGCTGTTCACGCCGTGCACCCCCAAGGGCGTCATGGTGCTGCTGCAGGAGGCGGGCGTCGACATCAGCGGCAAGAACGCCGTCGTGCTGGGCCGCAGCGACATTGTGGGCAGCCCCGTCAGCTACCTGCTGAAGAACGCCGACGCGACCGTGACCGTGTGCCACTCGCGCACTGCCAACCTGCCCGACGTCGTCCGGCAGGCGGATATCGTCGTCGCCGCCATCGGCAAGGCGCAGTTCGTCAAGGGCGACTGGCTCAAGCCCGGCGCCGTCGTCATCGACGTGGGCACCAACTTCATCCCCGACGACACCAAGAAGAGCGGCCAGCGCCTGGTGGGCGACGTCGACTACGACTCGGCCGTTGAGATCGCGTCCCACATCACGCCCGTCCCCGGCGGCGTGGGGCCCATGACGATTGCTATGCTGCTGCAGAACCTCGTCGACTCGGCCGACGCCACGTTTGACCGCGAGAAGAAGCGCAAGATCTCGCCCATCCCGCTCAAGCTCGAGGACCCCATCCCCGCCGACCACGTCATCTCGCGCAAGCAGCACCCCAAGCAGATCACCACCGTCGCCAGGGAGGTCGGTATCCTGCCGTCCGAGCTGGAGCCGTACGGCGCGACCAAGGCCAAGGTCGACCTGTCTCTGCTGAAGCGCCTCGACTACCGCCGCAATGGACGCTACGTCCTCATCGCCGGCATCACGCCCACCCCGCTCGGCGAGGGCAAGTCGACGACCACGATTGGTGTCGCCCAGGCGTTGGGCGCACATCTCGGCAAGATCTGCTTTGCCAACGTGCGACAGCCCAGCATGGGGCCGACCTTTGGCATTAAGGGTGGCGCGGCCGGTGGAGGCTACAGCCAGGTCATCCCCATGGACCAGTTCAACCTCCATCTCACGGGCGACATCCACGCCATCACCGCCGCCAACAACTTGCTCGCCGCTGCCATCGAGACGCGCATGTTCCACGAGAACACACAAAAGGACGGCCCGCTGTACAAGCGCCTGGTGCCGGCTAAGAAGAGCGGACGCGAGTTTGCCCCTGTCATGTTCCGCCGTCTCAAGAAGCTCGGCATCGACAAGACGAACCCCGACGACTTGACCGAGGACGAGATCAGGAGGTTTGCCCGACTGGACATTGACCCTGACACGATCACGTGGCGACGCGTTCTCGACGTCAACGACAGGCATCTGCGACACATCACCATCGGCCAGGCAGCGACAGAAAAGGGCCACACGCGTGAGACCGGATTCGACATCTCAGTTGCCAGCGAGTGCATGGCCATCCTCGCCCTCAGCAACGACCTTGCAGATATGCGAGAGCGCCTCGGCCGCATGGTCATTGCCAGCTCCCGCGCCGGCGACCCCGTCACCTGCGACGACATCGGCGCGGGCGGCGCTCTGACCGCTCTCCTCGTCGACGCCATCAAGCCAAACATGATGCAGACACTAGAAGGCACACCCGTCTTCGTGCACGCCGGTCCCTTTGCAAACATCAGCATCGGCGCCTCATCCGTCCTCGCCGACAAGCTCGCCCTCAAGCTCGCAGGCACAGAACCCGACGAGGACCATGATGAGAAAACGGGTTTCGTCGTCACAGAAGCCGGCTTCGACTTCACCATGGGCGGCGAGCGCTTCTTCAACATCAAATGCCGCTCCTCGGGCCTCGTCCCCGACACAGTCGTCATCGTCGCCACAGTCCGCGCCCTCAAAGTCCACGGCGGCGGCCCGGAAATCAAACCAGGCGCCCAACTCCAGGAAGTCTACCGCACGGAGAATATCGAGCTCCTGCGCGCTGGCTGCGTGAATATGAAGAAACATATTGAAAATGCAAGGGCGTATGGCGTCCCTGTCGTCGTGGCTATAAACCGCTTCGCGACAGATACTCAGGCGGAAATCGACGTTATTCGCGACGAAGCTATCGCTGCGGGCGCAGAGGACGCTATACCCGCTAACCACTTCGCCGAGGGCGGAAAGGGCGCTATCGACCTCGCTAAGGGTATCATCGCCGCCTCTGCAAAGCCGAAACCGGACTTCAAACTGCTGTACGACCTTGACAATACGGTACAGGAGCGCATGGATATCATCGCCAAGCAAATGTACGGCGCCGAAGCCGTGACGTTCTCGGACCTCGCGCAGAAGAAGGTGGATATGTATGTTAAGCAGGGTTTGGGCAATTTACCTATCTGTGTGGCGAAGACGCAGTACTCGCTTTCGCATGATGCGGCGCTTAAGGGCGCGCCGGAGGGGTTCACGGTTCCGATAAGGGATGTTAGGATGGCGGCTGGTGCCGGGTATTTGTATGCGCTTGCGGCGGATATACAGACTATTCCGGGACTGCCGACGGCGCCGGGGTATTTGAATATTGAGGTTGATGTGGAGAGTGGGGAGATTGCGGGGATGTTTTAGGGGGAGACTTGGTGTGGAGGGAGGGGGGTTGAAGGGGGGGGAAGGGGGGAGGGCGTAGATCTGGCGTTTCTTTTTTATGGCATGGGATGGGATGGGATGGGGTTGTTCAACATGACTTGACTTGACATGATTTAGCATGGCTTGGTGTGGGGTTGTCGTATTCAACTAGACGGTATGGTTTGGTACGGTACGGTACGGTTATGGTCTTCTTATCAACTTGAAGATCATGGATGGGAATACATTACATTGCAGTGAATGCATAGAGACGGAGGTGCAAAGGAACGCGCACCGACTTATGAGTGATGGTCAAGCTTGTCTGTTTTCTAGCTATAATGCTTCACTCCACTGGGTAGTTGACTTGTCACTTGACTTGGCTTAGTTGGTTAGTTGGTTGGTTGGTTCAATGCAAGCCAGTCTCACCACCATTTGCCTCGTAAACGACAAGTCCCCCCACCCCCCATCTACGGAAAGCAAAAAGCGACGCATCTCGGAGTCCTGCCTTTAGCGCTGTTCTACGTCCTTGGAGGGCAAGACTGCTATGTTTACGTCGCATCTACATTCATCAGAACACAAAATAGAGAGAAGACTTGGTTTCTTAACATCAGATCAAGTACCGCAGTATCTATGCTACAGCATATTTTGCTAGTGAAGATCCTAGTGCATACCACACTATTCATGTTCATATCTATATCCACATCCTTGTGCAAGTCCGTACTCAGCGGCGAAAAAACCAGATCAAAGGGTAAGTAAGATGACGAGCAGGTAATAGGGTAGGTACAAGGAAAAAGTACCCGAACTACACTATGGTATGCCGTGGCTGTTTGTGAATTACGCGATGATCAATAAAGAGGACTTACAGATCGAACCAGATGAATAGTAGAGTGGGTAGGAAGGAAAAGAGTGCAAGAAACAAAGAACGCGACGACGAAAAAAATGGCTCGGTGCATTAATCTAGGGAGAAGAAGGAAACGAAGAATGTAACCGCGAAAATGCAAACACCAATCCATGCCACGCCACGCCATGCCCATGGTACAAACAATGCGAATACACCCACTCCATGCACACCACATCTCATCTACACTTACTTACTTCCTCACGCAATCTAACCCAACCCATCCAACCCCCTCGCAAAAAGACAAGCAGCCCACCAACAATCCATCCACCTCGATCAAGAGCTCAATTACTGTCCACACATTAGCTTTCACCCCCCCCACATAAAAAAACTGAAAAAAAACTCACTAAATCTCCAACGGCGCAATCTGATCAACATTATACAGCCACCCCCCGCCCCTCTCCTCCGTCTCCAACCAATCATACGGCCAAACCACCAAATGGCCCTGCACCAGCCCCATCAGACTCCTTGCGTCTTCTTTATCCAGCAGAGAATCCGCGTCCGTAGCGTTGAAAGCGCGGGTTGAGGATTTCGTTGTTGCGCGGCGGCGGGAGCGTTTTGTGTTTGAGCGGTTGACTCCCGCTGTGTTATTACTGTTGGGGTGTCCGGATAGGGGTTCTGAGATGGTGACTTGGCGGGGGCGGGCGGTGTTGTTTGCGGACGCAGGGGGTGAGTCGTTAGGAATAGGCGGTGGAGCGGGGAAGGTATATGTGCGTCCCTGAACGTCGGGGTTCATAGGTGAGACTATACTGTCGTCCGCCGGGCGGGGGGATAAGCGCTCATTGCTCGTCGACGTCGTGTGTGTGTCTAGCTTCAGGTTAGGATGAGCATTATTATGGTCCTGGACCTGTTTCTCCTGATCCTTAGCCCATTGCTCCACGCCGCCGATCTTCGAGTGGTGGTTATTCCCGTCTGGGCTGTGACCTAGCTTCTCGCTGAACTTCTCGCCAAAGGCTTCGAATTGCTTGCCGACGTTGCCGGCGGCGGCGGAGAAGCCCTTGCCCGTTCCGGGCGGCCCTGTCCTACCGGGTGCGTCCTGCGATCTGTGTTGCGTGCTCTTGTCATCGCCTTGGGATTTGGCGAAGCGCTCGGAAAAGGCTGCGTACTCCTGGTACTCCTTCCATGTGCGGACTTCATTATCGGGCATGCAGCGGAAGGTGTGGCGGAAGAGTTTGGTGTTGTTCTCGGCGACCTGGTGCCAGATGTCGAGGTAGAAGGAGTCGTTGAGCGGGTCGCGCATGCAGTCGTCTGTGACGGTGGGGCGGCGCATGTCGGCGAGGAGGGGGTTGATGGTGCTTGCCGAACCCTGGCTAAAGGTGCGCTGGAGAGGCGGGCCGCCGATATCTGTGTCGTCGGAAACAGGCAGGGCGGGGAGCTGGCTGAGCTGTGTCAAGCCTAGTTTTGTCGTGTCCATGCGAGGGATACGAGCTGGAGGGAGAGTCGGGTTGCCTTCGGGGAGACTGCTGTGAGCGCTGGTCCTAGTGCCAGTCGTTCCGCTGCGGCGGCGAGATTTCACGGTTGAGGCGCGTTTTGGTGCATGCAGACCTTCCGGCGCGACGTCAACCACCAGCTTTTCGTGGCCTTGAGGGTCGACGTATGAGTCGCGGCCCCGAGATATACTTGGACGATTGGCTTCGACTTCAAGCATGTGATCTGGGCCCTCCCCTCGAAGGTCCTGCGCATGGGCTGGCTGATTTGTCACACGGGTGTCTGTCGATGGCTTCTTCGTGTTCTTCAAATTAGGGTTTTGATCTTGCGCCCAGTCGAAGTCATGGTTAAAGCTGTGCATGCCCTCAGATCGAGCCAGTATTTCATCTTGCAGACGATGGCTATTCTCTGCCAACTTCTGCTCCGTAACTCGATCGCCAGTTGGAGAAGACGGTCCTGATGATTCAGTTTGGAAGCCGGCGCTATCGGCGTCAGACATCTGGCTCATCCATTCTTCTTCCGAGATACCATCAACATCAATACCCAAGTGCTCGCGCATGAGACGCACGCGGAGGGTATGAGGGAACTTGCCGACCTTGTATGGCTGGCCGCCCATGAAAGAATCAAGCACTTCAGTGTCTCGAATGATTGCAGCAATCTCGGAATCTCGCGATCCTAGCAAAGAACGTTCGTTGATGTTGGCCGAGCCAATGATTGCGACTCGGTCATCGACGACCATGATTTTGGCGTGGATGTAGAGTTGTTCTGTGACCAGCATCTTCTTAGGACCTATCTCGCCCCACGACCTCAAAGCGTAGAACTGGATGTAGTCCTCCGGCTCGATACCTACCGCTCGCAGGCGTCCAAAAATGGACGTCTCTCCACGGCAGATACTGTGGTACTGACATGTCATAATCAGGCGGACACTGCTGCCTTCCTGTTCGTCGACCGTGTTTTGGTATCCAGGCATCAGGGGTAAGACGATGCATGCTCTCCAGTCTTCATCGTTGGCGTGAGCGCGCTTAATGCGATCGACGATAGCGTCGTTGATTTTGTTCTCAATCTTCGTGCCGAGGACTTCACTGCTACTGATGTAGAATTGATTCTCAATGTACACAAAGTGCTCGGACGTGGCGATCATCTGGACGTACGCGTTCATGATGCTGTGCTCGACCTTGTTGGGCGTGCCAATAGACCAAGCGCATGCAGAACGGAGGATCTGCACCTCGCAAGTTCCGTCCAGACCGAGGGCCTCAATATCAGCCGGATTGAAGTCTGGCGGTGGGAGAAGGAACGGCGTGGGGCGGGTAGGTTTGCGTTGGCGGAGCAAGTAGTTCCATCGCTGAACGAAATGACGAGTCAGATCTCGCGCGGGCTGGCCGACAATCTGCATTCCGATATCGTGCCATGGCATTCTGGGGACTTTGCTGCGATCGTACATCTCCTCATAAGGTTTGTCCAAGCTGTAGAAGTCCTGAACTCGGGGGTTCGAGTAGTCTTTACCAGGCCAGAGCTGGCAGTGGTCGGCATCCCTCGGCCCGTTGTCGAGTTCGAAACCAGTCAGCTTGTCATCCACAACGGCGTGCTGTGGTGTATCCCATCGGCCAAAGCACAAGTCGACACCGCCACAAAAGGCGATGGTGTGATCTATCACGCAGATCTTCTCGTGATGCGACCAGAAGAATGTGTTTTGGCGGATTTGATTTGGAGAGCGCTGAACGAAGACATTGGGGTGGAGGTCGAGCAGTGAGAATTTGGAGTACTCGGAGTCAATAGGAATGGCAGCACCGATGTTTCGATACATGATGACGAAAATCTTGACGCCTTCCTGCGCTTTACGTTGGAGCAGTCTGTCGAGCCTCCATTTCTGGCTGATGGCAGCTGGGCGCCGCAAATACAGCTCCGGACTAAGCCACCAGTCGTGAATATAGATGACGTCCTTTGCCATGCTGATCGCGCGCGAGACATTCCACATGTAGTCTCGTCCGTCAACCAGCCACTGCGCATAGATCTTCTTGCGTACAGGCGCGAAGCTGTCGAAGCGCTGACGCTGCGACCACAACGTGTTCTCAGACATGAAGTTGATCGACGCCTCAAACTGCAGCAGCATCTTCTCGTTCCTGGCCAGCAACTTCATCTTCCTCTCCGAATTGAGGAGCTTGAGTTGGTGGTGGCCTGTCACGGAGCCCTTGGCTTCGCTTGCGATGTTCCTGGTTCGCTTGTCTCCCAGTTTGCCGAACTTGGACTCGATATTGAAGTCTGCATCGACGAGGAACACATCATATACGTTCATCTCCTCGGGAGAATCAACGCAAACAATGTAGCTGTGTCGAACGAGAAACCACTTGGGTGCGTGCCGGTTCTGCATAGACGATGGGGTCCACCTCTTCCGAGCATCGACTCCTTTCGAGGACTTGATCATCATAGGCCCCTCCTTCCCATGGTAGCCCCCTTCAGCTGCCAGTCGCACTCCAAGTGCAGACAACTCCAAGAACTTGCACAGACGATTGCTGTCTGGACGGAAGATCAAGTAGGCAATGAGTTTCTTGAGGTAGTATTCCAGCTTTTTGCGCTGTCGATCGTGATGGGTCTGCCTGGTTTGCATGGGTTGGCCTACGGCTCCCGCAAAACTGCCCTGTCTCGCTGCCAGTTGGCCGATGACGCCTCCATCTGCTGGATTACCTATGCTTGGTTGGCGACCGCCGAGCAGAAACGACGATTTGTTACGTTTGGCTCGGCCGGGACGCTCAACGGCGCTCGCGTTGCCATCAGGCCCACTGCCATGGCCTCCAGCAGCAGCGTCTTCCTCTTCCTCTTCGTCTTCCTCATCCAAGATGCCGTAACCTCGGAGACCTCGAAGGTAGGGCAAGGCGCTTCTGGGAAAACGGGGAATCTTCGCTCGCGGATCCTCCCTCTCTTCGACGTCGTCAGCGCCTTCTTTACCCTTCTCTTTCATCTGCTTGGGCCGTACAGGGGTGCTCCGTCGAAAGAGGTCCTGCTTTTCTTGGAGTTTGAACTTGGCGTGCAAATTGGCAAAATCGACCACAGTACGATGGACGACCCACTTCATCCGAGTCAGTCCGCTCCCGTACTCCAACTCCACACGCAGGGGCGTATGTCGGTCGCCTTCTTGATGCTTTACCTGCTCAGCGTCTGTGATAGTGACTTTGAGCTGCTCCAAGAGGACAGGAATGCGCTTGTGGCCGCTTTCGTCGCGCTGAAACATGCTGGCTAAGAACAGGGCAGCAGGCGCTCCAGCCAGGAGCTCGGCCATGAGTTCAGCAGATTTGGCATGATCCACCTGTCGCTCTGCTTTTGCGCGGTTGCCCAAAAGCTTGAGGCCGTTCTTGATGGACTTCCACTTCTGCGCACTCAGACTCGATGTGCGGTCACTGCGCATGCGCCATGGCGAGGGCTGCGTGCCGTCAGTGCCTCTACGCAGGTGGCCTGGTCGGTCTTCGGCGTTGGGGTCGTGTCTTCGCAGGCCGCCGTAGGAGAGGCCTCGTGCACTGTGCAGTCCACGCGACCATGCGCTTTCTTTGGCGATGCGGGAGCGGCCCTCGTCTTCGGAGTAGCCCTGGCGTTCATTCTCGGGAATATCGGTCATGGTGCCGCGGCGGAAGAAGGTCGGGCGGTTCATGCTGGTGGAAGTGGGTGTGAGGTTGGGCGAGTCGCGGGCGAAGTAGCCGCCGGACTGCTTGGGGGTTGTTGGAGCCGTCTGTATGCCCTCGTCCTCGCCGTCAAACCAGCGCCGACTGCTCTTCTTTCTCCGTCTTGCCGGACGCGAGGCTCCCTCGCCGGCGCTTGACTCGGCATCTGCATCGGCCTCGCTATCGTGACCGCCGCTGCTGGGGAAGAAGAGCTCGTCGCGCTCGATGGCGGGAGAAAGGGGGCCGTGTGGGGAGTCCCCTGGCACGGAGCCGCCAAAGGCGCTGTGGGTTCTGCTGTGGCTCGGGGTTGGGGATGCCAGGGCTCTCAGCTTCCCCATGAGCGACACGGCCTGCCTGTCCTGCTCCCTGCCCTTGCCCTTGCCGTCCTCTGTCTCCCACGACTGCTGGCGGGAGGCTGTGGCGGGCGGCTCGAAGTTGTATGTCGTCGAGCGAGCGAACTGCACGCTCTTGCGTTCTCGGGGCATGTCGAGCGAGTCGGCTGCCGGCGCAGGGTCAACGGGTATGGGCACGGGCGCAAAGGGCGGGTAGTAGGTGCTCGTGGAGCCATTGGAGGCGTGCGAGGTGGGCTTGGGCGGCCGCATGGCGTGGTCGACGGCCTCGACATTCTCGATTGCCCCATTGGACGTCGAGACGGGGGCGTTGAAGGGGAACTCGGCGGGCTCCTTAAGGGATAGCGGCGAGCCCGTCGGGGCAGAGCGCATGATGCGGGGGGCGCCGTTGGACGGCGAGGGCAGGTGCAGGGCCTCGGTCTCGTTGGCGCTGGGGCTGGGACTGTGTCCTAGGCGCAGCGACGACAGCAGACTGCGGGCGGGCTGTCTGCCACTTGCAGGCGCAGGGGATGTGGAGCGAGGGGCCTGCGCCGTGGGCGGGAGACCGGACTCGGGGGCGTCGGCCATGGCAGCGGGAGTGGTGTGCAAGGGCGTGTGCAGGAGGGAGTGCAAGAGGGAGTGCAGGACTCGAGACGGTGTGTCGAGCTGGGCAGAGAAAGGTGCTTCCCGGTCCCCTAAGTGTTATACGGCCATGGTGCGTGCTGGGGAACGTGCTGGCGACGCACTGCTCTTCACAGTGATGGTGGAGATGCGGAAAGCTGCGGATGAGGTCCAGTCAGCACATTCAGCACAGCAGCGCAGCGTCGGTAGAGATATGGCTTTTGTCGAGGCCGTGGTCATGGCAGTAATCTCCGTGTTGGTAGCGCGTGCACTTCCAGCGCATCGGGACGTTAGCGTATCCGTGTCCCTGCCCTATTTCCGCCTTGCTGATGCATCCTCTCCTGGACATGGACACAACTTCCATGGATTGCACCGGTATGCCGTCTACATATGCTGTCCATGAATGGTCCGCCTTGCACAAATGGATCGTGTTCTACTACAGAAGCAATCGCTACTTTTCTTGCTCAAACGACTCTAACCCAACCACCATCCAATTAGAATCCACCAACGCCGCTCGCATGGCAGAGTTCCAGGTGTTACGTATATCGCTGCAGACGTCGTCGCGTCATGATCGCGTTCCGTGAAGCCGTTTCTCGAGCTGCATGCAGGCCCCACATACAGCCTCGGTCCAGCGCCCCTCCACTTCCTCACTTCACATCCACATCCATAGCCATCCAAAGCGACATCAGACGAACATCTCCACTGACAATCCTCACTAACACACTTCCCACCGCAAATTGACAACTCCCAGCCATGGCAGCAACGACAAACCCCCTCCACGGCACCCACTCGCCCTCCTCCCCCGCCGTCTCCTCCCAAACCCACACAATCGCCGGCATCCTCGTCACCGTCCACGGCCTGAGCGAAGTCCCCTCCTCGGCCTCCCAAATCGCCTGCCTCTGGCTGCTCCACCCCCGCCTCCAAACCCGCGAAACAATGGCGCCAATAGCCAGCCAAATAATCTCCACCTGGAACACCTCCAACAAACCCACCTCCACCCACAAAGGCCTAATCGCCATCGCCTTCGACCAGCGCAACCACGGCTCACGCCAAGTCGACGCCCTACACAACCAAGCCTGGCGCGAAGGCAACCCGCGCCACGCCCAAGACATGTTCAGCTGCTACCACGGCACCGCAACAGACACCTCCCACCTGCTCGACTACATAGAATCCTACATCCTAACTACCCCGACCAGCCCGCGCATAACCCAACACCTCGCCCTGGGCATCTCCCTCGGCGGCCACGCAGTCTGGCACTGCCTGCTCGCCGACCCCCGCATCACCGCTGGCGTAGTCGGCATCGGCTGTCCAGACTACACCCGCCTGATGACCCACCGCGCGCGCCTGTCGAAACGCGAATCTCACGCTGCTACTTCCCCCCCTGGCGCCGCCTTTCTCGGCTCAGCGGACTTCCCCCCCGCCCTGCAATCCGCAGTCGCGCAATTCGACCCCGCTGGCCTCCTGCTGCCGAACTACTTCTCCCCCACAACTCCGGACCCGCCCCTCGAGAAGGCGGCACGGGATCGCTTCAGTATCCTCGTCCGTGAGCGGCTGGCCGGCAAGCAGATCCTTAATCTGAGCGGGAAGGTGGATAAACTGGTGCCGTATTCCGCGGGCGAGCCGTTTCTCAACGTGTTGAAAGGGGTGCTGAGGGATGATCCTGGGCTGGATGTCAAGCTTGAGGATGTGCTGTTTGAGGGCGTGGGGCATGCGTTTCCGAAGCAGATGGCGGATAAGGCCGCGGAGTGGATTTGTGGGGTGTTAGCTAAAGATGGTGGGAATGAGAAGGAGAGGGGGGTGGTGAGTAAGATCTGATTGTAAGGTTTATTGGGCGGATTTATGTGGATGGACGTATACGGGGTGTGGAATATAAACATTCCCTTCTCTCCGCCGATAACGCCGTGCAGAGGATATACTATCTCAGAACTCGTCTCCAAAACACTTGTTCCCTTACATCCTCCCCCCTCCTCCACTCCTCGTCTGCCGCGGTCCATCAATCTCTCCCTTCCCCACCTTCCCCACCTTCCCCTTCCCCTTCACACCACCCTTTCCTCCCCCCATCTCTCCCTTCTTCTTCCCACTACGCAACCTTTTAGGACTAGGTTTAAATCCGTATTTATTCGCCTTCTCCTTCTCCTTCCCCTTTACCTCCACCTCCACTTCCACCATCACTGCATCCCCACCCTCAATATCAATCTTCTTCATCTTCATCTTCCCATCCATCTCCCGCACCATCGTATCCGCACCAGACTCCCCAAGTCCCAGCCTAGTGTCTGCTTGTACCTTGACCCTTCCACGTCTCCCCCCCACCATACTCCCTCGTGATAACCCGTCCGTTAACCCCGCTAATTCACGGCCGCCTACGCGGTGTTTGGGTACTAGTTTTGGTTTGAGGGGGGGAGGGGGAGGTGGGGGTATGGAAGGAGGTAGGGGTATGGAAGGAGGTATGGAAGGAGGTGGGGGGGAGACGTCGCTGTAGTGCTCCAACTCATCTTCTTGCTCACCCCCACCTCCATATACGTCTTCATCGTCCTGGTCATAGTCGTGCACAATGACATCAAGATGCGTAGATCGGTGTGCGTCGTCTTTGTGTGCGACTTCAGTAATGGGAATGGTAGCGGTGTGCGTCATCTTCACCCTTTTCCTGCGCGGCGCGACGGTGTCGAGATCTGCGTCGTTGGTGGGGTGTTTGCGTTTACGTTTGCGTTTATTCAACAACCCAGGCGTGGGAGAAGGTGTAGATAAAAGAGGGGGTTTGGGGATATCTTGTTTTTGTGTTTGGATCTGTGTTTGTGTCTGGGGTGCGGAGACGACTCGTTCATCTCCATCGGGATTTCCATCGCCGTGGCTGAGCGGAGTGTCTTTGCCTTGTGTTTGTAGCACAACGGGACATGGGGTGAGAGATTCCAGCATGATATCTTCTTCCTTGCTTACAAAGGCAGCGGGTAAAGCATCAGCTTCGTAAGCTGTAAATAGCGACGACGACTGTTCTGTAACTCTCTCGAGGTGCTGTTCCAGCAAGCTACCCGCCCAGGGCGAACTTGCACCCAGAGGACTCGGAGGGTTTGGTTCTTCCTCGGGTTCGGGGGGGCTGGCTGGATTTATGTCGGTGGATGAATCGGCAGCGGCGGCGTTTAGTTGTGTTTTCCAGGGCTGGTTTTCGTTCTCGAGGACTTCGATTGGGGTTGGACTGGGTGGGACTGAGCTACCCGCAAGCGTGTTTGTTGTGTGCGGAACCTCGGACTCTACCACAGTGGATGAAGTATCTTCTGATCCGCGTGATTGTGGGGTCATGTTGTGTGGTGATGCACTGTACTGTTTCCCAATCGCGAGTTCAGCACGTTGAACCTCGTCTTGTTGAATCGGCGAATCTGCGTCAGCAACGGAGAAGTCGGGTACATCAACATCTTCAGGCTCTGCGGGTGCGTTGACCTCGTGTTCTTCCTCCGCCCTGGGAGTTTGCGATGTTCGTCGTAAAGATGGCACGCCAAGCGAAGGGATGTACGAGGAGATGATGCCGTACCATTTCGAAGTCTGGGTCGGCCTATTGAGAGTAGGCGGTGCGAGTGTAGTCTCTGGCGAGAGGTTTGCAGTGAAGTCTGCTTTGTCAGTGATCTCGCTTTGGTTGGTCTCGGTGGTGTTTATGTGTTTTGCTGGGATTGGGCTTTGTGGGCGCTCTTCCGTGGGTTGGGTGTTTTCGGGTTCGTGCACTGGCAATGATTCGGGAGTCGATTCGGGAGTCGCCAACTCAATGTCGATGGTGATGGCTTCGGGGCTCTTGGTCTCTACGTCCGTTACGTCCATGTTGTCGCCATGCTGGGTCTCGGGCTCAACTATAGTGGAGTCCGATTCTGGTGGAGTCGACTCGGGCAACACCAGTGGCTCGAGGTTGGTGTCGGTTGAGATGGCATCATCAACATCCATCGCATCTGCATCCTTATCGTTGTGAACCTCTACTTCGGTGACCGTGGGTGCCGCCTGTGGTGAAGGCGATCGATATCTAACCGGCGAAGGAATGGACTCATTCGCCTCAGCAGTGATCTCTATGTCTTCCTCCCGTGCAACATCAAACGGCAGGTCTGGTATCCAAGGAGGCGAAGAGGCAGCTTCAACCAATGCACGATCTGGGTTGACCTCGGACACAACGACTTCTGCTGCTGAGTGTAAGTCCTCAAGATCTTCTGAGGTTTCTGCAGTGTCGTCTTCTGTTGCATCCACCTCAACATCGCCGTCTGATGCGCCACACAAATCTCCTCGATGTTGTTTTCCTGTCGGCCAATCGAAGTCCTCAATCGCCTGTAGTCCTTCGTCCCAGGCACATACCTGATCTGACTCGTATATGTAGTACTCTGGTGAATACGCGCCGCCACTAATGCGTCCGTCGGGAGAGACATATAGCGGCTGATAGATGTAGCCGACCTCCTCGAGAGGCCACTCAGGCAGAGCTTTTGGTTCTGGCATATCACCGCCAAACAATCCGCCGAGTTGACCGCCAAGAGTTCCAGCAGAATATTTGTCTGACGCGTGAACCAATGGAGAAATGCAAGGGTTGTTCGCAGGTAGCGCGTCTTGGTTGAGGTGGGGATCGTCTATGGGGTGGTCAGACGCAGAAAGCATCGCGTTGAATGAAAATCTACACGTGCATTATTGCCATGTAAACAAACCAAGTGGGAAACGGTGCAAAGAGTGGTGTGGGGCCCTGGAGATCGAACACTAGCAACGGACGAAGTGAAAGAGAGGTGAAGTGGGCGAGTCTCGCTGGTGATTGGAGTCTGCGATTCTTCAGTACTGCTGAAAGCACGGTCACATCTTCTGTTTGGACTGGCATGCGGGATTCACTCAGTGTCGCTGCGCGTTGCCGTAGGATCTGATACTCCTCAGCTGGTTCCAAACCAACGGTGCGCAACCTCAACAATGTGCGGCTCAGACCCAGTGAAAGATGAACTAGATCTGATAAGCTGCTCTTATGAGAATCTTCTTAGTTGAGCTTGACCTGCGAAATGAAGTGAAGGTGAAAGGTAAGATCTCCAGCGCGTCAACACGTGATGACGTAATTCCAATGCAGGCAGCCGCTGTTTTTCAGCTAAACGGGTGGGCGGAACAACAAGATCGCTGGAGATACGTTCACATTGAGTCCATGAGCAGTAGGGATATGAAGTCGATTACAAAATATAGTCCGAATCATCGCAAGCCGCAAAGGTCGGTCCTAGGATGCCGTTGCCCGCCAAAGTAAAACAAATCGTCCGCTGTGACAAAGGGTTCCAAATTCCTAGTGACAAGACAGTGTTAGCTCTACATATCTCTGTATAATGCTATTTTTTTGGAATATACGCCTTTCGCCACTCGTTTGTGTCTTGAGCATGCCCAAAGACTAATCAGACATGTCGCGTTGACACGTTTGCAGTCCATAAGACAAAGTTGAGCCAGACAAATACTCCAATCAAAAAAACGGCTACGTACCTCTTTAACCCATCCAAAAGCTGTCATATCGGTATGGCGTTACTGATAGCATTGCCTGTGTCTACCGGCAAGGCAAGGACCCTGTTATCGTCAGATGCAAATCCCGTTTCATGAAACATCCAACTCACGTCTTGCCTGCATCTGTCGCACAGCAGCAACAGAAGAGTGACGCTGGCCAACAAACGATCTATCCGAGTCAGCGGTCCGTGCACACGGGAATCGCAGAAGCTGAACATACCGCCATGCCTACAGTGACGATGAACCCAAGGGTGGGGCCGATGACTTTGCAGTGGCAGGGATTCTGATCACTGTCGCATGTTAGTAAATGTTGAGTATTTAAGATTTTGTGTATACATACGTTCCACATTGAAAGCAGACGACGGGAATAGGGAGAAAGTCGCACATCTTTGCACGTAGGATCGAGGACAAGGATAAGGAAGCAGGGCAGGCTGTGAACAATGAATGGCAGGTACGGAGAGTTGGAGTACGCGGTAGTGGTAGATGAATATTTCTGAGAAATGTTGAATGCTTGAGGTTTGAGGTTTGATGAGATCTGCATGATTACGTCGTTCCGACTCGGGCCGGTCGTGACCAGGAAGCAGGCTATCTCATGCACGCGTTTGCGCCTCCATGTGCGTTGAGGCTTCCCACAATTCGCTGCATTTTTCAGGTGACACTGAGTGATCGCGAGCGAATCACTTCTATGTAAGTGGCATGCGAGTGGGTGAACCTGCGTCGACATAGACAAGGCGAAAGAACTTCGTCACTTATTCATCTCCTGCCGTACCAGCTCGACCTCTACGGTCTTGTGATTGTCGTCTATCTTTCCTTTCAGTCCATCATCGTGTCGATCAAAACAGAGACTCCAAAGTGCAGGATCTTCGGTTGAAACAGCAACAAATCCCTCCCAGTTTTCCATCAAGTACCGATCTTCTCCATCAGAGCCTTCACGTGTAGCCCAGGGTCCCGTCAGTCCCTTCTCCGCCTCCACACGTAACCCATGGCTGATCTGGTAGATGCTGGAACTCGTATCCAGATATATCCAATTTAGCTGGGGAGGTTCAATTGAGATTGTAGAGACTAATCCATCGAAGTTCGAATTCGGGTAAGGTACGAAGTAGCCGGAGAAAGGGTGTAGTGGTTTTCCTTCGTATGCGGAGAGCTGTACATACAGTTTTCCATCGCGGAGGACGACTCGGCTGTTTTCGAAAAGTTTCCTACGGTCTTCTGGGGTCCTTGCGGTTGGTCGACATCTGATGTGGCACTTTTCAGATTTTTTTTCTGCGTCGGCTTCGTTTTTCGTGCTTTCTGCTTGGTTTTGGAGCGACATGACAGAGGCCGCTGTCATGGGAATGCTCCCTACCAAAGCTATGAGTCCGAAAACCATGTTGAAGGTTCGTGGAAATGACCGTGGTGGAGGAACACGTCTCCTGGATGTTTCGAACGGAGTGCAGTCCGAACAGCTATGATCTGCTCATTAGCGGCAAACGCACAAAAACAACAGTTCGCATATGATGTCACACCTACCAAGATCGCGGCTACGCCCGGGCGGTATTAGTCTGCCAATCACGAAAGGGCCACTGGAGCTGATGCGGTCTGATATCCAATGACTAGGCGAATACCGATACCCGCATCGGGTAGATAGCATTTATGCCAGGCCACTTTTGTCGATGGAACACATTGCTTTTTGAGCAACCGCGAATCAAAAGCTGATCCATGGATCTGGAGTGCTCCGATCACCAACTAAACGATCGATGATGTAGTGTGCCCCTAGATGCAATTCCGCGGCCAGAAGTGTTGATGGGAGACAGCTGGACGTTTATTAGCTAGGGTTCGCGCTCCCTGCTCAACTCCGATCACACATTTCCTCCTACTATCCTGCCTCTGAGCTTTCCAGAAAACCTGGCGATCTCGATCAATCCGTCCAAACGCGAGAAAGCACAATCAGATCACATAATGCCAGAAAACAAAGAGTAACACAACCTTTCTTCATAAACCAAGCCAGTGCTAACGTCTCGTCAGCCAAACCAACACCGCGACCGGAAATGCCCCTGGCGGTCGTGGTCTCGGCGATATTGGCGACGTGGGCAGCTCTCTAGGGGGTCTCACGAAGGGAGTCCCGGTAGGCAAAGATGGCAACAAGCTGAAGGATGTCGATGAGGGCTTTGGGCTCGACAACAAGGACGTCAAGGGCAGTCTGAAGGTCCACATCAAGTTGGATCTGGAGGCCGATATCCGAATCATCGCGCGTATCAAGGGCGACATCGCAATCGGTCTGTTGTAAGGCTTCACAAGTCACTGGCAGTACACGAACGACAAAATGACTTGCCTAGCCCACCCCCAGGGAAACCAGACGGTAGCGAGGCTGGGGAATAGTTGCTGTAAAAGATGCCTTAGGTATCAGGTTGATCCAACACCATAATTCATGCCTTTACGAAAGCCAGTCCTCGTGTTCTCGTTTGCTTTTTGTTTCTAGTCTTTCCACTTTTGCCTCTTGCTTCCGCTGTTTGCTACCTCCAGCAGATGGAGATCTCTTCTTTGTGGTAGTGTGAAACCCGGAATGAAGTTTATCGTCTCAGCAAGTAATATCGTACCACAGCGACTACGACACCTTACTGCATTAACTACGAGGTCTAGAAAAAGAGTTGTAGACTCCTAAGACACAGTAGTGTCTTTTGTACTATTTAAAATCAACTTTAACTCTACCTTTCTGCTACTTTATGTTGTGTTCGTCGGATGAACCATCGATACGCTACTTCCGGGTTTCGCGACTCCGCGAGAGGATAGGTTTGTCCTCGGTCGACTGTAAAAGCTGGAATTAAGCTGCATTCTTTGTGGCTCCTACAAGCTGTGGATCTACACAAACAAAAATTATAAAATTGTACTCCAGGCATATACCGCTAGAAATACAAAAATACAACTCTTACACTAAGCTTAAATGTAGTTGTCAAGCTTTTGCAAGGTTTCGCTGCACCCTGGTTCCTGGTATCTCGATCAACCGAGAGCTAGTTGACAGGGGCCCTAGTAGGCAGTTGTGCCGCGTTAATAAGGCGTCCAGTCAGTTCTGTCAGGTTGATAAAAAGCTCGCCGCACTGCACGAGGAAACGAGAGACCCAAGCAGCTCTGTCTCCTGAGAAACTAGCTGCGCTCAAGAAGAAGAAAAGGATGCCAGATCTCGTAACAAGGACGAACTCAGCAAGAACACACCAGACGATGTCTCCTCGAGCGAAGATGACTCCAGAAAAGCGTGCAAGGACACGACAGCATCACGCGTATGTCATGTACTTGAGATGTCGTCGACCGTCCTTGATATCAGGCATGGCCTGAAGCGGCCAGAGGAATTTACCTAGGGCAGAGTACAAAATCGCATGATGTGGGCGTTATGGTGTTATGGATCATTTCTAGTTTCAGCACTCTAGATATCATGATCTGCTTCCAGCATCTTGGACAATTGAGTTTTATTCTCGAATTGTGTTCTGCAATATAAAAGTGATGAGTAGCTCGATGCTTGTGTTATAAGTGCCCACATCCGATACCACGTTGAGTGAGGAATCCTCGGCTTGCCCAAGCGTCTTGAGGCTTCTACAGACTTTAAAACTACACTAATGGAATCTAATAAGGTGTATGCAGGGCGTATACGGCTAGGGATCTAAGCACAAGACTCCACCACTAAATTTAGATGTAGCTGCCAAGCCGTTGCATGATTTTGTTGCACCTTAACTCCCCCTTTTACACTTGATCGAGAAACATATGAGATGAGACCGACTAATTTTACTGGCATCTCCAATGCTAAAGAGAGAGGGTAAGGGCAAATAAGAGAATTGCGATGAGAGCAGCAAATACCGGGGCACATGATCATTCAAGCATCGGACGGCAAATAAACATAGTAACTTCTTCCATACCGATGACTTCGGTAGCAGAAATGATTTCACCGCGCCAGGCCTTGTTCGAAATCACGGGGGTGCTCTCTTCAATCATGACATAAACCGAATCGTCTTTGATAAGGGCAGGTTTATCACGCGAACGCTTGGCCAGGGCGACCGTAATGAGGTAAGCCATGTGTAGCTTGGAGTCCACATCGTATGTACATTCGACAGGGATGAACGAAGCTTTGCCGGTGTGTGCGCCCTTGCTCTTCTGGAGTATGTACTCGATGAGAGTAGAAAAGCCAGTATGCTTCTCCCATTCCCCAAACTCATTGAACGAGTGGAGCTGTTCCGCAGTGAAGTGTGGCTGCTTGTCGTACGACTTGATAGTACCTTCGCTGTAAACCTGCTGGTACAAGTTTTCGAAAAGCTCGTTCACAAGATTGTACCATGTTTGGTCTCGGAAGTCGTAGTTCATGTCAACGACCATGTCTTTGATTGTCGACGTGGACGCGGAAGTATTCCCTTCAAGTACCCATTTGTGTACCTAGGCCGTACCCTTTCCCGAGTGTCCCAGACATGGGATGCCCGCACGCCTGGTTCCTCGTGGCTGCGTCAAAGCTTGACTAATGGTAAACTCTATTTATGCGTCGGTGAAGATGCCGATTTTGATCGGCACTCGCTACGCTCGGTCCTCCTCAACAACCTTGATCCTCTGGCAGAGACGCCTCAAACACACGGTTTTTGTCGTCGGCAATTAGTTGCGGATGTCGGTTGCCTTCCGAGAAACGCTTAGCTAACGTCACAATGTCAACTTGTGGCTGTCGGCATGTCAGTCATGGTGCTAACAAGGTTCCCCGCACCAGCAGTGCAACCCCAGATTCTTGCCCGACTCCACATTAGCGTCAGAGTTGCTGGCTTGGCGTGGCGTATCCCACGCATATGCAAGATAGATGATCGATGTCGGGCTGACGTATACCGAAGTGTTTATAAAGTCGGCATCCATCCGCAAGCTTCTCAAATTCATCTTGTCTTTTGAATTTGCATCATGGCGTCTACTACCGAGATCAAGCATGACGTCGCCAGGTTTGAGGATGTATCGGAGAAGAAATCGACATCCTCCGGAGAAGGAGAAATCGAAGCGCAATTTGGAGCAGCAGATGAGGAAGAGGCGACTAGGGTGTTGAGGAAGGTAGATTTCAGGCTTGTGCCGTTGTTGTCGTTGTTGTATCTTGTGAGCTTCATTGATCGGAGTAACAGTATGTCCCAACCCCCATCCACTTGGACTATACATTAACAACAAGCAGTTGGCAACGCGAAGATCGCCGGCATGACTACAGACCTTCATATGAAGGGTCTTCAATACAACACGGCTGTCACATTGTTCTTCGTCCCATACACGCTGCTCGAAGTCCCTAGCAACATCGTCCTGAGATTAATGAGACCCAGTGTCTGGTTGTCTACAATGATGATTTGTTGGGGTCTAGTAATGACTTGTATGTGTTTTGTGGAGACCTACGAAGGGCTTCTGGCGGCTCGTTTCTTCTTGGGTGTTACAGAGGTACCATCACTTCACACCCCAGCTTGCCGAACCACACACTAACCAACTTTTGTGCAGGCTGGTTTTTTTCCTGCTGCTACCTTCCTGCTCACCATTTGGTACCGCCGCTACGAAGTCCAACGCCGGCTGGCCATCTTCTACGTCTCCGCATCCCTCGCTGGCGCTTTCTCAGGTCTACTTGCTTATGGCATCGCGTTTCTCGATGGCAGATCTGGATTCGAAGGTTGGCAGTGGATTTTTCTCATAGAGGGTTTGGTTACTGTATCTCTTGGACTTGTCATCTGGAAGATCCTTCCAGATAGCCCCGGCACAGCCAAGTTTCTCAACCAGAGGGAGCGTGATCTGCTTGTTTGGCGACTCGCGAACGATTCTGGATCGGGTCAAGGGCGTGCTACGAACAACGACAAGATGGAGACTAAGCACATTATCGCGGGTCTTTCCGACTGGAAGATCTGGGCGGGCGTCGTCATTTTCTGGGGAAACACCGTGGGTGTCTATGGGTACGTTATTTCCCGTCACATGATGGGGGACTTTGGAGCACTACGGTGTATTTGCGAGATGCGAGCAGCATTGAACAATACACTGAGGTGCTCTAGACTCGTCCATCAACAAAAGTTTGTTCCACAAAATCATAGTGACTGATCACTTCACAGGTTCACCGCAACAGTCCCAACCGTAATCAACGGACTTGGGTACTCGAGCGCTAACGCCCAGCTCCTAACAATTCCAATCTATGTATTCGCTGCCTGCATGACGTTGGCGTTTGCTTGGGCCGCCGATCTGACGCGTATGCGCTCTCCCTACATCATTGCGGGTTATTCCATTGCAATTTGCGGCTTCATCGCCCAACTTGCCATCCCGCACCCAAAATATCCCGGCGTAACGTACGGCTTCTTATTCCCCGTTGCCGCAGGCTTGTACTGTCCTTTCACATGTCTCGTCGCCTGGGTCGGAAACTCGCTTGCGCCGAGCTCTAAGCGTGCTATTGGTATGGCGTTACTGATTTCTGTCGGTAACATGGGAGGAATCATGGGAAGCAACATCTATCTTGCAAGGGAGGCGCCCAAATACACGACCGGGTTCTCTGCTAGTTTGGCGATGTGCTTTGCGGCAATCACCATGACGTTCGTTTTGAGGTGGGCGTATGCGAAGGAGAACCGAAAGAAGGATGCGTTGATTGCCGAGCATGGAGAAGCGGCGATTAGAGCGAGATACACGGAGGACGAGTTGTTGATGTTGGGCGACAAGAGCCCATTCTTTCGGTACACGTTGTAGATCTTCAAGTAGAGAAGGGAACCAAATATCTACTGATAGTCTCTCTTGCATATGACTTAATTATCTTCAAATTCGACGAAGAACATCTTTCGAGTCCTCAAACTTAATGATTTGTTTGTGTGTTGCGTAATTTGGAAACCAATACTTTGATTTTACGAAGTAGCTTATCTTTATTGTCATGGTCTGTGCACGTTAGTCATCCAGGATCCTTATAATCTCCGCTAGAGCACTAGATAGCTCCTTAGCTTATACTATCTATACCTTAGATTACGTGCCTATCTAGTCTATAATATTAGTAGCTCCTCTATAAGTTTAAATTTAAAGTCCTCTAGCTCTGTAAGCCCTAGCCTAAAAGGCCTTTTAGCTTTATAAGCCCTGTTACTGTATAGCTTAAATACAACGCTGCAGTAACTATTACGCCTATATACTAGGAGTACTAAACTTAAGCGTATATTCTATACTATAATAACTAAATTTCTAAGGCTAAGATTATTACTAACGTAAAGATAAGTTACCCTAGAAACTAGCACCCTTAACTATAACCTACTAGCGTTATCTTAGTAGGTAATAAAAATGTTAAGCCTATAAAAGCCTTCCTTTACTATACTACTATTAATAACATAGTTTAAAACATAGGACTAAGATATAAGAGCCCTAAGTAGATACTATAATAAAGAATAAGATTATATCTAATAGTAGTACTAGAGCTATAGTTAGAATAGTTTACAACTTAATACTTTAAGATACTTCTCCTACTATAGTTAAGCCCTAGCTTTCTATAGTACCTTACTTTAAATAGCGCTATATAAAGTTACTTACCTTTACCTATAAATTTATATTTTATAAAAAAGACTAGCCTTACCTTTACTAAATAGGCACTCCTCCTTTCTCTTAATACTATATATTTGCAGTTTCCCCTAGTAATTAACACTACCTAAAATTACTATTTATATATTTTCTACCTACTCTACGTATAGCCCTAACTCTTGCTAGGATAATAGATAGCATTATTATAATTATAAATAGGAAAGGATACCCTAGAATACTAAGTAATATAAAATAAACCCTTCTAGTATTCTTATATAGACTTTCTATCTATACCTATATTTACTACTTATACTAGAAACTATATATTTTAATACTCTTTTTAATTATATATTACTCTACCCTAGCTCTTCTACTAAGAATTACTTATTACGTACCTCTTTATTATATTTATAAACCTATCTCTGCCTTTAATTCCTAATAAGCTTTTAGTATAAGTATATTACTTTATATAATATACTAATATAGCCTAGCTTTATAGAGACCTTATTTCTTTATAAGTTTTCTAGCTTACTATAGTAATTACTATACTATATAAAGGCCTTTCCCTTATAAGAGAAGTTAGAATATTATAGTAAAGCTTAGTATTAGCCTAACTATAGGCAGTATCCTAACAGCGCTCTAACTAATAAAGCTTATACTTAGAAAGCGTTCTAGGCTACTTTTATACTTAGACTACTATAATAGAGAGCTAGAACTAGGTAAGATAGGTAATAGAAGTTATAGTAGCTAAGTTTATCTCCTTAGGCTATAATGTAACTAATAGTAATATATACTTAACTTAGCTAGAATTATAATATAGATAGCTAGGTATAAAGAATAATAAGCCTTAGTTCTTTACGTCCTTAAGCTCCTTTATAACTAAGCTACTAAACCCTTTACTAGTCTTTAAGCCTTTATATATAGCTATAACTTTAGAACTACCTTTATTAAAAGACCTACCTTTACCTTTCCTAATATAGGCCTAGTAATAGGATAACTAGTATACTCTAATAGATATACTATATAGCCTATTATTACTAGATATACTTTTAGAATAATACTAGGACAGTGTAAACTACATATACACTAGTAGCTAAGAATATAAGTAATAGACTATAATTATAAGATACTACTACTACTTATAGAATACTCTACCCTAGCCTAATCTAGTAGCTTAACCTAGTCTAGCTTAGGAATTATATACTACGTAAATTAGGGAAACAGAGACTATAACTACCTTAGTATAATAAGAATATCTACGTAAACTTACTATTACTAATAATTCTATACTCCTATATAGTTCTCCTATAGCACCTACTCTTTAGATAATAATAGAGCCTAGGTTAAGATTAGTATAACTACTAGAATATTTCTATCTAGTATGTAAACTAAATAATCTAAACCTTATTCTCCTATTATAATTATAATTTAACTAGGCCTTCTACCTAGGTCCTTTTAATTAAATACTTAGCAGGAATAATTAGAAAGAAGAGCTAGCCCTATAGCCTCTAGTAATAGAACTTTTTATACTATTACTTTAGTAAGCCCCTATTATATACTCTAGAGAAGATATATAATACCTACTACTATATCTATTATAGATCTCTACTCTACCTAGTTACTTTAATAACCTATTAGCCTCTAGATTCCCTAATACCTAACTATATAGTAATATAGCTCTCCTACTACAGTATAGAGTATCTCTATTATTTAATAAACCTATAGCTTTACTAAGATTAAAGAGAATACCCTAGTAATAGCTACCTATCCTAGTCCCTCTATTAGAGGAACTAGTATTTTTAAGGGTATAGAAATAATAGCTAATAAATATATTTAAGACTATATAGATAGAACTGTAAGATAGCTTACACTAATAGATAGTCTATACGCTAGTATTATTAAGATATAAGCTTATATACTAAGGGATCTACAAAGTAACCTTAGTAGAATAATATATAACTAGGGTAAATAGGTATAGGATAGCTGCCTAACTACCTTATAATATAATAAATGCACAGATATACTTAAGCTATAAAGAATATATACCTTCTTTTAATTAATATAGATCTTAAGATAACTTTGGTATAGACTACTACTACTACTAGTAATTAAGCTACGTAGAACCTACACTATACCTACTTTACTATAGAAATAATAAGAGGTATTTTATACCTTTTTAATCCTATAGTTATTTCCTCTTACCCTAGGATATATATATAGCTAAAGAAAATAATTATATAAAAGTAATAGGTAGAAGTACTAGGTTTAACTTTATATTAATTAGTTTTTTTAACTTAAACGCGTCCTAATTAGAACACCTAAAAGATACCTTTAAAATTAGGAATTATACCTACTATTATAACGTAAGAGATTTTATTAACACTACTAAATAGGTAATTATAACTTATACTATAATAAAATATTTAATCTAAAATAACCTTTACTTATATTTTAGAGAAATAGCTATACTCTAGTTCTAGTCTAAATTAAGCTATAAAGTAAGGATAAAGGTTATTTAAGGTAAAGGAATTAGAAACTAGAATACTAAGCTAACTACTAAGTACTATTACCTACCTATAGTAGCTTTAAGACTTCTTATAGCTAAGAGATATATACTAGGTAACCTTCTATAGAACTAATTACTGTCTAAATAGTATATAGGAGTAATATACTTATACTAGAATACTAAACTAGGTAGTAGATAACACTAGTTTATAGTATAAGCCTAGAACTTACTTAACGTATAGTTCTAATACTATATCTTTATACTAATATAAGATACGTTCTTTAGTAAGTTTATCTATATACTTAAGGAAAAGTTCCTAATTTTATAAGAATAGCTTAAAGCTAAATATACTATTAGTAAGTCCTACCCCTAGTAAATAAGTAAAGTAAGGTTATACTATAAAATAAGTATTCTAGTAAAGGTTAACCTAGTTACCCTAAACTACTACTTAAATTATAATAACTATAACTTTAATTAGGTATTAATAGAACTCCTAAAAAGTATATTTCTACCTAATAATATACACCTACAGCTCTGTCTAGAGGAGGCCTTAAAAGGCTATATTTTAAGGAACTAGCTATTTTCTAGCGTAAACCTAAGTATACCTAACTAACTATTATACTATAGCTAAGAAGGAAATTAAGGCTAGTGCTTCTATAATAATAACTAGAGTAGTTTATATAATAATAACTATAATAGTTTCTATAGACTATATAATAAGCCCTAGGGTACGCATAACGTAAACTACTATATTAACACAGTAAACTAGGATAACAAAATAGATACTAATACTAGGTAAAACTAGAATACTACCCTACCTAGCCCTTTTAGCTTATTACTCTTAGTATAAAGTAATAATAGAGTAAGAAACTTAGAATACTATTAAAGTAACTAGGTAGATAATAATAATTTTAACCTAAACGTCTAGGCACTATAAATATAAACTATAGAAGATATTAATAATAACTACGCCTTCTTTAGCTTACCCCTAGTAACAGAGTTAAGGTTTAACCTAGATCTAGGTAATATAAACTATATATTAGCTACCTATGTTAATAAAGACTTACGCTAACTATAAGGCACTCTATAAGTATATAAATAATATAGAAAGGTATTTATATTAGAGAATAAACTCTACGCCTACCTATAATAATATATTCTTTTACTAAGTATATAAATATAAGGTAAACTTATAAATATCTTACTAATAGTATAGGCCTTATTACTCTTCTCTAAATACTACTAAGTATTTCCTAGTATAGAAATAGGTATAAACTAAGAATAAGAAGTTAGTAGTACTATAAATATACCTACTACTTTAGATTAGGCTAGAGTTTTATATATAAAATTAAGCGCTCCTATACCTCTAGATAGTTTAAGAAGTATCTATATATAGTACTACATTAAAATAATAGTTAGAGTATTATAGATAGAGTAACCCCTTAAAGTTACTTTTAATATAGGCGCTGCCTATATACTAGCTAACTATACGTTTATCTAGACTAACTTCCTTAATACAGTCTAGGCGCCTCTTAAGACACCTATTACTACTATAGGTATAGAAAAAAACAGAGTAATATTAGTAGAACTAGTATATATTATATTATATATACTATCCTAGCTGCTGTCTAGTAACGCAGTACTAGTACTCTAGTAAGTCTACATTTTTATACTAGACTACCTTACGCTAAATATCCTTCTAGAAATTAACACGCTAGCTTTATAGGTAGTATTAATTAATTTAAAAAAGCAGTATATAGTCTAGCTATACTATAAAAACACTACTACCTTAATTACCTACTACCTAAAATATCTAGACTTATTAAAGAGATAGAAATTAATAATAAAGGCCTATATATCTATCCTAGCCTACTCTGTAAAGCGAGTTTAGATTTATATCTTATAAAATAAATACCTATATAAAGATTAAGACTACCTCTTTAAAGCTAAGTAATTACTACTATATAGGGTAACTATCTATAATAGACTAATACGCTAGGATATAACATACGTTCTAGTATAAAATAATACAGATACAGTAGTTTATATTTATTAAAGGACACTATTAGGGTATATAGTACTATTAGATATCTATAGTACTTACTAAGTAGACCTAGTAGAGTATAGCCTAGTAGCTCTTTTAGACCTCTACTAATCTACCGCATCTAAATATAAGCTAAAGAATAGAGTTATATATTATAGTACCTCCTAGTAGGTTAAAGTACTAGTAGATATAGTTTAGAATTATTCTAATTTATAGATAGATTACTACAGCATTATTAATCTCCCCCCTAAGAGATAAATATAAATTCCCTTAAGAAATAGTTAGTAGTCTAATAAATTTTCTATAAAGGTCTATCTATTAAGCTCCTAGAATAAGTTATATATTAATAAGATTTTTAATTAACTTTATAATAATAGAAAGATAACTTAGTCTACTTAATTTATACCTTTTAGAGCACTAGTCTTTGTTATATAGAAGATATATTTTAATAAGCAGAGAGTTCTCTAGCAGAAAGGCTACTCTATAATTAATATATAGAAGATAAATAACTAGATAATTAAGGATAGTTACCTACTTACTAACTAGAAGGACCTCCTAATTACTATATTAGGCGCCTAGTACTATACTGTAGTAGATAGCCTATTATACTTCTACTAGTTTCTAGTAAGACTAGAGGACTGTTTTACCTATATAATTAATTCCTATTAAGGGTAAGAGATACTAAATATAGCTAAGATAGGTTATTAAAATTTAGTATAATATATTTAGAGATAGAGAGACTTAATCTTAAAAGACTTTCTATTTATAAGAGTGTACGTTAATAATTTTATAATTTTTAGTAATACCTAGAAGAAATACCTAGTTTATCTAGAAGTATTCCTATATAGACTTAATAATTATAACTTTAGCTTTACCCCTACTAAGGCTTATATTATATATTCTATAGTAAAGCTCCTTAGTTAGCGTATTAACGCATTTAGCCTTAGCTTAATATAAAAGTAAATATCTGCCCTACGTAACTTAAGTTTCCTAACTACTATAGCTAATTTAGAAATATATATTAGTATAATTAGTTTCCTTTAAAATAAGACTCCCTACCTAATATAGCTTACCTGCTCTTTAGAGGAATTAAAGACTAAGCTTCTTAGATTTATAAAGAAGAAGAAAGGCTTTAGGTATAAATAGAAGGTAAAGGATATTACTATTCTAGAAATAGGCCTACTACGTAATACTTTTAATAATATCTAATCCCTTTAGGATACTTTTATTAAGACTTATTATCCTAATCTAACCTATACTATATATTTAGATATAGATAGTTTATAAGCTTTTAGAATAGGCGTAATACTCTATTACGTTAAGAGTAATCTAATCCTTAAAATAGAAGACTCTAATATTCTAGATAGGTTAAAAGATAATAATATAAACCTAGTAGCTTAGCTAAAGCGTGTAAAGAATTTTAAGGCTAACTTAATTAAACCTATACTCTTTCTAAGTAAAAACCTTACCCTAGTAGAATAACGTTATACCCCTATAGAGCTAGAGATAGCAGGAGTAGTATAGGTAATTAGGAAAGTCTACTATATTATTAAAGAAATACTATAAACCTTTATTTTTATAGACTATTCTACAGTAACAGTAATTACCTAATAGAAATACCTAATAGAAATAGAATTACTAGCTAAACTAAACCTTTAACTAGTTAATACCTTTATATATATTTAGTAATACCTAAACCTAGATATAAGATATTGTCCTAGCTAATACTATTTAGTACCTAACGCACTTAGTTATTTAGATAATACTAAACTATTAGAGGATAACTCCTTAGGTAGTACCTTTAATAACCTACCCTACGCTTTTTATACTATACTTATTAAAATATCCTAACCTTTTAAGAATAAACTTAAGTAAGTATATACAGAAGATCTAATCTAGAAAAGGGTAATAGAGGTTGTCTCTAGAATATATAATAATAATTAATATAGACTAATTATAGATAATAAGTTAGCTAGAGATAAGAATAATTTAAGCTTAGTAGCTATACTTCTAACTTTACCTAAACTAAGGCACTACTCTATAGCTAGCCTCTGTTTTTTATTAAAAGATAGATATCTATACTTCTATAATTAGAATAATAGTAGGGAATACCTTTATATTCTAAAGGCACTTACTCTCTAGATTTTTAGATAAGTATATAATAATACTTACTACTAAGGTTTCTATTAAGCTTATAAATAAATTAGGAGCTTTTTCTATATTTATTACCTAGTATAATTACTTTAAAAATATATCTTCTATTACCTAGTTTATATTCTTAACTAGACGCGCTAATATTACTAGTATAGTAATTTACAGCCTATTAACTATCTAGAACGCCTATTTAAAATAATCTATATTAATATTATAATAGGTATACTAGAAACTAGGATAGGTATAAATACGTTTATTACAGAGACTTACTATATCTTAAAGATAATTAGCATTAAACTAGGATAGAATAACTAGGGAGACTAGGAATAGGAAAGTGTACTTATTTAGAAATATTTTATATAAGGATAGAGTTTATAGTATAGACTTATCTTAGATTAGGATAAACGTTTTTTATAAGGCGTCTTTATAGTAATAATAAAGGCTTTTAGTAGGAATTTTTTTAGTACTACTGCTTAGTACCCTAAAGTAGATAGATAGAGTAAGTAAATAAACTAGATAGTTAAGATAGCCCTTTATTTCTTTATTACTAAGTACCTAAACTTAGACTAGATAGATATAATCCTATATATTTAGTTTATACTAAATACTAGCGTAAACGCCTCTACTAGAGTTACTTTATTTAAATACCTATATAGTTTTATACTATATTACAGCCTTAATCTACTCTATAAATAAGATACTCTAACCTATAAGGAATATATATTACTTTAACTCTAGATCTAAGATTAAGTTAAGAAAGCTATAGCTTTTGTAAAGCTTTATATTAAGTTCTATAAAGCTAAATATAAACTCTCTATCTACTTTAAGCCTAGTAACTAAGTACTCCTTAGACTTTATAACAGCTATAAACTAGAGGGCTACCTAAATAAAAAGCTAAGTTACTAGTAAGAGGGCCTAGTAATAATTTTAGAAAAGATTAGAAGAAACGTATACTATATTAAGGTCTCTACTAGGATAAGAATATATAATATTATTACTATATACTAGCTTAAGCTAATACTATAAGGTACTAACCTATATAGCTGTATATTCTTACTGTACTAACTTAAGGTCTTTAGTAAAGGTAAAACTCTGCGCTTTTAGACCTTTAAGTATATAGTTAAGCGTAGGGTAAATCCCCTTAACAGTATAATAGACTACCTAGTTAAATAGCTAAATAAACCTTACTTCTATAACGCCTAGATTCTAGCTACAGACATAGCGTTAGCTAAGGAGATAAGGAAAGATTTTAATAAGGCAAATCTACCTATAATCTAGGAGATATGCCTCTAATATTAAATCTACTTATAGCTAGTAAGGGTATAAGTAATAGATAGATAAGCCTAGCTTTCTACACTAGGATAAGAGGATTATAATAAAGTAGACTAGGCTTTAGTTAGTAATATTTTATATATAGATTCTAAGAAAGAGGATAATACCTTAGACTTAGATTATATTCCTTAATAAAACTAAGAAGACTTACTAGAGTAGTCTTAGGACTTATAATTATACGCCCCTAATAATAGTAAACTAGCTAATAAACCTAGAGCTACAGTACTATAAGTATATATAGGTACATTAATAGCTACCCTATTATAAAGATCTAGGAGGAAGTTAAAACTATCTTAAAAGGCTTATAAGTCTCTTAACTTCTAACCTAAAATACTATATAGTAACCTAGAACCTATTTATACTTAATATACTTAATATATATAACTACTATACTGTATCTATACTCTAATCTCCTCCTAATATACTATATTAACAGTAATTAATAACTAAGAGACCTAATTTTCTAAGCTTATTAATAAACTATAGTAAATATTAATCTAGAACACTCTAGTAAACTTTACTAATAGTATACTACTATACTAGTATATTATATAACAACACTTATTATTATAAGATATAATATCCTAGAAGCCTCTATACTCTAGCATTACCCTATTTCTTTAAGTAAGAAAATACTAAAGGTATATCTTTTCTTACCTTAACCTCTTTTACTATCTACTAGTAGAGTTTTCTATATATAGGCCTACTAATATATAGCTAGCCTATAGGCCTTATAACCTATACCTTATATACTATACCTTATACCTTAAGTATTAGCTTTAAACAGAACCTAATAACGCCTTCTACCTAATACTTAAGTTACTATATCTTAAAGCTAATATAATTCTAGCTTTATAATACTTACTAGTAATAGCTCTCTATATACTATAGACCTATAAGAAGCTCTAGCAGTGTTCTACTCCTTAGATTAGAAAAAGAATTATATGTATAAAAACACCTTACCTATCTTTAAGCTAGAGCTAAAGCTAAAATATCTTATTAACTAGTAAACACTTAAACTACGCCTCTAATACTTATAAGATATAGTAAGTACTCTATAATAAGTATTTATAAATATATTTATAAATAATAATAATAATAATTAACTCTTTACTAATATAGAATAAACGCTTATTAATTATAAATATATTACTAGAATAGTAGAACTCTTTAAAGTATACCTAACTATCCTCTAGTTATTTATTTAGGACCTTAGTAAAGTAGCTAGGATAGATATTACACTATACACTTTTAACTCTATAGATATACTTAATTAGCTAGTAGCACTAAATTAGTAAGATACCTATCTAGTTACATAGATACTTATATAAAGTAGGGAGAATAGAACCTATAGTATAACTAAAGCTAATATAGAAAAGGCACTTTTAGGTACTTACTTTAGCCTAAGATATATATAAATTCCTAAGAAGTATAAACTTAAGATATAAAGATTAGTCTACCTAGCTAGGGACTTAATATTAGATAAACAGATATTTTTATAGAGATAACTCCTAGTACCTTTAGTAATAACTACAGCTATAATAAATACTAGCGCCCTAATTCTAGTAGCCTCTATATTAGTAATAACCTAGACTAACCTCTTTATACCTAATAAACTAAGTAGTAAATATATTACCTTAAGTAAGTAGAAGGATATCTTATATATACTGTACTACGTAAAGGAGAGTAAAAAGCGTATAAGGAAATCTTATACTATTAAAAAGCAGTATATAGTACTAGTTAAAACAGTAATATACTCTAACTCTAAGTATAACTCTAACGTAAACACCTAGAAGTATAAATCTATATATATATATAGATAGAGAGTAGGCTTTATTATATATATCTCTATACAGTTACTATTATACCTCCTTTATAATATAAGTTAAATTAAGTATTATAAGAATAAGGATTCTAAAAATAATAAAGTAGAGTAAGATTTTAATCTCTTAGTAAAAACTATTATCTACTAAGTATCTAATAAGGTTAAAATTAACTCCTAAAGATAGTTTATATAGACCTTAGATACATACGTTACTAAGGTATAGGATAAGGATAAATAACTATAGGTAGTTAACCCTAGTAATATTATTTAAGTTAGATTAAACTTAATTTTAAAGGAACTTATCCTTAGTACTAAGTTTAAAGATATATAAAAGATAAAAATAAAGGCTAGTAAGTCTATAGACCTAATAGTAGCAGTAGCTATATTATTTATTAGAAGGCTTCCTACTAAGGTCTTACTAAAAATAGAAAAGAAAATACTAAAGATAAAGTACTACTAACCTAATATTAATAAAGATAATAATAAAATCTAGCTATATACCCTAAAGTAACCTTAAAAGGATGCTAATTTAGGGCTACTACTAGAAAAGCTAGAGCTACCTATTAATAATATAAATTATATATTTAACTTTACCCTAGGATAAAGCTTAGACTAGAATAGTAATAGTAATAATAAGTTAATAGAGGTACCTATAACTCTAAAATAGTAATATAATAAAAACCTTACCTATATAAATAAGGTTATTAACCCTAAAGAAGATAAAACTAAAATTACTCCTAGCCCCCTTAAGCTAGTATCCTTACTAGGATATATTATTCTAGGCTTAAGAATTTTAAATTTCCTTAACATACATTATTATTTATAATATACTATACAGTATATACCCTTAAGCCTATACGCAGTAAAGACGTAGTCTTATACCCTAGTCTAAGTACTAATAGTAAAGCTACTACCTTAACAACAGACGTTACTATAATAATAGGATAAAGGTAATAAATAAATAAATAAATCTTACCCTAATTTACACTATTACGTATATTAGACTAAGGATATATACTGCCTATATATATTTTAACTATTAATAACAGTTGCCCTAGATTTTCCTTTAAGATTGTATTATAAGGAATATATATCTTTAACCTTATAAATCTTTATATAAAATAATTATAACAGACCTAGTAATACTTCTACTACTTTATATAGTATATTTTCCTTTACTCTAATACTTACCTTACTTAATTATAGATAAATACTTTTCCTACTATAAGTAGATACACAAAATTATTATTTTATACCCTAAATAACTCCTAAAAAAGTATTTATAATACAGTATACTAGTATATAATATATAATAAGATATACCCTAGCTAGTAATAACACTCCTTTAGTACTGTAAGAATAACCTATAACACTAGCTCTAACTTTAAGAAACTATAAGGAAATTTTTCTTAAATATTTTAAGAAAATAATTAGGATAAGGAAGTTTTAGTAGGCAGTAGGAATATATAAAAGAAGATAATATTTTTCTTTCCTTTATTTAAAGGGACTAGAGGAATAAGTATAGCTAGATAATTATAGACAAACTTTAAGACAGCTCTAGCTAATATTATAGTCTGTATACGTTAGTTATCTAGGATCCTTATAATCTCCGCTAGAGTACTAGATAGCTCCTTAGCTTATACCATCTATACCTTAGATCACGTGCCTGTCTAGTCTGTAACATTTATTATCTCTACATCGTCCATTCGATGCACAAGCTTACCTTGACAACTACAGCTACATATTATACATCTTAAAAGATATCCAAGTGTAGTATTGTGCGCTTCAGCTAAATCAGTTGTTGTTAGCTATAATCCTATATCTTGATGTAGTCGGCAATTGCAGAAGTCAAGTTTTGCCATCTGGTTGTTCGGGGATACACAACAAGAACGAGCTCTTGCGTACAAGCCGAGTGCCTTGAGTGAGATTGGAGTTCTGTTGGCTGCTGTTGTCATGAGAGAACATCAGCTTCTTAAATACCGTGAAGGACCTACACATAAGCTCTCGCATTATCTGCGACCATGTCTGTCAGTGCAATCGAGAAAGGGCTCTAGTACTCTGGCGGTGAGCATGCATTGGTCAAACAATGCATTATTCGTTTGTTGTCACTCATCCGTAGGCTACGTGCACCATGCATCAAGTTCAGACAACCTTCAACTTCACGATATGTCTATGTGTAGCATCTGAGAGCCAGGCACGAAGAGAGTTGTCGGAAGTACGAAGCTTTCGCTAATTACCATTTCATATTGATCGTTGGTAGTAAATCGAGTTCGACTATCCTGAATAGATTATAGTTCAGAGTGAAAAAGAATGCGAAACTTCGAAAGAATAGAGAGTTTCTAAAGCATGAACAGTAACATGATCTAGCTGTTGAACTGGAAGGATTATGGATTTAATTTGACTTGTAAAATACGATAAAGACTATGCGATAACAGTTTGAAGTCAAGGTGGTTTATAGGAGAACCTGTGTAACAAATGTGTTCAAAATTTCGGAACGGCATTGTGAAGACCGAGCAATTGCAAACTATAAATTAAACTAGCGAAATACAGATGACCCCGTAGACAGAAGAAATAACATAAGAGAACAAGTGGATGTATAGACTCAAAACACAGTTGCGAGATATCTCTCCATTCTAATCTCGAGGAAACACCGACAGAAGGGCAGGTCTTTTTCAAAAGACACGCACGACCCGTCTGGGGCGACAATTGCGTCCCAGCTTAGAGAGCAGCCAAGCCCAGGTTGCGGCCAAAGTTCGCGTTCTTGAACGGGACGTTTGCGCTTCCAAAGCTAGTCTCCTCCAGGGTTTTCCTCGCGAGGGAAGGCATGGCATCCCAGTCGTTGATCCAGTAAGAGCGTCCATTGGTGTTCGTGAACTGAAATTCTTGGTTCCTGGGGAGAACGTGGTAGTATTCCACCTTGACGTTGTTTCCGTTCCTCTGTGGGTTGGTGGACTTCTTGAACTGGCCGTGACCTGAGGCGGCAGCGCCGAGGAGGCGAGGGTTTGCGTTGGCTGGGTTGTCGATCCAGACAACAACAGACTCCCAGTCGTGACGGTGGCCACCAGCAACGTTGCCGGAGACGGGCTGGTCCTTAGGGAAGTAGTAGGCGTACATGATGCCGAATCTGCCTCCGTGCCAGGCCGCTCGGGCATAGATCTGGCCTTTGTTGGTGTCTCTGCAGCCAGCACCCACGTTTCCAGAGTCTTGGAGACCGCCGCTACAAGTGCGTCAGTACAACGTTGAGAGAAGGATTGGAATGGCCTACCTGTAGTTTCCAAAATCGTCTACAGCAGTGTAAGGCTGGCAGCCATGGGCGATATGGAGCGAAGGGGTGAACATCTGAATGGCCCTGCCAATGGCACCTCCTTGAAGACGTGTTCGGATGGGGTTGAGGCTATCGTGTCGCACAAGACCGCGTGCGTCAAGACCAGACTCAACGGGAGCTCCCAAAACGCCAACCGCCATGGCAAGAACAGACAGGATCGAAGTAGGAAGCATGATGAAGTAATGGCGAGTAATATTAACTGAATGAATGTCTGTAGTCGAGTATGATTGGACAAGACTGAGTAAGTAAAGTGTGGATGATCTGTTGAATGAAAGGATGATGTTCTAGGAAGGACATTGGCATCTGACTTTATACTTCTCTGCTTCCAAGAGTCAAGATTTTCTGTTCCTGGGATTAATTACTTCCTTTACTCTCAAGAGTTCGCTCTCTCTCACGGTGATTAACAACCTAGCTAAGAACGGTGCCAAGACTGTCCGTATCGAGTTTATGGCATGATAGTAGATAGAAAGAGTATCTGCACGGCCTTTGATGCTCTGCTTACTCCCGCCTTTAGTCTCGAACCACCTCAGAAGATGCTGTTCTCTAGCTGGGCACACCGAGATGTGGCCGTGTGGATCCCGTGTTCGGTGATAGTAGCGGTGGCTTTAGCACGCTAGTCAGCCCTAGGAGACTTGGATTCGGGGGTATTTTAGTCACGAAAAGATGTTCGGTATGATTCGATGCGCAGTCATCGTAAATCATAAGCCAAGCATCGCTAAACATAGCTCAGTGGTTTCTTAGGAAGGACCGACCCTGCACACCAGCCGCGAAAAAACTTACCGTCTTGCTTGGTACAGCACAACGTGCCTTTCTAGTCTGACAGTCTGAGCACCTACAAGACTCTTGGTACAGAAACACCAAAGAGTTGATTCGTATATAATAACTCGCGCTACAGCAGATGTATCCCATTGGGTAGGAATTTTAACTTGCTGTTGGCGCCAAACATTTAGTCACTTCGCCAGTCTCTCGACTACGAAAGAACGTGTTTTAGATGTGTCCTTACATGAGCCTTACACGAGATACACGTGTCTCGTTGTTTGATCTCTAACACCTTGGAGGTCTGGCCAATGGAATGACACTGTAAGCGTACACTGAGATTCAAAGGTGTATTTGCCCGTCAAGACACTGACACACCGATGCTGTCTGATTGGCTGGTAGTCAGCCCATGACTTCAGGGTGATGCCGGACGAAGAGAAGAACATGTCACTTTTGGGGGCCTTGTGCAGATCACCTGCGTAGAGTACGGTTAAACCTGCGGTTTGGATAGATTTCCGGTTTGGGAACTAGCTTACAGTATCATTCACATTCCAATTTAAGGCTTGCCTTCAAATCACAAGAGAACCTTGACTGCGCCAAAAGTGTCATTGAGACTGCTCAAGTAGATCAGAAACCTCAATAGTCGCATTCTCTTTGTGGAGTGAGCTGTGCTAAACGTTCCATCAAGAGCTCTTGGAAGCAGTCAAACATAGCCAACACGCATTGTGTATTTCATCGAGTCTCCACCGTATCTTCCAACCATACTATCCACTGGATCTTGCATAAAAGATCACAAAGTCTTTGGTCCAAGCAAGCGGTGCGAACGTGTTACTCTTAGCACTTCCTTCCAGATACTCTAAGCGAGAGCATCATGACCACAACGAGAATGCCAAAAGGAAGATACCCGGATGAACTTGAACTCAAGCGCGAAGCCAGAAGACTGGATGATATTCCCAGATTATAGTTACTCGTCTCTCCTCCCAGATCCCATACGCTCCCCTTATGGGACCCATGGCACACATATCATGAGTATGCAAGTATAAAAACTAACCTATACACAGTCTCACGAAGGAGCCCGTAATCCTTGACGGACCGCACAAAAGTAAACTCTCAGCAAAATCACGTACATATAATACCCCCAACAACGAGACTAAAGCATTACACGAAGTCCACAAAGTACACTCCGCACATTTTGACAAGGTCAAATAAACCAAATCAAGGACGCACATCATAGTGACCAGACATCATTGCGCCAACTCACGAGATCTACGAGCTATCCGCGCTAGGACGACACATCAACCGCAATTCGCTCGCAAAGCGACAAGAAGACCTCGCCGAGCTTCGTATGCGTGCCGACTACGCGATGGACTATAAATTTGGGGATAAAATTGTAAGATACTACAACGGATAGTTGAAACTAGTGGAAGTGCACTGGTTCTTGGTTCATCGAAATACCCGGGACTAAACTGCAGTGAGGTCTCGCAACATTTTGACAACTACATGAGAGGAAAATATGAAACCTATACGCGTTGAGTATGATTAGTATACGCCTACCAGTGTGTTGTCCTTGCAGAATTTGATTTTGCAGATCAGGGTTGTTATCTAGCTGGAAAGGACGCAGTTTGGTTCCGGGTATTTCGACTGATTGCAAGCCCGGGTAAAATGTCAGGGCTCGTCGTAGGCCACCCTTCTACACGAGATACATCGCCTTCCTCGCTGTTTAGCACCTTCTCGGTTGCTCGGCACCGCTACACAGGCTCAGGCTCAGGCTAGGAAATATCCGAAGTCAATACGAGACCCTCAAGGTACTCAAATAGTCCATTGTCTCTCCCCACCACTGGGTGTCTAGTTAAGCCGATACCCTGATCTTCGATCCTGAAAGGTATCTCGTCTGCATAGCCCATCGGTTGTGCACGTGGCGTGACTTTAAAAAGAATAAGTGGGGAGGGGGAAGTCCATTCTCATTTCCTGTATAGTGATTACTGGGATGCACTGAGAATATTGATTGCGAGAGTGGAGAAGATAAATGATGGTAAAAGCTATATACTCCACTTTGTGAAATTTTCCCAATTCATGCTTGCAGCGGGCAAAAGGTCGCAAAAAATGACTTTTGAATCGGCAAGATTCCTGGCTTCTTTTGACTCGCTGACATCAAGCCCGTATAGAATTCGGGCGTGTTAGACTGACCATACTCCAGAACACATCATGTCCAAGCCTTCGTCTCGTATTCCTACGCGTCGTTCAAAACAACATCCTAGTCTGGTTAGCTCAAGTTTTGCAACAGTGACAATCAAGACTTACCCTAGCAAGCGAATACAGTGGCTTGATGCCAGTCCAGTACTCGAACTGATGAACGCCTTGTCCGACTAGTACCTCCAGTCCATTGACGCAGTTCCAGCCCGCATCTATACCCAACTGCAGCAAAGCAGTGACTGGCGGTTTGTATGCCATCTCCAGGAGGATACGCTCACCATCCTGCTTCTTCGTCTTCGCAATGTCAAACAGCACACAAAGCGACTCCCTGATGCTCGAGTCAAGCGGTTTGTCCGCCGGAACCGTCCCAATAGCCACACTGGGCAAAAGCTCAATTTCTTGAACATACTCCGGCGATGAGATGACATGCAAATCGTATTCCTCGGGGAAATCCTGCCTTAGTGCCTCCATCTTCTTGCTGTTGCGGCCGAGAAGGTAGATGGGACTGTATCCCATCTCACGTAGGGCGAAGATAGCTGCTCGACTTGTGCCGCCGCCGCCAATGACGAGGCCAGATTGCTTAGTCTTGGAATGCGCACCTGCATTGCGCAGAATGAGAATCATGCCGAGGTAGTCTGTGTTGCGACCGATGAGGCGGGTGACGTGTTTGCCGGTTGCTTCGTCGAAAGTAGTCTCGGGAACAATGGTGTTGAGCGCGCCGATGGCGTCGATTTCGGGGCCTACACCATCGAGCAAGGGGCGAACATCTTGCTTCAAAGGGATCGTTACGCTGGCGCCACCAAAGTCTGGGGCGCGGATGATATCGCGGATCGAACTGGCATCGGTTGTCTCATGGCGGCCGTAGTTGTGCGGCAACCCCGCTTCGCGAAAGAGGCGGTTGTGCAGACGTGGGCTGGGACTTTGCTGGACAGGCGATCCGAAGATGAAAAATTTCTTCGCGGAAATCTCGCCCATCAGCGTCAGGCCACGGCAAATATCAGCAGCGGAAAGCTGGCCTGGTGCAGTGGCAGAAGGGAGCAGAGGATGCGAGACAGGAGTCATAAATCCGTTCAATATCCGGCTCATCTTGCCGTGTTCGCCCATGTTGATAGCAATGAGTGGAATGGGGTGTGCTGTATCTGCCCAGCTCTTGAACTCCGCGAGTGCGTAGTTGTCTTGGATTGATTGAGCAACACCAACAAGCTTGATGACGTCTCCATACTGGACAGCACGGTTGTAGTATTGTATCCACGACCCATTGCTCCAGCTGAGCTCGTTGTTCGGGTCGTGATGGCTGGCGATGATGCTTGTAAAGCCCCGGGTTTCGGCCATTTCACGGAGGATATCTTCAGGCATCGTCATCTCCAGATCTAGGAACTCACAGCCTTGCCGTAATGCCAATCGATACAGTTCTCGGGCTTGCTCGTATGCATCGTCGGGGAACTTGCCGCCTTGAGCCTTCGTGCGCAGCGTGAATATGACTGGTGTCGGCGTCGCTGTCCGCAATAGTGTCAACTGGTCAGTGACAAACTCCGGGGAAGGCATGCCTTCAGGTGACTCAGGATCTTCAAGCAGATCAATTCTAAGCTCGACTGCATCCGCTCCGACCACCATCTCTGGTAGTGTCTGAATGCAGGGCTGGAGATGTGGCGCAGACAAGCAGACGAAGAACGACTGCTTTTTCTTCCTGATCGCCTTCAGTGCAGAGTGTCTACCAGTGATAGTGTTCAAGTAGCGTGCAAACTCCTCTAGAGGTCTGTTTAACCCTATGGGCTCTACAATCTGACTGTTGAACTGATAGTTACTGCACTCCACATACCACGACTTGCGACGCAGCCATACACCCATGATATCGTCCACGTATGCCGGTCGTGTCTTGTCGATCTGGAGGAACTCAACAACTTTGATAATATCTCGAGTGACGAGGAGAACAACGCCACCGTTCTTTTGGTATTCGATGAAAATCTTGCGCGCCACTGGTGATTCGACAATACCGCCACCACAAGCGAAGATATGGCCCGTCGGTTTCTCTTTGACAGTCTTCTGTAAGAGCTTGAGTTCCTCCTCTCGGAAGCCACTCCAGCCCGAGGTCTTGATGATTTCTGGAATCGACATGCCAAGATGCTCTTCGAGCGCCGTATCAAGGTCGACCAGCGGTCGTCCCAGGATGCGCGCCGCCCAGCCACCACTCGTCGTTTTGCCAGCACCTCGCATGCCGATGATGAAGATGGATTTCTGCTGCGCCTTGGTAGCACGGTTGTTATCATGCGACGTAATTGCCACCTCTACGCCTTCGAGCTGAGCTTTGAAGATCTGGTGCAAAGAGTCCCAATAGCCAGGCCACGTTTTGCCTGTGCACTCCTTTTCGAGGATAAGCACTGGTTTTGGAGCAACAAGGGAAAGTACAGCAAAACTCATAGCGACACGGTGGTCGTCATAACAATGAATGCCGGCCGTGGGAGCATCAAGCTGATATCCTCGTCCGTCAACTTCGATGCCGTCCTCAAACTGCCTACAGGTCACACCAAACTTGGCAAGCTCATCTTCCATTGCCTGGATACGATTACATTCTTTGACGCGTTGGTTTGCAATACCGTAGATGCGTGTAGTGGTCGACGTGCCATTCGAAGATGCTACTGCCGCGAGGACGGATGCAGTGAGGAAAGCATCGGTCATTGGCTCCATGTCGATCTCTTTGACCGCCTTGAGCTCTCCTCTCGGTGGGCCGGTTACGGTTGTTGATGACTCCGATTGCTCAACCTTACAACCCATAGGCCTCAGTACGTCGATCGCAAAGCGAGCATCTCCTTGGAGAGAGCCGGATCCGATATTGGGTACCGTGCACGTTGTGCCGGTGATGGCTGCGATAGCAAGTGGGTAAGTTGCGGAGCTGGCGTCGCTTTCAACCACGTACTCTGAGGGGTTCGTGTAAGGCTTATTGGGGATGTGGTACGTGTTTGGATCGGATTCTGATCTCTCCACTTTTACACCGAATGAAGCCATCATAGCGATAGTCATGTCGATATAGGGCTGTGAGATTACCTTACCGCCAACTAGTCTTAGAGTGACTGGCTTCTTGGAGTAGGGTGCGCTCAACAGGATGGAAGACACGTATTGCGAGGATACGTTGGCTGTGAGCTCGATGTCGCCCGAAAATTCGCGCTCGCCCCTACTGGCACCAAATCCTGCACATGCCGAGATACGCAAGGGCAAACTGCCTTCCTTCTCTCGATACGTGACATCGATGCCCATAGTGAGAAGGGATTTGACAAGTGGCCCAATCGGACGCTCTTTCATTCGAGCGTTACCGGTGATAGTTGTTGACGTGATGCCGTTCACAGGTTGCGCGAGCGAAGTCACAGAAGTCAAGAATCGTGCCGCCGTGCCAGCGTTCCCAAGGTAGAGCTCGGTACTTGTGGCCTTGAGATTACCGCCGTTGCCTGTTACCACTAACTCCTTGCCGTCGTTCTCCCATGAGAATGTAGCACCCTGCATCTTCGCAAGCGCGTCGAGCATGACTTGCGTATCGTCAGAATGTAGCAGGTTGGTGATTCGGCACGATCCAGTTCCAAGCGCGGCAAGGACGAGCACGCGATTTGAAATACTCTTCGATCCAGGGGGCGTGCATGTGACACTCAAATCAGAAGGGACGCCAGGGTGCACAGAAATACTTGGGAAAAGAGCAATTTTGATGTCGTGATCCGCAACTGAGCTGGCCTTCTTCTCGTACGTCCTACCAATACCCGACAACAGAACAATCTTCTTGATGCTGCCTGCATTCTTCTTGTCGATTGCCATGATCTTGATGAGCTCGTCGACTTGGCAATGCTTGTTCGCTGACCGTCTTCGCACAGTCTTGTCTGCTATCGATGTGGGCAGCCCGTAGCTCGCGATACACTTTGTCAACCGCGCAACTGCAGAAGGGTCAAGCACGCCTAGGTATCTCGCCAACTCGGCTTCTTTGACCATTCCCATCGCAACACACTCTCCGTGAAGAATTTGAGGGGTGAGAATCGCCTCATATGCGTGGCCGATCGAATGTCCAAAGTTCAGCAGGTTGCGCAGCCCACCTTCTCGTTCGTCTGCTGAGACAACCTCGGCCTTGACGCGTACAGAGCCCAAGACTATCCTTTTCAATATGCCAGCGATGTTGTCTAGGTTCCTTCGTCCATCCACAGCTTTCTGGTCCATGGCTGCGAGGATAGTATCCGCGTTGCCTTCGAGCGTTGTGAATTCCTCCTCGTCCCAGATGGCAGCCGTCTTGACCACCTCAGCCATGCCGTTGATGACCTCCCGCTTCGGTAGCGTCTCAAGGAATTGCAAATCGATGTAGATGCGCTCCGGCTGCCAGAATGCTCCGACCAGGTTCTTGCCCGCTGGTGTGTCGATTGCCGTCTTACCACCAATGCTCGAGTCCACCATGGCCAACAGCGTGGTAGGAACCTGCACGAACTTAATGCCGCGCATATACGTTGCTGCTACGAAACCAATCATATCTCCAATCACGCCGCCGCCCAGGGCTATTATGATGGTGTCACGCGTGCATCCCTGCGACAGCATCCAGTCCTCGACGGCGCCCTTTGTGCTCCGTGACTTTGAGCTCTCGCCGGGCGCTATCGAGTGTATGAGGAGGCGCGGGGGAGAAGAAAGGGACTCGGCCGCGGCGGCGAAGGAGCGCTCGAACGTGGGGACGTAGAGGGGTCCGGTGTTTGTGTCGGTGATGAGGACATACGTCGACGAGGGGATGTTTTTCAGCAGATCTTGGGCGACGTAGCTCTGCCAGAGCCCGTAGTCGACGACAATTGAGTCTTTGCCCAAGATCTGCACCTTGGTGGGCTCGGCTGGCGCTCCGTTGGCAGCCATGATGGGCTGTGTGGGCGAGAGTCAGGGTCTCGAAAATAAAGCAGGTGCGACCACCAGACGCAGTGATGGTGCGTAGGAGGTGTAGAAAGGCACAATTGGTATACAGAAGGGTGGGTCTCAGCGCATGATACTGCAAGGGGTTGGTAACGTGAGTCAAGTGAAAAACAAAACTTTTGTGAATGCTGCTTTCATGTCATCGATTCAACTCCGAAGTGCGGAGTTCGTGCACGGACTCCGGCTACTTTACTCCACACATCGACACCTATTCTAAATTCGGTCACACTCGTCCAGCAAGAACCATGACGTATTCAGACAGGCAATTCTCGACAGATCAGTGAGCTGTAGCTATAGGACTTGATCACGACCTCACCTTCATACTTCTAATAGATTCGCCTTAACCTGATATCTTCGGTGCATCCTATAGACGAGCGCGACAACCATTGTCCATCCTTGAAGTGATACTACCTCCTTGGGTACCGCACAAACATATCAGTGCGTCAGACCAAAGTTTGCCGGATCTTTATAAGGCTCTGCTATTGATGTGTGTGTATTATTGGTGTTTCCAAGACTGGAGTGACAAGTCATAAAGTAGGTACTGCGACATCGACTGGTGATTGTCTCGTCCTCCGACGTTTGGAAGTGGTGGAAGTGGTGGAGGTGCTGGCACGTTGCCAGCGTTTCGTCCCTCTCTGCTTTGTCATCACGTCTTAACGCGATAACGATGAGCACCCTCATGGAACTTCAACACTGCTTCTGCATATCTCCGAACTCTCTTGGCCAGGCTGGATGCCAAATATTTCATTTGTCGGAGCCAAGAAACGCAAAACTCGCCATCCAGGCTGGGTCTTCACAATGTCGCGGCGCACGCAAGTTGCTTCTCAGCCCGCGCTTGCTAAATGCAAGCTTCTCTCGCTCGTCGACGAATTGCTTTTGAACATCATCGATCACACCGATTGCCGAAAAGCGCTCTGCAACCTTGCCGCAACATGCACGCGTTTCCAGGGTCTCGCGGAGCCGTATATCTGGCGATCGCTGCTTGTACTGACAGGTGGACATGCACGCAAAATCGCCGCAGCCTTTGATAGCTGGGACGCGAGAGTTGACTTTGTTCAGGAGATGTCTGTTAGGTATCAGGACAACCACAAAGAAGGGATTGAAGATCTCAATCATTTCGTTGGACTAATGGCGAAGCTGCGTCATTTGACGCTTGAGAGCCCGTGTCCAAACAACTCTGAATGGAATACGGTTTCTTACTTTGATGGATGGTCACGGATTGACTACACAAACTTGCTTGCAGGTTCGGTGTACCCCCGTATGGATATGACGCCTACACTCCCTATGCTACAATCTCGTAAGCCAGAGGTCTGACTGTTCAAGAAAGCTAGCTTACGACTTGCAGTTACGCTACATGGGCATGGCCCGGATAACAAGATGTTCGTCCTCGAGCGCCGGGCTGCGGCGATGTTCTTGCATCCCACTTTGCGAAAGATAACGATATCATGCCTGAACTTCGACACCGACATTGAACTCAATGATATCCCTATCGAAAAACACAAATCTACGCCATTGCAGAGCCTGACATTGATCGAATGCAATGTTAACGTACGCTATCTGGATGTTGTTCTTAGTCTACCCAAAGCTTTGAAGGAGCTGTCAATAAATGAGCGCTTGCACTCATTTCCAGAATGCAGACCATCTATGGATCCTAAGACACGCACCTCTTCTGTGCTTTTCCTTACCGCATTACAAAAACAGGCAGGATCCTTGCGAAGCCTTGTTCATATCGGAGGTAAGATGCAGCATCTGACCGACCGGGAGACCGATCCACAAGGTTCTTCGAAGCTACGATCTCTTGTTGAACTTGAGCATCTCGAACTCGGCTTCGAATCACACCTGTACTATTATCTGCGTGATAACGGCTTCCCTCCTGCGCTCAAGACCCTGAAAATGCTGGACAATGCGATCTCTATCGGCGCGGGGCACTTCTTGGATCCTCTGCTTAGAATTATCTTCCGCTCCATGACCTCTCTTGTAACCAGTCATCTTCCTCAAAATCTAGCACCAGGATTCACACTGCACCTCATGTTCTCTGAGACTACCATACGCCGTCTACGCGTCCAAAATACGATAGACCTGGACCTGAACCAGCTTCTTACTGAAATCTTCCTCGACCGGCCCACCGTTTACAAGATTGCGGATATCCTCAAGTCGTACAAGTCTCGCTTCTGCATCACTCGCGAATCGTTCCCTTCTGGAATGGGATACATACCACCGTACATGTACGGCGAGGAGCTCCCCGTCGAGACGGTGATGTACGATTCGGATGATTACTGGCGATTCAACACTATCAGCTTCCGCGCCATGGATGATGAGGAATTGAAAAAAGAGCTTGAAAAAGAGAAACGAATGCTCATGTGCCAGAGCTGCTACATGCTCAACTGTTCAGTCGGTGATTGTATATTTGAGCGGGATGCGACGCGTTGTTCGAGCTGCGAATTATGGGATCGGAAGTGCGAGAGGGCAAAAGACGAAGATGGGAGCTCTGTTGCGCAAGCGGCGCAGTAAGACTACGACTTGAAAAGCCTAGGCTTGTTTTGATGATGTCGGAGGTGAAGTGTATCGATTTCAAGACGTTATGCGCCTGAGAACAGAGGCGCCGACCTGCCATATATACGAATGGTCCTGGTTTGCGCAGGATAATGACCACCGTTACGTTGTTTTCGCGGCGAATCCGCAATAATCGGCCATCACGTGCATAGTATTAGTGACTCGGGCCATGACGAAGTCCTCCGAGGTAGGACAACCAAGAAGGGGTGTAGACAGAAAGCAGTGTTTCACGGAAACGATACACAAGTACAAGCAATGCGCACCGAGAACAGCAACTGACTCCAAGTCGTATGTCAACATTTAGCCATACTTGCACAGGCTGTTTCACGAGACCAGATACTAGATACTGAGATTCACCCAAAGGCCCCGTGTACCCAAACCAAGTGAAAGTGAACTCAGCACGAACAGCGCCAAAACCCACTTGCGCCCTTTCGGTCACCTTTTCGACTCAGTCCCTGCATTCAACCAACCGTGAACTATCATGAGATTAGCGTACCTACTTATCTCTGTGCTCTTTTCTCTTGTGAACTTTATCGCTGGGAGTGCAAGTTGCTGCAAGTACGTATATCATTAGCAAAGAATCGGACGGATTCCGCAAAGTATCACGGTAGCCACCAGGTTGGACGGTATAAGACTAATTCATAGCTAGTCACACTGAACTCAATGGGCCAACACCACACCATGACACCGCGACCGATCATCCAGCACTAACTCCCCGTTCGCCTCCTCCGCCACCCCCAAATCGCCCAGCGGGCCCAGCAAACGACTTGACATGGGAGAGATGCCGAGCTAAAGGCTGCACATTCACTTGGGCCATGCAAGCCAACGATGCAGATGTAGGCCCCACATACGCCCCCGAACGCTCCACAGCTGGCAGTCCCTGGCGAAACTTCAACGATCTACTCCTGTGGTTCTGGAGGCCCTTCCCCAACTCCCGCGTCGACGAGCGTTTCCACGATTTCTACGGCAGGTACTGGGGCGTAGGCGACGCGCTTGAAGGCCTCGGTGTAAGCCCGTACTCTGAGTTATACGAAGGCGGCAAGAATATCCTGTACTTTTTCGACCATCAAAGTTACGACCCTGAGGATCCGCCGGATGTCAATGACCAAAGGTATCAGTTGGAAGAAGGCGGGAAGATATATCGCGCTACGGGCGCGTCGTACTGTTTCTCGGTCAATCCCTGGGAGGGTGTCATCATTGGTTTCAATCGCAAGAGTCCGAGGTATGCGGCCAAGGAGCGAGGACCGCCTGTGCCTGAGGATGAGCTTCCGGCTGTCAGTCAGTTCTCGGACATTGCCTGGCTTCACTGGGATGGGGTCACGCGAGCTCGGCACACGGAGGTCACGAGCCTCCGCTACTTCCTCTCTGTCGGCATCGACAATACGGAGACGAAATCTGTTATCAGAAGGGCGATGGACAGTAAGGGGTGGCAGTTGAGTGAGTGGCCGGGTCACACGTTTGAGCGGAGGTGGGAGGAGACACGGGCGATTATAGGTACGTCTGCGAGTGTTCAAGCTCTTGAAGTAAACTTTCAATCTTTAGTTTTGGTGCTTTACAAGCGCCTTCTTGCTGACATGTGGAAATGCAGGTACACCCAACGTGCAGGGCTTTGCATACCTCCTGATTCAACACAAGGATGTGCTTGGGAACATGTTCATCGACAAAGTGCAGGTTTTCCACGGCGATACCACGCATCAGAATCCTTGTATAGTCATGCATTTATCGAAACCAAGAGTCGACAATGTTGGTGTAGAGGGGAGGAAAGATAGCGTGAGAACACACGTGATACGCGCTCAGTTGTGAGAGCGGGTCAGTAGTCGCAGCCACAGCTACTGAGAAGCAAGCCGAGGCAAAGTTCTCCTTGACACATGGGCATTTCTACGGCAATACTCGGAATCGTCTAGAGATATCGAGCCGACGTAGCAGGAACTTCGTCAAAAGAGGATCCAACCAATAGAATGCGTCCATGTAGGGTAGAGTTGGCATTCATGTGAATATATCACGGACTGGAGTCACATGGGCGTCTGGTGCCGGTGGAAGTCATATACGGCCCACGCCTCTGTACGAGAGTAGGCTGTTCGTGTGCTGTTTGAATTTCTCGTATTTGCCCTGCATCCGATTGCGTGCCACCCCTCGGCAACACGGCGTAACGGCTGCCCCGCGTGACGATGCTGGGCACCCACATCAGGCACCTGGAAGGGGAATGCGCAACACGGCTGGTGCAATTAATCCGCGTATACCATCATCCACTGGCGAGCCGACTAGGCGATCGGGCGGACCAAGTGCTGGTTGCGGTGTAATCCGGCGTCCAAGCTCGCGATGTGAGGATTTTCCATAGACCATCGGATGGCTTTACCCCGCGGCTCTTCTCCCCCAGCTACGACGGACCTATCATCCCATCTCAAACGCCGCACTTCCTCCAGTCGAGACCGCGGCCGGCAGCGCAGGAAGCACGACGACGCTCGTAGACGGTCGACATTCCTCGGTTATACACTCCTCTTGCCGCCATGAGGCCTGTTATGACTGCCGCCGCTGGTATCCGCTCAGCAGCCTCAATTGCACGACTACCTCGAGTTCAGCGCTGTGGATTTGCGTTCGCAACTAGAACTCTAGCCTCCCACTCGAACTCTGCGACATCGGCTGCCCTCTTAAACGCTCGCCGGACAGCAACAAACCCAACCCCCTCCTACACGAACCTCAACCGCGGACAGTACAGGATGGCGTCGACTACGGGTATCAAGAAGATCAAGGTGGTGAACCCCGTCGTGGAGCTCGACGGCGATGAGATGACGCGCATCATCTGGCAGGTCATCAAGGACAAGTTCATCCACCCTTACCTCGACATCGACCTCAAGTACTACGACCTCGGTCTGGAGTACCGCGACGAGACAGACGACAAGGTCACGCTCGATGCTGCCGAGGCCATCAAGAAGTACTCGGTCGGTGTCAAGTGCGCGACCATCACACCCGACGAGCAGCGCGTCGAGGAGTTCAAGCTCAAGAAGATGTGGCTGTCGCCCAACGGCACCATCCGCAACCACCTGTAAGAAGTCCAACCACGTGCCGAGCAGCGCAGAGCACAATGCTGACTCCCTACCACAGAGGAGGAACCGTCTTCCGTGCGCCCATTGTCATTCCCCGTGTGCCCCGCCTCGTGTCTGGCTGGAAGCAGCCCATCATCATCGGTCGCCATGCGTTCGGCGACCAGTACCGTGCCAAGGACCGCACCATGGACACCGAGGGTACCCTCGAGATGGTCTTCACACCAAAGGGCGGCAAGCCCGAGGTTATCAAGGTCTACGACTACCCCGCAGGCGGAGGTGTCGCCCAAATTCAGTACAACACGACCGAGTCCATCACCGGCTTCGCCCACTCATCCTTCAAGCTTGCGCTCGAGAAGAAGTTACCCCTCTACATGAGCACCAAGAACACCATCCTCAAGGCCTACGACGGAAAGTTCAAGGACGTCTTCCAGGAAATCTACGAGAGCCAGTACAGGAAGGAGTTCGAGGCTGCCGGCATCTGGTACGAGCACCGTCTGATCGACGACATGGTCGCCCAGATGATCAAGAGCGAGGGCGGCTACATCATCGCCATGAAGAGTACGTACACACCCACAACCCCCACATCCAACTACCCACTAACCCACCCCAGACTACGACGGAGACGTGCAATCCGACATCGTGGCCCAGGGCTTCGGCTCCCTCGGCCTCATGACCTCCGTCCTCATCACCCCCGACGGCAAGACGTTCGAGGCCGAGGCCGCCCACGGCACAGTCACACGCCACTACCGCGAGCACCAGAAGGGCAACGAGACATCCACCAACCCCATCGCCTCCATCTACGCGTGGACACAGGGTCTCTCGAAGCGCGGCGAGCTCGACGGCACACCCGAGCTCGTCGTCTTCGCCGAGCAGCTCGAGAAGGCCTGCGTCGACACGGTTGACGTTGATGGCATCATGACGAAGGATCTGGCTCTTGCTTGTGGGAAGAAGGATAGGGGTAGCTGGGTCACGACGAATGAGTACCTTGATGCTGTGGAGAGGAGGCTCAAGGCTAGTCTGAAGGAGAAGTTGTAGGTTGTTGGTGCGTTTTGCATGGTGGCGCATTGCATGGTCTGGTGGTGGAGAGTATATGAGACTAGGTGTCTGATGCTCGGCATGGGGCGGATCGCTTTCAAGCGTTATGCTGTGCTATTTAGGGCAGGACTTGTGAAGAACAAAAATACTATCACTATATTTGAGTTTTCGCGCAGGGGAGATTTGCTGGTCGTGTGTGTTCTTCCTGGATGTGCCGAGGGGGAGTGATGGCTTTGTGTTGCTTCTCGGGAGAAGCGACTACTCCGTTATCTGGGCGCTGAAGCATGCACAATTGCGATCGATAGCTTGGGGTTAGCGATCAGATGTTCGCGGTGAATGTGGCATTGCTGCCTCCGGAATCAACGTGATAATCCAACGGTGCCTTGATGCAAGTTGAGCAAACGAGTGCGAGGGATAAAGCATACCCTCGAGATCGGGACTGCGGCCTCCTCGCATGGCCGTGTCTTGTCTCAGCGAGAGATAAAAGGGATACTCACCGGGCTCCCTACAGCGCACCATATACAGCAGTCTAACGCGCTACAAGAGTCGCCGTCAAAAACAGCATCGCCGCCATCAAAAAGGCCATCGCTCCCCTCATCCCGCCCTACATAACCACACACCCCAACCCCTCACTCTTCGCCCCATCCTTCGTCGTACTCTTCGCACACGTCCTCGCAACATCCTCCAGCACCTGCCTACACAGCTCCCCCGTCACAGCACTACACTCCGCATACCGATCACACAGCATATTCTGCGCCGTCTGCACGCCCTCATGCGGCATCACACTCTTGCCCCTGCCTTGCCCCCCCTCCCCAACCTCCGCGAGCGTCCATTGCCTCCTTAAGTCCCGCTTGAGCCCCAGCACCATGACAGGCAGGTTCTCGTCGTGGTTGAAGTGGCTGTTTACGATTGGGAGCCAGGTTGTGGATAGGGAGGTTAGGGATGGGCGGGACGAGATGTCGTAGCAGAGGATTACGAAGGAGGGGTGGAGGAGCGTGTAGTGCGTTGGTGAGGCGGTATCGTGGAAGAGCAGCTTGTAGGGCCGCGCGTAGAGGGTTATGTCGAAGGCGAAGGGTTGGTTGGAGTCGCGGAGGGGGGGGAGGGAGTACGGTGGGAGGTCTTCGGAGGTGGAGGGGCGGATGCCGAGGGAGAGACGGCTGGGGGTGGGCGTGTTAGTTGGGAGGTTGTTCGGGGTATGCTAGAGCGGCGTTTTTGGAGGTCTGGCGGTTTAAAAGCGTCGTATCTTTCCTCAGGCGCATGCGGTGCCGTGTGGTGAGTGGACTCACGATAAGAAGGTCGACTTTCCTACCCCGGAGTCGCCGAGGAGGAGGACCGTTACTTCGGGGATCTCTGGGGGCAGTGCTGCGTAGTCCATTGTTGGCGAGGTGGAGCAAGTTGGCTTCCTGGGTATCAGCGCGCCATGCTTGCCTCGAGAGGAGTGACTTGCGCTGTCGGAGATATCGGTGATTGCGTGGTCTTGGCGCGATGGACGCGCATCGCGTTCCTCGGTTTGAACATGCACTAGGAGAGTTTTAATTATAAGTCCCAGTGCTACTCGGCATTACGTATCGACTGAAACTAGACACTGGTTTAGATTGTAACAGACGCTAGTGTTGCTTTGCAAGTAGTGCCCTTGCATATCGAGACGTTTATACTCGCGGATCTGGACCGTAATCTAGAGCAACGCATCCCTAACACAGGAGCATAGACTTATACTAGCTATCCTGGCCTTTATAGCAGCGGCCAACAAAGTATCCATGTGCGAAACTATTATTATGTACGCGTTTACTATCAAGCTTCTATTGGTTTAGGCGCTCGACAACGCCGGGAGCGCCGATGGCTCCTGGAAAGATGGTCGCTATAGCTGTTTATCTCATCAGTGGGGGAGAATGAGGTGACAAGGCGCATGAGGGAGGTGAGGATAGCTCAGCATACATTTCTGCAGAGTAAAGGAGGAGCTGTAGTAAATGGGTAAGGAAAGTGGAGAGTGGTTGTGACAACTAAGGACATATAGTTGAGCATGGCTCTTTGTACCCTCCATCGAATAAGCTGCTCAGTGACATATTCCCTCGTATTGCTCATTAGAGTGACCTTCAACGTCGTCCAGAAAACCAGGGAACGAGTCATGGGCTGCTTAGTCCAAGAAACCCGAGTAAGCAGTTCGCGCTAATGAGGCTATCGACAGATGTGGGGTCAGGGTAAGACCGAGGCATCCGTTATGCGAAACGTCTGACGAAGCTTGTGACAACAACTGAAGCTTATCATTGACCTCACCTGCTTATTGTTGGTTTGTTCCCCATCATCCATAACCAAAATGCCTGAACTCCCACCCTTTGAGCACACGCCGCTCGACAACATCGCGTCGACATGCGCAACACTCCGCGCCAGCTTTCTCTCACACAAAACGCGGCCACTCGAGTTCCGCATCCAGCAGCTGCGGAAGTTATACTGGGCCTTCAAAGACAATGAAGCCCTCATCACCGAAGCCTGCAAGCGTGACCTGGGCAAGTCGAGTTTCGAGACGTACCTTGTCGAGATCTCGTGGTGCATGAACGATTGCGTGTGGATGGCCAACAACCTGCCGCGCTTCGCAAAGGACGAGACGCCCACCGATATCCCCTTGACCAACAAGCTGATGGGCCCGCGTATCCGGAAGGATCCTTTGGGCACCGCCCTCATCATTGGAGCGTACAACTTCCCCTTCCAGCTGTCTGTAGGGCCGCTTATTGGTGCTATTGCTGCAGGCTGCACTGCCGTAGTTAAGCCCTCTGAGAGCGCTCCCTACGCTGCCGCCATCCTCCAGAAAATCATTGGCGAGGCGCTCGATCCCGAGTGCTACACGGTTATTCAGGGTGCCATCCCCGAGACAACGGCCGTGCTCGAGCAGAAATGGGACAAGATCTTCTACACAGGCTCCGAGCACGTGGCTAAGATTATTGCAAAGAAGGCAGCAGAGACACTGACTCCGTTGACGCTGGAATTGGGTGGCCGTAACCCCGCCATCATCACCAAGCATGCAGACCCTAAGCTCGCTGCGAAGCGCCTGCTATGGGCGAAGACGCTGAACGCGGGACAAGTCTGCGTGAGCCAGAACTGCACCTTCATCGACCGTGACATGGTCCCAGCCTTTATCCAGGAGATGAAAAACGCCCTGGCCGAGTTCTACCCCCAGGGTGCGCGCAACTCGCCAGACTACGGTCGCATTGTCAACCTGCGCCAGTTCCAGCGGCTGAAGAAGATGGTCGATGCAAGCAACGGCAAGATTGTCGTTGGCGGGCACATGGACGAGAGCGAACTGTTCATCGAGCCTACTGTCATCCAGGTCGACAGTGTCAACGACAGCCTGCTCACAGACGAGAGTTTCGGTCCCTTGCTGCCCATCCTCCCTGTCACCGATCTCGACGAGGCTATCAAGATGGCGAACGAAGTCCATGACACACCCCTCGGCACATACGCGTTCGGTACCAAAGCAGAGATGGAGAAGAGTACATGCACCCCCTCCACCCTACAACCACCTTACTAATTGCCACTGCAGTCTTGAACCAAACCCGCTCCGGCGGCGCCTCCCTCAACGACGGCTTCTTCCATGCCTCGATTCCAACCCTCCCCTTTGGCGGCGTCGGCTCTTCAGGTCAAGGTGCCTACCGCGGCAAGGCTTCCTTCGATGTGTTTACGCACCGTCGCAGTGTCACTACAACACCCGCGTGGATCGAGAGCATGCTGGACATAAGGTATCCCCCGTATACACTCAAGAAGCAAAAGAAGTTTGCGGGCATGAACGAAATCAAGCCAAACTTCGATCGCCAGTGCAGAACATTGGGTTGGGGAAGTTGGCTCTTGGGATTGTTGGGTTTGAAGAGTTTAGCTGCTGTAATAGGTTAGTAGGGGTCGCAGTGACCATCAGAGAACGAGTGTTAATGTGGTGTAGTGGCTGTCAGCATTAGGCTGTATCTCCAGAAGAGGGCGAAAATGTAGATCCGACACGGTGTAATGTGATGAGGGACATTAGACGCGAGAGTATCGACATCGGGAGGGAATGGACGAGAAGGCCACACGTCAGATTGGGTTTCACGCGACAGACCGCATTTCGCGTTTTTCATACTGCGAAACGTGTTATGTTTGTCTTCCTTCAATATCCATCACAGCTTCTCTCTTGCGTACTAAACCACATTATCTGCCCCCATATTCAAAGAGCTGCTTACAGATGTCCACAGGCCGTCTTCGTTTCGAAGAAGGTTGGAGAAGGAAAGAACGAGATAGGTTTGAACACTCAAGACACAAACAATCCAACCTCTCCCCTTCACCTTTCCCTACCATCTCCATGAAAGTTCTCTCCCGCATTGTCTAAAACCACCCCAGAATGTTCGCCCACCGACTCGCCCCGTCGCCCCACAAACGAAGAACAAGCAAATGAACAATCTGATGACACTATCAAACTCTTATTGTAGAAGTATATATCAGCGCACCAACCAGCCTGGATGAAACGTAGAAGAACAGTGTACGAAAGCCCAATTACCCCATCCCACTGGATAAGCTAAACTCCCTGACCTCAATCACACCTCCCTTACCACCATCACCATGCCACCACCACACTCCACCCACACAACACACGCGCACTACTCCTACACCTCAACACGGTCATCCAACATCCGCCCGCAAACCAAGCTCGTCGAACCCCTACACCATCCCCATCGACGAGTATATCCGCACCCCCTCCCAACAATCTACGAGCACACTTCCTCTTCCTACAAGTACACCTCCCGCAAGATTACGCACGCGCATGCGCATATGCCAGACTGGTTTACTGCCGCGCCGAGCTCGAGCGTGAAACGGGATTGGACTGCGCATGGTGTGCATCGGGGGTTGCTGCGGGATTTGGGTGGTGGGGAGGAGAGGGAGGGCAGGGAGAAGATGGGTGAGAAGAGGATCGAGAAGAAGAGGGAGGAGGTTGTGGTTGTTAGGCGGGTTGAGAGGTGGGAGGGTGGAGGGAAGGGTGGGAAGGATAAGGTTAAGGGGGCGGGTTGGCGCTGAGGGGTTGAGTGTGGTGTTTGTATGGGTAGTGGGAAGTGGGAGTTTTTTGTGTTGGAATGGAGTGAAGCGTACTGTCGATAGTGATGCTAGCTTGGGAGGTGGGATGGATAGTTGTGTGAGCATTTGCATGGGAGAGCCACACGCTGGATTCTCATATACGGAAAACACATCATGGCGAAATAGACATCTCAAGTGCGAAGTATCTCATCAATGCAAAGCCAAGTCACATCATGAGCAACACTTCAAAACACAATCTCTTTAGTTCAAATTCCATTTGTCATGAACACACTGTCTCTCTATGTAGAAGAACAAAAAAAGCCGTGAGCAGTACACCACCCTCGGCCGCGAAGAAAAGACGGGACTAGCCCTTGAAGAGATTTTGAATGTACCATGTTTCCTATCCAGGTTTGAAGTGACGACGCCTCGCTATGCAGCAGTCATCACAGAGCTCAGATGAGTCGACGCTTACGCGAACTGACGAGCGTGGCGGCGGGCCTTGCTGGCGGTGGTGCCAGTGGTCTCGCGGAGCCAGGAGATGAACTGAGCGATGGTGAAGGTCTCGGGGAGAGTGGAGCTGGAGCCAGTGCTGGAGGTGGCGGAGGGAGTGGCAGCGGCGGAGGTAGATGAGGGGGTGTCCTCCTTGACGGGGGTGGCGGTGGCGGAAGCAGCAGCGGTGGTGGAAGCAGCAGCTGTGGTGGAGGCAGCGGCGGTGGTGGAGGGAGCCGACGAGGAGACGGGGGCAACGGTGGCGCTGGCACTGGCAACGACAGAAGCAGTGGCAGAAGAGGAGGTGCCGGAGCTAGCACCGTCCCAGACAGCCGGGCCGGGGATGGGGTAGGTGGTCTTTCCGGCGTAGATGTCGAAGAGGACACCGGCGTCAGTGGCGGAGTACGCCTTGGTCATGTCCACACCCGATGGGAGAGTGGTAGAACCACCGGTGACAGTGATCTGTCCGCAGCCTATTCAATCAAGTTAGTCAAATGCGTCTTCTTGACAAGTCTTTCGACTTTTCAGGCTCTGTTCTTACCGTTGTAGAACTGGGCAGCGCCGGACTGGCTGGCCTCGTGGAGAGCGATGATCTCAGGGCGGATCAGGTAGTCGCCGGCAGCGAGGTCGGGGAGGGTGACAGTGATTTTGCCCGCGTTGGAGATGAACTTGTCGACGCCCCATGTGCCGTCGGTAAGACCCTCCTCGAAGATCTTGACCCAGACATCGCCCTCACCGTTGGACGCGGCAGGGGCAACGTAGACCATGACGGGACCCTTGTGGGACTAGAGGATGTTAGTCGAGTTTTCGACGTGCGAAGGGAGAACATACAGCAGCAATGGGCTCGTCAGAGTCACCGCTGGTGGTGGCTGGGTCGTTGTGGTGCCATTGGAAGGTGACCTCAGAGCCAGCAGCGACCTCGACTTGGTCGTCGGTCTTGGTACCGCCGTTGCAGGTCATGAGCGAGGAGGTAACATCCTTGATGGGGTTGTTGCCGTTGGACGGGGTGCGGACAGCAAAGTGCTGGCCCTTGTCCACGCCGTCAATGACGAAGCTTTGGAAGGTCGTGTGGGAGGCGACGAGCTGCGCGGCAGCGAGAGCGACGAATGCGTACTTCATTTTGATGGTGTTGGGTTGGATTGGATTGGATTGGAAGGACGAGTTGGTATATTCAAAAAAAGTTCAATTGAAGAGTAGACGAATAAATTCGAAGAAAATGAGTGTATGCTAAAGAGCGTGTGGAAAATGAATGTCAGCGTCAAGCTTGATGGCCTTTGAACAGACTGGTGTACCGTCTCTTATATACAAACCGCGTACTCGGCATGCATGACTTCGTTCGTCTCCAGCATTTGTCTCGAACCCAAGCTCATGCCTACCGCCACAGCACGCTAGCTGCCACAACACGTTAGGATAAGGCTAGAATAAGGCTGGCTTAATCCTTCGACCCATAGTTCTTTTATTGTAGGAAGACTGTCAGATGTCGCTTAAGTACATGTTCCCTTGGTGTTGATCAGGGGTACACAGTATAATCGAATGGCATTCGAGCATTTCGGTCAGCATGAAACGATTGAAATTGCTCGTCAAGAGCGGGTAAGAATCCACCCATGTCTAGGCGACAGGCGAAACATCTTGTTTCGAGGTGGACACAGTCTCTTACTGTATGTCTTGGGATGTAGGTTACCTCTGCGTTAACAGCCTCTTTTTCTCGGGGTTTGTCCATATCGACTTCCTGTTTTTCGGCAAGTGTAACCTGTGAGGTCGGCAAAGACGACGTAGTTTCTGTTGGGAATGGAAATTGCTATCGATCGAGCATGGAAGCGCTGCCTTCTGAGACGAGCGACATGCGTGACGACGCGTCAGTTGAAGCAGAAATTACCCATGGTCGAAGTGACGACGTCTGAAACGAATCCTGACGGAGGAGATTGCTGAATCGAAGATATTTGTTACCGATCTCTAGCGCGACAGAGCAAGCGGGATACAATACCAAACAGGCCAAACGACACCAGAATGTTGAGAAATTTATGACTGAAAGGAATGGAACAAAGCACTAGCACTTTATCAGCATAGACATCTGACATTTTATCGTTGTTTGGCCTATTCGTGTATATGTTGGGGTCAGCGTGAGGGTATACCATCACCTTATTTCCCGCTTTCTTTGTCGCGCTAGAGCCGATATCTGGGTATAGCGGGGAGTATTAACGCTTCTAGGCATGGGTCCCGTGCTAAGCTTGTTAGCGTTTCGACAAGCAATTTGCACTGCTTCTGGCGCTGGCGTTAATTATGCGTGGAGAAAACGGCGCGCTATCAACTATAAGTAGTGTCGGGTCTCTGAATTTGTTCAATTGTTCTCGTCGCTTTGTTTCCCACGGAAAGAAAATTATCGAGAACTGTGCGTGGGGCAGTTCGTAACATGATACAAGGATACAGCGGTAGTAGCTGCGTATCCGCTGTGGGATCGAAAGGGTAATCAGGCTACTAGAAGTGTTCTTAGAGTTTGATCCTTCCCATGAGGTTTTGTGTTAGAGAGGACTGAAAGATTGGGCTGCGAGACATATACGAATGACGAAGAGATGAAGTGTTTGGGTGTTCGGATGTGTACGACAGGAACCAAACATCGGGTTTGCATGATGATGCTTCTGCTCCTAACGCTGATCGTGGTTTTCTCGGAGAGGAAAGTTCTGCAAGTAGTGAAGACGGGTAGGATGTTCAGACATTGTAGGGTTGATGGAACATATTTGGCTACGACAGTATATCTTTGTGTCGTGCAATGCGCTGCAGACAATCGACAGTAGGCGATGTTCATGGATAGGCAAAAAGTAGTGTGGCTATGCTCCTGGTGGAGTCTGTGAATGGTATACTACCGGTAGTACAGTGGGAGGAGGGGAAAGGTGCGTCTTGGCTTGAGGTCTGGCCAGCCACACGGTGGCTGTGTCACGCATGACATCAAAGTACCTAAGGAATCTAGATCCTGTGTGTACGAACGATATACACAGCACTTTGCAGTCGTGACCACAGCAATGGGTTGACCACCCTGCGAGACGAAGCGAATACGTGTATAAGGTGGGGCGTGGTGGGCGGTTAAATATTGATTTGGTTGATTGCAATCAAACTGGGCAAAGAGTTTGACCCTGTCCGTACGAGATAGCCTTGTGGCTGATAGTCTAGATGGTTGGAGTAGACAAGGTTGGGAGATCGAGTAGAGCGAAAAGAGACTCAGCGCAGAGGCCGAGTTCCAGAGGAGACGAAAAGGAGGAATTGGAAATCTTGGTGCATCGTGATCACCAAGGGTAGCGGTCGTGATCGTTGTCGTCATGGTGGCATTCCTTCCCGCCGGACGGCTACGATGCAGTCTTGGGCGACAGCGCACGGCAGACGGTGCTGTGTGCGTTACGATCAGAGTTACGCCTCCTGGCCCAAACGGCTGTTGTGACGATCGTTCGCTCGGTAGGACCCTCTCTTCTCGACTCAAGAAGGGCGATCCTCTGGGAGGGTGTGTCGCTTCTGATTTCAATGTATACAATCCATCCACCGCTTCAAGATAATACTCATCGCAAGACTCCAATCCGTGGTTCGATCGCAGACTGGCGATACAAATCAATGAGCGTGGCAACATCTACCAAATTGGACCCCCTGAAGAACGAATTAGACTGCCTTGCTTGTTGCGTGCCCAGTCGCTAGTAGCTAAGTAACTTTCACCAGTGCACGTGGAGCACGGCAAACGTCATACGATTGCGCGCGTTCATCCAAACCAGAGGGTGTACAGCCTCATCTGATGCACATGAACGTATTGTCAGAACACAGATTGCGCCGCAACTGAGGCTGGTGTCGCGTTGCGAGAGTGTTCTGAGGAAGTCTAGGCGCTGGAGTACTCAGCTGAAGATCTACGGTGAGCCTATCGCACGCTAGCGTGTGATCGGCAGTTTTGCTATCCCTAAACAGGCCCAAAACCGTCATAGGCGCGTGGCCTTCGCATCTTGTTTAATTACCTGTGTTTATCGCGAAAAAGAAGACTCCTCACTTCACTCCTACCCGTTGCTCTACCGTGAGCCATCTTTACACCTAGTTTTCGAGGGTGCGCATTGCCGCCCTATCGCCCAACATGTCGAGTTCAGTGAGTTCAATCCATTTCATGTATTTTGTGAGTGTTTGCGCTAATCACGACATTGCAGGGTGGAGAAGTTGGGGGAGCTACGGGGAGCTCCAACTCGTTGTCAAGCATGATTTCGACCTTTATCCCTGCTGCGGTTCTTGCTGGTGCCTTCATCGTCGCCTTCCTCATCGGGCGCAAGTACTTTCGCAGAGTGTATGCGCCCAGAACATATCTGAATCACCTGGGTACCCAGCGGCAAACACCAGCCCAGAGTGGGAGCATGTTTGGATGGATCAAGGACTTCAAAAACCTCAAGGATGAGTACATCCTGGATCACCAGTCGATCGATGGCTACCTTTTTGTGCGCTTCTTCAAGATACTCGTCGTCATGAGCTTTTTGGGATGCCTGATCACATGGCCCGTTCTGTTCCCGATCAATGCAACCGGCGGCGCTGGCCAAGAGCAGCTCGATCTCCTTTCCATGAGCAACGTCACCACTGTTGGCAGAAATGTCAACCGCTACTATGCACACGCTATCATGTCGGTCATATTCTTGGGTTTGTCTGCCACATAAAGTCTCCAAACTAGCATTGCTAACAGCTATAGGTATGGTCATGATCATCATCGCACGCGAGTCCTTTTACACCGTCAATCTGCGTCAGGCCTACCGTCGGTCACCATGGGGTGCCAGCCGCCTATCTGCAAGGACAATCCTCTTCACCAATGTTCCCAAAACACTGTCTCAGAACGAGCTCTTTGCAATGTTTACCGGTGTCAAACACGCTTGGGTTGCTTCGAACACTAAAGAGCTGGAGAAGATGGTTGAAGATCGCGATGATACCGCTATGAAGCTCGAAGCTGGTGAAGTTCGGCTTTTGAGTGACGCGAACCAGAACAGGCTGAAAGCCGAGAAGAACAAGAAACATTTCGTGAATGAGAGCGCAACAGACGGAACTAAGTGGTTGAACCCCAAGGATCGCCCAACCCACAAACTCAAATTCCTCATTGGCAAGAAGGTCGACACCATCGAATACGGACGACAGCACTTGGCTGAGCTCATGCCCAAGATTACGCAAGAACAGGACAAGCACTGGAACGGTCAAGGAAAACTTGTGGGTGCTGTCTTTCTGGAGTTCGACACTCAGCGACACGCACAGGACGCCTGGCAAATGATGTCGAAGAGAAAAACCAAGCCCAACTCAAAACTACAGGCCCGCCAACTTGGTGTTCTGCCTGAGGAAGTTGTTTGGAACAATCTCCGAATTGGGCCGCCTGAACACTTCGCTCGATGGGCGGTAGCCACTGCCTTCATCACCATCATGATCATCTTTTTTGCGGTTCCAGGTAAAGCGCGGACATCCCTATGAGGTTCAACTTGGCTAATCAGAAATAGTTGCGTTCGTCGGTATCATCTCGAACATCAACTACCTAGCCAGCCGATTCTCCTGGCTCGAGTGGATCTTGAAGATCCCTCAAGTCATTCTGGGTGTTATCACTGGTCTTCTCCCAGCGGTTTTGCTTGCTGTTCTGATGGCATTGGTTCCGATTATCTGCCGAATCATGGCCAAACTAGCCGGATATGGTGAGTATCTCGAATACTGGAGTCTCAGAAATTGCAGTTAACAGGTTGCAGTCACCTACAGCCAAATCGAGTTGAAGTGTCAAGACTGGTACTTCGCATTCCAAGTCGTTCAGGTTTTCCTCGTCGCCACTCTGACCAGCGCTATTACATCCGTAATAAACCAGGTTCTTGCCAACCCTGCTATGGTCCTCAGCCTACTCGCCGAAAACCTGCCCAAAGCTTCCAATTTCTACATCAGCTACTTTATCTTGATGGGACTGTCCTCAGCTGCTGGTCATTTCTTGAACATTGGCGGGTTCGTCGTTGTCGTACTTCTCGGCCGCATATTGCCAGGAAAGACACCCCGCAAGATCTTTGATAAACTCACCAAGATGTCTTCACCAGCTTGGGGCTCGGAGTATCCCAAGTGGGTTAATGTAGGTGTCATCGGTATCACCTACTCTGGTATTGCCCCGCTCGTCCTGGGTTTCGCGACTGTAGGATTCTCCCTCCTCTACGTGGCCTTCAAATACAACTTCCTCTACGTCTACGAGACAAAAATCGATACCAAGGGAGAGTCATACACGAAGGCTTTGCGACAACTCCTAGTTGGCGTCTATCTTTCAGAAATCTGTCTCATCGGCCTTTTCGCCATTGCAGCCGCCGATAACATTCAAGCCTTGGGCCCTCTGATTATCATGGCCATCATGCTTGTTGTAACTATAGTGTTCACGGTGAGCCTGAAGACTGCCATGACCCACGAGGAAACCCGCCTCGCATATACCGACCCCACGCCTACCAACGGCCACCATGAGGACGGCATGGCTCACGAGAAGACGTCTGAGCAGGCTCCCAATTACACTCCCCGCGCTACACGTATCCCTGCGTTTATTCGAAAGTTTATCAATCCTGAACGCCACTCTATCCACCAGTTGTCCACTTCGCTTGACAAGTTCTACCACAGCCCGCAAGAACCACTCCCTGTTGAAATCCAGAAGCGTGCCTACTTCAACCCAGCCGTCACAAGCCCAACGCCGATCATCTGGATCGCTCGGGACGATATGGGTATTAGTGCACGTGAAATCCGGGATACGAAGAAGCAAGTGCCGAATCTGCAGATGACGGACGAGCAGGCAGTCTTCAACGAGAAGGGCAAGGTGTATTGGCACGGTGTTGATGATGGTCAGGCGAGAGAGGCGCCTGTGTTCGATGAGAAGATCGTCTACTAGTGGACGACATTCTGAGTGACCAGTAGGCTTCAACACTCTCGGAGCAGCGCCTGGGTCCAAGAGATCAACCCTCGAGTGGTTGAGATGCTTGTGTCATTTCCTATGTTCTGCATTCCGTATTTCCCATCTTCTTTCTAGTTTGTTCAATGTTTGGTCATGTGGCTGATGGCCTTTTTCATGAGAGCGCGGAGTCAATGCGGAGCACACATACCCAATATTAAATCGCGAGCAAAATACGTAGTAATAGTTTTCATCAACACCCCTTCAAGTCATCCGCTTGCGTATTTCGGATTGCTTCAGTTCATACTTGACGTAGACGTGACATCGTGACATCATCATACATCATACCGCAGTAGCTCCTCATTGCACCATCAAAGTCCTCAAAACCCTCCTTTGTTCTACTCTGTGGATTGTTACACTCTTCACAGTCTTACAATCCTCGTAAACTTCGAAATCGATCGCACTTTTTCGCTTCATACATACCTCACATATCCTCTCACGATGTCAGCTGAATACCAAGGCAAGGATCCCCTCGAGTTGGCCAAGCAGGCGGAGAAGGATCTTGGTTCCTCGGCGGCAGTCCATGGACATGGTGGCAGTGATTCCAGTACGTCTTCTTACTCTCACGACTTTAGAGTCCCATCGTGTTCCTTCCCTCGTCTTCCGCCTCAAGTACTGACTCCACAATCAGCCCGCGAGTCCGGCGTCGACGAATCCGTAACCAACAAGTTCCCCGGCAGCACCGTGGCATACGGATCCGCAGCGAGTGGACAGGGTGACAACAGGGAGATCCCATTGAGTGAAGGTGGGGATTTGGATCCCAAGACGGGGAAGTAGGTTGCACCTGTATGATGTACAGGATGGGATTTTAATACTGACCAATTGTAGGCCATACAAGGCAGGCGATTATGAGGACGTTGTTGGCAATCCTGAGGATAAGGACCGCAAGTATGCGAAGGACCATGGTGGTGAGGATGATGTTAGGGGAAACTTGAAGAAATAGATTTATGGTGCGTGGGAACCATCTTACAGTCCTACCTCAATATAAGAAATGTCCATGAAGTCATCAAAGTATATCGTGTTTTCAATCTCTCTCACGAGTTGCGCATACCTTTTCCCCTCAGTAACTACTTGCTCCAATCGTAAAGACTGTGCTTTTCCTCATTCTCAAACGCCGTCCACAACTTACAAGAACAAGCGTTGACAGAGTACAGCGCTTCAGAGTCATCTCTCTATATCAATATGGTAGATGCACTCTACACCTTGTACCCCGTATATATCCTCGTATCAGACGATTCTGGTATATCCGCGCACATATCTGTGTGAGACGTTGCCCTTTCTCAACAGCGGAAACTTCTCTGGCAGCGTATTACGAGACTTGCCCCAGATGCAAAATAGGTCCGTGGTAAAGGTGTCAACGCAAGCACATGTCTCTACATTTTCCTTTGACTATTCACACTAGTGAAATGACCTTACGCTATGTCGCCACGACCGTTCATGGGGTGGTGGAGCAGCTTGGTATTGTTTCAGAATTGAGTTTGCTAGTCGTAAGAAGACGTGTAATGATTTGTGAATTCCAGGCAAACGCCGACTACGCCGACTACGCCGCACGCCCTAGCCCCGCTACAGCGCTTGCAATACTTCATATACAGGACGCAGGACAAGGTACCTTCTCGCCGGACGTCCTCTACTTCCTCATTTGATCGAGTCCATATACCATGACGCCAATCACCGACCTCCCGTCCGAGCTTCTCGAACCCATCCTATCCCTCCTATCATTCTCTTCACTCTCCACGTTGAGCCGTACTTGCAAGATCCTGCACGCATACCTATCACCCCGTATCTATCACACCATTGACTGGACTTGGGAAGACGATCAGCCCTGTCCGCCGTTTCACTTTCTATTACGGACGCTGCTTGCAAATACTCAGTTGGCTGGTCTTGTCAGGGTACTCAAATTTCGCGGCGGGGGCATAGTGAGAGAAGACGCTTGGAAAGACGGGTCTCTTTGTGACGATGAGTGTGATTGGCAGTCTATGGAAAGCGCACGTAGTGTGTGGACTGATGGCCAGAGAGCTCGATCTTCATTCAAGCGTGAGGATGAATGGAGAGTCGAAGATTGCGTTTCACAAATATACAACGCCAGAATAAAGGAGTGGATGTCTGAGTTCGATAGGGGTAATATTGATGTCGTGGTAGCATTGATCTTGGGTCAGCTGCAGGCTCTTGAGCAACTGGATCTCGGGTTTGGCTTCGTGCAACGGTCACGTTTCGTTCCTCAACTTTTTCGGCATTATACGGTCAACCACAGGTCATTAGTTCCATATCGACTCCTTGTGTCTGCCAACCTAGCTCTCGACGGTCCCAGATCACCACAAGGCTTCTGGTCTGATCTGGATCTGTATAGACTGTTCTTTTTCTTACCATCGTTAAGGACACTGAACACTATCCTCATCGAGCCCGTCATCTTTGCATGGCCGTCCCCAATGATGCGACCCCAAACAGTATCCTTATCGTCTCTGTGCCTCCGGAAGTGCACAGCGTCTGGGGATACGTTATCGAGAATACTCTCCCACACATCTCAACTCAAACACCTCGTATACGACCATCATCGTATGGTAATGTGCTATCCCCCACATTGGGAATGCGAGCCACAGATCTACGACCCACCTACTGGATGGCGCAGGGTCTCCATAAACTGCGACGGCTTGAGCAAAGCCTTGTCATATGTACGCCACACGCTCCAAACTCTCGAAATCAAAGTCCAATTCACACCGTCTATCTTGATCGAGCTGAAAGACAAATCAAACATGTTGTTCCTCTGCGGCCTAATTGGACGCATCACTCACCTCCCCCTCATGACACGCCTCACAAGCCTAGAGATTCCATGGGTACTTCTCTCAGGCTGGATTCTGAACCCAGTTTATGAGGGAAAAGATGCTGATATCCCCATGTGGCGCCACAATAACGAGAATTTCAACAACTTGCACTGGCCCTCTGTTCTCCCTGCGTCACTTACACGCCTTCGTCTCCGAGATGACCTTAGCGATTTCGGCACTTTTCAGTTCGGCGGGAACATGCCAATTGCACTTATTGAACAGCTCCTGGAGACTAAAACGACGTATCTTCGGGAACTGGTGGACCTGGAGTTTGTGTTTATATGGAACCGTAAGTACGAATATGAGGGCTGTCCACTTTCTCTTGTGAAGGAGTTGCGCATTGTATGTCACAAGTATGGGGTGGGTTGCAGGATCTGGCAAGAACAAGTTCTGTGGAAGTCTAAAGCTGCAGTTGAGATACAGTGAGTAGACAAGACAGTTGTCAATACACTGGTAGGTAAACTTACCTTAGTGTCTACCAGTCTGAAAGATCATGGTCTTGGAGAAGGATAGTATATTGACACCCAACCCGTTTTTGCAAAAGCATGGTGTGAAACAGCAAGATATTAATCTTCTAGCCGTTCCAGCTAATAGACAAATATATATACCCCCACGCGACACATCGAAGGATCAACAAGCGGCGAACGTCGAACACGTTTGCAGTGTTAAGCTCATACCTCACATACCACTCTGAAATGATTTACAGCGCTTTGGGTAAGCGGCCTTTCGCAACACGCGAATTTCAAACCACAATTGTTGCGCCAGAACATCCAAGACCGTAAGTCATTAGCACCAAGCCAATACCCAGTTGCAGGATAGAACGTATTGCATCTAACTAAGCTTGACCCCTTCAGCCCGCTGCGCCCCAACCCCCAAGTATCTCCACAACCTCAAAACCATCCACAATACAACCATCTCCATAAACGTGCTCATCCCTGTTCTCCCAATTCCCGCACCATATGCTATCATAGACTTTCGATTGAGCAGGTATGTGAGTGACTCAGCTTGATCTCTTGTTCGTTGAAGCTTCTTTTCAATTACTTGGTGTTATGGTTTGTTGGTTACTGCATGCAACGCCAGCTTCTTGAGTTGCGGGGGTTACTGGGGTTTCGCATATTTCCCCTACACAAAGGGAAAGTGTGTACCACACCACACTACACCCTATACTCCTCCACTCACCTTCCCCACCGCTTCCCATCTCCTCTTCACCCCACTCTCTACCATCGATCCAAGCCAAAACTTCCCATAACAGCCATCCCGTCCAACCAACGCCTATTCCTATACTTTTTTCTACCTCCTCTTCCGCCCCAGCCTCCTCTACCGTTTTTGTTCCAATCGGTACAATCTGATCTAGTCTCATTACACAACGCCACGCCTCGAGAGTAAGATGAAAGAGAAGGGTGGTAAGTTAGCCAGTCCATCACCCCCTCCCACCACGTCTCACAACATCACATCTCACAACATCACATCACCCACATCACACATCACGCACCACAATCCCCTCTCACAGCAATTCAAACTCAAGAATAAAATCCCATTACCCTCCTCCAAGCGCCCAGCTATCGAAGACGAAGAAGACAAGCCCCCCAAAACACCACGCCCTCATCAAAACCATAGCAGTCATAAGCTCATGAAATTAGCTCCAACCCAACCCAACCCATTCCCCTTAATCCACCACTCCCTCCTTCCTCCCCAGGGTATATATATCTCCCATCCCGTTTCATCCCATCCCCTCCCCTCCTGAAAGCATTACCACCACCACAAAAATCCACATTCTCCCCATCGACATCGAAAAAGGGCGTAGAACCAGCACTTCACGCTCCCTGCGCACCGCTTCGTTCTTCGCCCAGAAGTTCGCCTAGAAGTTCGCCTAGAAGATCTCCGAGTCGAGGCTGCTGCGGTAGCTAAGGAGTGATTCCTCATCATCTGCGAGCGAGTTAGTTTAATTGTACTCAGAACAAATGGGAAAAGAGGGGAGGAAATATATACCTTCGATGGGTTTCCGCCTAATGACGGTATCGGAGTGATTCAATCCGTTCCCATTGGGAGCAGGGCTCCTGCTGCCCATGGGCCTAGGGCCGGTGATCTTGCGCTGGGGGGTCGCGAGACTCGAGCGGGGGGAGGACGAGGGCGTCAACTGGGGAGATTGTTAGCAAGTTGTATACTACACCAGTCCATGCGATTTGTACATACCCGGTATCCCCTATCAGTCTCAAGACTGTATCGAACCTCCGCGATAGGCGCGAGTGGCGTCAGCGCGCCCTGGCTGCCAAATTCATTCGGGCTGCTGTACATCTGCCTCGTCTGACCGTAGCCGGCGAGGGTTCCCGACTGCTGCTGCTGCGGGATGAGCGGTCCGTCGTCGACGATCTTCGACGGCCGTGCAGACGCGTACTGCTGCTCGGAGGCGGAGTGGCCGCTGTATCCGCCATCAGAGGAGATGGGGCTCAGATTTCCGGCTCCGTATCCCGCCGTGCCTGCCGACATGCGGTTGCGAGCCAGCGAGGGCATGCTACCCCACTGGTCGTAGTCGGGCGACGTGATGTTGGAGGGCTCGTAGATTTGCGCCGCGTCTTCGAGGTGAGACTGATGGCGGCCTGTTGGGCCCGGGCGCGGCTGCGGGTGCTGCAGGTTCAGCGAGTTGCGGTGAGCCTGGTACTTGGGGTCGTCCATCTCGTACTGCAGCTCGGACTCATCTGGGATGAGTGGCGAGGCAGAGCGCATTGACGATCTGTCGTCTCTGGAAAGAGAGCTGTGGGAACGACGCCTATCATCCTCACGTACGGCGTATGGCTCGTCGTCGTAGTACGCGAGGTTGTTTTGTGACCCGGACCTCGAGTGAGTTGAGCGGGTCGACTGGCTTGACATGGAAGACTTTGAATGCGCGGAGTACGGTCGCTTGTCTCCAGACCCGCTGTGGTGGGGAGTGCTCTCCGGGTTGGAAGACGCCGTTGTCTTCGACCACCTCGAGATCTTGGGGATGCCGAAACCAGACGACGAGTTCGACTTGTGTTTGCGCTTCGGTGTGGTGTCCTGGCTCTCCTTGCTGAACGCTCTCGACGCTTGTGTTGGCGTTGTCTCCTTCTCCTGCGAGAGACTCCTGTTATGCATAGCCTCTTGCGTAGGCGTCGTCATCCGCTCCGTGTTCTCGTACTGAAGAACACGCTCGTCATACTCGTCAGAGTCCTCATCCACCGTGCTGATGCGGTTGTTCTGCACAACATCATAGCCCGAGTGAAGATCCTGAATCCGTCGTGACGAGGAGGGGTTTGAAAGGTATCCAGACTGGTTCGGCGACGAATTGGTATTGGCGCGACCTTCAGGCTCGTAGCCCGGATCAGCGCTGGCCCTCAGGTTCTCGTAAGACGCGAGGCTGTTTGTGCGATTTTGCTCCAACGTCAGCGTCTGAACCTGCTTCAGGCCTTCAACCTCGCCAAGCAACTGGACCAACATGTGCTCGATGTTCTTGATGTCGCCATCGCCCTTCATGCTCAGGCCCTTCAGCGCACGCTTGAACACGTTCTTCTTCTTCGTCTCGATGTCATCTTCAGACGACGATCGAGGGACTCGCGGCGATCCAAACGGCTGAGGACGAGGCCCACCCAAGATGCGTTGCTCGGCGAGACCGACTCTCTTGTCCGTGGTCTGCATGATCATGTTGTCCTGCGTCTTGATGAACTGTTTCATCTCGTCCAGCTGATTGCGCATCTCCGCCGCACTCCTAACCAGCGTGACCAGGATCTCAGTGTCCCGCGCATTACGCTGAGCGTCGCGAACGGTCAAATGATCCATGAGCGCCACAATATCCTTTGACTCAATACGGTCCAGGCCCTTGCCAGTCGCCGCGTCGTACAGTGGCGAATCCAGACCATGAGAATTGCCGCTCAAATGACGATCGTGCTTGTCACCAGAGGCAAACATATCCGTTTCCCCAAGACCGGTATCATCGTATCCATCACCAAACCCATCATCGTCAAACAGTTTGGGTGCCATTCGGTTCTGAGGCGTATACGCTTCACGTTGGTTAGCCGACTGGTAACCCTCGTCTTTCCAGCCGGTCTGGTTGGACAAAGGCGTACGGTTACTCTGCGCATAACTCTGCTGCTCGTATTGAGGCTCACCTGTGTATGACTCGTAGTCATCTTCCACTGTGGCCTGGTGTTGTCCGTCGTATGAGAGTTCGCTAGGGCTTTGATCGCGCAGCTGGTGAGCAGCAGCAGCGACAATAGCAGCCCCGGCGCCAGGTCCAGTAGGAGCAGCGTTGCTGTATGGGTTGACAGGTGTACGCTCGCGCGATTCTTGTCGGCTCAGGTACTCTTCTGTCTGCTCGTGGTAGCCGTCTCCACCTCCGAGCGGTCCATGAATGATGGATGGGTTGGTAGTGACATCAGACTCATCATCCACGCCATACCCAATCTCGGGCATCATATCATGGTGAGCCGGGAAAGCGCTGTGGTGCATCTGAGGTGTCTCGTCGATCGAGTGGGAGATGCTCTGCCTGGGCGAGTTATCGGCTTGATGAGGTTTAGACAGTGCCTCAGCCTTGTCCCGGATAGCACCCCATCGCGCGCCACTTGGGATATTCTCGTCTGAAATACTCAAAACCCCCGGCGAAGGACTGACCTGCGAGAGTCGACTCTTCTGGAGCGGACTCTTTACGGCAGGACTCATAACGCTGGCGCTCATGAGAGAGGGGTTGTGCAAAGACGCAACAGCAGACTCGACCGCCATTGGCGTGTGAATGTACTCTGGATTCGAGCCGACCCTGCGAATGTCTTGGTCGATATTCAGCTGCTCCTCGACATCAAGGTACTGCCCTTCTTCGCTGTCAGTGAAGCTATCCGGCCTCTTGTCGTTGATAGGCGACGCCTGCGAGCTTTCCTCGAGTTCTCTCCGATACACCTCATTCTGCTCGTGATTCATCTCGAAGAACAACTCTGCATCCTGAGGAGTCGATCCCTCACCAAGAACGGATCCCTCGCTCTCAAGATTGACGCCCTGTGGCCGTTTGCGTCTCTGGGCCACTTTGGTGCTTGGTCTGGAATCCAGGGACGCAATTGAGTAATCAGACGTTTGTCGGTCGACTTTGCGTTCGGCTCCGAGCGAAGACACGGATGCTGCACTCTGGGTAGATCGAAGGTGGCGAGGCGAACCGGTGGCGTGGGCATCTTCGAGGTAACTAGCCTCGCTCTGGATGGGGCTCACGTCACGATGTGGTGGTGTCTCAGTCTCGATCTCGTACTGAGAAGTTTGCGGGCCGTTGCGTTCGATAGCACGAAGCTTAGCAGCAGCAGCGGCTTCCATCCCCAGACTTGCCATGGTAACATTCTTGAGCTGAGAGGTATAGGTATGGTTATTCTTCGGAGTTGCCGAACCGTTCGAAGTCGTTTTGTGGGTATCGTCCTTTGAGCGATTGCTGTGAGAGGTGCCAAGATCCCGCTGGAATGCATTTGGAGTTCGTGTAGGCGTGCGTGGGTTCGAGTTAGGGTAGCCGCGAGGTACTTCCTGGAGGGGTGTCTCAGGGCCAGCGGTTGATGTGGCGGTGCTCTTGGAGGAGGAAGAGCTCGGTCTCTGCCGTGTCTCGGTTTCGGCAGACAGGATCGAGTCTCGAGTCAAGTCGGAGCTTTGTAGCTCGCTGTGGAGGAAGGGAAGAGCGGGGACATTTAGAACCGAAAGATCGTCTCCCACGCTCTCTGCCACGCTGGCAGAACGACTTGTGCTGCTCTTGTGGCGGTGGGACTTGTGCTTGCGCTCTTCTTCCTTCTCTTCGCGCGAGGTGTGGTGCCTCAATGCGGCAGCCGTGAGTCCAGCCCCAGCCAGACTGGCCAGTTCGGAGTCGCGCGCAGACGAGCGTGACGAGCGCTCCTTGAGTTCCTTGTCTTTGGTCTTCCTTCGGTGGCTCTTCTCGCGCAATGCCAACTCGGCGTAGCTGCGGTCGGATATGGAGCCTCGACTCGAGCGACGCTCTTTGCGGCTCGAGCTCGAAGACAGAACGGTCCCTGGATCGTCTCCATCACGGTTCAGCACGACCTTTGGTTTGCTGCCGTGGATGTTGGGTGTGCTGGAGGACTTGGAGACACGGCGCTTGGACGGCTCGCGGGAAGCGCTCCGTGAGTCGGCGCTGTCGAGGCCGGTACCACTGTCACGGGTGGTGCGCTCAAACGTGTCCTTGTTCTTGGACGTGCGACTCTCTTCTTTGAGCGCATTCAGCTCGGGCAGAATCAGGCGCCTGATGGCGTCCTCGACCGTCGCGAGCAGCTTGGGGTTGTTCATCGACGAGGTGCCCGACACGCCCGAGCGCATGGACGGCGCGAGGACGGAGCGACGGTCGGCCGTGTAGGACATGTTGGACTCTGTGCCCGTGACGGCGCTGACGTCTTCGTCACGGGGGTCCTTGCTTCTTCTTTTGGTGGACTTTGTGTCGACGGATGTTTTGGAGGAGGGCTTCCTCTTGTTCGCGGCGTCGTCAATGGCCTGCTGCTGCTGCAGCTTCTCCATGACGCGCTGGGTGATGCGGTCCTTGCTCAGGCTGCGGCTGCGCTCCTGCTTGGGGGTGATGAGTGATTCGGGCATGTCGGAGAGCAGGGACTCGTTGATTTCTTCGCGGTCCAAGCTTCGGCTGCGGCGGCGGCCGGGGGGCAGGATCTGGGGTTCGTCGCCTAGTAAGCTGTCGGGGGGCATAGACGAGACGTTCGAGGACATGGACACAAAGCGGCCGCCGTTGCTGGAGACGTCGCTGAGCACCTCGATCTCCACGGGCGCGACCGACTCGACGTCGGAGCTGTCCCAGTAGTTGGCCGGGTGGACGTCGCGATTGGCGAGCGAGATGCGGCGGATGTAGGCCGGGGTGCGGGCGGTGAGGGTGGAGCGGGTCGCGTAGGCGGACTCGGCGAACCGGACGTGGTCGCTGAGGGCCTTGTTCCTGCGGGACGAGGGCGTTACTCGCACGCGCACGCTGGGGCTCGAGCGCAGCGTGTCGTCGGGCGTGCCGGCGTCAAAGTACTCGATCAGCAGCGACGTCTGCGAGGGGTACTTCTTGTGCAGGCTGCGCTGCAGCTTGACCGTGTTGATGGTGACGGGCGTGCCGTCCTCGGGGATGCTGAAGGAAGTCTTGTCGGTGCGCGTCGAGACGTTGGTGTCGACGTCGGTGGTGTGCTGGGTGTCGTAGCCGGAGTTGGAGGTATCGGTGGGAGCTGGAAGAGGAGGCCGATGCTTGTCTAGACCCATTGCAGAACCGCCAAAGATCCTAGAAGGGCGAGTGGGTCGTCGACGACATGGGTGCTGCTGTTCCTCGCACTGCTGCGTGCGGCCTACAATGGCGAGGGTGCGTGTGCGGCCAGCAGATGGGCAGCGAGCGCAGGAACGCGGGTGCGGCTGCTTCTCAGTGCGCGAGCCCAAGGCCCGTGGACGAGCTGGGCAGGGCTGGGGCAGGCGGGCGGCGGGCGGCGAGGGGCAGCGAGCGCACTCGACTAGCACAGGGCCGGTGGGTGCGTCGTGGAGAGGGCAGCGACGGCGACGGCGGGCGTCGTGCGATCTGCGAGCTGCAGGCCGAGGAGTGGAGAGCAACTAGGTCAGGTCAGAATGGCATGTTAGGCAGGGCCCGCAGTAGGGCGACACGCACCAGCCAGCGCGACAGCACCGAGGAGTCGACACGCAGAGCAGTTGGGCGAGGTAAGAATGACGAGTTGTGCTGTGCTGTGCTGTGCTGTGCCTGCTGTGCTGTGCCTTGCTGTCTGTCTGTACCTGTCTGGCCTGCGTTGCTATGGTGGAGATGCCAGCCTTCACCGCCGGACGCACTGCGCTCACACTTGCACCCACTAGCGCTGTTGCTGCCCTGTCCCACCAACCTCGCGTCTTGCAGAGATGAATGATAGAAAGACAGTCGCCAGTCGCTGTCCAGCACTGCATCAACCTGAATCAACTTGACCTACTTGACTTGAATCGAATGCAGTCCAGAATCTTGCACTCTCGCACTGAACAAGTCGATACACGCCTTCAGCATCTTGCAATGAACAGAATCCACGCCTCAGCCTCCCACCCGCGCGCTGTCAAGTTCCCGGTGCAAGTCCCAGTCCCCGTCCCAGCCACCCCATCAACCGACACACAGACACAGACACAGACACCGAACATCCAAGCGCCTCGAATCCTCCCGTCCGTCGTCCCTCACCCACAGACACAGCCATGCACACAATCCCACCCAACACCTATATACCCACCCAGCATTTCTTTTTCTCCCCCTCCTCAATCCCCAACCCATCTCGTACCTACACCTCGTACCCAACATCCCCTCCACCACCCCCTTGCCTTCACCGCCCTATTCTCCGCGTCGCCGGGGCGACTAACTAACCTAGCTGCCGTGTCCTCACCTCCGCCCATTGGTCGCAAATTTTCAGACACTTGACAACGCATCGCCTATCACGGTGCCTGCTTCCCATGCGCGCGCATGCATGGCTTTTTTTCTTGGTTTTTGCCTCCGTCTCGCGTTTTCTTGGCGGTGCGTCTCAGCCGCAGGGGAATATTGGTAGCTAGGTAGCTATGCAGCCGAGGGCCCGCAACTGCGACTGTGAATGTAGATGTGAAGCCCATCATGAATTATGCTCGCATTGATAGAATTACCGGAAAAATGCAATGCTTTCCCCCACCTCAATGCCGGTACATGAACGGAACGAAAATCCCCGGAATAAGCAAGGCCGACCCGTAAGTAAGTAAGCCCACGATACGTAGATAGTCCATGCACGTGTAATTCCTCCGCATAAATAAAATAAATGTACACGTCGTGTCGTATCGTATGCAACGGCATGGCATTAGCATGGCTGGGCTCAATACGAGCTAGACCAATCTAAACTTTGCGGATCGGGAATCGGGATGTCGGGATATCGAAAACCCAACCGAGCCAAGCCAAGTTTTCTTGCACGTGACGTGTATGTATGCAAGTCAGACGTAGAGTACCGGTAAGACCAACGGCTTGGGATGCTGCATCGGAGAGGGAATATGCAAGTTTGCCAGGTGGAGTGAGTGTAAGGGATTATGTTGGTACGTTTGAACGTGTATTTAATGGGGCGATGCGGGTGAGTACTGTTAGGTAGGTAGGTGGGACGTTGATTACCTGCTAGGCTTGTGCATGAACCTTTTCTGATGTGGATGGATATGCACTGGATGGGGATTTGGGATTCTATGTGCATATTCTCAACGTCCTTGTTCAATGCAATGCGATGCGAGTACTCAAACCGTGAACGTGAATTCGACTTGACTTGACTAGACCAATGCATTTCATTTCATTCCATTCGCCTACTAACAGACAGTCCACACACAAACATACATACACACACCAACACCCCACTTCCACCTACTCCAGACTCCATCCCACAACGCCTCCAAACCATCCATCACCCAGCACCTCAGAACCGCTTAGGTTTCATCGGCCTTCTCCCCTGCTGCGGCCTTCTCCCCTGCTGCGGCTGGCTCCCATACGGCCTGCGCCCCTCCTCCTTCTTATCGCGCCCCAGACTGGCTCCGAGACTAATATCGATCCTAGGCGGCGTGGAGAAGCCGAAGCTCTTCGCGACCTTGACCAGATCCAACTTATGCACGTCGAACACGGAGCGCAGGCTGTGCGACGCGTACGCCTGGAGGTACGATCTGTATCCGTCCTTTGCGGATTTGTTGAGGTAGTAGTTCTTGGAGATGAGGGCTTCGAGCTGGGATTGGATGTCTACAGGAGGGTTAGTTATGTTTGATATGTAGAGTGGGGGGTGGTGGAAGATTTACTCAGAATCTTGTTTGCGGGCAGTTCGAATTCGACGAGAGGGACGCGCGCTTCTTTCAGCAGCTTCAGAAAGCCGATTTCAGAGGGGAGCAGGAACATCAGACTCCTGCCCTTGCCGTCTGAACCTCTGGCTGTTCGTCCCACGCGGTGGATGTAGTCGCGCGGGTCGTCAGGCGGATCAAACTGGATAACCCAATCCACCTCTGGGATATCGAGACCTCGCGCCGCGACATCGGTACAGATCAGCGTACCAGACTTGGCGTTGCAGAACTCGAAGAAGCGGTTTGTGCGGGCTTGCTGTTTGAGCTTGCCGTGTAGTTCCAGCACAGGCAGGTCGATGTAGTTGAGCAGCTCTGCGTAGAACTTGACCGAGTTGCAGCTGGAGAAGAAGACAATGACCTTCTTCTTCTGGTGTTTCTTGAGGAAGCTGAATAGGAGCCTGAATCGCGTGTCCGAGTCGCAGATGACGTAGCCCTGCTCCAGCCCCTCGACTGTGGAGTGCTCTTTGCGGTAATCGACGTTGATGTACATCGGTCCAGGCTTGAGCGAGATGCGCGCCAGATCCTCGACCTTGGTGGTTTGTGTCGCAGAGAACAGCATCGTCTGTCTGTCGTTGGGGAGAATCTTGATGATGCTCTTCATCTCATCCTCGAAACCGACTTCCAAAATACGATCCGCTTCGTCGATGATCAAACTCTTCAGGTTCTTGAACACAAAGCCTGGGGTGTTGTGCAGGTGGTCCAAAAGACGACCTGGAGTCGCGATGAGCAGGTTCACGCCCTTGACAAGCTTCTCTGCCTCTGCCCTTCTGTTTGCGCCACCAATCACGATACCGAATGTCTGCGAGTGCTTCTCCATCAGCTCGCGGGCGACTCCAAAGATCTGAAGCGCGAGTTCTCGGGTGGGCGACACGACAATAACTCCCGTGCCGTTGCGTGGCTTGAATCGCATCGACGACAGCATCTCAATCGCGGGAATTAGGAAGGCGAGCGTCTTTCCGCTACCAGTCTTGGCTGCTCCGAGAACGTCCTTTCCACTATGTCTTGTTAGCTTCCAGAATTCTCACTATGAAGGTGTGCACTACCTCAAAAGCGGCGGGATCGTCTTGCGCTGAATCTCCGTCATGCTCTCGAAGCCCATAGCTTTGATAGCCTCCATTGTGCGGTCGGAGAGATTCAGCTCTGAGAACAGCTGCGGGTCTTCGACGGTAGGTATCGAGGTGCCCGAAGGCAGTTCCTCCGAGTTTGCGCCCGTGGCCTTTGCAACAATTTGCTTGAGCTCTGTGTTGAGCTGCTCCTCGTCTTCCTCGACTTCCTCGACCTCTTCCTCGTCGTCTACCTGCTCCTCGACCTCCTCATCTGCACTCTCAACATCATCCTCGGCCGCTTCGACCTCAGGCTCTGGTGTGTGCTCCTTCTTCGCCTTCTTGCGGGGCTTCTCAGCGGCCGCAGTGCCATTGCTGTGCTTTTTTGGGGGCGCAACTTCCTCGCCCTTCTTGCTCTTGTGCTTGCGCTTGCGCTTGTTTGACTCCAGTTCGGCGGACGGCATGTTGGCGGCGTGTGGGTGTGGGTGTGGATGTCGTTGACGTTTTGGTGAGGATTGCGCGCGAACTTTTCGAGATTGAGAAAAAAATATGGAGCACCGCCGACCGCGCTAAGTAGCTTAGCGTCCCATGCTCAGCATTCGCACTCTTTAACACATCAATGTCCTACGATGACTTGACTCTACCTACGTGTTGTGCAGCAAGGTATTCGTCTCAGGATACATGTGGTACTGTGATAGAATTATATCATTGCTTGAATGATAATAGACCAAGCTCTTCCTGGTCTATAATGCACGCCCCTTAGACTTCAAGAATACATTGAAGACATGTTATCCTCCTCGTGAAGTCGCAACAACATACAACTCATCCAACGCCTGACACATGTTCTGAAGATTTGAGAGTCACTCTGTTAGTGATACTCTTGCTATCATAAACGTCGTTGGTCAGCCTGCAAATATCTATTCCTCGAATAAGAGGCCACGAAGGACTCAATCCGGCCTGGTTATATATGTAAAAAAAATACGTTGTATCCAACGAGTATAAATCTACTCGAGCTACCTATCTCAGCCGCCCATCCAACCCTTGCAGGTCCCTCTCCAAGTCACTTCCCTGCCACCCACCCTGATTAAACGCCTCCTGCGGCCTAGGATCCTCGTAGCCCCCGCGGTCTTGGTTGTTTGGTATCGGGACCTGCTGATTCTGTTGCTGTCCCTGACCACCGGCGCCAGCGCCAGGCTGTACTCTGACCATTTGCCTAAAACGGTGGACTTCCGCGAGGATCATCTTCTTCATGTCGGGGATTTCTTCGACAACTTCAAACTGGAAGTCGAACGTGGTGGGGCACGACGGCTCGTCAGACGCATCGTGCCATATCTGCAGGTACCTGTGCTCGAGCGCTTCTTCGACGGAGATACGTTGCGAGGGATCAAAGGCGAGCATGCGGTCTAGGAGGTCCAGCGCGTCAGGATTGGCGTTCCGGAAGAGGGATTGGAACGAGATCTTCTGCATGTAGGGCAGGTTACGGACATAGTCCTGGGCGCGGGGCGAGCCGATGCGCGCGAGGGTTTCCTCGCTTGGTGTACCCAGGTAGTGCAGGATTTGGTTCAGCTGATCAACGTAGTCGCGACCCTTGAAGAAGGGCTTACCGCCGAGCAGTTCGGCGAGAATGCATCCTACAGACCACACGTCGACTGATAGAATTAGCATTCAACGTCAAACTGCGAGCATGACTAAGTGGACGCTATTTTTGGCGTGGACCCTGGATCGAGGGTGGCAGGGTCCAAATACCATCGCTGTCGTGTTTGGATATGGGCAGACTCGAAATGGACATGTGGGACTTACTGGCTTTGGTGTAACTCTGGAAGCTCAACATAATCTCCGGAGCTCTGTACCAGCGGGTAGCGACGTACTCCGTCATGTATCCTGCATTCTCTTCAGGATCCATCGAAAAGCCTCTGGCCAGTCCAAAATCGCAGATCTTGAGCTCGCAGTCAGCGTTGACGAGAAGGTTACCGGGCTTGAGATCGCGGTGGAGGACGTTGGCCGAGTGAATGTACTTCAAACCGCAGAGGATCTGGTAAATGAACGACTGGAAGTGGGCATCTGTGAGCGGCTGACCAGAGCGGATGATAGCCGCCAGATCGCATTCCATGAGCTCTGCGCTGAATCAGCATCGTGTTGTGGTACGAAATGGGGGCGTGTCGTACCTTCATAGAGGTAGCATTCGTTGAAGTTGTCCGGGCGGGGAATGTCCATGTCATAGAGACATGTAATCTGCGCGCACCAGTGTTCAGCATCGAGCTCGAGGGTGGGGGAGGGACGGGATATCGCGGCGGGGCTGTCCTACATTGCGGTGTCCTGTTGATTATCAGTACGTTGTACGCCGACGGGAGCAGTCGACTTGCCTCGAAAGTGTTGCAGCAGCTTGATCTCGCGCAGTGCGCGCTTGGCCAGGATCTTCTTGCTGAAGACGTTGGTGACCTTCTTGATGGCCACGCCCTCGCCCGTCTGGTTGTTGGTAGCCGCGCTGTACATGCACCATCAGCATCCTGTCCGCAGTCGGGCGTTGCGCGAGTCCTACCAGACGATGCCGTAGGCGCCCTGGCCCAACTCCTTGGTCACATTGTATCGCTCGTCGACAATAAACTCCTGGTTGAACACCTTGAACACCTTGCGGTTCGCGAGGTCAGACATGATTGATGACGCGGCGGGGTAGTTGGCGGCGACGTCAAGGCAATGCAACGTTGCGCGGGGAGGAAGGGGCGACGGATGTTTCAGCGGTCGATTAGGGAAGGAGGAAAACACGCAAGCAAGGCGGCAGCTCGGGTGCTATAAGGCTCACTCTAGGCGAGCCGGAGGTGTGACGACGGGCAGCTGGGCGGCTGTCGAAACGAGGCGGACAGATGTGGATGACGACCGGCGCAAAATCTTCACCGCATAGCACAGATAACAGGGAGCATACAAAAAACGATTGGCAGTGTCACTACACGGAAAAAGCGGTCGTGTTGCAGCTCTTCGCGGCCTCCGTGAGTGAATGGAGGGGTTATGCGCCAGTTGTAGCGAGCATGAGGGGCACGCCATCCCTGATGAGGCCGCGTCTTGCTGTAGCTCATGCCTGGCAGACCGCTCTGCCTGGCCCCTGTCTTGTTTGACTCCTTATTTGCACGCCAAGTGTTCCAAAGGTCCAACATGTGATTACTTCGTAGAATGCTGCGCCTATCGACTGTCATCCTTAACAAACTGCTTTGGAACAAAGTTGTGTGCAAGATTTCTGCCATTTCCGTGCCCAATTCGTCTAGTTCAGCTGGCAGAGGTATCGTTCTCCATTCAGCGCCGTTCCCGAGTCCCAAATGAGCCTCCGTCCTAAAATCCAAACGCCAGTCGTGCATGCATGTCGCCAAAAAATTAACTTCTACGGCCATCACGACTCGTAGGAAAACCGTCGCCGATCCACAGGTCTCTCGAGGGGCGACATGGGATCGAGCTGCGCATCTCCGGCCTCATTTTTTCTCCTACAATGTTGTGGCAACAGACAAGAAGTATCACCGGCTTCCAATAGCGCGCCATCGCGAGGCGTTCGCGGGGTGACAGGCGACACGTCAGGTGTCCTTTTGTTGACCATCACTATGTCTGATGGTGATATTGCCACTGCTTCTCGTGACGCATGCTGTATTGCTGTCTGTGTTTCGGCAGTTCCGCTTGGGTCGAATCCGTTGTATCTCTTCTCTCGCTCCACCATGGTCTCTTTTTCTGTAAGCTGACGACCATCTGCCTCCGGGGTCCGTGCAAAGTCTGCTGGCATTTCGAATACCTGTCGTTCTGTGTTGTCCGCTTCTACAAGCATAGGAGAGTCAAAGTGCACAGCCGAGTTTCCAGGTAACTCGGCTTTAGATAACACATTGTTTCTTTCCCACTTCTCCCTACTCGCTAGGGTTGAACGCTCATCCGAAATGTTCGAGACCTCTTTGTTCAAAGCTGCAGCTGCATTCGCGTCAGCTTCAAACTTGGCCGTCATTTCGGCCAGTTTACGCTTTTGTCGGTGCCAAAGGCACCCAGCAATGGAGATGGCTCCTAGTATCAGGAACAGACCTCCAACTGCGATGCCAATGATTGCGCCAGTAGAAAGACGTGATTTCTTGCCAACGATGGGGACCTCCGTTGCGTATCGAGACGAGACTATCGGGACCAGTTTGGGGCTTTTGCCATGTGTCCAGTCATTGGCGTAAACCGAAAATCGTTCGCGTTCCCAATCGACGACGAGGTAAGCTTCTTGCAAGAATGTCCTACCAAGGGTCCACTGGCTCGAATTTCCTCGTCTGATTGGAAAGTATCTTGTTGTTTCCTGTAGACCTCTGTAGGGCGGAGACGCCTCAAGGTCAAACGCAGCGTATGGTAGAGTTATGTTTACAATGCCCTTAGTACTATATTTCTGCCCGAGAGTGAATGTGAAGTTTGGCTTTTGCACCAACAACGACTGATGGAGGGCATCGTCCACAAGGTAGAGATCGGTGGCTGCATCGTACGTTAAGCCAAAGGCATCCTCGAATGCCTCGCATACCTCGATCGGTAACCACAACTCGGCGACAGTTGAGTCGATATACACATCCACGTCGTCCCGCATTATAAGCGGGATTTGCGTCGTGTTGGTAGTAGTGACTGCATTGAGGCTGTCAAGACCGACCACTATGTCGCGCTCATTGTTCGGTGCAAATACGAAGGAGAGGTCGTTTCGGATGAATCGCGAGGCATCGTAGCCACCGAGGGTGAGGCTTCCAAGAACTGTGGCATCGTCTGTATGTATCAGCAAAGTCCCATGTACGTAGTCGGTCGAGATATCATGTACAATACTGTGCACCTGCTGTGTAGCCAAATGACATGCTGGGGATATGTATCTGCTCGAAAAGATTCGTCATGTAGCTGGGTTTGGCATCCTCATAGGATGAAAAGTTTGTGGGTTTATGATGGAGACCGAAGTGACCGAGCCAGAACTCTGAGGTGATCAGGGTGCTTATGGTGGTGTTTTGGACAGTCGGTCCAGTCTCCCCCGGCAATCCCAAGCCCACCGAGTCAAATCCATACAGTCCATTCCCATGCATCTCGAAGTTCTTCCCCAACCACAGCTGATAGAATCCTTGCTCCACCCATGTCTGCGACTCTGTGGTGTTGAACAAGAACCCGCGACTCGTCGCGCATTCCAGATCGACATCCGCCAATGGTTCTCCGGTAGCTTCGTCTGTATGGTTCGAGACACACGCATAAGGATTGATAACCCACACCTGTTGGGAGGCAGTCGAAATAGTTACGCGGACGTTGTGTTGGGTCGAACCAACACGAAGACTGAAGGTGTTCCAAGAGCCATCGATGCCCTGGAATTCTTGGTCAGGCGCAACTGAGATTGGCACGGGTACTGATGATACACCAGGCAGCAACTTGAAGCCCGGTGTGCTGCTGGTATTCTTTTGCGCGTTGTCGGCGAGACATGGCGCGAGAAGTGTTGTTATAGCGAGTGTGCATATTGTCGCGAGGAAGGCGCGAGGGCCTCGAGAGCAAATCATGAGCGTGACCCGGTAAAGAGCAACGAACGGACGGCGCGCAAGCACCTCGTTGAGCACGACAGCAGCGAATATGTCCACCAGCAGACATCGTCTGTCCCAGCCAGCGGCACAAGAATAGAAAGGAGATTGAATGGCGGCTGATTGCAAGGGCGTCTGGGCGGCGTCGCTTGGCTGGCGATCCTCGACTCGCAGCCCAAACTCGAGTACCTACATGACCACTTTTTGTCGCCTGAGATGGCCTCTTCTGACGGGATCCTATCTTGAACGGTAGTCGTGTGCTGCCACTACCTCGCCCGTTGACGTGGATGGACAGTTAGCGAACACCGCGTACAACGTGCACCAACCACCTCCTTTTCTCCTACACTTTTCCACGGACAGCCACTGCCCGTGCTCCACGCCGAGCCACAGGGAATTCGGACCTGTCGTTCATCACAGCCTCAATTCTCCGGTTGCGCATCCGCCCGGCTTGAACTCTCGACGTCCAGGATCGCCAAGTCCGCAAGCAACTTTCCCTCTCGACTGATAGTTCTCTGATCTACGACCTATCCACGTGCTGTGAGCATGGCACGTCATCTTGAAAGCACTCGGGGCGAGGCGAGCGATGTAAGGTGTCGCACAAACATCAAGAAAAGGGTGGGATGCGGCTATGATGGAGCGCGATTCCTTTCAGCCCTGCAGCCGACCGCCTTGCAGCAATCGGAGATGCCCCAACTAACAAGTGTCAGCCCTTGGAGCGAGGTATCCGTGCAACAACTTCAAACGGACCAACACGCAGGTAAATCTCTCAACTGGAATCACATCATACCAACCCAGTTCTCTCTTTACGCTATTGTATATGTCAAATACTGTATCCCTGTCCCTTGAAATGGCTCGTTCGCCTCTTTACGCAGACTGCGGGAGCATCACTTGACTAGATGCAAGTTCCCGTCCTGTTCATGTCATACACATAGCTCGTATTGCGTTCAGAAACAGCTATGCGTCATCGCGTGAGACAGAATACCAAGAGTACGATCTTTCCAGCCTCTGCGTGGTCCGACCCGTGTACGCCGTGTAGTATTTTCATTCTCTTCATACACTTCAGTTTTGCCTGCACTTCATAAGACATATACACTTTGTCATTTCAAACTTTGTGACAATCCAAGGTCCTTGATATACACGATCATTTAAATGATCGAGTTGGTTCACATGCATGCGGATAAGAGGCTCCAATCTTACTTTATTCACTCCCTCTCTATACTCAAAATTTCCTTTTACATGTCAATACCTACTGTCTTCTCGGCTAAAGTATGTTACCGAAATGTATCAGTTATGGCTCATAAGAACTGAGTTTAGGACTGAGTATAGTGTTGCGTGTCGGCTTCTAGATTTTCGTAAAACTACGAGTCTATTGTTTGTTAGACTCATTGTGATTTGCGCCTTTATATCCGAAAGTCCTTAGGTCACGAATATGCGTGGCGAACGAGAGAGAACTTTCGCTTCAGCGGTATATTAATTGAGAGGTTCCTATAGCTGACTGCTCAGATATCATGGTAAGCCGGGAGCTTTGACATTCGACACAAGTCAATTATAGATATGGTTGACTTATTACTTGATTTACTCCTAATTACAACAGCTTTTTTAACAATAAAGTGTCTAGTTTCATCCTGCGACGCTCAATTGACGCGTAGTACTTTAGTTGCATCTCATATGTCATTTGCAGTCTGCGGATAACCCGCTACAGGCTTGTCGTGCCCTTCCCACTGGCTGTACAGCAATGACGCAAGCGGGCTGCTTCGCCAAATGCCAACGTTCTCTTTCTCTGAAACTGCGATGCTCGCTATCAATAAAGTGAGAATTAGGACGGTAAAGATGGCAGGTAATTCCCATCGAAAGAGCACGTGTATTCAATGGATGTACACCCGGCCCGCTACTTGTTGCTTCGGTAAATACATAGTCCACTGTGAGTATTGTTACATTCGTTGAATCTGCTTGTTTCTGTAGCAAGCTATCCATAGGGCCAAGTGCGATGTTGATATGAAGAGTACCTGCATCAGATCTGCGCCAATAAGGAAGTCGTTAGATCCTATAGTGAGATCACTGCATGTGATGTAGCCGCCTGGAAGAGATTCCATCGTTGAGGACTTCCAGAATGGGGGCTGAATGTTGTCGAGCAAGACGTTCTGCTGATCCTTTGTCAACGTAAGATTTGTGATGAAGCTGTTCTCGTTTTGATGCATGTATGTATATGCGGGGGAGCTGAACGTTTACTTTAGTACCGAGTAAGGGATTAATTAAATGGACAACCCTCATTTATCAAGTCGGTATAATCAAGGTTATATTAGTCTGGCATATCTCTGCACTGAACCCCAACAGTCGATATAGGAAACGAATTTCAAGCTCAATTCATTGTAGGGTGTCTTTGAATCTAGATCCATTTACGTCGGATTGCTCGTCAACGATGTGCCAAAGAGTGAAAGCATACGCAGATCTGATCCCGAGACTGAGACAAAACTAGTGAAGGCGTTGTGGTCTAAACATATGATGCATAAAATATCGCCGTGGTATCTGCTATTGGGGAGCTGTAAAACACTATACTATGCTGGAAAGAGGGACCTAACACGAGGCTGAAGATGCTAACAATCGCACTGATAAAAGCTAAAGATCTGTCCTTCAGTCAGTCATGCATGACTACCTTAAATTGCTTTCTGAGGAGACACTGAAAATGATGTGAGAATAACAGTTTTAGACTCTTATAAGGACTTCGAATGGCCTCGTCAAATCGAACACTGTCACAGAGCGGTTGTTGCGCTAGGGCGAGCCATACCTAGCTTAGCTGGCTGATATAGCTCGTAACGCGAAACAACATGGATGAACATGAGATCACAGTGTTATACCTCCAAGTCATAGAACATTGGGGCGACCGTCCATATTCCACACACTGCAACCAGTGCTGTGAGCGATAACCACAACAAACCGATCTCCCATAACCACTTGTTGGTAAAGAGAGGTTTGCTCCGCCGTGGAGGCAGAGAGTTCAGGGCTGGCGCTTCCCTTCGAAGCATGGGGACTTCGTTGTAAGACTGTATTGATTTTTGGGATCTTTGCTCACGTGCTATAGTATTGTCAACACTGCAACGGACGTCCTGAGACTGGGCAGCTGTTGTACTTGCAGTCTAATAGCAAATGAGGCGGATAGTAAATTTGGTCAAGGTGGGTATGGGTATGAGTGGCTGGCGAGGCTCGCTTGTAGGGTATACATGCATAGCCTCAGGTGGCATTTGGGTGGCGCTCTTGACTTTCCGGTCAGCTCAAAATACACTGATAACCTACCAATCACAGCAGGATTATAGAAGCATTCGAAGTGGCTGAGCGCTTCACGCATCTTCTTTCCTTCGATGTGCTGTCTTTTGCTCTGTGATATCTAGAGATTTCAAAATGATATTTCAAATGTTGTATTTGCTAACGCAATCAACAAGCCCGGCACCACCTGAATTCATTGCGTCAAACTCGCCCCAAATTCGTCCTTTCGCAGGCTTCTTTTACCTGTGTTTGTCTGAAGCTTGCGAGTAGCCTAACTCAGGAGAGCACAACGCTAGAGAAAAGCCGAGTTTCGGCCATGAATAGCTACCTCTATCTGCTTCGTCCTCATACCGGAGAGATCATAATCATTGCTCGAGTTGGTAGAGTTTAGCAGGCTAGACGTTGAGGTAATATTGAGGACCTCACAGAGTATGATTATAAGAGATACCATTATTCGAATCGACCTCCACACATGTTCTATGTAGGAAGTATGTAGCTGGGACTAAGTAACTCGTTAGCCGTGGTCTCTACGGATGAGCTAGACAGGGGTGGCAGACCACAGAAAAGCTAAACAAGCGAGAAACTCTGGAGCGGATGATTGGTCGACAAGGCTGCTCACCCGTCGACTCCGCCACCACGCTCGGGTGATACGGCTCCAATGGCTCCTGCCTCACATGTTGGATAAGAGAGGCTGAGTCAATAATTATCACTATAGCCTCAGTCACTCTCCCCTTCACATTGTCTTCCACCAACACCAACATCACATCGCACGCTCGACACCCTACATCCCACAAGCGACCGCCCCAAGACGCCACAGAGTGACATCATGATCTTCGGTGGACTCGAAATAGTTGCTGGTGGATACCTCGTCCACCGCCATTACAGAAAGAAAGACGAGAAGAAGAAGTTCCAGGAAGAAGTTCAGGCCCGACGACACAGCACCTTTCCAGGCGCAAATCCATACTGTGCCCCGCAAGCACAACAACTTCCTCAGCCATACCAGCTGCCGATCATCCCACAGCAGAAGTATGCCTGCTACGGTGTGGCAGCTCCTCGACCTCAACCCCAAACTCAACCACAATATCAAGCCCAGCCTCAAGTCCAGCCTCAGTTCCAGCCTCGACCACAGCCTACCCACACACAGTCGTTCACGATACCCCGCCGTCCTGTGCCTCAGCAGAAACCACCGATTTTCATAATACAACCACCACTTCGACGCACTGACTCTTTCGCGACAATATCACGTATGCCAATAGCAGACGGCTCGCGACCACACGACGTGTCTGCGGAACACATTCCAGTGTTGCCAACGCGGCCATATGCGGCCGGCCTTTCGCCCGTTTCGCAGTCACCCTACGGTAACGTAGGCTTCTCGGTGTCGACACCTGCGTTGGGAGCTACTCCCACGTCACCGTCGGCGACCTATGTTATAGGTGCGGGTCATGATTCGGAAGGAAGGTATACGGTCGATGATAATTGGGAGACTTACGAGCATGGACATCGTTATGCGGAGACAGATGCCTCTACAGAATTGGGCGAGCGGGATCCACCACCACCCTACGCGCCTTGATCGATAAACAAAACGCTCATATTCAGCAAACAGCGACTCTGATGCAGGCGTTTGAGTCTCGTGTTCTCTTCTCTTCTCTTACGCTATGATGACATGACTTTTTTCAACTATTTTCGTAGCTGTCGGTGGTAATGCCTTGATCAGTTTCTCTCTATGTCTTTCTATGGCTGGCCCCATGACCACGGTAGTCTGGTAAATAATAGCTCAACACACGTACGGTCTTGGAAATTAAACATCTACTACGCTTGTATTTTCTTCTGATCAGGATCAGGATGCATGTATGCAGCTCAGCCCCCGTCTATTTTTAGATGGTGGCCTGATACGCTTCTGCCTTCCAGGACATCGGTTGCTTAGTGACAAGAAGCACGACACTCCAGGTTTGGAATGGACGCTCAACGTTGTCAAGTTGCTCCAAACGTTCATTGTGACGTGGCTGGGATGATTCAGATTTGAAGTGGAATGCTGGACTGGCGCTAGTCTAGCTTACGGGAACAGAAGACCCACATGTTCATCGACGTCGCCCGACACCTCCTCTTCTCATTGATATGTCGCTGCCGAAATTTGTCTTTTTCCACGACATCGCATGGACCTTATTCCGTTGTAGCAATTGGCTCAGCTTGTGTCTGTTACATGTACACTGCCACGTTACAGTTCGAGACGACAGGCAGAGACACATCTGTAACTGGACACCTCAGACAGGTACACCGTCGAACAGCGCATGATCAGCCTATCACAATTCGCTTGCTACGGGGATGATAAGTTTCTCGGGATCTATTCATCTCCCAACTACCGCTGTGTCATACCTGCCCGCCTTCAGTGGCTTGAGTGTTCCGGCTAGCCGGAACTGTGGTTGTCTCTTGAACGTTAGACCAGGTGTCATCTGATCTCGAGTCCTCTAGCGGACAGCTTCCCGATCTTCCACAAGTATCACGATTTCCAAACCATCGGTCGCACTCGGATTCCAACGCTATGGCTCTGAGAGCTTTTCTTCGAGCTCTCGCGTGTGTTATCTCGAGTAGTTATGAGCATTGGCTGAACACCGGGCGTTCACTATGGTGTTCTAGTTATTTTGGTTCAACCTACCAGATAGAGTATCCTGTAGTCTCGTGATGTGATGCTTGATGAGTGCCATAACACTCCATCTCAACCTTTCATAAGCTCATCAAGACCTTAGATGTACGCGAACCGACCCCAGTCGAGATTGCTTGGTATCGAGAACGTCCGATGATTATCATCTGTTACTCAGACCCCATCACGAACCTTAAAGCCGGTAGGTACACTGGAACTTCAAGAGTGTGCACTGCATGTGTATCCGTTCTCTCGGACGTCTTGATGCCCAACGCCCACACCGGTCAAGTATCTTATGGGTATTTAAGACGCATGTTGATTCTGTGCCAGTGCTCGACAAGACCGCAAGCAAATCGCAAGGTACGACTTATGCATATTGCCTCCACTTGTCGTGCTCTACTCTCGGGAAATAGTTTTCTTTGATGGTGTTTGTATGCAAGTACTGTTCTCAGATACACACCGCTTTCTTCTCACTGTTGGAGAAATGTCGCCTAGACGGGCTGAAAATAGTCCAGCTCAAACATGACTCGCACGCAGCCACAGTCGTACAGGTCAAAAGTCCGCTTATGCTAGGGCGCTCTCACGGGTTCATGGCTTCTCCAAGAAGCTATCGTAGGGTTTGCAGAAGGATAAGAGGCGTTTAACAACGAACAGGTCTTTACATGATCTATCCTGTTCGAAAACAATGATTCTGGTTTTGGGTAGACCTGGGATCTTGGACATTTAGTGTGTCATACGCTCTTCCCTGTGTTCCTTCGCAGCTGATTGTAATTTAGATACTCGTTTTCACAACATGTACAACGTGCTCACGTCTATCCGGAAATGAACAATGGTACATTTCAAATGGTGTGCAAGACATACAGATTATGTCTTATGTCAAAGTTGTGGACATTAGTGCCACAACCAGTATCTATGTTGCACGATACACCCTGCTCATCATCGAAAGATTTCTATCATATCTGATGGTTGAATCCTCGATCCATGTTACCGGTCTTTTGATGATCCGAGAAGAGCTCACTTGGCAGTGCAAAGTGGAGCACGACAGTGCAGTGTGACACCCTGCACGCTTACTACGACTCGATGCAGCGCCCCTTTGGTCCGGCAACTATCCGACTTCTATCAGCCTACCACTGTTTTTGAAAGACAAGAGGCGGTGACTATCGGCCAATCCGCGCGTTGTCTCTGAGGCATGTCCTGGTTCTTTCGGGATCTGCTGCGCTCGACGCCAGAAGTAGAGCACGCTTGTAAGCATTAGTGGAAAGATTTTAGGTCATGCGAGTCATATGTAGCTAGGACCCTGGAGGTTTCTTTTGGCTGCCAGCAACTTAGAACAAGCACTCATTACAGCCTACTGATACTAGGCTGTGTTGGCATCGACTTGCAACGTTGGAAACACTATGGTGGTCATGTGTTACGGATGCGTCCAAAACGTGCTTGTAGGCTATGATTGGCATCGAAATACTTCCGAGTCCACTTATTTGAAAGAGCTAAAAGAGCACTTCACTCACAGGAACTTGGATACCAGGTATAAGGATTATCCGGGTCATGGTGCAGTGTACGACACTTTAGTGAACTAGTTTTACATCTATACCCCTCTAATAGACATTGCTTGATCAGCTGAGGGTACTATCTCTTTGCGCTGATTGCGTGGAATTCGATTCCGCTCTGACTATCCTTGGTAGTTCGAGTGCTGGCGATCATATTCTCTAGTCGTGCGGAAGCTGGTCGCGGTGAAGACTTACCGGAATCACGGAATTTCGTTGGGAAGTGAATGTTCCTGGCATTTCTTGGCCCCGGAAACTCACAAGACAAGAAACGAAGGCTAAAAGGAGTTCGATTCCCTCCATGTTCACTTACCTTTCCAGAACAAGAGCTCCGCAATAACTACACACCGACATTGCTACTCTTCTCCAAATTCAACTTCGTCCTCTGCTTGCTTCCAATCAACATTCTGGATTCTCACATCCGCGAACCCAAAACCAAAATGCCTCTTGTATTTCGAACAACATCTACCAGCCAAGCCACTACACAACATCACTGTCCTGGTTGTAGGGAATGCATTATGGGCTTCCAGTACGTCAATTGCAACTTTTGCGGCGGGAATCCTATCCAGTAAGTCAAGTCGACAAATCCACTTACCAAAACTCTACTATATTTGAAATCGGGTTTCTGATTCATCCCTCGCTTGTTGATCGATTGGAGACGATCATGGGTTTTGAATAATTCATAGACCATTGAGATTCCCTACTCAAGACTTTCAGAATGTTCTGACTGCCAAACAGCTACCGCACTGGAGAAGATTGCAAAGACTGCAATGGTTCAGGCAGCCTTAGCAAACCTTGCACCGGGCGTCCCCAGGTGTACCAAGCGACTGGTGCTATGAATCAAGCCCGGTAACACTATCGTGATGTTGTTGAGTAAGATTCTCGAATCGGTTTCTGGCATGAAAGCAGCTGTCAGTGGCTGCAAAGGCTACTTGTATGATCGAGATCAATAAGGAATTGGGGGGGACTGCTTCTGTCAGTCTGAGGGAGGTTCGATGGATCCATTATGCGAATATCACGCCGTAGAGTCTATCCTTAGTGTTGTCAATGAATACTCACCAGCAGAACTAGTCAGTAAAGAGAACCAATACACCTGCACATCTATTCACCTACTATCTATACCGTATTATCATCCAACATGTCAAAAATGTCTGACTTTCACACTCAGACGAGAGACAGCCAAGGCAAGCCTTCATTCTTTCCAGACATCCAGAACGAACAGACTGGTAACGCCGACAATGCTTTGTGTTAGGTTATAATATGATATATGCTCAAGCGCATGCCCATTAGGGGGTCAAAAGAGCAGGGGAGAAGGGCTGATAGGGAATATGATAATTGGGTTAAGTGTAATCATGCTACTCATCTTCTTGTGCTTCAAACATAAACAGCGATGAAACTCATCTGGCCCAGCTATTTTATTGTATGCTCCCGGGGTAGGCATGGACAAGGAGAGCAGTTCGATTCTACTTGCTACTGAGCGATGATATCTAACCAATTGGTTTCCCACACATGATCATCCGCTGCCAATTGTAACTCTCTTTTAGGACTACTGCCTCCCTACATCGCCCTCCACATAAGCTCCTCCAGCGAAGAAGATGTTTTCCTCGTCATCGTAGTCGTCCTCGTCATCATGCATATCCATACCTCCATCGTCATCCCCATTATGCTGGAAAAGATGCTCCTTCCCGTGATCCTCATCGTCATCTGATTCTTCATCTTCTTCAGTGATCTGCGTAGTATGGGCCGCCATGGAGAACTTGGATTCGAGCTCGGATTTATCTTCGGCGGTTGAGAAGAAGGGATGATCAGCAGACAGAGGCTTTCCGGTTGTGATGAAGCCCATAGGAGTGTGCTCGAAGTCTTGACCCTTGCGACGAATAGCGAGCCAATCATGGAGGAATGCGAGGGGTTCCTCAGCAAAAGCTTCATGTTGAGTGCCTTGGGATTCCTCGTCATTTCCTGAATCACCTGTTCGTATTCCGAGGTACGCCATTGTCTCCTCATACTCGTCCCAGTCGAAGTAGAGACGTCCAGCGAAGATACCAAGCACGACCGTGAGCCAAATGGGTATCTTGAAGCTGGTCGGCAGCGGCGGTATCGCATAGTAATCAAGCTTGTTGAAGTGGAGCATGCGACGTGTGATGGGAGCAGCATATGTGATGAGATGACACACTGGTCGGCGTATACCGCGGAGGATCGGGATGAGCAAGTTGGCTTCTTCTGGGCTGACAAGCAGGCCAATCTCAACGGCACGGCTCCACAATATCCATTGGCACGGCCGAAGAAAGGCGTCGTTTGACTCGTTGGTGCTGATAGTTCTATTGAATTGAGCAGAGACATACAAGCCAGGAGTTACGTTTGTAGCTGTGATGTTGCCGTGCTTGATACCAAGAGCAGTCTTCTGCAGTGTGCAAAACATGGGCTCGTATGCATCGCTGCTGGCTGCCAAACGTCCAATGGTGGCAAATATCTGCACGTCGGGATGCAGTTTGCCTGTCTTCAACGCTTTGAAATAAACTGGGGGCTGTGTTTCTCGAACACATTCTGTTTCAAATTCGATTTCGCGTTCTTGTTCGACTTCCTCCAAGGCAGAAGAGTGAATAGCAAAACCTCGATCTTGGAATCCCTTCCTACGGTTGAGCATCTCCGTGACATGTTTACGCAGAGAAGGTGCAAACGCTGAAGACTTAATGGCTGGCCCGCGCTGTTGATGTTTGGGCTCGTACAGCTGTTTGAGTGACTGTAGTTCCTTGGATCGGATAATACTCAGATAGGCTTCGCGCGAGTATTCGTCATCGAGAAAATCCGGATGGTTGAGCTTGGCCTGTTCCCGCTGCAAAAAGTTGATCCCTTGAGTGAAGTAGAGAGGCTCAAGCTGCTCTATAGCGTTGCACGTCTGCTCCAAAAGCCAACGAACAACATCCCGGGAGCATACAGCGGTGATTGGCGCGTCTTTGGCGGCCATTCGGACATCCAGTATACTCTGGTGAACCTCAGGAGGAGAGAAGAACGTCACTGATTGCGTCGTCCCGAGTAGGCGTAACCTCATTGCAGCTTGCGCAAGTGCGTCTTTGGTCAGATTTGGACCAAGCGTCAATCCTGCCCTTGCGTTTGCGGGCAGCCTCAAGTCAGTTCCTCGACAATGATTCTCGTCGATATAAACCAGACACTCGTCCAGATTATCCGCAAATGGCGAAGCTACGAGCGGAATATCTGTTCCTTTGCCTTTGCCGTATATGACTCGAGGGCGGTGGTCCGAATCGAAGTAAACTGCTGCCGCAGCTTCGTGATCGATCTTCAGCCATGCCTTGGCAAGACTGCAGTTGTCCATCTCTAGTACTTGCGCGCCAGCATCAAGGAGAATACGAATGCGATTGGATGGATTTTGTGCAAGGCCGAGAGGATTCTGTAACTTCCTGAGCAGACCATCTTCGGTCAGCCGTTTTCTACGACTATCGACCATGTAAACGTAATGACGATTGCGTTCCTCGAGGAGGTAGGCCAGCACTTCGGCGTTGGTGTGAGCTAATTGAGGGAGGTCATTTTGCTTGATCGTCATCGGCAATTGATGTCGGGAATCGTTGGTGCCGGAAAAGCCAGTAGTCCTACAGTTTGACGACCGAGTGGGCTCAAAAAGAACAAGGTCAGAGCCCGAGGCCGATAGCTTCTTGCTGAACTGCTTTGCATGCAGAGGAAATACAAAGGTGTTGAGAAAGAAGTCAAGGAGATACACGTTGTGCCTGAGAAGATTAGTAAAATACTCATATGGTACGGTGTCGCTGTGCTCATACCGAATGTACTGGTGCAATTCGCGAAGCTGGTTGCTATCCTCCACGTTGATTGCATTGTAATCTCTCAAGGCTTCAGGGACATTCCCTACGACCCACTTCTCATACTCGATGCTAGGCTCGTCCGATTTTACGAGCTGTTCAAAAGCCTGTTTGAATTGAGCCATAGTGAGACCTTCGTAATAGAATGACAGACAAGTCAAAATGATGGCGACATCGGGGTGACCCCATTCTGCCGTTGGGCTCGCAATTCCTTTAGCCTGAACACATCTATTAGTGTCTTGTCTGCAAAAGCGCATGTGAAATTGGCACAAAATACTACCAAGTCTCGAGATGAGATTTTGTCACGTGATGTCACTTGGCCCAGTCTAGTTTCAAGATTTAAACACATGAATGAACTTCATCGCGAGACTCGGTGGTACAAACACGACTTACTTACCTGGTAAGGTACAGCGATGGGATCTCGTGACGGATGTAGTCCATATTGAACGTTCCATCGCTTCTTCAGGGTCGAGAGTAGGATGCGATGAACGAAAAGACCGCGTAGATGGTATACGACGTCCATCAAATGACGGCTATCCGTGAAAACATCGACGACCCTACTAGTGACCTCCGGACTCACCGAAGGACTAGAGATGAATGTTTGGATATCCTGCTGGGAAGATACCGGGAGATCTGCGACCGGAAGAATGGTAGTTTGACCTTTGGAGATTGCTTGGACAATCTGGGCAACGACATACTCCTCTACGTCTTTGCGAAGGAGATATATCAACGGGAAACCAAATCTCCAAACGATCTCAATGCTGCTGGGGAATTTGACCGCAAGACCTGGCAAATACGACACCACTAGGTGAAGAAGGGCCTGAGTCGTTTGCCACCTTAGTGGATGGCCATCGACAGTCTGCTGCGTGCCAGAAGGGTAGATCAGCTGTGTTCGGATCGCAAGCGACACGTCACATTCATCTAAGACATCCCGAGCATGACGATCCAACCAGCCTTGTGCCTTGATCATCATTGCTGCCTCGTCAGGTTTGCCATCACATAGGCGCTGGAGCCCACTGAGTTTGAAAGACAGGATGTGCTCTGGCAAGGCAAGCATAATACCACCGTACTTTTGTGTGTGCGTATGCAGCTGGCAGTATTTTGACATCAAGTCTCGACCTGTAGGCGTCTTCCGCGAGAACGGAATGTGTATGACCTCGCGATTCAGAAGACCTCCCAGCTTAGTTTGCATTATCTGTGCAGACTGCAATAGTAGTGGCCTAGGCACCACTATTCGGAAAAGATTCTTATCGGCGAGCTTCAGCGCAACCATAGCTTCAAAAAAGTGTTAGCGCATGCAAGGCTAAGTAGTGGGAATGATACGCACGGAGGATGCAAGATGTCTTCCCAGCGCCCATCAACATCTGTACTACGGAGTTTTGGCCCGACTGGGGTGAGATTGTTGCAAGAGCAACTTCGACCTGTTCTGAACGAAGCATGATATTGCTATCAATTTCCAAGACAAGCCAGTCTACATGCTTCAAAGGTGACCAATTTTGGTGTCCGATGTTGTCAGACTCGTCGCGTATCTGCTGCCGACGCTCTCTCTGAATCGCATCTTGAATGCGTAGTAGGCGCTGATACGTCGTAACAGCGACCCCAAAGCTGACGAGTGTTTCCCTAGTCCCCTGGCCAAACACAGTTCCAGAAGTAGAGCGAAGCTCGGTAAGCAGAGTCGTAGGAGTAATTCTCGGCCACATTCCAGCTAACTTCAGCCATTTTGCTCTACTATCGCCTTCCTGCAGTGCACTAGCGATGTGATGAAGCTTTGCCCGGAAAGAGTCGTTCGCTGCGTACAACTCGTTTGAGAGCTTTGTTGGATTGAAAGGCTCACGTACGACTGCTGGTTTCGAGAGGTGGTCCAAAAGAGCTTTGATGCTCTGCTCCAACTCGTCACCATATCGTTTTTGCACCAAGGAGGATGAATTCTTGTAGTTGGCGACAATCCTGCGTAGTTCGTTGATGTGGAGAAATTTGCGACTTGCACCAGGTGTGGTGTTGAGCGTAGTCATAGCACGAACTCCATTCGTTAGATTAGTCAAGACGATTGGTGGTACAGCTTGTCTGGAGAGTTCTTTCTTATGAGAAACATGCACAGAAAGATCCTTTCTCAACAACTCTTGCATGGTAGGGACTTCTCCTCCCCGCTTGCGTAAAGGATACAGTTCTGTCTGTAATAAATCAGACGAAGTCTTTAAGACGATTGTACTCGTCAGACGTCCTTTACAGTGGCGGTGCAATACAAGCTGAACATCCTCGATATGCTGCGAAAATTCGAAGTTGTTTACAAGTCTGTCCCATTCCGGAAGTACAGCAAGTAGAGCCTCATCGCGGTCCAGAAACACGTCATCCACTATTGCCAGGCGATATATGTTCAGCTCTCTACAAGGCCACTGAGCTCGAATGGACTCGGCAAAGAGTTTGCAGCTTCGCGTTGCTGCTTTCTCATGATTCAGTCGTCGCAGTACGAGTTGGCCATGTACTCCATCATGGGTGTTGTCATCTTCGAATGCCTTCTTGAACCCAGATATCAATCTCTCCAAAGTTTCCACCTCCAAAACCTCGTTTGGTTGGAAATGGCTGTATGCAGCAGCTTTCGGTAGTTCAAGCTGCTTGAGATCGTCCAACACGGCAAAGGACACCAACACCCTAACAAGCTCCACGTTCGCACACGGAGAGAAGACCAATAGACAAAATAAGAACATCAGCTGAAACCTGTCTGGCTTAGAGCACTCTAGAGCGGTCATCGCCAGAGCCCCCCAGTCGATTCCAAGGTCGGTGTCGATGATGTCGGTGATCTGGATCTTATCGAACATGCGCACGTAACCACCGATGACTGGAGACTTCTGTAGTAGGGATGCCAGTTGCGCAGGATCAGCTACCTGAGAGGACCACTCAGAGAGTGTTCTTGCCATTTCGGCGACATTTGAACGCTCTTCATTCTCGAGACGGCGATCTCGAGATTGGTAAGCCTGGTCACACCCCGAGGAATTTGCGTAAATCCTTGTCAATGCTCGGTACTCCAAATGCTCTTCTCTAGGAGCTCTCGGAGGAGGCTCGTGGCTACCGTGGAGTACAAACGAACGCAGATCCTCATTCCTCTCAAAGATAGCCTCGCATGCATTTTTGTACCTGTCGTCTTGCATGAAGGTTGTGAGATTGGGGTTCCACTGCACCGTTTCCATAGCTGCCATGGTTTTAGGATAGTACGCTCGATGAGGCGACAAGTCCGCAATACTTGAGAGAACGTCGCAGGCGCTTTTGGCAAGAGGAGTCCACGGCTGATATGTTCCAGATTTGAGGTAATGCAGAGCTTCCTCGACTCCCGTACGTCCAGTAAGCCGGTCAGGAAGGAAATGAGCTGTAGAAGCATGCCACATGGCTTTATGATACAACAGGACCGGTTCAGCGGAGCAGTCGATTCTCCCCAGCAAATTATTGACTCCAAACTTCCAATAGCCACCGTTGTTTTTTATCACGATGGATACGTGTTGTCCATCACGCTCGCGTACAGGTTCCCCAAAAGGAAGAAGAACATGGAGTTGTGAAGCATCCTTGATGGAGCGCACAACGAGTTTACTCCTTAACCCATACCAGGTTCCAAAATCTTGTAGACGCGACTCGGCAATGATCGCTCCAAGTTGTGGACAGAGAAGTAAGCCATGGTTTGTAACCACGAAGTCTAAGTCTAGGCGTTTCAGTTCCACTCGTAGATTGCCTCGCATTGGCTGGTATACCGTGATGTGGTAAGGATACTCAAACTGGTGGAAGTTCTGAGCAATTCGCTTGGCAAGTTCACTGTTTGGATCAACGAGCGTGGATCCATTGTTCCGCGTAGCTTGTCGTGTGTTGAGATCTAATCGCCAGTTACTGAGTTTCGATTTCCACGGATCTTGAGGTCGAATTTCCAGAACACCAGTTTTCAGATTCAGCCAGTGAAAGCATCCCATAGAGAGTGGAACAGGAAGATCGAATTGCCGCTCGTTGCCAAATGCATTCCGTGAAATCAATTCCAGAATAATATCACGGTACTCTGCCCGGATAACCAACTTATCTGCTCGGAACCCAAGATGCACCCAGTGGCCGCAAGGCATCGGTCGATTTATGAGAAGGGACATCCCTGGAAGTGATGATGGATACACAGGAAGGTCCTGGGTTCCAAAGAGCTCCTCGATGATTGGGTCGCGTCGATACTCAGATGGTAATATGCCAAGCTGTTGCCCGTTGATCAGTAACACACCATTCAAACAGTTGTAGAGAATGCGATGTTGCATATACTTTGCCGACAACGTGAGGCAGGTCCACCACGGCTGCAAATCGACCTGCGATATGGTTGGGGCATCCATGCACTCAGCGGGAACAGACCAGAAGGCTTTCAGTGCTTTAACTAGAACCTGAGAGTCTGCACCAATGCATTGGTGGAGAAGGCCACTGTGTTCATAAGTGTATCGCAAATCCTGCAAGATTGCGTTTCGTAAGTTGTAAGGCAAGTCGTCAAATTTGCCAACCAGATTGTTCTGTAACACAATGGAAGCAATGATGAAGGACTCCAAGTCTTCAGAAGGGACATGATAACAATCGTCGAGATCTGGGTAGAATGTACGCTTGCACAAGAGAGGTGCCCAAATAATGAAAACGGAGTTCTCTGCAGAGCGCAAGGCTTCAACCCAGCTCTGAGTTATTGCTCGAGCGGTCAGCAGAAGGCTCGACGCCACTTCTCGCATGTCCATGTTCGATGTGAACAATCGCACTTTGAGCAACATCGAAATAAGGATGTCCATCTGTACAGGTTCCCTCCAGTTTCGTCGTACGGCTTCTAGACGATGATCGATTTGCTCGAGTAGTCTCTCGCAAAAGCTGCGTTCATGAAAGACCGCATGCGTATCCCGCAACGTGTCTTCCGAGGTTGCAGGACCTACTTCGAGGACGAGTTTGGAGACTACAGCCCATGTAGAATCAGTAGAAAAGTTCAAGTTGGTAGAACCCAATTCTCGCAACAGGCATGGCCATCGGGAGTAGGTGCCAAGCAGCAAGCCTTGCCACGCCATATACTCGTGTGCGCTCAAGTCTGGAGGACACTTAGTCTGAGTAGCAAGTATTCGATTCGACGATGGCCACTTCTCGCCGATATGCGTGAAAGCATGATAAGGTGAGGCCTTCGGCAACTTGAGAGGGAACAGGTGAGCAAACGATGGGTTTCCGTCCCTCGAGATCCATGTCTGGCCTGAAGTGTCATAGTAGTCCATCTTCATACCAAAAGGCCGGCATACATCCCGCATCGGGAGCGGGAAGCCTGAGGTAGCATAGTGTGAGTCCAGATGCGACTTCGTGGAAGATCCCAAAGACACGCGCGTCTCCTGTCGGTTGGCGTAGTCGCATAACCCAGAGTAATTGCGTAGAAGGTACGTGTCGACTTCTGGCTCTTTTTGGGGATACGCGAAGGAAGACATGATGCACCATGTCGCGTCTCGGTAAAGCGCGAATGCCTTCGGACATATGAGTTCAAAGATTACAGCTTTCACAGCTGGCTCTGACTTTGGGAGTGGATACTCGAAGATGTCGATCGTTATCTGGCGTGCTTTCCATTTAAGAGTATGTTTTCGACACGGTGTCTTGTGAACTTGTCTCAAGAAACCATTCTCGTCGGATTCCATAACATAAAGACACGAGAGTCCAGCCATCTCATTGATCATGGCGTCATGAATCTGACTCTTTTCCTCCCATTCTTCTTCTTTGACATCGATGAGCTGGTTGGCCTCTTCCTCGATGAGCCGGCGAAGCTCCTGAAATTCTTCTGCCTGATTTGGTTCGTCGTAGTAACGTACCGCGTAAGAGTCCTCGGCCGGAGTGTCGAAAACAGTCTTCGAACCCTGACCAGACCATCCACCACAGCGTCCCGCGATGTACAACTGAACATCCTGTAGCCGCCTGACCTCATCCAGTTTGGATAACTGGAGAACGTCCAGCATGGATGCCTCAAACCCGGGGTGGTATTCTCTTAGAAGCGGAAAGCAGGCAACGGTATGCTGGTCCAAGGCTACCCACAGCTCCATGAGGCTGAGCAGTTGGCAACTTCTCAACTCAGGATAATCGGCATAGGTGTCTTTCACAGTTGAGATATATGTGTTGATCGTACGAGCCAGATGGATACTGGAGCCCATGTCGCCTCGCTCATCAGCCATACGCAGAGAATTTGTGACCTCCTCCTCATACTGGTACAAAGGCATGAATTGGCAAAAGACAACAGCGAATGGCTTGATGGCAATCGTGTTCTCGTACTGACTTAGTAGTTCATCTGGTGAACGTATCTCACTCTGAGCGGTGCTAGAGCGGAGGTGCATAGATCGCACAAAGGTTTGACCGCTGAGTGGTAACTGTAACGTAAGATCGTGTGTGCTGGCATATTGTTGGATGGGCCGAACAATCCGCGAGGTCCTCTTCTTGTACGCATCCCATCGCGATTCTAGAAACCGCGTAGCAGTTAACAACGACTTCTCCATGACTGGACGAATGAAGCGAAAGACATGATCATGTGTTTGTTTCAACACCTTTGATCCCTTACCGCGATCCATCTCTAGCTTAGCAAGGCGGCGGCCTAGCTTCTGCCGAAAGAAGTGAGATGCCTCATCTGGAATGAAGCCTAGAGTATCGTCCAGAAGCTTTGACAGGAACACACACATGACAATTTTGAAAATCTGTCGACCTTTCTCTGCGCCCAGAAGTGTGTAAAGATGCCGCTGCATCGCAACCCGAAGAACAAGGTAGAATGGTGATCTACGCCAGGGTTTGTAGGCTTTGTTGAACGAAACGGTATCGCGAATACGCTTGCGAAGTAGTGGAGGGCTATAGATGACGCCACTGGCCTCCAAGATAGTCATAAAAAAGTTGGTTATCAAGGTAGGGTTTGGAGTATCTCGAATCTCTGGCAAAGGCGCGCATGCCTTGTAGGTGACGGCCGAAAATCGGGTAACAGACTCAAGGCTAGCTTGTTCCAGAAACGCAGCAAGACTCTGCTGGAAATCCTCGTCTGAGAAAGTGCGATAGGGAATTGATACTGCTTGGCCGGGGAAGTCCCACTGTAGAGCGCCTTCACAGGCGAGCACCTTCTCACAGGTAGCCGATGTCTCAAACACTTCGAAAACAACACTGTGCCTGCCATCCCCGCTGTGTGACTTGTTAGTGATACTCGAAGACCACAGAGTATATTCAGACTCACTTTGACTGTCGGTAAACCATGAGGGCCGCGTTCTGCTCTGTGACATGAAGAATAAGCGCTTGTTTTGCACTCAGCTGCTGTAGCTCTTTGATGAGCAGATGTTTGTCGATTTTTCCATCCACGTTGAGCGCCTTGCATGTGGAAAGCGCAAGTCGTATTGTGTCAATATGGGGCTGGTCATCCAACGGAGCGCGAGGGATGAGAAATTTGACTGAGGCTGTCAGACGCTCCACAAGTTCCGTTTCTGTTTGGTACAGATTTTTGTCCTCGCGCCCGGGCACATCTCGTGGAAGAACGACATGGTGGTACAGTGGAAGCATAGACGCTCCTCGATCGCGGGTGCTCATGTTGAGAAGCCCTTCAGGCGGAGAGCGGAGGCAAGATGCGCTCCAGATAAGGTTATGATTGTGGGGTGTAAATGTCAGGCTGTAGAAAAGTTGGGTGCTGGTGAACCAAAGGTGCGTCCCGGTAGCAAGTTGATCCGACAGGTGCCAAGCAACATGAAATAGCGACGGCAACGCGCAGCACTACGCCAGGTTCACTTTTGAGGTGAGCCACCACTGCAAGGCGTTGTTCCTCTAGGCAACAGCATGAGCCCGGACTGTGCCGTAGTACTTTGTAGTGCACATGCGCACGGCGTGGTTTCAGCCTTGCTCCATAAGCGCCCTTCCTTAAGCGAACCAGCGGGCAGCGATACGATGAGATAGCCTTGGTTCCAGAGCAATTATTGGGAGTGGACAGGCTTGTTTGCGCCATGCATCCTCCCGTAGACATGCCTGATGGTTGCATGATGGTTGCACAGCCAAGCTTGAAGGACAGCATTTGAAGGGAATTTGAAACTCATTGAAGTGAGGTAAGAGCATAGAAGCCTGACTGTACGCTATGAGGAAATAGATATCAAGATATTGACAGAGAACGAGATGTGGGAAATGAACCATCTTGGGAAAATGTCACCTACCATAACCAGCCTGACATCGCTATTATCAAACGGTGTCCTGCAGCGAACCTCGATTAGTGACACGTCACCACACTACGCAAAGTGATGGTGTTGATACTTCGATACCAAACAAGCTTGAATGCAGTATTCGGTACGGGCCGAATGGCGTCTTCTGATCCGAGGCTGTGGGTTGCGATGAGCATATATACATCTGTGTTGACTGGCTGGTATCTTAGCCTCTAGGGAGTTAGCTACATGATCAGCAAGCCATCAATCTGACAGGTGTCCAATGTGCTGAGTCCAGAGACCATTTAGAGCGAGTCTCCTCGATCTACACAATTGTTCTACACGCTTTATCCGTTCCTGTGCGTCGAGCATACAACGATCAGGAATGTATGACTGCCCGTAGAAGATACCGGTGTATGCGGCATATCTTGATTTCTCTTTTCTACGATCTGTAGACGCCAGACTATACTCCCTGACCATGCGAAAAGGTCTTGTGATGGAATAGGACACAGGTGTGGAAGAAGCGATGGTGGTGAAAAGGTGAAGTCTGACGCGTTCAGTTCGCGAGGAATCTTCTGACCGAGGAAACTGCCGAGACCATCCCGTTTCGCTTCGTAGCTTCGTACACCAAATATCAACGAACAGCAGGATCTAACCTACCTCATGTATCAAAATAACTCCTAAGTACACGTTTAACCGCAGAGCAAAAGATGGGGAAAAAAATTCGTGTTGCTAACATCTTGTCCAAGTATTCTAGAAAGAGCGTATTGGTGTCTTAGAATCATGGGCATTTTCGATGCAGGTTTTTCCGGCATACGCGTGCTAGACAAATATAACAACAAATCTACAACGCCCTTACAAAACTCCAGTCACATGTACTCTCCATTCAACGGTTCGTTATCGGAAGACAAGCAAAGACTTGCGCTCCCCAGCCCGTCGAAAACACGGCACGGCACGTAAACGGCGTTCGGCATGTACATCCCCGAACCACCAACATTCCCGTTATCTCCGGAAACGCAACGGTAGTTAGGAAGCGGAACAAGACCGCTGTAGGATGCGATTGTCGATCACGCAACGCTGATACGGAGTCTTTCCCATGTGGCGGCGCTGATGCGACAGTCGCATTTTGCAGTCTTGGCCAGTTCAACTCTTTTCGCGCCGGTGTCCTTGACGGCAGAGTTGCCACTTCTTGTCGTTTCTGGGTGAAAACCTGGGGTTCCCCAACAACGTTACCGGAACGAAACGAAACGCGGGGTTAAGCACGCACGCACACGTGCATCATACCATGGGGATCAAAGACACGGAAGTTGACGTTGCGCCGTCGTCGTCAACGTCGGAAGAAAGAGTGTCTTCCGTTTCGGGCAAATCGCACATAACAGCCAAGAAGTCGCGCATGATGGCCGCCGACCAAGCCGCCGACAACGACCACACATCTAGATCCTCCATCTCAACTGCATCAACACACTCCGTAGACGACGACGACAACGACGACATCCAATCCATTCACCACTCTCTAAGTCGCAATGCGGGCCTCGAAGAATCGCGCGATAAGACGCTCGCGCCGCATCTCACTACCGTCACAACGAACATGACGCAAGATCCGCGGTTCGAAATCGATTTTGACGACAACGGCGAGAACCCGCAGGACTGGCCCATGGTCAAAAAAGCCGTCGTCATCTTCTTCATGTCGTTTTCCACGCTCGTTGTCGTTATGTACTCGACAAGCTATACAAGCGGTATCCCTGGCATGATGGAGACGTTCAATATTAAGTCGAAGACTCTACTGGTGCTCGGTATTACAACGTACCTTACTGGTCTCGCGGTTGGCTCGCTGCTCCTTGCCCCCTTGTCGGAAATGTATGGGAGACGGCCCGTCTATCTCATCTCCGTGTTTTTGTTCACGGTTTTGATTATTCCTTGCGCGTTGTCCAACAACCTTGCTCAGATCTTGGTGATGCGTTTCTTTGGGGCGATGGCTGGGGCGTAAGTTGACTGTTTTCTTCAAATTTTGCATCACTAACACATTTTTAGGGCTATGATATCAAACTCCCCGGGTACTATCTCGGATATTGCCACTGACGACCGCCGCGCCCTTTATATGAGTGTATGGAGCTGTGGCCCGATGAATGGTCCTGTGATAGGGCCGCTGGTGGGAGGCTTCGTTTTCCAGGCCCTGGGTTGGAGGTGGACAAATTGGGTCGTTATGGCGGCCGCCGGCGTCAGTTGGTTTATGGTTTTCCGTACGTATCTCTCCCCGTCAATTTCATATCAGTTCTTTTCGCAAGGAGAACGCGTGGGTGTAACGTGGACGAAGTGGCATACCCCCTGGTCACGGAAAGGGATATGGTCACGTGATCATATATGGCGCTAGTCAGTATGAGCACGTGAGTGTATTTCTCTACGACTCCCCGTCATGAGGATGCTTCATCTCAATGTTTCAGCTTTGTACACCCACTGGAGACTACCGAAAGATATATTCCACCAGTTCACTCAATCCCACCACCCACCTAACCACCCGCAGTAATACCCGAAACCTACGCCCCCGCCCTCCTCCGCGCAAAATCCAAGCGCAAACGCCACGAAACCAGCGACCCCCGCTGGTTCTCGCGCTACGACGACGGCAAAAAATTCTGGCCCCTTCTCCGCGAAAACCTCTACCGGCCGATCCAAATGGCCGTGTCGGAGCCAATATGCATATTCTGGGACATATACATCGCGCTCGTATACGGGGTATTGTATCTCTGCTTCGTCGCCTACCCCATCGTGTACAGCGAGTTGCGCGGCTGGTCGCCGGGTATCACAGGGCTGGGGTACATCGGCATTGGCATCGGGGGGTGTATGGTGATTGCTGCTGAGCCGCTGCTGAGGAGGATGATTAATGCGCATCCTAAGGATCCGGAGACGGGGAAGGTGGCGCCTGAGGCGATGGTTAGTGTGGTTTGTTTGGCGGCTGTGGCGTGTCCGGTTGGTGAGATGATCTTTGCGTGGACGTGTACGCCGGATGTGCATTGGGTTGCGCCGATTATTGCGGGGATACCGTTTGGGGCGGGGAATTGCGGGGTGTTTATCTATGCGTCGAATTATCTGGCGAGTGCGTATGGGATTTATGCGGCGAGTGCGCTGGCTGGGAATGCCGTGCTTAGGTCTTTTGTGGGGGGCACGCTGCCGCTTGCTGGGCCGGCGATGTAAGTTCACGCGTATTCTCCATCCCCCCTCTCATCCCCACCCACATACACAAAATCGCCATCTGACACACTCCCACAGGTACGCAACCCTAGGCCCTCACTGGTCGGCAACAATGCTTTCCCTGATAGAATTCGCCATGATCCCCATCCCCGTCGTCTTCTACCTATACGGGCACAAGATCCGCGAAAAGTCCACGCTCATCCGGCAGATGCGCGACGACAAGGAGAAGCTCGAGGGGCGGAAGCGGAAAGCGGCCGAGCGGGAGGAGAGGCAGAAAGCAAGAGAGTGCGGGCTGGGGGAGGAGAAAAAGGCGCTTGATGTTTGATGGCGTGGTCGATGGTGGGAAAGGTCACGTAGTTGGGGTTTTGGCGTTGGATTGAGTTTGCGCGGAGGAGTAGGGATAACAAAGGCTACATCAGGGGATATTGAGATGGGATTGATTGGGTAAGCTGAATGTGACCTTGAGTTTTGTGTGAAAGGGCTGAGTGTTGACTTTGACATTGGAATTGGAATTGTTTCTTATCGAATGTATGGGCATACTCTCGTCGGCCTAGTAATCATTCGGAAGGTATTGGTCAAGTAGATAAACTCCACACGCCTGACCCGAAACCAATCAAAACAAGAATATAAAACACACGTCTAGAAAAGAACCTCATGTATGCAGAAGAACCGCGCTCAATCAGCCAACCTATGATCATTAGTACCACGCCGCTTCTCACAGTATCGGGACCACATACCTGTAGCTGACAAGTGTGTCTACGCGGTGATTGCTTGTGCTGAAGCTCCTCAGCTGTACCTTCTCGCCATTCTTGATCTCTTTCGCGTCACTGTCGCCCCACTCAAGAGGTACGTCGGAGTCTGCATCAGCATAGACGAGCACGTTGAAAGTGCAGTTACCGTCGAGCATGGGTAGGAAGGTGACAGAAGCTGTGACTTGTCGGAAGATGGACTGAATCTCAGCCTGGATCTCGGTCTCGGTCTTGTCTTCTGGGCCATCATTTCCTCTAGATGATGGTCAGCGGTTGCGTATCCTTCCGTGTTAAATGAGAACCTACTCTGTTGCGGAGTTTTCGTTGTCGGTCGACTCCTTGGAGGGCTTGGTCTTGGCGTTCTTGCCAAAGATCTGGACCTGGACGCTGTCAGGGTTGGAGCTGGTGGTGGTGATGATAGAGTCTCACATCAAATTGCCATCGCTCCACGTGCTCTCCAGTTTCTTTACTGGTGATGACAACGATGAGCTTCGATATCTTGCCACCGTACATCCAGTCTTTCAGTTGCGACATGATCTTCTTAATGTACGCTTTGACCTGGTCGTCCGCCGTGACTGTGAACGTTAGTATTGGCTGCGATCAAAGAGGCTAGTATCAACAGCACACACCCATCATAGTCAACCCATATTTCTTAACTCTGCCTCAAGTCAGCAAACACATCGTGTTGAGGACTAAGTGGAAACGTACGCGGTGAAGTCTTCTGCAGGGTACACGCCACGCTGGAAGCTGAAATCGGTAAGCGTCGTGTTCGTCCAGGCAGGTTGCATCCACATGCACTCACAGGATAGTGTTTATGGAGTACTCAAACTGGCTGACATCAGCATCCAACCATGTGGGACGGTTGTGGGGGCTCTTGGCTTACGAATTCGTTCACAACTTTGGAGGATCCCTTCAGGGCGAGCTTGTGCACCTTGGAGGAGTCGGTCTTTGACGATTTCGATTTCGTCGACTTTGACGATTTCGTCGATTTCTTCGGCTGGGCGGTGCTTGCAGGCGGCATTGTGGTGATGGTGCGAGGGCAATAGGAGAGAGTGTGATGGAGATGGAGATGCAGGGTTTGTTTATGTTTTATGGTGGTGTTGTCGAGGCAACTAGCACTGAGCGGCAGCAATGGGTTACACACAGCGAGCAATGCACAGTCTGAAGCAGCAAGATGTCGAGCCAAGCTGCAGCTAATAGTCAGTCTCGCGTGCGGTGCGGCGTCGTGGAGACGGGGGTGGTGTCTGTGGAGTCGCTAGGCTGATTAGATAAGATGAAGGCGAGGAACATTTTTTGAGTCCTGCACCAGCGGCCAGACAGCCATCCCCGCCATCCTCGATCGATCTCATGCCCACTCATGCGATCATGCGTCCGGACCGCGAGCAGCCTCCTGCATGGCTGGCGGATGCATCCTGCCCGCCTCAATGGCTTCCCAACCGCGTCCCGCGCCCTTGAACGCACCCGCCACGGCGTCCCCTCCCTCGTCTCCCTCCCCTCCCTCATCCCCTCGAGAGGCTACGCGCACGTCTTCCGCCCACAGTCGGAGCTCGAGAAGCGCATTGCCGACATCCCCATCGAGCGCTACCGCAACTTCTGCATCGTGGCCCACGTCGACCATGGCAAGTCGACGCTGTCGGACCGGCTGCTGGAGCTCACGGGCACCATCGCCCCGGGCGGCAACAAGCAGATCCTCGACAAGCTGGACGTGGAGCGCGAGCGGGGCATCACGGTCAAGGCACAGACGTGCACCATGATCTACAACTTCGCCGGCGACGACTACCTGCTGCACCTGGTCGACACGCCGGGCCACGTCGACTTCCGCGCCGAGGTGTCGCGCAGTTATGCCAGCTGCGGCGGCGCCCTGCTGCTGGTCGATGCCAGCCAGGGCGTGCAGGCGCAGACGGTGGCCAACTTCTACCTCGCCTTCGCCCAGGGCCTGACGCTGGTCCCGGTGCTGAACAAGGTCGACCTCCCCCACGCCGACCCGCCCCGCGTCCTCGAGCAGATGCGCGACACGTTCGAGCTCGACCCCAAGGCTGCCGTGCTGGTCTCAGCAAAAACAGGCCTGAACGTCGCCGCCCTGCTGCCCGTCGTCATCGACAAGATACCCGCCCCGGTCGGCGACCTCGCAAAGCCCCTGCGCATGCTCCTCGTCGACTCGTGGTACGATGTCTACAAGGGCGTGGTGCTGCTGGTCAGGATATTCGACGGCCAGGTGCGCCCGGGAGACACCGTCAGGTCCTTCGCCACGGGCCTCAAATACATCGTGGGTGAGGTCGGCATCATGTATCCCCACCAGATCTCGCAGACGGTCCTCAAAGCTGGCCAGGTCGGCTACATCCACTTCAACCCCGGCATGAAGCGCTCTCAGGACGCCAAGGTGGGGGACACATACACCACGCTTGGCTCGGAGAAGATTGTAGAGCCCTATCCTGGCTTCGAGGAGCCTAAGAGCATGGTCTTCGTGGCTGCTTTCCCGACAGACCAAGATAACCACGAGCATCTGGACGACAGCATCAATCAGATCATCCTCAACGACCGCAGTGTCACCCTGCAGAAGGAGTCCTCGGACGCTCTGGGTGCAGGCTGGCGCTTGGGATTTCTGGGCACATTACACTGCTCCGTCTTCGAAGATCGTCTGCGTCAAGAGCACGGCGCAAACATCATCATCACGCCGCCCTCAGTCCCCTTCAAAGTCATCTGGAGAGACGGCACCGAATCCATCATCACAAACCCCAACGAATTCCCTGACCAAGACCAAGTGCACATCAGGGTCCAAGAAATCCACGAGCCCTACGTCTCCGCAACCATCACCCTCCCAGGCGAATACCTCGGCGAAGTGATCAAGCTCTGCGAATCTAACCGTGGTGAGCAAAAGGAACTCACCTTCTTCACCGCCACGCAAGTCATCTTGAAGTACGACCTGCCGCTGTCTCATCTCGTAGACGACTTCTTCGGCAAACTCAAAGGCGCGACCAAGGGTTACGCATCTCTCGACTACGAAGACGCAGGCTTCCACCGATCCTCCATTGTGAAGCTCAACCTACTCGTCAACGGCGTGCCTGTCGACGCCGTGTCGCGCGTCATGCACACTTCCCAAGTTGACAAGGTGGGTCGTTCATGGGTGGAGAAGTTCAAGGAACACGTTGACCGCCAGATGTTCGAAGTCGTGATCCAGGCTGCAACCGGACGACGCATCGTGGCGCGTGCAACTATCAAACCGTTCAGGAAGGATGTGTTGGCCAAGCTGCATGCGAGTGATTTGTCGAGAAGGAGGAAACTGCTCGAAAAGCAGAAGGAGGGGCGCAAGCGTCTAAGGTCAGTCGGCAATGTCGCTATTGAGCAGGAGGCCTTTCAAAAGTTTTTGGCGAAATAGTTGTGATACCCGAAGCTTCACTCGAATACACTCCACTGCACATTACACGCTTGAAATTAGAGTTATGGGAGCGCTGAAGTTTCCACCATGTCGGTTTTCGTCTCATGGACGCCAAGTTATGTCTTCACTACACACTTATTCGCGACGGTACCTGTGTGGCGTGTTCCCGTGTTGTACCGCGCCGGCGCCAGCTAACACGTTTTTCTCACTACTGTCACCCTTTAAGGTCCGAGGATCGCCCTTTGGCTCGTTTCATCGAGAGGCTGATACTTCGATTCCGCAAGTGTATCGCACCACTTCCGCTGCTACTAGGTTTTGTATTCACTCAAAAAGCAAACAGACATCTCCTCGAACCTCCCACTTTCATGCGTGTTCAATCAACACATTTTCGCATCCCCACCCGGATACACCACATCTCAGAACCCCAGGATCAAGCTGCCACGCACACGGCCATGCACATGCACATGGACGACGTTGACACTTCAATTCCCCGGGGCAACATTCCGAACCTATGCATCTTCCAAATACCCATCTTCCAGGCCATAGACCAGGGTTCCCACGATTAGCGGTTCATCGAATCGACGCTAACCTCGCGCTAGTTCGCCTGCTAGATGGGTCATGACATCAGCCGCCCATCGAGTGAAATCCCCCGGTTCGTCGTCCGTCCACTCGGTCGCGTCTCCGCGCACCCCTGTACCTGACAGGAGCTGTGGGACCGAGCGAGTGTTGGAATCACCGTTATTGCGAAAGAGGAATCGTGGCATAGTTTAAAATTCTCGCTATGACGTGGAGAACTAACGGGATGGCGGGATTGACAGTTCGCTTGGACTAGGTGCGTTCGTTCAAAAACGTGGGTGTGGACTTGGTCTTTGATAGTCTCGGGCTTGCTTGCTGTCAACTGTCGTTCTGCACGAAAGGAGTGCTAGGTCAAGAGATGGCTCGATTTCTCGGCCTCAGAGGCACACGCCTGGCGAGTGCTATTAGCATTGTCTGTGGGCTTTGTTTCTTGTCAGTCCCTATCCCCGTTCAAACTACTGGACACGCGTTACTGATATATCGACTGCAGATGTTTCGGCTATGCGCAAGGTGTCATGGGCGGTTTGTTGACGGTGCCTCAATTTCTCGAACGCTTTCCTGAGGTCGATATTCTGGATTCGACCGAGTTCAGGGACGCATGGATCACTGGTATGTAGAGTTCGCGTCGGACATGAGTCGAGGCGATATGTGTGGAGAGTCCTACGGATCGGGGCTGATGTTGTGTAGGTCTTACGGTCGGCTCGTGGCATCTAGGATGCTTCGTATCTGCTATCCTGACTATTTTCATCGGCGACTTGCTGGGACGCCGTCGAACGCTTCTGTTGGGTATCACGCTCTGGACTGTCGGAGAGATCATACAGACGACTTCGTTCAGTTTTGCGCAATTCATTGTTGGGAGGGCAATCGCGGGCTTTGGTAATTTATCTCCTTCCCTTCCATTACTCGTAGATTCTGTTGAAAGATGAATGCTAACAACGTCGTCAGGCAATGGCTTCACCACCTCCACCGCCCCCGCCTACCAAGCCGAATGCGTGAAGTCACACCGCAAAGGAACAATCCTCATGATCAGCGCCGGTGCCTTCGTCTCCGCCGGTATCGCCCTCTCATACTGGCTCGTCTTCGGCTTCGCGTACATCAGCAATTCTTCCGCCGCATGGCGTGTTCCCATCGCTTTCCAAACCCTCTTCGCACTCCCCGCCATCGCAATGCTATGCTTCCTCCCCGAGTCTCCCCGCTGGCTCATCCTGACTGGTAGGGAGCAAGAAGCACTAATCACACTGGCAGCGCTGAACGACGCCGACCCCGATAGTTACGAGATCAAAGACGAGTTCCTTCAGATCAAGGACGCGATCCTCGTCATGGCGCAGGGCGACTCGTCATCCCTGTTCAGCAACAAAGAGCGCCGGGGCTTCCACCGCGTGGTGCTCGCGTACTTTGTGCAAGTCTTCCAGCAGGGAACCGGTATCAATCTCGTCTTGCAGTACCTGAGCTGGATCCTCTTGACACGCATGGCGTACTCTGGAGGGACGGCCCGGTTACTCGCTGGCTGTTCGGCGACGGCGTACTTCCTCGCCAGTTTCGTTACAGTCGTTGGTATTGATCGCTTCTGGGGGAGGCGCTCGCTGATGATGTTCGGTGCTGCGGGCATGAGTATGTGCATGGTTCTCTTGACTGTGCTGCAGTACTTGTGGATTGAGCATAACGTTAGCGGGACACGGGTCGCAAGCACCGTCTTCCTCTTCTTGTTCTCGGTTTTCTTCGCCATTGGGTGGCAGGGTATGGCGTGGCTGTATCAGGTTGAAATCGTGCCACTGAGGATTCGCGGTCCGGCTAATGCATTGAGTACGAGTGCCAACTGGATGTTGAATTTTGTGTAAGTCACTCTCCCCTTCCATCATCTTCTGCGGCCTTACTACCAACTCAAAACAAGTACCTCCACTAACACCCCTCCCAGCGTCGTCTTCATAACCCCCATCGTCTTCCTCCAAATCAGCTGGCGCACCTGGATTATCTTCGCCGCGACAAACTTCGCCATAATCCCGCTAGTCTACTTCTTCTACCCCGAGACTGCCTTCCGTTCCCTTGAAGAAGTAGACGTCCTCTTCTACCTCGCCGATGAATCCCCCGGCAACCCCTGGCTAAGCGTAGTGCGAATCTCGTCCTCGGAACCCCTCTGGTTCGGCGAGCGCGGCGAGAAAACAGTCGGCATGAACTACTCCGACTCATCGTGGCACCGGCAGCTAATGGGCAGTTCCTCCTCTTCGGGCGTGTCGCCGTACACAGAGAAGCGCCACAAGCCAGGAAGCGATAGCACGTCGTCGTCGCCGCGCGGGCTCACCTCGGATACATACCGCCCCGCTGACCCTGAGAGCCCCATCGATCCCATGCTTACTAGTGTGCTGTCCCGCGAGTCGACACTCACGACTACGATTCGCAGCGATGCAAATACGAACTTTGCACGCAAGATAAGGAAGGGCAGTAATAGTGCGCCGACTTCGCCGGAGCCTGATCATCCGCTTTTTCAGCACCCGATGCTGGCGCGAAGGGATGAGTCGGAGTCGCCACCGCGTGGGCGCAGTCGTCCGAGAGATGCGCTGTCCAAGGAGATGGGATTCGGTGATGCAAGACCCAGCACCGCTGCGTCAGACCGCCAGCAGTACTTCCGCCGCTTGTCTGAGAGTCGCTATAGCGAAGCGGATGTGGGCCGTTTCGTGGATCCCGACGTGAGTTATCCCGGGCGGATTGGCGCGGGGATCACGCGCACCGCGAGCGGGAGGGAGACGTATCTTCCTGATGGGGTTGCGAGGGATGCCGGGCGGGCGTGCTAGGTCGATGTGGGTGTGTTGGTGTTGGTGTTGATTTGAGGGGTTGGGCTGGTCTTCTTTGTGTATATATACCGGGTTTCCTTTGTATTGGTGGTTATGTTGAAGGTTCTGGTTGATTTTATATCTGTAATGGGGAAGGTACATTCTCGTATACACACATTTTATGGCTTGAGTTGCTTCAGCCCCGTCCCGTCATAGACCAAAAGTAATCCCTCGGCCACGAACACACACACGCTGAAACGTAAAACCCACCACCTCACACTTCGAAAGATGACGTCCCACACACTCTGCTTGGCTAGGAACAGACGACACGTTCCCGTCATCATTCCTACCGCACACGATATGCCTAGTATCCCTTGGTGTTAGGACCCAGTCATCTGACCACTGCACAGAGGTAAGTTGCAGCGAGATCTTGCAACACCTAGACAACTACGCACAAAGCTGGCGTGAAACTTGTGAACCTCGATCATCACGGGTATACGCCCAACCCTGATGATTTGTAGGGGTTTTTCCTGACGTCCTATTTGCGTTCTAGTGCTAAGATGAACGCGACTTCCTTCTGGCTCCTACGATTAACCAAGAGACTGTCAGGCAGCTGCTATATTTCCATGATATCAATGCAGATTTTTGTTTGCCTGGACGAATACAAGTAGTATTGAGTAGCGCAAGTTCAAGACGACAAACTATGCTGCATTCCCCAACGCTGGTTTACCCTGATCATGACCACTTGAGCTTAGCGCAAGTTAGCAAGTCTTAGCGGCACGCCCAGACCACGCGTTCCCGCCTATATTTCTGCTCTTCCTTCCCTCTGCTCCCACCCACAACAACCCACGACAAAAAGTAAGTGTACCCCATTGCTCTGGCGACTACCGAGATTGCTAACCAACTCACACAGCAACGATGGGTAACTACAATGAGAACACTGCCCAGGACTCCTCTGCCACTGGCATGAGTTCTGCGTCACGATCCCAGCCCGGCGTCACCCGTGAGGGACGTCCAGCTGCAGTTGTCGAGCGTGATGGTACCCGAGAGGGCCGTCGCGTATCCAACTATGAGCAAGGCCCTGTCCAGGAGGCAGGTCCTACTCCCATCTTCAAGTTCGGGCAAGGCCCTGTCCAAGAGGCAGGTCCTGTCTCCTTCATCAAGCTCGAGCCAGGTCTCTCTGGCGACGACAATGACGCTGTGCCTGACGTTGATCATGGCCCAGCTGCATCGTCGGCGTCCAAGGGCAAGGGCAAAGGCAAGTCGCCAGCGCAGTATGCCTGGGAGTCGGAATCGCTCACGCTCGAACAGAGAGTGAGCGCATTCAACAAGTTCACGACGAGTGCCGCCGAGATGCGGAGAGTATGGGAAGCTGGTGGTAAGCCGGCATGCCCAGCGTGCGGAGTCGCTCACCCTCCGCCGTGCGTACCACAGACGGGAGGCCGCAAGGCTGCCATGAGGCTGGGTACCCAGCTCCAGAGAGATCTTTCTGCTGCGCGAAAGCGCGATCTGGACACGCCGGCCCAAGGCAAAGGCCAGAAGAGCAAGTACATGTTCTGCAAGAACTGCGCAAAGACGCACATTGGCGGTGCAAGTGAGTGCAAGGCACCACTATGCCGAACCTGCAGCCTCAATCACTTCTCGAGTGAACGCTGCAGCAGTGCGGTAGAGCGTTTCCGCGCCGCGGGTCTTCTGAAGAGAGATGAGAGCGCGGCTGCCCAACCCTCTCGAGGCCAGGGTAAGCAGCCAGACAAGAGCAAGCAGCTGCTTACTGAGGAAGACCTGGAGATGATGGCCGCGATGATGGCATCGGCCAGCACAGATCAGGCTGGAGCTCTTGCCCAACTGTTGAACCACCTGGGTGAGAAAAGGAAGGCGGAGGCGGAGGCGCTGGAGTCGGAAGAGGCTCAGCCACCGCCGAAGAAGACGAAGAAGGCCGAGTCAGAAGACACGAGCCAGAAGTCTGATGGCAACGCGAACCGTCCCAAGTATGGCGGTAGGAAGGGACCGGGGGGCGCTTCGAGCCTCAACGGTACTCCTTACTCGCATCGCTAAGGCAGTACCATCGCAGGAGACAACCTGGGTAAAAAACAAGCCCGGGAAGCTCGTCGTCCACGTCGTCCGGGCGGGAACTTCACGTCTCTCGATCAGAGAGCGTGTTGCTAATCCGAGCATCCACGAATTCAGTTCTCCAATTTCCAGTAAGTCCAGCCATTCATATATCTCTTGATGCTCGTTGCTAACAATTCTCCGCCTCTTGACTACTACCGCGCCTCCTGCGTGCTCCCACGACTCTTTAGGCACTCAGCTCTTTCTCCACAGGCCCAACTGATCGGTATGCTTCAACCGCGCTGACGTGCGGGAGTCAAGCGGCCGTAAGTCCACCTGTAAGTTCCACCGCAAGCTCACAAGCCATTTCTGACAATCATGCGCGTAAAGATCCTAGTCTCGAAATCAATCGTCGTTGGTCCCGGAAGCACCACTTTCCTCACGAGCCATCGAGGTTCTCGGTTGCGACGTACCCTGTCTCGAGCGACATTACAGACCTACATCCCACTTCCTCATCACGACGGCTCCGCACGTACGAAGCCATATAAAAAGTCAGTTACATACTTGCAGGATGGCGCAATACAACACCGGTGTTGGGATGCACACTAAAGCATGAATGGTTGTTCGTTATAGGAAAGAGGACAAGTTTTTTGTTAAGGGTGCGCGTTGCCGACGCCCCAGCTTGCTTGCGCGTTTGCCGCGTGAGGTCTAACGTGCGCGTCGCATTCGTGTTCGCATTCGCGTTCATACCTAGTCCACCATCACACGTTTCCTCCTCTCTTGCAGAACAGAATACGCTTCTTCTCTTTCTCCTTGTTCTGTATAAAACTGTGTGTATTTGTCTAGCTACGTAATGTCTGTAGAAATGAAACACTCTAGATTTCGCTCAAATGTTCAACTGTCAAGGTTTTGTGCTTATTGTATTCTCTGCCCGGCCCCTACCGGCTCGCAAGCTCGGGATTTGGAAAATGCAGCCAAGTTCTTGAACTTTTTCGAAGAAACCGGAAGGGGCCGAGTAGTTGTTTTCAAAATGCCTACTGAAGCACACATGCTATTCCTCTCTTTCTTCTTGTTTTACGTAAACCGATCTGTATTTGTCACGCTGCATTGTCTTCCTCACGACGGTTTGTAGTTGAGCTGTGTTTGAACTCTCTAACATTATGTTCCTTGGTTATGAAGTAACTCTATTCTCAATCACTCCCTCGTTCACCAAAAGACCCTTGTATCCGTCCAGGCCTCTAAGATCTACACAAATTGTCGCAACTTTTTCCTCCGGTTTAGCCTTGACCTCCTGTATATCAGGTGTTGACAGTTGTCAAACGCTAGGTCATAACGCTACAGAGAGGAAGGAGCTGTCGAGACAGGTGCGGCCTCAACTCCCCACTTCATCTCTCGACTTCACCATCACATTGAGATTGCGAGTATCAGGAGAATACAACGTGGATAGAAAAACAATAGCATGACGCATTTTGAGGCAAACATAAGTAATGCATTGATAACACTGGGCCTACATCTACACACAGAAAAGTGGAGAGTCAAAGGTAGACGCGGACTAAAGTGAACACGACGTGTTGGAAGAATACTAGCACTCTATATGCGAAACCCCGTTCTCGGAAATGATAATGACGAAATGGTAAAAGTACAGGGTATCTAACGACTGTGGAAGAAAATGAAGAGAAAAATGGGGTATCGAGCGAAGGAAGAAGAAAGGTAAATGAACAAAACCGGGTATAGAGTCCGTTTTCATCCGTTATGCAGCCGTATCCATCATACTATGTTCAAATGCTGAAATCACTGCTGATGCTGATGCTGATGCTGATGCGCGTTGAAAGTGCAGAAAAAAGAAAATGATGAGATACATGCGATCCGATGCAATGCAAATGAAAACCAATGCGATTTTGTAGGAGACCGGTAAAGAAAGATATGCGAGGCGCCGATCATGCGAAAAATGTCGTATATGTCCGGCCTTGGAGTGTTGTTACAAATAATAGCCGTCTAGGGTTTTGGTTGGCGGCGACCCAAAGTTCGGATTGGCAGTGCATCTCCGTTAGATACGCCATTCTTCCCAGCTTTTGTCCAGGATTCTCCTCAAAGAGCTGATAACACTGTTCAGCAGCTCCCCATGTCCTTCGTCGCCACTACCTACGTGAGCACCTGTAGGGCTTTGGACGCCATGGAGATGCTTGACCCACAGAAGCAAGTTCGTACTGCCCGTTTGGCAGCGCATGATAGTGCTAGGAGAAGCAGGGCTACTGAGATCCTGGAAAGCGGTAGACAGGAATGAGATGGAGTTTTTGTTGAGTTCAGAGTGAGGGACCAGAGCGGCAGTGTTGGAGGGACTGGCTTGGGAAGGCTGGGCGTGTGGGCCAAGGATGAGTCCGAGGGCTCCGGGCTGGACTGAACTTAAAGATAGTGATGGGTCAAATGTGGACAGCTGTGTGGATGCTGGTGGTATAGGCGCAACTGTTCCTGGATCAATTGGTAGTGACGATTGTGGTTGGAGTCGTCGTGTCGCCACTTGCCGGACCCTCATAACTCTTGTTCTTGCCGCCACTGTCGTGACCCAAACGACCAAGGCCGCAAAGTACAGGCTCATCCCAGATCCCATCCCATGTGTTAGATAGTCAGGCCCCTCGGTTAAGGCTTGTTGGAGTATGCTAATTGATATGCGGAGCGCCTCTCTAACAGGTACAGTGTATGGCTCTGCTGTAGAAGTCGACCATAACTGACTGATCCACACCCTGAGAGTACTTCTAAGAGTAGACAAGACCCGGGGAGCAGTGATTTTCTCGAACAGAATCCATGACTCTCCAGACACTGCCAATAACGCACGGATGGGGGTCACTTGAAGGAGTTTCGCCGTAAGGAGTCTATGTCTCGTAATTGGCGATGCGTCTAAGTATTGCTCGACATTTATGGTTGTGGTTAGGGCAAGGTAAGGGTTCCGAGTGCCAAAGTGGTTGTAGTGTGCTGCAAGCATTACAGAAGACTGAAAAGGGTCGAAAGGCATGATGGTCAAGTTAGAGTCGGTTTCGAAAACGTATGTAGGCAGATATGGGTTTTGCTGAACGGCAACAACCCATTCGGCAGCACTCGAGGATCCCCAAGCAGAAGAGTGTGTCGGGATTGGTAAGTTCATGCCAGGTTCTTGGAAGAAGGAATCTCGAGGTTCGCGGGCGAGTAATATTGCCTGCTGGTAATCCATAATGTAGCAGGACAAGAAGAGGCGCTGTTGAGTCGAAAGCTGAATCCATCGATTCCATTGGTTGACGGTGTTTGATTCGGGCTGTGTGACGGAGAATGTTATTTCAGCAATCTTCGACGTGACGTCTCGAACATCTTCAGCCATCTGGATCAGTCAGCCAATGTTGTTATACCTACGTGCCAATATCCTACCTTGTGATACATCAACTCAAACCGTGGTGATAGCACTCTCGAAACACGGCGAGATAGGTATTGAGAAAGCAACTCAACAAGGAAGATGGCTTGGTAATCACATAGTCGTTCAAAACTTGCCAGCGGATTTCGATGCCTCTGTCACATGTTAGCCTATTTCCTTTCTATGCTATAGGTATCAGTATCAGTACATACCCGCTCGAGCAACTCGATGCATCGCTCGTGGAGGATCCTCGACTTCCGTCTGACACTCGCGTCGGTGGAATAATGTCCACCGACCGCGATCATGGCGGCGTGGAGCATGGGTGAAGGGCTCACACTCTCAAAGGTAGATCGATGGACGATGGGGAAAGTGGGATGAAAAAGCCTCCAGTAATTGTCAAGGAAGTTCTTAGAGGGATAGACGTGGGTGATTTGATCCATACCATGTGGTTGATTTGGGAAGAGGACAAGCTCATCTTCATCATCTCGCATTGCCATTGTCTGAGGACCATATTGTCCGTAGAGTACCATGTTGTCTACGTCGCCTGGAATCGGCATATTCAGGAATGAGTCGGAGGCAGCCATGTACGAAAAGCCTGACGCGGTAAGAGTCTTTTCGTTGGAAGTCCACATATGCGGCATGGTCGAGGTGCAGGACATTGGTGATTGTGACTGATATGACCACGGTTCGATATAGGATGCATTGGATGAAGTGCGCGTTCGGCATGAGCCAGAGCCATAGTTTGGGGTCGCGAACATATTGGCGTAATCCCCTGCGCCAAGTATCGGTGAAGCGTACCCACTGGATGATGAATAGCCAGGTGATTGACCGTACGAATCACTCCAACCCGTGTGATGGGGTATGCCTTCTATTGATACCGGGACAGATATCGACTGGCGGCCAGTATAAAAACTTTGCGACCTAGAATGGCTGCAATCATTGTAAGCAGAGATCCAAGCGGAAGGATGTAGAGTTTTAAAGGAAAGATAGGAGATATGCTGTGCGATGTACAATGAAACTCACTTGGGGCTGGACGTAATTGGAGAAGAACGAACAACATGACTATGAACCAACGACGGAACTCGTGGGGTTCGAGGAAGCTGGGGAGTACGAAACGAATTTTGGATATACCTTGGAGCTTCGGCTGACTCGTGTGTGGAAGAGACGGGCTGGAGCGGATGGTAATGTGTAGCTGGAAGGAGCGTAGCTGTTGTGCTCGACGATATAGCCATAGGTTCGGAGCTTCGAAAAGGCTCTAAAGGTTCGTCTTGATCAATCTCGGAGGGTAGGGGGGATCCCTCCCCAGGTATATCGCTATTGTCTTTTAGCGGCGTACTTTCAGTCAAGCAGTTCAGGCTACTGACTGTCGTTCCTGGTGTCGCTGTAGAAGATCCGCCCGAAAGAATGTTCTTTCACAGTCAGGAAAGTCGCATACAAGGGTACCATCCTGAAGATGATTTTTCTGGTGTCGCCTACAAGCAGAGATTAATCCAAGTACGGAAGAATCATAACATTGGGATACGTACCTCAAGTGCTCGGCTCTTGTGTAAGACTGATAAATGTTAGCTGGCTGCGTCCTACGTTATATACTGACGCTCTCTAGCATTGAGGTTACCAACAGAAAGGCTGAAGGTCTTCAAGGCAAGTGCAATCTGTAAACAGAATACAGTAACATATCTAGCTACCATTCTGATCTGACGGAGAAGTCGAGAAGTGTTGGATCCATGCAACGTACCTTGCCGCATTCGCATGCATGCACTTTCAACCCTTTCTTCGCTTTACTAATGCGCCCAGTCCTTGTGTAATGAACCATGGGTGCTATATTGGCGGGACTGATACTCGTTCGCTGTTCGGGGTGGGAGGCGCTGAAGTAGGAGTAAGCAGGCAAGTTGTTGACACTTCTTTGATGGGCATCGGCTAACTTGGTATCTTCGGGATGTGCTTTCGAAACCCGCGGTGTCTTGCGATGCTTGGTGTGCGACGATAGCGATGGCTTGATGTTGTTGCCTCTGAGCTGCCGTTCTTGCGTGATGGATGATGCTACCGAGTGACCGCTTATACTACCAAGTTCGAGCATCGTTGACAGGAGGAGCACTAGGAAGTTTATAACCAAGATGGAGACGATGGGGCCACTAAGGATTGGGAGCCCAGATGGAGATCCAAGCAACGCGAGCAAAACATTCCCGATCCGGTTGTATAGCAGACGGCTAGGAGCTAGTAAGATGATAGGTGGTTTGGAAATCGACTAGATATAGCCAGGGAGAAGCACGGCAAGTAGTGTGCGATGGGCCGGAATCGGAATGATAGCCGTTCCAATTCAGGATCCTGACGACCGATGCAGGGTGCATGTGCTTCGCCCAAGAGTGTTTGTGGAGGGACGCTGTAAATACTTGCGGGCTGTGTTTGAGCCCTACTAAAAAGGGGATTGTACTCGAGATGGTTAGGGGCTCGAGGGCACAAAACAGAAACGCTGCAAGCCCAAGTGGCTTTTGAATGCCGACATGGGAAGACGCCAATGGCAGTGCTGCATACAATGGAGAAGCACATCCCAGAGCTTGAGCCACGAGCATAGCTGCGGGCATGGAACCGAACGACTTCACCAGGGGCACGGGACAACGACATGCCCGCGCTCCTAACTTGGGACCAAGGCCGGGGGTTGTGAACAGGCAGAGGAGAAGGCCGCAGTGCCAGGCGGCGGACCGTTCCTGCCTCAAACGACGGCAAAAGTTGCTCTGAGTGGGCGTGGCTGGGATGACCCGAAATAGCGACTCGCTAGATGGAAGGCCGTGCTCAGCCTTCTCGCAACGGCACACCATCTCTACCGCGCTTAGCATGCTTTGCAGGAACACGGCATGCCGTCATTGTGAGGATCTTGGTCAAGATGGAAGTGAGTGAGTCTGGATGCTAGCTAACAATAGTTGGGCTTTGTCCGCGTAGTTCGGAAAAGTTCTTGATGCGCGTACCTACCTAGACAAGCAGTGCAGACCCTGTCAGAATCGTTGCTCGAACTTTTGGCGCCGAAATTCGTCATGTGCTTCCGGCAGATGTGTAGTGGTGTAAAGCCATGTCTAGGACATCTACATACATGATAAGGTGGATGCTAGTCAAGAGTAGTAAATGGCTGATCTTCGCCGCCAGTAGGCCAACTTGATATACAGGGCGCGTGCGCAATACGTGAAGTCACCCTCTTCAATTTGCTTTGATGATTTGTTGTTTTCTAAATGCCAGAGCGTAAGCACGGCGAACGGTCTCACCGCGGGACACCTTGCGGCTCCAATCGATCCCTGTCCCGCACCCTTTGGACTAAGCTCCCTCATCTCCACACGGATAGTCGTTGTCAGCAAGGACCCGATACTGCTCATGCGGGTGGTCTGACACAATCGCGCAAAGCTTGACAACACGTCAACTAGGCTAGACATAGAGCCCCTGTAAGTGCAAAATCACGACAATTTTGCACTCTCCAGTAATGGCGCGTGCCGTTGTAGTGGTAGAGCTGAAGGACTGCAAGACGCACGTCACATGCTTCACCGGTTCATGTAAGTTTTTGCTACCCTGTAACTCACAAAATCTTGGGGCAGGGTTAGGATCGAGCCGAAAGAGCCGCGTTCACGATGGCTTTTGATGGCGTGAAATGCCGTTTATTGCATTTGCTGATTTTCGATGCCCCTGCTTCCCAGCGGTCGGAACAGGGGACTGCTGTGCTCATCCATAACCGAGAGCAGCATCAAACAAATTGAACTCCACGGACTAGTCGCCGTAGATCCAACAGAAAGATCAACCGTTGGCGCCGGGCGTAAATTGTATGCACACAGGGCGCCGTCCCCGATCCTGAGACACAAACGTACTAATGCCGCAACCCCCTGTCATATGCCGTTTTTGGTCAAGCACCATGCGGTTTATAGTTCCTGGTTCTGATGTGACAAGATATGACAGGGAACCGCAAGGCTGTGGGGACAAGGCTTCGCTTGTTTTATCCCGTAGAGGCTAGCTGACATACAACTCGGTGTCGCGATACATGTTGCTCTGCTCCCATCGTGCTGTTCTATCTCTGAGAGGTGCCGCCTTAAAATGGAATTGGCGAGAACTCAAACCAAAGCTGGGGAGACGGAATACCAAAGACATGGGTGACGTCGGCAGGCGTTTCGCCCGAGTGCGGCCAGCCTTGCTCATGGACACCTCTGCAGTGGGACAAGGGTGGGTAATCGGCAGAGGACGAGCTTGGCCCGTTATGCGCAGAGGACAGGTGTGCAGCGACACAAGTCCAGGTCGCGATTCGTTATGTGAGGGTATCGTGTGTTTCTGATCGGCGAGCAGAGTAGACCATCATCACGATACCCTGTATGTCCTTCTTCCGCATGAAACTTGTCCTTCCCGACGATGGTCGACTGAAAGCAGCGGGGATGATGCATCGCTTAGGGAGACTTCGCTAGGTTGTGGTGATAACTCGAGAACATCACTATTGCTGATCGGCCTCACCGAAATAATGCCGGTTCTCGCAATGATGAGCGCAAGGCTGCACGACCTTAGCAACACAGAGCTCTTTCCATTCTCACAACCTTCGGTCAGTCCGCGAAGGCGTCCCCGAGATCTGAGGGGCTGAACTTAAAGGACCCAGGGCGAAAGAACGTCTGAAACGAGATCCAAGATCTTTCGTCTGGATCTTCATCCTGCAGGGAGAGTTGGGCTTGCAATTAAACCCACGCACGTGCTCTCGCCAAACAGTCTAATCTGGGAACGAGTTGCCGCTCTTGCATCGGTTGTCTGTTTTCACTATCATCCTATTTCACAAATGGTCGGCGAACAAATGTTCGGCGAACAAAAGTTTGCCAAATAAATAAGACGCTTCGTAGTTGCGTCGGGAAAGTTGGAGCTGGCGCTGCAGGACTATCCCAACAAACCACACCATAGTCCTATGCTGCAGGTATCCTTGTAGACAGTTGATGCAGAGCTATTTGTAAGCGTGATGCTTGTCTCTGCACCTACAGAGTAGGCTCTATCTCAACTAATCAGGTGATAGCGGACGTCATGAATAGTTGGCTTACCTTTGGTTTTCCCGACAATCCAAGAGGCAGTTTACAGCCTCGCCGCTAGCTCATTTTGTGATTATGCGGGGGCAGGCGCACAGACCAATCCTTCCCGCTTCTAAATTGAGACTCACCACGTGTCCGGAGCGTCATTTCGTATCATGAACATGAGGCTGGACTCTTGACCAGGTCTGCCTTCCACAAAGTCTGCCTCGCTGAAAACAACATTGCATGCTCGTCTCCACGCTAACAGTTCCCGCTATTCATTAGATACATGTAACTAACAGTAACAAACGTCATATGAATTATGTTGACATTTACTCCGTTGCGTGAAGGAGAGCCCCCGTTTTGTCTGGTTCAACATGCTCTTGCGAATACTCTCTCACATCCACAATAAAGGGCAGACATCTCTTAGCACTGCGGTGCGTCGCGCCAGCTACAGTGATATTCAGGTAACTCTGTTGACCATACTTCTGCGATAAAATTAGCCGCCCTTGTGATATCACTGCGATCTCGCATGATCATGTCCACTCAGCCTCCGCGTTCCCAAAATATCGACACATCGCGACTCACTTCACAACAGAGTGTCCATTCCCATTTCCCAGTCTCGTCTCTAACAACTGAAGTTGCTGTAAGCGCTATCGAAGAGATGCCGCGTAGGCCGCAACTACGGAACTTGCCCCATATGTCAACTCTGTTGGTCCGGATCAGCATGCCACATCAATCCAGATCCTTTGATCGTCGAATGAGCTCAGCCCTAACACACAGAAAGATGTTGAGCGATGCTTGATTTAGCAACATTGTTGTAGTCACTATCAAGGCGAGTAGTTTTTTACCTGCAATCTACCAGTATCCTTTCGCGTTTGTTGTCCTTTTCGGCGATTTTTCGTTGCTATCTTGCCGCCATACTAGGTACTTAACGTGGCGTATGCACAACCTTTGCACAAACCCCAGCATACATCGACGATGTTGTTAGGGTCTCGCTTCTTTTAATGGCGTGCAGCTTGAGTTTGTGGCATCCAATTATTCGTCACTTTACCTCGTACTCGGTCTCTTCCGGCTCGCCTCAAGGGACTTGTGACCGGAGAATTTGGCCTGACTCTCCAGACCCAAACGTCTGCAAACCTCGCTACACCCTGTATAGTCAAAGCTTATCGGACTGTTTCGGTATGACTTTGTAAGCTATACTGACTAGCTAGTAATTACTCGGAATCGCAATGCACCAAAAGAAAAGCTGATGCAAACTTATGTTCTCTCAGAGGTGATCCCCATCTCAATAAGTTCAAGCCCGAGTCAAGGAATCTGACTCATATTGCCAGTACAACTGACACGCACTGCGAAATCCTGCCCATCAGCTCGGCAAAGTACACAACAGATTTGGCTTTCGTGATTTCTCGTCAACGAAAGTCATATATGATGTATCTCAACACCTTCTCATTCTTTCGAACTCGGTTCTTTCTTCGAAGCACACCAGAAGCACACCTCTACAGTTTCGACATCATAGTGTTCCCAATTCGTCGCACTGTGCCGCGAAGATACGAGCGCTTAATTGTGAGTCTGGCTTGTATGATATTCGTATCCGGGCCGCGCCGCGTCTAGAGTAAGGCCCGTCGATCCATTTGTAACCATTGTAAGTCATATACGACGCCGCATACGATCAAACCGTTAAAATGTCCGCCTACTACAGCTGAGATTCCATATAGTATATTAAATATGTGCTCTACTCATGAGCATAGTTCTGCTGCTGCTCTCTGAAGTCTTGCATCCGCTTGAATGTCGTGCTTACATATCAAACTTTGAGGAGGGTGAGTTCGCAGCAGAATGTTGATATGATTGAGGCCATAGGAATTGCTCGTGCCTGATGCGTTTCTGAGGTTGAGAAGTAATACAGGTGCCTGTATTGCTTGGAGCAACATTTATAAAGATATACCTTAGTCAAGTGGCGGTTCCAGCTTCAACATTGCATTTTCATAATGTTCTACGAGTGTCCTATTTTACGTAGTCGAAAGTTGAGTATCAGACTTCGATCACCGCTACCGCCTGGGCCTTGGAACATATGTGCTCGCGTTGGTGTATTGAGTAACTAGTCGTGAAGATGACTGATCAGTTCTACTTCGCTGTTACAATCACTTCGCAATCCCAACAATTCCCAATGCGTGTAACGGTGTTCAGGTCGTAGCATGCGCTCTCTGCTGGAGAATTACCTTGCTACTTGGTTGTGTCTATCACTAACATCAAGCATAACCAACCTGGAACAACAGTGAGAATAACACATGCGTTAAGGACCCAGATCTGACGAGACGTAACCCATTTAAGTTCATGATATTACGCCACGATCTTCCGTAGCTTGATGGTATCCCTCGACACCATCAGATATTGGTTCGAGAATTCTTGTATACGTATATTCAACATGTTGCCGCTTGGCAACGTCGTTTAAGCCGCTACTCATTTCTAGGCATTTGGCGAGCATTTTTGATACATAGATCAACTAGGTCGTCTAATTGGTTTCAATTCACATGGAAAAGATGGTGGTTGATTTCTGAAGTTCCAAGCCTTATTTTCCCCTCGATCAGAAAACGAAGTAACGCTGTCCACACTGATTAACTTTGTGATCTTTTCCTTTTCGTTGCGACTATTTGCTTCCACAATCAACACCTTACCCATGAAGGTTGGTCTGAACAAGTAGTTTCTTTCTATGCGTACGTAAACGTTGCGTCTGGATTGGCCAACCCTTGAAGGAGATAATCACAATTCTTCCGCGCTGGTGGATTGACGATGCACGTCTCAGTTTTTCAAGACCGTTCTTGTGCTTGACCACCTTGTCTGGATCAAACAAACAAGTATAATAGCAAAAACTCCAAGCGATTGACAATTGATTCAATTACATAATCAAAGACCAAAATAAAGTGTAATATTTTATTCATCTGAATTAGAGTAACATAAGGTCATTGATTTTATCTGCCAGACTATCCTGGCCAAACTCTTCTAACAAGCAGGCTTCACAGGTGCTGATGTGAAATAGATCTTGTTATACACATTATCTCCCGTCTTGCTACCCGGGGGTGCGTTTTTAGGACCACCTTGCTTGTTTGCATTGGGGTACAAGAAGCTGTCGGTGTTGGGCGAAAGAACAGCGGTGGGACATCCCAGAGCAGTGAACTTGAAGTATGGGTCCAGAACCGAAATGGCCCATGAAGCCGCCCTGGCACTCTTCTCCAGCGAGCCGCCGAATTGAAGAGGTGTAATGGAGTTGATCCCCTGGTAGACATCGCAAAGGACAGTCTGGAGGTTGAAATTTCCAGTGCCGAGTTGAGCCACGCCAGGGGTAACGATGTTGCGTGGGTAGACGAGTGTGAAGCCTTCTGTGAGTGCCTGGACGGCGCCGTAGGGGGTGGCGCGGCGGTACCAGTTCTCTGGCCATCTCTCCGGAACGTATTTGAATTCGCCCGACTTAGAGTCGTATTCTGCGCCAATAATGCTGGAAATGCTCTTGTAATTTGCGACACCACCGGCACCGTACGTGCCGTTGGAGAAGAACTGGGGGTAGAAGTTGAACGCCACGACACTGACGATTTGAGGGAATGGGAAGTAGTAGAGGTAAGGGTTGTTTGTCTTGGAGAATTGCGCAAGCTGGGCATATTGGTTGGCCATGGCGTTAATTGTAAACTGCTTGCTGGATTCAGCATTAACGTAACCGACCAGTTGCTTCACGATACGTGAGGACAGGTGGTGGTTGTCTCCGCAGCCGTTGTAGTAATCTGCAGTTGGTTAGATATTCCCTATCACAAATGTCCCTTCATCAGCAACATACCTTCACGAGTTGGCGATATGTCAGCCTCGACGGTAGAGTGACGGTTCAGGCCGCCGATACCGCCCTTCCCAGCACCGAGATAGAATGATAAAGTGTCGATGTCTCCATCTGTCAGTACGGCAAAGGTAGCCAAGACCGTAGCAAGGTCCGCCCCCATGTTGAAACCACGGGCGGTAGCTGCTACAATCTGACCAAAGGTAACATGACCATCGCGAGGGAGATAGCCGTGATTGGCAAGAAGATTGAGACCCGGGCAAGGGCCGCGGGAGTCACCAGGCCCAGGAGCTTGAAACGAATATCCTGTCTCAGGGCGTTTGTTGCTGGAAACGACAACAGCCTGAGTGACGGAGGTTAGAAGTCCGTTGACGACACCAGTCAGACCACTCAGGAGGCTGGTAACTTGAGGTTCGGCTTCGCGTTTCTCGCTGGCTGCGCGTTCGTATTCAGCCTTCAGCTGGGATTCAAGCTCAGATCTTGACGAAGCACCCATCATGCCTGGATAGGCGACGGAGAGCGCTGGGAGACCCAGAAGCACTGCTGATGTGACCTTCATGGTGACGGCTCTGGAGTGAGTAGTCGTTAGAGGAAAGGAAGTTGAGAGTGGATGATGAGTAGGATTGAGTTGAGGGGAGATTTATACACGTCCTCTACTCAGAAATCACGCTGAATTACGTCGTTGGGTATCTTAGCTGCAGTTCGGAGTAGCACGCTCCCGGTGATCAATGGGGGACGTGCAGACTGAATCTGGGGTTAGTTTGAGGCGTGCATTAGAGAATTGGCGGTCTAGTGTTGGCCGAGTAGCTAACGAGGAACTTACACAAGGATGGCGCGGTCTATTGTCTTAATGAGTATCGTAACGAGCGAGGCGTGAGCTTTGCATTACTCAACATGCTAGCATTGGTCCTCAACACCAATGCGGGCAGCCCACGTAGCCTGTGTACCATAAGACTTTGGTATTTGCCTCCTCCCCACAGGAAAATATCAAAAGTAAGTAATCGCGGTAGTCAGAACAACCAGGCACCATGACACAAGAGGCGTTCTGATTGGAAGCTAGTACCCTAAGATTGTTGGAGACTTGCAGTGACATGGATCACACGTGCCAGATAAAAGTTCCTGTTGGATCGGTTGAGAGGTTGATCTCCCGCTACAACAATCGGACTTTAATCGAGATCTGCAAATGGTGTTCCCGTGCTGTGGTAATGTCAGAAGTTCTTCCGTAGGTATCAGGGGTAAAAAGCAAGTACGATTGGTTTCAAAGACATAGCAGACCTTCTGACTCGCTGAGATTGTTCCATATAGGTTGCTGATTCGAAAAAGCATACGGGGGACACCAGAGTAAACCATCAAGCCACACAGGCGTGTCTACTGCTTCACCTGAAGTTTTTGCTTCATTTCTGCGGCTCCGCATCGCCCAAGGCCAGACGTCATCTGGCCGGCTGGATCGTGCAGAAAGATAAACTTTGAACTTATGATACATACGTCGTTATTGAATCAACAACATGCCATTTGTATTTGTGATGTGGCCGATCCCTAGTTGTTCGCAACCCGACATCCTGGATGGTGGTAATGTTCCTCATCTCGTTGGTTGAACAGTCGCTCAAGCGGATCGAGTATAAGCCTTGGCGCCAGAAGTGGACAATTGCCCGGGAGATGGGAATGGATATGGAATTATCGATCTTCGGAGGCGTTGCTTGGATTACGATCAGCACAAGCTAAAGCTGATAGTGCAGAACCCTAGCTTCCATAAGCCTTGCGCTAAGCCTCTGCTTCGGATACTTCAAGAAAGCTTTGGGAGGATATGGAAAGGTTGGCAGCCTAAATTGGTCAACGAGACGTCATCCCGCAATTTCGGATATTACAATTTGTTCATATCTAAACCTAAGTAGCTCTAGATAACTTGAGGTATCTCCGTTATGCGATACGTCGGCGATTTTGAACGGAGCAACAATGACGTTGGCCAGTGAGGCGACGCGTGATGGAGTTGTTACTGAGGCGTACATCCGAACGCCCAGAGGTCGTTGAGTTCGTGATTTTGAGTCCGTGTCGCCATCTTGGCTGAAGCTCATGGGCATATCACAGTCCGGGCAACCGTGCGAACTCGGCGAAGTGATGTGGGGTGAGCAAAGGGGTGATGGAGGGGAAGTAAGCACTCGTTAAGGTTTTCGATCGAATCCCAGCGGGTTTGATTTCCCATCTCTCCTTCTTTTCCTCTTTGGCGTGTACGTTTTGCACACTCATACGTCTGGCGATTCGGTCTCGAGGCAAGGCTGCGCATCAGAACGGTGTCTGGTACTGTGCACTGTAATGTCAACGAAAGGTCACAAAAGAGCTCTGTGAGCAGTCATTTTGATAGTCCAATATTCTTCTGGTGGGTCATTTCACCGTGTGATTGGGTGCAGACAATCTTACTTAATACTCTTGCATCTTCCACCAAACAACACCATCCAACCGCAGTTTTGTAGTCTGTAGAATTGTTCGAACAGAAAACTACAGGAGGAAACTGTCAGGTATGTATCAGAGAGGCGACGCGGCGCGTGGTGGAGCATTGAAATGCCAAGAGCCCCACCACGATGGACAGCATCTGCTCGTCATCGCTCACAACGCTACAACAAAGCTCTTCAGCACGCCTGAACTGGCTTCGATGCTGTTTCTTGGTATTGCAGTTCCCCAAGATGGCGGTCATATTTGACCTTGACCTTGACGACGCGCCCAATCCGCTCGCTTCCCACGCCCCAGACGTGCTCCAAGTGAAGCCAATACATCACTCGCTCGCCCTCCCAACGGCAACAGTAGCAGAGGACAGCTCGCGGCCGAATCCCAACATCAATGGATTTTCAGCTGCTTTAAGCTGTTATCCGTGAGCTTGAACCTTAAGCATGGACTTGGTTCCGCGCCCTAATGCATGCTAATCACGATGACAATGCAGTATAGTTACGCAGCTTGCCAGCCACCTCGACCTCAATACGCTACACAGTCTGAGTCGCGCATGCAGACAGTTCCGCGTGAATTTACTCGACTATCGCCAACAACTCGTCAGACGCACGCTGCACTGCTGCAATGAGGATGGCTATGGGAGCGCGTCCGGAGAGTCGCGTCGATTGACCAGCGGTAAGGTGGGTCTGTGCGCAAGAGACATGGTTGGAGAATGCTCGCGTTGTGCGAGTGTTGTATGTCGGGTATGATACCAGTAGCGAGGTCGCGATGCTGAAGAGGACTGACTTGTGCAGAACTGCACCATGAAGCCGCCACCGACTCCTGCTCTGCGCGCCCGCCACCGACGACTGTGTCAAACGTGCAACAAAGCACCCCTCTCTCTCATCATGGCCTGTCCGAAACCGCGTTCGTCATCCTCTAGTTCGCCTTCGCTATCGTCGTCCCCAAATTCGCGCCTGAGTTATTTCAATTCAGATAAATCCCGAGCTTTCACTACCCCCGCCTTTGAACGGACACCGTGCAACTGCGACAGCGTTGTCTGGCTCTGCGCTCCATGCGGTAAAGACCTGCGAAACGCTGACACCATGTACGTCCGCGGTTGGAGCTGGCGCACAATCTACCGTCACTGCCATGGTGGCGTGGGCACAGGGGTTGGCGAAGGGAACGAGGGTGTAGAGTGCGGGCGAGGAAATGCCTGTCTCGGCGCGCGCATCGTCGAGCACGAGACGTGCGAGCAAGATATACTAGATGCAATAGACATTAAACCGGAGTCACCAGAGCGTTGGAGGGGCTCGAGCTATCTCGCCCAGGAGATTGAGGGCATTGGCGGTGTGCTCAAAGTCAAGCATAAGAAACAGGTTCGCGTTGGTCAGTGCGTGAAGCTGTATGAGGATGAGAAGGAAAAGTCAATACAGTACCTTAAGCGTGAGGTCAGTGGGCAGCTGAGAAGCTGGTGCTCCTGGTGTGAGAGGGTTGTGTTGGATGAGAAGGACAAGACCTGACCGTTCCATTATCGAGAGCTCGAATCGACACTCTCGACGGGTACGTCTGAAGGCATCATACATATCGCGTCAGTTCGCCACTTTGTTTCTCGCCTTACCTACTCCCCATCTTTACCCATCAAAATGCCTTTGCAAGGATCATAGTTCCAAGCGCTCCCTAGACAACTATCAAATGCCTTCTTTGTGCTTGCTTTCCCAATTTCGTCAATTACGTTTTCTTCCTTGGTAGTTTACATCGATGGCCATCGCTCCCAGTTCGCAAAGAAAACTGTAAGGAAAACCTCGAGAGCATACAACTGTGTCAGGCGAAAGGCTTAGAGCCCACCTACATAACCTCTTCATGCATCGATCGACAAACCATCGAATACGTACTTTTGACGTTTGTTGTTTATGGGTATGAGGCCGCCGACCACGTGTGAGGTTCTTCCGGAGGTGTTCTGTACCGAAGGCTAGAGGCTATACTGCTAATTACAAACTGCATTCCGTATTGTTCATTATTCGTCCATCCCGCGAACAAGAAATGGAGATCGAGCAAGTGAAGGTCGAGTCTTGACCGCCTTTTGGACTGAACTTGAAGAGCTGGGAGGTCCGAACCGCAAGACGAACGGCGGCCACGCCGAGTCTGTGTCGGGATCGGGATGAGGAGTAATGAAAATGCGACACGGACATGGAAATATAGCTTTAGGTACGGGACCAGCAAGTCATCTACTCGCGCCTTGGTGCGTTAGAAATGCGACATGGCTCTCAAACTGATACGCTTCACTGGCTTACCGCCGTTTCATGACAACATGGAAAGATGGTCTCGTCTGTGATTCCTGGTTGTTTTATCGAAATTCGCAATCTGCTTCACCGGTTGCCACTCTTGTTTCTCTATGCACCTTCCTCCACTACGGAAAAACTTCGTACTGGCAAACCCATAACTGTTTTTTGTTGATTCAGTCATGCTGTGACGCTGCTTCTCTAGGTGGAGTAGAACTGGGTCGAGCGCTTTGTCCGCAAAAGACACGAGCTCTATCCGTACAAACAAGGCCATTCCGGCATGGGAGATCCGACATATACCTATTGACAACACAGCCAAGCCAGATAGCTCCACTGAGCGGCGCAAATTGTTGACGGGACGATGGAACGATGCCTTGTTTCAAGCGTCAACAACCTTGCTTTTCAAGGCTAAGCAATGCGCTAGTCGGGCTTGATCCTATGGCAAGCTTTGGAGATTACTAGTGTCCGTCAATCTAGTTCGTCGCGCCCTTCCTGATCGCCGGCTCGCGCACTTCATGATGCTGCGTTTACAGGTTGACTGGTCGCGGCTGCCGCTGCCAGGCCGAGTGAAGGTAACTAAGCCGTGATAACACTTTCCCTCTACCCTGCTTAGTCGTAGCGCTGCCCGCGTCTCTCGTGCCCACGCGCGTGTTGTTCTTCTTGCTTTTCTGCTGCTGTTGTTCCTGCACATTTGTCCACTGTACAGTCGCTCGTTCCAGCTGTCCTGTCTAATCAATTGCGTTTCTTTTTTCTGAACTTGTCAGTACTGCAATTGTTAATCATGTTGCGCTCTGCATTGGTGTGCACGCTCGCGGGCCTGACCGCTGTGAATGCGATCGCTACCATCTCGGCCAAAGGTCCCAAGTTCTTCACCAGCGAGGGCGACCAGTTTTACGTCAAGGGTAAGTGTCTGCTTTGCGGAAGTTGTATACTGCCTTGAGCATTCGTTTCTGACTCTCCAAAAGGAATTGCTTATCAGCTTCTCCCCGATGACCCGCTCGTCGATACTACACAATGCACACTCGACGCTTCGCTCATGAAGACCATCGGCACAAACTCGATCCGCGTCTACCACGTCAACCCTAATGCGGACCACACAGGCTGCATGAGCGCCTTTGCGGATGCTGGAATCTACATCTGGGTGGACCTTGATACGTTCAACACCACAATCTGGCAAGACGAGCCGAAATGGACGTCGACTCAGTTCGACGCCTTTGCTGAGGTGCTTGACGAGTTTCAGCAGTTTGACAACACTGCTGGCTTCTTCATCGGCAATGAGGTCATCAACACTCGTATGTATTTTTCTACTAGCCAGGTGATGTGCAAGTAAACTGATAATATTAGCCGCTGGTTCCAAAGCAGCACCCTACGTCAAGGCTGCTGTCCGCGACATGAAGGCCTACCGCAACTCGAAGAACTACCGAAGCATCCCCATTGGCTACTCTGCCGCTGACATTGCCTCGTTGCGTCCTATGCTACAGGATTATTTCGTTTGCGGCGATGATGCGGATGCCCTTGAGTTTTTCTCTTTGAACGCTTACTCGTGGTGTGGTCAGAGCTCGTATGAGCAGTCTGGCTACAGCATGCTCGAGGCGAACTCGACGGAACTGCAAGTTCCCATTTTCATGTCGGAAACAGGATGCAACGCGGTGCGTCCGCGAGACTTCGCCGATCAAAACGCCCTGTTTGGTGATATGGCGGATACGTGGTCTGGATCTATCATTTATGAATGGATTGAGGAGGAAAACAATTATGGTCTGATCTCGTATGGTGGGAAGATCGATCCAGCTTCGCCCAGTGCACCGGCCGACGGCTTTGTCCGCTCTGGTACACCGACACCAATCGTGCCTGATTTTGCCAACCTGAGCAACGTCTGGAAGACTCTCAACCCTACCGGTGTTAAGAAGAACGCGTACAATCCTACAGCGACTGCGCCAAAGTGCCCAGATTTCACGAGCGTTGCCTGGGAGGTTGATGCCTCTGCTGCACTGCCAACTATGGGCCAGGTTGGCCCAGTGTCTTCGCGGGCCAGTGCTTCGAGCACTGCTTCGAGGAGTGGAAGTGCATCGGGTAGTGGTAGCGCATCGTCGACAGCAACGAGTACCGGTTCGCAGACAGCAGCATCGGCGACAGCGACACAGGGTGCTGCTCCTGGAAGCTTGAGCCGAGAACTGAAGGGTGTGGGCGCCGCTCTTGCTGGTGTCATGGCCTTCTTCGCCTGGTTGTGAGGGAAGCGGGGTGTGGATTAAATTCGTAGTGTTTCGAGAACGAGCTATGCGTGGATGAAAGAGTAATGATCGATGAATATGTAGATAGGATACGACACGAGCTAAGACTCAGAAGTACATATACCTTTTTTTCTAAATGAAATGGATGGATTAGATTCTGATACCGAATACACTGTCTACTTCTTTAGAAGTTTGTGCCTCAGGGTTTAGATGATATTGACGAACAACATGATCTGGTTGCTCTGCTATACATACGCCTATGCATGGTGTACGATCCATCCATCATCGCAGAGGACATGATCAGGTTGATATAGGTTGCTAGTCGACATGGTGGAAACGCGAACCCGCCCATTCCTAGTGCTTCGTTATACAGTCGTGTAGTAGTCGCGGTATCGGAGCGAATGCGTCAAAGGGGAGAACGCCACGTGCATTGGATATCCCAGTCATAGCAGTAGTCTCGCGGCGATCTATCCTAGGTCGTTCCAGAAGCTTGGGGTCGATAGTCGATGAGGAGATTATGGTTCGCAACCAGAAAGCTTAACGCAATGCTTAGTCCAGGGGCATCTGGCAATAGTTCGCGTTGAACCACGTGGTCAAGATAGACATATGCATGCCATAGGGCGAGCGAGCTAAGATCGGGCTGTTACACGCGTCGAGTGCGATGAGCCAATACCGTAGGATGGGGATGAGGTTTTGATAGTCGGGTTTTGCGACCAAGTCTCATTCGCGAATTTTGGCGCGAAATGGCTTGGAGCTTGTAACCATGATGCAATAGCGAAGCATGACTTTGGTGGTGGTGGTCGAGTCTTGGAGATAAGAAACGTGGAGACGGTGTGGACTAGAAAAGAGAGGAGATGGGACTAATGTAGGGGGTAGCGAGTGAATAGAAAGGAATGACACTGATCGGTAGAGAAAAAGCAAAAGGTGCTACCTAGAAGGCTGTCGACGCCTTCGCATCTGCAGTTCCAGGGACGTTGCTCAGCCCGCCTAGTTCTACCGTCAATTCGATGCAGTAGCTTGGTGAGTAGCTTGGTGATAGTTCAATAATTCAACAATGGACGAGTAAGACACGAGGACAATTGATATTTACTCACAAATTGCTGTTATCTACATGCTTTCGTAAGCTGATGTGCTTATATGCAACGCAATTGGCCCAATGGAGCAGGCGTCCAGAAGGCCCGGTGTATCGGTCCAGATGGTGTGGTGGTGAATGGTCGGTGGGATGCAAGGATGAGACGAAAACGGGCCGTGCACGATCGACAAGTTTTGCGGCAATTGCGACCCAACCTCACTCACTACATTGTCGTAAATCTCTGCTCAAATTTTCTTGTCTTTGCCTCATGCAAGATATTGAAAACCGCGTATGCAAGTGACGGGACGCAAAGACGGCACCAGTGGCGTAGGCATCTATCAGTCTGAGGCTGCGCCTCTTGCGCGCAGCTCCATGCCGTCGCACTATTGACCTCGGTCTGTGACGTGCTGGGCCAGCGCGTCTATCAAAGCGCTTTTGGATAGTCAGACGGCTCAACTGGCGCTGTATTCCAGAAGTTGATGCCCGGCATGAGCCTTCACATGCTCTATGCCGCGTTCTGTTGCCGTTTGAAGTGTGAGTCCGTAGACGCCGGTAACATCCTATCTCGAGTAACCAGATGCATCGATAAGCGCTGCCGTCAAGATGCACGTCGCATTTTACTCGGTGTGCTTTCACGATAGCCTAGCAGACACAAGTGGAGGAGAACGCCATATGAAGCAATCCTGGCCGTCTCTCACACGTCAGCCTTCCGTATGGGTGTGACCGTGCGGGCACGCATGAAGGGCCGGCTAGCAGCGATGGCGGATGGTAGCAACAGCCGCAACCACACGGCACGTTGGATGCCTGGATGTGGTATCACCAGCGTGAGTTTCTGTGATCACACCTGTAAGAAAATCTGGAGGGAGGATGACAATCACAACTCGACAGATGGTTTCGAGATGTTTGTGTTCGGAACGGAGGCAACGTCCGCCAGCTGCCGACTGTAGCTTCTCTTTGGCATCCCGCAGATGAACCGCTATCCGAACGTTTATTGGCGTGTCATTTTAGCACCCGCATTCCCTGCATCCTCTACTGTTCGCTTTCTGTACGAGCGCACATGCGCCGTCTTATCGTGATCCCCTCGACCTGGAACGCCCTGGTCAATGCCACATGGCTGGCCACTCCTAGGGGCCGCTGAGCGACTTCGAGGCTAAAGGCCTTATTCTCGCCGCCCCAATATAGTCCTGTTTGCGCGTCCCATCACCCTCACGTCAAGTGATTGGTCTCTAGCCGGTTCGACCGAAGCCATGTACTCGCTGCTATGCCGCTTGCCACAACGAGAAGCTGTCCGAGGGGCGGATGGACATTGGTAGCACAATTGGAGGTAGATGCCTCTGGCCCCACTAACTTGTCTTACACGCCGCAGCTGCACTCTGTCATATTCTACTGTCTGATTCCCTTTATTATTTCCATCTTTCGTTATGACCAGCACCGCAACCCAGTCCTCGCCACTCTTGCGAACAAGATTCCCTAGCAGTACTGCCAGCGTTGCGACACCGAGGTCCGAACATCGGATCCACCCCCCGCAAACACCATGAGTGCAAGAACGTTGACAAACGTTGTGAACGACCAAACGGTTGCCCTAAATGCTATGATATATGGATATGCGGGACACTCATTGGTTACCCCTCATGCTGCCTTACAACAAATATGGTGGACTGATGAAAGGATCAATGAGAAAGTCACACAAGACTTCGTCACCTCGCGGCTGCAACCCCAGGAAAGAGAGCGCCTTACACAATCCGTGGGCTTTGGCGATCTTAGCGACGACACATACATCGAATGGATACTGGAGAAGGCAAGGAGATTGTTTCTGGTGCTCGCTGAGATTGGCGAGGCAGACAGGGTCTTTGCGGTTGTCGATCGTTCGTGGGATGATGATGACCTTCCGCTCCAGATGGAGGATATCGAGCAACTCTCGCTTTCAAACAGACGCGACAACTACGCAAACACCCGTTTCTATCATACGCAATTTTCCTTTCTACTTCGCGAGCTCCAAGACGGCGTACACATAGACTACGCACCAAATGAAGAAGTACCGCTGGAGTTTGTTATGGGTCTTCCCCCTGCGGTCAGCCTCCAGAATTGGTCCCGTGTCCATCTACCCAAGAAACCAAAAGAAACATATGTACGGAGGAAATTCGCATTAGGAGATGCTGAATCGCCAGACGCTCTCGAGCCGGAATTCATGATGGACATAGAGAGTGCAAAGACGGTTGAGCATGAACATTTTGCCCGTATTTGGGCCTCGTACACTGCGAAAGGTGCTGGCTATGTTGTGACCAACTTTGTTGGACAACACACCCTCCGAACCTTCATCGATCATCGAAATCCCACCCAGTATCAGAAGCTGTCCAAACCTGACAGAAGATGGCTGGTTCTGAATTGGCTTCACTGTCTAGCTGACGCAATCACAACCCTGCACCAGAACGGGTTTTGTCATTCTGCGATACGGCCATCCAACATACTCATCGATGAGCGTAATGAGATCGCGTTCAGCGATATCGGCAGCTTGGAAACGTTCCAGAGGGACAAGAGACCGGATCCCATGGACGTTTACGTTTACAGCGCACCCGAAGCCAACGTCGTTCAAGGGGCTTTGGACCTTAGTTCGGCTTGCCCCGCACCCACAATCCCAAGCACTCGACACGTCTCAATCATAAGCAAAAGCTCATCTGGCTCTTCGAATTCCAATAGCAGTGGCTCGTACCGTCAAAAGCTGACAAAATCCCCTACAAGCGATTTGTCAGGGTTCAACTTCGGTTTCAAGAGGACTAAGCCAACACCGAAACCGCGTTCGCGCATACACGAGACGGAAAAGGCAGACGTTTTCTCCCTGGGTTGTGTCTTTCTTGAGATCCTTACCTTCATGCTGAAGAAGAAGCCGAATGACTTTGTCAAATACCGATCATCGAAACAGAAAGTCAACACTGGCGGCAAGAACTTCCGATCAGATTCATCGTATCATGCAAACCTCGATAAGATATCCACATGGATAGACGTCTTGGAAAAGGCTTCGTGTGAACACGACGATGAGGCCTTTCGCGCGGTGCCTTATATTCTAAGTCTGATTCGAATCATGCTCAGCAGAGCACCTGATGTTCGGCCTTCAGCACAAAATGTGCGCGACAAGCTGTTTGATATCCTTCGCGACCACACATCGAGAGAGGATATTCACTGTGGCGCGCACAAGCACGATGGCGCAACGAATTCGTCAAACTCGGGATCTGACAGAGCATCGAGTATAGCCTCTCTCCGAACCATGTCGACGATGAGCTCGAACTCCGATACTGACACGATTCGACTGTCCACCTCGTACAATACCCGTATAGGCTCCGTTTTCAACCCTCACACAGACCGCCTGACCTTGTCTGGCATTTCGGAGGATGATGGTGCTTCGGTGTGCACGGTGGATTGGTCCATACCGTCGGACGTGAACAACTCATACGAGCAGCCGAGGAGGGCTCCTCCCACTCCGATCTCTCCTATTTCTCCGACAACGCGATCTCCCACATTTCCCACATCGGCGGAACAACCCCCTAGCCCTTCGAGATTGCGGTCGAACTCCGCCAAACTGAAAACCTGGAAAAGCAAATCCTTCTTTACGATGCCTTGAGACGGGTGTCAAGCCTGGATTAGCTGTTGAGAATTTAGAGCAAGCATGTCGTGACATGTACCCACCCGCTTCTAGGCGCGATCATGAGTGTTTTAGATAGCCCGATGTCCTCGCGACATGCGGTTGGCGTTGCGCAGAGTTGTAGTTTTGGTGTCACCTCGAGAGGAGAGATAGACTGGTAGCGTTGGACACGTGGACATGCGAATGATGGTCTAGGCAAGACGGAAGATTACAGAGTTGAGATGTGGACAGCAGAACGGTGCTCTGCACCACAGCGTACGAGTCGTGTTGTTGAGTTGTTATACCCCAGCGAAGATGCGTTTGTTTGTACGACACTGAAGGCTCGGCGAGAATGGAATATATGTAATGACGATCGATACTGGCGAGAGGGTGTTGTAATATGCACAAAGCCTGTCAACCTCCTCTTCAAGAAGGTGCCTCAAACCAAGGCTGTCATATGTGAGACTCGTGATCGTTACCATTGAAATGCGGGGTTCGCTAGTGTCCTTCCAGTGGCCCAGGCACGCACCACTCAGCACTCTGTCGTCTCCAACACCATCTGCAAGCCTCCAGCCATCCCGCCCACAATTTCCCCGCTTGCGCTTGGATGACCCTTCCCCATCTGCGAGACTGGACAAAGAGAGGGCTGCAATCCCCGCCACAATCGCTGTCGCCATGTATTGGCAATGTACCAGCCCAGCTCACGAGGTGTTGACGAACAGCCTTGGTTGGACATGCATCGACGACGTGACGCTGTATTGTCTTTCATCCATGTGACCACGCATTGCGGGGAAAACATTGGGAATTTCAGATCAAAGTTTAACACCGATCATGTATAGATGTAGCAAGTCGACGTACCAGACCCTCCCTCTCGAATGAAGCACACACGTCTGACGAAAACGCGGGTTCGAAGGAGGCTGGTACAGCAACGCCGTGTACGCCATCAGGCGCGTGGCGTGAGATGCGTGGATCTAGTTTTAGAACGATCACTACGAACTGCGAAGATCGGCGCCTTGGCTGGCAACGGTACGGCAGCATGCCCGGGCTCTATGCATCTCGTAACTCTTTCTGGCTCTGCGTTTGCTTCGCTCGACGTTTTACTTATCGTCATCATCCAAGTCAGTCGGGCGGTACCAAATAACTGGAGATAGACCACAGCAGGTGATCTATGGAGATGCTTGAGGGACGTGTTGATCTATCCAGCCTTCCGTCGTTAGACTCCGGACATGGATGTGTAGCGTGCATGGCATGGAGCCGAAGGTGGTTGAACGATACATCATGCAGTACGCGACAAGGGTTATAACTGCTCTACTTAATCACGATGCCTGACGTCGTGAGATCCCAAGCCGAGACTTGCGGTATACCCACTACAGGTGCTCTATCTATCATACTGATGTCAAATGCCTATATAGACATCGGTCCCACAGATACTATTGAGGAGATCTTGCTAGCGTATCAAGTCGCATCGGCACTTTAAGTATTGGCGCGCATTCCACCAAACGGAGCGACAGTAGCTATCAACATGCGACTCTCGTCTGGATTTCTGTCGCTGTTCCTAGTTTGTCCTATCTTCGCCACGAACATTGATGGAATAAGACCGCGTCAGAGTAATGAGACGGAGTACAAACTCGGAAAAATCACTCTCGATACTCCATGGACTGCTTCTGTCGGTACAAATCCTTGGCCTGAACATCCACGACCCCGCCTGCAACGTGCGTTATGGAAAAATCTAAATGGCGTCTGGAGGTTTCGTAATGCCACCAAGGGCGATGACAGTGCTCCTCCCTTTGGGCAGACACTCGAGAGGGCGGTTCTTATCCCATCATGTCTTGAAAGCGCACTTTCAGGTGAGTGTTTCTAGGCCTGTGTGTACGACTGCGTTTGCTTATCTAAGTGTAGGAATTACCGAATTACGACATACGTACAGTTGGTTTCAGACATCTTTTGACATACCATCCGACTGGCAGCGGGACAATCGCGTTGTGCTGAACTTCGGAGCGGTAGACTACCAAGCAAGTGTTTTTGTCAACGGACAACAAGCAGGCACCCATACAGGCGGATACTTTGAATTCAGCTTCGATGTGACCAATTACCTGTCGGCCAACGGTACAAATGAACTGTGAGTTTCGAAGAGATTATGCCTTCTGAGTCAAGCTAACCAGGAGACACGCAGACTCGTCCACGTTTATGACCCAACAGATATGGACAGAGTGCAGATTCCTATCGGGAAGCAAACTTTGGGACGGGACGGCAACTCAATCTGGTATACGCCCTGTACTGGTATTTGGCAGACCGTTTGGCTCGAATCAACACCCTCGGAGTACGTTTCGAAACTGGACCTGAACGCTGAAATGGATGGGACTGGTAGGTGTAGTTGCATGTGCTTGCGTTCTTTGCTAATTTTACCTAGTCAACATGACAGTGCACAGCAGCACAAATTCAACCAATACTCCATTCCAAATCTCCTTCCTGGAGCCAGATTCAGACGAAGTCAAGTTCACTACCGTGGGAATCAGCGGCAAGCCATTCATCTTCAAGGTCGATGCGCCCGAGCTTTGGACACCGGACACTCCAACTCTGTACAACATCTCCATCAGCTTCGGGGGTGATGCAAGTGACGAGATCCAGAGCTACACCGGCTTCAGAACCATCTCGAGAGGCGAAATCGACGGCGTGCAACGACCGCTGCTGAACGGAGAGTTTGTCTTCCCCTTCGGCCCGCTAGACCAAGGGTTCTGGCCGGATGGAATCTACACCCCTCCAAGCGTGGAGGCCATGGTCTTTGATTTGCAGCAGCTGAAGGAAGTCGGTATCAACATGGTCCGCAAGCACATCAAGGTCGAGCCTGCGCTGTACTACAGAGCTTGCGACGAGATGGGTCTGTTGATCATCCAGGACATGCCTTCATTACGCCCCGATCTGCCCGCCACGAGTGGATGCGGAACCATCCGGCTAGAAGGCGACGCCGAGCAGAAAGAGTTCAACAGACAACTAGGCGTGTTGGTCGAGCAACTGAAGAACTACCCCAGTATCTTCGCATGGACAATCTACAACGAAGAATGGGGACAGTCTACTGTTGCGCCATGGCCTGAGTTCGGATTAACGGATATGGTCCGCTCGCTGGACCCGACGCGTCTGGTGAATGCTGTTAGTGGATGGACAGACCACACCGCAGGGGATTTTGATGTAAGTCTCCCCTACCTATCCTTGAATCTGCCTTCAGCAACCATCACAACAAGTGCAACACACCGACTAACGCCCACAAAGGACAACCACCACTACTCCACCCCCCAATGCGGAACCCCCTTCTGGTCAACCCAAGGCTCAGGCTACGACTCCGCCTACGACCCCTCCCGCATCGGCCTCCAAGGCGAATTCGGCGGCATAGGCCAGTACGTCGCGCCCGCCAAGTAAGCCCCCCCTCCCCCCTTCCCACCCCACCGAACTAACCCCCTACAGCTCATGGTTCAAATCCCCCTCCCAGCAATCCGCCTACGAACTCACAAACACAACCGCAATCTGGAATTACAGATGCATCGACCTCCTCCGCCAACTTCGCGAGCAGGTCGAGCTTTTCGCGTGCTCGGGCGGCGTGTGGACGCAGACGACGGATGTGGAGGGCGAGGTTAATGGGTTGATGACGTATGATCGGAGGGTTAATCGCATGGATAGGGGGTTGTGGAGGGAGGGGGTGGGGGCGTTGAGGGATGCGGCGAGGGGGAGGGCGGGGAATGGGACGCTGGGGGTGGCAACGGGGGTGGAGGTTGTGGGGTTGGATGTTAGGGGGCAGGGGGTGTTGCCGTGAGTGTGGTGGTGGATGGAGGGGTGGGGAGGGTTTGTCTGTGATGGGTTGTTAGTAGCTACGTTGCTCTTAGGAAGAGGATGGGATCTCGTCTTGTTTATCTTGGACGCATTCGCGGGTTGAGTTCTATTAAACGCTGGCGGATACGCTGAACTATGACTACCCTACTGCAGCCCACCAGTCTTAAGAACCTAGGAGAAGCGCAGACTCGCACCGACATACAACTAGATACCTTTATGTTCCACTCCTCTCCAGTCACATCCTGACGCGTACAATCGCTAATTCCCTGCAAACTTCACCATCATGGCAACCAGACGCCGATAAACATCACCAACATCCAAACACCAACCCGACACAAACAAAACACATCCCTTACTCCTCCTCACTCTCCTCACTGCTATCCCCACCCGCCAACCCCTCCATCATCTCCTTATACAGCGGATCATCCTCATCGCCCTCCTCCTCAACAACAACACCCCCCGTACTGCGCCGATGCACAGGCGGACCAATATCCATAGGCTCCACATCCCCATCGCCCTCGCCCTCACCCTCATCCCCCTCCTCATCATCATCCTCACCTTCCGCATCCTCGCCCCCCAGATCCCCAAAGTCAATCTCCTCCTCGTCGTGTGCGCGGCGCGAGGAGAAAGCATGTGCATTGGGGGAATTTGTCGCGCTAGCGAGGGATATGGGGCCGTTTGACGGGGAGCGCAGATGTTGATGTTGTTGTTGGGTTGTGTTGAGGTTTTGTCGTGGGCGCGGGGGCCGGGCGTCGGGGACTTCGATTTGTAGACCGCCGTCGTCGTCGTCTTCGTCGTCGTCGGCATCAGCATCGGCATCGGCATCCACGTCGTCGTCTGACTCGCCTTCTGCGTCCTGGTCGTCGGGGGAGGCGGCGTCGGACTCGTCGGATGAGTGGACTAGTTCTGTGGATTTTATCTTCGCGGCTTTGGGGGGTGCGGCGTCGGGTGCGCGGTCTGGGGCCGGGCGCTCGATGCGGACGAGGGGTGCAGCGGCGGGTTTGCGGGGGGGTTTGGAGACCATGGGGTTTGCTGCGGGGGCGGTTTTGCGCTTCTTGGGCGCGGGCTCTGGGCGGGGTTTTGTTGTCGTCGTCGTTGTAGTTGTTGAAGCGCTGACCTGTGGTGTGTTGACGACGCTTCGCGGGTCTGGGGAGTACGCCATGCCGTATTCTGATTCGTCGCCGCGCTTTTCTTGTTCCTTGGGCAGGAAGTGGCGGAAGTCGTAGGGGTTGTCTGCGTCCGGCTCGTCGTTCTCGTCGTTGTTTGCGGTATCGCCGAACAGGTCCTCGTCGGCTTCTGGCTTGGTATGGGCGTCGTCTTTGAGCTTCTTGGGGTATATCTTCGGGTGCTGGGAGGATATGTCTTTGTTGTTCCTCGATGCGAGGTTGAATGTGTACGCGTTTGTGAGCGGCTCGAGCGTTGCCTTTTGTGTTGCGGGATCGAAGAGCAGCAGGTAAGACTTCTTCGACGTTGTTCGTTGCCCTGTGAATTTGAACATATCGCTATCGCCATCTTCGAGCTTGAGGTTGTACGCGTTGGCGGAGGAGGCTGTGAGCGTGGTGCTGCGAGTATCGGACGTCTGCGCGGGCTTGTGGTTGTCTGATGGCCATGTCAATCGTCTGAACAGCAACGGGACGGAAAGAAGATGGAGAAATTTACATTTCACGCTACTATAACTCTCCGAAGACATGTCGTTCTTCGCTATCCGGTCGCTAATGTGCAGGTTGAAGTGAGCTTTCTTGTGAGGCTCGACCCGGCCTTCGATCATCGGGGACGCCATGTCGCGTAGTGTGGTGCCTGGTTGAGCAGGCAATTACGAAAGCTTGCAAGAACTGGCTATGTAAAGCGACGCTGCGAAGAAGGGGACAAAATATGTGTGGAGTTGCGTCGATGCGGAGTCCAGGCTCAGCGTGTCGATGTGAATGTCGGTCTTGCTGCTCGTTCCGACGGTCGGTCCCGCTGCACATGCAGGGGACAACCCTCGACTCCACCAGTACTAATTTTAGTGTCTTGGTGAGGAGACGAAAATCCTCGATGCATTCACACAGAGATATGCGACGTGACGCCAACAAACACAAAATCACCATATACTAACAGATAGTAAAAGGATGCGTTAGACGTTCAAAAAGAACCAAATGACTTCTGAGTGCGTGCACTGTCAAGGGCATGTACGTATACTTCAACATATGCGATGTACATTCGACATCAAGAATATTGGACAGTCACTCACACGTATCTCTAAACAACAATCAAAGCGTCACCATGGCATAGTAAAGCGAGCATAGGACAAGGCTGAATTGAAGAAATGGGCGTCAGGTCAAGAACATCCCGATCACCAGCACAGGGCTTTCCCCCATGTCCTTCCAGAGAAAGAGACACGGATATCTTTCCCTCGTTAGTGCTAGCATTGATCATGTTCCTTCAACCCGCCTGTCCCACACACAATGGGCATTCGTTTGAACTCATCAACTGAAATGGTCTGATATTTTCCTTTTTCCAATCCGTGCTCCTACTCCGACACCCGACATGTCGGAGTGATAGTTGTCAATGACAGGGTATGTAAGGGAAGGTGTTCAAGCAGAGTGCACGTGCACGTCTACCACTGGGTAGTGGTCTGAGCAGTTGTCTCAGCGCCCCAGCCCTCGTTGCCAGTCTGCGCATCGCCGGAAGCAGCCCAGTCGGTCGCATCGGCGTCCCAGCTAGCACCAGGCGCAGCAGCCTGCGAGGTGAAAGCACCGGCAGATGCGCCAGAGACCTCCCACTCGCTGGTGAAGCCAGCCTCGACGGCACCAGGGCCAACCTCGTCGGCGCCAGGGGCCTTGGCCTCCTCGATACCAGCGCTGTCCTTGTTCTCCTCGGCCTCGGGGTCGCGGTAGAAGTACAGATCCGTCATGACGTCCCACTCGGTCTCGCGGTTGGCGAGGGTGCCACGGAGGCGGAGGACCTCACGGGCAAGCATCCACCAGATCAGACCAATGGCGTGGCGACCCTTGTTGTTGGTGGGGATGGCAACATCGACGTACTCGGTAGGGGAGTCGCCGTCGCAGAGGGCCTAGTCAGTGTCAGATGGTGCTCTCACAGACTCGTCCTCGCGCGTATCTACTCACAATGACGGGGATGTTGACGTAGGAAGCCTCCTTGATGGCCTGGGCATCAGTGCGCGGGTCGGTGACGATAATCAAGCGGGGCTCCTTGAACGAACGGGTGATGTAGTTGGTGAAGTTACCGGGGGTGAAGCGACCGGCAATGGCGACGGCGCCGGTGTGGGCGGCGAACTTGAGCACAGCACGCTGGCCGTAGGGACGGGCGGAGATGACGCAAACTGTTGGCACTGTCAGCCCGAGCCCGTAATGCGCCTGTCTCGAACACTGCAGCTCGCCCACCGCGGGGCCCACGTACTGTCGGCTGGGTTGTCAATGGCGACGATGATGCGGGCAGCGAGGACAATCTTCTCCCATGTCTTGCCAACGTTGATGACGTTGACACCATCGGGCCTGGTCTTCCACAGGTACGGCTCCATGTGCACCTGGAGGTTCTTCGCGCCGAGGTGGCACTGGGCAGCGAGGAGCATCTCAATGTCCTGCTGGGTGGGGTTGAAGATCGCGGGGAGGTTGCTGGGAGCCATCTTGACGGTTTGGCGTGGAGGCAGCTGGTCTCTGTGAGTATCTGTGGTGTTGGCTCGCGATGGAACTTTTTGGTGGTGGAGGGGACCTGATCGTGATATTGTGCGGTCTAGCCGCATTGGGCGGGTGCTTGGCGCGGGGCGGCGGAACCTTGCGCCGGCGGCTGCGAGACTTTTGGACAAAACAGCCAGAGGAGCATCGCCGTGTCCAGTCGCCTCGATGCCGCCGCGAATACCCGTCCCATCGTGCCTGCGGGCCTCGAATCCCCTCGCTCTGCCCTTCCGCCCCTTCTCGTCGACAGCCCTCCTCCAGGCCAAGACCATCGAACGGTCCAAGAGGCGCCTTTTGCAGGATCCATATGTCCTCGCCCAACGCAACCTCAAGAAGGCGGCCAATCTCTCGCGCCGGGCCGAGCTGGAAGAGGGTCGGGTAGCCAGTCTTGGGAACCCTGTCCGCGGTGTACCAACGCCCTTTCTCGAGTCTTTCGACACCGGCAAGCCCTTGACATACGCCCCGGGCACCAAGATACCCCAGGACAAGCTGCACCTCAACTACGCCTTCGACCCCAGCGCCGTGGAGAAGCAGCTGCGGAGGAGCGTGAAGCTGGCCGTGCCATTGAGTGAGACGGAGAAACAAGTGGCAACCGGCCCTTACCAATGGAGCGACGCCCTGAAATACGGCAAAGCTGCAGAGGTTGAGAAGAGCGCCGAAGACATCTCAGCACAAAATGCAAAGGACCACGCGCGCGCCGCCGAAGCCATTGCACGCATCACCGCCCTTGACAATGGCTCCAGCAAAGACCGCATGCGCGTCAACATCTCCCGCTGCGTCGACACTTTCGGCCGCCACAACACAGACACCATCTTCCCACCCCGCGCACCGCCTCTACGGTCCCTTGGCTCCGACGAGCCTCACCCTATTCGCCCTCCAACCAACGTCGCGGCCGCAGCGAAGCGCATTGGGCCCGACACGGGCTCTTCGGAGGTTCAGATCGCCATCTTGACAGCCAAAATCAAGACAGTCGCGGATTTTCTCGAATCGAGGGGCAAGGGAGACAAGCACAACAAGCGGAATTTGAGGTTGCTTGTTCACAGGAGGCAGAAGCTTCTGCAGTATCTGAGGCGGAAGGAGAGGGGCGGGCCGAGGTGGCAGCACTGCATCGAGACTCTGGGACTGACTGAGGGGACATGGCGGGGCGAAATCTCCCTGTAAAATTGCCTGTCCGATTCATAGGCGTGTGTATATTACATGACGGGGGTTTGAGTCTCGAGTCTTGTTCACTGCATATGTACAACATTCTGGTTGCTCGTTTTCAATCGACATCCTCTCAAACATCGTTTTGCTCCTCGAATACTGAATTCTTCTGGTCACCCTGCCTGGTTTCCAGAACCCAACACATTGATTCAATGGCATGCAGTGTCCAGCGACAAATCTACTTCCATCCTTGTGCATGATCTTATGTGACTGCGCGCTTCTTAAATCCAAGGCCAGAAAACATGTCTGTCCACCGAGTCAACACTGGCGTGAGTGGTGGGGTGTCCGACGTTCTCGTCCGCTCACTAGCGCAGGAGTCCGCGACGCCTCCGGAAGCTTGTTCCGCGATTGCATGCATCCTCGCAGATCCCTCCTCCGTATCACCGCGTTCCTTCCCCAACCACAGTCGTTCGCTTTTTGTTTATTTTCTTGACTATCGCTCATATCTATCGTCGCCCAAACATGCGTTTTCTTATCGCTCTTGGCTTCTCGGCCGCTTTTGGCGCCGTAGCAGCTTCTAGTGATGCTATCCCTGACAAGACAACGGCGCCAGAAATCACCGTCGTGGAGAGCAACAAGAACTACTTGGTGAAGCTCGACTGTGTTGAGTGTCCGTTTGCGGTGTGGGATTCGTCGTCTGAGGTGTCGTGGCAGACACCGCCGCAGGATAATGCTCTGGTAAATACATCCCTCCAGCTCAGGTGCCGCGCGCGCAAGCTGACAAGGCCATAGCTTCTCAACTTCAACATCGACGCGCAAGGCACAGCGCTACTTCTCAACGGGAAGCGCATACTGCCCCTAGACCCCATGCCCCTTGACGTCAAGGCGCCTCAGGTTGCCGCCAACCAGACTCATGAAATCGCTGAAATAGATGAGGGCTCGCAACACGACCTCTCGCTACAGTACGAACACTCATTGTTGCGCGACAAGGAGCCAGGAAAGTTTTGGGTTCAGTTCAATGTCACGGGTTGGGTCTTACAGCAGACCACCGTAGTGCACATGGACAAGGTGGACCAGAAGCTCGTACAGGTGCTGCTGCACAAGGAGGCTAACGGCACCGATCTTCGCATCGAGGAAATTCAGGTTGTAGCACGGGAGGATCGCAAACAGCCGTACCGAATGAAATGCGGCAGGCCTGCCATTGTAAAGACGACATTCGATCCCGCTGAATGGGACGAGTTCGGCAAGTTCGGAACGTGGTCCAGAATCATGAACCTCGTCCTCGGCAACCTTGGTGGCTTTTGGTACGACAACTTCCAGCACAATGCTCGCGTGCTTTTGCTTGCGTTGTGGCTGGCTATTACTGTCTTCCTTGTCCGTCGCTGGCACCAGGCTCGGCAAGAAGAGAAGGATGTTCTTGCAGAGGATGATGCGGAAAGTGCACTCTTGCCTTCTTACCAGTATTCTGTCATTCCCGTGATCAAGATCGAAGAGTACGACTAGATACTTCAAAAGGGCTGAGCTACCTTGAAGGGCTGAGATGCATGTAACCGGTTAGGACGAAGATGAGCCTATTGTTGATGCCTGCCAAATACAAGTCTTCACCACTGCTATATCTCGTTTCAAATATCCAGCTTTTTACTGCATTGGCTAACATATTCCTCAACTCACGCATTTGTAGCATAAGGTACGGGGAGTACAACATGGACGTTAACCAAATTGGCAAATACAGCCGACGCCTTCCTCCTCATTTGCCTCTCTTTTCTCAAAGCCCAGCAGACCACCCATCCAAGTTCCTCATTCCCCCAACGAGATGGCCGCCGTACCCCAACCATCCAACCTTGCATCGCCGCAGCACTTCGAGCAAATCAATCACGATCTAGAAGCCCACCTCCAAGACATCTCCATCATCTCCATCCAACACATCGACCATACTTCCATCCCCAGCCTCGCAGCCAAACCCACCATCGACATCGCCATCGCCATCATCGTCGCCCAAGAGATGGTACAGCCTGCGCTCCACGCACTCATGGAGCAGCACTTCGAGTACCTAGGCGAGCAGGGCGTTACAGGGTACCACATACTTACACACCCCAAGCAGTCGCCGCGCCATAACATCTATATCTGTACCAACAGCACATCAACAACGAAGGACGACATACCTCCCCGCAAAACCACCAAACCAGACACCGCCATCCACCCCCAGACCACCTCTCCCACCATCCCCCCAACACCCACGCCCCGCCTCCTCCTCCGAGACTTCACCTAGGCGACAAAACCCCCTACCACACCCTCGAAACCACCCCCCAAAACGCCCGCTACCAAACCTGCCCCCCCCCGCACCCCCCAACAAGCCCACTCCCTCGTCGCGAGCGCAATCCACGCCGCATCCGCCAAACCACGGATATGCATCGAGCTCGCGGTCGAGCACGTGGGGCGGTTCGTCGGGCGCGTGGGTGGGGTACGCTCATGCCCATCCACCGATACCAACAACACTTCCGTGCATGTGGATCTATAGTTTTCGTTCCTCGTCTCGTGTTGGGGGAGGGAGGTTGCGACGGAGGGTATGGGTGCGTTTATTGGGGTGGTTAGGGGTGTGTGGGCAGGGGAGGGAGAGGAGTTGGAGCTGGAGATTGAGTGTGATCCGAGGAATGGGGGGAGTTGGGGGGTGGCGGAGAGGCTGGGGTTTGGGGAGATGGGGGAGGTGGAGAGGGCGTTTGAGTGTAAGGGGGAGTGGGTTGGGGAGGTGGTTTATCGGTTGGTTGTGGCGGGGAGTATTGGAGCAATACTCGAGACGAAAGCAAGGCAGAGCGGGCGGTCATCAGCTCCAAGTCCTCAACGGCCCATCTTAGCATCACATCATACTCACTCACTCCTTTCCGAGCGGCACTTCACCACATGGCACCGCTCGAGGAAGCAGAAAACGTGTCTTGGACATTATCATTACAAGTGTTGCTATTCATGCCATTTCGTAGAGAATCGTGCGTGCTCCAAACCTAAAAAAAAACACGATGCGCCATGCTATGCAAAAACCGGGGCCTCGCTCGTACCTGCCCCTCCAATCACGCGAGAATATTCTCCGTTTCACCAACCGCAGAAACACACACACGTCGCATGGCAAAGCCCTTTTCGAGACAGAACAAGATATCAGATATCAAATATCAGAACTGAGTGGTGTGTGTGTGAGGCTTTTCTTTCGAATCGGTAGTTCCGCACCCTATGCGGAGCACGTCTTCTTGATGACAAACACGCCCACCTCTACGCCCTTCTCCGGCTCGCCGTCGTAGTAGTCGCGTCTCGAGACCCCCTCAAGTACCTCCTGGATCAGATGCGCACTCGTCATTTCGTTGTCGGTGGGGAGCTTTTTGGTTTTCCGAAAGTACTTTGTAACGACTTCTCGGACCCTCGACTTCTCCTGCTTGATCCACCAGTCATCCGCCCAAGCCGACCGTTGCAGCGCCATGTCTTCTTTTGCGGCGTGGATGACGCTGTAAGTCACTTTCTTATCATTGGGGCCTTTCCGACCGTTTCCAAGCTCATTCAACAAACTGCAGAACTTCCTCATTCGCGACTCCAGGTTGTTGTACTCGTCAAGGTAATCGACAGAGCTCATTTGGCCAAGATTCCGTCCCAATTCGGAGTGAAGTTCGTGTACCACCGTCAGCGTCCGGAGAAGCGGGTCTAGGATGGGTCCAAGGTATTGCCGCATGAACGTCCGCGCGCCTGTTTTGGTGGGATATATGAAGAGTAAAGTGCCGTTGTCAGGCGAGAGCTCGATCAGGCGGTCGTACAACAGGGAGCGGCCTTTGAAAGAGAACATCTCCGCGTATTCGTTGGTGTTTGTAGGCGGGATGTATCGCTCGACCACTGAAATTTGGATGCTGCCTGGTGGTACCACAGGTCTTGGAGACGGAGGGAGTAGCAATGAGTCAAGCTGGTAGTCGGGAATGGCGACAGCACTGTCGAAGACTTTGCTTGTAAAGTAGTTGTCTCCACCTACTGCGGGTCCAGGTGTGGATGGTGGAGACCTGGGAAGGTCGGAGAGTGTATAGCGACCGGGGACGGCATGAAAGACGTTGATCCACGAGATGTTCGTCGGGGTGCTGTCATGAACAGTAGCAATGAGCTGTCCAAATAGATGACCTGACGTTGAGGGACATGGCAGGGCGTGAGACAGAATCTTCACAGAGTCCAGTTCCAAGCATCCGGATGCGGTGGCTAGTAATGATTAGCGAGACTTTACAGCACAGTATACAGACAACACCTACTGGTGATGTCCTTGATCTCTTCAATCCAGGTTGCCATCCTAGCAGTGTCGCTTAGCTCAGCGGGTATCGGCACAATAATGGGCGAGACTTGTCCAGGTGCAGTGGTGCTGGCAGTAAGATGAAGGTTGGGTGAGACTCCGGGCTCGGAACTTGGAGGGGAGCCCGCACCAGCCGTTTTCACGCTCACGCACGACCCCCAACTGAACGTCCCCGGCTCCGTTGGAGGAGTGAAGATGGAAACACTATGCTCCACGTGGGCCCTGGCTGCTTTGGGCGCTGTGATGCAGGGTTCGGTGGCCGTATCAGCCCGGGAACGAAAATGTAGCGGCGGGCTAAGCGCATGGAGAGGGTCTTCTGGTTTGGAGAGAGGTCCAGCACCGAGCGGCGAAAACGAGTGATGTTGGCGCAGAAAAAAGCGATCTGGATGAGGTGCAGCGATGCCTAGTACATCAAACGAAGGGAGGCGCAGGGTGTGCGTTGTTCGGATGATGGTGGTCGTGGGGAGCGAAGCAGCAGCCGGAGGAATGATAGCTCCAGCGAAGGTTAGGTCAAGATGAGGACGGTCCTCCAGTAATGGCGTTGGAAGAGCATGAGGCGAGGTAGATGGTAGTGGGAAAGGTTGTGGGAGAGAAGCGTCAAGAAAAGAAGGAAACTCGTCTATGGGTGCATGGGTAGGGACCGTTGTCTCGGAATAGGAAGCCACATCCATGTCCATGTCCATGGCCGGTGTCGCTGGAACGTCGGGAGACAGGACAGCCTCGTCAGCAAGCTGCTGGGCGGCGGCAGGTACCACACTGTCAGACGGGGGTTGTTCAGACATGTCAGCCTGGAGCAATGTGCGCTTTTCTCCTTGGTGTGGTGCAATGGGTGTTGGTGACTTGGCCAGGCTTGCTGCGTTGGGCGGCAAGGTGAGAAGAGGGAAAAAGACGTGGCTGAAAGGCCGGTAGTCTACCCAGATAGGCAAGACGGTGGCTTCGCTTTCACCCACACGGAGCAATGTTCTCGACCGTTAGAAGGGCGGGGAGTCGAGGCCAAGACCTGACGATGGCGGGGCGGAGATTTGGGTGAAAACTCAGAGAGGGTGAATTGTGAATGGCAGGATGACAAACGAGTGTAGGATCGTGAGTAACGGCGTGGACAGGGCTAAGCGTCAAGGCAGCAGTAAACAGTGCGTTGCAGAGAGCGTGAGCGCGGTGCTGGAGGCGCAGTGTACCAATCTGGCCTTGGCATGGTCTAGAACGTCTGTCGCGAAAGACGCATCTTCACTTTACCCAACTGAATGAACATGGCCTGATTGCTGGGTAGCGCTGTCCAGCAACGGCCCAACGGATGCCCATCTGCGCCGATGCTGTGATGCCGAGCGGTGGCTCAATCGAGTTTGATCCCAGCTCCGCTTTTCTCTTCCTGAAGGACTACTCGAACGACTTTTTCAACACCGCCGAACACATGATACGACGATACGACCCACAACTGCGGGAACCTGGACAAAATCATTGCATTGGCTGAGCCGAACGGTAGATGCCGCAGCACTCGCTTTGAATTTACGAGTGTCTGCATCACGGGTAGATGTCCGGCTATAATCCCCTGTCCACTCACAACACTCTTTAGCGTCGACGTGAAAGTCGGTAATAAGGGCTGTGGATAAGCAAGCGACACTCGACACGAGCTAGGACAGGGCAGAGCAAGGCTATTAGAAGCTGCCTTGCTTTTAAGAAACTCCATGTGGCTTAGGTAGAGAAAACCGTGTTGGCTTTGTCGACTACTAGGGCACTAGACAGTTGGCGGAGTCCAGGCTTCCGTAGACACATAGTGTACCGGTGGTTCGTCGAGACAGGTTCGGCGAGGGTTGGTCGTGCAAACCCAAGCGGTTGGGCGCATGCAGACAAAAACACCGCATTGAGTCAGCAAAGCTTGCGCAATCGTATGCCCTTGTACACAGTACGTGAGCGCCATCGGCAACCGACGGCAGTTTTTGACAACCCCAGAAGAAGCACAACAGCCGACCCAGCCGCAATAAGATGAAAATAACATGGCAGCGGTATGTTTGAATTCCGGAGGTGCCGAGGCCCCAAGTTTTGGTGGGGACGACATTCACCATGGCGGGGGTTATCCATTGCTAGGCTCAAAAGATGACAGCGCAGGGCAACGACAAAAGCAATTCGTGCATGGTTGGTGATTGGAATGGCGTAACACGTCGTGCATGGACTCGATGCCGATTCAACATTGGCATGTCCGACTCGTTGTACTACATGAGATTATTTCGACATTGTAAATAGATGCATGCAGAAATACTCGCAGAACAACTCAATACTCCCAATGACAACTCTCTGCAAGACCGTCATCTTCCCAGCATTAAGCTTAAGGGGTGAGAAAGTAGTACACAGGCAACAATCCCACACATGTTCTACTCGTCACGAACAACTACAAGCAGGATACTTGACCAAACTCGTTGCATCGCGCAAATGAGTGAGAATCTACGACAGCCCCGCCAAGACACGACCCCCAAACAGGCAAGGTCGACCGTTGCTAAGACGCTACCGAAGCCGCTTTTCGCTCGCTCACTCGAGCAAAGTCGACCGTTTTAGTACTCTCACAACAGCCAACGCAGGGAGGTGGGTAAAGTAAAAGAAGAAAGAGAAGGAGTCAAGAGAAAGAGCTGTGGTAAAAGGTAGGTCAACCTTTTCTACAATCCACGCGTTGCTTAACTAAGACTGTCACTCTTCTCGCGTTTTTTCTAGTCCATGTTTTTCTAGCATGGTTGTCATTTATGTTCTTTTGTCAACATCTAAATGTCCAGCTTTACTTCGTGCTCTCAACGTCTGTTTAGATTCTTATACGTAGGCCTTGTATCTTCTCGTCTAGCATTCTCAACTTACTGCGAGATTTTCTTTTGTTTCGTACTTCCTTTCCGTTTACTCTACACCCAGAACCACCAGCTCACATGACAAGCCCAGACACCTCACCACCTCACCCTGCTACTTCACCTCACCTCACCAAAACAACCTATCCACCCTTCCCACCCCACAAACCGCAACCATGCACGTAAGCCCCCCCCTCCCCCCTCTCCCCCTCCCCCGAAACTAACCCCCCTAGATAAAAACCCCCCAATCAGCCCTCCTCTCAAACCACGAGCTCCACCTGCACCTCCTCGCCGAATCCACCCTCTACCACCCCTCCACCTCCTCAAATTCAAAGCCCACCCCCGCCCCCCCAGGACTAACCCACACCCTCCGCGACGGCCTAGCCTACCTCTCGCACCCCTCCCCCTTCTCCCCGCCCTCCTCCGCAAACCTAACCACCACACACCCAAACCGCCCGAAAACCCTGTACAAGGGGCCGCATAGCTTGTTCCGCGCGCTTGCCCCGAAATACCGTCTGAATAAGGCGGAGTATTTGCAGATTTATAATCTGCGGCCCCGCACGGCGCTCGTGCTGGAATTGGTTGTTGAGGAGGTATGCTATTAACCCCCCATCCTTCCCCACCCTGTTCTCTGCTTTGGGGGGTATGTGAAGTGTGTGTTAATGTGTGCGTAGGCATCAACACGTTTCTCCGACGCAGAAATGGCGGATATACTATCTATTTCGCAACGCGTGTTTGATGAGGAGGAGGGGGGGATTCCGGAGGGGGTCGAGGATGTGCAGATGGAGAGGGTGGGGAATAAGTTGTTGGGTGCTGGGGGGGGGAGGAGGAAGGGGAGGGCGAAAAATGGGCGGAAGTAATTGTCGATGGTGGTAGGGGGAGAAAAGTCTTTTTTCTATTTTATTGTGCTGTTTTGATGATGATGGGCAGGCATGGGCTGGGTTGGAAGGGACATGTACATGTACGCATCACTATCAAAGCAAAGTACTTCTTGAACTTTTCATATAAATTCAGCAATGCAGCGTAACCGTTGGGTATCGGATGCGCACGCACACACACGAGAGAAACAGTACAATATACACCCAAGCCAAAGAACGCCCCACTCGCCATAGATACTGACATCCCAAAAAAAAAACGCCGTGTCCTTTTCACACATAAGCGGACCCGAAGAGCAAGGCAACAAAGCACACGGACGGGAACATCTACTCCTTGTTCTTCTTCTTCTTCTTCGACTTTTCCGTCTTGTCCTCTGCGCCGCCGTCGGCTTTCCTCTTCTTGCTGTCCCCTGCGGCCTTCTTCGCTTCCTTGGCCGCCTTCTTAGCCTCTTTGGCTTCGCGCTTAGCGGCGCGCTCAGCTTTCCGTGCCTTCTTAGCTTCCTTCTCTGCCTTCTTTGCCGACTTGTCCGACTTGGAGACTGCCTTTTCCTCTGCAGACTCCGAGTCGTCGTCGGCGGCGGCATCAGCCATCGACTCGTCCTCGTTGTCGCTGTCGACCTCCTGGACAAGCTTCTTGGGCGTTGTTCCGTTGACCTTTGCGTCGGCAGCAGGCTCTTCACCTGTCAGACCATCGGCGTCTGGGTTGTACTTCCTCGCCTCCTTGACGTCCCACTTCTTTGCGCCTCCGAGCGCTGTCTGGTTGGCGTTGGCCAAGCTCTTCAGTGGCTTGCCTTCTAGGGCCCTCAACCGCCTCTCGATGCCGAGACGCGCGTCGCGACCGATCTGAGACTTCTCCTCTTCAGAGGGCTCGTTGGATGTGTTCTCGGACGAGATGCCCCATGTGCTGAGGGCATCGACACGCAGACCGAGAGCGGACTTTGCGGCGAGCATACGGGCGATCTTGCCCTTGTTCTTGCCGGTCGCCTGGCCAATGAGGGAAGCGTGGTAGATCAGCTAACACAGTGTTAGTAGGGCTAAATGAGTGCGATCGTGAGGTTCAACTTACACCGTACTTGGGGGTGTCGTGCTTCGTCTTGAGCGCACGGAACAGCGCCTTCTCAGCACCGAGAATCTGGATAGTGGAACCGGGCGACTTGGCCAGGTTCATCAGAGAGCCGGCGTGGGCAATCAGACGCGCACCAACGAGCTCGCCAACAAGGGCAGTCAGGTTAGGCGCAAGAGCCTGCATACGGGTGGAGAGGTAGTTGCCGAGGTTCTGGCGATGTCTGGAGGATAATTAGTATATTACAATGGCAGAATAGATGGATCGTGCGTACTCGGTAAGGTCGACGACCTGCTCAGCCAAAGCGCCCGTGGCCTCCAGATCCTCGTCGGTAATCTCAGTACCCATGCTGATCTCGGCGGCGGCCTTGACGGCAGCCTCAATCTCCTCGGGCAAGATGGTGGACAAATCGCTCTCCCTGGCGTTTGAGCGGAAACCCATCTTGAGCACGACCTTTGAGTAGGCGAGGTTATCGTTGAGGATCTTGGCAAGCTCGGGGAAGTGCCATCCGTACCACTCCTTGACTCGCATGGCATACGTGTTGAGCTGCTTGTCGAGCACGTCGAGACTGGCAATGCTCTGGATGATCATCGTGTCGACCTTGTCGGGCGAGAACTTGAGCTTGTGGCGCGAGAGCGAATGCGCCAGACCCAGCCTGGTCGAGTCCATCTCGGCGGGGATCAGGTCGGGGATGAGCGACGTCATGTGCTCGCGGATGGCGCGGTAGACGTCCTGGGTCGACGAGTCGGAGAGCAGCTTCAGCGACAGGCCGGGGATCTGGGCGATGGCATTGGCGAGCTTGGGGTCAGCGACGGCGACTGCAGCGTGTTAGCGGCACGTCCACGGGGCAATGCGGCGGCGGAGGACCCACGCGATGCCTTGCTCTCGTCCTTGAGGTCCTGCAGCAGCGTGGACAGCATGGGGCTGACCTTGCCGTCGGTCAGGGCGGCGGCCTCGTTGAGCGCCGTGACGGCATTCTCGAACTTTGTGAACTTCTTCAGCTTCAGGGCGTCGACGGTCGACGAGACATCCTTGACGAGCTCGTCGCCCTTGTCGAGCAGCTTCTTGTCCTTTGACTTGAACAGGGCATAGCCCGCGCTGGCACGGCGTGTTAGCTGGCATGCGCTGGAGCTCTGCGCACACGGCGGGCGGCCTACCTCGTCTCGGTCAGGATAAACAGCCCCATGGCGCGTGCTGGGGGTGGTCGCGGTGCGGGGGGGTCGGTCGCTGCTGCCGCTGGCGCTGTGGGTGAGGTGTGTGGGCTGGGAAGGGCGCTGGGCGTGCGGTGGTGCAGTCTGAAGCTCTCCGGCCGACAGGAAAAATTATGCGGAAAGTTCGACCTCGACCTCTTGGCGCGCCGCTTAGCCCAGAGCGCCCAAGCGCCGCCCGTGCCTGCAGCTCGCAGCCTCCACAGCCAGCACCCACGACGAACTCTCGACGCCCGTCACCTCGCCATGATCTGAGCCGCCAACATGTCCGCCGGCGAGCGCAAACCGCCCCCATTACTAGGCCGCTCCATCAGAGGCACCGCCCCGCGCCTCGCCGACCTCGCCTCGACGCCCGAGCTGCCGCGGACGCCCCTCTCGCGCTCCACGTCGTCGCAGCTGTACGGCTCACCGGGCGCCGGCTTCCGCACCGAGGACGAGTGTGTCGTCGTCGAGCTGGGCGCGCGTTTCGTGCGCGGCGGCTTCCCCGGCGAGAGCACCCCGCGGTGCACGCTGCCCTTTGGCCCCGAGCAGCAGCGCAGGGTGGGCGACTACCGCCAGTGGGAGCCCGCCCACGCCCACAGGAGACACACGCCCAGGAAGGGCGAGGCGTGGGGGCAGGAGCACGAGCTGTACCGCCTGGACCTGACGGGCCTGGACCTGGGCCTGGTCGAGGACCGCTTCGAGAGGGCCATGCGAGAGGCCTACACAAAGTACTTCCTGCTCGACTCCAAGCCGCGCCGCGTGCTGCTCGCCCTGCCCCCGCGCATGCCCCACGCCCTGATGTCGACGCTGCTCGACGTCCTGTTCTCCGCCTTCCACGCCCCGACCGTCACCCTCATGTCCAGCCCCGTCCTGTCCACCGTCGCGGCCGGCCTGCGCTCCGCCCTGGTCGTCGACATTGGCTGGGCCGAGACGCTCGTCACCGCCGTCTGCGAGTACCGCGAGGTGCACGAGCGCCGCTCCATCCGCGCAGGCAAGCTCCTCAGCGAGGACATGGCCGCCCTGCTCAACGCCGAGCTGGACAACGACGCCGCCCCCGGCGCCCCGCGCGCATCCGTCTCCTTCGAAGAGGCAGACGAAGTCCTCACCCGCGTCGCCTGGTGCAAACCCTACTCCCGCTCCAACCGCCGCACCGTCTACTTCCCCGCCCGCGAAGCCCCCGTGCTGGAAGAATTCGAAGACGCCATCGAAACAGCACCTCCCACCGTCACCATCCCTTTCCCAAAACACACACCACCAACCCACCTCAAGCTCCCCTTCGCCCTCCTCGCCAAACCCGTCGACCGCGCCCTCTTCGTCCCAGACTCCCCCCTCACCGCCTTCGACGACCACGACCTGCCCCTCCACCACCTCATCCACCGCACCCTGATCCACCTCCCCATCGACGTCCGCCGCCTCTGCATGTCCCGCATAGTAATCACAGGCGGCGTATCCCACCTCCCCGGCCTAAAAACCCGCATCCTACAAGAAGTAGACGCCCTCCTACAAACCAAAGGCTGGGACCCCGTCTCAAACTACGGAAGCGCCAGCGCCCACCACGAAGAGAAACTCCGCGCCCACCTCGAAAAACGACACCGCGAAGCAGAAGTCGACGTAAACGTAAATCCAGACCAGGCCGCCCACCTCCCCCACGACGACGCCCCCTTCGCAGATAAACTCGCCGCCCTCGCTCTCAACCCCCCCGAGGGTGGTTCCCTCCGCGCAGTAGAGTCCCTGGGCGCGTGGGCGGGCGCGAGTCTCGTCGCCCAGCAGCGGATAAGAGGGATCGTTGAGGTTGAGCGTGAGCGCTTTCTTAAAGAGGGGTTGCATGGGGCGTCGCGCGAGAGGGAGGTTTCGGTTGTGCCGCAGCGGCAGAGTGTTGGGCCGGGGGTGGCGAGGGGGGCGGGGGAGCGCGCGAGTTGGACTTTGGGTGTTTGGGCGTGAGGGGTGGGGAGGGGGGAGGGGGGAGGGGGGGTTGAGATACCCCCTTTCGCTGTGCGGGTAGTGGTTTTGTGGGTTTCGAGGTGTGTTTACAGTGCTCTTGTGAGTTAGGGGAATATAGGACCTAGAAAAAGATGCAAATGCACATATAGATCTTATACCCCACCCTGTAAACGTCTCTACTAATAACAATCACCTATCCATACATACACACTCCCATTCCGCACCAGCCTAGATAGAGAGAAAGAGGACTGACGTCGACGAGTATGGACATGGGTGGAGCTGTAGAGTTGGGCGGAGAAGACTGAAGAAAAGGGGAAATTGGGGAGTTAGGATGGATAGGTGGTGAGAGGTGGGATTGGGATTGGGATTGGAGTGGGGTGCAAGTGTGTGTTGCACAAGCCGTGAATGAATGGCATCAATGGAATCAAACTACTTGCTTGTTTCTATGCGATACTTATAGCATCTGGGATATATCATACTGAGCTCTGCATGACATGATATGCACTGGGTGTAGATCTTGCCATCGATAATCATGACAAGAGTTGAGATTCCTGAACCTTAACTCTACTACTTTATAATATATGGCTAGGACACAAGATATTACCAGCTGTGTATGCTCTTCAGGACGTTTCTAAACCAGCATCTGTGCCTATCGTTCATACGAGCTGCTCGGCTTCCACAAGTGGTACGCGTCGGCTCCTCGTCTTCCTGGGAACATACTCCACCTCGCTTGCCTCGCTTTCCTCATTAGTCTCAACTTCCTTGACCGCCTTCTTCTTGCGATTGCGTTTCGGTTTAGGAGCGTCAGTGTCTTTGTCTTGGATCTTCCTCTTCTTTCCCTGTGGCTTCTTCGGTTTAGCTTCTTGATCCGGTTGGGGTGACAGGACAGCCTTCACATCGTCGAGCTCGTCACTCTCGGCTTTGATATTTGTCGCCGAACCTTCCTGGGGCTCGACCTTGGGCTCCAATGTTGGCGTTGTGACGACTTCCGGACCATCGTTATCATCAGCCTGAGCCTTCTTCTTCTTGCGCCGCGTCTTCGGGGGCTCGACTTCTGGTGCCGGCGGCTCGACAACTTCGCCCTTCTCGAACGTCTCAAGGACTACCTGGTTGTACTCTGCTGGTAGATCGTCGATTCCATCGAAACTGTCTTGCTCGGAGACTTCTTTGGCCGCTTCAAGGTCGTGTTCCGACATACACTTCCTACAGTCCTGTCAATGGAGGTTTATACTTGACGAACTGATTGGAGAATACCAGTGCTTGTAGACCCATGATTCGTGCTCTCCATCGTAAGGAATCGAGATACCGAGCCTCAGTTCGCCCTTGAGGATCTTCACACCAGTTGTCTGACACACTGAGCCACGACAGCCAGCTGCTCTCCTAGCAACATCGACCTTGTATCTGGAAAAGGTCAGAAAGATCGGTGCGTCCTGTATCATGCAGGCATAAGGCCAAACGAGACTTACCCAGTTGCGTTCAGGATCTCGCCACCGTACTTGGGCGCACGCTTTGCCATGTCTTCAGAGATGCCCTTGAACTCCTTGTCGGTGACACAATCATTTTCGAATGCAAGACGTATCTGTTCTTGGCTCTCTGGGCTGAGACTATGGTAACCAGGTGCTTTTGTGGCATCGTTGTCCGTAGTGTCCTTGAGACCTTTGAGTTGATGTTTCGTTGCGCAGGCCCTGTATGCACGTTAGCATTACAAGCTCTGGCAGCTACAGACTCGATCGAAGACGTCCAAAATAAGGTATTTCCATCTGGCAGCTGTCCGAGACGCAGGAACTCACCAATGACGCCACGCCATGTACCAGTCATGTCGGTCTTCATTGTCGAAAAGAGTATGCGTGCCAATGCGCAGCTCGCCCTTCCCAATCTTAACCTTTCCACGCTTGCAGACTGCTTGTTGGCATGTGGATCGGTTGTTGGCTGCGTGCTCTATAACCTGTTAGAAGGAAGTCTGTGGAGAGGGGTGATGCTGACGGACCTAGGCGCCATTTTGGGCCTTCCCCAGTGTATCCTTCCATGGCTCCAGATCGTTTTTGCGTGCTGTCTAGAGAACGGTTCGCAGTGTTCCGAATCTTGTGGGTGAGGTGAGAGGTGATTGCTGCTGGCGGTGGTCTTGGCGTATGGGATTAGGAAGTTGCGATGCAGGCATGTGTCACCAAGTAGTATTAGTAAAGGAAACTGCGTCAAAGTATACTGACCTTTGGCTCTGGTGTGATGGGCTAGGGTTTGAACGTTTGAACGCAAGTACAGGCGTCACATGAGTAGAATGGAAACGAAGCATTGAGAGATACAAGAGCGAATAGAGATGGTATAGGAAGGAGAGAAAACAGAGCAGAAATCTTGAAATAGCTGGGCAAAGCTGGAAAAGTTGAAAAGCCGTAGTCGTATTTCAAAGCTTTGAAGTTTATGCAATACTCATTGCCAGGGCCAGGAACGAATATCAAAATACTCCATCAGCATAGCCTGTTCTATGAAAGGAACGCCCAACTCCTATACCCTAAATAACACCATACCCCATCTCATCTTCCTCATCTTCCCGCCCTGATGTTGAAGGCACTCTCGTCGGCAGCCTTGTACGCATCAAACGAAAACAAACTGACCAAATATAGGGAAAAGAACCTGACAATGACATCGCTCATTCGCCCACCCCCCATCAAGTTTTGCAGCCCTGCGAACGCGCCCTGGTTCACCGGCCGGCTGGGTTGTGACGTCGAACCGAGAGTATAGCCCTTGGATTGGAACGCGGCAGCAGATGCGCCGGGCCCAGATGCAGCATCGTTAACAGCTTTGCGTACAGCGGCGGTGAGGGCTGCGGGATTTGCGCCGCGTATTGTTTCGGTCACCGTTGTGCCCTTGATTACGAGGAATGTTGGCATGCTGTCATCATATCAGCCTAGCTCTTTTGCCCATTGTAAAGACAATGGAACGTACGCAGAGACACCGAAGCGCTTGGCGACTTCCTGCTGGCTATCTACATCGCACTTGACAAACTGAACTTTCCCCGGGCGCGATTCTTTCTCTGCGAGGCCGGCGAAGATGGGGGCGATGGTCTTGCAGGGTCCGCACCAGTCGGCGTAGAAGTCGACGATTTTGTATGTGGATTGGGAGAGGAGCGTGGAGAATTGCGCCGAAGAGGTCACAGGCGTGATTTTGCCGGGCATGATTGCGGATTATGAGCGGACTCTAGATGTGGGGAGGATGCGAATGCGCGGGGTGAGGCGGGTATGTGAACAGCTTGCGACAAGTGTGCAAGGATGTCGCGTCGGAGATGTGGTGGATTATGCGGAGCTTCACCGATTGGTTCGATCACGTGTGTGTTCAGTAACCTCATCCATCACTCTAGAACTCTCCATTTACCACAGTCACAATCTTGCTAATGCTACAAATTAGCTCACCACGTAATCATAAAACCCTATTTATTCAGTCTACCAGGTTATCACCCTCCGTCTCGAGGCCGAGGGAAAATTGTGGCTCGCTGTCCTCAGGGCTGGTATTGCGCCTCGATATTTACACATCCAACTAGTCATCCAGGGGCTCCTCGTCCGGCTGGTATTGCGCCTCGATATTTACACATCCAACTAGTCATCCAGGGGCTCCTCGTCCGGCTGGTGCGACAGACATGGTATACTGATATTATCAAACGTCGCCTGTAGTTCTCTGGATATCTGGTCGCGATAGCCATCTGGGCGAAATCCCAACTGTACTCGTTCTGAACGCCGTGACGGAGGAAACGAGAACCCTGTTTCTATAGCCGTATCGATCAAGTTCTCTGCATCCGCGTTCTGGGAAACCTGGACGTTGACCGCTGAATCCAAGATACACGCATACACGGCAAAGTGAAGATTTTCCGACTCCGTCCCACAATCCAAGTAATTGGGCACTAGCCCACTCACCAGACTTTCACACATGCTGCTGATATCAGTCTTTGCTAGCACTTCCTTTGCCGGCAAGGACACATTTGAATATGGGTCCTCGAGCGCTGTAGAAAACGCTAAATGTATGAGCCTCTCGCCCTCATCGCGAGTTCTGGAAGCTAGGCGGGGATACAAACTGGGGTCCATATTCAAGGTGAGGATCCAGACGTCGACGGCATTCATGGCGACTTGGATAACCTGCCGGACAACATCGACAATGTCCTTGACTCCAAGCGGTGGTGACTGCTCCGTCGCTATACGTAGTACTTGCGTCAAGGAGGGGAATGGCCCCATGCCAGAGGTACTGTTCAAGTCAGTCTGATGAGCCGACCCGCTAAATAGGAATCTCTCCTCGTATTTGGTCATCGCTGCAACCAACGCACCGTCAAGGTCTGCTCCAGGATGGCTGGCACAATTCCACAACCACGTCCTTGCGTCGTCCCACAACATTATCGTGTTGTTGGGATACACCTGTGCATAAGTGTCGAAGAACTCGTCGAAAGGTATTCGTAGCATCTCCTGCTTGAAATGGAGATTGCTCGCACCAGCCAAAACCTTGTCCTCGAAATTCCTCCTCGCCTCAGCACGGGTTACTGCTGCCAGCGCAGTATCTCCTGCAAGAATGTGAGAGAGGAAGGTGACAACCATGACCATAACATCTTGTAACGGGCGGATGATGTACCAGTCGACAAACATGTAATCCGTCGCGTACGGCTTGATAATTGAGGTGAGATACGGCATTGGTACCGGGTCCAAATTGACTTTTATATCTCTCCAGTCGAAAACATCTACATTGGCGATATGGTCCATTGTATGAACCTGAGATCCAGGTCCACATAGTGGTTGATAGTTCTCAGGAGGATCCATCCTTCAATATAGTGAACTCGATCTTGTTGGATGCTGGATGAAAAAGTATTCCAGGTGTGTTGATGCTGAAGTGTGTTTTCAACCATAGGAAGAGAGGGCAAAAAGCTACATATATGCCAACACCCTCTCTTCGAACATTCACAGTTCTTGGTATGTTGCACAATCTGAATACAATAACCAAGGTATATAAATCTCTCATTGTGTACGTCTAGTTTGGTGGTATGTGAAATCTTAACAATGTTCAAGCCTAGTTCAACCACGATGAGAAAGAGGTGCTTTTTTTAGGTACTACTCGGCCGATCGAAATGCTTAAAGAGCGCTTCTTATGTCTTGCTCGCAGATGAAACCAAAGCAAAGTGGTTCAAGCGGGACTTATAAGCAATATGTCTCAATATGTGATTGGAACACATTGACTGACGAGAAGAATTTCACCCATTCAGCAGCACCTTCGTGATTGTCAAAAGGACTTTTATCAAGGCGCGGAAATGAATTTAGAAATATTAATATTTGTCACAATTCAACCAATTCCACTCATTCCGTCGCCATGACCTGCATGTAGATAGGAATACCCTACGGACCATTGCGGTCTGCGATGGGGTATCTGGTAAAACATCGAGTGTGAAGTTATGTGAAATTGGCGAAGGAAAAAGTAGTCGGTGATAAAGTGTAGACCGAAAAACGGCCAAGTCGAACATGCTTCTCATTCTGAAGTCCCTGGTGTGTGCCAGGTTCGCAAAGCCAACCAGCTCAAGTAAACTCCCATACGCCTCTCACACCGCTCTACCGATACGTGATCTTCTCCGGCATCATTGGCACGTCATCAGGCCCCACAGATAGTTCAGATCTCTGCGTGTCCAGCCTCTCCACCTCGACGTGTCCCTCGGGCCCTGAATCTACCCTTCTCTTTCCCCTCGCCGCTGTCTTTGCGATAGCTTCCTGCCGCCTCTGCATCTCGACCTTTTCGACTACCTTGCGACAAATATCGCGATGCGCCTGCTCCATCTTGCCCTTGACAAAGGGCATCATCCACCATGCACAGGTGACCTCAACATCCTCGACTAGCACCCACTCGGCGTCGCCAACGCCCATGCCCTCGCCTTCCACCTCTGCCGCCGCACCCCCCCTGACGACCCTGAACTCGGCGCGTACTATCACGCCCGACGCGTCTGCGCGCGTCTTTATGCCTTGCGGTGTGTCCTGGAAGCACGAGGGGAAGGTGATGTACTTCCTACCCCACTCGCCCATGCCAGGGAGCAGCGTTATACATTCTTTGACGGAGTATGTGGTGACGGGGTGCAGATCGGTGGGGAACCAGTACGTGTCTTTGAGTGTGTCGAGGTGCGTGTTGGGCAGCTTCTCGTGGCCTGTTGTGAGGGCTTGCAGGGTAAGCGCGGTGGTGTGGTCATGCAGCGCGGCGATTATTAACGATGGGGAGAGATGTGCGGGGATTGACGCGGCGGTGTGAAGATTGTGTTTCGCGCTCATCCTTTGAATATTAACCAAGTACACTGTGTGTGCCTATTCAAAACAGAGGCAACTGGAATAACCAACATGGGGGCAGATCTATTTCCAGCCACTGTTAGCTGATCGCCGTCAAATTACGCCTTGCTGAATGCAGCTTAGCGCGCCTGTCATCTTCCATCGACCTTTCCCCGTGCTCCACCCCCACACCCTTCCTTCTTCGTCCCAGTCTTCTTCCAGACAAACAGTTCTCCTCGCTGTCACATCAGCCTGGCGTGTGTCCTATCACATACTCTTTTTACTTCTCACACAGCATCTCCTGCCTCTCAGGCGGTATCTCCTCAACTACAACCACAGCTACTGCTAACGTGAAGGGATCACCCTTGGTCCAATCTTTATACTGGCCTGCAGTCTCTGGAAAGAAGTTTCTGTTCTCCGCTAGGACGTCTCGGTACTGCTCCACTGGCCCTTTTCCTCGCTGAGGTAGCTTGTCCTCCTTCATCACCGCCAGTGACGGATACAAGCAAAGCGTCGTTCGAAATCGCGAAGCATCCTCGGCGCTGATCATCTGATGATGTCTGTCGGCATTCACAGCTTTCATGTGTCTCGGGTCAAATGGCGTTCCAGGTGGAATGTAAGCGAGTTTATAGATCTCGTTGCCGACAAGCAGATCGAGCTTGATCTTCATCAAAACCCTCAGGAGCTTACTTAGGTTTTCGAATGTTTCGTTGTCGTCTGCCGGAAAATATCCAGAAAACTTGTTCAGGATATGTTGAGTTTGTTTAGCTGCTATCGCTGGGAGCTCTCGAGTTTTGAAATACTCATCACTCGTTCGCCGTATGATGGACAGACAATCGTGGGTTCTCAACTCATCGAGACCGCCTAGATGAAGACATTAGGTACAGCTTGTAAGTACAGTGCTCAGCGCGACCTACCGTAGTGGGCAATCGATTCCCACAATTGATCCAGCTTCTGAGACCCCATACCCTTGGTATGGAAACTTGTCGTGAAGCACCACTCGAGTATGTCCGCGATCATCAAACCCTCGATAATCCGGTGATCGGAAGGAACAGATGAGACCCCTTGGAAACATTGCGAGACCTTCAAAGGTTGGGTCTCTCCGGACATGGGTAGTCCACACATTCGATGCAGCAATGAGCCAAACGGAGTCAGAGTGTCTGGAACGGGGTCCGTCCGGAAACCCGTCTTTCTCAGAGCAGTTGAGCTCATGACGCAAAAGTCATTCCAGATTTGTTCCCAATCGCCCCGCAAGCCGTGCAGTTCAAGTTCGACGGGCCATCTCTCCGTCACGCGCTTCAAATAATTGCCGCCTGTCACCTGCAACCATGCTTTCTTCTGCCAGGCTCCAAACTGTTTCCAGTCCTCAGTGTCTTCTTCAAGAAGCTTTTTCTTTTCATCAAATTCTCTTCGAAGATTATCTGTCGCTATCCGGTGGGTGTCCTCCTGGTCCTTCAGAGATTGCTTGAGAGAATCGATTTGTTGCTGACGCAGATGTTCGTTTTCAATAGCGTGTTTCTTCAGCACTTCGATCTCTTTTCGAAGTATATCGCCGATCTCGCGATGTTGTTCTTGAATCGCATCCATCTCGTCTTTCTGCAGTGCCTTGGTCTCTTTGAACTTTTTCTTCTCGTCTGCTAATTCCTTCGCGAGGATTTCGTTCTTTCTAGAGAGGGCCTGCTGTGCCGCTGCCACTTGTGTTTTGACATAGTATCGCGCTGCGCTCTTGGCCTCGTCAAGTTCAGCTTGCCGGTTGCCAAGGTCGCGAAACAGTTGTCGATTTTCTGCGATATGCCGCACATGACTCAATTCCAGCTCATCTTCGAGCTCTTCGACCCGCTTTTGCAAAGTCGTTACCGTCGCCTCAAGTTTTCTTGTATCTCCACTCGGCTGTATTTCTTGACTAATCATAGCCATCTCGTGTGGCGGGAACGTGGACGCGACTGGGGCAGCATCATCTTCTGCTGGTGTACAAGGGGTTGGTTCGGCCGTTGTTTCCTTGTTCTGCTCATTTGGTCGTCTGTCGTCTACTTTCTCACTACGGTCGTGCGTTTGTTGTTTTTCGCATTCTGGACACATCCAGTCACCGATGGGCGCTTCTCTAACACCTACACATTTCCAATGGAACCAGTGGTACCGACAGGTAGCGTTGTCGCAGGCAATCATATAGTCGTCACTATCCTCGGACGCTTGTTGACAGGAACAGTACTTTGTCCCGTCCACTTGTGCTTCGTTGTCTTTGGCAGTAGCAGCGTCGGCAACTTCAGCTGTTTCGTCACGTCTGGTCTGTGTCCATGTCAGTACACTTGTACTTTTGCCGCTTGTCTAGTGTCTGATGCGCAAGAACGTACTGCCTGCGAAAGGTCGTTGTCCCCTATCGTTGTATCCGAATACTCATCTTGACTCTTAGGACGATTGGTGTTTCGATGTCGATCTCCAACTCTAGGGCGTTTCTTGGGGATGTTCTCGGTAGCCTCAGGGCTCATCGCGCGCTTCTTAGAGGTCGTCCGTGCCTGCTTTTGCGCTCGGTCAGCTACCAGTCGTGGCGTGTGCGAATCAGGGTAATTGACAGCAATAACACTCACAGCATCGGCCACTTCCTTTGTTCTATCAACAGATTCCTCTTCTCCTTCTTCTTCTTCTTCTTCCTCCTCTTTCTCTTCTTCTTCTTCATTCTGTTCGGCTTGGAACTGCCTGTCTGAATCAACTCTTGCCCGCGCAGCTGCAACAGCGGCCCTCATGTTCTCAGAGAGCCCAAGGCAAGCAGAACCTTCGGAGATGACCTTGTCTGGTCGCAAAACGTTCGTCGTATCCGGAGAGAATGCGACGCAAATCATTCCAATTTGGCGGCGGACAGCTCCCCAATTCCGGCTGTAATTCTGCTTCGTCATTAAGCCTACATAACGCTCCAAATACTCTCACCTTTACCTGCTAAAATCTCACCTAAAGTTAATGAAAGAGGTATATAGGTCATGTATGTCTTTCCATCACATACAAACGAGAGCTCCTGCATCGTCAGCTGAAGGCCAGCTAATAACAACACTGACAATAACACAGAAGGTGTAAAAACGGAGGCATTGCCCAACATGTCTTCATATCAGAGCTATGTCCCTCCCAATGCAACGTCTTCTCGCCGCGCGGGCCCCAAGGGAGCGACCCCCATCATTGGAGTGGATTTCGGTACCTCCACGGCCGCCAGCGCAGTTGTGGTTCGACATGAAGGGCAAGATCCTACCACCATAGACTTTCACAACGTTATTCCGATCGACGGCTGGCCTTGCGACCCTCTTGGTAACAGATCCATGTCTGTGCGTACTATGCTCTACTTTCAGCCGGGTGTGCCCTTTGATGAACCGATCTGTGGCTACAAAGTAGCGGATCATATCAGGACGGGTGATCGAGTGATTTTGGAAACCCAACGTCGCGTCTTCGATAACATCAAGATGATGCTAAACAGGAGCTCGGAAGGTACAATGATCAATGATCGCCTTCAGTCCAATTTCGAGGATCTGCAGAAAGCTGGCTTTGATGACGAATGGGATGCTATCATTGTCAGATTTCTTGTGTTCTTCTTGGAACACGTAAAGCATAAGCTCCACGGCCTTATCGACGTCACGACCAAACCCGAGTTTGCCATTTCCATGCCTACTGACTGGGGTATCGAGGCTGATCGGATCATGTGCAGTTGCTTGGCAGCAGCTGTTCGCAAAGTGTGGCCTCTCTATGGCAGCGACGAAGCCGTGAACATCTTCACCGTATCAGAACCAGACGCGCAAGCCACTTATACGCTGGCTTCGACAGGCTCTTGGCGCAACCACTATGTCCGAGTGGAGGTTTGTTGTCGCTTACAAATCTCTAAATCTCATCTCACTCACTAAACACCAGGTGGACCAGGTAGTCCTGATTGGCGATGCTGGTGGAGGGACTGTTGAAGCGAACTGTTACCAAATGACCAACGACAACCCCTGCCGCTTCCAGGAACTATGCAGAACTACTGGTATGACAGCGTCATCTACATATTTGAAAACCAAGCTTACTCCTGGCAGCGGATACTTGCGGTTCAGCCCTGCTCGATGAAGATTTTCGAGAACTCATAATACGAAAGACTCATGACTTGGTGGATGAGATCTTCCCCAACTCAAGCGCGTGGTATGCACCTGGAACTATTCAGAGGTTGGTTGAAAACTTTGAGAGCTCAGTGAAGCGAAGAATCGACTTTCGGGATGTGGAATCAAGTAATTTCAACTTCGAAATCCTCATACGACGTTCAATCGACTCCGGCTTCAACCCTTACACCCTCACGATCAACGAGCCAGAGTGGCGCGCTCTATTTGCGCCACGAATGCAACAAATCGTGGCAGTCTTGCAGAAGCAATACGACCAATGCAGGACTAAAAACATCAATATCGACACCATTATCATGTCTGGAGAATACTCGCAAAACGCAGAGGTTCGCCGTGCTGTGTTGTCGTGGATGGACGGGATTTGGCCAGACGAGCAACCCAAATTGGCCTTTACGAACGAACGTACTGCTGCAGCTGTTGCCATTGGCGCACTATTCCGTGCCCTCGACCGAAGCAACGGTCCAGGTCGTTTTCTTCGTGCTGGCTTCGGCATTGTGCGTAGTATTCCGGCGCCGGATGATGATCCACACGAAAGATGCTACCCCAAAGATCACCCTGACTTCAAGTTCTTCAGTCCCAGCAACAACATTCAGCTTAAGAAAGGCAAGGACGGTCTCTGGTACTCCTTCGGCACGATAGCCTGGGTGTTGCCCAAGGACACGCCTCTCCCCTCAAGCGCAAGGTTCGGCCCCTATCCTTCCAAGCACGTCTTCAACACCTTGGGCGAGGACTGGAAGTTCACAGAAACGCTGTACACAACTGCAAGCGTTTTAGAGAGCAACTGGCCCTTCGATCACAAGAACAACGAGCAGGCCAAGTGGTACTGCGATCTAGAAGTCACAATCAACTTTCTCAAACAGTATTCCGACAAGTTTGAAGTTGAGGGTCGGTACGAAATTGACATGGATATATACTTTACCATTGGCGCGGAATTCCATCACCAACTTACTTTCGAAATGGGCTGTGATCGATACGACTTGCCACCTAATTTGATCAAAGAGAAACAACATGTCATGCTCCAGCCCTTCTTCCAGCACTCGACGAATTAGCCACTGCTGAACTGGGTAGTGAGGGTTGTGGGAATACGGGGGTTGTGGCTGCATTGGTCAGTAGCATTGGTCAGTACGATGTTTATGAGCATCTTAGCGTGTAGGTCTGAAACGATATTTTGATGTCTGTGGGGTCTTGGATAGAGGTGTTCTGGAAGAAATGAGTTGCTTAGGTGATGACTCAGGAGCGCATTCTTCTCTCGACGCAACGATGCAGCATGTCGCTTTTCTACTGCAGGAGTGATATTCTGAATTAGAGATTCTGGAATCGCGCTTTGGTTTCTTTGCTCACGAATAATAATGAATGATGTTACATTACTCATCTTCGCTTTCTCAGTCCACCAAGTAATAAATCAACGCCGAACACACAGATCGCTTCGAATGACCCATTTCTCGCCCTGCACTACCTCGCGCCCCTCATGCAGCATGCAGTCCGCGCCATGGCGGTGCAGCAGCGCAAGACCAGTCTCAAGCTCAACGACGAACGGCTCAGGCAATGGGTCCTTGCTCTTCTTCTTAGGCGGGTCAGGGTAGAAGACGGTTTCCCCGCCAATACATCCCGTAGCCGGAGAAGTGAGATAGAGCAGCAGAGTCCATGTGGTACGTGCAGGAACTGGCGGGGAACCAGGCACCGTCACGTTGTTGGAATCGTCGTCTGGGGGCTGTTAGCTCGATCGAAGCGTTTGAAGCAGTAGATGTGGGGCGTGTTTGATGTACAACGAACTCACAATGCTGGTCGAAGAACTGGCCCTTTGAGTAGCGGTAGATGCGGATGTTTGGATTCAGCCCAATGACTTCACCGCCCCAGAGCTCTCGCCGCTGGGCTGCTGTTAGGTCGAGACCCCCTTCTGCGGCGTCACTGAGGACGAGGTTCTTCAGGGCTGTCTCGCTCCATAGTCTCTCTGCGAATGCTGGGTCGTCGATTTGGAAGCGGTCGTTCACGCGCACGGCGTCGCCCTTTTTGGGCTTGCCGGGCGTCGTGGTCAATGGCAGGGAGGAGAGGAAGGAAACGTAGGTCTTGCATAATGTGGCTGTCCACAGGCTGGGGATTGTCACGATTTGACGTGGTACCACTTCGGTGAGGGAGAGGTCAGACTCTGGGACGAGAGGCGTGAAGGCGGGCCAATTGGGCGGCTGCTTCACAGGCGGCGGGAGTGCCTCTTTGGCCTTTTTCTTGGGAGGCATATCTTTGGCTATGATTCACGATGTCTGGCTGCTGGTCTGGTTGGTAGGGGTCCAGGCGGGGATGGTTGAGGGGACGGTCAATTCTGGTTCCCTTGATCTGGCTCTGAGCACTACTAAGGGCCTTCTGGTCCTGCTCTTGCAGTCACTCTCTCGCATTCACTCTTTTCTGCTAGAAACCAGCTACCAACCACAATGGCGACGACTGCTCGCCCCCTCGACGGGTCGCGTGAGGACGTATACGCATACGACTACACGGCGGCCGCAAACGACCGTGCTCGCATCGAGGCGACGATCCAGGCGGCCAGGGCGTGGTGCAGTTCGGGCCAAGACGGGCGTGCAGCAGAAACAAGGCGCGGCGAATTAGCGCCTCCAGTCTCTAACGCCAACGGGCCCTCGCTCTCTCCCGCCCTCGCTCTCATCAGTCGGCCTGCACCTGAAAATGGCGGCAGGATGGCCAGTGTAGCTTCTCGCGACCCTCGTCCCGCCGTCTTCCACGATGTCGACGCTCCTGCCGCGAGCCATGACGCCTTCGCACCAAGCGCGCCTCCCGACATGGAAGTCGCGACCGCCGCCGCTCCGCATGCGCAAATGCCGCCCGCCGCTGCCCACCTCGCCGCCGCCGACGCAGCCCTGAAGCTGGACACGCCCATGGACGACCCGCACGACGCCCTGCCGGCGCTGGCTGCCCCGATCGCGTTCCCGCCGCCGCTGCACGGCTTCGGCGACCTGCTGCCCATGGACGTCGACTTCCCGCCGCCCAACGAGGAGCGCCTCACGGCCTTTGCGCGCCTGCGCTTCGACGACGGCTCCTACTACATGCACACGTACCAGATCATCCTGGGCCGCGACATCACCCTCGCCCACAAGGACATGAAGCGCCTGGTCCGCGTCGACCAGCTCAAGGCCGACGGCCAGCCCCAGGCCGCCGAGGAGCTGCTGCACGGCCGCAAGAGGAAGCGCGCCCGCCGCGGCGCCCGCAGCGTCATCAGCGAAAAGGGCGGCATCGTCAGCGCCCCCATCGACGCCATGCCCAAGGCCTACCAGCAGCGCCGCCAGAGCAACGCCTCGCAGTCGCTCAGCTCCGCCTCCCACCCCACGGCCGACTCGGGCGAGGAGAAGCCGCCCGACAGCGCGCCCCAGGACCTCATCATGCAGGCCTTCCCCGAGGTCCCCGCCCAGTTCGACGGCCACGTGCCCGAGGACCCCAACGACTGCCCCCTCGTGCCCATCCACCCCCAGAATATCACCTCCAAGACGGGCAAGGCCGGCCCCAAGGGCATCTCGCGCGAGCACGCCAGGATCTTCTACGACTTCGACGAGGGCCAGTTCTGCATCGAGGTGCTGGGGTCGAATGGCCTGCACCATGAGGGCGACTTCTACCCCCAAGGCGAGGTCCTGCCCCTGGACCACGGCGACCACCTCACCATCGGCGCCGTCAACATGCAGTTCTATCTCCCCGACGTCGCCCTGACAGAGGAACAGCGCCATCGCCAGGAGTCTGGTTCGCGCCCCATGAGTTTCTCGTTTGAGAATGGCCACGGCGAGCTGCAGAGCGAGGAGCAGATGAGCTCTGAGAGTGAAGGTGGACTCAGCATCAATCCACGCCACATGTATCACGTGCCCATTGACAGTGACATGGAATCCGAGGACGCAGACGACGACGACGATGATGACATGGACGAGTATGAAGAGCCCGCCCCACGCGCACGACCGAAGCAGAGCCTCAAGATCAAGCTCAAGACTTCTCTTCCGCCTCCGCCGCTGAAAGTCGCCAAGAAGCCGCTCAAGCGCAAGTACAGAGAGCCCACGCCAGAGGAGCCGCCCGCGAAGAAGGTCAAACAGAAGTTCAAGCCGACGTTCAAGCCAAAGTTCCAAACGGCTGGTAGGGATCCGGTCCGCGAGTCGAAGACGTCCAAGGAGCCAAAGGTTTCGAGAGAGCTCAAGGAGTCGAAGGAGACGAAGGATCTCGAGAAGTCCAAAGAGGCCAAGGAGCTCAAGGAAATCAAGGAGCCCAAGGAAAAGAGCAAGGCGTCCACGAAAGCACCTGCAAAGGCACCCTCGAAGACGCCAGTTCCTGACGAGGTGGCTGTGGAAGAGTCTGTGACAGCCATACCCACCATAGAGGTCCCCGTCAAGGAAAAGGTCGAGGCAACCAAGTCTGTCCCGACCGACAGTCCGCCTCTCTTGCGCAAGCCGTTTGAAGGGGAGATCGAGGCCGGTGGCGAGATCGAAGGCCTGATCACCGAGGAGATGGCCAGACAGCACAATCTTCCATCCAGCCTCATTGGTCACGTTGTTGAAAAGCGCAAGGGCCCTGGTAGACCACCAAAGGACGGCATCATGTCCAAGCGGCAGAGGTCTCAGCTCATCAAGCAGGCCAAGGAGATTGAGAAGGCTAAAGCGGCTGGCATTGATCCTGCTGATATCCCTGCGCCAACGATGAAACCCAAGGTCATGAAGCGCAAGGAGTCTAACGCTGCTGACGGCGACGATGATGATGCTCGAGACACCACTGAGAAGGGCGACGGCACCATGTCTGGCGACAAGAAACTAGCCAAGCCTGTTAGACCTCCACGTACGCCCTCCCCTGAGATGCGCATGGAAGACTACACAGAAGAACAACTGCAACGCCCGTCAGCAAACTACGTCGTCCTCATCCACGAGGCCATCACATCCGCCCCTAACGGCCAGATGAATCTTCAGCAGATCTACAACTACATCGAGAAGAAGTACCCATGGTACAAGTTCAAGACGACGACTAGTGGCTGGCAGTCGAGTGTGCGACATAATCTCGGTCAACACGACGCTTTCATGAAAGGAGACAAAGAAGGCAAAGGGTTCAATTGGAGAATTAACCCGGACGTGTCAATCGAGAAAGAGCGCAGGAAGAGGCAGGTTAGTCCCCCGGTCAATCCAGCGCGAGGGCAGACGTACTATCCGCCAAATGGTTATCCGCCTTACGGTCAACCCGGCTATCCGCCTTACCATCCGGGCATGCCTGCTCATGCCATGCCGCAAGCTGCTCCAAGACTGCCGCCAAGTCTGGTCAACTCGCAGCCTCGTCTTCCACCCAGCATGGCGCGAGATGCAAATGCTACTGCGCCTGCAGCACCGCAGAGCGCGCCTCGTCCATCGCCATATGCTTCACCCTGGGCTGGTGGAAACGCAGCTGGTAGTCCCACTGCTCCCAACCCACCACACCCCTATCCACAACCTGGGGCCCAGCCACCGTCAGCCAGCGCGGCGCCTACACCCAACGGCCCGTACGGCGTGCTGTATCCAACAAGTGCACCACCACAACACAGTACTCACAGCTCGGCAAGTCCATATGGCAGCCAGTACGCGACGACGAACGCGAGCCCCTACGCTCAACCTCCGCCCCGACCCTACGCCCCCTACGCCCCACCCGGCCAACAATCAACAGGCCCGCACTCGCAGTACCCAGCCCCCTACCCCGCACAGCAGCCCTACGCGCCACCCAACCCCATCTCACCCGACCAATTCGACCTCCACCCCTCGGGCCGCTACCCGCGCAACTGCAGCCCGGACCTGATCCGCCAACTCGAAGCTTTCAGGGGCGTCTACCTCAAAACGCGCATCGAAGAAGGCGAGCCCACGAAAGTCGACAACGCAATCCGCGCCTACGTAGACCAAACCGTCCCCGAAGCAAGCCTCACGGATTCGGAAAAGGCGCTCCTCAGAGCTATCAAGAGTATCGAGGGCATTGATAAACTGCGCCCCGTCGCCGTGGTCGTCGTGCAGAAGAGCGCACCCCCTGCTACACCCGCGACGAGCACGAGTGCCGCGGAGCTGGTCGCTGGCGCTGCCGCGAATACGGTTGGTGAGTCGCAGATGCAGTTGCAGGGGAAGCGCGAGACGCCCGCTGCGGGCGCGGAGCCGCATAGGTTCACGCCCCGTATGACGGGCCAGCATAGTCCGAGTGTTGAGCCGCTTACGCCTGCGTCGGGTTCGCCGCTGAATGGCGCAAGGCCGCTGCCTGATGCTGGGAATAAAGCGGCGTAGTGTCTGTCCATCTTTCCACCGGCGTTGGGCTTTGTTCCATGGTGTTTTCTTCTCGGTTCGTGACAAAAGCGGTGTTTGGGGTGTTTTATGACGTCTTTTCTGCTTCTCTTTCGGCGCGCGCGGCAATGGGGAATTATACCTTTCATGGCACTGGCACTGGCACTGGCATCGGCGCTGCTGGGAATCTGAACGCTTGGTGAAGTGGTGCTGCGATTGATACCCTTCCCTTCCCCCCCGTCGCGGCTTTTTTTTCGGCGGCGTTTTATGTGGCTGAACTGGCATGGATTGGGTGGGAATTAAAAGTGTGTTTGTGTTTGTGTTTGTGTCTTCTTTCGGAGGTGGGTTTCTGCGAATCGATGGTATGATGGCTGGATTGATGGGGTTCGTGGGATGGGGATGGAGGTGTGAAGTGGTATGATGGAAATGCAGATTAAGGATAACGAAGAGGATATCATAGTATAACGTCCTTACATATGTATATGTATACATGTATGTAGAATAGCCTAACAATGAAGTACAAGTTTACATGTCAACAGCATAGTTCATCTTCTGATTTGTTCTCATCCATGTTTACGAAGCCTCAAGGGGTTTGTGAGATGGCAGGTGACAGATGGCAAATGGAACACCAGACACAAATGGGAAATGAAGAGGAGATGGAAGTAGTGTTTATAAATTTCCGCAAGGTATATCATCCAATTCATCGTAGAACGCAGCAACCGTCATGTCTCTTTGCGCAGTGGGCCTTCCAATCCAAGCCTCCAAATACCCCGTCAGTAAATAAAATGTGATTGAGAGAAACAAAAAAGAATCGCCCAAAACACCATTCTGTCTCCGTCAAAGTCGCCAAACGCCAGTCCCGTCTTCCGTTGTATCCGCGTCGACCCAACGTTCTTCATCTAAACAGTCACATCCCTTCCATTCAGAGAGCCTCACATGGCCATCTCAGCCTGCAGTTTCCGCAGCTCTTCCTCTTCGTCGTCTGCTTCCTCGACGCGCTGCGGCGCCTTGCCCTTGACTTCGGACAAGGGCGCTTGTGGTAGTCTCCCGACTCTGTCGCCAACGGGGACGTTTCCAGTTTTCAGCATGTCTTCGTCAAGCTTCTCTTGTTGGAGTTCAGCGAGTTCCTCGTCGAGTTCGTCTTCGTCGATGCCGGTAGATGTTACGCCCGAGGTGATGGCCTCGCCGATTTCCTCGCCGATGGCGTGTTGCTCGCGGAGTTCTTCCCTGGAGAGGTGGTTAGCATCGCGGGAGCAAAGAGGTTAGTATGTGTGGGTACTTACATGACGTTGTCGACCTTGTCGATTGTCAGGCCGGCGTGTATCTGCTTCATTGCTGAGCCGGCGTTCTTCATCGCGTCGAGTGTCTCCTTGTTGATATTCGCTGTTTCGATCGAGTAGATTTCGCGCTCGAGGGTCATGATTTGGGAGCTCGTTTGCTCCAAGGAGTGCTCGAACTGCTTCTTCCGCCGCAGCGCCGACTTCGCCGCTGTTCATGTATGAGTGCATGGTCATTGCGAGGTTGTGAAGGTGGCTGACATACCGCTCTTGTTGGTGGACACGTATTTCCGAGCCAGCGTGTCTTGCTCGTCCATCTGGTTCTGCAGGTGCTTTTCCCGCTTGTTCAGCATTTCAAGCTGGCCACGCAACTGCAGGATCGCTTTCTTGGGCGCTTCCTTCTTGGCTTGGCCACCGCCAAACCACCCAAGACCCCAGCCGGACATGATGGCAGTGATGTCTGGCGCAGCACAGTTAGCCTTGCAAAAGTGGTCAAGGTGGTATTGGTGGTGAAGAGGTCAAGGGTTATCGCAGGCAACCTGAATGCGCCATGCAGCGGGAGGGTGGGGTGTCTTGCGATAACGGGGAGATGGTCACGTACATTTCGCGAGCGCAGAGGGGAAAAGTGAGGTGGAAGGCTCGAGGTTGTCGCGGCGGATTTGGACGGCGGAGTAGTCGTTGACGGGTGTTGAAGGTTGCCTGGGAGTGGTCAGTGGTCGACCATGCATCGAGGCTATGATGTCGGCGAGCGCTAGTGCGGTGGCACGTGAACCATCTTGGCACCGCTTTCCCCCGGATCGTCCCAAGCTTCAACACCAAGCTCTGTCGCCATGTCTGGCCCTGTTCCGTCGAGTCTCGTGCTGCTAAGCGACCTGAGGAAATGCGCGCCAGGCACAAAAGTTCGCTTTCTCGGCTGGTACTGTCTTCGATGCGACAGCTGAGCTGAGCTGAATATGTGGCAGCATCGATGAATACGTCGTCACGACTGGGACTTTGCGCTTAAAACACAACTATCCGCCTGCTAGTCAGCCGACTGTCGCCAATGTCGATATTGAGCATGTGCTCGAGCGGATAAAACCTCACGAGATGGACGTTGGCACCTGGATCAACATCATCGGCTACGTCGAGCGACCAAAGGAAAAGAAGGGTGTTTTCGTGCAAGCTATTGCCGTTTGGGATGCTGGAAACGTTGACTTGGAATTGTATCAGAAGGCTGTTGATAAAAGGCATGAGGTTGGTTGACGTTGGCTTGGGTAACGTGATCTAGATCAACGATACCCGTGACTTTGCGAGTGCTGCAAGTTGTTCGCCGGAAGAGCACAAATTATGATACTTCTGGACATCCGGCTGGCGATGCCTCTCGCATCGGAAACTGCTGTCGCGCGACTCCAAGCTGACGCGTCTCGAAAGAACACACTGACGATCTCAGGACAACAGGGTCGAACGTCTCTTCAGTCCTGCATCTCCTTCCCAACATATCAGTATACTGTACATTCTCATGTATCTCCGTCATAGCTTTCATTGAGGTGTGAATGTTGTTCTGCAGATAAAGTCAATCATCCAAGCTAGTTTAAGACGAGGTCAATAGGTTGCTGCTGCAATTTTGAAGCGCCTCAAGATGGACTTCGAGGCCAATACTACAGTGTTTAATGCCTAGAAATTCTTCCGTCTCACTGAACACTAGCCAGCGATTCTTTTGTTATCTCGAAAACATTCAAATTCAATCCTATGTCCTTCTCGTTTGAGCCGGGTAGTCTCACGCTCTTAACGGTTCATCACACGTTTCACATCTGCGGGCTAACGGACGACGTCTAGTCTGAGAACACGATGTTCTAGCTCCCGTTTCAGAACGTTTGCTTCAGTTGCCAACTTCTCTCCGAACTGGTTGCAATTGTTTGATGGTCCGCGCGACTTAACATGTACGAGGGGTGTCAAACGCGTTGGGTCACAAGAACCGCTATGTGAAGGAATATCTTTTGACTTCGCAAGTACTTGGGAAGCCAGAGCCGCCGTTGCCTTGTTCTCTAGCTGTGCTCTCATTCTCTTCAATCATCTCATCTTACTCGAAATACCGACCTGGCGTCGTTTGTTAATACTTCAAAACTATGGCACCACATGAATACGCAGAGGTACGGCTTGGTGAACCACACTACGCCCACTCATCGTCATCAACAGAGGTCGAGTCTCTGGTGGGAAGGGACAAAGAATGGTCAACACACGAGTACCATAACAAAAGAAACATTATATGTCCACCTCTTCTAGGAGCATTGCGATGGGTTCTCGTGATCGGACTACAACTCATCATCATCGGTCTGTTAGCGAAAGAGCAAGGACTTCTCAAAGACTCGAAATGGTGGAGGAGCAGCACAACAAGCGCAAACGAAGTCGGTGGTGACATTACGGGCTGGGGACCACACAGTAAGTATCGAACATCACGCATCTCGTCAAAACGATCAGACCTTAACACGTCTCAGTCCCAACTCAGATCACAAAATTCCAAATCAACCAAACTTTCGCACCCTCCAACACATCCGAATTCTTCAAGCCCGAAACGCTCCAAGCCTGGAACGAGCTCATGCCCGGTACATTCCTCCCTCTCTCCCCACCCAATACGAACAATCACTAACCTACCAACCTCACAGTCGGCATGGGCTTCCAGCAGATCCCCGACCCATCCACGTACCACGACCTCCCCACGCCCATAATCTGGCCCAACGCCACCGTCTACACAACCTCCATGACGCACCAGCTCCACTGCCTCTACGCAGTCGTGCAAGTCTACAGCGCCATGAAGTCCGACCACGCCCTCGAAGAAGACCACCACTGGCACATGATACACTGCTTCGATTACATGCGGCAGGCGATCATGTGCAGTGCGGATATGGCGCTCGAGGGCCTGGAGACGACGTTCCCGGATCATAATGGTGGGAGTGATGGGTGGGACTCTAAGCATGTGTGTCGGGATTATAGTAAGGTCAGGGAGAGGTTGGAGAGCGTTAGGGCGTATGATGATCAGGAGATATTCTGAGGCTGTGGATGGCATGTTGGGGTTATCTGGAACGTATAGCTTAGATGAGCCTGGTCTACGGGTTTTGGAGGAGTTCATTTCGCTGTCGCAAGGTGGACAATCATGCCGTCAAGATCATGGATGCTGGGTAAGAGGATACATGTTCAGTGCTTCGAGTAAGTACTTTAGGCAGGTAGTGTTATTATGGTTAAACTCCTTCACTTCAAAACATCTTTCAGAGACTGGACTCTTATGTTGTTGTCACATTGTCGAGTAAAATCCAATGAATACGCGTACAATTGAGGTCTCCCTCCCTGTATGTTCCAGCTGTGGGAACCTACGACTTTGTTCTCAAATGAAGTTCTCTTAGTTTGAATTCTCAGAATTGTTTGGAGATTAGATGGAAATTAGAGGAGATTGAGGCGTGTCGCCAATAGGATATATTTTACCAAATTTATTTCAATCTAGACATGGAGTATAAAAGTATGTTGGAACTCTCCAATGCTTCAAAGGTTGGCAATACGAATTGTTACCAGAACACCGACCCCAAGATCTTTGGTTATTTGTTAAATTGATACTTACGAGATATACCATTTTCACGAGACTAGCAGCTTCGTATTCACTCTTTTTACAACACCCATTACCTACCCTGAATAAATACCACTGGTCGTTCTCAACCCCTTTTCTCCAACCCGTCACGATATTTACTTGCCCACTCACCCACTAAGCCTCTGTAATCTTCCGGTCCATATGGTTCCGTCATCTCCGCCAACGCAGTCTTCTTCCTATGACTCTCCAACCCAACATCTTTCAACAACATATCCACATATGGCACCGCATCGAAGACAAAATCTGGCAACCTATCTCCATACCCGCACGGGTACCTCCACTTGCCGAACCGCGAATGCAGTACCGTCTCCCAACGCGCCGTCGCCGGAGAAGCCAACCGCGCCAGCTTGCCGTCAAAGTACGCCGAAATCCAGAGCGCCTGTGTCTGTGCGCAGATTGATGTCGTAATCGTCGAGATCATGCCGGCGAATACGATGTTTCGATTCTGCAGGGTTGATGGCGGCGCGATGAATCGATGGAGAAGGAAAGGCTGGTTTGGCGTATCCTTCTTATCTTCACCCTGTTTGGGTCTGGCCGTGATTGGCTGATCTTTCAGACGAGGAAACTTTGCGAGGATGGCGGCATCTGCTTTTTTGACAAGCGGATCCGGCGTAGAAGAGTAGTGCGGCATACCGAGCTCAGCGAGAAGGCCAGCTGGGAGAAAGGTTATCGGCGGGCGTGACTTCCATCCTGTTGCACAGAAAAGAGCGTCCGTCTTGATGTGTTCTCCGTTCGATAGGTGGACTGTTTTCTCCGAGAGATGTGTGACGTCCGCCAAATGAATACGAATACTCCCGTTACGAATGAGTTCGAAAAAGTCCGTTGGGTAATTCAGAATGCTAAGCCCACTCCCTACCCAAAAGGCCGAGTTTCGCGGTTTCAACTTTTTCATCTCAGGATGCTTAGGGTCATTATACCCGTTCAATGTTACCACGTCGTCGCCCAAGACTCCCCAAAAGGTATCAACCATCTTCCGTCCCAGCCACGTACCATGAAGAAACCGTCTCGGAGACGCGTATCCATCTTCGTCGCCCCAGACACAAGGACTCATTAATTGTAAACATCTAGTATGGACAAGCTTTTCTAACCATTTCTTTAACGGTGTGACATATGCAGGAGCCATCCATACTGGCCCACGTCCGGAGTTACGAATGATCATATCCACGGGAATTCCAGCGGTAGCGTACGCATATGCCGCGTCCCACGCACTCTTTGCTCCACCCAACACCGCGACGCTTCGGGCCGTTTTGAGCGTACCTGCGTGAAGAGCGAAATCTTTGGAGTGGAAGATCGGGGAAGCGAAATCTCCCTGGCCAACGAATGTTGGTACGTGCGGCTCGGAAGTCAGACCCGTGGCGACGACAAGTCTCTTTGCATTTATCATCGCCTTTTCATTCGTCGTAGTATCGGTGATATTAAGGATCCAGCCCCCAACTTCGACCTTCTCCTCCACGGACTCCACACATGTGTTGAACCGAATGCGCTCGTACACACCAAACCGCTCAGCGTATGCAGTCAAATACTCATGTAGAACGGTGCCTGGGATGTGCTCGCCTGGTGAGACGCCGAAATTGGCAGTGTCCATGGGAAAGTCGCTGTATTCATATGTCCCCAGCATGTTGTTTGACCTCAGACCAGGATACAACCGGTCGCGGCCCCAGACGCCGCCCACGCTGGATGCATTGTCGAGGACAAGGATATCCTCATGTGGATGTAATTCGAGGTAAGTTTTGGCGGCAGCAAGGCCGTACCAGCCTGATGTCTGTGTTAGTGATTGTGCGTGACATGTGTGGCAAAGAAGACCAGGAATGAACAGCTAGTCGTCCGGTGAGAGAAAGCGTAAAGAAAGATTCGACATGTCATATCGTTCGCGCAACTCGGATGGACGTGCGAACGTGAAAGCTAGTTTAGGAGATCAACACGAAGAGAGTTTGACATGGTTGGACAATCTCCACTTAAACTCGGAAACCATCTAACGGACTTACCCGCTCCTACAACGACAAGATCAAACTCATTCATAGTTTTGCCCTGTTGCGAAACAAAAAAACTACTCGCAAGCATCGGAAAAAAGCAAAGGAGGGTACAGCTGGGGAAGCCGAGGGTACTGTCAATAAATCGGTAACCTCTGCGGCACAGCGATGGGCGGCTGCAGACAAGGTTCGAATCCTTCCCACATATTTCCAAGGAAAACCCTTGCCGATCATTTCAGTTGACAAACTCTCCCGCTCCGCGACAGTCTGTCGGGTCAACATTGATATCGAAAGGAAATGGTTCGATGAATTGGAAGTTAAGATCTGTAGGCCCTCGTATCCACACTCATGCGAGTTTTTTTTTGGAAGTCAGTCTCTGTAGATAGGCGACTCATGGCTGGCACGTTGGATTCAGACTCAGCGGTTCCACCCTTGAGCGAGACTTGAGTCAACCAAGCGCGGCATGTGGGCGAAGTGGCGATTGGCTGATATCTCAAGGGGGGATTGTAATAAGACTGGGATCACACACACGCGTCGTTTGGTTACCCCAGTGTGCGTACGAGGGCGCTCGTGTTCTCTGAACGCCAGGGCTATCCAGCCGACATATGGTTCACGCGTACCGAGTTTCGTACAAAAAAGCAAGTGAACAACATGCACATATAATTGAGGGGTTCCTTTCTGGACAGATGTAAGGCTGCACTTGGGATTGTAGGTGAGGAGCTTGAATGCTGTAGCTTACATACTGTAGTACAGTGCGGCGAAACCCTAGCATTCTGAAAACACGGGATCCCTTGTCCTTGGGTCATCCGATTTAGGTGTTGATGTTTTCTTTTTCTCCAAACTGTAAGATGTGGGTGTATTCGTAGATTTGGTCACCTCTCCGGCCCTCAATCGAGTTAGCACCGAGTTTCCCAAATCGATAGAAACGTGCATACAAAAAAGCACCTCGGTTTCATCATAGATAAAGGTGATCTGATATCCACATCTGTTTCAAATGCTTGCTTCCTCGAGTAAGTCGAAATCTCCAGTGGGGAAGAGCAATCGCAACACGTCCCAAGAGATTCGCCAACACTCGCCCAAGGCATCCACTGTTAAATTGGTTCAGATCCAATAGATCTACTAAGAATGAGACGGCCGATATCTCTATGTTGTCGACGTAATCGGCTTTCGGCATAGCGTTAGTAAATTGAACCAATAGTCGACACGAGCTGGTCCAAATCGTCCTGCTGGTCGCATCCCTCTTCCCAAAAAGCCCTGTAAAAGTATGCGTATTCATCCATATCGGGAGTTAGTCGAAGGATCTAGCCAAAACGCCACATAGTGATAGTCCTTGTTACTCAACATAAGAGAATAGACAAAATGTACCGCGCCGACGCTTCGTGGTTTTCCAGTCCTTAATCAAGCTCGAGGACCAAAGGAAAAGAGAAAGAGAAAGGAACACTATGGCGAGTTCGTTCACGATTGAGGCCTTCACCCTCTTGGGTGTGGCTATCTTGGTCATTGCGCTGAGAATCGTTTTGCGCACAAACTCAGTGGGCGTGAGAGGCCTCCAGATGGATGACTATCTCATGTGCGTTGTTGCTGTTCGTACCACCTCCTTCGTTTTGGTCCCTCATTCCAGCCTGTTGGATTTTAGCTTGAACAACTTGGCTGGTCAGTGTCTGACTGCAACACAGGTCATATATTCCTTCGAAACAATAGCAGCGCACGCAGTTGGCGCGAAATGGCTAGGCCTGGCGAACAATGGTATGACGGACGAGCAGCGGCAAATGCTAAAGCCGAGCTCAGAAGAGCACAGGCTGCGTATTGGCGGATCCAAGACTCAACTTGTGGGATGGAGCCTTTATTCGCTCACCTTGTGGGTATTGAAGATTTGCCTATGCCACTTCTACTCGAGGTTGACAACCGGACTCCGCCATCTTCATATGCGTGTGAAACTTGGCTATGTTCTGATCGCCTTAACATACGTTGCGACAGAACTATCCATTCTGCTCGGCTGTCATCCTTTCAGCCATAACTGGCAGATATATCCTGATCCTGGCAGTACGTTACCGTTAGATATCAGCCCATTATTTCCTACAGCACTTGCTGACAACTTCGTAGATCATTGCCAGCCCGCTATCTCGAGGATCGACCTCTATGTTACCGTTGTGCTGAACGTGCTAACGGACATATATCTGATGTCGATTCCAATGCCCATGATCTGGACGGTCCACCTAGAGATCAAGAGAAAATTGTCTTTGATCCTAGTCTTCGGTGGCGGTGTATTTGTTATGATGGCAGGAATACTGAGATGCGCATTGATCATCCGAGATCCCGTTCGAGGCGCTGAAGCTGCTGGTAGCTGGGCCTGTCGTGAGACCTTCGTCGCTGTCATCATAGGTAACATACCTATGATCTACCCGCTCTTTCGTCGCAGTATCTCCAAGGTATATTCCTCGGCAGGGCTCTCCCGTACTGGCCGCTCCTCGCACCGTCGAATCGAGGGCGACTCGCTACCTCTCAATTCCAGCTTGGTCAAGCCCGGACATCAAGGGAATGTTTGCAGTGTTCATGCCTTACCGACAACTTGGAACAACGACAGTGGCGAGTACGAGGAGTGGAACAGTGAAAGATCGTTACGCATGAACGCTACAGGCCCGAGTTTAGGCGGGATTCAGATCACGAAAGAGACGAGCGTGCGAGTAGAGAAGGCAATCAGGTAACGAAGACTAATACAAAACATATATGTGCACGACCTTTAGCTGATCTTCTGGGTGTTGATGTTCGAGGGAACGAAGCGATGCATCTTGCCAATTCTCCGCTTTCTACTTCCTCTCATGGTACCCTAAAGTCAACTTAGCGCCTGGGCATGCTCGAACAGATGTAAAGATTCATCACTGTTCTTTGCTTGATTTTTCTTGTTCTCCTTTCTCACCCACACGGCACCGCCACACCATCGAGATGCGACGTTCCAAGCGTACCGCAGCCACTAACCTGGTGCAGCCTCTAACGAAGAAAGCGCGTTCCTCTAGTCACCAACAAACCCCGAATCTTTCTTTCGATGACGCAATTCAAGATGATGAAATTGATATGTGTGTTGGAACCGAGGACTTGATTGTATAAATTGCTAATTCAATGGTAAGTACCGCTCGCAATGCACGAGAGTCGCCACTCCTCCGACTACCCGGCGAACTGAGGGTACGTATCTGGGAGATCGCTTTTGGACGACGAACTATTCATCCTCGAGGCAATGGGGAACAAAACTGGCAGAATCGTCCCCGCTCATCTCAAAAATGGGCTATCACCTCTTTCGACCCATGCGAGGAACTTTTTTCAGAGGGCGAGGTATACGAGATGAGCTTGCAAGGCGAAGCAGACGCCGCACCCAACCATTGGAAGCACCCGAAGATGAAAACATATTGGCCACCCCTCAAGCGCCACAATTTCGAGGGTCTCCACATCTGCGCTAGATGGCAACCCCGAGATCTGGTGCGTGACGAGTGCCTCGTACCGATCATCAGCAAACAAATATACAATGAGGCTATTCCGGCGGCTTGGAAGTCCATCACCTGGTCCTTCATGCATTCGGGCAACTTTGAACATTTTCTGAAGTCTCCGCATACCCGCTTGGATCTCGTCACTCAACTGAGCATCATTCAGTATAGCACGGGCGGCGGGGCATATCAAGATTCGTGGACAAAAGCCATGGCGTCCCGTGCTATGTCGGGATTGACTTCACTGCGGGGATTGAACTTCATCATTCGCAATCACACGTACCGTGACCCAAGCCATTTCCACCCAGGCTGTGACACACGTCCGTCAACTGTCGACATCATCAACAACCCTCCTTATTATTGCCAGCAGCTTCCATCCATTATACGCCGGTTCCAGCGCTTTCGTCTCGAGAAAAGCCGGACGACCGTGCTTGTGACAGGCAACTACTGGGAGCACCAAGCTGATGATATGAAGACGCCGTTCCCGGTGTCCCAACGGCGGGAGATGGCAGAAGCAGTGCGGACTCAACTTCTCCAGAGGAAAGAAGAGAAGGGGAAGACACAGCCAAAGTGGGCCAGGAATACAGAAGGCACCCGTCGATCTGCCCGTATTCTTGCACAGAAGGGAACGAGCACTTGACGGGAGGAATATGCCTGACGTACACACAAATGTTGAGACTGCGTAATGCATAATTCCATATAGACTCCAACACACAGTATTTACAGCCCTTAGGGCTCTTTGAATTGCATAGCTGAGGAATGTCAAAGAGGTGAATAGTGGAGAGCTTCCCCACGTCGACTGTGCCACCACCGCTGTGCCGCCAAGCAAATTACCCGCCGTCAGGTTTGACAACGTGGGACAACATAAACGCCGACAGCCCACATACGGCCTGTTAGGCCACGTAGAAGCCCTAATACTATTCTAGTCTACTGACGTTGCACCGCCTCTGTAAAGTTCTCTGACAGCAAGTTGGCATGAGCTTATATTTGCACTACCCACTGTAAACATCGATCCGAAAGGCTTTGGGATGCAGCAGAGAGGCGTATGCGGCAAAGTCGGACAAACAGATGTGAACTACGTGGCTTCACGCTGTAGCGTGTTGGACCTAATGGTGAGAGTGGAGGTCATGACGATAACTTCTTCCGAGTCTGCCTTGGTGGCTGCCTGGAAACACCAGCAATCACAGATGAGAGACGTAAGGCGAGACGAGTGGACAAGTGGAAGTCACTTCTAGTGGGGACGCGCATTGTTCCACACTACATGATGAGCTCAGACATATCAGGTGGCTCGGCGGAGGACCACCCTTAGAGGCTTCTTTTCCTGCGTCAGAGTTAGCAGAGTTTGAGGCGAGACAAGCAGAAAGCTTACCCAAAACACGAAAATCTTCTGCGTACCCCAGTCCCAGCGATCCTCGTCGTCCTCTAGCGCTATGTCAAAAGCCCACAGCAGCCTCGCGAGAATGACTCGCATCTCTGCATACGCGAGTTTCATCCCGATGCAGCTATGCCTTCCCACGAGGAAAGGGCGAAATGCAGACATGTTGTCAGTCTTCGGATCGGGATTGAGGAAGCGCTCCGGGATGAAAGAGTTGGGGTGTCGAAAATTGTACGCTTGGCGATTCGCAGGGAACTGGTTTACAGCCACATACGTCTTGTTTCCGTCAGTCAAGCATCAGTGATAGATATTGGGAGAGGAGGCTTACACCACCCGGCACCCATTGCCCGCAAATTGTGTCGCCGCCCTGAGGCACGGTTCTGGGCACGCTTATACTGACTGGTGGACTGAGGCGCAGTGCTTCGTTGATGACTGCATTCAGATACGGCAACCCCCCTGTACTAGCAATCACGATGTCTTTTTCTGCGCTGAATGTGCTCCGGATCTCCTGTGTCAGGCGATGCAAAACGCCCCCACTCTGCACCAGCTCTCTGACGACAGCCGTCAACGCGCTTGACGTCGTCTCACTCGCCGCGAAAACTAAGATTGCCATATTGATCTCCCATTCTGCATCTGAAATTGCAGCCTTGCTCTCACTGTGGTTCTTCGTCGGTGTCACAAAGTCTGGTCTCTGTGTATCAAGCGCGAGTCTTTTCTGGGCTTTCGCTGCGCTTATATCACGATGATCTTTCATGCGTTGAATTACTCGTTTCGGAATGATGTAGCGAAGTAGCTTGTCAAAAGGAGGATACGCGTTGATGGAAGCAATGAGTGCGAGGCCTTTTCCGAAATCCTGCGCTATGGCGACCCAGGGATGAGCCTTGCCGTTCTTCAAACAGCCAAAAGACTCGCCGAAGGAGAGGTCGCCAGAAACGTCGAAGGTGAGATAGTGGAACCACTTTTCCAGGTCCAGGGCTGTTTCTTTGCCTCGTTGACCCGATGAACGGGCCCTGAGCTGCGTCATAAAGGCGTCTACATAGCTCTCGATCACGGGTGCCTGGTCCCGCAAGCTCTTGTCAGAAAACGAGTTGGCAAATGCGCGACGGAAGCGGGCATGGGCGTCTTCATCGTAACCCATAATGGAGTGTGGCTCGTCAGGCGATGCTTTTTTGAACCAGGTGCGATTTCGTTGGAAAGGCTGGTGGCCAGGTCGACTCGCGTAGATATCGTTCCATGCTGTACTGTTGGCGTAGGAGAGCTCGTTAGGGGCTATGCGCACGATGGGTCCGTATTTGGTGTGGAAGTCTTTGAGGTCTTGATGTAGTCGACCTCGATGAGTTGAGATTACGTAGGATAGGCGGAAAGATCTCCAGAGCAATGGTCCAGGGTAGCGACGGAGGGGATGGAGGAAAGTGTTATAAGAGGCGTAGAGAAGGACGATCTGAGAACAGTGTGAGTATTGATGTTTTGCTTATTAGCATATGTCGATGTCGGGCTGAACACCTTAAATTCACTTGATGGCTCCGGGTTGAAGGCATAGGAGAATGCACGTACAATGAATAGTGTTGCTATGAGTTTTACCCATGTTACTTCACCGGCAAGGAGCAACGCCAGCTTAGCCCCAATTGCATCTACATACTGATGGGCTAAGCTCGCCATCGTGATGTTTAAGGTCAGCCAACAGACTGGTCAAGTGTTGTTGAGGTCTAAAAAGGGTTTAGTTTAGAAACTTTGCAATGGTCCTTGTATTCTGTATAGAGAGTGTCGACTACGCATCCAATTCCATATCATGTTGTAAGATGAGGAAAGGTGACGTCGGAGTTGAGCGCGCTTTAGTAAGCGCCATAACTTCGTTACCCCTTTCCTTTTTTGGTCAAGAAGCACGTCTCTAGAGCGCTCTATGAACAGAACTTCATCCGCATCGTTCAGGCTAGACCCTCACAATAAGATTAGTCTAGGTATCTCTGCCATTGCCCGACGTGTTGAGCATCTTATCTCATGCTCGGACGATTTCACACACGCGCCGAACTGCTCCGAGCCATGCCCAATTCAATAACAAAGCTGAAAGCCCATTTTTGAATGAGCATGACGCGTCTATTACTGAAAGAAAGCCACCAACAGCCATGCTCGAGTGTACAAGGGATAGTGAGGATCTTCAGGCCTAAGCTCGTGAATCGCCTTCCTTCGCAACCGAGATACCCAAGGCATGGCTAGACATGGATCGTCTCCCATGACAATGATGTGGGTAGGTCGGCAGCTGGGCACCCTGTACGTTACGCCTACCAAACATCAACTGACCGAGTTGCATCCGCATCGTTGACTCGCATACTTTAGATGCAGGCTCTAGAGATGCGTGCTAAGCTCACTGCAGGCCTACGCGAAGGTCGTAAAGTAAGCTAATTGCGCCCTTTTGGTGGCCTTGCAGTAGACTATCAGGGTCAATATCAGCCTTTTGCTATGGCCTGCGGGAAACAAGTCAGTTTTCCGACGATATTTTTATACCTTAATTTGCTGCCGAAGTGGCCTGGTGTCACCTCTCCACTGCGACGTCCAAACGAATGCAAACCGCGAGAAACACACCCACCACACCAAAGCATTCAAGACTCGAGAGTGCAAGCGACTCTTCGTAAGGGCGATCATCATTGACTTTGCCACCACAATGCTTCGCAATCACGACACTACCAGCCGCGCCGTGTGCAATCATCCTTTCTTCGGGGACGGACTCGGTACTCCGCCCATGTGCTTAGGCGCCGTGAGTTAATTAGCCTGCATTCAGTCCGAAAACGGGGTCTTTTCGATATCACATTGCATGCCGCTATGGGGTCATTTGCCATCTTTGTGGGCTTTTGTGGGCTAATTTATCAAGTCTGCATGCATGGCGTCTGCAGTGCACGGACAGCGGGTGAGGCCTCCCGACCTCGTTGAGCTAAAAGGGAATACATAATTGCGGGTACTTTGTCGGAGCGCTTGGGTTTGTTGGACCCCAAGGATGTTGTTCCCGATGGCGCTCGCTGGTCCCTTTCGCGAGGCGGACTTGATGCTCTATCGTGAGCATGAACACGTCGTGGAGGCGGTGTTGCAAGGCCACCACGCCTCGAAGCTCCTAGTACCGACGAAGGCTTGACATTGGGAACAACGCCGCAAACATGCGGCTCGCTGATGAGCAAGCATCAATATCGCGCGCACAAGCCTCGTCTTCTACATCATCCTATGAGCGTTGACGGTGGTGCAGCCGTCCTACTTGTTCAGGCGTAGCGGCATTACCACCATCTACTCCAAGGACCGCCCTGCTGCACTAAGATTATCTCCCAGTTTGGCCGTGCGTGCCCGCTCACAGGGATGTGTGGTCGAGAAGGTTACCTTTTCCACATGCATGGCTCTAGCGCGCGGGCTGAACTGCGGGCGCGCTCTGTTTAACGTTGAAGGGCAGGGATGGTAGTATGGCAAAGACTTCCAATATAAGATCGTCAACTCCTCGTTGAGCTGGGATATCGTGGACTATCAGCCTCTACTTCGTACCGAACAAGTAGGCCAGACAGATTCAAAAGCGTCAATCGCAATTGCCATTGTTGTGTGACCTCCACCTCATCGCGACTGCCGTTTCTGCCTCACAGTCCAAAACACGCGACCGACATCACTTTCACCTTCATCTTCCTCTTCACCTCCTCGCTTATCCTCGCACACCACCTCGACTATAAATCTATCCCTCGCACGCTTTTTCTGCCTTCCCACCGCACTTCTTTTCAAACCCCGGCACCTATATCAACCTTTTCAAACCACCCCTGGACAACTCTGAGACAGACACCATGCTCTTCTCTACTCTTTCCACCGCCGTTGCGAGCCTCGCTCTCTTCACCGGCTCCGTGAGTGCCGTGCCAACACCCAATACCGCGGTCTACAAGCCTGCCAAAGACTTGTCCAGACTCGCCAAGCTGTTCCCGCAGAGCGATCTCCCGTCACCAACTGATGGCCAAGTGCTCAAGTATGTCGCCCTCGGCTTGGGTACGCAGAACTACACGTGCTTGACCGGAGATGAGAATGCCGTGCCTGGTACTACTGGTGCTCTTGGTAAGTGACCATTGCCTTGCACAGTCGTGCAGAAACATACTAACACTCACGAAGCCACTCTCTACGACATTGGCACGTCCCTCAACTACGACCCCATTGCCAAGTGGAAGATCGGCTCCATCTCTGCGCTCGCCCTCTCGCTCAGCGTGAGGCCCCAGCAGCTCGACTTGAACTTGAGGTCCCAGGGCTTCGAGCACATGATCGGCCACCACTTCTTCAATGGCAGCACACCCACCTTCTCTCTCGATCAGCTGGCCCAGCCCTACCCCGTAGCTCGTGTTGCCAAGGTCGCTGAGACGGATCCTCCCAAGTCGGCCTGCCCTGGTAACCAGGGTGAGGGTGCTATCAAGTGGCTGCTCCTTACAGACACCGTGGGCATCTCTCAGGGCGGCATCAACACCGTGTACCGCGTCGAGACTGCTGGCGGCAACAAGTCCGCTACCTGCAAGGGCAAGAAGGCAACATTCGAGGTCGCCTATGCCGCGCAGTACTGGATCTTCGGTCCTAAGTAGTGTCGTGATGGTACTCTTGAGTGTGCGCTATGTATGCAGACGTCGCTTCGACATCGTCACCTAATCTTCTTTCAATGTCTTTACAAGTCCGTTTGGACTGGTACTGGCACGGCCAGTGGTGTTGTACCTTGTTCGTCTGTCCACTGAGATGGATGAGCGGTAGCACTGAGCCTTTTTCATGTATTTACTTACCTTTTACCATGATACCCTTATGGCGTTTTCGGAGGACGGGAATGGGAGGCATCTTCGGAAAAGCAAGCCCTAGATTTACGGTTTAATACCAGACACTGAACCCTTTATCATCTGTGCCGACTTGCGTGATGGCTATCTCCTTGTAATCTGACGTCCGCAATCTTGATTATGCCATCCTCACGCAGCGACGACCCTCCCATACCCAAACCCCCTCACCCCATTACTAACCCACACCCCTTCGCCCACCTCAACCGTATCAATCCCAACCGGCTCCTCCATGCAAAACCCCTTCCCAAGCGCCCACCGCCGACTCGTCCCCCGCTGCCCCCCAGCCCCCACCTTCGCACTCCTAAGCGAATGTCCCCAGCGCCCAGCAAACGAATCCCTAAGTTCACCCTCATCCCGATTACGCCCCGTCTCCCCCTCCCCACCACCCCGCAACGTCTGCGCCGTAAACTCCCCACTCGGCACCCCCACAGGCGGCGTCACCCACCGCCCCCCACGGAACAAATACAGCGACGTCAGCGCGCCCTCGGTCAGCTCGTCGCACTCGTTATACAGCATCACCTCGCGATACATGCTGCCAGCGGGGTGAGCGGGCAGGGCGCGCTCGCGCGACGAGTCGTACATGGGGCGGTGTGTGGTTTTTAGGAGCGTGAAGGGGGTTGAGGGCGTGGGGTGCGTGTCGAGGCGGAGAGTCCATTGGGGGGGTTGGGGGAGTGTGGTTTGGGGGAGCGTTAGGGCGCCGCCTGTTAGGGGCGAGGGCGTGAATGGTTCTGGAGATGGTGGGTTTAGGGAGAGGGGGTAGAGTGTTGTGAGGGGGGTGGCGGGGAGGGACGCGCATTCGACGGTCATGTGGGCGGAGGTGTCGAAGAGGATGCGTAGCTTTGTGGTAGGGTTAGCTCTTCTCTTCTTTTTTCCAAGTCTTACTCATGCGCTTTTCGGTTGGGAGTAGTTGTTCCACGAACTCACTTTCAAGGGCCCTGTCTTCCCGCTCTTCTCCACTTCTGCTAAGAGCTCGTTGTGCAGTCTCACACCGTCTGATAGCCGCGATGCTACGGCGAAGAAGTCAAAGTGCTGCGCTGCTTCGAGCATGCGGTCGCGGTGGTAGGCGAGCATGTAGAAGGGCGAGGGGGCGATGAAGTTCAATGTTGGGAGGGAGTTTTCGGCCGAGATTAGGAGGAGGGGGTCGTAGCGGAGGGAGGTGAAGAGCTGGAATGTTGGGTCTGGGGAGGTCATGGTTGTGGTTGTGGTAGTGGTTGTGAGGGGGCGAGTGGTGGGATGGGATGGGATGGAAGGGAGGGTGGTTGGATTTGTTATGTATAGATGGAAGCTAGATTCGCGGCTGTGATGCAGTGAGACGTGGCAGCAGGATTGCGCAATTGAGAAGATTGTGGATTGTATTTTTGTATGTGGAGGTTTTCGGCCCTACGCAATCATGTCGAGGCTGCGGGATGCTCGGCACTGGGATGGGATGGGACTGGGACGGGGAATGGCAGCGCGGGGGGAACGTCGAGCGGCGATTCGTGCTTGAGTGCTCGTGGTGAGACGGTATTTCTGTGTAGAGAAATGATATCAGAGACGTTATCATAGCGAACTCGCCGCTGATGAGGAGCAGACGAGTGCTGGCCAATTGATGACGTGGGACTTGGTCAAAGCGGACCACCAATTTCTGAAGCAACTTCCAGCTGCCAACGTCCACCACCGCCATTGAGCTTCCCCCCTCCCCTCCCCTCATCACCCAATCCACCCCTCATCCCCGCCATGGCCACAAACACATCCAACGGCGCATCGTTGCCCCCCACCGGCCCGGGCCCATTCCCCGTCTCGATTCCCATCGAACCAGGCACAAGCTCGCTGTGGGACCGGTTATCGTCGTGGGCAGGCGAGAACAAGGGCGTTGTCTACACAATCGCCGGACTCACATTGGTCGTGGGTGCAGGCGGTGTCATCTACTATTCCAGCTCCGACAAGAGCGGCGACTCCGGAGCGTCGGCGTCCAACAAGCGGAGGAAGCAGCGCGACCGCAAGCGCGCCAAGGAGAGGGCAGACCCCAAGGATGCGACGGCGACAGGCGAGGAGGCGCCAGCTGCGGGTATGTGTTGGTCGGACTGGCTGCGGATCTGAGCTGATGGTGTGACAGAGCCCAAGACGGCGTCAGTAGCGGCCACGACCGAGGATGAGCTGCCCGACGTCGACGAGACGACCGTGGGGACGCTCTCGGAAGAGGTATGACCAATTCTCACGGGATATTGCGGGGACTCGCGGATGAACACAGAGGACTGACGGGTAGCAGGATAAGAAGGACTACGCCGCCAAGCTCAAGGCTGCGGGCAACAAGGCCTACGGCGCCAAAGACTACACCCGCGCCATCGACCTCTACGGCAAGGCCATTCTCTGCCGCCAGGACCCCGTCTTCTACTCGAACCGCGCCGCCTGCTTCAACGCCATGTCGGACTGGGACAAGGTTATTGAGGACACGACGGCCGCCATCAACCTCGACAACGAGTACGTCAAGGCCCTGAACCGCCGCGCCAACGCATACGAGCAGGTCGAGCGCAACAGCGAGGCCCTCCTCGACTACACAGCGAGCTGCATCATCGACGGCTTCCGCAACGAGAACAGCGCCCAGAGCGTCGAGCGCCTGCTCAAGAAGGTCGCCGAGACCAAGGGCAAGGCCATCCTCGCCTCCAAGCAGAAGAAGCTGCCCAGCCCCACCTTTGTCACAAACTACCTGCAGAGCTTCCGCCCCAAGCCGCCACCAGCCGGTCTCGAAGACGACGCCGAGCTGGACGAGGAGAGCGGAAAGGGACAGTTGCGCAAGGGTCTCAAAGCCATGGGCACGAAGACGGCCGAGGGGTACGCAGAAGCCGCGACTGCCTTTGACCAGGCGCTGGAACTGGGAGACCTCGACGAGCATGAGGCGTTTGCGTACAACATGCGCGGAACTTTCAGCTATCTCAAGGGCGACAACGAGGATGCGCTAGCCGACATGGACAAGAGCATTGAGCTGCAGCCAACACTAACACAGAGCTTCATCAAGCGAGCTAGCATGCACTTGGAGCTGGGTAAGTTTGATTCCATCCAACGATGGAGTATAGTGAGAGCAGTGCTAACTCCAGCAGCCAACCCTGAAGCCGCCGAAGCAGACTTCGCCGCCGCTCTCGAGCAAAACGGCACCGACCCCGACATCTACTACCACCGCGCACAGCTCCACTTCATCAAATCGGAATTCGGGGAAGCCGCCAAGGACTACCAGAAGTCGATTGATCTCGACACCGACTTCATCTTCTCGCACATCCAGCTCGGCGTCACACAATACAAGATGGGCAGCATCGCCTCGTCCATGGCCACGTTCCGCCGCTGCATGAAGAACTTCTCCCAAGTCCCCGACGTCTACAACTACTACGGCGAGCTCCTCCTCGACCAGCAAAAGTACCAAGAAGCCATTGAGAAATTCGACACGGCCGTCGAAATGGAGAAGACCAGCAAGCCCCTCGGCATGAACGTCCTGCCCCTCATCAACAAGGCCCTCGCCCTCTTCCAGTGGAAGAACGACTTTGCCGATGCGGAGGAACTGTGCGAGAAAGCATTGATTATCGATCCTGAGTGCGACATCGCTGTCGCTACTATGGCGCAGCTGCTCCTGCAACAGGGCAAGGTTACAGAGGCGCTCAAGTACTTTGAGCGCGCGGCTGAGCTGAGTCGCACAGAGGGCGAGATTGTCAACGCGTTGAGTTATGCGGAGGCGACGAGGACACAGCTAGAGGTATGTCTTCATCTTTCACTCTCTCGTCGGGAATAGATAGCTAACAGATAAATCAGGTCCAAGAAAAATACCCCAAGCTGGCTTCGAGACTGGGCGCTATGGGCGGTGGCGCCGGTGGGTTCGGGGGCATGCGGTGAGAGGTCCCATGGGACGGGGTTTTCCTGAGGATGTGTGGGTTAAAAATGCATAATTCTATTGTTCGCTTTGTGGATCTTTTTTGGTCCTCCACCCCCGTTTTTGTGTGCCTTTGTATATTATTCGTTGAATCGAAGTGAATGGAAGTAAGTGAGTAAGTATGACATATTGAGACGTGAGAGGAGATGATTGATGTAACACAAGGCCTTTGACACAAACCCCTATCCACCACTAACGGCTAAGTTCGATGTCTTGACACTCTACATGTACCCTTCCCTCACAGGACATACGACTGCGATCTATCTCCTGTAAAGACGATAAATCCACACATTTACAAACGTGTTCGCGCGTCGTCCATTTATTTAATCTATCAATTATCCAAAATAGCATGGCATGGCAGGACTCAGTATCCCCTCTCGTTCTTCTACTACACAAACTCATCAGGAAGCAGGAAGTAGGGCTAGACAATACAATATAATATGATATGCTCTGTAATTCTGCACAAAGTACCGAGAGTAAACTAGACATGTGAATGCTCAATCACTACCAGCATTCCACCGCTCTCAACCACCCACGTAGTAAGTAAATACCCTTCCCATCCCATCCAACAGCAAAATAACTCCACCCCACCACCCCTCCACCCCCCAGCACCACGCGCCTACTCCCCACTCAACTGCAGGATAAGCGTACTAGCCACATCCAGAAACGGAAACGGACTCGTACAAACCTTATCCCCCTCCTTCCTTCCCACACCCACCTCCTCGGTCCTCTCCCGCAACACACCCTTCCCCCCCTCCCTCAACTCCCTCGCCAAATCCTCCGGCAGCGGCTCGCCCTCGCCCAGCCGGCGCCACACGCCCTGCTCATCATCCCACCCATCTTCATGATCGTGCAGAAGAGGGAGTTCAAGGGAACTATTAGCCGTGGACGAAGCCTTGATTTCGCGGACGAGGTTCGACACCAGACGCTCGTAGCCCGCGCACTTGAAGTCTACGACGAAGAAGTCGCGGTCGATCGAGTAGAGTTGTATGGACACGTAGATGTATACAGCTTCGTCGGGGGTGGTGTGTACGGGCTCGCCTTCCCTCACCGATATGCCTTCGGGTTGACTGCCTGTGCTGGCGTTGGTCGAGCTGCGCCTCCGTAGTTGGACGGGGTCGTTGCTCAAGTCGACGCGCGAGGAGTGTGTGGACAGTGGATGTGCGACGCCTGGGGGGAACATGCCGTCTTTCCGGAATCGTGCGTTGATCACCCATGGGTCCTCCGGGACGTGGTAGCCCCAGTCGTTGGTGTGGTTGTAGTGCCTCTTCTGCCTCCCACGCGATGGTTCTTCATTTGCTTCGCCGTTGCGTACGGAGAGCGGTTCACGACGCGGCGAGTCGGCGCGCGCTGGCGCATCGTCACCTTGTGAAGAATGGCTCGAGATAGACGAACCTCGAGAGTGACTCCGTGATTTTGAACGAACTTGTTCTTGTGATTCTTTTGACCCGCTGCGACTCCGGGATCCGCTCCCCCCACCAGCTTTCCGGATCTTTGGTACTTCCCAATCCGCACCCATAGCTTTCAGCGCCTTGAAGATGGCCAGCATCGCCTCAGCCGGCTGGTTTCTCGAGCGGATACCGAATTGCCACTTAGTAGGTCGCGCTTTCTTGGCTGGTAGAGTAGTCATCGGTTCCGGTCTCGACCTGTGGGGATCAGAAACTGCGCGGAAGTTTGGTTTCAGGCGTCGAGCAGATATCTGTCGTTGTTCTTCTGTCTGCTCGGAGGTGAGTGGCGGGCCGTCCTCGCCCTGAAATCGCTGCGGCGGCCTGGGATGGCCCTTCATGTACGCCTTGTGGTACTCGGTGAGACTGCTAGGTAGGATAGCGATGGTGCTGACGGGACTTCGTACGGCCGCAATTTGGCTGCTCGCATTCGACCCCTGACGCGTACGTTCTTGACCCGCCGGAGGTGGGATTACTTGCGGACGCGAGGCACTGGCCATTCTCTGCGGTATGGATGTGGCTAGATAGCTTTCGTGGTGTGTCGGTGGTGATTGCGCAAAAAACGGCTGGAGGTTCTTCTCTTGCGCCAGCAGTGCTACAGGTCAATGTCAGCGATGGGACGATGCATAAATATGAAAAAGTTGCCCAGATAGTCACACGTTGTACCACAGATTATGGTCAGAAGACATGAATCAGGGCACAGATAGCACTCAAAATAACAACGTATTGACAGAGAAATGACTTACGGTTCGACTTCATCATCTGATTTTCCCGAACAATCAGATAGGCGTCCTTGATCGCGCTGGGTTCATCACGAGCCAAAGCCTCCTGGACATCATGCTTTGCATATCCCATCGTTTTACCCAGCTTGGTGACAACGGTCTCGTGCAGCTTCTGCACAACCGGAGTAGGTTGCGACGGCGCAAGGCCCTGGGGATCGATGGCCTTGTTGGGATCGTTACCCGTATTGAAAAACTCCTGAATTGGCGGCTCGAGGTACACTGGGAGGTCTTTGGTGAACCAGGGATCTTGGCGAATTTCGTTTATAGTGATGCGGTGCACCGGGTTGACCATCAACATCTTCCTAATGAGGGAGACGGCACCTGGTGACAAATAGTTCGGGACGCTGTAGTTACCCGCAGCAATCTTCTTAAACAGCGTGGGAATGTACTCGTCGTCAAAGGGGAGACGTCCAACGAGAAGGACGTATAGAATGACGCCGCAACTCCAGACATCAACTTCCGGGCCTGCGTACAGCTTTCCGGATATGACCTCAGGCGCAGCGTAGTTGGGACTGCCGCAACTCGTCTTCAAGAAGTTTCCGTCTGTCATGATGTTGCTCAGTCCAAAGTCGGCGATCTTAACGTTGTAGTGATCGTCCAGGAGAAGGTTCTCAGGCTTTAGATCCCGATGCACAATCTTGTGTCTGTGGCAGTACTCGACGGCGCAAACAATCTGCTGGAAGAACTTGCGCGCCTTGTCCTCCTGCAGCCTCCCGTTGTTGACAATGTAGTCGAAGAGCTCTCCCCCAGCATATTCAAGGACCATGATAATCTCGGTCTGTGTCGTTATTACCGTGTATCTGGGGTACTTAGTAAATCGCCATGCTGTGCAGGCACTCTGAACCTACAACTTGATAATATGTGGATGCCGCAGCAGCTGCAGATACTGGATCTCGCGCTCTATTCTTCCCGCCATGTCTCTCGTGACCAGCCTCTTTCGATTAATGATCTTGAGGGCGACCTTCTGCCCGCTGACCTGGTGCGTCGCCAGCTTGACCTTACCAAACGAGCCCTCGCCCAGCGTCTTCACAATGGTATACTGTCCCAGTCGCTGACTTGCTTTCGAGTCCCGGCCCTTGTTCTCCGCGGTCAAGGGCGCGATGGTCTCAGCAACAAAGTCGACCGTCTTTGTGGTGCTGGCGCCTCCCCGCCGCGGGGCCGGCATGGAGATGGACAGCTCCTCCAGATCCTCATTGTCAATCATGGCCGACATGGTGAGGGCGACTCTGCACTTGGGGTGGTCGTGTCTGGCAGCCTTGCGTTCGCGATTGCGGGGTCTGGGGAACGAGGATGTGGTCGCGTCGAGAAGCCGGGATTGTGCTAGCCCACAGACAGCGTCAGGCACGGACTAACTCTACACAGAAAACATCAGCAAGTCCTCTGCATGTGAAAAAGCCCCGGCAGTTTGTTAGTGACTATCGGTCTAGTCAAGTCAGGAAGTCACTTACGTCACAGACGCAGCGCGCGACCGTGGTTCGGAGAAGCTTCAGAGCGAGGGTAGACCGCTTAGGCTTGGGTTTGGGCTGGGACCGACTCACTGCTGCCCCACTCACCGTGTTGCGATGGAGCCCATAGGGATCAAGGAATACTCGGGGATTTAAGGGAAGCGGTCGACGCTCCACGCGTGATGCTGTGCAGCTAGAGTACGTGACGTGACGTGACTGATCGGTGAAGAGTGCAAGGGACTTGTCGATGGATGCGCTGTGGAGGGTGGGGCGCCGTTATTCTCCAGAGCGAGGTGCCTATGCAGACGACGACTAGCCGAGCAAGTCAACCGGAAAAAAAGAGTCAGGACACAACAGGGCGGCGAAGATCGTGAACTGGGACCGGGCAGGTCGACGACGTTAAGCGCTGGGGTGTGGCTATCGTGAGCCCCTCCAGTGCCGATCGTCGGCCCTTATCTCACCTCGCTCACATCACTGCATGCACTCGTCTGAATGCAGGTTCGCGAGTGTTGAGCAGCTCGCGCGTCAAAGAGGTCTCAACAAACACAGCAGTTCGCAGCTCTGCCGTTAGCCTCAGCCTGATGACTTGCATTAAAGTATATTAAGAGCCTCCTCCCGCACCCGCCCCCACGCGATTCACCCTCCGCGTGACTCTACGTCACAGACGTCGCGACGTATTGGTAATGAACTACGATATCCCGTTGCGCGCCAGCCTTCCGATCTAGTATAGAGGAACGCCTTCCGCCCGCCTCAGGGTCCATCATCAAGTTACCTGAAGCAAAACAGGTGTCCCAGCCCACGCTGCTGTACCTCACGCCGCGCCGCCCCGTCGACAAACTCAGCCTCGCCTTCACTCGTCGAACTTGCGCTACTGACTTTCCCCTTTCCATTTCCGAAAACTCTTAGCAGAACAACCATAGCCACCGCGCTCAGTATACTGAGGCAGAGAATGCCAACCATGACCAGATTGCTTTTGCGGTACTTATGTAGCCCCTTGGAATCTGCAGGCCACCCCGTATACAACGCGTAGGTGGTGAGGATGCTGCCCAAGTTGCCCAGTCCGGAGACGAGTGCGCTGGCTGCTGCGACACCGACTTCGCCGTGGCGCGGCTGGAAGATCTCGTTTGTCCATGTCATGCATATTGGTACTGTTGGCCCGAGCCCAAAGCCAACCATCAAGAGTCCGCCGTATCGCGACCATGAGTTGCCGCTGCCAGCAAATGTGGTTACGAGCAGGCCAGTAATCTGGATCAAGACGGGCAAGCTGAAGAAGAGAGCGCGGTGGTGATGGAAACGATCCGAGAGCGGAGTGACGATGAGGATGGCGATGAGATCCATCTAGATGCGTGAGCTTCATTTTGGTAATGGATGATAGTCGACTTACAATCCAAATTGGCGCGGTCAGCAGACTCAAGTCGATGCCACTGAGTGTTGGGTTGATGCCTCGAATGATGACGGAGGCGTAGTTTTGCGTCCCGATTCCAACACCCACGACACCAAAATACATCATTGCCAGAGGCCAGAGTCTCCAGTCGATGAGCACTTTCCCAACGTCTTTCATATTCCAAGGACGGCGGCGGTACACCCTCGTCAGATCTTCATAGTGTATTCTGGCATCTTCTCCGGTGAGCGCTGGTCTGCTGTTTGGCAGGAATCGTTCCCAGCCCGTTCGCACTCGAACTTCGCCTGGCGGAAGAGGGCGATCAGGAAGCCACCAAAGAAGTGATATGCCGACTAGGAAGCCCACGATACCGTAGAGAAGAAACATCCACTGGAAACCAACAAGTCCACCAATTCCATCCATCTTCTGGAATCCGGCTGATACGAGACCGACTACCGCGGCAGATACCTGTGATGCTGTGAAGTACCGTCCAATGCGTTTTCCAGTTCGTGATGGCGGGTAGAAGAGCGTCAGGTAGTATGACATGCCAGGCCACATGCCCGCAATAACGATGCCGAGCAGTAGACGGAGAAGGCTACGATAGCAAATCAGTATACAGGCGTGTTCGTAGCCTGCCAATACACGCACTAGAAACTCCACGCAGCCTTCATGGCAGTCAAACACATGCCGATGATCCCCACACTAATGACAATCCTGCTCATCCAAGCATGTGGACTAGCTTTCGCCATGACCAGATTTGACGGTAAGTCGAAAATAACATAACACACGTAGAACAGCGCAAGACCGGTGGAGACCTGTTTGGGCGTCAAGTTGAGTTGTGAGGCGAGATCGTGGCCGTTGTCCAAATTCATGGTTTGCGCGAGTCCAATATTAGAACGAATGGCGGAGCACATGAAGTAGAGTATCCAAAACGCTGGCAGGATCCGGCGATCGAGCTTCCTGTACATTTGTCAATTGAAATTACGACCATACATGACTCTGAAATATACTCACGCGTAAACCTTTTCTATCCTGTCCACATCAACCACATCAGATCCGACTTCGACATCTCGATGCATGTTTTCCTTGGTGGGTGGACTGATGGCCTCCGGTGGGGCTCTCGTGGCTTCCGACGCCATCATGAGAACTCACAAATTTCGAATGGAGAAACTGAACGGCAGAAAGGTTCACAAAATATGTTGGGCAAAGTACATAGCATCGAGCGAGCTAAGCCGGTACCGGCTGATCGTATCGTCTTTCCCAGTCATCTGTTGACCATGCAGAGTTCGCCATTGTGTGGGGTGCACTAAGAGTGGTTTGGGGAACGTCTACGCAGCGACCCTCTCGCGTGGAGCAGAGGATTTGCGAGAATATTCCGCGTGCCTCGGAGTGTGGTGCATGTTTGATCTCCCCACTAAAATTGTATGAGAGGAGGCTAGCGCGAAATAATGTTCGTTGTCGTCATTCAAGCTTCAGTCAAGCTCCAGTGAGCTGAGCAGCGATTGAAGCTCCAAACTCTACATTGCACATTTCCGTCAGCCTTCACATTCCAAGATGCTATCTAACACATTTGCGCGCTCGATGCGCTGCTTGATACCCACTCACAGCTCTCCAACCCTCTTCCTGCGCGGCTCAAGGCATATCTCAACATTACCAGAAAACCCAAGCATTGCAAGCCGTCCCTTCCTTTCCCTTCACAAACCTCACGCTGACAACCGTCCAGTATGTACACGACCACCCCCTCGACCGAACCAAATCTCTCCTCTCCCTCCTCCCCACCACCCCACCCACGCCCCAACTCGCAATAGGAACATGCACATCCCTGCCCGCCACACCCCAATCTTTCACTCCAAATCCCCCTTTCCTCCAGATCCTCTCTTCCGTCTGCGCCACATATGCAGCCCACGACCCAATGGTGCAGCAACAAGCGGCCGTCTTCGCGTCGCCCGGCGGCTTCAACCTCGGCGGCAGCAACGACGGCGCGAACAACCAGGCTGGAGCGGGAGGAGGCACGAGAGGCGGTTGGATACATGTCAGTGATTTGAGGAATCCGCCCGACTATGGGAGGATTGCGTGGCCGGAGGACATAATTGGGAGTCTAGAGGTTAGTGGCCATGGGAAGGTGGTAGATGGGGGAAATTGGTCTGAGAGCGGGACGTATAGGATTGTGACGAGGGAGGGGATATTGGGATTGACGGATTTTATGAGGGGAAAAGTCATGGAGAGATTGAGGGAGTTGGAGAGGGAGATTAAGGACAAGTCGTGAGGGGTGGAAGACGTAGGACATTTCGTGGTGATATGAGATAGGGAAGTGGGAAGAGAGACTGATTTGGGGTTGTTTTTCCAACGAAGAGATCTGGGGAGAGGCGTGGTAAGCTGTCTGAGCAGCAGCCCTGTATAATTACTGTACGCACCCATCACCTAATCTGTAAAACACCAATATCAACATTCGCACGCATGCCATATGCGAACTTGTACCTCAATCCGTACCTGTCGATCCCCAATCTTTTTTAGCGCGCCTTCGGAAGTCCGCCGCGCAACATTTCCCACCACCACGACCCCTCCAAGCCTCTCACAAACCACCCAGCAGCCCCAAACCCCGCCAAAATGAGCTCTTCCAAATCCCCAAAACCCGTCTCCGTCCTCTTCGTCTGCCTAGGAAACATCTGTACGCTATCTCCCCGCACACAGCTCACTCACACTCTCACAGACTAACTTCCCTACCAGGCCGCTCCACAATGGCAGAAGGCGTCTTCCAATCCCTCGCGCGCGACCACGCCCTCATATCTAGCATAGACTCCTGCGGCACGGGCGCCTACCACATCGGCTCATCCCCCGATTCGCGCACAATGTCCACGCTCGCCGCGAACAACATAACCACATACCGGCACCGCGCGCGCCAATTCAAGACAGCTGATTTCGACACATTCGACTATATCTTTGCGATGGATGCGGACAATCTGGAGGACTTGGAAAGGGCGCGGCAGAAGGAAGTTAAGAAGAGGGGGAGCGAGGAGGGTGTAGGCAAAGTTATGCTGTTTGGGGAGTTTGGTGGGAAGACGAAGAGGGGAGGGAGCGGCGAGGAGATTGTTGATCCGTATTATGGTGGTGATGAGGGGTTTGCGACGGCGTTTGAGCAGTGTGGGAGGATGGGACGGGCGTTTCTGGAGGAGTTGGAGAGCGGGGAGTTGAGTTGAGGTGAGGATAGATGTGGGAATGGCGAGGTGGTCATTTTGGTAGGATGTTGTGGATGGAGAATAGATTTGATACCCGTAGATTATTTAAAACACTTTGCATATGAAGGCTCATGTTGACCGTGTCATCGCAGAATGATTTACAGTTGGTTCTAGAGTTGATCGCTTTGCTTGTTAACTCGAATGTATCAACGTTCAGGGCATAGGTCTGTCTTGGTCGTGTTGGCCGCGTGGTAGGACTATGTTCTGTAGCATAGGAAGCCGGATCTCACGTTTTTGAGGCATCGATATGACAAAGTTGCGTTCTGATTTCAACGACATATGCCACGACTCATGCGTAAATTAACGTTTCCATCAGCCTGTCAGCTTACAACTCCTCTGGTGTAAGGCGTGTTGTTTTTGGCTTTCTTTTTCGGCAAAAAGACCTCGAAACGTGCAAACGCCGCTCAGCCGCACACATGCTGTGCTGCGCATCCGGTATCCGAGAAGGCTGCCTTTGCATTTTGATAAAAACCAGCAGAGGAAAAGGATGGCCGTCTACCTCTGGAGCGCAAGGCGCAGCCGTAGATTGTGGACACATGGCAGCCATCGTACCTATGTCTATGCATGTCTTACATGTGCACGGCCCAAATGGGCAGATCCGTAACGCCCCAGGTTTCTCGCTTTCGTGCTTAGCCTTGAGGCTGCGCATCATACGCCGACTTTGTGGGCGCCGGGCTGAAACGGTTTTGAACTCTGCTGCATTTGTAGTGACCTCTGCCTCAGCCGTGGGATCCGTCTCTTTTAACTCGCAGCAATAGCTTCTTCGCGACATCGTCAATCCTTGCATAGCCAGCAACCGCCGTTGCTAGGGTAAACATTACAGGCTTCCTCTTACGACGCTACGACACAGCCCCCGCCATACACAACTGAAACCGTCAACGAAGCACATCCCAACTTACCGAGCCAACCTTGGAGTGTGTTTGGACTGTGGAGTTGCGATCGTCTTGTCCGCGTATTGTTTGAAGGCGCAGCAACACCGACGCTCGTGATACGTTTGGCTCGACACCATGGCGGGCTACAATAGATTAGGTGAGTAAGCTTCTTCGCCCCTGCCAGGTACGCAACCAGGCTTGGTAGTTACGACGACTGCATGCGCCGAGTCCTTGCTTAGTCGCGTTCTGTCGTTTGTTTCTCTAGACGTTGCCGAGCCTTGTTGTGACATTTACACATTCTTCGTTACCTACCATCCATTCATTCGCTCATACCGTCACTCGCTGTATTTCGTACTGATCGCAGAATTCCAGACGCGGACCACTTCGACATGGATCCGCGAAGACCTGGCGCAGGCCGAACACCCTCTCCAGGGCAGCCTCTACGGGGCTACCAGCTCGAGGATAGATATCAATCACCAGCACCGCTGGAGATCCCTATGGGGCCCAACCCTGCAGCAGCATCTGGAGACAGGTTACCGTTGCAGCCAAGTGTGAGTGTTTGCGAACAGTCGGCCTTGGTGCTTTCGCGTACCCCCACAGCTGCTGAGCAGCAAGTATGAAGGGTGTTGGGAGTATCCAGGCCGAATGTTAAATAGAGCGCATTACGAGAAAGCAGAGCTAATGGTTGGTAGTATTCTGTAGAGAACATTCCTTATGGCTCTGGGAACTACCAAGACGAGTACGACCCCCGTCCGCGCCCCCACCACAACGACAGCGACTATTCCCTCGATCCGCAAGCGCATCACGATGCATACTACACTCAGCCATACGATCCTTCTCCGCATGAAGAGAGCCCTCCTCATGGCTATGGCACACAACCAGAACACTACTGGCAGGACGAAGAGGATAGAAGGCCGATGATTCATGAATCGAATGCTTATGGGCCAGACCCTCACGAGGGGTTCGATCAGGATGAGATGGATCCAGAGGACCCGTTCCACGATGACGAAGAGCACACACCAGAGCCGGTTGCCGTAAAGCGATGGAAAACAGTCAAGGAGGTTCAGTTGTTCAAGGGCAACTTGGTGCTGGATTGTCCAATTCCACCACGACTGCTGAATCAGGTTCCACATGCGCAGCCTCCGGAGCGTGACGAGTTTACGCATATGCGATACTCGGCGGCCACATGCGATCCCTCGGACTTTGACGCGGAACGCTTCACCCTGCGCCAGAAGCTGTTCGCGAAGCCCAGGCATACCGAACTTTTCATCGTCGTCACGATGTACAACGAGGAAGACGAATTGTTTGCGCGAACCATGACCGGTGTGATCAAGAACATCGAATACATGAATTCACGGACAAACAGCAAGACATGGGGCAAGGACGCATGGAAAAAGATTGTAGTGTGCGTCGTTAGCGATGGACGTGCGAAGATCAATCCACGCACAAGAGCCGTTCTAGCGGGTCTTGGTGTCTATCAGGATGGCATAGCCAAGCAGCAAGTCAACGGTAAGGACGTGACTGCGCATATTTACGAAGTAAGTTGACTAGATTGATCCAACTTTGGTTCCATGAACTAACAGCCCGCTAGTACACCACCCAGATGACTCTCGACATCAAAAAGGGCGTTGTTGGCGTCAAGAAGGGTACAACTCCGGTTCAGATGCTCTTCTGTTTGAAGGAAAAGAACCAAAAGAAGATCAATTCGCATAGATGGTTCTTCCAGGCGTTTGGATCTGTTCTGGATCCAAATATTTGTGTTTTGATCGATGCTGGAACGAAACCCGGCAAAGACTCCATCTACCACCTTTGGAAGGCCTTCGATCTGGAGCCCATGTGCGCAGGCGCTTGCGGAGAGATTAAGGCTATGTTGGTGCACGGGAAAAAGCTATTGAACCCGCTGGTGGCAACGCAGAACTTCGAGTACAAGATGAGCAACATTCTGGACAAGCCCTTGGAATCAGCTTTCGGGTTCATCAGCGTTCTTCCAGGTGCTTTCTCCGCATACCGCTATGTCGCGCTCCAGAACGACAAGAATGGACAGGGACCGCTGGAGAAGTACTTCGCCGGAGAGAAGATGCACGGCGCGAATGCTGGTATCTTCGAAGCAAACATGTACCTTGCCGAAGATCGTATTCTCTGCTTCGAGCTCGTGTCCAAAAGGAACTGCCACTGGATCCTGCAATATGTTAAGTCCTCGAACGGAGAGACTGACGTGCCCACAACCATGGCGGAATTTATTGGTCAGCGACGACGATGGCTGAACGGATCTTTCTTTGCCGCTGTGTATGCCTTGGCCCACTCTTTCGATATCTTCCGAAGCGATCACTCCGCCATCCGCAAGATGATGTTCCTTGTTGAATTCTTCTATCAAACCATCAGCATGATCTTCGCTTGGTTCGCGCTTGGCAATTTCTTCCTGGTCTTCCGCATCCTCACGGCATCTCTGGCTACTGAACTTGGCACAGCTGGAAAGGTCCTCTTTATCGTCTTTGAATGGCTCTACATCGGTGTCTTGATAACGTGTTTCATCCTGTCGCTTGGTAATCGTCCCCAAGGCGCCAACAAGTGGTATATGTCCATGGTCATCTTTTGGTCCATCATCATGGCCTACCTCATGTTCGCATCGGTCTTTATCACAGTCCGATCAGTGCAGCAACAGGTCAAGGACAACAACGGTTTCAATTTCGCCGATCTCTTCAAGGATCAGATCTTTTTCACCATCATAGTGTCGCTGTGCTCGACATACCTCATGTGGTTTGTAGTATCGATTCTCTTCTTGGATCCCTGGCATATGTTTACGTCGTTCTTCCAATACCTTCTGATGACGCCGACGTACATCAACATTCTCAACGTCTACGCGTTCTGCAACACGCACGACATTACTTGGGGAACAAAGGGTGACGACAAGGCTGTGAAACTTCCATCAGTTACTACCAAAGCAGATGGAAAGGCAGACATTCAGGCTCCGACCGACGACGCCGATCTGAATACCCAATACGAGACCGAGCTCCGTGTCTTCAGCACTAAATGGAAAGAGGAAGAAAAGGTTGTGACGGCCCAGGACAAACAGGAAGATTACTATGCAGGCTTCCGATCAAGTGTCGTGCTCTTTTGGATGTTCTGTAATCTGGGTCTCACTGCCTTGGTGTTGCAGTCTGGCGGTCTCGAACTCACTGTGAGCGACCCAGACGAGGCGCAGTTGAAACAGACGCAAGTTTCCACAATCTACTTGGCCGTTGTATTGTGGAGTGTAGCAGGCCTGGCAGGCTTCAGATTCATAGGAGCCATGTGGTTTTTGGTAGTGCGCTTGGTAAGTTCCAATACCCTGCAGTTCCCCAAGCTGTTAAACTGTGTGTTCAGAGTGCTAACAACGTCATCAGTTCCGAGGTGTGTAAGCTGTTATCATCAAGACATTTCAATGTCGAGCGACGGCGTTGGGAGTGTACATTGGGCTAAGGATAGTACGCTGAGGGCTTCCAGCTTACCTCATATATGTGTGTCTGGGGGAATATTGTGCAACCATGGCGTTTGGCCTCATGTATACGAGATCACGATCTGATACCATCATGCTTGCGATTTGGCGTTGGAGTCAGTACTCTAGGCTCTTCTCAATGGCTCTTTTCCATCGTCTTTGTGTCTCTCATCTCACCTTCACGTCTTGTGCCAAATTCTACTTGCCTTCACCTCATCTTCGTCACCAAACTCGGTTAGCGCGGACCCGTCGCGCCTTCCCACTGATACATAAACAACACAAGCGATTTTTCAAACTGCTCACTCTCACACGCGGACTCTAACACCAGCTTTGAGCGTGTATCTGCCTCTCACAAATTCGTCGGACTTCGTTAGGTGTGTTGCCTGGCCACGACTTGGGAGACCACACTGATCTCGTGCGCTCCAGACAACTACGATTACACTTTCCATTTCACAATCATGAGCTGGGACACTGGAACTGGTGAGTATCACCTGATTCGAGCCCGGTAACTCTAGACATACTGACACACGTAGGTGGTGAGGCTTGGCCTGCCGAGCCTGCTGCTGGAGGTGACTCGTGGGGAGGAGGAGGTGGTGGTGCTGATGCCGGTGCCGGTGGTGGTGATTCTTGGGGTGGCGGCGGCGGCGACACTGCTGACGGCGGTGAGGGTGGCGACCAGACGTGCCGTGTGTGAGTGTTTTCTCCAGGACTTTGCGACGACCGGCCAGAGGATCACTTGTTCTGTCGATCCAGTTTACTGATACACATCACAGTTGCAACCAGACTGGCCACTTCGCCCGCGAATGCCCCGACAAACCACCCGGTGGCGGTCTCACCGGCGAGTGCTTCAACTGCGGTGAGGTAGGTCACAACAAGGCCGATTGCACCAACCCTAGGGTCGAGCGCGCGTTCACCGGTACCTGCAATGCCTGCAACGAAGAAGGTCACTCAGCTCGCAACTGTCCTACCAACCCCATGAAGTGCAAGCTCTGCAACGAGGAGGGTCACAAGGCTCTCGAGTGCAAGGGCCGCCGCATCGTCGACTGGACTGGTGTGCCCGAGATGACTGCTGAAGATGCCTGGGCCAAACTGATTGATGCGGCCAAGGAGAAGGACCTTGACGTGTTCCGCACTTGCTTGAGAGCCTACGCTCGTGCTGTGGTCGACGACTTCGAACTTCATGCCGTGGAGGTGGCACTTCGCGACGACGGTCTGCCTATTTACCTGGTTGCAAAGCAGCAGGAGATTGCCGTCAATATGACTATTGTCGACTTGATCGGCAACCCTGCTCGCGAGTACGTCCTCACCTTTCAGCTTTCTCCAAAGCCTCGTCGCGCCAAGATGGCTCAGGGCTGGCCAGAATCTCCGGAGCAGAACCTTGAGCGTCTTGCCTCTGCTGGATTCGTTCAAGACATTGGCGTTCCCTTGTGTGGCAACTGTGGCGAGCTCGGACACATTCGCAAGGTAAGCAAACACTTCAATCCATGTAGGCACATCGACTGACATACAACACTAGCACTGCAAGGAAGAGCAGGCTGAGCGCGAGTCTGTTACTCCAGCCGTTCAGTGTGTCTACTGTCAAGAAGAGGGCCATCGCGCACGCGACTGCCCCAAGGAGCGTGTCAACCCTTACGCCTGCAAGAACTGCAAGCAGGAGGGTCACATGTCTAAGGAGTGTCCCGAGCCGCGCTCCGCTGAGGGGGTTGAGTGCAGGAAGTGCAACGAGACCGGCCATTTCTCTCGCGATGTAAGTCTGATGGTATCCTGAGCATATTCAGCCTATACTAACAAGCATCAGTGTCCCAACGTCGAGCAGCGTCCTCCGAGGACTTGCCGCAACTGCGGCTCCGAGGACCACATGGCCAAGGAGTGCGACCAGCCTCGAAACCCCGATATGGTTACGTGCCGCAACTGTGAGAAGCAGGGCCACTTTTCTCGTGACTGCCCTGAGCCTAAGGACTGGAGCAAGGTCAAGTGCAGCAACTGCAGCGAGATGGGTCACACTATCAAGGTGCGTGGTGTGAAAGTGTATCAGGACGTTCCAAGCTAACCTTTTTACAGCGTTGCAAGCAACCGATCGCCGAGGACGGAATGGGTAGCGGTGGCCCGGTTGAGGCTTCGGGTGGTTGGGGTGCCTCCGGCGATGCTGCTCCGGTAGCTGGTGGCGAGGACTCCTGGGGTGGTGGAGACACTGGTGGTGGTGGATGGTAGACAATTTGCACTGCAAAGCGCTACGCATACGGCTGAGATGATATCATGAGCACGTAGGTGCATCTTATGAGAATGTGAGTGGGACTTAGTTCAATAGCTTTCTGACTGTGTGGTGACCTTGTCATCGGGATTTCGCTAGCTCAAACGAATACGAAAGTTCTAGGATAGCCTATTTGTGTCTTGTGATGTCACTTTTGTATTGCTGGTGTAGCGGCAGATCTTGTAAGGTTATCATAGATCGCTCTGCGTTTGAGGCAACAGCGTTCCATAATTCATATAATGCAACTAACATCTTTCACATCTACAAGCAAAAGTCCGAGTTCAAAACCCCTCCACCACAAACTCAACAAGAACCAGAAGCAGAATAGAGCATCATCTTTCGTCAACTGGACTTGTTTCAGTCAACGATGATGGGGAAGACTCGTGTCTTTTCATCGGAAAAGCCTTACCCTGGGTTTTAGATCCGTACACTAGAACATAAGTACAGTACAGTGTATGTCTCCCCAAGCAAAGAAATGAGAACCCCAGATACGAGGATTGACAAGAAAAGCTGGCAAAGGTGGATGGGTGTCGATCGGGTAGTTGACCGAATTTCCGCATGGTTTCGTGCTGTACTCAGTCTCTGAGGAGGTGTTCGAAGGGTAGGTAGATGGAGTGTTGGTGTGTGGTATAGTTGGGGTCAGGGGAAGAAAGTCGAAAGAAAATGTGTTTCTTCTTCCAAAGCACTGAGTTTTGCGCACGGCTGGATTACATTCACGTATATAGAAGAATTGCGCGTCCACGTGGCGACGTGTCTGAGGCATCGGATGATAGTGAATCTTGTATTGTAGGATATCGTCATACTTGCGCCCTCCACAACACGCACCAAGTGTGCCCACCACCATCCGCACCCCCCTCAAACCCACCACGCATACCCTACGCCTTATCCCCACCCGCAGTCCCAGGCCTGGATACACTCTTCCCATCCGTCTTCTTCTCAACCTTCCTCCTCCTCCGCTCCGCCTTATACACGTCATTAAAGTTAATATTAACAGCAAGCATCTTAAGCTCGCCATCCGGCGAATGCACAAGATCGCCCAGCAGATAACATATACGCGTGCGAAACTCCTCAATCAGGTGGGTAAGCCGTTTGCGCAGCGCAGGAAGCACGTCGTCCTCACCGTTCGCACCGGCCACAGCGCTGCCGAGCTTGAGCAGCGGCGGCGGGAAGGGCGAGTCGGGTTCTAGTCGCGACGGAGCGCGCGAGGAGGCGCGGGATGAGGAGAGGGCGTCTTTTTCGCTGAGACCCCACCGCCCTGCTGCGGTGCGCGTTTCGATTTTCGCGGCGTGTTCCTGGCGGCGCGTGAATTCTGCGACGGAGAACGAGTAGAGGCCATCGACTGCGTCTTTGTACGCTAGCATTGTCTTGAGCAGCTCGTGCAGTTGGCCTGTGAAGTCGATGCTTTGGCTTCCTAGGAGGCCCTTGCGCGTGATGTTGTTGAGGTAGTCTGCGTGCGCGGCGATCATGTCGTCGAGTGTGCTTTCGGGCTTGTTGAGCGCTTTTTGTAGGTCGATCCAGGATTTCTCTATCACTTCGAAGAGGATGTAGTGTTGGAGTTGGTTTACGAAATGCACCATTTCTGCCATGGCGCAGCGGCTCATCTTCCAGTCAACGCCTACTTTGTCTGATACCGTGCCCAGTACGCCGCGAGCGCCTGTCATGCAACGGCGCCAGGTGGAGCCGAGAGCAAACTCGACGCGCTTGACGCGCCAGAGGAAGTTGAATACTTTGAGGTATTGCTTCGAGCCGAAGGGTGTGACGATGACATCTACGGGGGCGTCGATCTTGTACTCGAGCGTGAAGACGTCCCAGCCGATTTCGCCGTGGGAAAGCTCTAGCATGCGAGAATCGAGGCGGCGTAGGACGTCAGATGTGTCGAACTGGGCATTGGAATTGCGGACAGCGTGTTCCAGTTGGGCTGTGAGCGTGTGGCGGTACTGCGTGTTTGCAGGGCGGTCGAGATTCGAGGAGAGGGATTCCATGAGCACTGCTATGAAATCACCGGCGCCCAGTAGCATGTACTGTTTGAGTGCCTGGAGATGGTCGAAGAGATTGAACTTATTGGCCATGAGATCGATGAGTCGTGCCATGGTCGTCTTGTATGCGTCACCAATCGACCGCTCAAGAGTAGCCGTGTCGCCGTATTGCAGCTCCTTAGAGGCTTCTTTGGAGTATGTGTCTACCCACGCAGCATCGCCACACCCGTATCTGATGAAGTTGAGCGTTTTGCCGATCAGGAAGACCTTGTTGGCAAAGCCATCGGTGACGATGGAAGGTACCATCTTCTCGTTCAGCTTGTACTTGTCTTCCCAGACACTCGTTGCACCTCCCTTGCCTTCGGTGCCGTTGGCCTCGTTGATCTCCTCCTCACTCTGCTCAGACACGAAGAACTCACCAAACGGGTCAGCAAGCTCACCATCGTACACCCACTGGCGCAGCATGTCGTAAAAAGGTCGAGTCACATCGGAGAGAAGGCGCTCAGCGAACGACATGACGTATGGGTCACCGTGGTTGAGCGAGAAAGAGTGTATGAGCGATATCAGCTCTCCTCCCTTTTTCTTCTTGGACTCTTCCACCATGAGGCTCATCAGGCGCAGACCCATAGTAGGCTCCCGGATCCAGATGACGCATCGCTTGAGGGTGACGCCAGCTTTTGTGACACCCTGGTGCTGCTTGCCCTCGCTCAGCTGTGTGAGAGCTCTTCTGATCTGGGCTTCCAGCGTTGCAACCAGCCCCAGATAGGCTCGCAGCTCCTTGGCCAGCGCTGAGCGGAAGCTCTGTCCTATCAGACCTCCATCAGACGACTCGACAAACTCGGCTAGTCCCCGGTAGAGGATTGCAGGCTCGGCGAGGGTGTGCAGAATGCTGACGATGGGCACGGGCAGATTGGCGGGCAGCTTGATGGTGGTGGAAGACGGAAAGGTCAGATTGGTGGACGAGAGCCCCTGCAGGGTGAAGGGGAGGTCGCGCAGGAGGGCACGCTCTGAAGGTGCCAGGTCAGCCGTGTCTGCAGGGCTTGCGTCGGCCTGCTGCTCCTGGCTGGTTTCGCGCGCCCGTCGCTCCCTGCGCTTCTCTGGCTTGTTGGTGTCTGACTTGATAGCGGCTGGTGCTGGACGTGCTGAAGCCTTAGGCGAGCCTTCATTCGTCGGCAGCTGTGCCAGGCCGGGGCGGGCAAAGGCATCGCGGAAAGCCGGGCTGCCGTGTGCCTGGGCGGTGGACGGTTGGTGTTTGGGCGTCGTGGGTTCACGGGAGCGGCTACGCGAGTCTTGGGAAAGGGACTGCTCGGGTGGGTGGGGCAGATCAGACAGCTGGTGGAGGAAGTACAGCATGCGCCATTTCTGGTCGAGGACGGGCTGGGCGATGAGGCGCGAGAGGAGGTTGTTGAAGCGGGCGCTCTGCTGCGCGTCCTTGGGATGACCCGAGACTGTCACCACGTCAGCCGGGTTCTACGTGTCTACGAGGGATTGCATACATACTCCTCCCGTCTATCAGGCTGGCAATGTGCTCGACATCAGGCACGACAGCAGTGTCCCCCGCCGCGCTCAACTCGCCCACGGCAAACTCAAAGGCCGTATCGAAGCGCTGGTTGGCCGCTTCTTCATCTTCTTCCGGGTCGTCGGGCACAATGCGCACCAGCAGCTCATTCAACGCGTGTTCGACGCGTTCGCGGTTGAAGGAGCCCATGATGACGCGTTGTTAGCCTGCCACCGCCGGCCGTTGTTTGATGAACCAATTCGCGGGGTCCAGGCGTGGCTTGGCTGTGGGGTGGACTTCTATTCACCTCCACCACACCCTGCCATTACCTACGCCCATCAAGTCACCATCGTGACGAACTTCTATTTCAGATTATGCGAACGTATTGACCCTGATATTTACAGCCTTTTATTATACTTATCCCGCAATTCACATCACGAGTGTTAGCTCTCGAAATGAAGTCGACGATTCCAACATCGTGGACATGGATCGTCCGTCTCTTCTCATGCGATCCATGTCAACTTGTCGTGTCCAATGCCTTCGTGTATTCAGCTTTCAACAACCCTCTAACGACCGCTTGTCACGCCTCTCACCTATGGCTTCAAAGCTCCAGTCACTTTTGCTCAAAGTGAGAGACAGGCACAGCGTCTGCTCAAACTATCCATATAGCCCTTCTATCGATCTCACAACTTCCTCACTCCACCTCTCTTCATTTCTGTTTTGTCTCTGCGATATCATCCAGCAGTCAATCAATCATCTATTGAGGTCACTGAACAAACAGCCACGCCTTCATCCGCACCAAGAGCCCGAGCGTCGACCCTCATCACCGAGAACATGGAGCAGAAGTCACCTTTCATATGCCAGTCCGTCATGGCGCTGCCCGATTCTAGCTTCCATGACGCAGGTGTAGATCAAACATCCCCTGCAGTCCATGATACACAGATGTCTGCTTTCCAGCCGTATCAGTGAGTGCATCACTACAGCACCACACAGGCTTAAGTCTCATAACCATTGCCTACGAAGCTTCATAGTAGTCAGGTTGTCAAGGCTCATATATATCATAGGTTACTCATGGAGACCGACATCACCCTCGAATTCGGCACGAAACTTGAGAACAAGCGAACCATCCACCTGGAGCTACTTTGCTGCCACAGCACCGTAGCCCGGCAACAGTTCGAGAAAGCAAAGCAGCTACGGGACGTCTATAACTTCGCCAACGACATGCGGCGGCAGCTGAAGGTCTTTACAGCGTCGGCAATGTCGTCTAACTTCTTCGAGGTGCATCACAAGGAGGACAAGGTATGCTGATGTTCGAGCCTGGAGATTCATAGCGGCCTGGCGACTCCACTTCAAGCCCAACAGTGACTTTCAATTGCCTATCCAGTGATTTACAGACTAACATCTGCTTGCAGTGCATCGTCCAGATTGTTCGCATCTACAATGAGTACCCTCTCAAGAAACACGTCGACGCCATTAAAGCCCTCGTCGATAATTTCGCGGAGGAGCAACACACAAAGACGAACATCAAGGGAAATCAAGCAACGATAGCCGCCAGAAAGAAAGAGTTCAAAGATAGCGACATCCTCGCACGCCTTAACTCCCTCGACCCAAAAGCTATATATCAACTTACCCAGTCGCTATTCGCCATGCTCCGCCGCATCAAACTCGCAGAGTTCGAAAACGCGAAGCAAGCCCCCGTCAAAGCCGCAGCCCAACATCGCATCATCGTCCCAGACACCGACGGCAAAGCAGTCAGGTCTCTCATGCACTGGATGTACCAAGGAAGCCTATATTACGAGGACGCCGAGAATCTCTACGGCACCCTATTGCTCGCGATCAGACTTGGCGTCGAGCAGTTGACGCAGACATGTTTGTCCAAGCTCGCAAACGACACGCAAGATGCCATTGCCCAGGCGTATTCGTGCGGCTCGTCGCTCCAGATCCTCCTCGGCTACGACTTGGTTGATGACGAGCAGGACGCTGCTTCTGCGAACAACGTAGTCCAGGTCGTCTTCGGACACGTGCTGAAAGACCCTGAGCCTCCTGCTAGACTCTTCAAACTGGTCGTTGGTGCCTTGGCTATCAATATGGATTCGGAACTTTGGGCGCAGCTGAAGGACGTCGTCGGCCATGGTCTCGCTCTGCGGCTTGTTGAGGCGATGCTTGTTCTTCGCCAGACGGATGGCGGGGGCGTGAAGCTCGAGTGTGAGCTTCTCGCCATCGAGGGTTTGCCGGCAGGTCATAACACGCATATGGGGGGTTGACTGATCTGCATGGTCTTACTCAAAATTAGAGTCGCGATATTAGGAGAAAGATATACAGGTGCACATGGTCTTCTCAAACGGGTTCAGCGGTATTTCCCACTTTCCCCATCTGCGATAATCGAGACGGCACTTCATCTACACTCCATGGCCAGCGTTCCCCGCGCTTTCCCAAAAATGCATTTTCTTTTCTTCTCGATCGTCAGATAGTCTACAGTTTTCCATTCTCACTATTATCTCAATACTAAATCACAAACCATAGTCTCCATTTCTGCTCTTCACATGGACGTCCGGCTACCCTCAAACGTTCGACCAACTGACTTGACGCCCGTATCTCACTACCTTGACGTTACAAACCCCGATCTGCATGCAAATCCCCAAGCGCTGAACCTTCCCATAAACTCTGAAGTGGAAAGGCATGGTTGTGACTGCTTGTTTGTACATCGAGTCCAAACCAACCCGCGGCGCACTTCCCTTGAACACAACACCCTCATGTTCGCACACAGGATTCTCGGTCTGGAAAGAAGAGCGATGCATCAAGCCCGCACACATGGCGATTGATGTGTGAGCGTATCAATCCGAACTGTCTGGGAGTGGCAACGGGATTAGTAGTTGATGGTGATGGAGCGTATTGGGAAACGCCTCTAAGTCGTGGTGATATATACATATAACATCCTTACGCATCATATCCCAACGCTCCTTGTATGCGCACACTCAGATATATCCTTTATGCATTTTGATCCCAGTAGCGTGTTTCCATACTCGGGATCTCGGGAAGTTGCGTGTTCACCATCTGTACTGTACCTCCTGGAAGTATAAGCCATTCGCCACTGTGACTTTTGGTAGGGTGTTACCCCATTCGGATGTGGCAAATGGCTTTTACTTCCCGAGGGTTTCGCGGTACAGGTGGTGAACACGCACCTCCAAGCCATCGGCGTTCGACGAGGGCACCATGTATCGATCGAACGAACGGACAGCGTGAATAACGTTATGGTTTGGATTTGTTTCAACTTGTACGTTTTTCCTAAACACCAGTCCGCCAGCCAGTCCGTGAATGACCCATTGAACATGATATGATACAAGGAACTTGTCCCGTGAAGCAAGCAAAGTCATGACTCGACTTGACTGCTCGTGCCATGCAGGAGCGGGGAGACCAGGAATGAAAAATGAGGAAAGTACGAATACCAACGCCGTCGCTAAATACCTCCCATCCAAAAACCATCATACATGTCACATCGCACATTGCACATTGCCTTCCGAGTCGAGTTCCGCTCACTCGTCATCCCCTCGTCTGCCTATATTGAAGGAGTTCCCGGCAAGTATGGTTTCACGGTCCTGACGCATGCCCTCCAGCACTGCGACTAGACCGCCTTCGCGCATGCGCTCGAGCACGACTTTCATGCCCTCGCGAGCGTTTGGTTGTGATCGTTGTGCGCGGGTGAGGCCAATCTTCTCAATGTTTCGTTGAAGAGCAGCGGTGCCCCAAGTGCGGAAGAATCCCATCTTGGGCGGCTCCTCTTCTGCGCTACTCTCTTTCGCGGCGTCTTCTCTGGCAGCCTCTCGCTTCCGTTTCCACGCCTCGCCAATGTGACTGTGTAGTGTGACAGAGCTAGTGACGTCTGTTGTATCCCCACTATCCTCTACCTTTGCACCAGAGCCAAAGTTGAGGAATCCATGGCGTCGTGCTGCACCCTCCATGCCCTTCCACACCTTCTCCTCATCCGGCACCATGGGCACCGGCCGCTTGAAGACCTGTCGTTCCACGACACTCAAAACGCCTGTCCATTCCAAGTTTCGACTCTCCGCGTCCATGACGCCCTCCTTCATGTCTACCACGCTCCGCTCCAGGATAAAAGTCTGCGTGTCGCCTGAAGCAGACGCGCCCAGTAGTGACCGCGGGACTAGCTTGAGTACCGCGGCCGGTAACTTGGAACGCTTGAGGTGCAGGCGCACGGTTGTGAGGCGCTGTGTTTCCGGGTCGTAGGAGCGCGCGATGGTGTCGGTGGAGATGACGTGTGTGGAGTAAGGATTTGGGTAGCGCAGGAAGTAGGCGAGGGTTACGGCGGGGAAGGGGTAGGCATAGGTCTCGGATTGGGAGTAGAATTTGACCATCTTGGCTGTGTTCCTCGTAGGTTTACTGGATGGGTGGTGTGGATGTGGTAGTTTAGGCAGTAGTAAGGTCGTAGTGTACTTTAGGAGCGCGAGGCAGCCTGTCAGCGTGGTCTCTAGCGTAGGTGACGAACTCGCATTGTCAAGCGGAGTGGATCGCTTGGCGGTAGACGGGTGAAGTGCGTGGGTGGGGAATGAATGGGGAGAGCTGGTGGTCTGACGAAGCTTCTGGCTCTGACGATGTTCACGTGATATTTGGCACCTTGCTCAAACAGACTCTAGCTCCAGAACGCGGGGTGGGCGCGATTGGTGGGGCAGCTCTATTCACTGAGTCAACGCGACGGTGGACGACAGTTTATCGTAGCCTTTCGTTGTTGAACGACCACGACACCCAATTCACCATGACAGAACCCGAGCCGCCTTCCGTTGCCGCTCTTAGCGTCGCCGAAACCGCCACCGAACCCGTGTCGCAAGCCACGGAGCAGACCATCGATCCCTGGAATGTCCAAGCTGGCGTAGACGCAGACGGCAAGGTCAAAGAGTTCGACTATGCAGCTATCTCGCAGCAGTGGGCGACCAAGCTTATCGATGATGCCCTGCTGGAGCGCTTTGAGAAGGTTACCGGTCACAAGCCACACCGTTGGTTGCGACGCCGCCTGTTTTTCTCCCACCGTGACCTCGATCTCATTCTCGACACATACGAGCGCGGCGATGACTTCATATTGTACACTGGTCGCGGGCCAAGCAGTGATGCCATGCACATTGGACACACGATCCCGTTCGAGTTCACTAAGTGGCTGCAGGATGTCTTCGATGTGCCATTAGTCATCATGTTGACAGACGACGAAAAGTATCTCTTCAAGGAGAAGCTCAAGCAGCCCGAGGTGTACGAGTTCGCGCGTCAGAACGCCAAGGACATCATTTCGATAGGCTTCGACGTCAAGAAGACCTTTATGTACATCGACTCTGAGTTCTTCACCTCTGGCTACAACAGACATTTCAGTCTCAATACCACTGAATTCGAGAAGCTCATCACAAACAACCAAGTCCGTGGTGCATTTGGCTTTGACGGCTCTACAAATATTGGTAGCAATGCTTTCGCCGCTAAACAATGTGTCGCCGCCTTTGCTTCGTCGTACCCTTTCATCTGGGGCCAAGACCACAAAACATACCACCGCTCCAAACAACTTGCCGCCATACCATGCTTCATTCCCTGTGCTATCGATCAAGATCCGTACTTCCGTCTTCTCCGGGAAAACTGCGGCAGAATGGACCAATCATCCCCGAAACCCGCACTTATACATTCCAAGTTCCTCACCGCGCTGCAAGGCGCAGGCGGAAAGATGAGCGCATCGGTTTCCACCTCCGCTATCTTCATGAGCGACTCGGAAAAGCAGGTCAAGAACAAGATCAGCAAGAACGCATTTTCAGGTGGCCAGGAGACAATGGAGCTGCACAGAGAACTGGGTGGAAATCCAGACATTGACGTCCCTTACCAGTACATATCGTACTTTGAAGACGATGACGAGAAACTCACACGTCTTGCAGCCGAATACAGGTCGGGAGAGCTGTTGACAGGCGAGATGAAGAAGGAATGTATCGATCTGATGACAAGCTATGTCAAGAAATTCCAAGACGCGCGAGCAAAGGTCACGGATGAGATATTGGAGGAGTTCTTGCGGCCGAGAAAATTGGAGTGGAAGGGAAATCAGAATCCGACAGTCAAGAAAGAGGATAAGAAGGAGGGCGAGGGTGATGCGGCGGGGTTGGACGCAGATGGCAAGCCTATGACCAAGAACGCGATGAAGAAGGCGGCGAAGCTGGCAGAGGCCGAGAAGAAGAAAAAGGAGAAGGCTACGGCGGCGGCGGCAAAAGTGTAGGATCGTAGAGGGACATCGAGGAGGAGATATCGAGGTGAAGTAGACATGATACCAAAAAAGCATACTCAAATTTTGATATGGTTCTCCCGCCTATAGTTGCAGACGAATTCCCTTGTTTTCGTATAAGATACGGCAATGTGAGCGAATCTACTGGTTGTTTCGTATTCAGAGATTCTAAAAACCATAAATATTATAACATAGAGACAAACCCGCAACTAAGGCTGAGAAGGTAATAAAGGCTGAGTTACTGCTACGCTACGGAAGATTACGTTATGCACGGTTAACTTCTAGAGGGTGCTAACGTATATATTCTGTTTCGGATTGCCGTAAAACGATTTTGTTGGATAACTTAGAGTTTAGCCAGCCGAGATACGTCGAGGGGCCAGCAAATGCAAACAATGTCGCTCAAAATATTAGATCTTGATGCACCATTTTCATGACTGCCGCTTCGCTGACCCAAGGTTCCATAATCTCTTCGATGCGCAGGGACCAGTCATCATCCCATTGTACACCTTGCAGGGCAGTGAAGTATTCCCAATAAGTCGGGAACCAGCCAGCCTCCTCCCAATCTATTACGCTGACGGTGAAGCCCTGCAGTGTATCCCAATGCACTACCACGTTCTTCCTTTGCAGATCTGAATGCGAGAAAATAGGCTTGTGACCAACTAACGCCCTTCCAAGATTTCTCTCATAGAAGTCGGCTTTGAAGCTATGCTTCTTCATCTTTGCCCAAGCAGACCGGAGGCTCTTTACCAGTGCCGCATTGAAGTTGTCTTCTGAGTCGAATGGACCACAAATTTCCTTGTCAGCATCGGGGCTGTAGAACAGATAATGGTGGAACCGGCCTTGGTCAATACTTCCGTAGAGCGGAGGAGCTGGAATACTTCGAATTGATGTAACGATTTCGTTCAATTTGGTACAAATATCGGACTTTTCGCAGTCCTTGAGTGTAGGCCACAATCGATCGAGTGACACACCAGGCATACGCTGCATGATCAGGCAGACATGGCCCGTACTTGCTATGCGATACATTGCGTACAGTTTCGGCAATCCATGGCAATTTCCTAGGTGGTACTCGAGAAATAGAAGTACCTGGCCTTCGATATCCTTAACACCCCGTCCGTATTTGACAATGAAGTGAGGCTCGACCGCAACCACCCTGTGATAAGATATGTCGTCTCGAAACACGGCTGTCGATTCGAAGAAACGAGACTCGATAGGTAAAGGGGCTGGTAGGAGGTCGGGTGGTTTGAGGTAAGGTAGTTGAGTAGGCGCCCAAGCCATGATCACTTTGAGCTGTAGGTTCCGTGCGACATAGTCGTGGCAAGATGCACGCGCGGACACTGTACAAGACAGTTGGCTTGTTGACGAATCAAGTTTAATTTTCGTAGTTATCGCTCTGGACAACGCGTTGAGATAGACTGTATGATGAACACGGTGGGAAGCTTATAATGTCCAGCTCCGTAAGTGAAGCGCCGCTAAGGGCGCACTAACTTATCGTGTCCCTGCGCGTGATGCCTTAATCACCCATTGAGCACGAAGAAACATGACACAGCGAGAATTCACCTTTTGGAATCTACCATTAGAGCACATGTGCGAATGACCGCAATAGCCTCTACAGGCTATCACGCGTCTCTCCGAGTCGATTTGATACCTGTAGAGCCGATGTTGCGGCCCTGGCAGGTAAGGACAAACAAAGTGTGCAAGCAAGCAACTTGACATGACACATCCACCAGATGCAGCGCCAGCCATCTAGCCGCGATACAGCAACGCAAAACGTGACGACAAAGCCTACAACTAAAGGCTGAGTTGCTGCTACCCCATGTAAGATTACGTCATGCACAAATGATTTTTAGGGCGCGCCAATGTGGTTTAGGCAGCAAGATATGCACTCTGTGCTAATACAAGATATGTTCACAGACGCCCATCTAATTTATGAGGAACACCACTTTCAGAAATTGAGCTTACCGAAGCCTACTCCTTCCTTACATCTAAACTCTCACTGCGCTGCATTGAGAAGTCTGAAAACGAAAACGCCATTTCGGTCATCATCTTGAGCAGAACTCTTTGTTTACATGTCGGGTGTTGAGCTGGCTAGCCTTGTCTTCGCGTCGCTGGGAATTATCAGCAAGTTTTTAACGAGTACTCTGTCAAATGAACCCTCTAGGCTTTACGACACCACTCGTACATGGCAACCTCTTCTCAGCCCGAAGGACAATTTTATCGAAGTTTTTGATATTCCTTTCTCCCCCGGAAAGTCTGCAAAATTGCATCTAAAAGCTATCAACGTCAGAAATCTGGATGATGTCTTGAAAGCTGTGCCAGTGCAAGAAGAGGGCTTTGTACGCGTGTGCTTTGCCGAAAACCTCAATGTTCTAAACAGCTCAGCCGTTGCAGTGCCTGCATTTGCTGGTTGTTCCCCCATGATATCACAATGGAACTCATCATCGAAACCGACCCGGTGGGAAACGTATTCGTATAAGCTATCACCTCCGCAGCCAATGTATAGAGTGGCCGAGAAAAGCTTTTATGTCGATTCTCTCTCGATGGCCGCAGGCACCATTCGACGAACGTTGAGATGTATGATTGATTCAACAGACAATAACCGAATGATCCGTAATTATACCCCTTCCACTCATCATGCTAATCGCTAACCGTCAGTCTATATCGACGCCACATCAATGATCCAGAGATTGGACATCCTTTTCGATGAGATACACTTGAGAGAACATGTGGTACCAAAGCTTTCCTCCGAGGCTGCTTATGCCTACCATGATCAATTCTGCAGTGATCTACAAAGTCCAATCCAGATTTATCCAACTCTAGGTGTGCAGATCGCTTCTGCGTCAGGTCTGAAGCAACTGATACTGCTTCGATATTGTCACGCGCTGATAGAGGACTACTCAAACTTGATCTACCCTCTACGAGCCGATTATGCGAAGCGGAAGGAGGGTCTGTCAGACACCCGCAGAACCACGCTGACGATGTCTATGCTGAAAGAGATCATAAGAGATGCATTCTTCTACGAAGAGGTGACCGAGCGCGCCGCCGAGTTGGCCAGATCGGTCAATACATTGGTTGAATGTCTAAAACCACTTCTTGGAGGTGCGATGAACTTTCCCGGTTTCCAGTGTCTTGCTGTTGAGCTTCAGTCGACTTGTACGGACATGGAAAAGATAGCGGTTACGATGTCAGCCACGCTAGATAACCACCTGAGGCTGTTCGAACTTTCCCGAGGCATGCATGAAGCCCAGAGTGTTCGTCTACTGAGCATTTTGGCGAGCATATTTCTGCCTCTATCTCTTGCTTGTGGATTGCTAAGCATGCAGACCCGATTCATTGATCTCCATGTTCTGCTGTACGATTTCTTTGGCGTTCTTGTACTACTCGGAACGATTGTGATAGCGATTCTCATTGTCTTGAGGTTGCATCAATGGTGGAAAGTGCTACTGTCACAGTTGGATCGAGACCAAATGTTTAGAAGATATGTCAGACCTAAAGGGCATATTGTGTTTCTTTGCTTTCTCTTTCTTGGTTGGGCACTCTTGCTCTCTTCGTTTCTTGTTGGTATGATCAAGGATGTTGATCTGGGACTCAAGATCCTCGGTTATGGTGTGTCCGCAGCGGCAGGCATTTGCTTTGTTGCTCTGATCGGCATCGCTGGCATTGCAATATCTGTCTGGTTGATTGTGTAATTCAAATTGTCTTCGTCAAGGATCTTAACGTGGCAACATTGGTCTGTATACTGGTGATATCGAATCATGGCGAAATAACCGGGCCAGAATTTGACAATACTGCATGGAGTACGTCGATTTGATAGACAAAGCATCGATAATTGCTATGTGAACCCCTACTCGCGATCAGGACTTAGCTATCACCGAGTAAAATCTTTCCGGATAAAAACTTCGCGGGGAAAAAGAGATGGAACAGCTGGAACAATTCCCGGGCCATTCGAACACTTTCGTCACCTCGTAAATCAGATCGACGCAGGATCGCCTATGCTGCTAGAGCCTTTCATCGGCCCCTGCAACCAACGCACCCTGCGCTCATCCCAGATGGTGTGCAAAGATACGCCATTGTGTCCAGAAACTTTACCAAAAAGTTGTGAGTTGGTCATGCGTTTTTTGGAGAATGCTGCAGATGCAATTTAGAAGTGTCGGCATGGCCGCCAAGTTTTACTAGTGCCATTCGAGGTGAAAAATGGGGTTGTACGCGAGCTCTTATATGACCAAGCCGGGAACTGCGAATACAATGTAGTACAAAGTTCTGCCTGCATATAACCCTGCATGAAGCCATCCCGCTATATCAACTCTAGTAAAAGGATGTTGCGAGTCCTCTCCGCGGAAGTCTTCTCACACTCACATCTGTGTATCAGCATGCTCACTCGGGGCTGATCCATTGTCCATGGATCATCGAGTGCCTGCGATATGGTAGTAGAAGCTGCCACGAGGCTGTGCTTGAAGACGGATTAAGAATCTTATAGATCTTCAGTAAACTCCTCCACGACACTGTGGTGAGGCTTTTCACGATTACTAGACGTGGAAATTAGGCTAGACGAGTATGTGACACCAATAGTAGTCTGTCGCGTCCGTAATTCGTAAATCTTTGGTGGGACTGGTGGTAGGTAGGTAGATCAACTGGGCGTCGATGTGGTATAACACGAAAAGTGTTGGTTTGCATCCGACGTATCAGTAATATGACTAAACAAGTTGCAATTCATTGCCAAACAAAGATCAGGATCGGAAAATACCAAGGAAACTGATATTAGGAAAGAAGCGACTAACGTGCGGGATACGGAGCCGAGGTCTATTCTAGTAAAGAGCAGATGCAAGGCTGATCTATGCACCGACAAGGTCGGTGTGTGTCTGACCATCTCGAAAGCGGACCCAGCAATGATTGAACAGCCTGACAACTGCAGCATGTCATGTCTGAATGTACTTTGTTGATCACAAATGAACTTCAAGATGGAAGATGGAAGAAGAGAGAAAGTTTGTTTGGTCATCGTGTTGTGAAGACCCGCAAAGAAAGCATGTGAAAGTGTCAATGGGTTCAACCACATGCGACAAAGTCGCTTCTGCCAATGATACATAGTTGTGATCGATTCATGTCTTGGGATCTTACGTGTTGGGTATCATACCTACTTTCGTCTGCTTCTATAATTTGTAGGCTGCGTCGCGTTCAACGATGCCGTGAACGTCAACGGTTGACTGATCTTCGCCAAAAGCCACTTGAAACACACAGTGGATAACATGCTAGTATACATTGTCGTGTTCGCGTTACCTTTCACAACGGGAAGCTGAAGTAGCAGGTTCGTATCCAAAGTTGAACTAGGGGTCATATCTCGTTCGACGTGATATTTCATCTATTTACTCCAGGAAATTCAAGATGGAACGTCGATTAGTGCGGGGAACATGATGTGCATGGCTTTCTGTATCTGGTCCTGATCAACCGTTTTGGCCTTGTGATTAGTTCTCGCTGTAGCAGGCGATAAGTCTCGCTTAAGCAAGGAGCTTGCAGTTGTGATTGGTGCGCATAGGCATCCCGTTGAAGCTGGGGGATACGGGCGGGAATAGCCACGCTTCCCGTCAACATGCAGGTGATCTTGGCTGCAGATCGTTGTACAACCGGGTTGTGATACGTTGTCATCGTAGTATTGCATCGTATGTCAAAATTTTGAGCGACGAGAAGGTCTGAAGTCAGGAAAGGTTTGCGAGAAACACGGGAATTTTGAGTTGAGCTATTCGAGAAGGGTATCGAGGGAAAAGGCGATCTCAAAGTGAAATGCATGGAACATGTATATAAACACATGAGAAGCCTTTTTATAGTGTCCATCTTCATCCATCAGATTTGTGTCATTCTTGGAAGATATCGATTCTGACTTCCAAACTTCTTTACTCCCTCGGTCATACCCCTTCTCGCAATATACAATGTACTTCTCCAAAGTCTTCGCCGTTGTGGCTATCGCACTCGTCGCCAACGCTTCGGCTGCTCCAGCCGTCGAAGCTGTACCAGTGCCTGTACCTGCAGTCTCCGAGGAAATCCAATTTTCTGCCAGAGGTTTCGGATGCCCGAATGACTATCCTTGCAACGAGCATGTATGTCTACAACGCATTGAGCACGGTAGGAAACATACTCTGACATAGATTCTAGTGCATTTCGCTCAAGGGAGGACGGACCGGAGGATACTGTGCTGGATTTTTATGGCTGTAAGCAAGTACCTTCCTGAAACATTAGTAACAATACCGACTAACGCATCCATATAAAGCGTCTGCACTTGCATATTCGGCAAGAACTAAGGCTTCATGTAGTCGGATGATCTCATCGCACTACAGCAGTGGTGATGCTGGGATGTTATCACCTGTCACTGTGGGGTAGCATTGTACATCCGTTGCATCATTGGTCGATAAAGCAATAAGTGTAGTTCTTATACTTTATTGATCCCTTCATGCCCTGTTATTGCTCGGTCACTATCCATCTTAAATGTGGTGTTTTGTAACTTTTCACATCCTTGCTGGTGGTCGACCGAAACGTGAATTTGGGTGCAGCTCTCGGTGCTTATGGCAGGAGTGCACACAGACGCTATGCTTGTGTCTTTGACAAATTGCAGTCACATAGTCGCTGAAACCTTAATCTAGTGTATACATTTAGTAATTGCTCAGCTATTTCGTTGTGGGTCTCCATTCATGTACGACGTGACTCGCCGATTTGTTCATGGAGAGCTTGAATGCAAGACAATGACCAAGACGGATATCAGGTAGATCAATAATCAGCAGTAAGCGGACTCCATAGATATCAGGTTGATGTTGCCGCGCCACAAGATCTGTATCGTTCAATTTCGTCTAGTAATTTTGACCGCAAATCGTGTAGTCAGCCTTCCTTGAACCCTGTAGGTTGGCCTCAATCGAGCATGAGTCAACCGTTGACTCACAAGCAACAAGCTATCAATCAAATCTTCTCACTTGCAACAACATCGACGCTGTCTGAAACCTTGTAATACTATGCCAATTTCTTCCACCTGGCTCGGTGCTGACTGTAGATGTCACTAGCCATGCCACTTGGAGCATGTGATGCCAATGACCCTGCTTCGCACCTAACCAGCACTGTCAATGATAGATCATTGGAACGTCATGCTTCTTTGTCGTGCTTGATATGGCGAGCCGTACACTACAAATTTATTACTTTTCACAACGTTCATTCCGAGGATGAACAGGATCTCAACAAATATTGTGTAACAAGTAGATAAAAGGTATAGTAACAATGGTATAGCATTGGACAATGAGCTAAGGTTCTAGGAGCCACCCCCCTATGTACCGTAACAAGCTTTACCATGTTCTCGTCATCATCAACATGTATAAAAGATTGGACATGAGATGATTTGCACCTAACCGAATTCAGTTCCAAGTTTGAGACAGGTCATCGTGGCATCATGAAGATACATGGACTTGAGGTTGACCACGTTTAGCAGTTGAGGTAGACGGCTACATGATACGTTAGCAATGCCGGAAGATAGTTGCAGAGAAAACTCACCGTTGGCGTACAAAGCGAATGAATCAGCATTGTTCAGGGCATTGGCAGTGGACAGTCTGGTAGCGGCAGCGTAGCCGTAGCCCAAGTCGTCTGTTCCTGGGCTGTAGACACCCGGAGCATGGGTTTCCTCGTGCAGGACAGTGGTCGCCTGATCCTGTCCATGGCAGGTCGATGACAGCGCTGGAAGATCGCTGAAGAAGATCGGGCAATAGGTGATGAAGTTCGCGGAGGGGACCGTGTAGGCAAGGACGTTGGATGCGCATCCACCGTACGGGTCATTGCAGTTGGTAGACGTCCTAGACGAGGTACCGCCGCAGTCAGTTGAGACAGCCCTCAAGCGAGCAGCAACTGTGTTCCTCGTGGCAGTGGTCGTCGACTTGAAGTATGTCGTGAGCTTTGTGCCGGCTGTGGCAGCTGTTGCCGCAGAGGTTGCAAGCCTTGCGCAGTTGGACAGAGCAGTCCGGACAGTAGAGAGGCGAGTTCCGGTGCAGCTTGAGCCAATGACTGTTCGCTTGGTGAGAGCCTTGGCGACCTGAGCGGCCTGGGCTCCATCGATGGACATGGCTAGCTTGTTGGACTCGTAGTTGAAGGAGCCGGCAAGCTCGGTTGAGCCCTCCTCAGCAAACGGAAGGAGGCCCTTGGCGAAGATGTCAAAGTCACCTCCAGCATCCAAGGTGTGGAGAGCAGCGGTCTCAACCGTCAGCTCTTTCGTCTCTCCAGCTGCCAAGGAGAGGAAGTCATCCGCACTGAGACCGGAGGTCAATAGGCGGACCTTGATACCCTCGAAAGGAACCTTAGCGCCTGGATGGAGGTTAGCGTTGCTTTCAAAAATAGAAATTGTGAGCTTATTCTATGACAGGGATGTCTGCAGTCGATATGGTCGGCCATGTATGTGCGAATTACACTTATGTACAAGCCAGAAGCTCGTATTTGTAACATGACATGTAATCAGGGGTATTTGCAACCTGCAGAGGCTGGAGAAAGGATTTGGAAAACTTACTGCCTCCCGCGGAGTACACCGAAACTTTCTCGACAGGGAGCTGCTCGTCCAAGAAGGTGCCCTTGCTGAGAAGGTTCAGGTTCTTCTCGCCGCTGTTGGTCAGAGTAACCTTGACCGCTGAGTTACCGGCCGCCGTAAGCTGAACACTGAGAGGTGTCTCTCGCTTGTTAACGTCCACAGAAGCAGCGGAGGCGTACGAAGCCAGAGCGGCGACAGATAGCTGGCTGATGAACTTCATAGTGAATGTATAAGAAGATACAATGACCTGAAGCAGAGAATATCTTGTCGGGAGGCTGAGGAGATCTGGAAGAGCTGGCGAGCGGTTGTTGATGGAGAATAGTTAGTGAAAGGTGAGCCTGTCTTTATACTGCTGGTCTGGCTATCATTGTTTGATCAGTGTTGTTCTGTCCATGCCACTTGGCCATGATTCTGAAGGAACGTGGAAGATTGCAGCCGATACGAGTGGGGTGGTGCTGCGGCATACCGGAGTATCTCCTGGAGAGATTGAAAGGATCTCGTGAATCAGACTCTTAATTGGTTCTACTCATAGGAACAGGGTAGATGTTTGTCGTGGCAAGAACAGAGAGCGGAAGCCGGAATGGATACGGAAGGTCCTTGGGTATGCAATTTGATACAAGCTGATAAGAATCATGCGTATGTAGTGTCTGCGAAGTGGAACAGCCTTCTCCTTCCTATCGTGCATGAAAACCTGTCGATCGTGTATAGCGATTAAGTCTTGGCGCGTTTTAAGCTTCTCAAGCTTTCGTCAGGCATTACACAAGCCTCCTAACATGCGATTTGCTGTGCAATTTGCCAAAGCCAAGCACCTTCCCGACATACCTAGGAATAGCCGGCGATGGTATTTGGCCAAGACGGAAGGTGGCCTTAGTGGTCTCATACAGCGACAGGTGGCTCAGATTAGCCTGGTCATGATGTCCTCGAAACGATTCGAAGCCGAAAAATCATCTAGCAGTGGCCTGACGTCCTTGATTTGTATCCTCATCATGCGGTCTGTTTTTGTCAAGTTGGGAAGGTGATTAAAAGTTCTCTGCTTGTTGGGAAACCCAATCCACCAACAATTCTTAATGTACCTCTGTCTCAGTTTGGGAGGAATGAAGCGGGTTGAAACAACCGAGTATGAAGACACACAAAGAGTTTGTCAGTAGAAGATTGCTGCCAAGTTCCGCGCGACTTATCCTGGCTCTTGGCGAGCGCTACTTGCACGTCAAAGCTACATGCAGTTAGGTAACGCGGGTGGGGCGTTCGGGGCGAACATCCTTCATCAAGTCGCGACTCGCCACAACTCTAACTAGACCTCAAGTGACGATCAAGGGCAGGTAAAGCGTAGTTTCATGTTTATGGAAGCCCTAACCTATGATAGCCAAATTATATTAGTTCACCAATCAGTACTTGCAGTCACTCGGAACTCGAGTTGATAGGTCACGTTCTTCGTATTGTCGGATGACAATCGTTATCTGTCATACCCATCCACTATTCAGCCGTATCGAGTCCAACTGATCGATAGAAATTGTACTAGTCCTAGCTTCTGATTGGTCAGCTATGTAACACATAAGAGCACCGAATAGGTCTCTCCGCGATTTAATATATAGAAGCGCCACTAACATGTTTTACCCCACTTTCCCCTTCCAACCAAGGCAGGTAGCTAATTCAACAGCCCACACATAGTCTAGCTACTTGATGTGTTTCGCTTGGCGGTGTGTTTTCCCAATCATACAGTGCTAAATCTGAGAATTCCTTGGTACCAGATGCATGGCATACTTACCTACATCTACGATGACTTCACTACTATCTTATCACAAATTCCTCGCGTTAAAAATCAGAGATAACATAGCACAAAAGCGATTGACTGCGCAATTGGCCGGACTATAGTGCGAATTCGAAGCAATCCGTTGGCGACAAAGCACCTTGCTCCTTCCCTTTACAGTTTGGCGTTGTACCCGCTGCCCAGGCGCTAAGAACATATTGCAGGAGCAATCACATCACTTTTGGTAATCCCGCCCTGTTCTCGTATACAGTATTCCTCTGGGGCGCTCAATGGCAAGCCTCTGGAACAGCCGGACAGCAATCATCACCGGCGTCGCCATAACTCTATTCGGCGCATTCCACGTCTACCAATCACCCAGCTCAACCTCTTTTACGATGCCAAATTCAGGCGACAGCTCTTCGAGCGGCGTACCGGGTCTGAATATGGAGCTTTCCCAGATCTCGCGGAACCCGCCAACGCTTCTCGTTACAGTGAAGAACAACAGCCCTGACACGCCATACACAATTTTGAAATGGGGTACACCGGTCGACTCCGCGGCACTGAACATTGGTGTTTTCAAGATTGTTGGCGAAGAGAGCGGGCACGAGGTCAAGCAATTGGGTTTGAAGATCAACAGGAAGATGCCACCGCCGCAAGAAGATTTGCTTACCGTAGCGCCTGGAAGTGAAGAGAAGGTTGAAGTCGTATTCGATAAGCCGTGGATGCCGGAACAAAAGCCCGCGAAATACAAAATCAAAGCTGAAGGAGAGTTCAAGGGTGTTTGGGACAAGCACAATAGGGATGTAAGAGAAAACGATTTGGAAGCCTACAGCGATAGTCCTTTCAGCGGGAGGAAGTTCACGACCAATGAGGTCGTGTTGGAGGTATGATAGGGACAATCTATGATCAAAGATGTAGCTTCGGGCACGGTCTTTATGCGTTTGATTTGTCTTTGATTCAACCATCAGTGGCTCTACTCTAAATCGGAATCACGCACTCGGGAAGCTAAATATACCGAGAATACATACCGAAATATCGAACACTCTGCGTGTTGTACATGCGTCCAAAGACCCTGCTCTCTCCAAGCATATACAGTGGCCCATCATGATGACTTCCAAATGCCGTTGAGGGAACCTATTCGTGAAGGACTTGTGGAAATGCTCCAAAAAGCAGCAACAATGAAAACTTTGATATATATTCCCAACTCATGAATCATCATACGTGGGTTAAAGTCGGAGTATGCATGTAAAGGAAACACCTTTGTTAGCTTGTTATAGCCTAATGTCATACATTCTATGCCAGTTCAACAACCTGCTAACACTACAATTACGAGATGTAGATTATTGCAGTACAAGATGTAAACTTTTCAGTCTTAACGAGTAGTTCCTCGTTTGGTAGGGATTGTGGGCTGTCCAATCAATAGTAAAGATCCCCAAGTTTAACCAAAGAGCTGTTGAGTCCGGAGACGCATCTTGAATTCGAGGAAGAAAAATAGTAAGTTTTCCTAGAGATCGTGCTCAGTTAAATAAGCTTGAATACCTCTTGGTGCAAGTTATAGATCTGATTTCCGTCTTAACTGCCCGCTGTTACATTGTTACTTTTTGCTGCGTTGAACTCGGTAGATATGTAGGATTACTGCTCTTTCTTAGACAAACACAAATCACAAGCAATCTTGTCAAAGTTCAACCGATTGATGCACAACCGATACAGTAGTTTGCCTTGACTTTGCAGCCACCTGCATCATCGAGGTACCAACTACTCAAATTAGAATATAAGCCTCGTATCACTAAACATATGGGAATCTACAGACAATATGGATACAAAGTAGAGATGACTTACTATCCACAAGCCTTGCAACCGGCCTTGTCGTATAGCCCATACGTAAACATGTTCCTGATGTCCTGTCCAAGCTTACCGGGGTAGGAGTTATCGCAAGCGTAGGCTACTACGTATTCTCCAGCTGAACGTTGCACCACTAGTAATCATCAGCTAATGTGGTGTGGTGACGTGAACTGTGGCGGCAACGATTCACATACGATAATCATAGTTAACTCCGTCACGAAATGTAGAGGCAACGAGAGCCTTGAAATTTGCACCCATCCAAGCCTGGCATCGTGGATCCCCACTACAGTCTCCATGGCTGCGTTTCTGGAGTGGTGAAGAGGGAGATGTATCGGTACCCAAAGGTACAGCATTGGCACTGAAGGCCAGTAAAGTAACAGATAGCGTGACTAGGCTGGAATATTGAAACCGCATGTTTGATATCGAATCTAGGAAAGGCAATGGCGTGACAGGACTGTAATTGCAAGGGAATGTCGGGCTTTATAAGTCGTCCAACGATCCAGTTAGGCATAGGTAGGACTTCCAAGTGTTCTTTAGCCTCATGCAGTATGCGATTCGCTGGTTGGTGCGCAGTTGTTGTACAGCATTGAAAATGCCTGATAGCTCGTTTTACTGTGGGGTCGTGCATGATCTCTGGAAAACGATTGTCAAAGTTTATTATACGCGAGGCCTGCAGTTTTGCTCATATATCAGGTCATACTCTGTTTTGGTATGCTTACCTGACATCCGGTTCCAATTTCAGTTCGTGTGCTCTCTCGGCGATATTTTTTTCTCATCGCCAGAAGAAAATTGTTGTCACGATGTCTGTTGCACAAAAATAACCTTTAGCGACTCGTATATGCATTGAGCGTTCCAGTACATTCAATACATATTCAATATGCATCGACTCCGCATCTAAATTGTTTAAGTTCAAGATTAGGCACGTAAAAAGTTTCTAGTCGGCTACTAGATAACATCTAGTATAGTGTTCCAGCTTTCATCAAGTGAGTTAAGCAATATTCCTACTGAACGAATCAACAATGTCGTGTTTGTGAACAGTGACGTTTTAGATCCTACTTGCCTATTTCCAGGACACACAAACTTTCGCATTGTTCTTTTGTAGGAGGATCTTTGACATAGCACGGGTGTGAAAAGCGTAGTCTGCAGTTTATACCATCAGGCCTAGTCCAATCTCTACGAACAATAATCACGCCCATATAGCATTGTGTGGCCTATTCTGAGTTCTTCAGGGAGAACTTCGGTAATTTCCCAGACATTGAACAGATGCTGATTTACCTTGTACCGCTTCAGATTGTGCTCTCGAGACACCTGCCGGGCCTTCGAATAGTTCTCCTCCGACATACCGCTCGCGGCGATAGTGCGCCTCACCGCGCAACGCCACTCGGTGAAGGCGACACTGCAAACCCTCGCGTACTCAAATGCGTTGCTCTAAGCAGTATTGACCCCAAACGTATCGAGGACGCGAGCATCATCAGCAGCGAGTTGTTGGAGCGAAGCCTCCTCACGAGTCTTGCAAGGAGCCAGTCAAGAAGAATGACAGCACGCCGAAAAAGGGGGCGCAATCTACCCGGGTCAGTCACGAAGCCATGGAGCAGAGAGAGCCATATCGAATCGGCACACAGCCATCGTTCTTCGCGTTGCGACAGTCATCGCAGTCGTCAAAATCGAACTTGCGCTTGCAGTAAACCTCATCGCTAAGCTAGAGCTTGATGAGCATCGCAAGAGTACTGTCAGGGCGAGATTTTGACTCCGTTATTACCGCATTCACATGCCAATGAGTAAAACCGCCGTCCCAGCGACGGAAGCCAATCGGGCAAGGCACGGAAGACAACCGTGAATGTTGGAGTACCCACGAGTACCGTCAAACTGACCTCTAGCTTCTCTCGACAGACTATTCTGACGAAGGTTGTTTTCGGAGCTCAAAAGGCGATTACGGAAATAGGGTGCCTAGAGCAGTTCGGGATGAACAGCAAGAAAAGATTGTCACGAACATTCTCACCTCTCGGCCGAACCTCAGGATATCACCAGGCTAAGGCCGGATCACACACGCTGCGTGCAAGTGTTCTTGCGTTATAAGTTTTAAATGTCCCCAACTTCTATGTATCCGCTCTATGAATCTAACAAATGTGTTTGCAACGGCCATAGAGTAGTTTATTTCGCTTATATCCTAATCAAAATATCTATCCACCTGTTCGTGTAAGTCTAAGGAATGTTCTAAGATTAGGCGCCTTGCGTGAGAATGCTAACTCAATCTCGTCCAAAGATTTACCCTTAGTCTCTGGCATCCAAACCATACAGACCACGGCAGTGAGCAAAGTACAACCGCCGAAGAGGAAGTAGGCACCATAGGTGCTGCGATCGAGAAGAATCGGGGTGGAAAGCGCGACGAGGAAGTTAGTGACCCAGTTACTTCCATGTGCTAGTCCAGTTGCGCTCGCACGCGTGCGTTGTGGCTGGCTTTCGGCGACAAATATTTTGATGCCAACGGCCCAAGAGATACAAAAGATAACAGCGAAGAGATAGATGGAGACAATGACGACCCATCGGCCGGCACCATAGGTTTCGTGAACCGCATTACTCGCGTAGAGACCGCCCATCAGAAACATAAGGAAGGTAAGCCCTAAGCCACCATAGATGGTGCTCTGGCGTCGACCCCATTGGTCGGCCCAGATGAGAGCTGGGATCGTGACAATGAAGATCACTATGGCGGATACACCAGATGCTAGGAAGGAAGCACTGGATGAACTGAGTCCGGCTCGTTGGAAGAGTAACGGAGCATACTACACACAAATGAGCTCAGACTCGAGTCTTCGAGATAACAAACTCACATAGAGAATTCCATCGATACCACTCATCTGCTGCATGCCCAAGACGAATATACCAAGCATTGTACGAGCACGAACATCCGGAGCAAATGCATCCAGTATGCCAGACTTCTTTGTGACTGGAACAGGGCTTGAAACGATAGGAGTTCCGGGTTGTCCAATTGGATCACCTGAAATGGCAGCGGACATAAGCGCACGCTCGTGCCCGTTCTCGATCTTCTCGCGATCTGCGCTGTCTACTCCTAGGATATCCCACGCTTTGGCCACGTCAGCCTCTCGATGACGCATAGCGAGCCATCTCGGGGATTCGGGAAGCCAGAACAGTGAGGAAATTGCGAAGATGAAGGAGAATGCAGCAAGAAGCACGAAGGGAAGGCGCCATGCTAGTGATGACTCCATGTTACGTGAGCCATAACAGGTGAAAAAGCCCACGACTAGACCCACAGTGTTTAGCAGCTGAGGCAAAGATGTAAGGGGTCCTCTCAGGCGAGGTGGTGCAATCTCGCAGATGTAGCTGTAGAAGGTTAGGCGTCTGCGTAATCACTGTCTGTATGAGATTCATCTAACTTACACAACTAGATTTCCCAGAAATATGCCCTCGCCAATGCCTTCAATCACTCGACCCACGATAAACATGGCCAGATGCACAGCGGCCGCTTGCAATACTACACCAAAACCGAAAATCAGGCCACCAAGGCTGATGCCTTTGGTTCGTCCAACTGCATCCGCCACTCGGCCTGCAAAGAAGGATGAAATGGCGGCAGGGATCAATATTGACGAGACAATCAAGCCGTGCACAATGGCAGAAGCAGTGCCAAAGTCAGCTATGTACTTATCCATGACAGTGACTGGTCCGATGATGGATGTGTCCATGCTATGCAGCTTATTAGCTAGGGTGACTGGCGTTCTAGGTTTGAGACTCACCCGAAGAGGAAACCACCAAAGGAGCAGAGCACGCTAGAAACAATGTAACGTGAGGGCCATTTGAGATCAGTGAGTCTGCGCATATTGAGGCTGAGGTTCTGGTAGATTGCGTAGATAGGTGGATGGGAATCGTCGGCTGACATGGGAGCGCGTCGGTTTTAACGATTTCGTGTACCACGTGATCTGGATGTCGTTATCGTCCGATCGTTGGTGGCGCCTGCGTCCAGTCCGCAATGGGGAAATGCACAGTCTGATAAGAAGAGCTATAGCTCTCTCAGTGGTTACTCTAGTACTGAGACAACTTAACGCTAACCATTTACAGTTCGGACGGATTCGAAGGCCGCTTGGACGGAGCCCCTTGCATATCTTCTCTCGGCTAGAGAACTGCGGCCTGCTAACCATGACATAGTAATGCTCACTACACAACCGCCCGTTGTGCACACCCCAGAATCGACCTAGGCTCATCCCGCAACACACCTCATGCCTCCTCGTCTCTATCTAGTTCGACACGCGGAAGGCCATCACAATGTACATGTAAGAAGCGCATAACATTACTCTGGCCCGTTAGTATGTAGCATGCTTACGCCAGCAGCATGCTGTTCACATCAGGGATGCTACCCTCACTGAAGAGGGCAAAGCTCAGTGTCGCCAACTGCACGACACCTTTGCTTATCGTGAGATCATCGATCTCGTCTTGTCATCGCCTCTTCGCCGTGCAATCCAGACTACTGTCCTCAGCTTTGGGCCAACGCTGTCTCGCAAGAAGGTGCCTTATCTTCTTCTTCCTGAAGCTCAGGAAGTGAGCGGTTTCACCTGCGATGTCGGCCATACCAAACAGGAGCTCCTTCAGGATCTTCCCGACCTCTTTGCCAACGAGCCTCTGCAATTTGATCGGGAGAAGATCAACTTGGATGCTGTGAAGGAGGGTTGGAACTCTAAGGCAGGTTTTCCTGATCTATCTGTTTTTTGCGGCCTAGAACAACTTCCTAACACGTCTCTGATAGACGAGATACTGGGCTCCTGACAAGATCAGGGTCCAACAACGCGCTGCTGATTTGAGGACCTGGCTCTACCTGCGCTCCGAAGCTCATGTGAGTGCAAATTTGTTTTCACTTCCCACAGCATGTTACTGGCTGGTTGAGAACTACGCCGCAGATTAACCAGCGAAACGGAGAACAACTTTGGCTTTGTTGCTGCATTTGCGATGCCTGCTGAGGTTCTACTTAGAGTGGCACAATGCAGGACATATTCTGCAACAACTTGCTGACGGATGATCTATAGATTCTTCTTGTCACGCATGGCGCATTTCTGCACTATCTGACCGAAGACTGGACCGGAGATGATCCTGCTCGAGGTAAGCATTCGACCCTTGTGCTCCCAAACAGCCAGAAACTTGCAAACACCTTGGTACTTGAGACTAATACTCTGACCAGGGACCGCATATTCAAACTGCGAGGTCCGTGTGTTTGACTCCACATCAACATCTTCCAAGAAAAACGCGCATATTGTTGAAATCCCGCAGACCCGAGATGCGCGACCTGCTGGTATCTCGAATCAGGATCCGCACGTCCAGTCAGAAATCAAATCCGTAGAACTGAGAGAGCTATAGCTGCATAATAACAGGCGTTTATACTTGGCTTAAATTTACAAGTTTCGTCATTATATCCGTGCGCTAAAGCGTGTTAGTTTCAAATTGGCATAGATTATTCTAGTTATAGTTATGAGCGTATAAATCATAGCAAACACAACCCCATGCCCATTGTCCTCAACTTTATAAATACGGTAAACACAGTCTACATTTATAATCATAAGCATTTGAGGTAGACTAGTTTACTAAACAAGATTAAACCATCATCTGAGATTTTGTAGACTGTCGTCTTGTGTATCTTATCACCTGATTCTATTTGCTGCTACGTCGGCTCTAATTTTCACGACAAGATTACCCAGACGAACGCCCCTAAAAGTCTGACAAACTCTCACCTAGGTGTTAGGCTTCATACTCAATCCTCCACGGGGAAACGTCTTAACCCTTACCTTGTGCTGTGTCTAGGCTTGCTTGAGCTTATCCCCGTTCAAATTGGGTAGGATCCTGTACTCTCCCAGCTTCCCAATCGGGAGCGGCGCCCGCAGCTTACCATCACGGGTAGCGGTGGTGGACGCGGTTGCCTTGAGCATCAGATCCTTAGTGAGATCGGGCTGATCAAGCGCATGTTCCAGATCAACGATGGCCTTGAGTAACTCGTTTGTGTGCTCCTCGTCATTAAGGCCCAAGACATGTAAGATACTGACCTAGAAGCACATGTTCACGGAGTTGGCGTGGCAGTGGAGCAGCACTGGATTGGGTGCAAGCTCAAGCACAGGCGACCACGTGTGTCCGAAGTACATGACGCGATTCAGATTCGCCTCGCACGAGTTGAGCATTTCTTCGCTGAGTACCTCGACAATGGCTGCGTTGTATCAGTACCACTCAGTTATGGAAAATGTAGGAGGAGACCAGGAGATCAACATACAGACACGAGTGATTTCGTTGCTCAACTTGAGCTTCTTCTTTGAGAACCCATTCGTAAGATAGAACTTGTTGTTAATTGAGTTGAATCCATTGGCATACTCAACCTTGAATATCTCCAAATCAACACAGCGGGATATCTTCAATGATTCCAGCAAGGCAAATCCGAATCTCGACCTCGGGTAGAGACTTGAGAAACGTGTTGTCGATCATGGTGTGGATAGGTTCGTGGAAGCCACCGAGACGGGTCTTCGGGACATTCCAGTTCTCAGGAACACGGTTTGATATAGAAGCGTCGATGAGGTCGATTAGTGTCGTCGGAACAAGAATGTATAGCGTACCGCGGCGGAACACAGCGCAGGCAAATCGAGATCGCGTCTTAGTCTAGTCGATGGATCAAGGTTACAGAGAAATGTGCGTAAGTGCATATGTAGTGTAGCAGTGGTTCAACTTGACCAGAAATGTTCGATGTCAAGCTCTGTTACAGGTTCGCGGCGAAGCTAATTATACCAAGTTCTTGAGACTGATACACACATTCAACTGAGACACAGAACTAAAGGAGTTAAATGTGCGAATTTAGAAATATAACAACAGAAGCAATTTAAATATTTACTGATGAAAAAAATAAATTTTATAATAAAAGTCAGTTTCAAAGTAGTTATCTTACCTCTGCTTGCTCACGTTGTCGTGAAGGACGATGACGGGCATCAGGTATGGAAGGAGATTACACAGCGGTCAAAAAGGTATTTAACGGGGTACTATACCCTGCGCGAGTCCTTAAACTTATGCAGATTTGTATGCAATAGCAATCAAAAAAAGTGCATGTCCGCTAATGTATGGGTTCAAGTAAGACTGGTCACTGGTGTTCGTCAGGGACCAATGTAAAACGACGCTAATCTACAATAGGTACGCTAACACTGAAGCCTAGCCGGATTCAACTTTCTCCTTGTAGAACGCAGGGGTTGCAGGTTACATACCCTTTTCGCTCAGCATCATCTTCGTCAATTTTCCAATAGACCTCGGGAGCAACCCCGCGATGGAAAGGGCCACGCACGGAAAGACACCTGCGCCTTACGGACAAGCTTGCACGCACTGCGTAAAAGCCAAATCCCGATGCATGCTGCGCGAAGGAGGCATCTGTGAAAGGTCAGTGGGACGTTTACACGTTCCGATGTTGAAGTCTAAGTATTATTCTGTTGAGACCGGACTCCATCGCATTACAATGCGAAAGTAGGGAAGCTACGTAACTGCAACCTTGACTGACACGAGTGCAGATGTCATCGACTCGACAAAGAGTGCATCCCGTCGTCAGGTGTGCGCAAGAAGAGCGCCAAGAAGCCTGCAGCTTCGAGAAGGACACAGCTAGAAGACAAGCTTGATGACTTGGTGTCTATACTTCGCACACAGCATGCAAGTCCACAACAAGATCCTACAAAATTTCAAGCTGTCACCTCGCGCTCCCTTGACTTCACTCCACAGCGAGATGGCATGGAGGCCACGTGCGGCCAAAGTATCACTGAGGAGGAACTCATGACATTTCGCTGGCTTCACCTGCCACACTTTCCTCTAATACACCTACCGTCAAACATCTCAGCGGAACAGCTCGATCACGAAAAGCCACTACTTTCCCTAGCCATCAAGACGATTTGCAATAAAGCATACTCTTCACAGGCTGAGCTAAGCAAGAAACTGCGGGAAACAATAGCACTGAGGATGATAGTCGAGGGGGAGAAGAGCATCGACTTGCTACTGAGCGTGCTGACTTGCATGACATGGTTAATCTCCTTCATCCTTGAGATTTCGCTGCTGACCCAATCAGGTCAATATACTTTACCTCTGGGAAACAATTTCTTGGTATGTTAGCAGGACTTGCGCGATCGCTTGTCAGCGACCTTCGACTCGACAAGCCCCAGAACCCCTCCTGGTGCCCAGCTGTTGGTCCTTATGAGGAAGACAAGACTGTTCGTTCCAATGAATCTAGGCGCGCTCATATAGCATGCTTTGCGCTCAGCACAACGTAAGTGTACCTCGATTCAAGCTTTTAATGCCTTACCATCTCGGTGGAGTGACAAAAATCGTTACAAGCTTAGTCGTTGACTTCTGCAGAATCTCAACCACGTTCAAGTATGACATGATGCGATGGTCACCACAACTCGAACAAGATTGTTCCCAGTTAGTCATAGAGGCAGACGCTGAGGGAGACGAAATCCTCGTTTCCATGGCTCGTATCTCGAGGATTTGCCTACAAGTAGCAGACGTGAACCGGCATCTGAGCGATAACAATGGCACGCACGCCACATTGCACATCACACCTTTGTTATGTTCGCTTGATCAACTCAGCAGCACGTTCTCTGGCGAGCTGTCAAGTCATTGTAAGACATTTCGTGTAATTTGAACTATTGAAAACTTACACATGCGTCAAAGCCAGTATCGTCGCATTTACATCTACCGCTCGGATAAGCATATACGAGCTCACCCTCCTCCACTCACCAATCCAACCCGCTCAAAGCAACATCATCCTCGATTGTAGGCGTATCGACCATCTGATGGCTTGCTTGCAGTTATGCAAGCAATGTGCGGAGCAATACCTAAATTTCGACTTCATCAATATTACAACACCTACGAGTCTTGTTTTCACACACTGTATTAGAAACCTGCATAAGCTCGCAACACTACCAGACGCTGGCTGGGATTCAGCAATCGTACGCCAGACAGTGAACATTGTTGGACTGTTGGACCTCTGTGCAGCAGGAGCAGAAAGAGCTGATGCAAAGCTCAAGGAGGAAACAGGTAAGGATAGCGTTTTTGCCATGGCGGCAAAGTCCGTCAGAGATTCAGCGCCGCCAAATTGGCGGTTGCCGAACCCAGAGCCTCAGAATAGTGGAGATGCGGTGATAGAAGGGTGGACCGGTACTGATGCCCTGGACCTTCCGTTTGTAGACTTCTCGGATGACTTCTGGCTGAATACCCCGTTCTATCTGTGATCATTAGCAGGTGCTGTACGGCGTTCTTTGGGCGAAGGAAATGTCTCGGATGAAGTAGGTTAATGCTAAGAGTATCGTGGATCCCAATCGACATTTCGAAAAACAGTTGAATGAAGGGTTATCCTGTGGGCTCAAGAATTGGAAACCATGACCGTATTTAGCCAAGGTTTGGGGGTTCCCCTTGAATGGTGCAGACGTATGGCCAAATGAATCGACAAACCGAGGTGACAAAAGTGGCAAATTATTCATGAATGCAATAATAGATGAGCAAAGGTTTCATCGTATCTCTTCGGAGGCGTGAATAGTCGGTACTGTGGAGCGTTTTCTCCACCTCCGGCCGTGTCTCCTTTCGCAGTACTGATTGACTTGGGCCGAAGTTCGTTGGTAGAGCTGGAGACATCGCGAAGTCACTCATCATGATCCGGCTGATGGAAGGATTTGGATAAAACTAATGCGATTGTGCCACAACGCCCTGCAAGCGTAACATGACGAACTCGTTGATGAGTGCGATGATAATGTTGTTGGATATCATACACTCGGAGATTGGTGAATGGCAGGTGTGTCTCGGGAGTTTTCATCTCCACACGCAAGATTCCAGATACTCCATTTTGAGACTTCAATATCACGTGCTTGTAGAGGAGTCCCGTTACTACTAGCGTTATGTGTCTTGAAGCCAAAAGTGGCATCTATGGATGTCTGCACTATTGTAGGTAGCTACATGCCGAACGCATTGTGAGGTCGACGCTATTAATTGGCCAACGCCTTACACATTCTTTCGAAAGACGAGCTGTTGGTACAATGTACAATTACAGGACGAGATATCATTCTATCTTCTCGCAGCCAGGACCGGTGAAATACCAGCGACATATTGCTTCACTCCGTAAGTCAACCCCTAGCCCTCCACCTTCTCTGCTTGGACCTCAAGATCTTGTGTCGGCTTTGCTGTCTCTTTCTTCTTCCGAACGTCAACCCACCCCATTCCCAGACTCAAAAGGACTGCTGCGCACGAGAACCCCACTAAGATGCAGAAAACGTTGCGTAGACTCTCCGAATAGGCTACTAGTATACCATTGAGCTCCTCTTCGTGCCCGATCACCAAGTCACGGACTGCGTCAGCGCCAGAACCGGCATTCAATACAGCTTGCGGAGAGACCGATGGAGCATACCGGCGGATGGCTTTGGTGAGTGTTTGCGCAAAGACGGCATTGATGATCGTGATGCCAATCGACACGCCAAAATTCTGGATGAAAACAAGGATGGCCATGGCGATAGCGATCTGGGGAGGCGCGACTGCGTTTTGGATTGCAACGAGAGGCTATAACACGTCAGTCAATTGCATGCCAGGTCTCTTCACACCGGGTATACTCACAAGCTGCAAAATAACACCGCGACCTACTCCCATGACTATCTGGTACCCAATCCACTTTTCAACACTGGTCGTCGGCGAGAATGTCGAAACGAGACCGTTGCCGACGGCCAAGATAACGCTGCCACCAAATGCCCAGGGAAGGTAGTATCCCAACTTCGATACTGAATCTCGTCAGTAGTTACAGCGCACAACTCCGGTCATCAACGTACCGAGCGCTCCTGTGCTCATGATGAACAGCAATTGACTCAAGATGCTGGGCAGCACGTGCACACCACTCAAAGACGGGCCCTCACCCTTCACGGCTTGAAAGAATGTCGGGAGGAAGTTACTCGCCACCAATATGCAAATCGCATTACACATGCCGAAAGCGTAGCTCACCCACACGATGCGTATCTTGAGGAGATTGCCCGGTATCATAGCCCGATCGCCCATCTTCCACTCCCACATGATGAAGATCACGAAGAGTACGCCAGAACTGACTAAGCAGCCAATGACAGTCGTGCTATTCCAGTTATACGTATTTCCAGAACCGAATTGTAGGGCGAGTATGAACAGGATCGAGGGCGGAACGAAGAGCACGAAGCCGAAAAGGTCGAGCTCGGGAGCGACCTTGCGTAGGAGAGCGAAAGAGATGGGCTCTTTCTTTATGACCTCAGGAAAGTGGATGAAAGTCAGAGTGAATGCTGTCACCCCTCCTGCGGGTAGGTTGAGATAGAAACCTGTATGTGTCAGCCTCTGACTGACTCCAAAAGGTAGTAGGGACATGGAACGTACACCATCGCCAGGTTACATGTTCTGTCAACCCACCCCCGATCAATGGTCCCGCTACCATTCCCATCTGCGACACCCCAAACAGTATCCCAGTGTACATCGGGCTCTTGCTCTTCTCCACACTTGCTGCTATGATCGTAAGAGCGCCATTGAAAATGCCGCTTACGCCTAATCCAGCGATTGCTCTGCCAACGATGAACACCGCCGATGAGGGAGCCAAGCCACAGACCAGAGAGCCAACTTCGAACAAAAAGACGAAGGAAAGGAAGACGGATTTCGTGTGGAAATGGGTGTACAGCTTGCCCGATAGCGGTTGCAGGATTGCCGCTCCGAGCGTGTAGGCGCCGACGTACCAACCCACGTCTGAAAGGGAGTGAAAATCGCTAGTGATGTAGGGTATGGCCTGTGGATATTAGCCGTTGCTTTTCGGATCCCTGAATGGGTGTTACGTACAGTGCCAATGATGGATGTGTCGAGGAAGGAGAGAAAGGTCACAAGGGTCAGACTGCCAAGAAGGACGGCAAGCTTGAGACCTTTGACGTGGTGGCTGGCCGGATCATGGCTCTTGGTGGCGAATGGCTCTGTAGTAGTTGTTGATGCAGGGGCACTATAGTCAGGTTTGTTAGAAGTTGAGGACATAGCGCTGAACAATTTGTAGATACTCGAGCAGAGTTTGGCAAGGAGAACTCAAAGGAGATAAACCTAAGTAGTGGAGCTAGACTCTAGTCAGGGTCGCTGTTTCTTATAAGTAGATTGTGCAGATCACGACTGTAAACAATTGAGCGGAATTGGTAACGGTGAAACGCGAATGCCGCTCGACAAAACCCGCGCGACGAAACCCGCGCGACGAACCCCGCTCAATGAAATCTGCTCAATAAGATCCGCTTAACTCTCTACGTCAATTATTCCCTTCTTATAAAAAGCAACACTACAATAAAGTACTAACTACGTAGTCTGTGTATAGACAGGACGTAGTAAATTAATAAATAAGAGATTAACCTTAAGATTTAGCCTAATAAAGAAATAAGTATACTACACTATATATTATAAATATACTTTAGTATCTTTTACCTGTTAAGTATACTAAGTATATAAGGTATTATAAGTTAAATAAAAAGTACTTTAGTACTACTTTAAGTTACTTTTTCGTTCTTATACTATTTATAAATCTATAGGTATACTTAAACTATTATAGTGCTTTTTAAATAGTTATATATATATTATATCTTATTTAATCTATAATTTAATAGCTAAATCTACGTTTCTTTTACTATTTTATATAGTACTATATATATAGCTAGTATTCTACTAAAACTAGACTAATAGTTATAAAAGATATTAGGAAAATAATTTTAGTATAACGTAAATTAATTACCTTACTATACTAAGTATAAGATATTTTCTATAAAGCCTAGATCTAGCTACTTAGTAGATACTTTCTTATTATAAGTAGCCTTATTCTTACTAGCCTAACCTATAGTAGTAGTTTATTAATATACAGCCTTATAGTAGTATTAAAGTGTATATTACGTAGTATATAGTCTACTTATATAGATTAAAGTATTACTTTAAGATATAAGTTATTTATAAAGTTAATACTAACTAAAAAGTAAGTACTTTATCTTAATTTTTTATAGTAAAAGATCTACTAGAGTATTATACTATAGTATAAAATCTACTATAGTTTTATATAATATTTAAGTAAAATTTACCTAGTTTATATCTTTTTTACTACTTTTATTAACTTTAGCCTACTATTACTAAGATTCTTTTAACTATACTAGTGCCTTCTTCTTTAACTTTCTACTTATTATCTATAGTAGTATACTTATATTAGAGTACTATAGTTTTTTATATACTACCTTAAATTTATTAATATTCTTAAAGCTTTAGTATAAGCACGTAGTAAACTAGTAAGATATAGTTTAAAAATACTTTTATAAGCTAAGAGCTTAAACCTACTACTTTAAGAACTAAATAATTTACTAAAAGAGTTTATAGAAAACCTTCTTTTCTAAGCTATATAATACTTAGAGAATATTTATTAATTTTATAAAATCTATAGTTATTTCTTACTAATTAAGATAATTATAGTTATAGGTATAAGGTAGATTTAATAGTACCTCTAACAAAGTTAGCTTAAATAAAGTAGTTATAGTTAGAAATTAATAGTTTTAGAGCAGTTAAGTTAGTATTAGAAATAAGTAGGTAAATCTTTATTACTTAGTATTAAAGGCCTATTATAGTTAAGTATACTAAAACACGTTTTCTACTATATATATATAGAATATATTATATATACTAATAGTAACTATACTAATATTTAGTAATTTAACTAATAATTCTTTATAAATACGTTAGCCTAAAATAGGTACTTATAAGCTAAGAAATTAATAATACTATACCTAGGTAGTAAATCTCTACTATTATATATTATAAATACTATCTTAAATATAGGAATTTATACTATACTTTTTCTTTTAGTATAATAGAGTAATAATCTAGGTAGAAGAGTTAGGTTAAGGTTAGAAATTATTTAAATTTTCTATAAAGTATAGCTCTTATTTAATATTTTCTATAACCTAAG